TCAGTCCTAATACCAGTATCATTGATTGAAAATTGCCTTTAGTTTTTCTACAGTGCCTGGTAAGAAATAGGGCCTAATGTACTTTAGTAAAAATAACAAAGAAAAAGGAAAACGACAAAACAATAAAATAAAGGAACAAAAATGGTGTACGTCCTTGAGAGTCAGCTTAAAAAAGCTGAGCCGAAATTTCGAGACAGCCGGCTGGCACATGGCGAGGTACTAACTGTTTGACTCACAAATCTGAACGCATAATATCAAGCGAGTATGTTTTCCTTTTTTACTTTTAGCGGTATAACCGCAAGAAAATAACACAAAAAACATTGTTTTTATTTCTAAGCGGCGAAAGAGTCCTAAGAAGTCAGCGTTACGTAGGCGTTAGAAAAAACGAACATTAATAGCAAAGATATATTACAAACCGTGCTTGTTTACAAAATGCAAATTCAAGCCGAAATGAAGGACCCATTTAAATTCAGTCTCAGCGTCTTGAATTTTAAAGAAGTAAAGGTAAGTTGTGAAATAGCAAAGGCACTAAGTGGCTAGAACCCAGGCGAGTCAGCATTTTTTCGAGCGAACATAAACCACATAAATTTTTCTAATCGTGATATCATATTCATATTAAGATTTGGTTCGAGTGCTAAAGTAAGATTTTCCGAACGTGACCATTAAATTTTAATTTTGGTTTTCTTCGAAAGTATACTTAAATCGAGGAAAAGAAAACATTGAAATGTCACTTCTATTATAAAAGACATACGGGCCGATGTTTGCATTTGTGTCGTATATGGATAATCGAAAATGCTTTTTTCGTGTAGCACTGATGATGATTAGGTTGCCATGGCTACGTGTCAAAGCATAGGAAATCTCCGTAGTCTAAGTTTAAAAATCAACACTGTGTCAGTAGGTACTTTCAGTATTTCATAATACTGATGTTAAAGAAAAAGTCACAGTGGAAGGCAAACATCTGGTTCTCGAGTACGTCTTTTTTTTCGTCAACATTACGAATGACCGGAAAACATTACAACCGAGAACAAGGTTTTTAGCGAGTTCTTGCCTGGCCCGGTTATATCTCGTTTAAAACCATCACAGCCTATAAAGAACACACGACAATTTTTTTTTAACTGTGCTTTGTGACCCTTACAAGTTACTAAGTCTTAAAGCAGAAATTTTAAAAAGTTCTGATATGCACCAATGTTAACTTTTTCGCTCAGATCTACTAGCAACTAAAGCAATATTGGTGATGTGCCTGATAAAAATTAAGAATAACATTTAATGAATAGTTCTCTTATCGATGAGGAGATTGCCAGATGGTGAATTGATTCTTTCAAAACAGGAAAAAAAAATGTATCTGCGAGCCGTGATTGCCAGGTGAGATTGTTAGAAATACTTGATTAAAATTGATAGTGTTCATCTCTGTTCCAAACTAGTTATAATTCTATGGAATTTTTTTTGACCAGAATAAAAACAAAAAAAATTTAAGTTTTCGGACGTAAATAAAACACTTCGGCATGGTTTCCCGTAGCAACTGAATTCGATTTGTTTAAAAAAATTAAAACAAGACAGTTATTTTTTAGGCTCGCGTTCATGGCAAAAACGCTTGTTAACTTCTTTAAAAGTAATCATCAACATCTCCGATTAGAGATCGGATCTCAGTGCCAATAAGGTTGTGAATAAATTTTTTTTTCAATTTCAAAAAAGATAGGATCTCACGATTTTCAAGGCGACGGTTATCGCTTCGTGTGATAGATACAACTGCTTGCAGATATAGCGATAGAAAAGCTGGCATGATCACATCTGTTAAGTAGTGAATCATTCCCATTATCAGTAAAATACTGTGTAACAACTACAAAAATAATGATAATAAAAAAAATTACTTATTACATCGAAATTTTCGCCGAAAAAGTCCTAGCGCGGTTTTAAAGGGACGATGTTGGAAGTCATTTTAACTCTCGATGTTCAAAATTTCTATGGCTGTGAGATATAGTTAAGGCAGTAAACTGTTTACTTTTTGAGATAAAGTGCTAAATCAAGTTAGCTACGTTTTTTTCTTCAACAACACTTGAGAAAGACACACTGTGGCTAGGGAATCCAGGCAAACAAATAGCCTGCTACATGGAATTAAGACGTCTGTGTAACCATACTGACAATTAAATCTCGCAGTTTTCAAACTTTGTTTTCTTCATTTTGCGCTCATTTAATCGTGGAAATGTTCTAAAGATAAAGAGTATTTACATAGCTTAGGAAGGCCCACATTTTAAGAATTTGAAAACTTAAGAAACGATTTGATAAAAGTTAAATAGTAAAAAACAAAACAAAACAAAAACAAAAAAAACAGGGCATAAGTCTATAATGTATCTTTGTCAATGTTCAATATCATTCTACAAAATACTAAGAACCAATCTATGAAGTACTTTGTAAGTAAGAAAAGAAAGTAAATTAGGAAAATCAAAATTGTGGCACGAATTATTTCACCATCTGACAATTAAAGCCAACACTTTCAGTCCTTTTAAAGCAAACTATAGCTTTACAACGTCTAAAGAAGGGAATCTGTTTAACATTTCCACCTGCGCTCTAAATAATGATCCTTTAGTGAACAAGTCGCGTTGCAGCGAGCTTAACTTTAAATGAAACCGATAACATTTCGTGATAAATTTCATTGTCTTAAGGTAAATTATTCTCTAAAATTGCTGCTTTTTGCCGGGTACGTAGCACCTTCATCTAAAGAAATTGTGCTACGTGCTTTCTTCTTTGTTGAATTGATAAAAATAGTTCACTTCAGATAAATCATAAAAGTTTTTTTGAACTAATCTTTATCAAGAGAAAAAAAGACAGTGCGAGAGCCACTGAACTTCACACATCCACCCATGCGTCAAACAAAGAGCTCGTTTACCAAACAGAACATTCTGAGGAGAGTGATTATTGTTACACCCTTTACTCCCCTAGTGTTAACTTGTAATCTTCTGCCCACAATATCAAACACATTATTACGCAAACAGGTAGCACAAAAACAAAAAAGTAAAAAAACAAACAAACAAAAAAAACACACCAGTTATTTATAGCCATCGTGATAGAAGAGCAAATTCTTTCCTCTCTTTGTATGGAAAAGTATGGAGGCTGGAAAGGAAAATTTTTCAAAAAAATCTAATCTCGAGTTATCTGATTGTCTACCCTCTCATGTGATTTTCTGGCGAATACTGTTTTGTCCTGAAATAATCCCTTACAACTAGAGATTTGATTAGCTAAAATTGAGTTCTGTTGGTTCATTTTGATGTTAAAGTTGAAAATTTGGAAAAAATTGACCGCTTACCATTGACTTAGCGCGTAGGTGTTCAGAAAAGTTGCCCGAAACATTTAATGGATATAATAATAAAAAAAAAGTTGAAGTCTCCCTGAGGCAGAAATAGACGCCGAGTTTGTTAAAGGTCTTGATCAAATTGTAGTTTCTGACATCAAAAAGGAATGTATAATTAGAGAGGACAAATTATTGATCGAGTCAACAGAATGTACAATCTCCATGGCCTTTCTTCCGACAGGCCTGCATGCACTTTGCTGATATTAGTTCACGAGTGACACTGTTTTGCAGTTCTTCTTTTTCAGCAAGAAATCAATTCCTTCTCCAGCAATTCATAAGAAAACGGAAGTACTGAGAGGCCAACAGTTTGAATTTTAACCAAGACTAAAGTTACGTGAATATCAGCGATCTTTGAACAAGTCGAGATTCAATTGTTTTAAACTCAACATTTGACTGGCTGGTCTTCTTAAAATTTAGGAATCGATTGTTTCTGTTCTTCTCATTCATGGGCCTTTATTGCATGGGTGGCTCACTCTTCATTTGAAGTGCTTTCATTGTTGTTTGGTCAAATTAATTTTCCACCGCCCAGTCAATCGATTATTTCCACGCCCTTGGACGTCACACTTGTCGTAAAATCCAAGGTCAGTGTTAGCGGAAGTCAATAAACACTGCATTTTTGAATTTGTTGAAGACCATACTGAGGATAAAAGAAACAGTTATTGGCGTACCAGGACACGTTATAGTAAAATCAACCTAAATAACTTGAACAAGAGCGGAAAATAATACACGAACTGAGAAATGTCGTTGATGAGGAAGAAGTTATTTCTACCTTGACCAAATGGAAAATAAATCAATGACTCATAAAATTGAATCCAAATATTTCTAATCTTACTCCTGGCAGATTGCAGTTTATATGACGTCAACAACGTAAATGAAGATATCGAACAGAGCAGCGAATTTCATTTTTTTTGTTTTGTTTTTTACACTTTTGGCTGTCTTAATTTTTTTTCGTTCTCAACCGACAAACAGCCTAAGGTGTTTAACAGACAACTGTCAAATTACATAAATTTTGTACTAAAAAATCGTTTATTTGGCCTGGGTCGTTTACACACAGTTTAAGAACTGTAATAATTTCTACCTAATGGCATCAGTTATTTGTCCGCTATAGTGCAATATCTGAAATTTTCACAACGAACAGCTGAAATGTTCCATTTACATGCAGTAATTAAGGCAGGATTCAGTGCAAACTATTATTTAACGGTTCATTTATTTTTCATGTGCAAAATTCGCTTGTCTCGCTTAAAAGCGAACATATACCTTCCGAAATAAAATCACAGCACTCAACAAGGCAGCTGCAAAGACAGGAAGAAAGACGATATGTAAAAGTCAAACTAAACAGCGCCATCCAAATATCCGGATGGAATTAATCTCTGTCAGCAGATCGCATTTACTGATTTAGAGGCGAATGTTGTGCTATTAGACTGACACTCTGAGACTGTCATAAAGCCACAGGATGTTGAATTTGAAAGCAATGTGCCAAGGTAAACACTGCAAGCTGTGTGAAGGGCACTTTCGATACGGGCAAAGTTGAGATCGAGGATTCTACTAAGCTACCTGAGCTCAAAAACGCCAAAAAGAGAATAATCGAGCAGGAAAAAATAATTTATAAGCTGGTATTGGACTGTGTAAGCTAAAAGTTTCCCAAAATCAGACAATGGCCGCTTATCACAAGATATGGCGACATCTTCGACATCTAAACGTATGTATAACGAAAATGTCCTCAGTTTTATACCTTTTAGCAAGAGCAATTTGACCGTACATTTCGGGGAAGGGAAACTCAAAAATTGCTCTTCTGACGTTTCCATCTCTAATGATATCAAAATGCTAGAGTTGGAAAACTTGTCCGATACTATGATAAAAATATGAGGGATAAACTTAACACTTCAACCTCCAAGTTTATTTGGGGAAAGAAAAGGAAACATTTTGGTATAAAGCTGTTGTTATCCAGGGCATAGCATCACGACAGACTACAAAAGTCTCATTAGCGCAAACTACAGTTGATTTCTTTCTCTCTAATGACAACTCAAAGGTTACGAAAGCGCAAATCCGGTTGTTAATACCAAATTTCAATTGAAAACTTGAAGGTAGTCTTAGAGACAAACGCAACATATGGTCTGAACGTTCAAGTTGTAACCAAATGTTTTCGAACATTTCGTCAGTATTTTCAACAAAGGTCGCTGCAGGAAACATGATTTAGACATTGGAAATAAAAAAACCATCGATTTTTAACTAAGTATAATAGTTCTCCAGTTTTAAGCAGATTTCAATCTTTCTTAGCGCAAGGTTGTTGTTACAGACCTGAAATAATGCTGGAACAAATTCAATTCCTTGGGGGCAGTTCTTTATTTCGTAATTTTTCGACAGGAATCGGCTGCGAAGCAATAACAGTAAACAAAACAAATCAGACTTGTTTCCCTCTAGAAAGCTGTTCCTACTGCTACTAACTAAAGCTTATCGCGGCGGTATTTCAGAAAATTGTCATTTTAGAGCACATATCTTCGTTTTGTGGCACGAAACACGAGAAAAGTTAACAAAAAAAAAAAGAACAACACAAAACAAAACAAAAAAGCTGCATACCGAGCAGAACATTACTTAAAATTATAAGAAAACTAGGGCTTTCGTCACCCTTGCTGTCAAATAAGATTACACTTACACTATTTTGTGTTAGTTTTGTCGTACTTATCTATCAGACAGTTATTATTGACTAAGGCAGGCAGCGCTGTTAGAATTCGAAATCTCTAACTGTGCTTTTCAGAGTAGAAAGAAAATGAGTTTGAAGACAGTTATCTCCGAAGGAAATGTAGAAACCCAAGTTGTTTCATTAACGTTTCCAAGTAAGCGTTTAGCAGATATTGTGAAGAGGCTGGGCCCTAAAATTCTACAATTCTTCCCTTTAGAATCATTAAAACTATGACAGCCATGAAAAATACGCAACGTTTAAGATTTGCTGAAAGTGATTTTGAGCCATTCAAGTAGTTAGACTGTCAGTTTTGATATACCTCCATGCAGCATCGACAGAAGGTGCTGAAACCTAAAAACCAATAGCTCACGTCTTAGATTTTTGACAAACGTTGAATACAGTAGCAATTCGTGTTCAAACCTACGTTACTTCGAGACAAAAATAACGGCCTGGCAAAAAAAGAATTGTCAACAACGTGACTGCAGAAGACAAAGGCTTAACAAAACGTGCTTGTCTTACACCTGTCGATTGTTTTTAAACAAAAACGTGATCGAAGCAAGCAGATGAATTTGTGCATGTTTCTTCGCTTTGTTTAATCCGTAATGTGCTTTTCGATTGAGTGATTCGTAAAATCCAATCCAGATGAATCACAACAGCCAATCATAGCGAAGATAAGTATCACAATGAGCCAATGAGAACTCAAGGAGAAAAAAAAATAAAACTGACTGAAATGCCGGAAAACGCACGTTTTATTAAAATTAAAACATTTCCCCGCTATGATATGCAATTGAGGCACTTCAAAAGGCAAATAAAACCTCGAAAATTAGCAAGAAAAGTTTCGTTCTTAAACCTTCACTAACTAAGATTATGTTCTTTACTGTCTGAAGATAACTGAGATGCTACGAGCTCCGTAATTGGTCAAAAGCCTATCGTTGATTGCACCGGTAAACTCATAAAAATCGAAGTTTACTTTATAAAAGCAATAGACTGCACTTTTTATAGGTTTACCGCCGTCATAATCCACTTGAGATCATAGAGGACCACTCGAATAGTTTGTAATTCACTCGCTATCAGTTTTTGATTAACAAAGTTTTCTCGTGTTCTCTCCATATTGCGCCTCCAAACCTATAGAAAGTGCGGTCTGTTGCTTAAGTGACTTTCCATGTATTTATCAAAGCTGCATTGCCTATTATTTAATGCGATATTTTCAAATGATAAGGGAGTACATTAAAAATAAGGCATCTTAAATCTTGTTACATGAAACGATCGACTTTATTCGGACAGTTCTCATCAAAAAACACAAATGATAGACTGTTTGAAGTGAGAAAAAAATCATACAAATCCGGAAAAAAAAATTAAATGGGCAAAAATGAAATTAATCAATCTTGAGCAGTTGAGTTTTGGAGACTGAATAAATTAGATGTACCAGTGCTGAAGTCCCTTATCAAATTGGAGGAGACTTTGAACTCATTCCTTTTCCCTTAGGCGTCGTCTAGACTTGAATTCATCAAAGCAAAACTTCCTCAGGAAAAGAATATGTACGTTCACTTCCTTAGGAGACAACCGACCAAGATTGGTAGATTGGTTATGGAAGTATAGCTGTCAACTTTTATCTCTACGGTCACATCGACCAAAATAAGAGAAACTCAGAATTTACATTGTGCTTATCTAGAATTTTAATCGTCATGAGGACTTGAAGCTTTTAACTTTCTGTCAAATTTTTATCCGTTTTGTGTAAAACCAGTAGCAAAAGTCTGATGAGGACATAGACAACTTTTTCTCAGGATGCTACGTTTTTTTTCACACTTAAAGAGATCTCGTCAGAAAACGAAAAGGAAAAGAGCAACAAAAGAAACAAAAGAAGAGAAAAAAAAGAAGAGAAAAAAGGAGACAAAAAAAGCAACAGAACTACAGAAGCGAATAAATTAAGCAAATTGATCAATGTTCGTGAACAAAGTTATCTCTAAGACTAACCTCAATAGTGATTTGATTATTTGTACTTGATCACGTCCCGTTAGGAAATCAGCTAGATGTCGAGATAAAATTTTTTTAATATGTAAGATGGCATAACGATATTTCCATTCCAATCGAAGCGCGTAATCTTGTCTATTTTTAGGCAGAAACTTGCGAAATTAAAGGCTTTACAACCACTGAACAAAGCAGTGACTGTGGGGGTCGAGAACATTAATATTACATTTTATCTAATAAAGTGCCTTCATCAGTAATTTATGCATGACATTTCTCAATATCGCCTCAAATCGATCAAAATCAATCAGATTTTGCTCGAAATGTTCGTTAACGAAGTGATTTAGTGTGAGGGGTCGCCGCATCCTAATGTTCCTTGTTAATTTGACGAAAGAACCACAAGATTGTTACTAGTGCCTTGTGAAATGACCAAAGCCATGCTGTTAGCGTTGGCCCGAAAACTTGTTAAGGTAAGATACGGAGAGAGATTGTGATGTTCAGTTCTCGTCACGAGAGACCTAAGTTAGATGCTATAAAAAATGGCAATTTTGCAGTCTAGGAATATCGTCAGAGATCTATCAAAAAGGAGCCGTATACATTAGAAAGTTTGGAGTTATATTATGAAACGGAGCATAAGAAATTTCATCTCGATTCCAATTTTAAACGCTAAATGATCAATTGAGTCCTTTGCTTGCTGATGCGAAACACTGGTTCTTAGAATAACATAAATTCTCGGTCTTGTGTCAGGTCATTTGAAACAGCGAAAAAACCAAGGCATTGTAACAAATATTTTAGCAGAAGTAAGCACTATCTTTCGTTTAAAGATCGTTTGTCAGAGTGAATCGCTTCAAGTTTAAAATGTTGCCAAAGTTTTCGAATATTGGACCACTAAAAATCCAACCAAAAAGAAAAGGGAAAAAATGCGAATTTCCATTTGCTGTAACTTTCTATGGCCTACATGGAAAACTAAGATGCTGCACGATTCTGATTTAATAAATATTTGAAAGTAAGCGAGGGAGGAATTCGCTCGAAAAAACACGCCGCTTGGCCTCCGTTTTCTCTCTTTTTTTTTGTTACTAAAGATTGTTGTTTATGATTTGGCGATGAACTAAGCTTAGTAAGTAGTTACAGGCTTCACAATTAACAGTTTTTTTTTCAGGTTAAATCGAAGTGTAAATAGGTAAGGAAATAAAAACGGAAGGAAATAAAAAAAAAAAAAAGACTAACAATCGTTGAATATTTGAATGGAACATAACGTTTCCAAGTAATTCTAGAGCATTTTTTTTAAGTAGTCTATGTTGGTCCGTCAGTTGCACCTATCTTCAACGCTACCGGTCAACAATAACAGAAATACTCATGTTCAAAAGCCATAGTTTCTTAATCCGTCGAATTAATCGAACCGAAGTCGAAAATAGATCAAAGAGCGCGCGTAATGAAAGTTCGGAAGTCAAGCAATATATCACATAAAAGGCGAATTATTTTCGCGACTTCCCTAAGAAAGTTCCTTCCCTCTGCTAATTAAGATGTCGTATATGCCAAAGAAAATATTGTTTACTTTAGTTTTTGTTCAAACTCCATAAATAGAACAACAGAATTATCTAACAATAAATAACTATTTAATGAATTAAGGGAGCGTGCCCGACTTGCCTGTTACAGCTGTGTTTCAATGAAAATTCGTCTGTACTCATTTTCAGTCGTTGTAAAAAGATTTGCAATGAACCTCATTCAATGACCTGATTAACCCGTTGAGGAAACAGCTTTTAAAACAATATCGCAGTCAGTCACGTGCATGTCAATTGACGTCTTCACTGATCACGCCGGAGTAACGCGCGAGAAACATTGGCAAATAACAATCCTTTGTCATTAATCAGCCAATTACTGAGAAGGACACTCACAACTACAAACAACTTGAGGAGAAACATCCAACATGGCACGAAACTAAAGCAGTAAAGTTAAGGGTGCAAATGGTACATACTCAAAATTATAGTAAGTGCAACCCATACTGGAGGAGACAAACATTCTTTTTACTGGGGTATTCATGTATTGCATATAAAGAGTCTAATAATTTTCAATATCACACTGGTACCCCTACCCCTACCCCTCCCCCCCTTCGCCGTCTGTCTCGTGGATCGCTTGTTTTGGAAAACCGATACCGACAGATATTATGTTTTAGGAAGAGTTCGATGTCATTTCATCAAAATTCCAGACCGCAACATAATGTATGAATTAATTAAAACATCTGAAAGATAGAAAGGAATATTTCAAGCATCTTAGAGAGATAGAAAATAGAATATATTGTCGTCTTTGTCAGAGTCACATTTGATTTTCAAAACGAGCACATACTAAGACTTACAGGGCCAATTATTCACACGAGGTCTAACCCAAACCGCGGTTTTACGCAAGCAGAGGGCCTCAAGGATTCTCTGGAAGAAGGTTGAATTAATAAAGGTCCTTCCACTATTAATTTTCGGCCCTCTTGACACTTAACTAAAATAAACGCTCTTCCAAATTCATGATGGCTTAGAGCGCGATTTTGTTAAACAACGGCTAAATTTTTTTTAAATACTGAACCAGCCCCACAGGGTTAAAAAAATCATAATATTTATACCATGCATCATCTATAATCGCATATGTAGCAAGCCGCGAAAACTGTTCCACCCACAAAGTTCTCGGCATTAAAAAAAAGAGTAATGAAAAAAAGGAGAATTCAAAGCTTAATGTAAAGTCGAAATCTACTTCTGTGAGGAGATTGATTTTCTCTCGATTTTCATTAGCTGTTGCCAAATTGAAAGCAAGAAAATAGAAAAATGGGGCATTAGTAGTTGATAAGTAAAAATGTTACGGTTATAAACAAAATACAGATGTTTTAGCAGTCGCATTAAAGAGTGCTGTAGCAGACGCCATTCTCGAAAGTAATTAGATGAGGCCAAAAAGACAGTTTAACGTTTCCGCTTGCGTTAGTTTCGTCGCCGATTTCCTTTAGACCGTCTGTTCTCTCAGACTCCGTATTCAAATCCGCGCAAAAGGTTATGGAAAAATAACCAGTTTAACAAAGAAATTTCTCAGCTGCAATAAAAAGGGTTAAAATAGAAATGTTTTAAAGAAGCAAGGAAACACCGTCACCATGGTAATATAACTAATCTATTCGACCGGTTCTCTTTTTCATTTATTCAAGGGACTTTGGTTTCCCGCGTAGAAACCAATTATCGTATGATTTTTTTTTCCCTGCAATTTTCGTTGCATAAAAATTAGATCCGATTTTGGCCATTAAAAGAGTACATAAGTTGTTCGGTTATCGCATCACTACTAAAAATGTTTGGAGATACAACTGTGGTAAATTGTTGTTCAAAGTCAGGATTACTCTTCACACATTTGAACTCTAGGAACGATGATTGTACAATGGTCCTAAATTTCTGAATAAATTCGAGAAGGTGATGGGATTATCAAATTTACATGCCATTTAAGTTTTAGAACTAAAGTTTAAAGATCGCGAATATTTGAAAGCAAAAAAAGAACTGAACGCACAATCTATGAACTTGATCTCCTACTAAAAGATCTGGAAAACTTTTTTTCAATAGAGAATGTAAAAGCTTTAAGATTTTAATCCCTTTAGAATGATTCCTCAAAAGCCTGGCATTGAAAAGCAACGCTATTATTCATTTGAAGATAAAAACACGCAGACATATAAATTCACAAGTCTAAAGTAAGGAAATGGCAGGGCAGCCGCTGTCTACGTCAAAGTGTATTTAAAAATGTTCGTCTTTGTAATTATTCACAAAGGCTGAAAACACCTGCTGGAGTAATGAATTTCTTACCATCTTTACTGAAAATGTAATCTGTTCTCGTTAAATTGCCTCGAATTTGCGAAATAATATCATTGTGTCATCGGGAGCGCGTGCACATAAACTCAGGGTATTAAGAGAGAGACCGCATTCAGCGTTCCGTTGAATTTCATATTGGTTCCAGCCACGTCTGTAACTAACGAGAAACGATGGCGACTTATAGAGAATTTCAGAATGAGGTCAGTCAAGTTTTATTTAATGATTATTTCAGTTGATGGGCACTACCATGAGAAACATCGCTTATAAATCAATAGCCACTGAAAAAGGTGACTCGCTTTGATAACCACGATATGACACAAACAACGATCATGTGTCCCTTTTTTGGAATATCTCGCATTGTATCCCTTTGCAAGAGTAAAGAGAGTAAAACTCCATTTGCTTTGAAATCTTTAACTTTGCGAGCGAGTCGCTGGTAAGAAACATTCCCCTTTTGAAAACAGAATTTTACTAATGACAGTGACCATTTTTTTGCGAAGAACGAAATTTAACCCTACGCAACCAACTGGCTGGATCTTGATTTACATTACGATTCAGCTTTTCCCATTCCGCCAAACAAAGGGAAAAGCGAGCTTGACGCTCTTTGTCAGCCGATCGTGATGGAACAAACGGAACCAGAGACGCCATAAGAGGACGTGCAATGGAAATTTAGTGTTTTAATTATACAAACACTGAAAAATTCGATATGATAAAGAAAACTCGAAGCTCAATTTCACGTCAGTATTTTTTTCGAAATTCATTCTGATGTTAAATGTGTACCGTTATTGTATGCGCTTTAAGTTATCAGTGTTTTGGGTGTAAATAAGCAAAATCAACGAAATTTCGAGCTTCAATCTTCAGTAGTAATCGAAATTTCAAGTCTCACAGTTTTAAAAATAATAAAAATAATAAATGAGCTCATTGTTTTGCTTTGAAACTAATTACGTTTCGCACCGCAACGCTTCACAAAGAAAAAATGATTAGAGCAAAAGTGCTCGTAAATTGAAATGTTTAGTAATAAAAAAATCTGAATTTGTAAACATTCTACAGTTTTTTTAATCGTGTGATTTTCCTATTGCAGTGTATGTCGTGTAAAGAAAAAAATGCTCTGCCGACGATTTAAGAAAAATTCGATTCGATGTTTCGTCAGAATGAGGAATTGTCTCGCTATTTCAAATAAAGAATCAGGTCAATTGATTTAACTTTGTAAGACAGACTATTTTTTATTTATGAAGAATACCGCCCAAAAAATTATTGGAACACCACCTCGTTAAAAAAAGGCTACGAGAGACGAACCAATAGCAGTCTTGGTTTTATATCAATGAATGAACAAACTTTGGAGTGCGTTATAATAATAACCGTGAAGAAACACCCCTCTACCCTATCAAGAAGAAAAAAACCACCCTGATAATGAGCACAGTGTCTTGTATTTTTTGAGACGAACAGAGTCTGTTCACTCAAAATCGTTTCATGTCGGGTTGCTAGGTAACTTGATTGATCCCTGGCAATAAAACAACGTCGTATCTTTTGTTAAAATTTTCCGTTCGGCCGAACTGTCTTGAGAATTCGTGCATAGCGTTTACCCTTCCATTCTTCATTAGACTTTTTCTGTCCTGATTTCACGATCATTTGCTATTGAAGGAAACAGACAAAGAGAGAGAAGAGCCACAACTCATGTTTCCTATTTCGTCACTCAAAACATGATGGTGACGCAGTGATTGCGTTTTGTTTCAAGAAGCAGATGTCATCAGTTTTGCGTAACATCCTCTCCGACAAAAAAGTCACTTTCCTTCCTGCTTAATACCTTTTAATCTGGATTGCATGTTACACAGGTAGAGAATTCAGGAACACTTAACCCATCTACTTGTTTCTTATTAAATTTGCAGCCAATGGGAGGGTGTTCGTCCGCTGTGTCACCTGAGGACCCAAACGCTCAGCAAAACACAAAGACAAACTGGTGTGTGTGCTGTGGATCAAGGTGGGTAAGAATATGAACACAAACAAAATGTAAATAGGTTCAAGACTTCACGTTCCTTTTCCCGTCCAAAAAAAAGAAAAAAGGACTGTATCAAGCCATATTGACCTCCAGCGTGGTCACTAACAGAATAATGGCGAAAAGACTATGGATAGAATGGTAGATATTTTCCCCATATCCTTTGAAACATTTTGCTTCCACAAAACCCGAATAAAGGAAGCCTATACCCAGCCATATTGACCTCAAGCTTGGTCAATGATGGAATTATAATTATTACCCAATAAATTCATAAACCTCAAATACAATTTTTTTTCGTTCAGTCTGGCCTAAGATTGGCTCTGTTGTTGCCAAAACGTATGGGAAAATTTTTCCTTCAGCAGGGAAGAGTTTCCTATTTTCAAATTAAAACTATCATCCAATACTTGTTACGTAATGTAAAAAAAAAGAAATTACAAGATTTTCTGATATACGTCCATTGTCTAACAGACAAGACTCCACAGCTGCTCTGCTGTCCAAAAAAGAACAAGATTTGGACTGTGCACGGTAAGATAACGAAACACCTTCATTTTTATTGATCATTCGCTTTTTCGAAAAATTCCAGAAAATTAAAGATGTTCTGACAACCTTCGAAACCCTCCGAAGAAGTAAAGATGATGTCGAGGACCGTTACTGGACAAAGTGTCTAGGGGAAAATTCATAAACCTGTGACTCTAATGTATTTGTTCTGCGGTTTCTCGATTCGTAGGCCAACGATCGAAGAGGCGAAGAAGTGGCCAACGTCGTTCGAAACTGTGCTAAAACACAAATTTGGTCTTCAACTGTTTCAAGATTTCCTTCGATCCCAATATGGTGAGGAAAATCTCAGTTTCTGGTTGGCTGTGGAGGATTACAAGAAATCGGACGAAAGCACTCGGGCAGAAAAAGCAAGACTGATTTATGAGGACTATGTATCCACTCTCTCGCCCACAGAGGTAATTCACACTCAAAATGACTAAAGAAAAATTAAAGCCGTTGTTCCATGTCGTCTCGTTAAAAAAAAAAAAAAAAATTAAAAAAAATACCTTTAACTCGTTGACCCCTCAGAGTGACTTGCATCTGGTTTCTCCTTACAATATCACACCTGAATCAAACATTTGGGTCATGAGAATAAACTAAATGATCACCAACTGAAGAAGCTCCTGGTTTTTAAACAAATTCTCCTTGTCAGCACCGTGGGAAATGTATAAAGATCAGTATGGAGAATATGCATACTGATATTATGCTGTAAGAGGTTCACGCATGCCAGTTTCTTTGTGCCTTTATTTCAGTTCTCGTATCTCTTTTCCGTTTACAGATTAGTTTAGATGCCAAAGTACGAGCAGAAATCGATAAAAGCATGAGCAATCCGGATAAAGACACCTTTAAATGCGCACAAGATCATATATTTACGCTAATGTACCATGACTGTTTTCCAAGATTTATCAAATCGAAACATTACAAACAACTTTTGAAGAAACATTGACCCAGGCTGGTGCGCAGCGTTGACTTTTGAACAAAGACGGCGACGAATTAACTCTTCAGTTCAAGCATGGGAAAGCGCAGCCATTGAAATGTTTTACACAAGATGCGGATTACTATAGAACAATGCGAAGTTAATTTACAGTACAAGTGGTCATGAATTTCTCCGTCGTACACATTAGCAGAATTTCACCTGATTTCGATGCATACAACCATCTACTGAGTATCAATTTACGACTCAAATTATGATTCCGTACTCATCAACTCATGAAAAATTCATTGACAAAATCTTACACAGGAACAGGATGAAGAATAAACCAACCAGAATACTCGATTCCCAAACCGCCAAACTAAGTAAGTGTTGCTTTCCCCTTCCAATTCCAACTGTGACTTAGATCATTTAAGCCTAAATATCCGTTTTCGATTCAAATTATTGATTTGATTACAGAGTTTTGTCTGTTCTTCCTTCCCGCATGTTCTTTAGTTTTTTGAGTCGTACTGTAAGTAAAGTTCTCATCCAGCCTGAAGGTCAGAAGAATTGTTACTTAATAGCATAACAGAGACATTTTGATTTTTACCCCAACTTGACCAAAAAAAGCAAAACCCTTACAAAGGCATTCTCGTTTAGGAACACTGGGTTTATATTAGGTTCGTCTGTAAATACGATGTAATATAATAACACATCAAGTGCCAGCGGATAAGAGGCTGCTGACTGACATCCGTTAAATTTGATTACCGTAGTTGTGACAAATTCTTGGTACATCTAATGATATCCATAAACAGAGTAAATAAGAGAAGTTTCTATAAGGAAAAACGTCTATGGTCACTTTGTAAAACAGTTTAAACAGGCCAGCTGCCTGGCCTTTTTTAGAGCAAAAAACATTGCCAAAAAACATTCTTACTTGTAAAACTTAAGCCTCAAAGTTTTGCACTGTTTTGGATCGATTTTGTCTTGATAAGTTTCTAGCATTTTCTAAATAACCTACAAACTTGCTCGCGTGTCACTTTCTTCAAGACTATGGAGATTTTGAACAGTTATCACTGTTAGTGAATCAAGTAGAGCAATGAGTTTCCTTTTAAGTTAGACAGACAATTCAACAGTTTAGAAATGTTTCCTCGGAGACCTAAGATATTTTGTAAATAGACGTGTGGTACGAACAACTTGTTTCCTTGAGACATGTCCTCGCAACACATCTGTACAGCTGCTTGAGTTTGCGGTCAAATGTTTATTTATAAGATAACACTGTCGTAATAAAGAGATTCGAATAAATGATCAAATGAAGGCAAGAAAACGCAAACAAATGATTAGATGTAATAAAATGTAAATTAAAATAAATTGTAAATAGATTACAGGTTGAACTGGTGGAAAATGACCTCTGTTTACTGAGCCACAACTTGCAAGAAATTTGTACAAACTTGTGAAATAAAATTGGGTACTGAGTTTTGACCATCGTGTTTTGACCATCGGTAGCTTGTCATCACAAACTTGCATTCACATAATTTCCTCTCAGAAAATGGCAAATAGGGCAAAATGACAGATGGTTTGATTTACTGTAGAAGTATGCCCGTTAAAAGAGATTTCAAATAGGAAGTTCCAATTCATTTTATTCTGTTATTTGTTATGACTTTAATCAAACCTTTGGCACAGATTAATACAAATAGTTTACACAGCTCCCATCACTTTGGGAATCCAAGTTATCATGCAATCACAGTAACTACAACAGCAATTTTCAATTAAGTGTCAAAAGCAATCCAGGATTACTTTAGTTTTGCTTTACTTCGTTATGTGATTGGTCCAGAAAACTGGTGCCACTTTCTTAGCCAATCAGATTTTAAACCAAAACCAATCACGACTTGGTCGCCCGCGTTTTCCCGCGCTTTAGGCAGCTTGATCGTTTTTACTTTGAGTTCTCATTGACTCTGAAGGGTATTTTCATTTCTCCTGATTGGCTGTTGGTTTTGGATTTACGACACTCAATTGAAAAGCGCATTAAGAATAATTCTAACAGATACTATCTAGATTTCTAGCTAGTTGTAAATAAATATGGTTCGAATGCAGGCAGTCTTTAGTAAATTCAACCTCTAAAGACGAACCAAATAATGCGCTGACGAACAAAAATTATTACTGAGGACTGCAGTCGGGAAAAAGATGAAATCTGCAAAACTTTGCTTTGTCAACAAAACTGTAAAAAAAGAAGTTAAAAGTGTTTTAATTGATTAATTTTAGAATACCGATAATTCTACATTATAGGTGCTTAATACATATAATTAATTGTTATTTCACATCTACCACACGTGGTGATGATTACACAATTATCGCGGAAATTTAGATGATTAAGTTTAATGGCGAGTGTTCGCTAAATTGCTTAACTAACAATTTGACCTACATTATCCACAATATATAGAGAACATTAGAGCTAAAAATAACTTTTTTTTTAAACAGAATTAAGTTACCATTAAAATGAATAAGAGGAGTAAGTTTCTGTAGTACCACATCAGCGGTAAACTGGCTTCCGTAAAGAGTTAGTAAAGCTGACATTTCGAGCAAACAGGCCTAACATGGCCCAGGACAACTAGAACGTAACAGTACATGGTAAAAAAATCATATGGGGGGAGGGGGGACAACACAATGGTACGATTAACACAGACTTCATTCAACCCCACTTCAAGGGCGCATTAACAATATTTGACTAGATAAACTGTAATGTATTAAGAATCCTGGGTGGGTTATTCTTTTTAAGGACACAATACAGATGAACTAATGGTGATTCTGAAACCACAATATCAATTTACATTGTTGAAGCTGAGATACAATATACTGTCGTATTGGACGGAGTTGTGAACTCTATCAAGCGTGAGTATGCCTACCAAAAAAATTTGTTTTCAGCCGATCGAAATTTCAATTCTCTGATATTGCGGAAAGTATTCCTATTGAGAGCGTCTCGCGAAGGAAAGTTTTAATTAGCTGCCAGTTTGCGGCATTAGAAAAAGATAGGAAGATCACTACTCAAGGACGGACTGGATAACGCAAGGTCCGAAGACAGAACAAGTGATGGAATACCAAATTCAGGGGTTTCACCAACTTTTTCCCCAGGCGGTTGCAGACGGTGTAACAGGTAGCCGTGCCTTGAAAGGGGCAGGGTTTTCAAATTTAGCCGGCGCCCGGCGCAAGTCACCGGCTACTTCAAGCATTTGCGCCGGGTACTTTTCGTGTTCCAGCACCCCACCCCGCAAGGCCGCCGTTATCGCGATGAGATAGTGCTCCGGCTACTTTACAATTTCCTCCTGAGGGGGCCGTGAGGAAAAAATCAAATAAGAGAGCCTGCTCGTAGGCTCAACAGTTAGCGGTAAGAGATTTTATAGGAGGAGGTACACCGCTAGTAACCTGCGCTGAATGAAATCCTTGCAAACTTTTAAGACCGGAAAGGCGAGGAAGACGAGACCACACTACGTTAGCGTCTCTCTCTCGCGCACTCTCTCGCGCACGAAACAAGAGGAGGATTGCTAGATGGTGACCTAGTTTTTCAAAGGACTCTTTTAACCCTTTAACACCCAAGATCTGATTGTTAATTCTCCCCTCTAGCTGCTACACATTTCCTTGTAAATTAGTTGCAAGAATTTGGTGTTAGATAAAGAAAACAAATTCTACCTGATACATTCGAATACTCTCATTACCAGCTTGCTAAATAGTGGACAGATATTGTAGGGAGAAGTTACATGTGAATCACTTCTGGGCGTTAAAGGGTTAAGGGCTTACATTCGAATGGAAGTTATGTATTCGGCAATTTTTATCAGTTACGGAGGGGAATTCAAACTAAAATCAGAGTCGGTCACCGGCTGGATTCATCATTGGGTTAAGGGGGTACGCCATCTATGGCGATAGAATTCTATCTACACACAGGCTAAACACAGTGGAGGTCCCTGAATACCTAACTTATACCCCCTTCATTTACACGAGGGACCTGCTCAAACCAGGATCATGTGACAAACATCCTGTACTCTGCTAGAATTGTTTGCTCTTTATTAAAAACAAGGCCCTTGACCTGGCCTCTTGGCGTTTGCTTGAATTTCTCTTCTGCTTTGCAGCTGTTGTCAAAGCAAACCTCAAGAAAAGTGGTTAAACTTTCATACACATCAATCATTGAAACATGGTGCAATGTACTTACTTTCCAGCGGTTTCCACACTCTAAACACAGAACGAAAGTTGTCATGGGTTCATCAGCGCTTCGTGTTTGTAGTTGTGTGTAGGTAGTCCTTCGCTTGCCACATTTCCCACATTTAAACAGTGCAGTTTCGGTGCCTTGGTTTTTAGCAACTTGTGCTTCACGAATACCCTCTTTGGCACATTCCTGCCGAAACTGTTTCATCTCGTCACTTGCCATTTCCTAACAGGGAAATTTCAACACAGCCGGTTAAACCTTTGATCTCCAAAGTGATTGTGTATATCATGTACAGTCCAATTTCTCATAAAAAGTTATCCTTAACCCCTTAACTTCCAGAAGTGACCACCATGCAACTTCTCCTTACAATAACCATACATTCTCCAGTGAACAGGTAATAAGAATACTCAAACTTATCAGGTCAACGTTATTTCTCTTGATCAAACACCAAATCCTCATAACGAATTGCAAGGAACTGTGCAACAGCTAAAGGAGACAATTAACAATCACATCTTGGGTGGGAGTTGAAGGGTTAATTGATAAAAAAATGAATGGCTGTGGTATAGTGCACTGTATGTACAGTGCAGTATGTAACAAACATAGAGCAATGTAACAGAACAGTTGTAGTACTACTGATAAGCTTTTCATTTGGGTAACAGCACACATCATTTACTACCGGTAGTTAACTGAGCCACAATAATTGTAATATTTGTTTATTACACCAGGGGTTCTGATAACTTTTTCAATGAGCAGCTTCCCATGGTGTCATAGGAGGCTGTGCCCAAAAAATGGGCTATAAGGCAAAACCCAAACACAAGAGCCTACTTGCTGGCTACACAAATGGCAGTAGCAGGTCTTTAAGGGGGCAGTGGACTGTCAGTAGCTGGCCTTTATTGAAACCTTCATTACACCTGCAAATTGTAATTGACAAGTACACTTCCCTGTTGAGTTATACCCACTGGCAAATGTTATTTGCAGCCAGTGTTGTTATTTTTTGGCAGGTCAATTTGTTTGAAGGCTACCATGCCACTTTAGACAGGCAGTCTTTTCACCAAAACACTTGCCTCGACCATTCAATAACCTCTACCATAGAAAACTTGCTAAGAAAAGCAAGCTGGTTTAAAGATAGCAACAGACAAGTTTGATCATCAATTCTCCTCAATGGAGCATTTGGCTCTGGCTTTCAAGAAAAAAAATGAGATGCTGTAAATTGAATTTACCAACAGAAAAACCCAGTTTACTTATAACAAAAGGAAACTAAAGCCTAGTGGTTTCCTCTACTTTGAAAAATTCTGCCACAATGAACTGAACAATATTTACCTCTGTAGGCATTGTTGCAAATCTTCCTGGTGAAATCTCACCAGTGAGTACTTTCACTTTAAGAAGGGGATTTTTTGCATCCCGAAGATTACTGACACGACTTCTGACACGCTGTTTATATTTCATATTTGTGTCCCTAAACTCTTGAAATATACCTTGAAAAAAGGTTAAGGAACAAAGTCATGGTGCAGATCCCTCAAAAGCTAGTGCAAAAATTAATAAATCTGTCAGTTAATAATTCAAATTCTACAGAAAAATTGTAACAATGAATAATAATCAACTATATGGAGAAATTTATGGCATTAGCTCTGTTAAACATAAACTATGAGCAGTTCCTCCTTCTTGGTGAAATCTGTCACATGAATGTAAAAAGTTAGCCAAGACATGGTGATTTATTTTAACTTAGAATCTGTCTTACTTTCCTAAAACGTAAACTCTGAAATAATGATAGAGCTCTATTTTGACTCAAGCATTGGACTTCACCAAAAAGGTGGGTCTGCTCAAACTTTACATATATCTTGGACATGAGTCATAATTAACCCTTTACCTCCCAAGATCTCTTTAGTAATTCTCCCTACAGTCTGCCATAAAACACTAATGATTTTGATTTGGAGAATTTGGTATTGGATCAACTTGTAGTCCCTTATTTTAGTTCTTTTTCTTTATTCTCCTCACTTGTGTGCTTGATTCTGTGTTGATATTGTAAGGACAAATTCTGTCTTGGTCACTCAGGGGAGTTAAAGGATTAATAAAATAAATAGTCCTTTTTCTCACAAGGATGTTGAGCTCAAGTATTCATCTGAGTTACCATCATGCAAATGCCATTTTATTAGATTTGTGCAAGGCCTTAAATGATAATTTTTCCACAACTATCCAAATAATAGTGGAACTTTCACCAAGATTGTAAGTTTCAATTAAAAATTTTTAATTTTTCTTCACCTTTCCTGGAGAAATAAGAAATACATGAATACTTTATGAAGGATACATTCCTCACAAGCTGCGGCAAAGTCTTCAGGTGTAGTGGCTGTAAAAGAAACACAAATGCAAATATCAGTGATGATACTTTTCTTATGTTGTAAGACAATTTAGTGATGACATGTTGTTTTTTTTGGAAATAAGTACACTAAGCAAATATACAATCACAACAATGACTATTTAAGTGGTCAGTAATCTCTGTAGCAGGCCCTTAGGTGAGCTAACTCAAGTAGGACAGACAAGAACTTGCCAACAAAATACACTTTACAAATTGATAGCAAAATATGTTTTAGTCAATATGGGATCAAGCCATCCTGAGAGCAGAGGACAGCTAATTCCCCAGGATGAGATACTGTACCCTATTATGGGTTCCCTTCCCCACCCCCCCCTCCCCATATCTCATTTCCCAAAATTTCATTACATTTCCTTGACAGTTCACTCCTCTCCATTTATACTCCTGAGTCAGAGGCATCTCGAGATTGTTGAAATTATCCTTCCCCAGTGGGACAACAAAAAAGCAAACTTTTACAAAATTGAATCCAAGAATGAGCAACTCTGCATCAAAGACAACTTTGAATTCACCTCAAAAATGGTGGAGCTGAAGGATCTGGTAAGTGGATGCAAAATGGATCAATTGCAATGTAACATAAAAGAAAAAGGTATAAACTATAAGGAATTCAGAAATAAATTGGTTTTTTACTTACTTGGTTCAATACCTTCTTCCACTTTAAGGGAGCTTGCAATCATTTCTCTACACCTTCCCCGTACAGAGTCACTTGTGACTTTTGGGGGTGGGAATGTAGCAACCTTGTTTTCTTGAGGGGTGGTTGGTGTGGTGGAAGACTTTGCCTTTTCTGCAGGTGAATTGCTTCGACTTGATTTTTCACTGTTTGGAGTTTTTCTATCTGTATTGGACTCTTCATTCTTTCCTCCTGATTTTCTGTTTAGTGAAGTAAAGAGTTGAGCTATTTTTGACTACTTCATATTTTCTATTTACCGGGTTCATCTATTTAAAACAGATAGGTCCTCCAATAACTCTTACTACCATTTATTTGTAGATGTTGTCAACATCATTTTCCTATATGCAATCACATGTACCACTTGGAAAATCCAGATCATTCAACCCTTTACACCCTAACATCAATATGCATATTCTCCACACTGTTCTTGATACATTTCCTAAGGTGCTGATGAGGAGAATTTGTTTCAAAATCTAGAACTTCTCTAGTTGGTGACCATTTCCTTTATTCTCATGACCTTAATGTGTGATTCAGGTGTGATATTGTAGGGAGAAATTAGATGCTAATCACTCAGGGGTTTAAGGGTTAAAAAACACATATTGAAAAAGGACATAGACAAATAAATACAACAACACTAAAATACCTGAGTCTGTGAGTAATGTGATACATGATACATGATACATGATACATGATACACAGATACACTTGTGTAGTGCTCAAGAAACTGAGCCCAGATAAATTTACAGATTGAAATCCTTTCAGTCAATAATCACTTATTTGATGTAAGTTTTAAGCAAACAGTATAGCTGCTCTTAACCCTGTTCCCATGAATGACCAAGAGAGAATTTCTCCTTACAATATCAATACAAAATGAAGCAGGCAAGTGATGAGAATATAGAAAATATCCAATGGAGATTATTAGTTGATCCAATACCAAATTCTCTACATCAACATCATAAGTACTATATGGTAGCCAGTGAGGAGAATTTCTATTGAGATCTTGGGAGTGAGAGGGTTAAAACTGGTTTTGCTTTTTTTTTTTATAAATAAATTCTTTCCAAACCTGGTAAAAGCTTTTTCCAGGATTTAATGAGTGACTTTGCCTGTGTCTGAAGGTCTGCATTTTCACTCTTTTTTCTCAGAGTATTGACAGACATGCCTATTCTAGTTTTTTGAAGCACTTCAAGAGTGATGGGGAGGTCTTTCAGCCTTTTCAAGAGATCCACTGCACTGTCAGAATCCATCTGGAATAATCAAGTGAAAAAAAAATATATTGATAAATCCTTCTGGGAATAGAACTCTTGACTAAAGTGCTCCTTAAACTTGAGATGCAAAAATTCCTAAAAATAAAAATTCCTGAAATAACCACAGTACATGCATTTCTAATTCATTTGAAAGTTGACAAAAGAACTTGTGTGGTTGCTGCTAGGGGTGTTGGCAAAGGAACTGTTGTTCTGAATCTGGCGGCAAAAACAGGATGGTAAATCACCATAGCAAGTTGTGAAAAGCTGATGTTTAGAGCAACTTCCTAGTAAATTAGGAGAGTAATGTCAAAGTATGGTAAACACCATTGCTCATTCCTTTTTACGCCACTTTTTCGACTATATTTGTAACACCTACTCTAACAAAATAAGAAACAGCATTTGAAATTTTTCAATTGGATTTGACAAAGAAAAAAATGACAAGTGAACCAATATAAGAAATTAACATATCACCAACAAAGCAGTAATTCTTTATTTTCTTATAAAAAGAATATGGCTGCTTTTTTCTTTTAAATTCAGGCAACAACTTTCTTTCTTTAAAAATTAATTGAAAGTGCACCAGAAGCAATAATAAAAATTATTGTTGGAAAAATTGCCAGGAAAGGTGTTAAAGTATTATTATCATATTGATATTAAAAGGAAGAGCTGAATACAGTACTGCACATGCAAGGTGTTTTTGGGTATGGAGACACCAGTTGTCATTTCAAACATTAAAATTCCAACATGATAAAGTACCACTCGTAAAAGTCCGACAAATTTTCATTCCCGATTCTATTTCAGTGAAATGAAGTTTCAGAGTGTGTTCTTTCATTTTCTGAAAAGCGCGCAAAATAAACTCAATTTTTAGCTTAGCGCAAGAGTATTTTAAACATTAAGTAACAATTCTCCATAGCTAACTCTTCAGGGAAAAATAATTGTCAAATTACGGAATTTCAAGCCACGAGCTGAATATGCTGATTAGTGTGCTTGCACTTGTAAGATTTTCCAGCCGGAAATTCGATCCTTAACGCGTGTTCGTACAACTTTGAACATGAACAATTCAGCATGCGCTTCCGGTATGATGACCAAATCCACAAATCAAAAATAAAACCATTCGTTTTATGTAGCTCAGCTACCTGGTACACATATTTTCCAATCTTTGCCTTACGAGCAGAGCTGATGATTGGGTTTTTAGTGGTGTTTACTAACGCTTTATTGCAAAAATATACATAGGCCGGCCGGTGGCTGCGAAAATGATCACAAATGTTCTACTTACCGCTCCTTCCTGTCCCACTATCTTCTCCAGCTGCTTTCCAATTTTGAAAACTTCTTCCTCGCAATTCATTGTATTAGAATTTCTCAATGAAGTTACGAAGGGAAAAACGAGGGATCTCAATTCAACATTGCCCAATTACATTCGCGCCACATCATGGCCGATAAAATTACTGATGATACGGTAAGTTCCGACTAAATGTGTCCTCGATGTGTCAACTAGCGTGAACAGCGGTCACATTGATACTCTGTGTCCTGAGCATTGTCAAGTCCTTTATCTAGTTCTTAGATGAGCAACGTTTACCAGGGAAGGGGTAAGGGAAAGGTGGGAGGGGTATGACGAGAGAAACGAAGTCATGGAAAGAGATAACAATTCAGCATGTGACCTCTGGTAAAAGTCATAGCTTTCCCTCGTCTTCCGCATCGGGACCTCAACACAAAGAAAACCCTTTTCCACCTCGTTTATTTGTATCTTTGGCTTATGAGATATTCTCCTTTCGACCGTAAAAATTTATTTCGATACAGAAAATGGCTTCCCCCTGGCATGGAAACAGGCTAGGAATGAATGGTAAAACCAGGTGGCAGGTAAATTCAGTATAGTTACGCATTGCATAGACGGTAAACATTGTCGATGTCAGTAATATTTGTTGAACAACGAAGGCATTCTTGTATGCCCGCAGATCATTGATCTAATATCATTTGGGAGATAAATAATCTATATTTTAAGAGAGAGAGGGGGGGGGGAAGCTGCTGAAGGTGTCTATCCCACGCCTGTCACGTTTTGTGACCTTTTGGTGTGTTCTAGTTAGGGCTTCAGTTAGGGCACGAGGTTGTCAAGGAAACATGGTTAATTAGTAATTTCTGCTTCACTCGCATTGGTTGAATATATTATCACTTGGAGAAAGACTTGTTTGCTCGTTCGAAGGCGAGAGAGACAAAATCAAAAACAAGAAAAGATTTGCCCTGGTGCAATGTGTTTATAACTCTGGCTAACCGCACCTTATAAACGAAAATGGACGAGGAGAAAACGCCTGGAGAGCCAACGGACGAGAGTGAAGAAGCACTCGAACTTGATGAGGTTAAAACTGACGGTAATGTTGACAATCGTAATCTGCCAGGATTACAGGACCTGAAATCGAACGGCCCTGAAAATTCGGCAGAAAACGGCGAAGAAGAAGAGAAAGGCGAAAAGAATAATCGCAACATAGTCAACAAAAATGGTGCCAATGGGATAGATAGTGGACAAACAGACCTTGATGCAACGCACGAGCAACTCGAAGTCCCTAAAGGGCTGCCTAACGACAAAGAAAATAGCAGGGATAGCATCTCTGAAAACGCCAGTTCGACTGAGGGATCTAACGAAGCAACATCTCCAACTAAATCAGTTAGTCCACGAAGAGCAAAAAGAAGAGCGATATTTGTATCTTACGCGCCGGAAGCGAGTTTCTTAGAAAAACGCTTTATTTCCTACACCACTAAAGAACTGAAAAATATCGGATTTTGCGATGATATTTGGTTCGATAAAGACGACAGCCAGCCCATAGAGAGTCCATCTTGCTATCAGCAGAGATTAGAGATTGTCGAAAAGTGCCGTGCAGCTGTTATGTTCTTATCTGAGTCCTACTTTAATTCGTTGATTTGTTGTCACGAAGGACGGATATTACTCAATCGGGACGAGGAGAAAGAGGGAAACGAAGAGGTTGAAAAGCCTGTAAAATTATTCTGCATTAATCTGTCTGACAAGCTTCCACAAGAGTACAAACAACTGGCGGAGCGAGCGCTTAATTTAAGTAAATACTCTGCTTCAAGTGTGGCTGAACTTTCGTCAGTAGTGGTAGGCAAATTCAGCGAAGCCCTGGAGAAGTATGCTCCCTTATTCGGTCTGCGCATTCCAACTCCTCCAAGGGAACCAGACGTTTTGAAATTAGACCGAAAGAAACCGGTATCTTCGTGGAACATCCACGATGTACAGGCCTGGCTGGCTTCGTTTAAAATGCAAGCACATTGTGCGCTAAGCTTCGAAGAGAACGAAATCGACGGCTTCTTGTTGGTCTCCATGAAAGAAACTGACATGGAAAACCATTTAAATATTGACAGTCGAGTCGCTCGAAAGAAACTTTTGCAAGAAGCCAAGAAAATTCAAGAGGAGCAAGATCAACTCAAAGGAAATTGGTATTTGAAGTGTAAAAAGAGCAAAGTCAAAGAAGATTCTGTATATGTTATTTGCGATCCCAGTGATGCTCGGTTTTATCATAATCTTCGAGCGGACTTGGTGCAGAAAAACCTCAAGGTAAATTAGAAATATACAATTAGCGGATTTAAGAGTCACGCTATTGTGTTGCACGTTAAGTTAATTAACATGTCAAAGGATTTGTGATTGTTGAACTGAGGGTTCAAATATCGTTTTACCATCCATTAGCGAGAGACTGATTTATTGTTTTGGTCTGTTAGACAAAAGCTAATTATTTTAACTTTGCATGCCTCTTTGCACGAACGCAGAACAACGGAAGCGAAATTTAACGTTCACTTGCTAACTCACAGAGATGAGACAGTGAGAGATAAATTGTTTTACCTAAAAGTTTTCTCATCAAGTGTCAACTGACTTGTGTAATTAATGACACAAGTCAAATCTTTTTAATTTGATAGCTGCATTCAGACATTTATCGATTCGCATGAGAAGGAGCCTCGTACTTCTCGCGAACGCGTGACCGCGTGACGGTCACACTTGCGCTGTATTAGAGTAGTATTGGGGGCGGGAGGGGTGGAATATAAGGATGAACTTTGCTTTTTCGGAATAGCTTACTTAAAATCGTCGCTACGTTTATTAAATTTTTGCGTCCACGGTGCAGTGCTTATTCAGGTTCAGCGCTTATTTGACAATTAGGCGTCGAATCTACTGATTCGCGCCTGGTATTCTAGCCATGTTATCGTATTAGGCAATGGGCCTAGCATATGGGTAGACAGTGGTTCAAATTATTCATATATCAATAGCTTGAAGATTGCTAATACTTAGAGGGCAGACTATAATGACATTGAATCAAAGTCAGTGCAATGAATGATGGACAAAATGCGTCGAATACTTCTCGAATTTCTTTGCAAATTAATTTGTTTATCCTTGCGATTTTTCAGGTGTTTAAACACGAGCGACTCGGACAATCCAGGGAAGAATTCCTACAGGTCAACTCTCCACACTTGGCCTCCTCTTCTCACGTGATCGTCCTCCTCTCCACGGCAGCTGCTACGTCACTATTTGTCTACAACGAGGTCCTCTTTGCTGATTGGTTAGGAAAACCTCTTGTAGTTGCTATGACAGCCAACTCGTGGGATAAACTTCGACCCAACCTACAAGCCATCCTGGGAAGCTGCCCAGCAGTGAATTTTCAGGATAATCTATACGAAGATAGTGTTGCCATACTGTTGTACCGCTTAAAACCTTTTCGAAACATGCCTGCTGTGATCTTGGAGCAGGAATTCTTGGATAGAATGTTTGAGGGTCTTAAACCCCTGAGAGTGATGGCAGCAGTCCCTGGTGGGTGATAAAAACTTCCTACACCTTCTCGTTCATCCTAAAGTCATAAAAATCCCTCGTTAGTTATAGAAGGAAAATTGACTCGAAGAGGGTAAAACAATGTAGTTTTTTTTAAATGGAAAACGTTGCACAGTTATGTAGTTATTAAGATAGGAGAAATCAAAATGGAAAGTGCTTTCAACTTTTTTTGTTCATTATTTGCCAGTTGAAAAGGTAAATGTGTTCGGATAATTTTTCTGAGTTTGTTATTCGTTGTTTAATGAAAAATAAACTCACCAGCCCCATGGTGCTCCCTTTGCTCAATCTTGTTCATGGAAACAGTAACGGGAGAATCTATAACCTTCAAAATATATTGTCGTGGCTACCTTAGCCACTGACCATCAACTGTTTTCCCTCGTAGAGATGAGCAGTGTCGAGATGGAAGACACATCTCCACGTCCAAACCTTTTCCTCAGTTACCACTGGGATGTACAAAATAAAGTACAAGAACTTGTCCAGTTCTTAGAGAGTCACGGATTCCAGTGCTGGACGGACGTGAGTAATGCAAACAAGCGTCACGCCGCAAGCAAATCACCAACCCACGAGAACTCACAAAGTCAGATTCAGCGAAACATCAAGGCTGCTGTAGCTGTCGTGTGTTGCGTGACACCCAAGTATGTTTGCTCCGAAAACTGCATAAAGGATCTCAGCCTGGCTGAATCAATGAACAAACCGGTCGTTCCCGTGATGCTTCAGTGGTTGGCATGGCCACCCGAGGGTGGTCGTGTGCGTAGGATTTTGGCACCACTTCAATGTATTGATATGAGTAATGACAGTTTGTTTAAGAGGAACCTGAGTACTGTTGAAAGCCATTTGAGCAAATTCGCGGGGAGCCATAATCCACGTGATACACATGTGATAGAGCACGTGCGAATCGCCAGGAACCAGAGATCAACAAAAAGCGTGATTTGACACACGTAAAGTTTGAGCACAGGGCTGGGAAAAGTTGCGCATTAACGTCACCGCAAAGTGCACACGCCGCCTTTAAAGAGAAAAAACAGCGTCACGTTTCAACGAAGTCAATTGGTGAAAAACATCAACACACCCAGTTTTTGAAGCACAGGTCAATAAAATCATTCACTTACACCTTGCTCCAGTGCCTCTAAACACTGACAGAACTGAAGGCAAAAAAAGTTATGGATTGGAAACAAAAGCCTAGCCGTGTATTGTCGTTGACACTGCTGCCATCTCGCGTAAAAAAAAGCCATTTTGAGATAATGTTGGTAGAAAGCTACTAGTCTGAAATCGCTACGACGATTGTTGAAAGTTCCATTGCAATCCAAGGGATTTTGCTGACCAAATCGAAACCGCTAGAAAGAAAAGGGTAGAGAAAAACGGAAAGACTTTGAACGAATTAATGTTAAGTAAATATCAAGTGTTGGAGAAAAGGTTGTTTGTGGACGAAACTGTAAAGTCATTGGAGAATTCAGAAATAAATTTCCTCTCTGAGCCCACGATGAATCCAATACGTGTTTTGTTGTTGAGGGTTTCCCAAAGTTCTTCTTGTTGATTATTCTCTTTTTTGTAAACAATTTCCTCTTTGCTTAACATTTATGTTTATAGAACGTATCTTAAGTCAACGAAATTAGTTCAAAATGCCCCTCTATTTAGTTGATCTTGAAGTGTTATTGTCGGTCGATAACGGTGTTTGGTTCTGAAAAGGATTGTTGTTAGTAAATACTGTCCTTAGGCAATTACGGAAAACCCCTCGAAAAACAAATCTACGTTTAATCGGCCAAAACAACCACAACACGGTAACACGACTAATACTAAAACTTCGTAAAAAGTCCTCAAAAATACGGCTCTCCGAGACTTAAAGCGCACTCGCGATAATTGTACGCGTCACTTTGCTTACGAGCTTACAAATTAAAAATTTCTCTGAGCCCGCGCACACGCACGCTGATCGCGCGCCACGCTAATTCGGTTACTGTCTTCTTGACGAAACTGACTTAGAATTAAATGAAATAATATTTCAATGAACTTTTAACGATTTAAGAAGGCTTGTCATTGTGATCCACAGCAGCCCTTCTCAGGACTACCTCATCGACGATCAGACCACGCGATGGACTGTTACTCCCATTCATTAATTGCGCACGCGCGTAATAACTGCGAATGAATTACAAATTAGAACCTACGACACAAATCAAAGACGAACATCTTCGAAGCTTTACTCGGCAAATAAGCAATCATGGGTTGAGAGGACTTTTCTGTTGGAATGATCGCTGCTTTTGAACGGCTGATCGTGGCACTTCATGCGGCAAAACAGAGCGTGACTTAGCACAATATGTTTACTGCAGCCAGGAGATTTTGTCGGTACCAGGTTGATGCTGGCTGGGCTTGGATCGTCTGTATCGCTTCGTTTTTTGTCCAAGGCGTAATATTCGGGACTATACAGTCTTTTGGAACACTTTTCATTGCACTTTTAACTGATTTTAAATCTGGCGAATCAGCGACAGGTAGGCAGTGTTGCGAAGAGCAATTCTGATTTAAGTACTTGCTTTCCTTGCGCGCAATATCAAACTTTTAAAGTTCACCTCGCATTTGTCGTGTAAACCACAAAATTCTATATATGTTTTCACGAAAACAATCTGAAAAAATATTAACTTTATAGGATGTCTTAACAAGCTTAGTCATTTCATTCTGTTTTGCTGAGAAAAACTAAGTAAGTTAAAGTAGTGTGTGTCTTACACGTGTGCATTCCTAAAGCAAAACATTCTCTAGGAACAAAAACCAATCGTGATTTTTAATAATACAGTTTAACAATCAAGTTTTAATTCCTGTAGCGAGTGCACAAAATTTGCGCGTGTAAAGGTCTACACGATTTATGCACCTTTTAGTTAAGCATCTGGGTGAAGTCTTTACACATCAACTATGGATATCCTGAAATATTTCCTAGGTGACAAGAAATGATGTTAAGTCCAAACCATCTACTTTTATTCCAAAAGATGCCTAAGGTACACCTTGTTTCGCAAAACATAATAACAGAATCTTTTTGGTCCAATTTGTCAACAGCGTGGGTGGGCTCCTTGGGTTATGGATTCCTCTTCGTCATTGGACCCATCACTACGGCCCTCTGTGAACATTTTGGATGCCGCGTCATGGCGTGCGCTGGAAGCGTCTTGACTACCTTTTCTTTACTGGTGACCTCATTTGCATCGAGTATCTCTACCATGTACTTTACATTTGGCGTTTTGTGGGGAACTGGGGGCAGCTTCTTGTTCTTTTCTGGGCTGCTCGTCCTAAGGTTTTACTTTAATAGGAACGTTTCTCTTGCTAATGGGATTACCATGACCGGCGCCGGATTTGGAACGCTTATCTTCAACGTGATGTTGCAGGAACTTGACGAAAAGTACGGCTGGCGCGGGGGAATGCGTGTATTGAGCGTATTTTCCGCCTTGACGTTCTTGTGCGGGTGCGCTTATATCCCACCGCCAGTCGAGTATTTGCCATTCGAAAGACGAAGTCTGTCATTCCGGTTGAAAGGTCTTATTGATCCTCGGCCATGGAGAGACCGAGCTTTTCCCATGTGGTTGGTGTCATTGTCCTTTATTCTGTTCGCCTACTTCTTTCCATACACGTACTTGGTAAGTACAGTTCATCATTTACACAGAACAGTAAATTTTTCAGAAACTGGTAAAGAGATTTATCAGTTACCGCAGCTAATTGTAGCCAATCTGCACTGGTTACCCAAACGATCGTCCGGATGTATTGTTACATCGATATTTTCTTGTTTTTATTGTAGGTCCGGATGGCTTTGTCACATGGTATCCCTGTCTCCCGAGGGTCTCTTTTGCTAGGCTACCTCTCAATATCAGCAATATTTGGTAAACTCCTATGCGGCCGTCTTGCGGATCTCCCGCGCGTCAGACGGTTGTATATTTTTGTCATTTCCGCCACCGTTTTGAGTGTGTCCTCTATGTGTGTCACCGCTGCACGGAGTTATCACGGTTTGCTCGCGTACGCACTGGTTGCTGGATTCTTTGATGGATGTTTTGTAGTGACGGTTCCACTTATCACCCAGGACATTGTTGGAAAGGAACTAATGGCCAAAGCACTTGGCATCCAGTACGGCTTGGTGGCATTTCCTTTAACCCTGGGACCTCCCGTTTTAGGTGAGACTACGTGCTTCAGGCACATCGTATTGCAGTTTATGCGAAATAAAATTCCACGTTATTATTTGGTCGACTCTTTCAAGCAACCGCGCACTAATTGTTTTTTTGGAACGATCAAATTATATCATTTATCTTAAAAATATGTAAAATATGTTATGTGTTTTTCTTCTCGTTATTTCAGCCCGATCCTAGGCCCCACTACTCTTGGAATTTTTCCATCCACATCATTAAAAATTAATTGTGCCAATCCATGGGAAAACTTTCCAATTGCCACATGTGTGTGCTTGTTCTTTTACCCACATGAGGAGATCTCCATAACTGATATGCGTCCTGGAAAAGAAAACTCTGAGTAAGATTCTGTTGTTAGGAACCATGGTGAAAAACACTTTCTCTAAACATCCATTGTTTACTCGCATTTTAAATTTACAGGAGAACTTTACAAGTCCACGGATTCCTTTACAACTGCATTCTTTGTTTCATCTTGTTCTGTTCTCGTTGGTGTAAGCCTGATCTATTTTGTTCAGAAACTTCGTCCAGATTTGACACACAAGGAGGAACACGGAAGAAGAGAAGTGTACGATCCATCGCTTAGCATTCATTCTGCGAGTGTGGTGGACACTCTGAGTGGGATGTTTGTTACCGAGCCTGGTGTGTCACTCTCTAACCTTGATCCTGCAGAAATACATTCGTACCAAAGATTCGATGGTTTCCGCCGAGAAGATTCAAGAGCGACTTTTTTAGAGCCTTTTCAAGGACAGATGGCAAGTAAGACAGAGATGGAAAATGTGTATCGAAGAGCTGTCGACAATTTATCGAGCACAGGTGGAGTGACGGCCCACCAACGAAACAGATCAGACATAAGTTGTATCTCAAAAGCAACCTTGTCTTCTCAATCACGAACAGGCAATGTGGTATCTGGTTCAATGCTATCATTTTCAGAAATGCCAAGGAATCTTGGTTCAACTTCGGGTTCACAAATTCCTGTGGGAGAAACAAATGATTTAGCAGAGCCAAGTGAGGCCATTACTATTCTAGTAAATGCAAATGTCGTAAAGCCAAATCCTGAGGAAGCTGGAATCCAAAGACCAGATGACGACTTGATGATGCGAGAGGGCGATGACCTGGAAAACCTGTCGGTGGCTTCTGATAAGCATGACGCTACAGTTGACCCAACTATTAACATGCAGATTGGTTTGGAAGCTGGAGACCTTGAGAGGCCTCTCAGTGATGTCACCAATGTTTCTCTGAGTATTCAACCCATGCAAGTGGAGCTCGAAAATGTGGGGGGAATTCAATCAGATGCATCGATTTCTAATGATGTGAGCGCAGAGATTGATGTGGAATTAGTTAAGCTTCCTCCCCCTCCAGAAAGCAATCGCAAAAGGAGAATTGGCCTCGTGGATTCTCTAACAGACGAGCATCATGATACTGACAACATTTCGAGCGTGGTTGATGATGATATTGAGACTGTGTTCGTACCAAATATCGAAGGAACAGTTGGTGACGGAGTAGCATTAGAGTATGTGAAAGTGTGTACAAGGACTCCCTTAGAAGGCAACAGTTCAACTGAGTCGGAGGGTGGTAGAGAGGTGTTCCAACTTGTTCGTATCCCGCCACCCCCTACAATTCCACGCACAGGACAGCTACTGGTTCTTGAAACTGAGGCAAACGAGGTCAGAAGAAATGCTGCAATTTCTGACATAAAATCAGATACCGATGACCCTGTACTCTTTGTAGAAGAAGTAATCAAAGATGTTTCTCCCAAAGACTCACCCCCTGCTCAAAGAAAAGAAAAATTACATCTTGCCATTATTGATCAGCTTAACGAGTTAAGTGAGCGCCTTGAAGCTGTTGCCGCTCGCCAAACTCAGCAAGAAGAAAATGGGGATGATGATCAACCCGACCAAAGGCCTGTTTTCTCTCCAGCTCTTCAGAGTTTGCCGTTAACACCTCTCTATTCTGCAAGTCACAGCGTACCACTTACACCGGTTCGTGCGTGGTCAAGCTCTCGCAACACTCCTGCGCCAACTCCGCATCCAACACCTCCAAGTGCCTTTCTGACAACAGCACCGACACCAATCCACACACCACGTACGCCAGCCCAGAGCTTTTCAGAAATCTGTGCACCAAATGATGTATCTGTAGCGAATCCATCGAGCTCAAAAATCTGCGAGACGAGGCAAGCTAGGGAACACGATTTAGATAGCTGGAAAGACATCAATGAAATTTTTAGCCCTACACCTTCTCGAGAATATTCTAGCAGAAATCGCAGCAGATCTTCTTCTTTCTCTGAAGTAGGACAAGAAATTGTCCTTAACGAATTGAGTCTTATGAATATGCGTGAGTCCACGGAAGCTTTCTCCTCCAAACTTTCAAGCGGGACCAACTCTTCTATTTCGAATAGCGCTAGATCATTAAGTGACTTACACAATGTTAGTGAACCTATTGATGTGGTTGTTGGTGTTGTAACAAATGAAGGTCAGCTAGGTCACACAAACTCTCCTGTGGATATAATAGTTGACCACCCAGAACCATCACCTATTTGTGAACCGAAAATTCCGTATTTACATTTCCAAGGAACGGATGCCTCCAGGCAAAGTCAATGTCATCATCATTTCCATATAACGAGGCTTCAAACCACCCAAGCAGACGACCCTTGTCGAATGTCAGCTACGAATTACCCTCCATCTTCGGAAGAAGTTGTGCCAAAAGAAGAGAATCTCTACCAGGATGTGGTTACACAGGAAGCTGACCAGCACTTTGACAAGATGGATCCAAACTTAAACCAACAAAATCCAGGGAGCACAACAGAGATACAACCAGGAAAAGAGCATAATTACTGTCAGCCTGAATCAGTAAAAATTCAACAACCAGAGGCATTTTCCGATCCCGCAAACCCAGCCGAATTGCAAGAACTATCAGAATCTGTAACAGAATCCGGTGAAGTGCAAATATCTGGCGTTCTTACTGATCAAAGTTCAGTGGAAAAACTTACAAACTCATTCTTGACTGCAGAAAACTTATTCTTGGAAACAGATAAAATAGCGTACACGAAGATTTCCGAACACAACCCATTTCAGCCATCTCCTGAAGGTATTCCAGTAGAGTCGCAAAATCTACTTCAGCTTCATGATGAATCTCTAGCACAAAAAGAACTGGTCCTTCCTTCCTGGCAGCAGACAGAAACGCTCATTGACCGAGAGCAGTTTAAAGCCGAAGAACCGGACACGATTTCATCGGAAAGAAGGAATTTATCACACATCTCGCCCACATCAGATAATTCTCCCCGACAGGTTGAGCAGCCCTATTGTAAAGAAACTTTGGTCGCTCCTGACGAAGGCCCTCATCAACAGAACATTGTGACATCTCATCCGAAGGAGGAGGCCACAGAAACTGATCTCGCAGGACATACTTCGCTCACCTCAGAAAATATAACGGATACATACCAACATTTGACTGTTCAGAGCAAGTGGACGAAATTCAATTCAAGCCAAGAGTGCTTAATTTTTGAGATGGACACTGAAAGTGAATCGTCCTCCGAAGGCAGTTCGAAGTTTGAAAATACCTCGACCAAGATTTCCCCAGATGCGAAGAATAAAACTCAGGATTCCAAAACTAATGATCAAGAGAATCTATTTCCTCCTCTTCAAATTTTTTCCGACGCAGTCGACATTATCACTGCAGCCAAAGACCAAGGTTTTCCTCTAAAACTTCCTCCACCACCCAAGCAAGTCCATAGAAAGCGAACAGACACCACCATCTTGACCAATAAGGAGAATACTTGCCCACTTGGAGTTGATGTCAGAGAATATGTGGGGAAGGACACATTTACAGCAGATGTTAAGAATATTGACCAGCGAGACGGTGTACAGCCTGAAGTAATGATAGATAATAGACATGAAAGAGACATCGAGGAGTGCTTTAATAATGAACGTCAGGGTGTGGGAGCCAACCCAGTCCTAAGTGGGGCGGATTTGTCAGCGACTGGGAATTCTGTCAGCGAGATTGAATCCGATTTGTTAACTGAATCTAAGCTTGAAGACTTAACGAGTAAACAGAGTGGCAATTCAATATCTGGTATAATCTGTCGAGAATTTGAGCTGATTCAGGATGAGGACGGAGAATGTAAATGCGAAGATGACTACGATTCTAATGCAGATGAAGACCTGGCTAAAGCTTCGGTCCATGATGACATCGCGCCTCTTTTGGTGAAAAACGATGGACAGATCCAATATGTGAATCTACGCGATCTTCCTCAAGATTCCCAAGTTCTTCAGAAACGCCCTTCCACTGATTCATCAACAGATGATTCCAGCACTTCAACAGATTCGAGCTCGAATCTGTCGGAGAATGAACTGCCTTACAACAAATTGCACGAAGATAGCTACACATCGGACCAAGGATAGAGATAAATAGTCGCCGTACGTACTCATTGCAGAGCTGTAACAGTTAGCGTAAACAGTGAAAATCAGATGTTAAAATCAGCTTGAAAGAGAAGACAAATAGTTTATATAAGAAAAGCTAAGAAGTAAAGGGGATGGTCTGAGGCAAGCAATAAAAGAGTGACACAATTTGCCAATTTAAAGTACGCATCCTTCCCACGGCTAAAAATGAGAGCAGTGCGTACGAAAATATTTGTCATATATCTCCTGCCTCATAGACATTTTTCAGAGGACTGTTTATTAGTTAACAGAAAAAAAAATTGACATATAAGTCAGCTGATGAGCATACTTGAAAGAGATAATACCATGCGAAGGTTCATATGCCTATTTAATTTAATTCCGAACTAGCTATTCAAGGAGATGTATTTGATACACACCTTAGGCGCAAGGTAAACTTTGCAGGCGACTATCATCGATTTAACCTCAACACATCGCGTAGAGTTATTTTATTGTGTTTAGTTCCGGATTCAACCACCTCCCATATTTAGATTAAAAACGCTTTTACTTCTCTACATAAAATGAGATGCACGCCCCTTAATTTATGGCAAAGTTCATTAATATTTTGACAATTATCCTTAAAGAAAAAACCCATATGATATCCCTCAAAACAGCAAGGTTAAGTATAACTTAAATCATATTCAGTAAATCGATTAATTAATAAATTAAGAATTGGAACTTTTTGGAGACAATGACATCATTGTTATTTTGCTAAGATTCCACCAACCATCCCTAAGATGTCCTTTTTGAACGAATTCAAATCGATAAAACCAACAAAATAATGAATAAAAAACTTACAATTCACAGAGGAACGATCTCGATACATATAAAATTAATAAATATTAAAATAAAAATTCGTAAAAATTCGTAAAAATTCGCAATTAATACAAAGTATTGAAACTTTAAGTCACCAAAACATTGCAATGTGTTGACTTACCAGTGCCTAAAAATGGCTGACAAGTTAGATATTCTTTGCAATTCTTGAATGGAAAACGTTTCTTAGAAACCAATAAATATTCGATGTTATTTTGATAACAAATAATTCCTTCTGAGTCAGAAGTTGCCCCAGTACAACACTGTGTATCACTAGGATCATTAAAACGTTTTTATGTACCCTCTAGTCATTAAATTAATTTTGAAATTGTTGGATAACGGTAAACGCTAGTCCATAATGACGAACCACCCTTTTTCCCAATATGGTAATCTTTTATGAGTCTCTCTCAGACAGTACGTCCTAACACTCTGTCGAGTCCGATCTTTGTTCTTCATCGAGATAAGACTGCCTGTGGGAGAGGAGAGCGGGCTCGTTTCCGACTTAGCGGTTGTTAACAATCGCTCTGACGAAGGGCCAACGCTCGAAACGTCAGCTTTTAAATTACGTAATTTGATCGGAAAGCAGTCCTAATGAATAACATAATTCGCTTCATCGATCAACTGTTATGGCCAGCCATTTTAACCAATAATAAGTACCTTTAACATAATGATAAAAAAGTCCTAATCAAATAGTTTGAAAGGTAATTTTATAAAATCGTTTCTCGACAAAGATCTAACTTGCACCCAAATTCTGACTGGGAAAAATTGGGTATTATTTTCATCTCTGCGTCAGCTTTGGAAGCGTTTTCATCGCTTGAATCATCTTCAAATGGAGTTCTTGGATTAGTTTCTACTCGTTCCAACAAGGATTCAAACATAACACTATATAAATCCATAGCACCTCCAACCCAGCCCTCTTGTTGAAGTTTCTCTTGTTGAACAAAAACCTCCATATTGTCAAAACTCATAGCCGGTGTTACCAAGGTTATAGACCCATGTTCGTTTTCCAGTGACATATCTACGACTTCACTGTACTGAGAGCAAGAGCTTTGTCTATTGAAGTCACTCTCATAACCCGATGAACCATTCAGAGAGTCAGTGCAATGTAATTGGGCAGCGGCAGACCATGCGCGGAACATTGCTGACTTAATCAAAGGTGGCGTATCAATCTCTCTTAACGTTCCCATAGAAACACTATGCTGTAGCACGTGATCGCAGCGAGTTTGTGCGAAGAAAGCAGCCTCTATTGGAAAGCTGTAAATTACTCTGGGCTTCTGCTTGTAGTTAGTTGACTGTTTCTTGGCATCGTCGCTTAAAAGAACCACTCTTTCTTCGCATACTTCTATTTTTTCCGGCATCAAACGAGGCACAAGGAACAACAGACAAACCCCAAACGTCATGAAGGCTCCAGAAAGGAAGAACGCAATGTCATATTTTCCGAAGACATCAAAGATAAAACCTGTGATGAGTGAAAATGTGATGAAGGCGATATTTCAAAAGAAAGTGTGGGAGACTCTTTGTTAACTAGTTTTGCGTCTTTGAGAAAGGTGGGTAACCTTTTATGGACCAGCATATTCCCCCAAAGGGAAGTAGAAAGGCCCTAGTCGCTCTTAATGTGCTAAAAGATCTCACTGAGGGGCCTTCTGCACAAGCGGACCAAACTAGAAGTGTCCCGACCAATTCAAAGGACAAATTTTGTCATGAAGAATTTTTGTTTCGTCTATTGCATCCGCATTTAAAATTTTAAATCGTCAAATTCCGTCAGCGCCTGATCTGTTCATAAGAGCGGCCAGCATAGTTGCTAAAGGATTCCACCTCCAATTTACAGGACTTATCCTAGGTCGTTTTAAAATTTTAGAATCCCCGAATTTGCAACTAAACACCATTTGTGCCTTTCTGGTAAACTGACTTTAGTTCAATTGCATGCTTGTCGTAGCTTTTACGACAAATGATTGAAAAGTTTATCACGATTTTGTTTATTTTGTCGATTTTGTCCAGTTTTTACCCGGGACAAATTTTGTCGGCGGTGCGTAATTTGAAGATTTGTCCGCTCAGTCCAAAATTTGTCAAATCTTTTGCATTTGTAAAATGTCGGTGATGACACTTTTTAGTCAGTGTGGAAAGGCCCCCAGGTATAATGCACTGTTTAAAATTGAATTACAAGTTCTCCTCAAAGTTCATAATCTCTCATTAGAGAGATCCACATTGCTAGTTATGACGTCATCTTCTATGCAACTTATTTTGGGTTTGGATACGAACTCCTAATTATAGACGTGACATTCTGATATCACTTCAGTGATACTAACCTGCCACAGGAGGGCCAAGTACATTTCCAATAGCGGCCGCGAAACAAAGATTTCCAAATGCGCGCCCGGCGAGTCTTTCTCCAACAATATGCAATGTACCCATCCCAAACATAACAGCTAAACTTCCATCAAAACAACCGAAGACAACGACATATACAACTAAAGAAGAGTAAGTCTTTGCTAAAGGAAAGAGTGTGGCGTTAACAGCTAACATAAGGCCCATTATTTGAACCGATACAATTTTGTCCATTCGAGGATTATTAACAAGCCTTCCAAACGCGATGCGAGCAGCTGTATTCGTTATGGCCTGGTAACCAATGAGTAATGCGCTTTTGGAGCTCGGTATTCCAATCTCGTTTGCAATGCTGATCTGTTGGACCAATAAAATTAAAACATGTTTTGTTTTAGAGTTAATATGCAGTAATTTGCTTCTAAACTCTCCTTTCACTGTTGTATTTACCAAGCGAAAACTAATATGGGGTAAGCGTTGTGCAGAGCCTAAGAAAATCTTTGTTGGAACTAGGGGTAAGGTTTTCCAAGGCCTTTCGCCAGCGCAAGGGGCCGCTGGAACAACACTGTAAGAGTTTTCACAGTTGTACTTACCAAAAAGACAAATGGTATAAAGTTTCCGAACGCGATGAAGCTTAGGGAAACGGCCCATACCGCAAAGGCCTTATTTTTCCAAGGATTTAATTTAAAAAATTCCAAAATACGTAATTTAAGCTTTAGGATAGTCCCACTTATTGAATGCCTAAATGCGTTGCTCTTCTCCATTTCAACACAATGTTCTTGCACAGTTGCAAAGCCACCGTAAGTCACACTTGAAACGCTCATCAAAAGTGACATTCCGGCGAGAATTCTCATGGTTATCCTCCAGTTATAATATCCAATAAGTTGATTGATGGCCCATGTTGTCGGCGGAACACCGAAGCCAGCCCCAGCGATAGCGATTCCATAAGCCAGTGATAAATAATTTCTAAAATGCAACGGTAAACTGACCAAAGAGGCGAAGTAACAAAGACTCGTCCCAGCTCCCCATAGAAAGCCATAAGTGAAGTACAATAAAGGGAAACTGGTTACGAATGACGTAGAAAGAAGACCAGTGAATGAGAGAAGGCCTCCAACACACGTGACCACTTGGCATCCGAAGTGCTCGCACAGCACTGTAGTCAGAGGTCCCAGGAAAAACATGAGTCCAAATGCCAATGAGCCTACCCATGCTGTAAGAAAATAGATACATATATTAGAGGAGGCTGGTTTTCACCAGATAGTCTCTTGAAGAGATCTGGGTCAAAGTGAGCGCCATAGGCACAGGGGGAACAAAACATGTCCCTTTTTTCTGTGCTTATGCAGACGCTTTTGTCGTGGGTATTTTGATTCGCTCAACCCTCACAACCTAACATCAGTATGCATATTCTCCATACTGTTCTCTATACATTCCCTAAGATGCCGACATGGAGAATTTGCCTAACAATAGCTTCTTTAGTCCGTGATCAGCTCCTTTATTCTCCTGACCTTAATGTGTGCTTAAGGGGTGATATTGTAAGGAGAAATTAGATGCTAGTCATTCTTAGGGTCTAAAGGGTTAACGGGTAAACATACTGTCTGAATATAAACTTTTACCAGCCTCGCCTGGGTATCAACAATTTCATACAGCCCGCAGAGCGGGTGTCAAAAGCGTCCTTGTAATTTCCTTTATACAAAACCATAATCGACCTTTCTTTCTCTTTGCTGTTTGCACTGAACCTAAAATTCAACTTAAGACTGGCGAACATGAAGGAGGAGTGAAACTTTACCGCACAAACCTTAGAGGGAAATCTTTTTTTTTCGGTCTTCTGTTGTATAACGCCAAAAACACCGGAAATGACGGACGAGGTCCGCCCGAAGACAAAGAAGACATTAGATTGGCATTTTCGATATTACGATGAGAGAAATTTGCACTAAGCATTCTGTGAAACTAGCTTAACCAGTTCTTTGATGACATTGAGTCGATAATATCAATGACGTAGTAAAGCAAATAGTTCGTGCTCTTGTTGAGCCTTGGTAGCTGATAAGACAAGCAAGCTAGTCACGAGATGTATGCCTGTTTGTTTTCTTGTTTTTCCTGAATAAACAAGTTATATGAACAAAGGGTCAGTTTTTTCTTACAGTCCGAGGTAACCCTATATTATTGCCATTGGAAACTTAAGTCAATCGTTTAAAACCGACTAAACGAGATGAAATTTAGTCCTAGACTAGAAACATTTGAATATTTTCAGTGTAGCTGAAAGGAGATGATTTGATATTTGTTGATAGTTGGTCCTTATGGATTTCACATTGCGTGACTATAATGGAAGGTTAAAAAAAATACGTTGGTGAATGGGACAAATATAGCAAAACCACAAGATCGCTGATGTGACCTTTTGCTTTCCGTGAGAAAAGTCAACAAAAAAAAAAAGGAAAAAAAAAAAGGGAACTGCTTTGACACTGGTCCAGTTAAAACCGCCTCATGTCCATACTGATTTTAATTTTAAATGATCTGTTGCCAAGAGGCCAGAATCACATGAAGTTGCGTGCATCATTAGTGCGGTGGCTCATAAGTACCATTCTAGTAAAAAGAAAAAAGGTGGATATTGGAGTCAAAATTATAACTATAGATCCACAGTTATAACTTTTGATTCAGTGCTACCACAATGGATCCAAAGTTCATAATGATATATGACTCTGTAACCATAGCTATAACTTTGGATCCGCAGATGGAGCTCTTACACAGATATCCATTTTTCTTTCATTCAGAGAAACACTCACAAGCCACCTAACAAAAAATAATAAAAAAAAAGATCTTCTCTGGGCGACTCTTGTAGACACAAAATGCGTGTCTTTACAACTAACATTTCACGCTCCTGGCCTGTCACATTCTTCAAGGTCTCTCTAAGGTGACGTAGGATCTCGTGACGAGATAAGTGTTCGTGATCTCGCCTTCTCTGATATTACTGAATTATCGAAAGCCGATCGACAAGCAAGGAATTTTAATTTTCTGATCAATGTCAAATACTCCATGTGTTGACATTGTGAACAGGGGAGGCCTTACTGAAACTTGAACACGAGATTTTCTTCCGTTACTCTCCACTAGTGAGTGCAATAAAAAAAGACCGTCCTTAATGTTTTACAAAGATTTAGCGTCAAATAGTGGTCAAATATCCAATGGTTCTTAAATACAAATTGAATCTCCATGTCCCCAGCCCCCACCGTTTAAATACTTACTCATGTCTTGTCCCCTCCCCTGCGAAATTGTTGTAGCCCCTCCGAAATGGGGAATTTAGACTTTGACGTAAATTTTTTAATCATGTCGAAGCAGGAAGGCAAATAACACTGATTTAATAATGTTAGTCATTCCCTGTTCTCTCAAAAGAGATCAACGTTACTTTCCGGAAATTATATAAAATTACCAGTTTCCGGAAAACGTGTTCGCGTAGCAAACTGGATCTCACACGAAGCAGAACGTCCGTACAGTGAAAAACAACTGCGCAAAAACTGGTTTATCTGGCCCGCTGTAACCAAAGCTCATTAACTTCTGGTGTTCTGAGTAACAGTAATGAAATATTCATCGTTGAAGTAAACTTGACAAATTATTTACTGTTTTAGATGTATTCCAAAAAAAGCTACAGCCAATCACAGCAGATGTTTTGGTTTCGTATTTTGTCCTTAGCGATAACCTCTCGGTAAGAGAAGATACATGTGTTGCAATGTCATTTCATCTGGCTTACAGATACATGCCGACACTATAAATTAGATGCATAACAGGTATCAGTGATTTCTAAATTTATTACCTATACTGATAAAAAAAATTCAGAATATAGCGGATCGAAATATTTCGTACCTGTAGCGGATTCACTCCGGTGAAATTCCCTGTCGAAGGCGATGAAAAAAATCCCCACGGAACTGTGTATCCCAAAGATAGTGAACTGCACTATGAACGAAGATGCGCAGACGAACCAGGAACGTTTAGAATCGTAGTTGAGATCCTTGGAATAATTCGTCATCTTATGTAAAGAAACATGGATGAGAAGGCTCCAAGATCCCTGCGAACTCTGTGTACGGGAAAAAATTTGCTGCGTGTAATGAGGTTCAGGTCGTTTGATTTTCAAAATCTCTTGTTACCATTGGATTATAACCGGTTTATTGAGAAGCTGGTGATAGGTTGGATTTCTATTGATGAGCAATTAGCGCAACCACAACAGGTACTACCTGCAAGTGAACTATGAACTATGTTCCCCCAGAGCATGTGAAAAGTAATATTGCTGATTTATATGAAAATATTCTGGCGCATACTTTAATAAATAGATGCTAATTGATGGACGGTTAGCTCTGTACCCTACTACTTCCCAGACTGTCTGACAATCAAAACCTCAGCGTGTGGCTAGTGGTTTTCGCGCAACTCACGTAATTTCAACATAGTGAAATTAATGGCATGTCAAATCAGAGAAACGTTTCTGCTTTTAAAAACAGCAAGATAATTTGAGATACTTAAAACTCGAGGCATTCGGGTTAAAATTAGATTAGTGGATACGCCGGATACGAGTCTACCCCCGGAGATGCGGACTAACAGCTAGATGTCAGGAAGTTTGAGATATCCGGAACTCCCCTGCGGTTTGATGAGATGGTTGTGGCACACCCTTCTCACTACTATGGGGATCGCATTTTCTCCCCTTAGTGCACTAGAGGCGAAAGGGAAGGAGAAAGGAAGGCACCTCTGCTTGGCCACCCAACTGAGGATGTCCCCCCGCCCCAGAAGTGCTCAGGATTGCCCTTTTTGTTCCCTTAAAAAGTACGAAACAACAAAAACAACTTGACCAGCCATTTAGTATTTACCTTGACCTCAACTAGGTTAATAACCCATATCTAGTGTCTATATCTGTACCAAAAGAAGTGCCGGAATGATCAGCTTGTTTTTGCTACCTCCTTTCTAATCATAAAGCCAAGAGCTGTTTACGAGGCTGTTAACGAACGGAGATGCCAGATATAGAGTAAGGAAAGCCTTTGTGTAAACTGATAAACACGGACGGTGGGTGCGAACTTTGAAAAACGTGACCTGTCAGGTTGAGTCTATTAGAGATGTGTACTTTCTCGTAGCTTAAAACCACGTGAGGTTGGGGAGGGGTCGGTAATATGAGAAAGAGGCTGTCAGCGGTTTGCTTTTAGTCTAAATAAAATCCCAAGCTAGCGTCAACTTGCTCCAGTTTTGTACTTTACAATTTTTTTTTTGCGTAGCTCTGTGCGAGAGTTAACAACTCTTTAAAGAAGAAAATTCAATTTTTAGTTTCTAGCTAAATTTTGTTGCAAGAGCGTACGAAAGTCAACTGAATGGACCATGTCTGTTCTACAAAATGCATTTTTGGAAAAGAGAAAGGTCACAATGTAATATATGGATAAGGCGAAAAAAAACAAATGAGAAAAAGGATAGTTGAAAATAAAAAAGATTGACCCGGATTGCAAACAGCACATTAGGACTGGAAAATTTACGCTAATTTCCCGAAATTGTGAAAACTGTGACGAAAGCGCAAATTAAAGCGTCGATGCCGAGTGAACATAAACCCTGTGGTGAAAGGTGCTTTCAGTAAAAACTTACCGCAAGATATGTGATCTCCCGTCAACAAGAACAAAACTGAGGCAGTTATCGGACTCACCGCTGAAACCAACCGATCAATCTATGTTGTTTAATATTTGCGAACAATGCTTTCTTTTATAGATACCCAAACTAGGTTCTGATACACGAAAAAACACTGAAGGACATGAGAGTTCGTGCCTCATATCCGTTCTTTCACGCCCTCTTAAAATATTCTGAGAGATTTAGGGAAGGGTCAGGATTTATCGCCTGTGGAAGGGGGGGAGGGGCCAGGTCTCTGTAATATTCTTACGGATGCCCCTCATCGGTATTTAGTTGGCAGTAAATTGTCTATAGTCTCCACTTTTATACTCTGTTGGTGACAGCTGACCCCCATGAAACCATGCGTTCCCCCCAAAAATCCTCCTACCACCCCCCGACGATAAATTATGAGAAGAGCTTCCCCCCTTCCACAAGACTGTTCAGTTGAACGAATCACATGAACGGAATGAGTCCAGAGAGCGTGATGTGACGGTCTGGAGTTCATCATCTTATCTTCACGAATTGGTCTCTCTTAACGCGTGACGCGATTAATTAGAGCAGCTTCCAAATTGTTAATTAAGGCTTTTGCTTCCTTTCTCGCCTTAAACTCAGAGAGGTTCGAGTAGATCCTTCTCCTTGAGCCTCAGCCTGTAACCTACCGGTAACCTGAAAAAAAGGTGACCCTTTTGTCGCGTTTTCCGGGCGCGAGCGAAAGCAAGCGACGTGATAAGCGCTCCTTCTCTGGCGCGTGACTTTCCCATTGTATTTTCCTTGAACGTAGCTTTGCTTCTCTAAAAACACAAAATATCCTCAGCTGTTCTTCGGACTAAATCGGTTACCAGACAGGTCTCAGTATAACTGGTAATCACAGGAGATTATAGAAAAGTGTTCTGTTGGTGTTTATGCTTCTTGTGGAGGCTCGTTCTCCAAACACTAAGTAACGCACCACTACACAAGCTGTCAAGCGACACACAGTCGAGAAAGGCCTGAAAACGAATTATCCCAGTAACTCTAAATCGTGTAAATTTGTTCAAAAACGGGGCAAGGCGAGATAAGGCTAAGTACTCACGTGAATTTCGCTAATATTCTGTCGAACCCTACGAGAATTTCAGGCAGTATCTCTCGAGAATCCCCGCAAGATTCTGGTGGGATCCTCGCAAAAACCCGGGCGGGATGACGGGCGGATATAAGTTAAGATGCCCGGGGGATCCTAGTGGCAATCACTGCAAGATCCTCGAGAAATCTTAATAAGAGCGCTGCTGGGAATCTTGGTGGGAATCACGGCTAGATCCCGGAAGGATCCCGCGCAGTGCTTCAAAAAAATCATTGGCCGTATCAATTTTCCCAGACTCACGCTGCATCCAAATTTGAAATGCGTCAAATTTTAGGTTGTCCCTTGTAAAACTTTGCTTCTCGCATTTATTTTGAAGCAATGCACTGGTCACTAATCATGGTACGTCAGTTGTTTTCGAGGACTCAAAGTTCGCCTTGGACCCATAATTTATATTAAACGTGTGTCACGTCCTAAAAGCTCCGGCAGACTAAGCACACGGCCACATCATAACCTGAGATTGTGGCCCCTAATATCTCAGCACCTTTCTCACTGGAAACACAAACGAAAAAAAAAAAGCAAGTTATCATAGTTCGATAACGGCAAGGATTTCAATGACAGCGGTATACCTGCCTAAATCTTGATGCAAACTAACGCAGTCACAAAACGTATTGCGCTGTTTTTCTTGCTCCGCTACGCTTGCTGTTGACTGCTTAGTATCAGAAAGTTGTGATACACAGACGCTCCATTAGTCCTTTCTGCACCGAAAAAAAAAACACTCGCATCTCTTCTTCGATTTGATCTTATGCAAATTTTTGGCAAGAATTACAATTAGGAACTTATAAACGAAAAAAAAACCACAACTTTACCGAGTCTGTGCCGGGTGATTGGTCTCCCTGTGGGTTAGCTTTATCGCTCCACACGGAACGTCAACTTTTTTTCGATGTCACTCTTTTAGGTCAGGAGATGATCCAAAATTGATTTTTGTTACCGTATTTTTATCGTAGAAGTGTCCGATGTTTTACATAAATGAACTCAATTATTTGGTTTATCTGGTATCGTAGAGAGGATAATGAAATACTTAGTAGCAGGGGGCTCCCTCAGAATGTAACTCGCCAAATGTTTGCCTCTATGGAGTTATTAATACTTTGCATGTTGGCGAAGAAATTCCTCCTTAAATGTCTTGATATCAATGTATTTATCGTTTTATAGACGCAACTCACCGAATTGAAAATGATTCAGCTTCCAGTACACCTTCAGAGCTTTAACGAGCTGGCTGGCCTGCGTAATCGTGACGCAGTTTGATGATAAGTTATAATTTCCAGTAAGGCGACATCTGTGAAGAAGGATCAACTTAAAACTCGAGTTTCTATCACATTTTTTTTTGCCCTCAGCAGAATTTTCATGAGCTATTGTTTCTAAAAACACACACAATGCAAAATTTCGTGAATATATTAATTCCGTATTCTATTTGTTTACATATGAGCAAACAAAAGACAAAAGGTACCTTTTTAATTTACTTTCACACGGTGGATTGTCACACAAGCTAGCGTTCAGAATCAAAATGTAAACCCTTTTTCTGATGCTTACCGTCCATTAATGTCCAAATCCCATCTCCATGATATACTTGTGAATCACCCGTATCAATATTAGTTGTTACATTTTCCTGCGCGAAAAACTGCGTAGAAACTTTATGCGGGCTGCGCGCATAAGTTCTTGTGTCCTTGCGTGAAGTTCGCAAAAAATGGTAGCGAAGATTGTTTCCGCCGAAAAACAGATTGGTTTCTCAAACTCAAAGGACAAAGATCCAGCATGACGGCATTTCAACTATACGATGAACGACTTGGAAAACAAAATTATGGTATTAATCGTTATGGCGGCCACTTACCAGGATTTTCAGCTAGTTTTGTCACGCATGAAATATCACGTCTTACTACTTAAAAAAAAATCTAGAAATTTTTTTTTCGCTTACCGCAATAGTTGGGGTGATTAATGCACTGCACAGTTCGGGCTCCCTAAAATCTCAAAGGAGGAGACTGATTTTAAAATATGTCCAGTATCTTTACATGCTGTAACCACAGGCGCAGGTGATTCCATGCAACTTCAAAATATTGTACATTTCTGCGCGATGGCCACTTTCCTTAAATTTAATTTTCTCTCTAACATACTGGGAGAAGAGCTCTTATGATTTTTCCGGCATATCTTGATTTTGATTAACTTTTGGACACTAGGTGGGTGATCAATTTTAATGAAGGAGAAAAAAAAAATGAAAATGAAGTTGAAAAGTAGATAATAACTCTTAAGCTTGTTGTTGCTATTTTTTGCAATTTGTACATCTTGCCACCGTTTTAAAAGATAAGTGAAAGACTGAGTATCACGGAACTGCAGTGCGGTTTACTCATGCGCACCAGCTACTCGGATAATTTGATTTTGATTATTAGAACTAAAGAAATTGATTCAAGCTTCTTTAATATTCAAAATTCTTCACCCTTTCCTTTCGTAATTTTAATGGTCCATATGGCGAGCTCAAAACATCAATTAAAAGCATCAGATTCCGAAATTCCAAGAGAGGGCGGATGAAAATAATTTTTTTTTACAAACAAGTTGTAAATTCATTGTCTCTGAAACAGAAAATTAAACTGGCTATGAAATTATGAAGTATCATAGATTGAAAGCCACTTTGACATATGGCTCGGTAAATAAACCACAGATTAAAATATGTTAAGGCACGTGAAGCCTTATTGTGATATGATGTTCCGAATATTGTTCTCTCTTATTTTTAGATCATTTTTAGGGTAATTCATGGTTAGCCCGATCACTAAAGGACTACATAGAAACCAGTAACGCAACGCCAGTCGCGACGTAACGCCACAAACCTGTCACAAACTGTGAAGAAGCTCACTAAGCATGACGGGACCTTATTTATCGCACATGGACTCGGACAACAACATGCCGGGTGTGAACGGAGAAATCAAGAAAGATGGCCTTGAAACTGAAGAGGAAAAGCGAGATCTTGGTTCAAAACCGAAGAAATTGGAAGAGAAAAGTTCTAAGACTCGAAAAACGTCTGAGGTTTCAGTATTAGATGCGGAACGACAGTGTTTAGTGCAACGACCATCCGATCAGCAATGGCGTACGTTCGAAAAATTTTGCTGACTCACTTTCGTTCTTTCTCGTAGCTTCGGTCCGTTGTTTGTTAATTTTTTCACTTTTATTAATAGATCCTGCTGAAATCATACACATAAGACCGGTAGATGAGGGAAAATCGGAGTATTACGTTCATTATCATGGATGTAAGTTACTTTATTTCGCTTTCTGTTGATATATTGCAAAGCTTTTCATTTTTGTGAGAAAGGCTCCTTAAAAAATCTCACAACATAGTAAAGATAATCGACCTTTTTCTCCTTTGTGATGTTTTATCTGGGCGGTGGGTTTGTATTCCTCCCTAAAAGTGATAGATGTCACTGTTACTATTAACAATATGACGTTTTTATTCCCAGAATGTGACGTCGCTGAGAACGTGACGTCATTAAAATCTGCTTTTTTTTTATTTAGACCTAGGTTAAATATTTAAACTTGTTACTTTACACAGAGGACTTATTTTCCCATATTTTTGCGATCACAGTTATCAAACCAAATTAATTTTCTTTTTCTGTATTCTTTAGTTGACTTTAGAGGCAGTTGTAATTTGAATGGAATCAGTCTTAAACCTGATCTATCCAAGTTTCTAAAAATTTCCAGATAAAAACAAAAATTTCATTTTCTATAAGCTCAAGTCTTGTTTTAGTAAAGGGAAGAGTAAATGTGAACTTGTGAATGACATTTTTAGCAAATTGCATCAGACTGTTCAACAAAAATATAGTTGCAAGTTATCGACATACAGTGTTCAAAAAATGGTCCCTGTCATTGAAGTCAACAGACGCCTGGATGAGTGGGTCCCAATGGAAAGAGTTGATCTTCAACAGAAAGACGTCCACATGCATGTTCCAATTGTAGAGGAGAAAATTGACATTGAAGGTCCAGAAAGGAAACTAACGAGAAATCAGAAACGCAAACATGATGAAATTAATCATGTTCAGAAGGTAAGTTGAAAGGAAATATCATAATTTTAAATTTTTAAAGGTTATCTGCGCACTTGATGTAGTTTAGATATTCCATTTTTTTTTTAACATTGATGATCGTAAACTTTGTCATTTCCACGGATTGATCTTTCATCAAAGTTGAAATTCTTTTGTAGGATTCCAAATAAGTCCCAATCCCAAAGTTGTCTATACATCAGTACACGGGGAGTTTTGTTTTTTGGTTTAGAAGTCTGTTGTGTTTTTGTAAGAATAAATTTTTGTTTTTGGAATTTGGCTGAAAATTTTACGAGGGACTAAGTTTTTAGAAAGTCAACTCAGCAATTTTCGTAACCTGTATGACTCTACGAGACAGTCGACTTATAAGGGCTATTGCACTAAATTCTATCAGATCTTAGATAGAAATACTTGCCTGAAACAACATAATCAGAAAGTAAATGGAAATGAATGAAAAGCAGATGTATTAATTAGAAAATAAATGTAGCAATTTTCTTTGAATTATTTTTTTATTTCTGTTAGAAATTATTTTTGCACATTAAGGGCAGTCTGTGAAATATACAAAAATCAAAACTGCCTAAGTTTCTTAGCTATAGGGCATAGTCTTAAAAAACATGGTGGACTGTACCTTTTATAAAAATTTGTTACATCAAGTTGCCCCTTTTTACCCATTTTAGTTATACATTGTTATACATTGGTTATGGTGGTGTTAATACATGCCCCATGTGTATAAGAAACATCTTGCCATAACCCTTTACACTCTAACATCAGTATGCTTATTTTCCATACTGTTCTCTATACATTTTCTGATGTACTGGCAAGGAGAATTTGTTTAAAACTCAAGAGGTTCTTCAGTTGATTATCATTTCTTTTATTCTCGTGACCTTAATGTTTGATTCAGGGATGATATTGAAAGGAGAAATTAGATGCTAGTCACTCTCAGGGATTAAAGTGTTAAATCATTTCCTTACAGACCTATGCAGAAATGGATCCTACAACGGCAGCCTTGGAGAAAGAACATGAAGCTGTAAGTTTGTAATTTTTTTTTTTTTTTAACTAAATTAAGGTTTTTTTGAAGTTATTTTGTAATAATCTTAACACACTTTTACCTGGCAGTGAGAATTTAAGTGGTGATCTCTGTGAGACCTTTTGCAACATTGTTTGACCTCTTGCAACATTGAAAATTTCAAAAGTTGACAAGCTCGCTCCTCGTAACAAACTGCACTCAGTAAGAAATTGTTAGTATTCTCAAATTGTGTAATAAAGCTATCTTACTATCTTACTTACTTAAGCATTTCAATTTTGAGACGTGTTTATTCAGAGGTTCGCCAACATTTATTTAAAAACACCCGTTAGACAGCTTTCTGAAATTGGTCAAAAGTACTCTTTCTTTCTCGGGTGATATTTCTCAAGTTCAGACCAGACCACTGGAAACTCTAATTGATTTCTTCTAATGAAATGTTTGAAAGCATAGAAATATAAAAACATCTTGCACTTGTTAATTTCAACATTAACATTTTAAACTGCTAAATTCAGGCAAATGATTTTGTCTCCTTATGAAAAAGGTGAACAAAGCGTATCAAATATCATATTGATTAGTGTTCAACGTGTTAATGAGAAACTTTTTGTAAAAATAGTGGTTTCTGTTCTTCTATATTTGAGTTTAGAGAGCAAAGTGCAAGATGTTTTCACATTTCTATGCTTTTGAACATCTTAGCAGAAGAAATCAACTAGAGTTTTCAATGGCCTAGTCTGGTGTTTTTCAATAAAAAAAAATATTTCTTACTGGTGTTTTTTAATAAATTATGGTGAACCTCTGAATAAACACATGTCAAAATTGAAATGCTTTCCAAGCCTTATATATCACTCAATTTAGGAATACAAACGATTTCTTGCTGTATGTAGTGTGTTATGAGGAACGAGCTTCTCAACTTCTGTAATTTTCAATGTTGCAAGAGGTCAAAAAGGGGCCTTTTGCAGCTTTGATTATTGAGAGCTCTCAAAATTTTTGTCAATGTATTTCCAGAAATCAATGTGGTTTTATATACTTAATACCAAAGATAGTTGAATGGGCAAAGTTTGAGGCAAAACCTTTTTGCCATGCAAAACCCCTTGGATGGCTCTTTCAGAGATCAGCACATAAAGTTTTCCACAGCACTGAAAAGATTGAAAAGTGAATAGCTCTCAAGGATGCAGCAGAGGTTTATTAATGCTCCTGTTTTGTTTGTTTGATTTTTATGTCTTCTAAAGATCACCAAGATAAAATATGTAGATAAGATCCAGTTTGGCAAATATGAGATTGATGCTTGGTACTTTTCACCCTTCCCTGAGGAATATGGAAAGCAGAATAAACTGTGGGTCTGTGAATATTGCATCAAGTACATGAAGTTTGAGGAAACATACAAAAAGCACTTGGTAAGGATTAAAACAGGGGATACCTCTGGCTAAATTACGAGATGCCAGTACCATCATAACAAGCCATCTGTTGGTAAAACCACTATGTTGATTGAATGTCAATGTCTTCCTCGATACAATATCTGGCATCCTTTTGTTAAAAGTCATGGTGATTTTACCAATGTCAAACCATGTCTTAACCCTTTAACTCCCAAGATCTGATTGTAAATTCTCCCCAATAGATGCCACACATTTCCTTGTTAATTAGTTACGAGAATTTGGTGTTTAATCAAGGTAATAACTTGTACCTGATGAGTTTGAGTATTCTCATTACCTGTTTGCTGAATAATGTATGGATACTCTAGGGAGAAGTTACATGTTTATCACTTTTGGGAGTTAAAGGGTTAAAATGTAATCATATAGAATAGTAGTAGTGGTTTTAGCTCAGAAACCAGTCTCCTGGTTTCATTCATTTCCTGATACATAAAATTATTTATATGAAGTACTTGAGTTTTTACTTGTCTTGTAATATTCCTCAGCTTATGTTGGCTATAGCTATATAAAAAAAACTCTGGACTTTCTGAGCAGTAGGAAGAGCCCAACACTGGGGTATGTAAATAAATGTATGACTTTATTGTATTAATTTTTATTCACTCTGTGATTTTCTGATCTTATATTAGGGAAGGTGTAGCATGCGACAGCCTCCTGGGAAAGAAATATATCGCAAAGGAACAATTTCAGTGTATGAAGTAGATGGGAAGGAAAATAAGGTGCTGGCTCTGGTATTTTGTTTTAAAACTTGAGTTGTTATTTTTGTACTTTTTCTTTACAGAGTTGAATTAAACTGATGAATTAAGACTTTAGTGTTGCCATGCATGTTGTGTTTTTAATATATGATAGTACAATATTACAGAGTATGTGGAAATATTTTATACATGGAGCCACATTTTTTATACCACTTGCTAGAGAAGAATTCAAGAACAAGTCATTAAGAGGGTGTGTGTGTGTACTTATCCTCTCCTACTGTTTGTAATTTCTTTATACACTACTTTAACTCTTCAATCCCCTTGAATTACCAAGACAGACTTTCTCCTCACAATATCAATACATTATCAAGCAGACAAGTGATGAGAATCAGGAAAAATATCAATTATGGGATTATTTGTTGATCCAGTACTAACTTCTGTTAATTAACAACATAAGAATTGTATAGCAGGCAGTAAGGAGATTTACTAATGAGATCTTGGGAGTGAAAGGGTTGAGAAGTTTACTCGCGAGCATACTTCTACTGCTACTTATAAGTGTGGGTAAACTAATCTTTTTCATCCTTGCAGTTATATTGTCAGAACATTTGTCTCCTTGCGAAATTATTCCTGGATCACAAGACTCTGTACTTTGATGTGGAACCGTTCTTGTTTTACTTGCTAACTGAAGTGGACAGAGAAGGTGCCCATCTAGTTGGATACTTCTCCAAGGTAAAGATAGACTGTAAGTTTGTAATGGAGGGTGAACAACTCAGTTCTTGATTAACCCTTTAACTCCCAGGTGTGATTAACATGGAACTTCTCCCTATAATATCCATACATTATCCTGCAAACAGGTCATGAGAAAACTCAAACTTATTAGGCAGAAGTTGTTATCTTGATCTAACCCTAAATTCTCATTTTTATAACTGATTTACATGGAAATGTGTAGCAGCTAGAGGGGGGAATTAACAATCAAATCTTGCTGGCTTGCTAGCCTTTTGAGTTGTGTTTTCCCCCATAGGGTGTTTTTCTATGTAGTGACATAGAATTGAAAGGAGAAAGTTTGCAATGCAACACCTTTTTGTTTTTTTTTTTGGCAGGGGGAGGGGGGGTTTTACTCTGCCCTTCTTCTTTAGAGCACTTTTCAATTCAGTGACAAAAACCTGAACTAGAAATTTGCAACGGAACACTCTCAGTCCACTCTCCTTTTTTCTCTTTTAGAGTGCTTTTCAGTGATATCAAAACAAGCTTACAATTTTGTACTACATTAGCTGGGCTATGTTTTGTTAGGCAGTAGAATAATCTAACTTACTTTTGAAAGGAATTATTTATTTTCCTTCATCCCAGGAGAAAGAATCACCGGATGGTAACAATGTAGCGTGTATACTGACTTTACCACCCTATCAGCGAAAAGGATATGGAAAATTCTTGATAGCCTTCAGTAAGTGCAAATCACATCTGCTACTTGAAGTTCTGCTCTGTCCATAAAACAGGGACTTCTCAGTGGATTACAACGTGATTATTTTTATCTGATGGTTTTGTTAGGTTATGAATTGTCCAAAATCGAGCAGATGGTTGGATCACCAGAAAAGCCCTTGTCAGATCTTGGCAAGTTAAGTTACAGAAGCTACTGGTCCTGGATTCTACTGGACATACTGCGGAACTTCAGAGGAACACTTTCCATTAAGGATCTTAGGTTTTTGTAGAGTTTGTAACTATTGTCTCGGCATGGGGAAATTGAGGACTTTTTATAGTGGAAAGTTCACTTGGGCCTAATGCAAAGGATTGTTGAGAGAGGTCATGAAAGTTCTTGATTGGGTCCTTGGCAAGACAATTAATTATCCCAGTGGCTCTCTGCATCTAGAAGTATTGGGTATTGGGTACAGGCATAACTTGGTGAGGGGGGGGGGAGAGTCCTGTGCTTGTCTCACTTCCATACTAAGAGGAGTAGCAATACTTCTACTTGCGTCCCATAATCCTTAAGTGTGACTGGCTTCTAATGTCTCCCTATGGTATCGCCTTGAATCAAATGTTGAAGTCATGAGAATATAAGAAATGATCTCTAATTTAAGAAGCTCCTGGTTGTCAAACAAATTCTCCTTGTTAGTGTAATAGGAAATGTGAAGAGAACGGTACGGAGAATATGCATACTGATGTTGGGGTGTAAAGGGTTAACCCTCTAACTTCCTTGAGTGACCAAGACAGAAGTTCTCCTTACAATATCAATACAAAATCAACCAGATGAGTAATGAGAATAAAGAAAAATATTAATGTGGGGGATAACTAGTTGATCAAATACTAAATTCTCTGAACTAACATTATGAGGATTGTATGGTTGACAGTAAGGAGAATTACAAATTTGTCGTGGGAATTAAAGGGTTAATAGAAGAGGTTGCGACATCGGAATGATCACAATGTTTGTTATTGGCGGCATTTATTCATTAGCATTCTCTCTCCTTTTTATTTTCCGAAGTAACATGACAAGTATTACACAGGAGGACATCATCAATACATTGCAGTCGTTGAACATGGTGAAATACTGGAAAGGTCAACATGTGATATGTGTCACGCCCAAACTTGTCGAGGAGCATGTCAAGAGTGCACACTACCGCAAACCAGTACTGTCAGTAGACACGTCATGTCTGAGGTGGGCTCCACCAGGAAAGAAAATCAAAAAGTTGAAGCATTGAACTGGTGTGACCAACAACAAGATATAGGAACCGATCATAATTAGGTAGTTGTGGTCTGCATGGGAAGGCTAAGTAACGATAAACTGGAAGCACGTTGAGGTGTGAAGATTTCCAATAACTAGAGGGATTTTCTTGCTTGGGTGATCAATAGAGTTGGAAAGTTACATAGTCCGAGAGTTGTGAATGATTTTGGTCTTCAGTTGCGTTTTGTCTTCTGTGAGTTTCACTCGGTATACAACCTTCAAGGCTTCGCAGGAGAATGACTATCGACTTGAGATGTGGAACAAAAACATCTATTTGTTTATAGTATTACGTCTAAGAGCTGATATAGCAAAAAACCTGAAGCAGTTGAGGTGCGTTGTCGCGTATCAGGGAAAACTTAGGTAAATTAACAGGAAATACTTTAGCAATTTGAAAAGTAAACGACCATGTGGACTAGTATAGATTACGTGATGATAGGCCTGGAAAATGTGAAAAGCGTTGTTAAAGTACAGTTACATATTGGCCAAGACTACTGGGCATTGTGTCGGAAACTGCTGTGAGTGATAAAGAACAAGGCATCGTTTAGCTTTTATGGACGTCAAGGTCGCCATCAGAGCTAACGTGTAAGCTGCTGTTTTAATTTTGAAACTGCATTTCGTGCATAAGATCCATCTACCCACAAAGAATGAAATACAGACTTTGAAATTTTAACCATTTGATCGAACACTTGAAGAGTGCAGATGTTGTCGTCCTCGTTTGATTTTCTTGCTTTCCGTCTAATGGGTCAACTTTAGTAACACACCATCGCAAACTCGTGTTTTTTATTATCACGTGTATAAACCTGTATTAAAGGCAAATACTTTCAAGTAGAGCTGCTTTCATTGTCTCCTAGTTTTAACGGTGATAAGTGCTAAACGCTTTGAACAAAGTGCAAAAACGAGTCCTCCTTGCACGTCGGCAACGATTGTAGACCTTCTATAACGCCATGACAATCCCTCCCAGTTTTCGCTCTTCATGTCTCGCACTCGACGGACTGGGGGGAAAGAGAGTTTTTCTTGTTTTAGTCCAAAAACCCCGTTAAACATTGGAAACTGTTTCTCAAAGATAATTTAGTGTTAACAACTGAGTTGAAAACGTAAATTAGCCACCGTGAAGAGTAAAAAAACTGACGTTTCGAGCGTTAGCTCTGACGAAGGGCTAACGCTCGAAACGTCAGCTTTTTTACCCTTTACGGTGGCTGATTTACGTTTTCAACCCAGTTGTTAACACTAAATTACCTGGTATACTCTCCCACCGACGCAGCACCACAGTTTCTCTAGAAACTTACCCCTTTATTCATTTGTTTCTAAAAGATGTCTCGCAATTAAGTTTTTGTGTCTGGCAATTAAATTACCAACAGTTAAATAGGAAACTACAAAGTTGAACTAAAAGTTTATTTGCATCATCACGAGCAAGGCCTTATGCATGTAAATGCGTGCCTCGGCCTATTGAAAATCTGTCAGCATCTTTAAAATGATTCATTGGTGTTTTTAATTTCCATTCTTTATCATTTTATATCCACTGAAGTAAATAATTGTGTTTTAAAAATAGAGAGAAACTTAGCTTAGAATAACGTCAAGCACCACTGTGATTGTTTATGAAATCTGACCAATGGTCTTCCCTATTCCTAAAATTTAGAATAAGTATTGGCCGAGTTTACTAGTAGCAGCGAATGGGAGAAATCTAGGGAATGTTTGACGTCATGTGAGCATTGTCGTAGTTGATTAGATAGCAATGACTGAGTAAATTAATTTCCACAACTCCGTGAGAGACACTCCGCTTCAGTGACCATATGATCCAAGCATCACTTTCTGCGAGCGAAAAAGCACAGGTGTAAAGGATTCTGGAAATATGAAATGGCCGTGTGTTTGAAATATACTTTGTGTACATTTACAACAGTTGTTTTGGTAAGTGCTGGAAAATTAAGGAAATCACTACTACCTTTATGCAAATTGTTTCAAACTTCTTCGTTTCGCGACAGCACTGTAATACTCTTAAAAGAGAACGCCAACGTAGTTTCATTACTTGATCTCACAGTTACTTGTTGATTTAATGTGTACCAGTAGGCAAGTACGATTTACAGAACATGCCAGTTAAGCTGTTCAAATTTAATTGCCAAAGCAATCTGCCAAAATTATATTTGTTTGATCGTGACATGATCAAACAAATACAACCATAAAACTGAATTTTTAAAGCCTCATTTCAGTCTCTACTCCGTTTCCTTGACAAAGGCTACAGTAAGCGTAATACTTTAACGTTACAGTGAGGGTTCTCACTTGAATTATGAGCTTAACATTTGAATGTTTCAGTGAGGGTTTTCTGAGAGGAAGACAGACGGGGAACAAAGCTATGGAAAAGTACTCTCAAAACAGAAATTTAATTACATTTTGTCATGCAACAAGGAATGTTTGTTTCAGCTCTTGAAAGAGTTCCGGCTGACATATCACAATTCAAATAGTATGGGGTATTTCAAAATCCATTCCGGGGCTTCTTTGCATGAGTGACAGTGCCCTTGACCTGGTTTGAATTACAAATAAAAATCGTCCAAGCGTTACCTCTGTCATGTCTGACAACACGCTATTAGCTGAGATTTTATGGCAGAAATACTGGGAATTCAGTAATGATATCGCCATTGTTACCGCATTACAATTTTGAGAAATATCATTATTTTTACGGATGATCAGACATAGACACCTTTCAAGATAAAGTCTCGTTGATTTGAGATAAAAGTGCTACCTTAGAGACATTAGGAAATTATGGTTCACATGAATAATTTTTCAGTCTGTGTCCGCTGGAGTGTCTTCACTATGAACTGCCTGGTTTGGGTAAGTTTTTGTAAAAGCAGCAAATCTTTTTGTGTCTACCAGTGACACAAAAAATTCACACAGGTAATCCTTCAATTTCGCGCAGACAGTATTGTATAGTTCATAATAGCCAAGTGCGCACAGCTACTCTCACTGGCCAATGAAGCATAACTAAACACCATTTCAATCCCGCATCGTTTTCCAAAAACCCTTCTATCGCTTAAACTTATCTCACACTAGTGTTAAAAGACTTTCAGAGATCTTTACTCTGTCAGTATCAAGTACTATCTATGCTCAAAGTCGATGAAAGAATTTCGTTTAGAGAAAGCGATTTTACATCGCGTGATTTGTTTGTGATAAACTGATCATGAAAGATGAAACCCACGCGTCTATTAGAAACCATTTTGAAGTGGGCTTACAAGGAAAATTCACGGACTTAATATGAATGTCGATATTATATACCCAGTGTGTTGTGAATGAACAATTCTCAGTTGGATTTTGGGGTTTCGACGCAAGAAAATTCCTGATTTTTGCCGTATCGTCGATGGGATTGTAAAATCTACTGATTGCGTTGTCAAATAATTTTTCCTGAAGATTCGTGATGGTTTCCGGACAGTTTTCAATTTTATGCAAGATTTCCTACTTGCTTCGTCGAAACTGGCAAAATATAATTTATCATATGCTTTCACAGACGTGACGGTGTTCATCAGCTTCGCTTGCACTCATGAACCTTGACTCAAGCAAGGAATAGAGTCGGTTCATTGTACTTGATTCAATTTTGCTAGATAAACTGGGTCAATAAATTTTGATTTCAAGTTTGAATCTGATCATCTTTGATTCTCTTTACACAGACAATACATGATTTTAGATATTCTTTCGTCGGAGGAGAATTTTGGAATACTCCGCCAAGTCTCCTAAAAACACTTTAATTTCTAAAACCAAACATGCTTTAGACTAGCAAAACAAATTCGGGAAGTTTGACCTCGTCATCTTTATAATTTATTCCATTCAGTTTTAAAAATCAATCCATTTGAATCTCTTTTTTAATTTCCATCACCAAACTATTGCTAAACCTGGTTTATAAGGTATACAATGAAAAATCTTTTTGAATCGCAATCGAGGCTCCGTCATTTCCTCTGGTGCATTAAAAACAAAAGTGTACGAGATTAATAAATTGCTAAAGCCGTCTAAAACTTCATATTTAGAATTGGAGTAGTCATCAGTTATTTACATAGGAAAACAATCAGAGTGACATGTGTAGTCAACTGTTTTCGGGGTCCTTTTTGTGCAAAGGTTTAAAGACGACAGATTGTCGTTAGTTTAATTAAGTCCACAGCAGAGGTTTCCTTTTTCATTTGGAATTCACATTCATGCTTTAAGCTGGAGTAATTAAGGGGGTTATAACGCTTTGGATTTCACTAAAAGAAATGTCATATTGGAGTATTTGAAAGACAGTTGTAGCGCACGTACCTCACACTGGATCTACAAATAACTGGTGTCTTAGGAAATGAAAAAGATAACATTTACGAAAAAAACGAAAAAAATGGTCGCCTCGCTTTTGTCGTTTATCTCTTGGTCTTTGGTGTAGCTTTTGAAAAGAAGAGCAATTAAAAACTTTGACACTGTGATACATAAAAAAAGAAACAATTTAACGAGTTTTTGAGTTTTTCTCTGTTCAGTTCCTTATACAACTGCTTTCTTCATACGAAACCTTACACTTATACTATCAGTGTAAACAATGTGGCATTGAAGTTCTGTTGTGGTTGTAGACGATCGAGATGTAAAGTCAATAAGCGGATACCCGACAAAAAATGATTATCAAAAACAGGCCTTCAGACCGAGAGTTCTTAGCAACACAAATCGTTACGTCGCTTACCTATGCCTATGTTTCGTACAGTTGTTATGTGAACCTCTGACCAATGACGAAATATTTCACATTTTAATTTGGAAAAAGTCGGTGGATACAAAAATATATTCTTTGGGCTACCATGAAACGCCTCTTGGTTGTTCCCGTGAACCCTTTAAACCCTATGAGTGACGTACCAGCATCTGAGAGTACGAGAATAAAGGAACTGATCGTCATCCTTTGAAGCTTTGATTATTAAACCGATTCTCCTTGTCAGTACCGAAGGAAATTTGTAGATAATAGTTTAGAGAATACGAATACTGATGCTGGGGTGTAAAGGGTTAAATTCAGTTTTGGTTAAACATGGTGTCAGGAGTGGAATAGACCCCGATGAGGGCACAGCCATTATCCATCACCAAACCCCACACCTTTTTTAGGCGCACTATTTTGCGACACCTTTGTGGCCGGCTCCCTATACGCATTTTCATGACAATAATCAAGAGAAGCCATTCAATTGAAGTCTTACTCTCTCTACAGCTTGGAGGCTCTGTGATGCTTGGCCTTGGGATATGGGTAACAACACAAGACACGGAGTATAAACACCTGGCTGGAAATCTGGTGTGTTTTTCGTTTGTTTTCCTTTGGAAGCTAAATGAGATAAAGAAAATGCAAGTAAAGGTGCACTTTTTCACATTACTAAGTAGGTGAAGCCCAGGAGAGGGATGTTTCAGGCGTTACAGATTCTGGTGCCTCGGACTCTGATAGTGATTAGAACCCCTGTGAGCCTGATCGGGAAACGTGCGATTAATGGGGAAGGGGAAATGAGTTAACATAAGTCCTCGTAGACTCAAATGAAGCTTAAAGATGAACAAAAAAGAATTTACATGACATTTATCACATTTTTGACATAGAGACCCTCTGTGATTAATGATTTGGCCAGTGATCCCCTTTTAAATGGACTTGAGGTATAACCCTTCCCTACTGGTGTGTTAAACCTAAGGGGGCTGTAGAAAAGATTTTTACATCATTTTGAGGGTTCAGTCCTCAATGGTACAATTACCGGTAAGGGAGGGCTGGATATGTTGTCTTCCTTGAATACATTAATCAATACATAGAATTCGAGAACACATTGGTTAACAACACTGAGAAAAAGAGGATTTCTCCTCATACCGCAGATTTAAAAAGTAAGAAACAAAATAACCAAAATACATGGTTATTTTCAAATCATAACGCTGATGCTTTTTTTTTCCCTTAACAGAACGTAACTATTGGCTATATTGTGCTGTCATCGTTTGTATTTATCACTGGTATGTACTCCTTCTTACTGCATACAAATTAAAGCCTTTAGGGGGAGATCTTGCAAATTTTTATGTGCAAGGCTGTTGGACAAAACTATTTATTAAACCTCAAAATGAAGCCAAACCTCACTCAAGTTTTTCTTCAATTGAAGGTAGACTGCTGTTAAATTCTTGGTGTGACCGTGACCTAAACGCCTACAAGTGTTCTATCCTCGGTGCATTGACCAAAAGAAATGTAACATGCTCTTCCCCTCTCTCCCTAAAAGAGATGGGAAATGAACTCTTCCCTACCAAACCATTGTCCCCAACCATCCCATGACATAAATTTCCCTGATTACAAATGTCCTTTTTACCTACCAAAGGAAAGGTGGGATTTACTGAAGTTATTTATTAAGAAATTCAGCACACTCTGAAGAACTGAATTTACTTAAAGATTGCCCAGCAAATGACCCCATTTTCATTTCCGGTGCTCATCTGTGTGAGGGTGTCTTCATTTAGTTTGGTAGAGTAAAACCCTACTTTTAATTTCATATTATCAGCATGTACTCTCTTTTGTTGATACCAGGATTTATCGGATCATGTGGAATTCTCCTAATGAAAGAGAACCTACTAAGAGCGGTAAATATCAAATTCAATATATATACCCAAGAGTTAAAACACTCAAGTTCCCCTCATAAATACTCATCATGCTATCAATTACATCTCCCAAAAAATAATTTCCAGCCTGACATGGTATTGTTGTAAAATTACATTCTAGGTTGAATTAAACAAAGGAATATAATCTTAGCACTTCCCAACATGCAATTTGCTGTCCAACAAAACACAACAACTGCTGAGCTAAAGTTATTTCCTTACATTTCATTTCTTTTCCCTTATTTTTTAGTATTTTGCATTTATGTTAATTTTACTCTTGGCTGAACTTGGTGTAGCTATTTATCTCTACGTAGAAAAAGACCAGGTACGTGAAATTTAATACTGTAAATGTTATGATAATTCTAAATTTAAAATGTCAAAAGTTCTATTAACCCTTTAGCCCCTTAGAGTGACTAGCATCTAATTTCTCCTTACAATATCACCCCTGAATCAAACATGAAAGTCATGAGAATAGAGGAGATGATCACCAACTAAAGCAGCTCTTGATTGTGAAACAAATTCTCCTTGTCAGCTTCTTTGGAAATGTATGGAGAACAGTATGGAGAATGTGCATGCTGATGTTAGGGTGTAAAGGGTTAACTTACATCACAATGACTCAAAATAATTGCATTCACCCATCTATGGAGTCATTATTCAGTGATCAATAAACAGAGATCAAGGACCCATGTAAATAGTGGACATCAATTACAGATTTTAATCACACAGTTTTTACTGATAGGGGAAGATAATCTAGCATTGATAACCCTTTAACCCCTAAAAGTGATTAGCATCCAATTTCCCCTTTCAGTATCATTGCTGAGTCAAACATTAAGGTTAAGAGAATTGACGAAACGAAAGTAAAGCAAACAGGCTTTTGCCTGTTAGCTTAAGTCGCCCTGTCAGTACTTCAGGGAACATTACGGAGAATATGCTTACTGATATTAGGGTGTAAAAGATTACAATTTGAATTTTGTTTTATTCATGATATATTTTAGATACAAGATCATATTGCCACAAACTGGGACGAAACTACTGATGAAGTTAGAATCCTCATTCAAGAAAAGGTGAATATGCTCTTCAATTTACCATTATTCAGAATCAAATCTAAAATAAAGACACCATCGACTGGTAATAAATTATTTAAGTCTGACATAGCACTCATTCCAAGTAACTAAACATGAAGCTATTATGTATTCTTTGAGCACGTAAAGCTACACCCTTTGACCACCAAGAGTAACTAGCATCTAATTTCTCTATACAATATCACTCCTGAATCAAAAATTAAGGATGCAAAGAATAATTAAAAGGAAATGATCACCAACTAAGAAGCTCTTCACTGTTAAACAAACACTCTTTGTCAGTACAGCAAGAAATGGGTAGTGCACAGTATAGAGAATATGCATACTGATGTTAGGATGTAAATGAATATCAATCTCTATTAATATGAATCTAGACATTGATAACTGAGAGGCCTGGACTGGGTACAGGCAGGGTGCATATTAGTATTTTCTCTTTCCTTAAGATTGAGCAATTTGTTCAGCATATGAGACTTAGGTAAAGCCAATAGCTATTCACCATGCTAACACATTTTAATTGAAAAAGTACTTTAGTATATTACTGCTTAGGTATCTGTGCATGTCTTATTAGAAATCTAGCAAGCAAGCAAGCAATTTAAGAGCTAGCTTTAAGAAAGTTTTAGTTTCTGCCCCACCAACACCATCAACAGTTTTGACTGTATCTTTCATCTCATTCATGTTTGTAATTTATTCTTGATTACTGGACTGTTGGTTTAGTGTATTCTTCAAAGATCTTTTATGTAATAGTCTAGTGAATTATCTACGTAGGATACACACATTTACCAAACTGTCTGGTTCCAAAACAAGCCTCTGTCTGTTTTAGTGTTTAGAGGGTTAATAAACTAGTTATATTCTTTTTATTAACTCATTTTATTTACTTTTTCAAATTCAAGTTTGAATGCTGTGGTCTATCACCACTAAACCTCAACCATGCATCAAGTTCTGACAAATCCTGTTTTGTTGATAATCCAGAAAAAGAAAGACGGAAGGTAACTTGAACATTCTGTTGCTTCTTCTTAATGTCAGTTATCCCAACCCTCCCATTATAGCTTCCCCTAAAAAAGAAGCTTAGAAAAATGTTCTTGCTGCTTCACTGGTCTCTTCAGAACCATTCTTTATCATTTTCCAGGGGGTATCTTGGACTTTTATTACTATCACTTCAATTTCAGGGCAGTATTCATATTTGTGATCTCAAAATATAGGAAATGGCATCTTAGATGGAGGCCTTGGTTCTAAGATTTTGGATGGGGATTAATTCAGATCCTCTCCAACCCAAATGCTAAGGCCTTTGGCACTTGTGGTCACGGCTGTGCTACACTAAAACCTTCCTTCTTTGTGTTTCTAATAGTTGGAATATATGTATTGTATTATGCTGCCTTAACAACATTGAGAGGTCGAACTTCATTCTCTGATTTCAAAAAGATAAATGATTAATGTTAGGATTCAGTTTTTTTAATCCCCAACTGCTTTTGTAAGGTAATAATTATCAGAAAGATGGCAAAAAAACCTATTCGTTTTTGTGCAATCTCTCCAGGACTGCTACACAAATCTCATGGATTGGATTAAGAGGAACCATGTTATCTTAGCAACATGTTCAGTTATTGTTGCTGTTCTGCAGGTACTTAAGTGAAATATTTCCAAAATATTAAAGTATAAAATAAAGAAAGCCACAAAGTTTAGAAAACAAGCCAAGTCATTTGTTATGCAAGAGGAATGTTGAAATTTTCTGTAGGTTGTGTAGAAAACATCAGATTTTTAAACATTTAGAGTAGATAACCTTTTAAACCTGAAAAGTTGAACATTCACCTCATTTCTTCTTACAATAATACTGCTGCATCGTTCATTGAGATCATGAGAATAACAGAAAAGATCAGTAACCAAAGAAGCTCTTGATTGTTAAACAAATTCTCCTTGTCACCATCTTAGGAAATGTATAGAGAACAGCATGGAGAAGATGTATACTGATTTTACAGTGTAAAGGGTTAACTGTTTTATATCCATTGAAATCTTTTTAAGATGTTGATATTGGGAGGAACCTGTCGGCTGATTGCAGCAATTGAGTCTGGTGACAGAACAGTAAGGCGAACAAGAGTAGTGCCGATCAATGTCCAGCCAATAGCTGTAGCGCCAATACACGTGCAAAATGTGTACCCTGACTATTGGAGCCCTGGTTATTTGAACCCTGGTTATTTGAACCCTGGCCAGGGGAACTCTGGCCCCACACCACAGCCAGCTAAAGCTGGGCCTGAGGAAGTAACACAAAATGACAGTGCTACTCCTTTGTCTGAAGATTCTGAAGATGGACCCATTAGAAGCAATATCAAAAGAAAGGAATGGGCAAAAATCAATCCAAAATATAACCCTGTTTTTAGCTTACTTGACCTGAAGTTATAGTTTGACAAAATTGTTTTTTTTCATGGAAGAAAAGGTTTTAGTGTTGGTATACAAGTAACTCCCCATGTGGGAGTATTTACCTGAGAGTATTTAAGGTATAACTGTAAATAGTCTGTCACAAAGGATTTTATGAACAAGAGTAAAGGGAAATTACATATTTAAGTGCTTGAATGAGCATTGTGAGTTTCTTAGTGCATATAGTGCACAAGTTTATATTCTGTGTGATGCCAATGTCTATAATCCTTTTACCCCAGTAAGTGTCTAGCATCTAATTTATCCTCACAATATCACTCCTGAATCAAACATTGAAGCCATGGGAATCAAGGAAATGATCCTTAACTAATTAAAGAAGCTCTTGAGAGAGCTCCTCCTTTTTTCGGGTAAAAAAAAAGGAATTGCAGAGGAAAGAAGAGCCTACAGGGCAAGCGACAAAAACCTGCCCCTCTTCAGGCTGGTTTATGCATTGTTTATATACATTAAATCTACATATTAGTTTATTTCTCTGAATTTCCCATCAGCCATATTGAGCTATAACATACACAGGCCCAACAAAAGAATTCTAGTTTATTTTATTTTGTTAGGAAAAGGCTTAATTAATTGCGAGTGTGTAAAGCAAGTATCTAAAGGCAGCACCTACTTCGGCCCAGGTAGTTTTGAGCAATATTTTGTATATTGTGGTGTTAAAAGCATACAAGTGATGTACAAGGATTATTTTATGTACAACATATATGTCCTTAAAAAATGTTTGTACTCTTATAAAGAGACTCAAATTAAAGAGAATTCCAGAGAGGGAATTAAAAAAAAAAATACTGTTGAGCTAACTAGGTAGCATATTATTTTTAAGTAACTAGGTAGCATATTATTTTTAAGTAAGGTACAATTTTGTAGAGATAGGAACGAGCATGGCATTTTAGCTCTAACAGAAGTTATTTTTAAAAAAAAGTAGCAAATAGAACAATATATTCATCAAGTTAACATAGAAAACAAACAATTTATCACTGTCTGCATTTAACACTGCATCTGCAATTTTGAGATTGTTCTGCCAGTCTGGAAGTAAATACATATTTATTCACCCTGCAAGAGTGGTAGTATCAAAACTTGTTTTCTTTATAACTTATGACAAAAAAACACTACACAAAGAAATATGCCAATAAAAGTAAACAAAACAAATGATGTTGATGGGTTTGACTCATTTTTTTTTCTCATTCTACAGTTCTACTGTAATAAACAAAATAGCATTGTATTCAAAGACAGAATAAGTAATAAATTTATTTAGTCATAATTGGCAACACATTTGGGAATTAGGGCATACGTCTTGGCAGTAAAATACATATTAGTTCATATAATCAGATGATGTACCACAATGTCAACTGTAGAGCATGTTGCGTAGAAATGATACTTCAGGCAAATATTGTCGGACTCCAGGGTAATACTGCACCTGTGTTAATCATGAAAAAAAGATATATGATGATAAAGTGAAGGACTGATGTAACTAATTGATAAGACTTAATAACACCAGAACAAGACAAAGAAAAATTTTACCTCTGTTTACAGACAAATTCATGTCATGATCAAGTAGGTGTTTAATTTTGCATTAATATTAATGGAAGGGAGATACACACGCATGTGTTTGTAACACTTGATTAATGCTGGACAGACAAGCCATGAATACCCTGAACATGGGAGGGGGGATCAGTTTGTTGCATGTGTTGAGGTTAAATCGTACTCAGTTTTGAATTCTTTATTTCATTTATATTGGGCATAGAAAATTACATTTGAAAGAAAGAAAAATAAGTAAGAACTTGACCAAGGAGTAAGATAATTCAGTGAACTACAAGCAATATTTACCTGATTAAACCATCTTGAAAGGTTAATAAATTGTTCCTTTTCTTGGATGCTAAGCTCCAGCATTAGAGGATGAAGTGCATAATACAACATGATATCAGCTAGTGTTAACTGACAGCCCACCAGATATACTGTTCTAGACAGAGATTTATCCAAATACTGTGGAAAAATGTTCAACTAAGACATAAGCAGTTGGATCTTGATTACTATATCCTCAACTCTTTAACCCTCGTGAGTGACCAAGACAGAATTTCTCCTTTCTATTTAATATCTATGCAATATCACACAGACAAGTAATGAATTTAAAAAAAAAATTGGGATTGCTAATTGATCCAATACCAAATTCTCCAAACTAACATAGTGAGAATCATTTGGCAGACAGTAAGGAAAATTACTAATGAGATCTTGAGAGTTAAAGGGTTAACAGTCACAACACAATCAAGAGTGGCTTTATGCTACCAATTGAAAGACAAAAATAATAAATGAAATAAATTAATTGGAAAAGTGAAGGGAAAAATGGAAAGTTTTGAAAGAAGATAAATAAGTAACTGGTTAATTTAAGGTAAAAATTTGAAGGACTGGTTTTATCCAATTCTTACTGACTCCTAACAAATTCTCTTTTGCCCTGATTGGCCTTCAGGTTTTGTTCAATCCTTTTACTCCATGGGTGACAAAGACAAAATTTTGCCATACAATATTAAGATGATGAGTGATGAGAAAAATGAAAAATATCAAACAGGTTAATAATTCTTGATTGAAAGATCACTACTTAACAGAAGTGCTGGGTTCTCAGTTTGTGAGGGCACCTAGCCATTGATCTATAACTGCTTTGTGATTTCTAACAGCTTAATTTAAGTTCTACTCACATTACACTTTGAATTTTTTCTTCTTTTGCCCCCTTCCAATCTTTTTGAGAACCCTTGAAATTTGTCAACTATTGAGGAAACTTTAAGCTTGTAACTCCCAAGATCTGATTGTTAATTCTCCCCTCCGTATAGAAATTTCCGTATAGATTAGTTACAGGAATATGGTGTTAGATCAAGATAAAAACTTCTACCTGATTAGTTTGATCAATCTTAATACCTTTTCACTCAATAAAGTATGGATATATTTTGCCATCTGGGAGTTAAAGGGTTAAAAATCCAACTTGAAAACAACAGTGTGTGTCACTTAGAAAGAAAGACTCTTACTCTTAATGCCCCTTTGGTAAGAGTTCCATCCTGCAGAGAAGATTCCAAATGTGACTGACAGTATTCCATCCACTGATCTACTAGAGCTCTCTCCAGAGCTGACCCTCCAAGAAGTTTTTGAGTTGATATTCTGGAGAGATATGCCCCTACTGTTCGCATACCAGTTACTGTCTCGCCTGAACTAAAGGTCAAAGTTGGCTCCTAGAAAATCACACCATAGTGAAGTAATTAACAATGGAAATTTTAAAAAAATAGTGCAAAATGAATATGGATATATGGCTATCTGAAAAGAATCATGTTCAAATTCGAGATAAGACAATTACTCAAAACTATAACAAAATTATTGAATGTGATTGGTTCACCAGACTGATTTGAGCATTAAAGGGACAGTGTGCAAATCGTGCTTGTAATTGGACAGTGTTTTTAACATTTTGCCCAGTTACCTGTTGTTTTCATGAAAATGTTTACATTGTAACCGATGGCTAGTTTATCTCTCAGATTTTGTCATAGTTTTGATTAATTGGTAAAAGAACTTTTTGTTGTACAATTTTGTCTCTAATCATACTTTTAATTATCAAATCAGACTCCTACCTTGTGTTAGTCTGATATCGTTAATAACCCATATGATTACAGACTGAATTGGACTGTAACAACGGAAAGACCCATTACCACTCGTTATATTGAGAGGAATTGACCTTCATCATCTGCATGGGACAGATCTATTGGATATACCAGATTTTCCAAAAAAAATATAACTGCTGGTATAGCTAATTCAAATCCAAGCCCAATCCAGTCGCAGCACACCCCCTCCCTCCCCCTCCACTTGTTTTGTAATCTTTGTTACTCGTTATTATATTTGTAAGTCAAAGGAGTAACACAAAGCTTAGTGGATGAGAAACAATAAATCCGCAACTGGCTAAATCGCCCCAAGTTTCAATCACGCGCCATGAAATTTTAATATAAAGGAAATACTGCCTACCTAACAAAATTAATTTTTCCTTAGACAATAACTCAATAATTCCCTACCTTAGGTGAGGTGAACTCTTTTTGCTCTTCCACACGAATCCTTTCTTTCGAAATATTGCAAAATTGTAGCAAGTTTTCTACTTCTGCACAACCATTCACCGCCAGCACTGCAGCCATGTTGGAAATTTTCAAGGAAAGAACCGCTGGTAGATTGGTTCGCACCCAGTACTACGCTTGTAAAAACCAGAAACAAAGAAAGTCACAACAAAGACGGTTTGCGTTGAAAAAACAGAAAACAGAATCCATAAAATTTTGTGAAGAACGCGTGGCGAATGTTGAAAGGACAAAGGCTTCATCCGGGACAAGTTTTAAAAAGTAAGAGCTTACTTCTCTAATCTAGCCGATTGATTTAGGTTTGTTCACAACTGTTCTTACCTACGAGCGATTTTCAAGTTCGCGGTAAAGTTTGTGTTTATTGTCTCCAATGAGCCATTCGCTCGACGATGTAGAAATGTTGTGTTGCCTGTATATTTCTCGAAGGCTTTGCTAGATTATAGAACGGAATAATTTTAATTTGGCACTTGTTGAACTGACGCACATTTTAGGAAAGTCAAACGAAAACTTTTTGCGCATTTTAATTCACGAACAGTATGTATTGCATTATGCTCCCTTTCGCAACGAACAGACATATCCTAACTGGGTCCTGGTCAAAATGGCTGTATGAATTACAAAAACAACGGAAAATATGGAAAAAACAACGTTATTGTCTTCCGCTTTGAGCGATTTACCTTTTTAGGTGTACATTTTCTTTGTTGATATTTGCCAGGTGGAAATTATTCAGTGGCACCAACATTTTGAACCAATGACAACTAGAGAGAACAGACAAAAAAGTTAACCTTTATCACGACACTTTATGATCTGGAGAGTTATTTTGTCACATCTTTTCACCTTAATCCATTCATATTCTGTACAGGGCTTCAACTCCATGTTCCTCAGGAAATTTGAATAAATTGTTAATTTTGAACACACAAAAGTGCGAAAACGCAATAGTGCTAACTTCGAGGTTTTCGTTAAAAACGCAAAACGTAATGAGTTTCTAAATTCCGCCTAAAAGTTGTCGGTTGTTGATATTTGAGAATCGGCATTTCTTTATTCATTGCACCCATTACATTATCTAAGTTGCCTTCACTGGAATTTCACTCGATTAGTGAACAAAAGTCCTGGTTTTTCCGGGTTCCATGTTCATGTTTCTTCTTCTTGTCATTGGGCTTCGAACAAAGAAAAGACCAAATTATAACGCCTTCTACCAGTGGAGAACATAATGTTAAAATTATTTACTGTAGAGTCGGATGTGTGAATTTGCTTTCATGACAGCTAAATTATGCTGTTTAGCATTTTCATGGTCTCAGTCCTGATCTAATTATTAAGATTTTCGTTTTCAAGTCGACCCTTATTTTAGGCTCGATAACCAGTCGCTGTTCGGGAAGACTGTTCAAGAGAGAGTCATGGGAATCGCCTCTATCCTCCCTACCCTTATAATTACAATGGCAGATCGATGGGGAGGGTCAGGAGGGGGTATGACATGCGCAATTTGACGCGCGCGTATCTTTGACTTGACTCCTGAGTTGCACGAGCTTATGACGTGATCTCTGATTGAATAATAAACCGTCGTAATTTTGCAAAAAAACTTTCCAAAAGGTTGACTGCATCGGTTATGGCTAATTATCATCTAAACTGTAGATGAATCAGCGTCTTACAGGCTATCACAAACGTGAAGGAATATCTTCATCTCTTTTGGCAGCAAAGAAGTGAGCAGGTGCATCGAACCAGGCCATTGTGAAGGATTCCTCAAGTTGCAGTGATCAAGAACAAATTGACGATGCCAAGAACTAGGCTGAAGTGTACAAAGGAGCAAGGCAAATATTTTACGAGTAGTTTTATCGTTTATGTAAATATCGCCATAAGTCTAAAATACAAGCATACAACTTCCTGAGGACGGAAAGGTCATTAATGAGATGGAAAAGTCTTAATGAGACATAGCTAGTGGGCAAATAAAAATTTTGGTACAGCGCTCTTAGATGCTGTTTTGACTCGAGACTTGTTGCAGTAACAGGAAAATGATTTAATTGGCATTCACTTAAAATTGTAAACTTGCATACTTATTTATATCTTCCAGGGTTGCGAAGTATTTTTAAAAGATTCAAGTACGATTCAGTACACTCTACTAGCCGGGAGTTATTAGACAGTCAACTCAGGACTGCGCTGCGCTCCGGCGCGCCACCAAAACTCGTGCACAGTCTGCTGTTACGAGGTGCGAACGTTAATGGTGTCGACTCGTTAGATTACAGTCCTCTTCTCTTGGCATTGACAACTTCAAGAGCAGAAAACATGTTGGACATTGTTGAACTTCTATGCGAGTTTGGAGCTAATGTGAATTACAGTAGCGGCGTTTTCTTTGGTGAAACTCCTCTTCATTTTGCTGCAATGCACAACAATTATGCTCTCATAGAGCTACTGGTTCGCTTTAACGCAAATGCTCACGCGCGAAATTTCGCGGGATACACACCTTTACACTTTGCAGCGCAGAACGGCAACGAAGCCAGTGCAAAGGCGCTATTTCTCTGTGGAGCAGATTTGAATGCTAGAGAAAGTTACTGTGGGTACACTCCTCTGCACTTGGCTGTGATTGGTCAATTTGAACACGCTGTCAAGGCGATGGTGTCCTTTGGAGCGAAAATTAACCAATCGGATTATTGTGGTCTGACTGCGATTGACAGGTGTAAATCAAGCGCGATCCAGGAATTCTTGTTGGCTGCCAAATGTACGACAATGTTAAGTCTTGAACCGGGGTGTCTTTCTGTTATAAGGGAAAGAATAAGGAAATACTCAGGAATACGTGGCTTTGACAGTTTACCACTTCCTATTACCCTGCAAAGGAAACTCAAACTGGAGAGTGGCCCGAACGAACTGTAAAATTCCTTTACCCTCCTAAATTTACCCTTAGCGATTGTTTCCACGTACCTCCTAGGTTACATGTGTCTTTTATGAATTAGCCATGATGTTTCCAATTTTTACCCGACGAAAGCTTAGTGATAGAATATTTCACTTTTTAATTGTGACATCATGTTACTTTTGATATTATTGGATATCAAATAGTCTATTCTTATTGCGGTATCGATTCAAAGATATTATTTTTTAAGTGCAGTTGTATGTAAATAGTATCATGAGGATATTTTTACAAATTTTCACTCAATACAAAACAATAAAATAGTCGATGGATTAAAAATGATTGCAGAGGCTCTAGGAAAATTTTGCTTGAACTAGTTTTCGTTCAAATCCTACCAATTGAAAAAGTGAAAACAATTTTCTGGAGGGGTCAGACGGCTCAGAAAAACCAAAGCGCTCGTGAATTACCTTAAACACTCGATAGAAAATTGTTCGAGCCTGTACCAAGCTTTCAGTCAATAAACGAGGCACCAAAGCAGGCAGAGTCCCTAAAGGGAAGGCTTGGTCCAGGAAATTTGCACTTACTTTCTCAACCAGTCAGATTCAAATCTTACACCAATCGTGACTTGGTAACTCGCGTTTTCTCGCGCCTCATTTTATTTTGAGTTCTAAAGCCGCTCCTTTCTGTTGTGATTACTTTGGTTTTGTTTTTACGAAAGTTAATCTACATGGCTGCTCGGTGAGCGGTTATAGTATTGTCGACAGGTACTTGTTCAAGTACCTGACAACAATACTACAACTGCTCACCGACAAATCCGAACGTAAACTATAATCCACCGAGGACTTCATTAACGCCACTAAGACTGTATAGATACCTGACGTCTACGAACTAGTGTCATTTGATGTGAAAATAACTGATATCCTACAATCCACCGACCCTCCACCGCTACCTAAAGAAGACATTATGGACCTACTAAACCTTTGCCTTGCGTCAACTTACTTTCGGCACAACGGTAAAAAGTACAAAAAGTTACACGGTATAGCTATGGGGTCTCCAGTTTCTGTTGTTGTAGCAGAAATTGTGATGCAGAACATCGAGGAAAGCGCCCGTTCGACTCTGACAAACGATACCACTTTGGTTACACTACGTTAACAATACTTTCACCGCCCTACGACACGACGAAATCGATCCACCACCACCTCAACAGACAAAACACTGACTTACAGTTTACTAGAGAGGTCGAAGAAAATGGTAAAACTACCTTTTCTAGGCTGCCTGGTAGGCCATGACAACAACTCACTACGGACAGCAGTTTACAGGAAACCGACACATACCGACAGATTGCTGGACGAGTCATCCTACAACCCGACATCACACAACCCGACATCACACAAAGCCACAACTACCAGGACTCTAACACGACGAGCGCAATTGGTTTACTTACTTGGAACAGACTCCTCTCAACAGGTGTCAACCACCACCGGCACCATACAAACGATTCATTCACGACATTAACATTGCAAACGAACCGAACAGAACGACCTAACTTCACTAACGGATCGAGAACGCCACTTGAGTCTTACAGCCAATAACTTCATGGCAAAACTGACCAATCAGTTTATAAAAACCAGACTAAGAACATTCGACTGACAACAACTATTCACATGACTCTGATGATGACTTCCGCTCAGGTTGTCGAAACGTCAGTCACCACTACCGACAACAGTCCTTCTCAGGACTACACTCATCCGGACGATCAAACTACACTATTACAATAATGTGTTAACGTCTGTTATGGCTCTGAGCGGTGTTGAAGTATTATGTCGTTATATTCTTCGTGCATATTAAGAAAAGTATGTTAGTGTTTTTCACAATACTGCAATCTGATTGGCTAAGCTACTTATCATCTCTTTTGTGATTGGCGATGAGTAAAGTGAGCAGGACATGTTGTGACCTATATCTATCTTCATGAGCCTGTCTTGAAGCCTGCGAGCAAGCCCTCATCATTAGAGAGTTTTAGATGTGTTCACTGCAAATGTCAAACCGCGGCCAGCAGTTTGTGGTTTGAAGTTTCGAGACTTTCAGCTTTATAGATCGATGTCGGCTTTCACCGAAAAAAAAAATCAACATGTGCGCCGCCATCTTGAATTACACGAAGGATAAGGGTCTTTCATTTTAAGCACAAAATGTAGCTAAAAGATTGGTTTCCTTGCACCCCAAACGGATTGGCTATAAAGAAAATACTTCACCTCACATATATTTATAGGACATACGTGAGAACTTTCGAACAGGAAGACAAAAAGCGTTGAGGGAGTTGAAGTACCTGAAATTGCCTTGCCCGAAGTTCAAACGCGGACAGCAAACGGCAAACATGAACGCTGGAGTCTGGTCACGTGATTCCTAGACGTTTGCGGTTGCACGTATTTAGAAACAAACGTGGATCTTAAACTCCCTGTATTAGTCGGCAAGAGGTCTGGAGCTGACAGCAAAGGGTCTGGCAATTGTAATTAGTCCCAGATCCCTTGCTAACCTCCTCCCAACTGCTTTTAAATTTTCCCACGGGCGGAGAAACTCCCAGGCTACATGACGTTACGGTCTTTTATGGTTACAACTTTGGGTTTGGAGGCTGAATGGGTCAGAGTTTTCTCACTGAATCCCTAAATTTCATTGTCAGTTTCAGAAGATTACTACGATAACTTCCACGGTATTCGGAAAAAAGGCACCAAGATTCCCTTTGTTTTCCACACGACAACGGTAGCAGTCATCTCATTATAACATTAAAATGTCAAAACATCAATTATTTATTAAAAACGGCCCAGGACAGCTGAATGTAATAATTTTTTTCCTCTTTCAAATCCGACTGACCTGGTCATTTGAAGTCATTATTTACAATATTATAATCTCATGTTTCTAACATAATTCTCATAAATTGTCCTATCTCCTCTTGTACTCTACTTACGACAGAAATAAAGAAGCTTTCAGTTAACAGAATGTCATGGAGCTTACAGATAGGATTGGTCGTTTTTTCGCAACATCGTGAACTAAAACCCTTTCACTCTCAAACTTACAATTCTCTGAACCATGTTCCATACTTTTACTACAATTTTGATTCTGAGAATTTCGAGTTTCATCAAACCATATACCATGGATGTTTTTCCATTTTCTCGTCGCTTTGTATCGTGAAAATGTATCAGTATTGTAGGGAGTTATTCTCTTTTGGTCACAAAGGGTCAAGGGAACACGAAATTTTGTGTCGCTTCTAGCCAAATCTGACACTATACCTGCAATAGTTTATAAGTACCGTTTGCGCCCTTCTCAATTGAGAGTCGTAAACGAAAAACAAAACTAACCACAGCAACCAATTATAAAATTTTCTCGTGTGCCAATGAATTCTAGCGTCAAACAAATTGGAAAAGACGCGGGAAAACGCTGGTGACCAAGCGAGATTGTGATCGGTTGAAAAGTGACGCGAGTTTTCTGGATCAGTCACAGAGCGCAGTGATAGCCTTTGCAATACCAGATTCCTTTGGGCATTCAAAGGAAAATTGCATCTTGGAGGAGAAGACTGGACTATAGAACAGAACACAAACTTAAAAACTTAGGGGACAATTTTTCAAAATGTATATACTGTGATTTAGCTCCTGAAGTGACCAATCTGTGTTAGTGAGTGTCTTGTACAATAAAGCCTGAGGCTCAACGGTTATCGTGATACGACTTAAGATTTAAAAAGATGATTAAAAGTTTGTCTACCTTAAATGTTACAGCTATTATCGCGCTACCGCAGTCACCCCTGAAAGTTTTTGACGGCTTTTTTTGTTTAAGTTTACACTTTTTTGAAAATATTCGAATATTTAGTATTCGAAAAGTATTAGTTGGAAATTCAAAATCAAAAATAGACTGGTAAGCGACGTAAAAACTTTTCCCTCTGGTCTTGTTCATGGAGGCGAAGTATTTAGTACTAAAAATCGCGCGGTTTTGACGCCAACGAGGCATTCACATCAAGCGAAATCTGTCTAACATTTGGAAAGATCTCAAAAAGCAAAGGTAAAAGCAAACAGAGAAATAATAATAATGAACAAAAACTCAACCGTGAGGTGTTAACTTTCTGGTGGCAACGGAAGCGCGATTATCTCTATTTAGGACAAGTGAAATTTAATTTTTAAGACCAGAATGATATGAACATATTGCATGTGGCGTCGGTCAGTTAACACTGACGCACGAGTTACAGAGCTGGGCCGCGCTGATACAGTCATCGTGGCAGAATGCTCCGCATTTTCTGCAAACCTCCATCGCTTTCAGACGGCAAGAACAACTCTTAAGCAGCATCGATCTGTTAAAGTTCTTAGAGGACACTGTAGTCGACGTAAAGCCACCTCTTGTAGCAGTGCCCGAAGCAGAGCCTCGTCGTGTTAGATCCTCCCGGTTGGCTGCCACCTGTTGACGCATGGCAGCACGGGATGGAGGTCTCGGTTTTATGAGGGAGGCGGGAGCTCGGAGCTCTACAGCATCGTGGGATAGAATCGACGGAGTAGAAATGGAAGCTGCTGACGTTTCTCGAGACAACGCGCTGTCAGTTGAAGCCTCACTACAAGGCGTCTTTATTGTCCGTTTTTTCGCGTACACCGTACTAGCAGTAAGCATGGACGATGGAGCGCAAGTTCTTACAGCTTTAAGAGCTTCTGTGGCAACCGCCACAGTGACCATTTTGTAAATTGGTATGGACCGCGGTCGAGACGTACGTGCGTTCGCACGGAGCTGTTTAGCGGCTTCGGATCTCCTTGACTCGGTGACTCGTTTAGGAAGACAATGCGCCGGTAGTTTTTGTACAGGTACTGTCAGCGGTTGTATCATACCACTTGCCACCCTTGGTGATTTGAGTTGTGACCTGCCCAGGGTGGAATCCTTGTGGTTTGCAGTCATGGTGCTTCTTGGTGACGAGGCTGGCGCCGGGGAGAGTGGGGCTGTGAAGTAGGAATCCGTACGGTCTTGGGATAAAGAATTGTCTGGAATGTTCCTGTGCGGAAAATAAGGGAAAGTTAAAGAGTGGTACAGTCATTCCTCTCTTTGACGGTCGCCTTTTGATACAAACACAAAAAAAATCAAAAGCAAGGTAACATACCTTTTTCCCCAGACAGGCTCGAAGAACTTGGCCTGCAAAGAAAAAGTTTCACGCGGGTGTGAAAAGACATAATAAAGTCAACCACTTTGCAGCAAAGGTAACTGTTAACAATTAAGAATAAAAAAAACCTTTGCGCCACACAAATAATTGATCATCACACACTACGTTCTGCATCACCTTCCAAGGATCCAATTTTGCCAGTCTCTCTTCCTCCTGTTTCATCCTCTGTTGCATATCAGTCATAAAGTCACCTGGGGGGCAGAAGGAATCAATCCATGAAACATAAACTAGAAGTTGTTAGTAAAAAAACGCGATCTTGCTGACAGTCCCACATGATAGATTGGAGTATTAACAGTGTTCCCCGTGTTGGCTACTTGTTCCTGAATCACTGGCTACTTTAAAATTAATAAGACAAAACAATTTATGACCAGTCTGGATGGCATTGGAGTAAATGCTTTGATAATTCCCAGATTACTTCAAATAATAAATTGAAAATTGTTCTATAAAGTTATGCCTCTTACCATCCTGAAGCCTGTCTTTCCAAGAATGACATGCACTTGCAAAGAACTCATTTGTGAATGCAGTGTGTGATGGTCTGAAAATAAAAAAGAACAGTTTGTTGATCTACTGCTGCTCATAAAAACATTTAGTTAGAAATAAAGAAATTCCTTTTAAGACTTGTACGGCCTAGCACATGCAATTTCAAAATAAACCATAGTAAAAGCTGACCTGTGTTGGGAAGATGAATAAAGGGGGTAAGTTTTTTAATAAACTTTGGTGCTGTATCGGTGGGAGTGTATAGCAGGGTAATTTAGTATTATCAACTGAGTTGATAATGTAAATTGGCCTTCGTTAAGTGTTTCAAAGCTGATGTTTCGAGCTTCAGCCCTTAGTCATTGCTTTGACTTAGGGCTGATGCTTGAAACGAAACCTGTGAAACTCTTTACATTGGCCAATTTACATTATCAACTCAGTTGATAATTCTAAATTATCCTGTGTAGGGAAGGATGGGTAGACGTAAAAAAGAGAAAGAGAAAGAGTTGTACTGCCCCCTGCCAGCTCTCCATTCATTTATCATGACCTAGATACAAATATTCCCTTGTCTGGTTCTCCTCTATCTAACTGAGACATGAAAATGACTCAAAGTTTTGATCAATATTGTTTCTTTGCATCAACAACGGATGCCAAGCACAAACCTTAAAGCTCCATCATGGCCTATTGCCCGGTCAACTTTTGGTAGTAGAGTCACTAACTTGTACTGATACCATTGTGGCAACATATTAAATGTTCGCTGGTTGATGAGAGACTGCAAAAAGATAACGTAGAATTAATTTTTCAACACAATATATCTTATCCTTACTATGTGCCATAAAATTCTAATGATGTTAGTTTAAAGAATTTGGTATCAGATCAAGTGATAATTCCCTTATCTATATTTTCCTTCATTCTCATCTCTTGTCTGCTTGATATTGTATGGACATCATTGGGGAAATTCTTTCTTGGTCATTAAGAGAAGTGAAAGGGTTAACAAAATATTGAAAAGTCATGTTCCTTTGCAGGACTGTGACAAAAATGATGACCAAAGGACATTACTTACACGAAGGGGAATACTAGTGAGAATCGAGTCTGGAGACTGTATGTCTACGCGTCCTTCCTTGGTTCTCTTTAACTGTGCAGCTGAAAAATTAAACAGAATACACTAAGTATGCTGCAATCCTTGAATCCTGCTCATATGCTCAGGACTTTCACAATTTTGTAAGGAGCTTTCAGAATGGTGGACAACACTGATAAAAGAGTTGTTACAGTATCTGTTCACTACCTCTATACACAGCACACTGTTGAGTTCAACCATCATAAAAAATGCATTTTCATGCAATAGTCAATAATGTTATGAGATACTCAGGAAATAAGTGCAATATTTCTTAGGTTCAAAGGTCACATTCCAAAGTTGAGACTGGCAAATTTGGATTCAAAATGTCTGTTACGAGAACAACTGATCACGGCATACAGAGAGCTCATAAATTTGGCATTGAACTTTACTGCATGTTTTGGTAATAACATGTTGGATCTTAAAGCTGGGACTGATCAGCAAAATGACTAAATGCGTGAACACTTTTCACTTCCAAGATCAAAACATCAATACTCAACACTGTCTCCCATACATTTCTCTTGATTTTTGCTTTGAGAATTTCTTGCTGAATCAATCAATATCCTTTAATCAATATTTTTCTTTCCTCTCATCAACTTTCTGCTTAAAAATGTAATGATAAAGTAAGGTAAAATCCCCTTAGTAAGTCTTGGGAGTTAAAGAGTCAACTATTTACTGTATTCTCTGAATATACTCAAAACATGTAACCATAATAATTGCTAACAAGCATTAGTCTGATAACACTCACCAACACTCATTTTCTTGTATCTTCTTGGCTAAAATAGGATTCAATCCATAAGTGCAATCAGAAACAAAAAATTTATACCAGCAATTCTACCATAGGAATGTACCACAGTTCAATAAATATTCATAGACTAGGATAAAATGCAATCTGTTTTCCATGTGCATCAACCAACACTTAAAACTTTCTAGCACTGTTGTAAAGTTTTTAAAACCTTTTAATTTACTCTTTACACCCGACCATCAATATGGTTATTCTCTATACTGTTCTCTAAACATTTCCTTACGTGCTGATGAGGAGAATTTGTGTAACAATCAAGAACTTCTTCTGAATGTGATCAGTTACTTTTCTCATAACCTTAGTGTTTCATTCAAGGTGATATTGCAATGAGTCAAAAAGTTAAGGCTTGACAGTTGAATTTCAGCTAAAGAACTTCACTTTATTTGTCTCAGGGACATAACCAAAATATTGCAAGCTGAGTAAGTGAAAAAACGTTGAAAGGTATCCAAAGCACCCATAACTCTACCATGAGAATTCAATCAAGTACCAAGTAGAAGCTAGCTAACACCACAGGATACCAACCTTGGATGATGTCCATAAGTCAGAAAATTTCTCCAATTTTTCTTGAGCTTCCAGACCATCAACTGAACTTGGAACCCTGGGAAAGCTGTGGCTTGCGATGGCATTGGCTGTAACAGATGCACTAGATGGAGGTATGAGTTTGGATGAGGGTGGAATGAGAACGGATGGAGCCTTCACCTGCTGAGTAAATAATAATAACTATTGTGATGCATACTCATCCTTGCTTACATTGGAAATTAATTCCCAATTGCAGCAACTGCTTATGACAGGATTGTCTTCTAATTTCAAAGCTGCTACTTTTCTTTTCAAGTGGTGGCAATGAATCTAATTGGGCATTCACAATTCACTCAACATGTTTCATCTTATGACATAATTTAGTTTTATTAACTGAGTTGATAATGCAAATTGACCACTGTAAACATTTTTCAAAGCTGATGTGTGTACTATTAACCTCCAGTCAGAGAGAGAATCTTACAATGTCATTTCGTTTACTTCCAGGCTATATTTCAACTACCATTTATCAAATCAAGCATAGCATTAATAGCAAACAAAACTTACTTTTCCATTCCCACTCCTTCCATTACTTCCTGATCCACTTTCAATGGTACCTACTTTGAGATTTTTCAACACCATCTTTGGCACTGGCCTTGTACTACTCAACCTTGGTCTTTTGTTTGATGACTGACTGCGAGGTCCAGGTTTTGGACCCCGTTTTTTTTGTAGTCGTCCATCTTTTGTAAGTGCTGCCTTTGGTTTGGTCTCTCTAGGGGACAGATTGGGCGGCGGTGGTTTCAGCTGTGGCATTACAATGTCATTTGTTCCCATAGGTAACTTAACTTTTCCATTGTTGAGATGAGATCCATTCACACTCTCCTTGTCAAGGAACATGCTAAATTCTGCATCATCAGTCATATCCATAAGGTCAGAATCAGAGTCTTGTGCTGTGATATAGCAAATAAAATAAATATGAAACCAAAAATCTTTCATTCGCTAAGGATATAAAAGCTTCACTCTTGACCCCTTCACTCCTAAGATCACATTGGCAATTCTCCTTACTGACAACCATACAATTCTTATCATGCTACTAAGTAGAATTTGGTACTGGATCAAATAATAATCCCCTAATTGACAATTGCTTTTTCAATTCTCACCACTTGTTCCCTTGATATTGTATTGATATTGTAAGAGGAAATTCTGTCTTGGTCATTAATGGGAGTTAAAGATTAACTAAACTAAGAGACATAGTGAAATGCAACTCACCAGAATTTTCTCCTGAAGTTTCAACCCTGTTTGGCTTTAATGAAAAAAAACAAACAGTTTCAGTATTGAACAGATAAATCACAACGTGGTTGAGTCTTAAGTTTAACTCTTATCATATTCTTACTACTGGACCAGTATAATTAAACAGATAGCAAAGTTTCATGAAAGGAAAAAGACAAAAACTCTTTCAACTGCTAGGTTTGAAATCATAAACATTAGAATCGTTATTTTTCATACTCTATGTTTCTTGAAAATCTTAATAATTTGAGCTTGAACTGCTTTTCCATATTATTGAAACCAGTTTATTTTTCCCAAGGAAACGGGAAAATTCAGGATTCCACTTGGGTTCAATTCCCAATTCAATGTAAGAATTTCAGCTTACATATCAGTAAAGTGCTCATCTTGGCAAATCACTATTGTTCAAGTAAATCTGGTTGCAAAGCCATCAGCACTTACATTGAGTCGGTAACAACTCATTCGTCCTTCGACTTTAATAAATAGATCATTTGGCCCACGAGAGTGATGGTGAAGCATAGCATTAAGACACGCTAAGGGCGCTGTCCCACGGCTGTCAAGGAATAATAAGATTATGGGAAGTATATGTCATCATAGGGCAAAGAGTTCACTCAAAAGTCACATGCAATAGTTTTCATTATGAATTCAAAAAGGTTTGGTAGAGACAAGGGAAGAGGGGAAGGAACTGCAATGACGATGGTGATGATACTTAGCTGACAACACTCCACTAAGAGTGAATGTTTACCCTTGTAAGATTCAATTCATGGTCAATAATTATTATCACTCTAAATCTCATTTCCTTCTATGGTATTATGGTGTATTCTCTCTATCACGCAGCATTCATTGCAAAAGACAACAAAAATTTAAAAATGTGCATGAACTCAAAACTATTGAAAAACAAATAAATAAATAAATAACAAAGGAAATAATTGAAACAAAATAATATACAAACCAAACAGAGCAATATCAAAATAAAGCCTCCCTGGCTAATAGCCCACGAAAATTTGATATTTAAGGAATTCAATTCCGAAGAACTTGGAGACGGTCCAAGATCCCAAAGTTGGTATATTCCTTCCCATTCCCCCTCTAAATTGATTCACAAATACTTATACAATCTTCTTCGTAGCAAAAAATCGAACCAAAAAAAGTCGGCCAATTTTGAATAGGTAATAAAATGCTCAAAAGTCCTGCTAAAATAAAGAAAAAACTCAATCTTCGTACCAATCTATGTTATACTGTACATTAAAAAGTAAAGGTCGCCAGCATCCATAAAGCGCAACTTTATTCGAAATACCTTAACGTCAACCCCCTTAGCTTTGTTTCGATTGTTCAAAATCATTTTACAGTTGGTGAGTTTGTACTATACTGGGGTCAAATATTACACAGGCCTTATAAAAACGTCATGATCTCGAAAAAGGGACCTCTTCACCAACAAAATCAATGAACTGCCACTAATCTTCAAGTCTGTCAATCACAAACTGGCGGAGAACGCATCGCTATTACTTACCTCAAATCGCGCAAACCCTCTTCCTTAATGACCTTGAGGATGTCTTTATGTGTAAGCGGCTCGGTAGACCTCTCTAGCACCTACAAGTAAAATTAATACTCCCCAATTAATGATGTAACTGCTTAGAAAAAATCGTAGAGCTCCGAGTCAGCTGACATTGCATTCATTGTGTCACCATTGCAGTTTACCTGTTTGGCGGCTTCAGCCCATGTTATACCTTTCTTTCTCTTCGTTTCGCCCTTCTCCGTACTCATTTCCCGAAAGAACCGTTAGCGTTCGATAATACCGTAAGAATCCGATCGTTTTCAAGTTGGAAATTGTCAGGCATGGGCAAGATTTGAAGTCTAATGCCGAATCAATCAGACGATCAAACCGCCATTTTGCACTAGACGAACGAACACAACGGATCACGTGACAATTTTACAGGAAGTTTTTAAAACTGACCGCGCCACCACGCCTTTGTGAGAGTCACTTTCGCTAAAGAGCTTGGGTCGAGGCATGTTGTTGTTCACAAAAAAACATTCGGGCGTAATCTGGACAAAGTTTGCGCTAAATTATATGGGCATAGGTTGCGATCGAGCTCTTTCGCTAAAGAGCTTGGATCGAGGCATGTTTTTTTCGCAAGAAAAATTTTTGGCATAAACTAGCCAAAGTTTGCGCTATATTCTACGGGCATAAGCTGCGAACGAGCTCCTGTCTCTCTCAATAACAACTGATAATTTTCGCGGAGAACAGAAATGTTCATAAGATCGGACCGGCGGTTGCATCTCTCAGACACTCCGCTTCAATGCCGATGTTTTACCTTGCTATCCAAACCAATTAAAGGAGAATGTTGCAACTCCTTATTTGCAATAACTTAATGGGCTCCTCAAGACCTTAGCTATAAGCTGGATCGGTGCCATGCCAGGCGCAAATACTGGTATTGTAGATTTCGTGCACTGTTCGTGTCTTACGGTACATCCGGCCAGCAAACTTACCCAAGTTGATTACGCGCAGAAGCTGTATTAGTTATATGAACTTGAACGAACAGTAGTGGAATTAAACCACAGGGTCATTTAGCTCTCTATTTTGTGGATTTTCAGGTAATCTGAGTTCTATTTTTTTGTCTAAGTTATGATTTTCAAACATCCCTATTATTTTTGTGCTCTTGAATGCTTTTGGCTTTCAATTTTGGGCCCGAAATATCGTCATCGTTCGGGATAATTTCAATCCAGGCTGATATATCTTAAAAACTCACGGAATTATACGAAGAGATTACACTTCGTACATATCATTGTAATAGCGTAATCGGTTTTAGGCTAAACTGGCGGTAAAATTTCCCCACAGCCCCATACTACATTATGCATTCAGTTCTTGGATAAAGAAAACAATGACAAAAACGGTACATTGCCTTTGGGAAAACAGATTTGTTTTACAATAGTATGGGGCTGTGCGGAAATTATACCAAACTGGTGAACCTAGGGCAAGGTATACCCGATGATCACCCAGTAACGAAATGTTGTTGTTGTTATTGCGATCTTGTACTTATTTGATTGCTTTGTGAATTACAAACGCAGCTATCAAAGCAGTCCAGTAGTTGAATTAAATTTATAATTCTTTTCAAATGTGAGATATACCAAGAGAACTTGGGCCTACAGCACTGATTTACCTTTTAATAGGGCATACAGTGCCATGTTTGCAAAGAAGTTTCTTGGAAACCTTGACCCTTTCACCCTCAAGGTGTCTGGCTTCCAATTTCTCCTTAAAGTATCACCCTTGAATCAAATATAAAGGTCATGAGAATAATGGGAATGACTGCTAATTTAAGAAGCTTTTGGTTGTCAAAAAAATTCTTCATTTCAGTATCCTAGAGAGTATGCAGTGCGCTAGAGAGTATGCAGTGCAGAGAATATGCAATTCAATGTTAATGTTAGGGTATAAAGAGTTATGTTGTTGTTGAAACTCAAGAAGTTTGTCTGACATACACATATTGGCATCTTCCCTCAGTTATGGCACCTCCTCAACTTCGTGGCTTTGTGCAGAAAAACCTCCAAAGAGCTATTTTGAGGTCCATTGGGCTGGGCATTATTGCTGGCTGCATATGGAAGTTTGGCTATGCTGATCCAAAGAGGAGAAGGTATGAAGAATTCTACAAGAACTATGATGCAGAGAAAGTTGCTGAACAGATGTGGGTCGAGGAACAAGCTCGTCAAGCACAAGCACAGTAGGTAAGTCTTCTTAAGGAGATAATAAACAGAAAGAGACCAATATATAACTGTTGGAAGAGTGCTGGCCTTGCACTGCTGTGGCTAAGGTTTGATTCCTAGATCAGGCTTCAAACATGATTTGAGTTTGTTGATGGTTCTTCCATTTTGCTCTATGTGTCTTTTTATGGGGGTTTTCTGGTATTAACACACCCTTGGCAATAAAAAAAATCTCCTGATTTCATTTTGATATGGAAACAGTAAATAATGAGAAATACTTTTTGGATGTATAGTGCTACTAGTAAGTTTGATTATTTATCCTTACTAAGCTGGCTTCTCAATTCAGATTACATATCTATTACATTTTCTGATGACAACCAAGCTTTTAGCTAGATGGCCATTCAGCTGTCTTGAAGATGGCCACTTTTTAAGAGAAATAAATAAATAAACAAATAAATAAAAGCAGATCTTGTTGAGTTGTAGTCAGCAATTTCATGATAGTTTGGAAAAAAAAACCATTGGATTTTATAGCCATTGTGAAAAACTTCACATACCATCTCACAGTCATATAATTCTACTTTTGTACCTGTGGTTCTTTGATAGGCAAATGTTGATCACTATTTTTCCATTTATCTGTGTTAAGAGCATGATATTTGGTATGGAATCAATTTCATGGAAAGGAATGTCATGTAGTGAGAAGCATTCTTACTGAAGAGTGCTTATTGGTGGCTACATGACATATAAGTTGTGAAAGCAGTACATTCATTAATTGTATCTTTGTTTCCTTCTAGATTTCTTCCAACACTCAACACATTGATGAAAGCTGCATCTCTGTAATTTTTTTTTCTTAAATTCCACTTGTTTGTGTCAATATTTCTTCCTGTGAAAGCAAGTCTTTTAAGCTGGATTGTTATTGCTTTAACTATTACAGTTGTAAAGACATAAAATTTATTTTGTGCAAACTCATTTGAATTCATTTCTGGTAGTTTAATCGGGCTGTCTTTAATGATCAACTAAAATAAAGCTGTATAATTTTCTTGCTTTTTGAACTGTTAACTTGTATGATAAAAAGTTGTTGTAATGGCTCATGGTTATATCCAACCATACATGTATTATGCTTGGGTCTGATTTTGGGCTCATGCTCAAAACATCAGGTTTAGAAACTCTCGACAATAGCCAATCTAAATTATAAACACAGTTAATATCGCCAAATTATCTTGTAATACTCCCTACCGATGAGGCACCACAGTTTCTTTTAGAATATCTGTGCTGCAATTCTCTTCAAAACCAGTGGAAAAATTATGCTACATTGATACAATTACAAATATTTTTACTGAACCCTCTTTTTTTTTCATGGTGGGTCTAAGCAAGGAATGAAGAAAGATATTTTGTGTCTTCTCTCAAACATGGAACAGAGGAAAAATTCTGAGTCCCCTTTAGGAATCAAAACCTAGACTTGTGAATTTGGGATTAAGAAGGAGACTCTGTCATGAGCTTAGTCTACAGAACAGTCATGAGTTTGGCAACCAAGTGCTCAGTATTTTTTGGTGAAAATAATAGCTGCCATCTTTGATTTTACAGCAGTAGAAGACTGAGGAGAGAAAGGAATTTGTAGCAGGGGGATGAGGGACAGTCAAAAGAAAGGAGGGGGGGGGGTTCTTAGCTCACTACCCTGTCCTCCTAACTCTAAGTCAAATATGTCCAGCCAGATATACAATGGTGAGCTTGTAACTCTAGCTTGTCCAAATGAGACACCTGCTCTCTGCAGGTTGTAGTGAGCTACGCTCTGTCTTGATCCCATCAAAAGCAATCCAACCTTTACAATTCAAACTCTGAGGAAAGAAAGGAATTTGTACCAAGGGGGTGAGGGACAGTTAAAAGAATAGAGAGGCAGGGGGGAGGCTAGCTTGTAATGCTAGCTTGCCCAAGTAAGACACCTGCTCTGCAGGCTACAATGAGCCATGCTGTAATGTCTTGATCCCACCAAAAGTAACCCAACCTTGACAATCCAAACTCCATAGCTGCAAAACACATTTTATAATGCAAAAGCATGGATTAAGAATTGGTTTTATAATTCTGTAGAAACACATTTTTTAAAACTAAGTTTAATGCAAATTTAGAATAGCAGAGAAAGAAATCTTTTATTACTTCATAAGCTATTTAAAGGAGTTTAGTTCCTGCCTGTTGGTGATACATGTGCACTATAGTTGATTCTTTCAGCATAGTGTAATTTTGCTTGTGCTTAATGAGCTTGTTCCTTGACCCACATCTGTTCAGCAACTTTCTCTGCACCATAGTTCTTGTAGAATTCTTCATACTTTCTCCTCTTTGGATCAAGTGCAATTATAGATCCTCATATTTCCAAAAAATGATAACAAGAAAATGCTGGCATGCTCTAAATATCATTAAAATTGAAGACGTGAACTATGGGTGCCACTTGGAACTAAATAAAATTTCTTGTCAGGGAACAAGATTCCCAAGATGTTTAAGACAAAGTGTGTGATCATGACGACCATCTAATCATGTCTGGATTAGCATATGTCCAAATGTGTTTTCTGCTATTTTAAGAATTCAAACAAAGAATAGCAGGGAAAAGGCCAGATGTGAGTGCAAGTTGAAGCAAAATTACTTCAATTTTCCAACATTTTCATTATTTTAGCTCATGCTGGTTGAGAAGACTCAAGGGATATTGATGACTGCTTCACTGTGTAATCTTTAGCTTTTATTCCCATAGATGATTGGATTATGGAAAGGAGAAGGAGCTACAAGTGTCCTTAATTTTATCAAGTTATCAGGAATCTTACCAAACTCAATCAAAATCTGATATGGATTTTATTTTGTAGTCCTTTAATCACTCTACAGCAAGCCTTAAGTGAGTCAAATCAAAATATGTATGGGCGAGTATTGTGCTTATTACAAAATTTAAATTGTTAACCTTTAACTCCCATGAGTGACCAAGACAGAATTTCTCCTCACATTATAAATACAATATCAAGCAGACAAGTGATGAGAATAAAGAAAAATATCAATTAGTGGATTATAAGCTGATCCGATACCAAATTCTCCACACTAACATCACAAGAACTGTATGGCAGACAGTAAGGAGAATCACTATTGAGATCTTGGGAGTTAAAGGGTTAAGAGTTGCTATACTATTGCTAACTACAAAAAATCATACCTTGAATATATTATTGGATAATTATTATTACATTCTGTCTTGCTCACCATCCACACTTTGTGATATTTAATTAACATTAAATAATGTGTTTCTGGAAGAATCTCCCCAAAAATGCTGCCATTGATATAGAAAATTCTCTTACGCCATGAACAGAAATGTTACCTGTAGCATTGTTAAAATATAAAAGTCTATGATAACATACATGATTCCAGCATGTTTCTTACAGTAATTATCTTATAACATTGCATGTCTCCTTTCAATAACTAAACAAATAGCTTAAATATAGTAAAAGCTTATCAATAAACAAAGTTAGATAAACTGTTAACAGGTAAATCTTTAAAGACTTGAAAGTCTGTATAGCATAATACTTAACTTGGCCACCTAATAAAACATGAAATATTTTGAGGATTACAATTCCAGTAAAACTCTTATTAAAGAAACAAGTTTTTGAACCATGACTGTCCAAAAGTTACACCAATAATTCTCCCATCTAGCTTTTTAAAAATTTTGTTGTGAACATGTAAGGAGAATGTTAAACAGTTTTTTTCTAAGTGATGTTATACCATGATGCTACCTACAATTGAAATGATTTTCTGTAATCATCAATATTTGCTGGATTATGTATTACATTAGAGAAGAGAACTTAATTGTTAGTGTTAATTATGAGTGACTGAGACAGAATTTCTCCTTACATTATAAATACAATATCAAGCAGACAAGTGATGAGAATAAAGAAAAATATCAATTAGTGGATTATAAGCTGATCCGATACTAAATTCTCCACACTAACATCACAAGAACTGTATGGCAGACAGTAAGGAGAATCACTATCAAGATCTTGGGAGTTAAAGGGTTAAGAGTTACTGTACCATTGCTAACTACAAAAAAACATACCAGTAACATACATAACCAGTAACACAAGTTAATGGTTCCAATATTGAATTTCTTAATAACTCTTAAACCCCTAAAAGTGACATGCATCTAATTTCTCCTTACAGTATTGCTGCTAAATCAAACATTAAGGTCATGAGAATAAAGGAAATGGCTGCCAATGAAAGCTCTTGATTGTTACAAAGATTCTTCAGTAAAACTTGAATTTTCTCGGAAAAGATATTATTTTTTAGGCACTTCAACTTTTAATTCTTTACCTATAAAAACTAGGCAGATTAGTGGTAGGTTATTATTTAGGAAGTCTGTAGATGAATATTTTGTATAGTGTAGTTTACATTTGCATAAGTAACAAAGTCATTTTTTTCCTTTTTTTTTATCCTTATATTTTATGTTTTTAAGCAGGACCCCTTTGATAACACCAAGTACTCTTGCGCTGTAGGGCTATCCTGTATAAATATTCACTTTATTATTATTATTATTTTATGTCAGTACATCAGGAAATCTACACAAAACAGATTAGACAATATGCATACTGATGTGTAGATGATACTGATACTACCTTTATACTCTATGAAAGCATACAATCAAGGATAACTCAAATCATATTTCATATATGCGAAAAATCATATATGTGAAAACCGTATTAACCTGTTAAATCCCAGAGATGATTAACATGCAACTTCTCCTAATAATATCCAGACATTATCCAGCAAGCAAGTGATGGGAATACGCAAACTTATCTGATAGAATTCATCTTGATCAAACACTACATTTTTTAACTGATTTACAAGGAAATTTGTAGCAGCTAGAGGGGAGAATCAACAATCTGATATTTGGTGTTAAAGAGTTGAGAAAATATTGAACTGAGCACACTTTTTATAAACAAAGTTAACCAAGATTTAAAACTATGAACCAACTCTAAAGTCCAAAATTAGAAAATGTATACTGCTTGTACATGTATCTTACTTTCAGAGTTACTTTTTAGGTCTCCATCCATTGACAAGTCTTGATATTTTCTTGCACTGAAAAGCATTCAGCCCCAGTGCCTTAAGCTCCTCCTCAGTCAGATTGACAAGGAGGTCACCATCCACCTCATTTTCAGCAAATAATTCCACAAAATTTTCAAAACTGTAATTTCTCAAAAATTGGGACACTTCTCTTATGGACATTTGGGAGAGATCATCTGGTACAACAAACTGTTTCTCTTTCTCATTCTGCTTCCCCATTGGCTTGGCCTTTATTGAAGGTGGCTTTGGCTTGATAGCTGGTGGGATCTTTTTTACCTCTGGCTTATTCTCTTTAGGACTCTGTTGTGCTGCCTCTTTTGATTTTCGTGGAGGTTTGACAGGCTCTTTATTTGTGGTTGGTTCAACACCTTTCATGACAGGAGGAGGATAATTTTGGTAGGCATCATCATCTTCATCATCATGATTGATAGCCACTTTATCCAGATTTTTATCAAGATTCACCATTTCTGCTGAAGCCTTACCATCAGATGGTAGGACACCATTTGGCTTCAGGTCTTGGGAAAGGGTGGATTTGTCTGGCACAGGTTCGTCGATGTAAGTGTATTCATGGCTGTCATCACCAGAATCAGAGTTACTTGCTTCAGGTACCTGACTACTGGATGAAGAAGAGTTCTCTGCACTTTCACGGAGAGGAACAGGTGGGGGTGGTGATGAATCATCTGCAATATACTCATACTCCCTAATGGTGTTCCTCGATGCATAAATGTTCTGTATCTCCATGTTCTCAATCTTCAAAAGACTGACCCCATCGTGAAACAAGCGACAAATGCGGACATAATCCTTGTCATCTGACAGTGCCCCACGAGCCACATTGATTGTGACTGGAAGATTTTTGGGGCAGCTGACCACTGTTCTAACGCTACCTTCTTTAGTAGTGCAAATAATGGTAGAATCTTGGTACACTTTTTCAAATGACAGCACCCCGAGTGATGTGTTAAAAACACCCTCACTTGATCTTCGAGTGATAGAAGGTGGTTCAGTGAACTGAAAGTAGACTGGCAGCTTAAATGACGACATCATTAGCTCCTTCAGATAGTACTCCCGTCCATCAAGCAGGGACTGGAATCCAGCACTGACACTAAAAGGTAAGCGAATGGGGTTGCGCTCTTCAGTAAGGAACACGACACAGTCCTCTTTCCCTCCCATTCCATGCTCCACGCGGATCACTTCCAGTTTATCTCCGGGATTCAGGCTCACTGCTTCTTCTTCCAGATAATACCCTTGGGTCACCCTTACAAATCTCGCTGGAATTCTACTAATTTCCTCCACGGTTTCGTAAATTCCTCTGAACTCGGCGGGACGAAGCTCGACCTTCTGTGAACAGTTCAAAGGAATATGAAGCTCTCGTTTCTTTCTGTCTCGAGCTAAAACTTTCTCTGTAGTTTTCACGCAATGTAGCGTGAGGATCTGTTCGGCCCCAATGCATGAGTCTTCAGTTGGGCCATAGTAACCTTCTTGCACTTTGACAATTTGAGGCAAAGGAAAGCGATCAACAAACTCGAAGAGTCTGTATTCGATGTCACTCCAGATCAAATTTCGTAGGTGGGGATCCATCACTTTTTCTGTAGTCACTCTACTGCTAAAATAGCATTCTCACGATCGCGACTGTTTGGTCTTGAAGGGAGCGGTAAAATTTTCGGCATTCGTAATTGGATCCGTTTGGAATACTTCCTCTATGCCAGCGGTTAAATAGGGTGTGGTGTAGGTTAGTACAATGAGTGACTTTAACATATGCTATTAAAGATTGACATTCAAAAAGAAAATGAGGAAAAATTTTGTAAGCAGTGAATATAAGAAGTTCTATTTAATCTTTTTGCTCGAAGCAGCCATTGGAGCGTTTTTTTATTTTATCGGGGTACACTTAAGGACATTTGAAATGACGAGATACATCTCATCTCAGCTGATTAAACTGATTAGAGAGTAAGGACCAGGTTCCTCTCCAAAAGATAAAAATCTCACCGGAACCGCGACCCGCGCGTAGTTAAGTGAGGTCGCGCAGTGGAACCATGGACTGGCTAATGGTCCTTCTCTCGCCTTTTGTCGTGGCCTTTGTCTATCCAGTTGTAATGCTTATCATGATGTATGGCGCTGCAGTTTTTCTGCACGTTTATCGTCACAGACGGCGCGAGATTTTCGACGCATACTCAGAGAATTATTGGGACGGTGCAATGCAAACGGTTGCAGCTGTGTTCGATGCGCATGGCTCCCTTTGGCATGGTAAGAAAAACAATTTTAGCCACGAAGATATTTCTTGCAAGTGCTTCGCGAAATTGATAAATAGTAGACAGGTTTCATGGGTGCGCGATGCACATACGCACATGTATTTTGCTGCCTCTTCTAGTTTGCGCTTTTCTTTTTTTCTTCTTTTTTTCAGATTTTCCCAAAACAGTCGTTTTAGCTATTGAACGTTAACAATTTCTATTCATTTTAGTAACATACATCTGTAGCCTCATAAATAGGCTAGCTCGTCAACCTTAACAATTTTACGTTGGGTGCATACGTGAAAATGTTTCGTACCGGTTGCATGGCCAAAGCTAGCCTGTGTGCGTTCTTGAAACTAGAGCCGGAAATCCTGTGATCTCTCATAGGGGTGTCACTTACAAGTTTTGCAATAGAATATTCCTTATTTTTTACCTTCCATGCTATACATGATTAATTAAATCTACTTAAAACCTAAAAGTATTTGTAATTCTACTTTTTAAGACAGCTATATTGTAAACTAAGGATGGTTAATCTCTGCATGTTTTTTTTTAACCATCACGTTCATTTGAGAAACAGGAAACACGAGAGGGTGCCAATGACCCAGGTCTCAAAAAAAATATTTCATAGAGGTCTCTTTCAAAATCAATTTACCTAAAACCATTTCTTGAGATTGACTCAGTGCTACAATACTTGTATGAAAACACAAATTGAGTTGTCATAAAAAGCTGTTTTCCATTGAGTTATTTTTGTTGGTGTGATTTTAGTCAGGTTGGAGCCAAATTTTTCTCCCAGTAGCTCATGTTTTCTTGCTGGGTCATTGGGTCAGGGGTGTGCTGTGGGAGTGTTATCCTTAAACCAACGGGAGAAAAGTAAATTCTTAGAAATTTGATTCCTCATTTGCTCGAAAGCAAGGTGAAGGGCACTGAGAGAAATGAATATTCTAGAGAGGAAAGTTATGTAATATTTATGTTCCTAAACCAAATAACCTATATATATATATATATATATATAAATATGAGGAAAACAGTCTTAAAATTTTGACATTTCTGATTTCTGATTTCTGATGTTCTACTAAGAAATTATTATGAAGAGATTGACACTTTTACTCCCAAGATCTGATTGTTAATTTCCTTGTAAATTAGTTAGGAGAATTTGATGTAAGGTCAAGCTATAACTTATACCTGATAAGTCGGAATATTCTCATCACCTCTTTACCTGATAATGTATGGATATTATAGGGAGAAGTTACATATCAGTCAGTTATGGAGGGTAAAAAGTTGAAGCTTATTCACTGAGAGATCATTGCCAAACACAAAAAAGTCTGGGGTTTGATTCTGATTGGGGATTCTGATTAAACTCTGACTTTTTGTTCCAGGCTCATTACAAAGCTAAGTTCTTTCTTTATATTTTTTTTGTCACAGTTTTCTACCTTATGAAATTTTACAAAAATTGAGGTCAATTATTGTTTTATTTCATTCAAGGTTATGACCTTGTGGGAATGGAGAAGTTACCAGACAAAGGACCAGCACTATTGATATACTATCATGGGGCCTTGCCTCTGGATATGTATTATATACTATCTAGACTACTGCTTTGCAAAAAGAGAAGGCTGAGGAATGTGGCAGCTACATTTTTGTTTCATATACCAGGTATTGTGCTGTTATGGCCTGCTAGGCTGAAATAATATTTAGTTACTAGTTGTACTGATGATCTGTAGAGGATTAGGGAAAGTGGCATGAAAAAAGAAAATGGAAAAATCAAAACAGGTTTGAAAAGATATGTTATGGTGAATTTTATACATTCAAACTATTTCAATAGTTGTTGAGCAGGTTTGTGGATGGATGGATTTGGTCGTTACCATTTACACCCCAGCATCAGAATGTATATTCTCTATACTGTTCTCCATACATTTCCTATGGTACTAACAGGAAGAATTTGCTTGTCAATCAGGAACTTTTGAAATTGTTGATCATTTCCTTTCTTCTCATGACTTTTGTATTTGATTCAGTGGTGATATTATGAGAAGAAATTAGAAGTCAGTCACTCTAAGAGTTTAAAGGGTTAAAAGTTGATAGATTAATGACTTTTCTCTCTGAAAAATATAGAGGATAGAAGCTTTGATAAAAATTTTGGCCCTGTAACATAATTCTGTTTGTGTGAATCAGATTTATGGTACCATTATTCTTCTGTAAACCTCAGTTTGATTGGTTTGTTATTGGTATCTGTTTGACTCAATTTTTTCACTTTTGGGTATGTAGAGAATGTTTCAAAACTTTTGTCTAACTTTGACATGTTATTATCTATTGTGCAATTAAGTTTGTAAAACCAATATACTTCTTTCCTATACATCAGTAAAAACAGGACACTTCAAATCAATCTTAATGTTATAGCAAAACAGCAAAAAACTAATACGAGACTATTGATTTTTACAATGTTGTATCACTCAGAAACTTTGTCCGCACTCTCTGATGGTTACACACACATAATAATATATCAACCTAACTTGTAAATTTGAGTGAAAACAATTGATAAAATAACAAAGGAAAAAGATATTGCCCAATCATTAGCTTAATGAACAATTCCTGTGAGTGAGAGTGAAATTAAAATCTTGACCATCAAGTAAATTTGTCGTAACAATAGATTGAGACATACATTACACTCATTTGCAGTAAATGATCCCTTACAAAAATTTGAAAAACTCTTCTCTTGATAGTTACTACACCATATCCTTTAACCTTATTTATACCTAATTTTCTTGAAGGTATTCAGTTGCTTCTCGAAGTTTGTGGAGCTGTAGAAGGACGCTCCAGAGAGCAATGTGTGGAGATTCTAAAGGTTTGAATTTTGCTGATAAACAATGATTGAAAGTTAATTTGAATTTATTAATAGAAGACCAAAATTTTTTAACTTGCAGTGATAACCTAGAACCCAGGATTGAACTTGATTTAGGTGTGTCTTTGACCCTCAATAAACATCTCTAAGTTTAAGATCCAAGGTTACTCTGTGTGTTAATTTTAATTCTCCCTTCTAGCAGCTACATATTTCCTTATAAATTAGTGAAGAGAATTTGGTGTAAGATCAAGATAACAACCTCTACCTGATAAGTTTGAGTATTCTTATTACCTGTTTGCTGGATAATGTATGGTTATTTTAGGGAGAAGTTACAAGTTAATCACCTGGAATAAGGGCTTTTTTGCCATGCACCCTCCTTTAAAAATATAATAGGCTGTCGCAATTACTTTTAGTTGGCATTATAAAAAAAAGGTGCACAGTCATAGTTTTAAGTTTCTTGTTGTTCACTGATGAGGGAAATTCTTTTTCTAGAATGGTGACTTATTGGCCATTTCTCCAGGAGGTGTTAGGGAAGCTTTGTTTTCTGATGAATATTACACTATGATATGGAATGGAAGGCGAGGATTTGCCAAAGTAGCTCTTGAGGCCAAAGTGGTGAGTATTTAATCACAGATTCATTCTGCTTTAGGGAAATTGAAAGGCTCTCCATTTCAGGTCTATTTAGCACCCTGGCTGGTGTGGTTACTTGGTGGAATTTGGTATTCAGTTCATATAAGAAAAGCCGTTCAGTTTTCAAGCTGAAATTCTAGCCCTGTCACTATTTTAATGCACAATTTCACCTCAGCCACTGTTATCAATTATAAAAAGGCATAACCTTTTAAGCTCAAGGTCCTTTTAGGGGTATAGGGATACAAGACCTTTTTTGGTAAAAAATGGGATACTTGAGGATGAAATTAATGGGATGTGGTGTATTTAAACTAGAGATTTCAGGGTATTGAAGTGAAATTATAGGGATCCGAAACAAACCAAGGAATTAATGCAATATGGGATATTTAGGCTACACTGAGAGATTTTAGGGGAACAAAACAGTGGAATTAACATGATAAGGGATATTAAGGCTAAATATTAAAAGGATACGGGATACTCCGTTACCTCCCAATAGGGTCTCAAGTTCATCCTGGCTTCTAGGTTAGAGTCAGAAAGAAATTCATCTTAGCTAATTCAGATCATGGTTATAAGGTTAAGGGAGAATAGGAAAATGCTTCTTCTTCAGCCCCCTTCTCATACAGGACCCCCACAGTCTTACCCCTTAGAACATGAAAGGTATCCAGTCACTTCACCCCGTGGTCATTTCGTCCCCAGTCACTTCGCTTTAATCAAAAGTCAGTTTGCTCCATAATCGAAGTCACTTTGCTCCATACAAAAGTTATTTTGCTCCATGTAAAAAATTAGTGAAATATTGTAGTGAACTTTTTGTTTTGATGTTGGAGTTGGACTGATTTTGAACTTATGTCAGTTCAGATTTTTTAACTAATGCAGCTTCCAGTCGCATTCGCTTACACTTGGTAAACGAAATATCATTTCGTAACTTTTGCATCAACAACATCGGCATGGCAAAGTTACTTGGGATGGGAGGATGTGGAAAGGGGAGAGGGGGGCAGATGACTGCTCACTTCCATGTTTCTTACATTATGCAGGTTTTTCTCTGTCATTCTCTCCACAGCCCATCTATCCTGTTTATACACAGAATGTAAGAGAAGCCATCCGCTCCATTCAAATTGGACGCAGTAAGTACAAGGGATATTTATGATTTTAAGAGAAGGAAGAAAAAACTAATGTGACTCTTTAACCCTTAAGAGTGAATGGCATCTAATATCTCTTTACAGTATTCCCCTTGAATCAAATGTGAAAGTCATGAGAACAAAGGACATTATTACTAATTTTAGAAGCTGGTTTTTGTCAAACAAATCCTTTATGTCAGCATAGTAGGAAATGTAAAGAGAACAGGTTTAAGAATAGCAATACCAGTGTTAGGGTTCAGCGGGTCCAAATATCATGCTTTTTTTGTTCCCTAAGGTAAATCATTATAGTATAATTAGTATCATGTTTTAATCTTGAGTAAGGTTGTACAATTACTATGAAACTCTTGCCTGATTGTTTGTTTTGATTTAGACCCACTCTGACTTGAATAGTTACCGGTAGTTATGAAGAGCATTATAAGGATACAACACGGTTTCATCACAAGTTAATCTTAATTTAAAGATGATAAGAGTTTGAATTGACCATCTTGCAGAATGGTTTCGAAAGTTATATGAATGGACAAAGCTACCACTTGTTCCACTGTATGGTGGTTTTCCTGTCAAGTTGAGGTATATTTCTTAAAAGCTTATTGTAAAAAATTTTGACTTATGATTCTCTGATTGGAGGAGATTAGTGACCAATTTACCCAAATTTTACAATGTCTGATCTGCCAGCTTGAAAATGGAATTAAGTTCCCAGAGTAAGCTGTAAAACTCTTTCCAAGTTGAAATTGTTTGTTCAATATTTGTAGTCTGATTTTTTGTGCTTCCTCATTAACAAGTGCTCATTCTTTTTGTTCTTTATTCTTTTTTTGATTTTAGAACCTTCATAGGAGATCCTATTTACTTTGATTCTAAATTGACCAGTGATGAATTAGCTGGGAAGGTACAGACATAACTCTTGTACTGATTCTGTGATAGTTCCTTGTATTGCTTTGTCTTAATGTGACATTTCCATTACAAAAGGTAATTTCAGTGAATTGCTCTATGGTCATTCAATCTTCAAACAACTAGGACCAATTTGTTTTACCCTTTAACTCCTAAGATTAGATTGTGAATTCTCCCTTTTGCCTCTACACTTTTCCTTATTTGTTAGTTACAATAATTTGGTGTTTAATCAAAATGACAACTTCTACATGAAAAGTTTGAGTATTCTCATTACCTGTTTTCTGAATAATGTATGCATATTAGATGAAGAAGTTACATTGCTTATCACCTCTGGGAGTTAAGGGGTTAAAACACTTTTTCTTAGGTTCAGAAGGGAATCCAAGAACTGATACTGACCCACCAAAAGTTACCTGGTAGCATCATTACAGCACTCCAAGACAGATGGAAATTGAAAAACAGCTCTGTGAAAATTGCCAAGTAAATTAACATTTCCTTCAGGCCTCTATATAATAACAAGTAAGTGAAACAGTGAATCCTGACCATAAATTTTCTAAGCTGATTGGTGGGATCAAAATTAATGAATCAAATCAATTGATCGTGATTAATATTAACTTAATATTTTTGAGGTGATATTTATCTCAGAGCCAGCTACATGCTTGATTAAATATTTGTGCAACTGAAGTCAAAAGATATCTTCAGTTTGTATGTTTCATTTACCACCCCAGGTCAAGTGATAATACTCTAGGGAACTTTATCTTTCAAATTTCTACTTATTCATGTACATGTTAACACATAATTTACAAGGGATAAAGCTGGGAATTCATTTGAGACCTGGAATTGGTAAATGAAACATACAAACCAGAGGTCTATTATATTACTTCTGACAGTACAAATTATTTCTCTTAGATAGGAACAGAAAAAGAAAGGGCATATTTTGAATTATCACATAATTTGTTTTCAGTTAGAAAAGCAATTATTAGCTGGGGAATAATACTAAAATTTAATATATATTTGTATGTAACAATCTTTAAATTAATATATTATATTTTTGTACATTTCCACTTTCAAAATTAAATAAGTGACTTCATACTTTAGTGTGCATGTACAGCATAGGGACATAGCGCTCTTGAATTTCAATGATCATATTTTAATTTGAAATTTTTACTTTCATCAATTCATAATTCATTTTATAATTTATTACCTAGTTTTTTCTTCAGTTTCCAAAATATGACATCCTCAGAACAGCACGAACTCTCTGCACTTGTCTTTCAAATATAAAGTGATAAACCCCCGATGATGCTTTTTTGAAAGTGTTTTTTTTTCCCTTACTTTATCAATATTACTACAAATGAATTAAGCCTTTTTGCTACAAAATGGAAAATGTATTTTATTTCCTTAAAATGGGAAATTGTCTCATTCCACTGGGAGATGAGAATTTTATCTTCTCATGGTGCCATCAGCACTCTAAGATAGGAAGGCATCTCCACATGGGCATGTGAAATCCTCTTTATATCTTGAAAATTATTATAATGATTTTTTTGTTGAGTGGAGAGGAATCACTAGTTCTTAATTCTCAATATTTTTTATGTCTGTATAGCTCAACATTATTTATTAAATGATGCTTTAATAACGGTTTAAAAAAAAGTTGAGATAAAAACTTTAACACATGAAAAATCCGACATCTTTAAATTTTTCTATATTTATCGAGTACAAAATTAAATTGACGTAATTATAGTTTATATCAAAATCACATACTGTATTATAGAATGCCAGATTATTGAAATTACAACTATTACCAATTATTATTATTGTTGTTATTGCAATGATGATGATGATCATTGTTATTATTTACAAATACACTCCCTCGACCGATTACACATCGGTTTTGCACATTGATAATTAACGTTCGCTTCTCAAGGATGAAATTTGATCGCCTTCCACTTTTTTCGTCGACAATGGCCTCTAGCAGTCCTCGCCTACTGTAAAAAAAAAATAGCCCATGTACTGGGCGTTTGTTTGAGCCATGAGTAATGTTTGATTTCGGTCACATTCACAAAAATACAGAAGCAAAAATCTTACATTTAGTTCACCCTAGCTTGCTGTGCTCCTGTACTTTGATAAACCATGCTGTTTCAGCCAATAAGGGCTCACCTTGTTGCTAACACTTTATCCCGCTGCTCTGAAGAAACAAAAACTAAACATGGACATAAAAAGGTAGACAGAAAGCTGAAATTTTTCCTCTCTCGTCGGCTGATTTTGTGCGGTTTTGAAGGGTGGATTACCTTGTTCATTCAATGTTCAAGGGATCTTAAAAACTTCGGAGCCATCGTAATACCTAAATCCTCAATCGTATATCGTAGAAGCGCTTTCTGTTAACCCTTCAATCCCTAATAGTGACAAGGTTCTAATTTCTCTTTACAATCTATGCCTTGAATCAAATGTTTAAGTCATGCGAATAAAGGAAACGATCAGCAATTAACGAAGCTCTTGATGGTTTCACAAATTCTCCTTGTTAGAACTTAGGAAATGTGTCAAGAACAGTATGGAGAACATGCATAAGGATGTTAGTTTGTAAAGGGTTAAGTGATTTCCAGTACGTCGCGAAAGACTGGAAGCCCATGTGGGAGGGCAGGAACATAGAGATGGCAGGAAGTTTTGTGGGTTGGTTACAGTAGAAACGACATCCGCTTCTTTGGGCTTCCTCCGTCGTGCAGTGAAGCAAAGAATGCTGAAAGAGATGAGCATCACACGTGAGTAAGACTAGAAGTATGAAGTGAAAGCAAGATACCGTCTGGCTACTTTCCGCCATCCTGTACGGCGTAATCTCAAACGGAAGAGCTGGACTTCTGCCTTGAAAAGAATTGCTAAAAATCAATCTAGTCGTAATCCTTTTAACAGCCTCAAAATCCTTAAAAGTGAGGATCGGTCGAAAGACTGCAATGATGAACAAAATGGGTATCGCGCATGTACTGTTGTTGAGAGGTGTACAGGTTGAGATAAACTATTATGTGCGTTGAACATCTGAAAATTTTCAGTTCAGACGCTGGAGTGGAAAGTAGAGGGGAACTTTAGAGGCATTGAAAAGGAAACGCACTCGAGAAAGTGTGTGACTTTCCCATGCGTTGGTCAACCAAGTTCGACTCGGCGCAGGCTCTTAAGGAGTGATATTTTTTCCGCATTTTCTCGATAATCAATCATTCAGCATCTCTAAATGACTCGTGAACCATGGTGCACGTTCATGAATCAGAACTTGTGAAACGCATTCTGATAGCACACCATATCACTACTAGCACCCAATCGGTTATGAGGTCCAGCTTTGGATGACAGCACAGCTTAGAGCAATCTACAGGCGCAGTTAGTGAACCAGCGTGTAGTAGCCGAAACGTCACTCAATTTTTGTTAATTAACATCTGTTTGTTTGTCCGCCTGAACGGCGGAAAATGCCAGATAAGTCCTAGGGTTATTTTGCTACTTCCTGTTTTTCATTAGGGGTCACGTACAAGGCACAGCACATCCTATTCCAGAGCATCCAATGCTTTTTTTAGCAGCTGCTTATGAGTGTGATTAGTTTTAGGGAATCTACTTGACTAGATTTCTTTTTGCCTGAAAGGAATCTGTAATTCAACTTAATCCAATTTCTAAATAAGACGATGGGCGTTACGCTATTTCGATAGCATATTCCGTGCCAAAAGGCGTTCCTAAAAATGGAACTTTGCCTTCAGTTCTCTGTGGAAGGAGGTTTTCAGCGTTGCTTCTCGTGCTAACAAGTTAATAGTATGCGAAAATTAGGAACTTCTTTCTCTTTCACATATACCAACAGCCATTATGGATTCTCATTTTTCGGAGAGTTATTTTGGAGCTTTTGCTTCAGGATTACGCTAGACTGTGTAGATGGAAGTTTTGTGCGCACATTGATGAGATTGCAGAGATGAGCCGGGAAGCTGCGCAAGGTTTTTCCACTCGGTGCTTTGTTGCTTTCTTTTACTAGAAATGTGCGCATATACGCTCTTATCGCCGCAGTGGATTTTGCGTCTTCTGTTAATGACGTCATTTTATTCAAGTCGGCGAGTATATCCCTGTTCGTCCTGGTAAATGGAAGATCGCGATCCAATTTATGAAGAACTCTGCTGTATTTTGTCTTTGTTTTTCTTTTGTGTTTTCGTTGGATTTAACTTTTGTTCCATAGAAAATAAGAGAGGCAAAATAGTTTAGTCGTTTCAATACTCCTTACGGGTGCTACGTTAGTGGTTCTTTTCTGATAATTTTTCAGCAACGTGCTTCAATTCAACTTTCATTTTCATCCTCAATTCATGGAGGATGAAAGGAATGTCGTGTTGACATTTCAATAACTGCTTTGTTGGAGCCAAAAATTTAATCACTCTAAGGAATTTCTCCCGCTTTGAAACGTATTTACGTAACAGTGCTTCGTAGGGAAGCAGTTTTTTTTCAAAAGTCTTGCATAGAATCATTTGCATTTATCGTCACAAGTTCCTGTGATACAATTTTTAATGTAACTTAATGTCGGAAAAATGCCACGCACTAGGTTGAAGCTTATGACGTCCTTATTCCTTATACATGACACTTTCATAGGGGGCATAATCAGATCATGTGAATTTACGTCACAACAGTTTTGGAAACCAAAAGAACTGGCGGTTTTGATAACATGCCAGCTAATAGGTTTCATTGATAATTCACTTCCTGTGTTTCATCTCTTTTCGATTTGTAAGAACGTTGTTCTTGGTTGAAGCAGGGAAATTTAGTAGATTCTCACTACTTAGTGCTTTGGCATTGCAAAAATGTTTGTTTTTACTTCGATTATTGGAAAATTCTTATCCAAATATTTTCGTGTTGACACTTAGCTTAATCTCTTTTTAAACGGATCGATGAAAGGCTTTGACATTTGCGCATGCGGTTGTAATCCCATTACGTAAGAGTGGAACCATAAACAAAGTATCATGCTTCAATTGTTCTGCCCTTATAAGTGCATTCGTCGCGTTGCGATGATCATATGCTCTAAAAGGCTGACCTTCCATAAGCGCCAGACCTTCAACGAGTCAGAAGTAGAAAAATGTTCTCAAAACTGAGCCCGAGTTTTGCCCGCAAAGGACACCAACAACTCACATGCAGTGATGCGGACGAGAAAGATCGAGTCATTGCTGGAGTACAATACAGCGTACGGTACATTGGATCCGCAGAAGTTGCGGGAGCAAGCGGGACTGGCAGTGGAAAGACAGAAAAACCCGTAGCCACAGTCTTTGAAGAGCAGAGGAAAAATGGCAACGGTAAGACGCAGAAGAAAATGATCCTAAACTTGTGTTCGAAAAGGTTGAGCGTCTGCGAGGAAGCGAGCGGAAAACTGATCGCAAATTTCCCGATCTCTAAGGTAACCTTCTGTAACATCGACAACTTTCACGAGAAAGCTTTTGTGTTCATTGCACGAGACAGAGCAGAAAGTCCATTTAAGGCATTTGTCTTCACGTGCGAAAGCAAAGCCAAGGCACGAGAACTTTTCAAGGCCCTTTCTCTGGCTTTCATGATCAATTACGAAAGTTATCAAGCGTCACTGGCACGAGGTTTGCCAAGCAACACAATGCTTGTACGCAACGATGAGGGCAAAAGCACGTTCTTGGATGGAATAGGCGGTGAGTGTTTGGACGGAGCGCAACCCGCGAAAGCGAAAGCGGAACATTTGAATGGCGCATTAACTTCGCGGACAGAATCTCCCCTGCTCAATGTAAATGGATTTCGATCGGTCCAAGAGACAATTCCGAAGACAATGGCACCCAAACAGAATAAGAACCTTCTACGTGTTGCAGATTGCCGCTTGCGGAGCACGTCGGATCCCCCGCACGGTTTTAAAGCGAATGCGTCAATCGTATCTGACTCAGAAACTCGTCCGTCTTCGCTGCATCCCTCGAAGATGAAAAAGGGTGATGAAATGGAAGAAGAGTTTACAGAATTTGCTGAACTGAGGTCGAAGTGTCGCTCAAACTCTGCGCTCGTAGCCCCGTCAAGCAGACATCCCGGAAATATGTTTCATGGCTTCCAAAGTTGTGACAGTGCTCCGAATGTGTGGGGCAGTTTCCAAAACTACTCTCGCCCGACGATTTATTGAATACTCTTACCTTGGCCGAATGGTTTAGTTAGATTTCTTTTAAAGTAACAAGTTATTTATTGTTAAATCGTAGAGGTTGGACGCTTGCGAATTTCTCACGCAGTCGGAGAAAATATTGTGATTAGTAAAGGAAATCCGGGGTCAAATATGCCCGCAATGTGCTCCAGAAGTTACCAAACTGTTTAATGATTTTCAGTCGTTTATGTTGCGACTAGTATTTTTGTATCGTAAGGAATGTTTGAAAGAATTTCAGCTAGACTGTGAATGTACCGAACCGCTCGAAAAAGGAAGGAGCCAATTGTGACAACGTTTTTTGAATGATCCGTAACAAAATAAAAACATTTTGGAATTTTGATCTTGTTTCAGCTCTCCACATAACTTATGCAATATGTTAAAATCAGGGGAAGAAAATGACTTTCTAGAGAACCAAATCAATCGAAAGACCCTCCATTGTCGCTGTGCCTTTCTCCAAAGAGGAGCATAAATAGGCGCGGGTGAGCTGTGAGGAATAATTGCAAGGGATAGACCCGTAATGTTCTTGCATCCTACATTAGGGGGGTGGGGGAGGGAAGGTCGTGGCAATGCCGCTGAAACTGAGCCGTGTGTCGCAAAAGATGTCATAATCCTTTAACTCCCAGGAGTGATTACCCTGTAACTTCTCACGATAGTGTCCATATATTACACAACAAACAGGTAGTGAGAATACTCAAACTCATCAGATACAATTTATTGCCTTGATTGAACACCAAATTCTCGTAATCAATTTACAAGGAAATGTGTAGTAGCTAGAGGGGAGAATTGACGATCAGATCTTGGAAGTTATAGGGTTAAAGTGCCTTCTTTTTTTGTTTGTGCGTTCAGCTCAACACCGAGCCAGGACAATGACTCTTTCAACCCAAATCCGGCCCGAATCCGCTCTCAATATCTTAGGATATCAGCATTGTAAGATGTGAACAAACGCAGACCTATGACCGAACGCTGTTAATCCTTTAAGTTTCAGAAGTGATTAACATGTAACCTCTCCCTACAATATCCGTACAACATCAAGGAAACAGGTAATGGGAATACTTAAAGTTATCAGGGAGAATAAGTTTTGGATCAACTAATCCTTAATTGATGTTTTTGTTTATCTCATTACTTGCCTTGATATTGTATTGATATTGTAAGGAGAAATTCTGTCCTGGTCACTCGTGGGAGTTAAAGGGTTAACTTTTTTCATGGGTATCTTATGATAAACGCTCATAGTTACACCACCACAGGTCACTAAAATATGATAAATTTCTGGAGCAAATTTTTAGGACTAATCCCAGATGAAAACGGAAGGAGTATTTCACGTAAGAAACGAATTTCTTCCAAACTGAGGTCCAATCTTCCTACCCAGAACCTTTCCGAGTTCTTTTGTAACAAGACGTCTATACCTCATGATGAAAGATTTTTCATCATTTTATTATGTATTCAAACATGATTACAAAGCATCCATGTACTCATTCCCTGGCGGTTACTGAATTGAACTTGTTCCAAAAAGTTATTGCGAAAATAATAGTAATAAAAAAGAACGCAGCAGCCTTAAAAATTATTGTTACTTCTCATGTGCATTTGGTTGAATACGTTTTAAAGAAATTGTTTTTGCCAAGCAAACGCTTCTTTTAAAGAAGAAACGTCTAATTGGAAACTCTAAAGTCAGATATCGAAATCGCAACCAATTTAAAATAAATATGATGAGGAGTTGGTAAGGTAGATATTTATGAAAAAGTGGCTTCTCAAAGCTTCTCTTAAAGTTTAAATTAGACAAACAACATTACGATTGTCGCGAAAATTACAGCAATCTAACACGCGCAGAAAACGTATTCAACCCAGCACAAAAATTGCTTCTTCTTAATTATGAAGTGAATGTGATGAATGTGTTGTGAAACGCATGGCAAAAAAAAATGGTTTTATTTCTTCTGTTTCCATCGTTCCACCGGCGTGACCTTTACAACTCGTCGTTCAAGCGGTAGTCATCCACTTCGCTATCACCACTCTCGCTGTCATTACTCACGCTATCACTAAAGAAAGAACGAGAATATGCTGGTTAGCAACTGCTTTAATTATTGTCATCCAGCAATTTTTTGCGGGGTAGCAGAAGGTCTGCATTGTTTAAGATCAACCATTCCATAAGAATTGTCAAGAGGACTCGTTGGCACTGCCATGAAGTCTTAACCAATCAGATGTAAAACTTGCACCTTTGACTTCTCATTAGTAATGTGAAATTGACCTTTTTCCTGATTGGTCGATTTGATCTCAATTTTGGATGATATTGAATGACGAATATTTATCTTACCTTCTGTCTGGGATATTACATCTGCGTGTTATGAACAAGCTAAGGTCCATTTCTGGAAGCTTATCACAATCAACATGAGTCTTGGACTGTATGAATCCAAACCTCGGGACTGCAGGGATGAAGTCCATGTTGTCGCAGATAAGCTTGGACACACTAGCTCTTCTGAGTTGGCGAAGTTGGCATCGCGTAAACGCTGTGTTTTTGGTATTCTTTTCTTCATCTGGTTCGTTTTCATACCAAAAGCGATCTCCCGATCGAGTGCGATTGAACTGATCTGCTATGATACACTGAGCGGTTGGCCCTAGGAGCCCTCCGTTGACGGAATCAGGTTCCAACATTGCTGTTAACGGCAAAATAGTAAACATTATGAGAGGTAGCGGCGCAGTGTAGTTATTTTCTTAGCACTTGGATTCTTATCATCTTTCTAGAGTGTAGAAATTGTGACTGAGAATCGAGAGAAGCTACAGGAAAACCTCACCCCTTGACATGATGATTTGAGTCAACGCTTTGGAAATATAAATTTGCGCTGTTTTCGTACCACTCTCTCCCTTTCAGTGTAGTCTACTGCTAGTTTGTACATTAGAACTCATACATCAACATGTCAATAACATGTCTTGTGTACTATTTTATCCAAATTTTTGTGTAGAAGTGATTTTTCAAAACACTTAAGTAAAGGCTCTCTAACGAGCTTGCCTTTAGATACTCTCACCGTTTTCGATGGCTAATCTTTTAATAGTTGAAACCCATACAGACTAATCACTCAGGTTAACCAGTAGCTTTCAGCCCATAAGTGAATTTCGTTTCTGACTCACTGTTCTCCAATGAACAAATGAAAATCGAATCGTTTCTGACTAACTGTTAAAGAATTTAATGGCTTTCCGCCTTAGGCAGCCGTGCTTATTTTTTGTACTTTGAATTCTCCTCGGCTTGCGGTATTTTCCCGTGTTCTGATCGGCCTTAATGCATTGGTTATGATTCTCTACGACGTTCAAAAAGCGCTCTCTTCTTAGTAACAAACTTACCTCCGGTAAAAAGATCGATGTCTTCGACGTGGGTGTACACTTTTTTGAGGTTTTTGATGTCCTCGGGATCAAAGCCAGCTCTCTTAAGGTCGTCGAAACTATTTACCTTTCGTGCAATGTTGCACAAAGGGAGGTTACGATACACTGTGTAGCCAGGAACACCATGTTCACGACCTCTTTGGGTGTTGAGGGAAATGAGATCGGCGATATCGCCCTCACCTCGCGACAGGTGTTCTTGCACCGCGCTGGAAAAACGCCTACAATAAGAACAATAAACATCAGTGAACGTCCTTACACATGGAAGAAGAAAGTGAACAAAGAGAAAGCCAAAAATGAAGGCAGAGGCCCCTATAGTGTCGTTTCGTCCATAGCTTATGGCAAATTTTGCTTCGCACGGGGTTTTTTCCAATCAAACCTTCCAGACCTCATGTTACCCAAATGGAGCGCTTTTCGATTAACTGTCATAAAACCAACCCAAAGTAACCAAAGAAGCCAAGCACAACAAAGGATAATATCACTAGGAGAGAATAAGAACTCAAACTAACATCAAGCGCGGGAAACTACAAGTGACTAAGTCACAATTGGTGTTTGTTTTGATTCTTGTTGGCTTAGAAGGTAGTGCGAGGTTTTTGGACCAATCACACAGCGAAGTGAGGCAAATTTAATCAAAGCAATCCCGATTACTTTTGACACTCCACTGAAAATTCCTCGGAACTTTTCTTTAATTAGTTAACGCTTTGTAAGTTTCACTCACCCATCTATTTTTGCAGCAGGCATTTTCATCAGGCCTCTAAAAATAGAATCAACTCCTCCATTACACTTTTGATAAAGGAAAATTGGATTGCCAAAATCCCTCACTTGGATAGGCAGGTACTCTGCCTTTGAATTTTTGTCACATATGTGTTCAAAGCCATCTTGAGTAAAACGTCTGAACTCTTCTTGCACCAAACTGTGGCCAAAGCGGTATGCAGCCGTTGAGAAGGCCTGGGTCATTTGGGCGTTGACATCCTCGCTATAGCCTTCAAAATAATTTGTCCCTCTTTCCAGATTCAGATTAAAGTCTCTTCTCTAGAAGCACATGGAAATGAAACAAAAAGATCCATTAATCTGATTTAATATCACTTCTGATGCGAATGCAGTATTATATCCCACCATTAACCAGAATGAAATAGAATGCATGCAACTCGCGTGCGGCTCTGTTAAAGTGGGGGTTAAAAGTCAGACTTTAACAGAAATAGTTCTACTTCTGCTATATTATGAGTTAGGGACCAACCGTTTTGGTTTTGTCACCATAAAATACACCTGGTCATCCCATAAGGCTCTGGGATCAATATCAGTATCTGGGCAACTGCCCACCTACTCCTCCCCTAACCCAACAACAGTTAATTGATAACAAGTTAGGGTTAATGTTGGGTTAGGGGAGGGGTAGGTGGGCAGTTGCCCAGATACTGATATTGATGTAGGCTCTGTACTTTTCTACTCATCCCACCTCACTGGCAGTCAGTTTTCTATAGTCCCCCCTTTAATCTGTGTTAAAGACTCCTGACCCCCCCCCTTCCACTGAAAACCATGTGATCCTCCCAGAATCCTCCGTTATTACTCTTTCTAGACGGATGTAATTCCATCGGAGATGAGCCCTCTGCAATTCTGGCAGTTTTCTACCACTCATCTATCCTACTGGATTCAGGAAAGCTTTTCGAGGGTTACGTGCACCACCCCGAAAACGCAGCACCGATTCGAGAATGAATCACGCTGAACACATAGTCGCCTCGTCTCTTAAGTACAGTATTACTGTAACGCGAGCGTTTTTCTTACCGTCCTGGGGCTCAAAATTAAGGGCAGGAATTCGTTGTATGTGATGTGTTGTAGGATCGCGCCAACGATTTTCCTTGCTTCTTGGTAAATTCGCTCTGGATTCCACTGAGTACGTTTACCGAAGAAAGCTGCGATTCGATTGTGCTCACGTACAAGCAGAGTGTGAACTGACATGAGACCTGCGACAAAAAAAAAAGTAGAAAAAAGGAAATAAATCAGCATATCGTTATAAACTGTCCTCTTTTCAATTTTGTAATAGTTGTAAGGCTATAAGGGGTTTGCAGCCAATAGGGACCTTTAGAAATTGAAAGTTCTGAAACGTAAGAGTTCTCGTCGGAAAGCCTTAAATTAATTCCCGTGAATGGACCTAGTCTGGGTATGGCTCGAGCTTTGTTCGTCCCTTTAAAGATGACATTTCGTTTGCAGCCCTAAACGAGACGACACTTTTCCTTCCTTCTTCACTCCGGACCCTCCTCGCCTCTGGTGAACTATTAAGTACTCTTCCTACCTTGATTTTCGTTTACGCGCTCGTCTCCTGCCAAAAAGCAAGGTGTGTTTGGATCTACAGACTCGCAAAACGTTTCGGGGAAAGCTGCAGGTAATAGGTCGCCCAGAGGGCAGCCGTGTGGTGGTTTCATAATTTTCAATGACCCATCTGGGGCCCTAAGATTATCCTCCTCCTCCTCGCTTGAGCCATACACATTGGATGCATCAATGTAGGCTGTAATACTGTTGCTGTGTTCTCGTGGAGCAAGTTTGCCAAGCTCTTCTGGTACGTGAGCAGCGTCTCGCTCCATTTCAATATCAAAGACACCCTTAGACCTAAATATGTCATCATTTTCTGGAATTTCAATGTTGATACACTCAGGGTCTTTGGTTGGAGGTTCACAGTTAATACCCGGAAACTCTGCTAGCGTGAGGTCATGATCCATAAACTGTCCCCAGTTCATTGTCAAGTGGGTGAGCACCATAGAATCAGGATTGGTTCGGTCTGCGTTACTTCCGTGGACTTCCAAACTCACTGTCCTCGCGTTCGGTAACTCTGAGCCATCCTTTGCTGCGCGAAGTTCCGAGATGCCATCTGCGTAGTCATTTTCCGCCAGGCGAAGAAATTGATCACCTGCTGCTCCTTGTCTAGGATTATCCAAATTGTTACAAGTTCCGTCGGCTGTTCGGAAACGAGCGTTTGGATTGCACCTTATGTTTTCATCAGGGTGTACGTCGCCTTCAAATAACCTAAAAATGGCCAATGCGCAGTCCTTCTCTTCACTGTGTAGAGATTAAGGAGTACAAACAGCATTAGAGCATTTAGGCCGTGTACTTAAGCACGCATACTAGATTTACACTGAAACAAATAGGATTTTCTCTCTCGATCTCTATGCGTGATAATTGATTTCTCTACCCTCAACTATCACGCGATAGAAATCTTTTAATAATCTATCGAACGCTGTACAATAGTTTTTGTCCTTACCTACTCGAAGAAAGTCCAAGTGCTGTAAGGACTTCTTGATCTTCACAAAGTTTTCTTACAAGGCAAGCAGTAGTAGATTCACTTTGTTTTCCCTGAAGCCACTTTTTACCTTCTTGGAGAGATTTTTCCCCATGCTGTAATGATATGTAGTGTTTATTTATGGCTTTTTTCTTCCCTTCTTCTTTTTCCGCCAGTATTTTTTCATCATACTCTTTTTCGGCCTCATCTTGGCATCCTTTTCTAAGAGCGTCAGCTTTCGTTTCAACTATTGTCTTTGCGTCTCGCTTTTCTAACTGTTGTTCTCGTTTTTTGTCTATGCCCCGTGCGCTCATTTCGTCTAACTTTGTCATCTCATCTGTCATGTCCTCCACTGTTTCCATTTCTTTGTTGGACGGGTATGGGTCATCAATAATGTAAGAAGACGTCATCCCCAAACCGAGGATCAGCAATAGGACCAATCCACTGTGGATATGGCCCACCATGTTCGCTAAAGTCAAAAGGAAAAGGTTACATGTCAGGTAACGAAATTGAGCGCTTTCGAAAATGTCATCGATAAAAGCTTTGCTACACTTTCTACTCAAGAATACAAATAAGCCCTTTTAATGACCTGAGTGAGTGACCCTGAGAGGGATAAAAGGTCACGGTGGAAGGCAATGGCAAAGAATAAAGTGAAATTGAAAAGGTTGTCGTTTGTTTAAAAAGAAAAATGTAAAGTTTGACACTTTCCAAACATTTGTATGATGGATGAAAAAACTTTGTCCTCCACCAACTTTTTCCTCTCTAACAGTTCTTGCTAATTTCTCAAAATGAAAGTAATCCTAAAATTTCACCCATAAACCTCTACATCAATGGCTTCTCAACCGTAAATTCTGCAAATTTCATCTGTTCATTACATTTGCGTTTTTGGATTCATGACCCTTCAAGGGAATCTTACCGTGTGGTGATCATCGGAAACTCATGAATAAATGATCTTGAGTCGGCAAAGTGGAAGCTAGTATCAGCTACTTCAGCGATCAAATTATCCGATAGCAGCCATTTTGGATCATATATCACATGAGGTCACCCTAGCAAATGGCATTTAGCCACGCACTTATTCACTTTTCTAAGAGGGGGAATGGTGGAAATTTTCTCCGGTTTTGCTCTCTTTTTTTTCCGACAGAAGTAGCATCGAATGAAAAGAACAGAGATTAAAGAGGTATGCGATGCGAGAAAAATGCATGTGAACGTGTTTCTGCTGATGCGTTTGTTTTCATCATCGCGTGAGCAGTTAACTGCTCAAGCATAACGACAATACATTCTTTCCTGTTTGAGTGACACACATTTGTTGCGCGCACAACGCCTGATGAAAACGCCGACGGCATGAAACGTCAACTCTGAAGTGAACAGATTTCGTGCCCTGCTCACGCAATATACTGGAGGTAGTTACTATCCGAGAAAACAAACACGATCATACTTTGCAAAACCCACAACGAAGTTGATCGACTCTCATCTTAGTCTAAGCAGTCAAAAGGGATCTCGAACTATGTCCACTTTTAAGTTTCAGTAGGTTTTTCTTCGCTTTTCTGAAGTGGAATGCTATGGAAATTTTTTCAGTTATTCTTCCTTTAATACAGGACTCGTCGAGCAGAAATTACATGTAAGTGCGATATGCGAAAATTGACTTCAGGGATGTTAAACGAATTCTTAAAAATCAATTCTGCGATAAGTTCTAAGAATCTACTTTTAGGCTTGAAAATCGTTAGACAATGGCGATATGTAGAAGGTGATCAAGTACAACTTATAAAGCAAAACGCTTTCAAAATGCTCACATCACTTTGGAATTCCACTGAAGAAAGCCACAAAACGGAATGTTACAAGGACAGCTGAATCAAGTCATGAAAGTAAGAGGCGAAAACAAACACACAGCTTAATCGATGTTGGTTGAGATTAAATAAGATTTGAAGGTGGAACCGTGGAACCGCGGAACCGCGGACTTCGAACTTGGTAAAAATACATATGTAGGTCACACTCTCAATAGGTACCCATATCAGTTGAGGCCTGACAAGTCCTAAAGGATTTTATCGCTGTAAGGTCATCTGATACAAATTGAAAAAGCTTGAAAGATGTCTATGAAGTGCTGTAGGTGCAACTTCTTAAAGCTACCAAGACTTTTAAGCTCGAGGAGCAAACACGAAATTTGTTCGGCGTATACTAACAGACTACTACCAACTAATTTTGTTTTTGTTCATATGATCGCAGTCATACCCAAAATTCAGCGAGATTTTTAGTTACCTCTGATAATCCTTCGTTTCTTCTGCTCAAAAGCCGGCTGCTTCTGGTAGAACTCCCTGTTTCTGACTTAAATCCCTTTGCTTTAAACTGCTCATTTTATACCAACAACCCGGAACTTTTTTGAGGCCATTATTGCCCAATTGTTTGGTACCTATTCAATTAAGAAACTCATTTGTATTGTTTGAATATTCGTGCGTGCATCAACTCCCTTACGTGGGCCATGTACACGCGAATTGTTTGAAGAGGTTCGTTTGTTTCTAGTACGGTAACAGAGTCGCTTTTCCTGCGATGTTTTTAGCGAAATTTCCCGCAATCGTCAAGCATGTGTTATCAAACTTGATTACTTTGACGAGTTAATATTTGAATTTGCTTTCTCGTTATTTGTTAAATTGTGGTTGTTCAACTGGGTGATTTTTCCTGGTTGGTGTTGATTTGTTAACGTTCCTGATAACCGTTCGACGAATCGTTTCTGGGCAAACTCTTATAGTTTAGTTTGATTGCAAACTGTTGTTTGTAATCACGTTGCACTTCTCAAAAAACATCAAATCAGCGAGCTAGTTGTATCTAAATCTTCAAGGAAAAAAACAGTTTCGTGTCGCAACCCAGTTTTAGTTCTGTATTGTTAAGAATTCTAAGCAGGTTTAATGGATGAAAGACTTCTTTGTTCAACTCTTCGGTTGAGAGCTCCGTTTACGTAAATCAAGGGGAAAAAGGAAAAAAGTATTTTTATGATTTTTAGCTTTCTCTTCTTGAGACAGGCATCTTTTCTGCAGGTTCACGTCGAGACATTTCTCAGTAAAGCGCAGAATTGATAAAAACTAATTAAAGTAAGATAGAGGAAAGACATTCTGTATTGTAACACCAAATAAACTTGTTAAAGATAATCGATGAAAGGGTTATTACCATACAAACAATAGAGAAGATGTCAATAACCAAAATATACACTTTTTTATTCGAAGTTTTGGGCAAATTCCGAGTGTATCTTTTGGAAAATTAGAAGACTTAATTTGAACAGGTGTAATTGATCTTGAATTTTAAGACTTCAGTCCCCTGTTACAGCAGAATTGAGAAGGAAAACAGATTTGTCGGTACCAGTCCAATATTTGGTAAAAATCGAAAGTTGTGTTTTACATGTGTGAGGTAAATTGATTGTTCTTCTGAATTTGCAACTGCAATCTTGACGGTGCTGAACTTTCTAGTGATGGTGAAGTCTGTTTGCTCACGACTGTCGCTGTGGGTGATGAGAATTTTTCCTGTTTGAAAATTAGTATAATTACAGACTAATTGAGGTCTAAATTAGCGAGAACTGAGCCGTTTGCTGTAGAGGTTGAAGCTTTTGATGAAAAGCGTTTAAAAACAGATTGCTAGCATCAAAGTACATTGACATTTTTACGGTGATACTGGCCTCGTTTTTTGCATGACGCGCTCTGTCCACAGAAAAAGCGGAATTTGCGCAGTTGTCGCACCTGGCCGTAATTCTGTCCAATTTTCCGCATTCATCACATCCGAACAAGAAAGGGCAGCGGAAGTTATAGAAAGTACAGCATTTCACGCCTTGAGATCTAACTCAGAGGTTGATATTAGAGATCAGATAGTGATATTGTGGACGATGTTTGTATATAGAAATAATTATTTTTGTCTTCATACAAATTCGTTTCCAAAAAAAATCTTCCTCATTCCATCTTTTTCCGCTTTCGTCCGAATTGCCGTAGGGCTTACTTTAGCATGCGAAAACTGCCAATATTGAAACAGAATAAAAACTACAGTGGCTTTGACTCTGTCATGATCACACAACAGATGCAGTTTTCTACACTATTGGCCTGAAATCCATTGACTAGTGTTACAGTTTTCGTAGTTCACTGCACGCTGTGAAACTATAGGTGTCATTTCTGTGCTTTGCTTTATGCTTTTTTTATTCGACTTTTGCTTTTGATTTAGAAGTCGTGCTAAATGTTATGACTTAATTAGGATAGATAAATGAATTGAATTCATTTGTGTCCAAGCGGTAACCGCAAGCCAGAGCGGTAAAATCTGGGTTTCGTAGATGACGTTATGTTGGTTAATTTATTTGAGGGAACATCGGTTTTTATAATTTCCCAAATCCCTCAATTTTGGCGATACGGCATGACGCATGTTTGTTTTCTTGTTACGACAATAACATGAAGACGCAGTGAGGCGATTAGCGACTGTCTTTTTATTTCTACTAATGCTATGGGATATTGCCTTTGCAGAGATAGTGACTACATCCAAAATTCTTGAAACTTTATTTGCTTGAGTTGATCGCAAAGGATGTGATGTTGATCTGTAACAGGCAGGACCGACGCCATAATAAACTATTGGGTTCATTGTATGATCGATGCTATACCGTAAGTGATGTAAATGGGATGAGCGTTGTAACGTCAAAAAGAACAAAACAAAACAAAACCACAAAGTAACGAAATACCACTTTTTTTATTTACTTGTGATTAGCCTGATTATGTACTTGTGATTAGCCCTGATTATATAAAATATATTGTTCAACCTACAAGAAAAAAAATTAAATCAACAAAATAAACCTTTCCATCGATTTGATAAGTCTTAAGTTTATTGGTTTTTTTGTTTCGAATATTTTATTTACTATACGTGTGTAGGAAATACATTGTTTGCAAATTTCACACACGTTTCTTTCTTTTTTTTTTGATAAATCTTACGTGACTGCAATGCAATTACGTTTCGTATAAAACATACGTGCCAGGTGACTCCAAATAAGACGTAAGTTCTTGTCGTTTTGTGCGTGACTTTAGTTAAGGTTTGCGCAGGATGATTTTGCACCCAAAGTTTTATTTACTGCTCAACATCCGGTGCGCGCTGCACGAAATTCTAGAATCTAATTGGCTGACGCGAATACGTCAATGGCCTCTAATGCACACACCGCTACCAAAATTCTCTGAACTTGCGACACTAATTTAAACCAACTGCTCTGTTGTATCGTTTTTCCTTTAGAGGTAGATTTTCGATTCATTTACTTGATTATTTGTACATGGAATGACGATTAATTTTGCTATCATTGTCGATGTCATCTCTCCAAAATAGTGGCTGAGTCCATGAAGTGAACTCTGTGAATATTAAAAGACTTAAGAGGCCACTTGTTGCCGGCTATAAGTCTAATGAAAGTATGGACAGTATTTGGAATGCCTTCCCTCTGCGGCCAGTGCTTTCGTTTATTATGTTAAGTCACTAACAACTATGGAGACTACGCGCAATTTACAGTTTCAGAGATCTTAAATTTCAGAAACATTTGAAACTGAAATTTGGCGAAAACCACTAAAATACTGCAATCAAATGAGTAAAAAACCGCACACCGCAAATCCATAGCGCAATACTTCCCCGGCCCTTGGAAGACAAATACATTTGTTTTTAAAGGATATCGTATGATGCGTGAACCTTCAAGTGTAATCGGCACTATTGGAGCTTTACTTGACTTGTAATTCTCATTCATCCTTTCCTGAAGATAAGTCTCTCCACAAAATAAAATAAAAAGTTACTTTTCATCTAATTTACCGAGAGGGATCACTGCTGGCTCGAAAACGCCGCGAACTATCTATCGAAGGACGCAGCTTCGAGCAACAAAATTCTTGAATCGTCCAGCATTAGTTTTGAAAAACTTATAGCATAATTAACAGGTTATCGAGCCGCGGTCAACATTTTCTAAAAAGTCAAAACACGAATTCTATTTGTAGTAAAAAGATTTAAGGACGTCACAAATTAGATGTGCTTGATTCGTATTTCTGGTGAGTGGAAATGAGTGATAAAACACGTCCCATTTTCCTTCTAAAGTAACACCCACCGCACGCCTACACTGACTCTCATGACTAGGCGCTTCAAGCGTGATAGCCTAAATCTAAGCCAATTTACTGCACGTTGAAGAAAACGAGTCAGTTTTAAGTGTCACTTTGTTAAAAGCATTTTCACTCGACTATTAAAAGAGCTGTTAGCTCTTAGACACGATATTTTGCTCTCCTGTCAAGATAAATCGTGTATCACTAACTTTTAACAAAAAAGCTATGACGCAACTTGACGCCAATTGCTTTGCGTCATAATCAAATCGCTTCAAGTGAAATTCCAACCATTACTGTCACGCGCGTTAATCAACCTTTAACAATTCTATTTCTTAATTTCTATATAGTTACGTGATTGTCACAGGTTTATTTTTGCTGCTTATGTTATCTTTTCTACACAATGGGGTGCAAAATATCTAAAGCCATGTTCACAAAATAATCTCTGATACGCGCGCTTTTTGTCAAATTCCGACCGTATATTCAGCGCGGTGTTCAATGTTCATCAGTGAAAAAATCGATAAGCAGGCAAAGAACCATAGATAATTTCACATGGAGAGATAACAAGAAAAATGCGGAAAAATTCAAGAACACAAAAGCTATTGTAAGGACGAGAGTCTAAAGACAAACAGAGCAATATATTGTATGAAATAAACAATAACAAATACAATGATATTGGCTGGGGAGTCAATTGCTACCAAATATCTTCGACGATAATTATACGTCTGAAATTTATAATTCAACGGTAGTGCCAGTTAGTCGTTTGTTTTTCAGTATTCCTAAAAATGAAATTAAAAAATTAACTCTAGTTTGATAGCAATGCCAGACTTCTCCAATTTACTCGCTCGGCAGTTGAACGGTACTATTGTTCTCCTTAGATAAAGCGAGTACGGGCAAAGAGAGAAAGCACAAAGGACTCAGAGACGGTTTTCTTGTATACTTAAGTCGATAGGGCATAGATAACCATAGTGAGCATCGAGTTCTTGGTCAGTCGGCTAGGCTTTCATCACTGCGATCTTTCTTTTTTACTCTATCAGATACGAACGAAACAACTTGGTGCGCTCGTTGATTTTAAAGCACAGATTATCTGTTTATCTGAAAAATCGGTGATGAATTTCACGGGACAAGAACTGGATAGAAAATTGAAGATCAAGAAATCGAAAGATGGCCAGTTATTGCATATTTTTACGCTTTGTTTTGTTTTCAAAAGTTTGACGTTATACTGAAGCCTCCAGACTTTGCTGGTGTTCCAGAGTTTAAAATCAAACGGATAGCGAATATTTTGCCAATTGCTATGACTGTTAAGCAAATATCACTGGAACTATTTCTTCAGAGAAAATTTGCACCCTGGTGAATTCATTTGGATATAATTGACAGGTCAGTCTATCGTTGCGAGAAAATACAAATGTTAATGATGCTTTGAAACGAATTAAAAAGCTGGGTGATTGTGCACTGAAGTAACGAAAGAGTATATTACCAAAGAAAAATCATGGCAATATTTAAGCTAGCTGTAACAAATATTTAAACGCAACAAAGCTTTTTCTTTCAGTGTTTTGTGTCGAAATTTTTCCATGTTTGTTTTCGGCTATATTGGTCGTCAGCGAAACAGGAAAATTTGTACATACGGCCATGATGTTTTTCCGCTCCTTCATTGTACGTGACATGCAAGCGCAACGTGAGTCGTTGGTGGGCCGCGGACAATTAGTGTTTGAGAGGGCTATATAACTTATCGTTGATGAACTCTCGGTTTATCTGACAATGCTTTGATGATCATGCAAAAAGTGTTTTTAATTCTTAGTCTTGTGGACAAGAGTTGTTTTAAAGAGGAAACCTTTTGAATGTTAATTAAGAAACGCAGTTCTCGTTATTAACTTTTGTAGCTTCATGCAGGTTTAGCTGTTGCTTTTAGGACATACGACTATATGAATCACTTCAGTTCCCTTTCTCTTTGCCCAGTAGAGATGCAAGGATAGGGTTGACGCTCCAGGCGTACCTCGAAGAACAGACAATTTTATAGGGAACGATGATTGACGAGCAAGGAACTCTTAAAAGAATTGTTCTTTGAGTTAAAATCACTAGGGCCTCACCCAGGCTCGTAACTATTCATAAAGGCTTTAATGAGTACCACTTGAAAAGAGATGGTAAGCGAACAAATGATAATTCTTCGATTGTTGGTTAATGCGACATTACTAAGATTAAGTTTAGGTGCCAGAGGGTATTAGAAGTAAAAACAGTTGAGCTACTCGAAAATTAACTGCAAAGCGCAAATGGTCCTCCACAAACAGGGACGTGTTACGGTATCCGCCGCTTTCGCCCCCTATCGAGTTCGCCCTACCTTATACCGTGTTCGCCCCCACACTTTTCAAGTTCGACCCCACCAAGTCAAGTTCGCCCCCAGATTGAGTCATGTCTAAATTAGTTGCTATCGAACATTGCAAACAAGTTAGAACCAAGACAAGTTTTGAATTTTAATTGACCGACGGCCATTTTGAAAGTTTATATGTGCGTGGGAGCTGGGGCGACCGGAAACAAGAAATAATGTGGTCAAACAGTGAAATACAGAGAACTTTCGTTGGTTATGACTTTATAGATTGGGTGGCTCCTACAGGAGCCGTTTTTGTATTTGACCGAACCGAAAGGCTACAAGGTCGTTCGACGAAAATCCTATGAAGCGTGGAACGCATTCTCTTAATCAGTCTTAAATAATCAAAAGCCTGACCAAATCGTGGTGTCGTAAATTCTTCAGTCTTATTTTCATAAATAAAGCTAAACGAGGTAAGTATCTGTTACACATTTATTACACATTTATTACACATTTATTACAAGTCTACTTGATGGGTAGTGGAATGCAAAAGAGCTTTAGTGTCTCGCGTGATTAGTATGACTGGGTCCTCGAGGAGGCATGATGAAGTGAATCTTTTGTTATGATTGCCTACAAGAGCGGGAAATGTTCGGGTTCCCCCGCATTGATGTGGCAAAAAAGAGCGAAGAACCTGTACCCGGTTAACAATCGTTACAGCCGTTTTGCAGCATTCTGGCAACAACAAAGTCACATACACATGTTAGATAGTCAAAACAAAGAAAATCAATCTAAATTTACCGAAATTATTGGGAAATTACGATGCAAACTTTTAAAATTTTTTCGATGAAATAAATTCATCGTTAAACAAGCCTGCAATGAACTTTCAATTGAGTTTGTTTCGCTCCCCATAAGCGTAAAGTAAGTAAATTAAGTTATATGCTGATATCTCGACTTCATACACAGTAAATAATTGAAAATCAAGAAATCGATGGATGGCCAGTTATTGCATATTTTTACGCTTTGTTTTGTTTTCAAAAGTTTGACGTCAGTTACACTGAAGCCTCCAGACTTTGCTGTTGTTCCAGAGTTTAAAATCAAACGGCTAACGAATATTTTGCCAATTGCTTGACTGTCATGCAAATATCACTGGAACTATTTCTTCAGAGAAAATTTGCTCCCTGGTGAATTCATTTGGATATAATTAACAGGTCAGTCTATCGGTGCGAGAAAATGGAAAGGTCAATGTTGCTTTGAAACGAATTAAAAAGCCGAGTGCTTGTGCACTTTAGTAACGAAAGAATGTATTGCCAAAGAAGAATCATGGCAACATTTAAGCTGGCTGTAACAAATATTTAAACACAACAAAGCTTTTTCTTTTCGTGTTTTGTGTCGAGATTTGTCCATGTTTGTTTTCAACTATATTGGTCGTCAGCGAAACAGGAAAATTTGTACATACGGCCATGATGTTTTTTCCGCTCCTTCATTGTACGTGACGTGCAAGTGCACCGTAAATGAGTCGTTGGTGGGCCGTGGACAATTAGTGTTTGAGAGGGCTATATAACTTATAGTTGATGAACTCTCGGTTTATCTGACAATGCTTTGATGATCATGCAAAAAGTGTTTTTAATTCTTAGTCTTGTGGACAAGAGTTGTTTTAAAGAGGAAACCTTTTGAATGTTAATTAAGAAACGCAGTTCTCGTTATTAACTTTTGTAGCTTCATGCAGGTTTAGCTGTTGCTTTTAGGACATACGACTATGTAAATCACTTCAGTTCCCTTTCTCTTTGCCCAGTAGAGATGCAAGGATAGGGTTGACGCTCCAGGCGTACCTCGAAGAACAGACAATTTTATAGGGAACGATGATTGACGAGCAAGGAACTCTTAAAAGAATTGTTCTTTGAGTTAAAATCACTAGGGCCTCACCCAGGCTCGTAACTATTCATAAAGGCTTTAATGAGTACCACTTGAAAAGAGATGGTAAACGAACAAATGATAATCCCTCGATTATTTGTCAATGCGACATTATTAAGATTAAGTTTAGGTGCAAAAGGGTATCAGAAGTAAAGACAATTGAGCTAGTCGAAAATTAACTGCAAAGCGCAAATGGTCCTCTACAAATGGGACGTGTTATTGATGCCTGACTTTGCCGTACAGCGCAAAACACGATTTGAAGATTCGTAAACCAATAATTTTATGTCCTTCTAAGGATAACGAGTTCAGCCACCGGACTCCTTTTCTTCACTATTGTGATCATCTCTAAATAACCGATGATTTAAGGGGATGGATTGAACTGAGATAAACTATCTTGTGGTCGTACATGTGGCAAAGTGAATGAACACTACAATTAGATTTGCAGTTTTATCCCCGACTTCTCTCTCTTCAATCATGAATCTTTCTCTTATTTTATCGAGTTTTCCTATGGAAAGAAAATCGCCGTACGGTGGTCTGAATCACCAACAAAAGAAACTCTTAATTGTTACCAGTTTCTCCTTTGTAACATCATTAGAAATGTAGAGAGAACAGTATGGAGAATATGCATGTTGATGTAGGGGGGGAAAGGGTCAAGGAGGGTCAAGTGATGAAGACAGACGATTCATAAATCTTCGTGCATTGAGATTAAGAGGCCGATATTGGAAAAGTGATCCGCTCCGTATGTATATGTTGATAATCAATAACGAGACACCAGTTGGTGCATCAATGAAGTTTACTCCTCAAATAACTAAAGCAAAATATGACAAGCTTCCAAAATAGTTGATCTAGATGGCCTTGTCGATTTACACATGAAAACCTCTTTACGTAAAACTACAAAACAACAATAACAATAACAACAGCCTAATGCCTCTCAGATACAGCAACGGCAATATCTTAGGCTACGACTGGTAAAAATAAGGGCGCCATCCCTGGTAAGTTTGAAAACAGCTCAGCCAGCTACAGAGAAGTGTCACATTTCATAAACTAGCTATATCCGCGAAAATTTTCTACCCACATTTAGATCTTTAACTCTTAAAATCACTATTACATCATACGCAAATCAAGTACAAATCCTTTAATCAGAGCCAACAAGCCGATGAATTATTTCATGTTCATAGACGGATTATTCAGTCAATCCTTCGTCATTTTCTTCCTCAATGTCTGGGGCGTCACTCCAGACTCTGTTGGAAAACAAAACAGTCAAATAACAGTGAATCAAAGTTCAGACGTAATTTAGGTGAAGTTGCTTTCAAAGCAATGATAGATGCAAACATACTTTATCTGCCGACATTTGAAATCTGGTGTAAACACATCCAGGTTCATTTCGGGCAGCTTATTACAATCGACGAATATCTTTGACTGTTGCAACACCCTCCTGGGGATAGAAGGAATGCTCTCAGCATTGTCGCAGATTATCTTGGCCAATGTAACCTTTCTTATTTCTTGCAGCTGGCATTGCGTAAAAGCTGTTTTATCGGTGTCCAGGCTTCGGTTTGGTGCGTTTTCATGCCAGAAGCGGTCACCCTCTCGTAGGCGTTTGAACTGCTCGGTTAATATACACTGAAAAGTTTTCCCTAGTGCTCCTCCCTCGGCATCTGCAGGCTCCAGCATTCCTGTGAAGAATCATGAAAACAACACTTGCTATAAACGCTATAGATCGTTTTCAGTCATGTGATCTCATTTTAATTGGCCGCCTAAACCTTTGCCCCTCCTCATCCTGAGCTTAATTATTTCAGTTGTATGAGCTAAACGAAAGTGGAATGCAGAATGGTTCGGTTTCTAGCGTGATTAAAACGACTGGGTCCTAGAGTAGGCATGATGTAAGGAGTCTTGTGTTATAATTACCTACAAGAGCGGGAAGGTTCGGAATCCCCTGCATTGATGCGGCAAAAAAGAACAGAGGACGTGTACCCAGTTAACAATCGCTACAAGATTTCGCAGTATTCTGGCAACAAGAAAGTCACATACACATCTTCAGATAGTTAAAACGAAGAAAATCAATCTGAATTTACCGAAATTATTGGGAAATTACACGATACAAACTTTTTTTATTTTTTCCATGAAATAAATTCATTTTTAAACAAGCCTACCATGAACTTTCAATTGAGTTTGTTTCTCTCCCCAGAAAAGGAAAGTAAGTAAATTAAGTTATATGCACATACCTCGACCTCAAACACAATAAATAATCAAAATAGAGTGTCATAACTAATTTGGGACTGCTTTGGTTTTGTTTTACTTTGCTTTGTGACTGGTCCAAAAAACTCTCACCACCTTCAAAACCAATCACTGAGAATCGAAAAGTAAACCTCAGTCAGTTTTCTTGCTTTTCCCCCTCCCCACTTTTTTGAGTTCTGATTGGCTCCTTATGATATTTTCCTTTATTCTGATTGGCTTTTATGATTACTTTAAACATGGTTTCGGTCTCACAATACTCAATCGCTATTTGGCGGCATTACGCTGGCGCAGACATACCTCCAACGAAAAGATCGACGTCGTGGACTGACTGGTACTGGGACTTCAAATTATCTATATCTTTTTTGGTAATACCAGCCTTTTCTAGATCTTCGAAGCTGTTCACTGCTGGTGTAATTTTACAAAACGTGTTTCGATATGTCGTGAATGAAGGCAAACCATGTTCACGTCCTCTTTGGATGTTCAGGGATACGAGGTCGGACAAGTCACCAGGGCCTCGAAACAAGTTTTCTTGAACAGAGCTGGAAAAGAGCCTGGGGAGGAGAATCAAGCCAACCAAGGATCAATGGAATCTGAAAAATCCTACTAATACGTGCGGATCTACACAGCGCATTCTCGAAAGATGCAAACAAGATTGTTCAATTGAAAATTATCTCTTACTCACCCATCAACTTTGGATGCTGGACTCTTAATCAAGCCTCTAAAAATGGAATCGATACCTCCATTGCACTTTTCATATAGGTAGGTTGGATTACCGAAGTCCAGTAACGGGATGGGCGAGAACTCTAACTTAGAATCACCAGTGCATTTGTGTTCAAAGCCCTCTTGACTAAAACGTAGAAACTCCTCTTGAACCAAACTGTGGCCAAATCGGTAAGCCGCCACAGAGAAGGCTTGAGACGCTTGGGCACTGACACCAGGGTTGTAACCATTGAAATACCGTTTTCCTTTCAGCAGAGCGAGGTTGTTGTCTTTGATCTCCAAAATGAAGAGAGGTAACAGAAATGAAGTCAGTTAGGAGTAAAAAAAAAAAACAACAACAAAAACAAAAAACAGAGATTGAAACATTGACCTACCGTTTTGGGGCTAAGAAGCAGTGGCAGAAATTCGTTGTATGTAATGAATTGTAATTCCGCCCCAACTATTCTCCTGGTCTCCTGGTAAATCCGCTCCTCTTTCCATTCTGAGTTTTCGCCAAAAAATGTTGCTATTCGGTTATGCTCCCGGACGAAGAGAGTATGAACTGACATGAGACCTGTTGTATCCATGAAATATGTATCGTTAGCAAGGAGTTAAAAAGAGATATCAATACAAGATAAAATAGAGAGGCTTGCGACACGAAGATGTCCGACAAACGGCTGTGCAAGGTACTCCCTTTACTGCTGTGGGTGTGGTCTTAGAGTTGTCGAGTATGAATCCTTTCACTACCTGGGCCGGGTTGTTCGAAAGGGGTTTAACGTAAATCTAGGATTAATAGTTAATCCTGGCTTTAATTTCTCCTGTAAATGAGCGTGTTTAAAAGCTAAGGTTTTGTTGGGTTTTATCTCAATATGACTTAAAACTAAAAGGAAAAAAAAGAGAAAAGGAATAATACCTTTGCAAAGCAATTAAATTGATTTAAAAATTTGCACTAACCCTGGGTTACGTTAATCGTGCTTTGAAAAACCTGGCCCTAGTTTTTCCTCGCAATATGAGTACTCCGTCAAGCAAAAAGGTGACAAGAATAAGGAATTATATCGACAAGGGTATATCATTTGATTTACCAACAAATTCCCAGAACTAATACTGTAAGAAATGTATGACAGAAGTAGTGTTGAGGCCTTAGGACCAAAAGGATAAAACAGGGCTCAGGTGCAATTTCATCAGTTAAAAGAGATGAAACAGAGATGTCTGTGAAGAGGCCTTGACAGGGTATCAACTTGATGGAGCGAGTCTGCGTGTGTAGAAGTAACAATATTTTTACAGTTTTATTATAAATATTCGATATGAATACGCTATAGAGGTGGTTGAAAAAGGTCGTTACAGCACGGTCTTTTTGAAAGGATTTGGTGACCTCACCTTGATTCTCGTTCGCGCGCTCGTCTCCGGCTACGAAACATGGTCTGTTAGGATCTTTTGACACGCATGGTATCTCAGGATCTGTTTGTGCAGGTAAAAAATCCCCCAAGGGGCAGCCGTGACGAGGTTTCATAATTCTCATTGTCCCGTCGGGTGCTCGAAGGTGTTCAGCCTCCTCCTCGTCAGAGCCGTAAACGTTGGAGCCGTCGATGTAAGCTGTTATTATGTTGGTGTGCTCTCTTGGTCCTGGTGAACACTCTGGTTTAAACTCATGGGGAGCATCTCGAATCACTTCAAAGAATCTAACATCCCTGCTTTGGAAGACGTCATCATCGGCCGGAACTTCAACGTTGAAACACTCTGGCTCAGTAGAGGGAACAGTTTCACAAGTAACTCCTTGAGCTTCCGCCAGCGTTAAGTCATGGTCCAGGAACTGACCCCAATTCATGGCCAGGTGGGTCAGCCATGGAGAATTAGGGTTTCGGCGGTCTGCATTGCTGCCATGGACGAAACGACTCACGTCTCTCGCGTTGGGTAACTTGTCTCCACTTTGTGCCACGCGAGGTGCCGAGACCTCATCTGCATAATCAGCTGGTTGTACTCGTCTGAATGGAGTACCAGCTGCTCCAAAAAAGGGTTGATCCACATTATTGCAAGTTCCATCAATTGTTCGGAAACGGGCCTCCTCCTCAGACTTATGTGGACATTCAATGTCACCTAACGGTCGGTGTTCCAAACATTCAAGAACCTTCCTCCTGCATTTGCTTTCTCTTTCTTTCCTGGTAAAAAAGAAATATAAATTGTTTATTTGCAAAGTATAGTGAGAAATTCAAACGTCACAAGAAATTTAAAAATGCACACAAAATCATCAATTTAAAGGAGAAGTAAGGTATTAGTAAGTTTGAGGTACCGTGGCTTGAATTTTACTTTTTAAGTTTTGGGTAACAAATTTCGATGTAAAGAAAGAATGGGTGTAAATTCCATAGTAAACTATTTTCTTAAAGGAGACGGGTCAGAGTTTCCTTTTAAAAAGAGTTTAGGAATAAAGGTTACCCCAAACCTTTCGAGTGCCTTCAAAAAAAAAAGAAAAGAAAGAAAATCGTGTGCTGCATTTGAGAAACCAAACCATACTATAAGGGTCATTGAGAGCGTTTTTAGTAAAAGGACTGAGTGGAGTTCAATTGAGTCTGAATTCGGTGGAGCTGTTTCCTGCCGAAAGGTCACTCGGGAGTTCCGACCTAACAGAGATCGTGTTCTTTTTCTTAGGTCGCTTTTAGTATGATCAAAGGACACTGTCAATCCAGCTAGACAGGACGGCGTAGTTTACAGAATTCCTTGTGAATGTGCCAAAGTCTACATTGGTGAAACGGGAAGACCTATGCAAGAGAGGATAAAAGAACACGACAGGGATGTACGTTTAGTCCGTACCCAGACCTCCGCCGTTTCTGAACACGTCAACAATACCGGCCACCACCTGCTTTGGAACGAAGTAAAGTTTATTGATTTAGACTCTCACTGGTAAACCAAAAGAGTCAAGGATGCTATCCACATAAGACTTCACACTGATAACATCAACAGGGATAAAGTCATCAAAATTCCTGACCCGTGGATACCAACGATCAAGAAACACAACGGGAGACCGGTACGACAGCAAACCACCGTGGGAATAACTTGGAGTCAGACCTCTCGGATAACCAGAACTTACCGCAACAATGCGGATCGAAATCCGCTAGTCACATTAGATCGCCGTGATACAAATGGAAACGCGTGAGCAGTCGACCCCATTGCCTAATGAAGATTAGCAGTAAGCAGTTGAAACTTCGCGATCTACATCTCAAGTAACTACATCGCGAGACAAACGATTACGATATTATCAACATTTATACTAAAATACAATTTCTCAATAATTCACGTGCATTTTAAGATTTTAATTTGATCTTTTTGAAAATGTACGTTTAAGCAATTAAACTCTGAACTTCTTTTTGGTGTTCTGGTTTTAGAAACACCTACCTTCTCATCTTCCAAGGTATTCCTAGAAGGTTCAAAACCTTCCTCGTCTTACAAATGTCTCGTATGGCGCATTTGACACAAGCTTCATTCTGTAACGACCTCAGCACTTTCGAGTCGTCCACCACTGATCTTTTACCATGTTGTAATATCTGGAAGCTTTTCCTCAGACTTGTTCTAGATGCTGCTTGGCTATCGTTTTTTTTTTCTTTTTTGGCTTCAGCCATGGATTTTTTCTCCACGGCTTTGAATTCATCTTTGATCTCTTTACAAACGTTGGCCGACACGCTGTCTTGCGCCAGTTCCGTGTTCAGGTGATTCAGTTCGGCAAGGTCATCCGCCACGTCTGCTGTAGTGTAGGTGTCTCCTTCTAACCGGTCTGGGTCGTTCAAAACAGAAGAGGATCCCCGCTCAAATCCCAGAACCAAGATAAACAGTAAAGCACCGAGAAAACGCCCTGCCATGTTGTCTAATGAAGAGCAAAACAAAGTAACTTGGAACCGTCAACATACAGATCATTCAATTCATTATTGATTTTACTGCTAAAAAATTGGTTGACGACAACATTCTCTTTGTAAATGCTTTTTATTCCCCTTAGATTTAAGTGATATGCCGTCTGTGATCCCACTTGATTGATTGTTAAAAGGCTTGATTGATTGTTAAAAAGCAAACTTGATTTGTGAAACACAGACTCGATTCCTTGAAAAGTGAATATAATATCTTGATAAGCAACTTTCTTTTTCACTTTTGCAAAATAAAGACTTAAAAAACTTGCCGGGAATCTTATAAGCGCAAGGCTAGATTTTTCTTTAGTGGTTTTTGCGTCATGGCGACAGAAAACTTGATTAAAACTTATTCTTTGCAATGGAGGTGAAAAGCTTCTAAAAGGAAACCACTCAAATGCGATTTTAATAGATCAAGGCCACCGAGGCATAAAGCTTCATCTAGGTCATGCGCATTAAGACGTGACTCTTTGCAAATGTTTTTCTTAAAGCTGACTTACGCGGCAATTTTAAACGAATTCCCACAAATTCCAACGTAAAATTTGCATAATGACATATTAAGGCAGCTCATTTAAAGTGTTTCAAGGAATTATCGCTGAAATGTTTGATCAACAAACGCCGAAGACATCTTCGCATGCTCCGACGTCCGACTTTGGCAATTGTCGTCAGAGATTCAAACTTGTTGTTACATTTATGGCCTGTGACAGCGAAAATTTGGAGATTTTTCATATTTTCTGACGACAAACCATCTATGGCGATATGATGTGACTCAGCATATCGTGTAAGGAGGTCTTTTTATTTGATTATGTGGAAGGTGTTAATGGCGGCACTTTCCGATTGAGGTAAGCTTCACTTTGTTGCCAGACAACATTATTGATAGAGACTAATTGCCGTAAAGTTAAGGGTTAAACTCTAAACTCTCTGGTAACTGAGTGAAACGTAGAAAAATTTGTATCCTAATAAATTGTAGTGTAAACTTATTAAAAGTTTGGACGGTTTCAAATATTAAGCTCGAAAGTCGGTTTACATATGTGAATTTATATATATTTAAATAAAATGCCTTTAAAAGCGTTTTCATTTTATGCCATTTTTCTATGTTTCATGGAATTTTTCGTTACAGTTTGCAGGTTTTTATGAATTCTGCCGACAGTTCTCAACCTATTAAAGTTTAGCGTGCACGGAATAAATATTTAAAGGCAGATGTGAAATGTTGTACGAAAATTAGTTTGGGTTACATTTACAAAACATTTTTTTAAAATTTCGTTTTTCCATTTGATAAATATGTGTGGCCTAATAATACTTGCATGGTTCAACATTTTTCACTCCCAACATTACTTTGACAATCCGAAGTCCATTCTTACGACTAAATTAAACTCTCACCGGATTCTTCTTCAACTATGGAATTCTGACTCTACTTGACTGCGTACTGTCTACATTCTTCTGGCCTTCTCTTCTTTCTATTTTCCCCATTCTCTATTCTATTCTACTTTTTTCCCTCTTCTCCCAACTCTCTTCTAACTAAACTCTTATAAAAGAGTATGCTTATATATTCACTACTGACAGATATGGATTGGCATGCCAGCTTGCTGACCTTGAGAGATCAAACATTTGTTGTTGGAACGCTAAACCAAACAATTTCACCATCTGAACAACAAGGTACTTAATTACCATACTTCCTTTCAATTGAGTCAACTTCTGACTGCGTAAGTCAAAATAAGAACTTTCGTGTGGGTCCAAAGTGAGGTCAATAAACAAACTAAGCACGTCAACTTGAGGGTGTTAGACAAGGCTGTCACAATTCGGAAACTCATCACGACAACTCAAACCTAAATAACTTCGGAATTCGATTTCATACATTAAATACTTTCTAAATATAAACGAAAAATTAAATCATAGTGAACTGACCAACTAACTGACTTATTAATTATAAACTGATAACGAAATGCTTCATAACATCATATGGATGCTTACTAAAATTTGCAATTCAATCAAATTATCATATCGTAGTGATATAGCTGACTGAACGCCATCCTCCAACAGAGAAAGTTGCTGGTCATTTCTTTGAAAGGTCAATTCTAATTTTCGCGTTCACGAGTTTGAAAAAGTTGAGTAACTTAAAACAAAATATAGACTATCGACATCTGAAGTAGAAGAAAGGTAATCAGCGAAATATTATTGACATCGAGGTTTTAGTCTGGGAAAACCTTTTGTCTCTTTTACTTTTTTCGCTATTGGCAAACAAACCAACGGCAGCAGTTAGCATTTGACCAATTTTTCTAGAATTCTTGAGGTATTACAGGTCTTTTTAACCCATCGACGCGTGTCAAGTTATAAATCACAATTGACGTCTCAACGTCGAACAATAGCTTTGGGTCACTGGTTCTCAGGTGTGTCACTTTATTTTGGCGACTTTTTTGATGTTTGACTTAGCCGCGATACTGAAAAGTGAAATGGGTTCTTCCTTAACCGCGAACTGTCAAAAGTAAAAGTAAAATTAAAAAAACAAAACAAATAAACAAACAAACTCCTGCTTCTGTTTCTGATCTCGAAAAATGTTAGGTTAAGCTTAGCCTGTTTTTAAATCCGATTTCTTTTTCATACTCTTAAATAAAGCCGAATGTCTGATAGTTCATCAGCACAGACCTTTTGGACAAAACCCTTATAAGTCGCTATGAAAAGCGGAAATAAAAAGTTGGCACCGTTTTTCTAATGTTGCACGATCGAGTTGAAAAAAGTCAATTCAATCTTGGTCAGTTAAACATACTTTATCATATAAACTACGGTGTCATACAAGGATTTCCAGCCCTAAGAAAAGCAGTAACAGCACACGCGAAAAAATACGATATTTTGTCACGTGTGTTTGATATCGCTAATCAGTTGCTGACACGTCACTCGCCTTTCGCATCAATCAGTCAGGTTGACGAACGAACAGCAAAGCCTTCACTATTCTTAATCCATGGTTGTTTGACGGAGTTTTTCTCGGATTATGGCTATTAAAACACTGAAAAATCCTTATCGCTAACAGAAAGTGATGTTAAAAATTTCCTAGAAGGGGAAAAAAACCAAAACACGAAATTTAAAACCAAAAGTTACATATTCAGTGGCTCTGGTGATGGCATTTCTCGCGGCTTAGAACGAAATCGATAACTACAAGATTTGCCACAGGCCGATTTTGGCTGTGTACCTGAAAGATTTCTTTTGTCTGTTAGGACTAAGTCAGTTATTTATTGAAAATTATGCCCATTGTTGATTTCGTAGTGATTCAAGGCATTTTTTCATCTCGAGCCTTAGCGCCAACGCACATTACAATTTTTATTCGGGGATCGTTGATCCTTTTATTTTCATTCGTTAATAAAGTCGACTTTTCTTTCCAGTAAAAGACTATTGTGTTTACACGATAATCGAAATAATACATGTTGCTCGTGGATATGGAATTTCTCTTCTCATGTTCAACTCGATAGCTCACGAGTAAGCGCAGCGAACGAGTAAGGTGTCGAGTTGAACACTCGAAGAGAAATTCCATATCTACGCGCGCCCATGTATCATTATCAATATAGTCTACAAAAATTGATTGGTTAAGTTTACTGATCTTTTTAACGCTATGATTAACACCAATATCCTTACAGAGGCTAATTAACCAATAACTACGGTCAGGTCTTTGATTTGAAAACAGTCGATTCTTTTCGGAAAAAAATTACGGCTTAATCTGATCTCGTCTAAAACCCTTCGACTACGTTTTCGGTCTGTTATGACGCGAGAACGATGCTTTTAGACTAGAGTTATAAAGACTTTTTGATGACCCTAAGGCTATTAAATAATGTAGGAAACATTGAATAAGGTATTGGTGTAGATACATGTAACTAACGTACACAATTCATTCTTACCTTCGAGTCAGTTAATTCTTCGCAAAGAAACTACCAAACAGCTCTAACCTTTGTGACTTAAAATTTGTTCTTTTATAACCCCAAACAGGAACTTTATCGGTTCAATGCGACTTTTGTTGTGATAATTTTGATGCAATCAAAATGAATATTTGCCAAAAACAATGGTTTTTTGTTGATCGATTTTTTGCACCGAGAAAATACTTGATTTGTCTATAATTTAAGATAAGGTAGCTGTTCAAAAGGGTTGCAATTCACGCTGTGACTTAAAGCCCGGCAGCCGAGCACGGTTTCAAATAGACTAAATGCCCGGTAGTCAGAAATTTTCACAGAATTTCCATGAGAAGGTTCTTCCAACTTTCTTAAGAATTTCAGATCTTTGTTTAGAAATGTCAAGCAATTCCAAATCATGTATGGAATTGTCTTTTAATTGGATAAATTCTCCGAGCCAATTAGGAATTCTATGCTTCTGATCAGACTATTTGGAATATTCGAGGTTATTTAGAAATGCCAAGCGATCCAAAAAATTACGTTGTTTTTGTTTCAGTGGTCAAGCTTGAACGTACCAAACATGTTTTAAAGCTCGGGAGGTCACGTTGGTTTCGTAGAATGTGCCTTGAGATCACTGTGGCGTGACAGTTAGGGACAGCTTCAAGTTCAGTAAATGTGGAGGGAAAAAAAAATGCAGAAAACCTCAAATAAAAGCTATGAGGAAAATTCGATGTTTGTCTGCATATCTCATATGGGGGTATTGTGATAAAAGATGCGCCGCCTCTGTTGGAGATCTCTACATCAAGTGAACCAAAATACAGCTTAGGGAAACATGCTGAATTATTGCCAAGTTCACGATTTGGTAGCTTACAGAAAGAACTTTTTTATTAAAGAAAGAACTGGTAAAAGTGACATGTACGAGAGGAATTAGAACTCTTCGAAGACATTTTGGTGAATAATTAAATTTACAACTGTCAGGCATTCAGTCTATTCGAGACGGTGCCCAGCAGTTTGATCAAAACGTAGAAATTCTTAGTGTTAAGAAATGGAGTGCAAAGTTCAGATGATCTTCAATAACAAGGTACGTGTTACTGATACCTGACGTTGCGGTTTTATACGAAAAACGATTTGGAGATCCATGAACCAGTAATTTATGTCTGACTAGGGTTAACGCGCTCACCCACCGACCTTTTTATTCATTTTTCGCTTTTTCAATCAACTGTACTTAACTGATGTTTGAAGGGGATTGAAGTTAAATTCAACTGTCTCGAGGTTGCACATGTGGCAAAGTGACTAAACGCTACAACAAGTTAAGTGTTAACTCTACAGTTGTATTCCCGATTATTCACTTAAACCAGCGACAAATCATAAGCCTTTCTCTTCTTTCATCAGGTTTTGCTATGAACAGAAAATCACTTTTCAACAAGATGCTTCAATACTAAGGCGGATAGTTCAGTTCACGTAGAGTATTGAAAACGAATTAATTACGAATGACTAACATCCAATGTTTCCTCACAAATGAATATCTTCCCATTCATGAAGGTCACGGGAATAGAGAGAATGATCATCAACTGAACAAGCTTTTGATTGTTTAAAATATTCTCTTTCTCGGCACCTTAGAAGATATACGAAGAACAGTATGGAGATTATGCGTACTGATGTTATTGTGTAATGGGTAAGGCAACTAAGAGAGGTGGTTCATAAATCTTCTTGAACTTAGACTCTAGAGCTGATACTCGAAAAGTGATCCGCTACGCATGTAAGTTGATAGTCAATAACGAGACACTGATTGATGCGTCACTGAAGTTAACTTTACTACACCAATATCTGAGGCGAAATGTGGCGAGCTTCCAAAATTAATGATCTAGATAGCCTTTTTGAAATTACACATGGAACCTCCTTACATAAAACTAAAAAAACGACAACAATAGCAAAATTAGCTTAACGCCTGTCAGTTGCACCAATGGCAACATCTTGCAGGCTACAAATGGTAATAATAAGGGCGCCATCCCCTGTAAGTTTGAAAACAGTACAGCCAGTTACAAAGAAACGTTACATTTCATAAACAAAAATTCTCATACTCCATTTTATGAATTTTAATGCTTTAATCTACACTTTACATCATGCGCAAATCTAGCTTAAAACATTAAACCGAGGTCGAAATAATCTATAGTTTTCTAACAAAGTACAAATCCCCGGGTCCGAGTCAAGGGGCTGATGAGGCTGATGAATTATTCTGTGTTCGTGGACGGATTACTCAGTCGATCCTTCGTCATCTTCATCCTAAGGGTCTGAGGAGTCACCCCAGACTCTGCTAGAAAAAATAACAGTCAAATAACAGTTAATCAAATTTGAGAGGAATTTAGGTGAAGTTTCTTACAAAGCAATGATAGTTGCATACCTTCTCTGCCGACATTTGAAATCTGGTGTAAACACATCCAGGTTCATTTTGGGCAGCTTATTACAATCCACGAATACCTTTGACTGTTGCAATACCCTCTTGGGGATAGATGGAATGTTCTCAGCATTGTCGCAGATTATCTTGGCCAATGTAACCTTTCTTATTTCTTGCAGTTGGTATCGCGTAAAAGCTGTTTTATCAGTGTCCAGGCTTCGGTTTGGTGCATTTTCATGCCAGAAGCGGTCACCTTCTCGTAGGCGTTTGAACTGGTCAGCTAATAGACACTGAAAGGTTTTCCCTAGTGCTCCTCCCTCTGAATCTGCAGGCTCCAATATTCCTGTAAAGAGTCATTAAAAAGGAACAATTACTCACAAACGCTGTTTTAAACCTTCCTCCTCCTGCGCTTAATTATTTCACTTGTGTAAGTTTAACGAAAGTGAAATACAGATATACCCTAGTGCCTGGCGTTTTTTTTTTTTGTTTGGATTCTGGAGTATGCATAATTAAGCGAATCCTTCATTATGATTGGCTACTTGAGTAGGCGAGGTTCGGTAACACCGGCTTTGATCCCGCAAAAGGAAACAAAGAGCTTGTCCCCGGTTCCCATGCTGGTTTTCTTCCCCTTCTAGGAAAGTTTGAACGTCACTGTCTATAATCGATACGGATTTTTCAGTGTTTTAGCAGCCTTAATCCGAAAATATTCCGACAAACTAACTCGTAATGAGAATCGTTAAGGCTCGCTGGACTAGAAATCCTTGTATAACACAATATCTTATAAGATAACTCGCGTTCCCCCGCGCTTGAGGCAGTTTGCTTGCTTTTTCTTGCAGTTCTAGATGACTCCTAATGATATGTGCCTATGTACTGATTGGTAGTTGTGATTGCTTTGGTTTAAGAACTACGACTCTCAATCAAAATGCACTCTATAAAGTAGTCCGGGATTGTATCTGTCAGTTTTGTTTCACTATTCTTTGTGGCCGGTCAAGAAAAGTTACGCAGCCGTCTTAAACAATCATGTGCAAAACTTCAAACAAAGACGACTTGGTCACTTGCGTTTTCCTGTTCTTCAGTCAGTTTTCTAGCTTTTCCCCCTCCCTTCTTTATGAGTTCTGATTGGCTTCCTATGATGATTTGCTTTGTTTTGATTGGCTGATGTAATTACTTTAGACTTGGTTTCACAACACTCAATCGAAATAGGCTGAATGGCGGCATTACGCTGGCGCATACATACCTCCAACGAAAAGATCGACGTCGTGGACTGACTGGTACTGGGACTTCAAATTATCTATATCTTTTTGGGTGATGCCAGCCTTTTGCAGATCTTCGAAGCTGTTTACTATAGGCGTAATTTTACAAAACGTGTTTCGATATGTTGTGTATGAAGGCAAACCACGTTCGCGTCCTCTTTGGATGTTCAGGGATACGAGGTCGGACAAGTCACCAGGGCCTCGAAACAAGTTTTCTTGTACAGACTTGGAAAAGAGCCTGGGGAGAGAATCAGGTCAACCCAGGGATCAACCTTATGCAAATCAATATCGTGTATTGAGTAACTGACAATCCTAGTCATAATCAATATTACGGAAATGGGATATTTTCAATAACCGGATTTATTGCTGTAATGATAATATTGGCTCGCTTTTTCAGTCCAGACAAGAGATACGTAGAAAACTGTTTCATTAAAAATTCATCTCGTACTCACCCATCAACTTTGGATGCTGGACTTTTAACCAAGCCTCTAAAAATGGAATCGACACCCCCATTACACTTATCGTATAAGTAGGTTGGATTACCAAAGTCCTTTACTGGGATGGGCAAGAACTCTGACTTAGAATCATTGCTACATTTGTGTTCAAAGCCATTCTGACTCAAACGTAAAAACTCCTCTTGAACCATGCTGTGACCAAATCGGTAAGCCGCCGCAGAGAAGGCTTGAGACGTTTGGGCATTGATACAAGAGTTGTAACCATTAAAATACCGTGTTCCTTTCAGCAGAGCGAGGTTGTTGTCTCTGATCTACAAAATGAAGAAAAGAAGTCAGTTGGGAATTCGAAAAAAAAAACAAAGATTAATACAGTTACTTACCGTTTTGGGGCTAAGAAGCAGTGGCAGAAATTCGTTGTATGTAATGAATTGTAATTCCGCCCCAACTATTCTCCTGGTCTCCTGGTAAATCTGCTCCGCTTCCCATCCTGTGTTTTTACGGAAAAATGTTGCTATTCGGTTATGCTCCCGGACGAAGAGAGTATGAACTGACATGAGACCTGTTGTATCCATAAAATATATATCATTAGCAAGAAGATAAAAGAGCTATTTAATATAGGAGGAGATGGAAGCGCTTGAGACAGGAAGATGTTCGACAAATACCCGCGCAGGATACTCTCTATATTACTTGTCGAGTATGAGCTATTTCATTACCTGAAATGACCGAAAAGCAGTTTCTCCTCGCAACACGAGCACTCCCTCAAGTAGAAAGGTGACGATATAGCGTACATATCAAAAAAGGGTATATTATTTGATTTACGAATTACCAAGAACTAATACCATAAGAAAATTATGCAGACATTCAGAAGCAATAGTGTTGAGATCTTGGGACCAACAGGGTTAAACAGAGCTCATGTGCAATTTCATCATTTTAGTTACGTCTTAATGGGGACGTCTCTGAACAAGTCTTGACACCTTCTGCCTTTGACAATGCGTGGTCTACATGTGTAGAAGTAACAATATTTTACAGTTTTATTATAAACATTCGATATGAATACGCTATAGACCTGTTTGAAAAAGGTCGATATACCACGGTCTATTTGTCTTAATCAGAGAAGCGAATGAAGTTATTTGGTGACCTCACCTTGATTCTCGTTCGCGCGCTCGTCTCCGGCTACGAAACAAGGTCTGTTAGGATCTTTTGATGCGCATGGTATCTCAGAATCATTTTGTGCAGGTAAAAGATCCCTCAAGGGGCAGCCGTGATGAGGTGTCCTAATTTTCATTGTCCCGTCGGGTGCTCGAAGGTGTTCAGCCTCCATCTCGTTAGAGCCGTAAACGTTGGAGGCGTCGATGAAAGCTGTTATGTTGTTGGTGTGCTCTCTTGGTCTTGGTGAACACTCTACCTTAAACTCATGGGGAGCATCTCGAATCAGCTCGAAGAATGTAACACCCCTGCTCTGGAAGACGTCATCATCGGCCGGAACTTCAACGTTGAAACACTCTGACTCATTAGAGGGAACGGTTTTACAGGTAACAGTTTTTGTCCGCGCCAGCGTTAAGTCATGGTCCAGGAACTGAGCCCAATTCATTGCTAAGTGAGTCAGCTTTGGAGAATTAGGGTTTCGGCGGTCTGAATTACTGCCATGGACGAAACGACTCACGTTTCTCGCATTAGGTAACTGGTCTCCACTTTGTGCCACGCGAGGTGCCGAGACCTTATCTTCATAATCAGCTGGTTGTACTCGTCTGAATGGAGTACCAGCTGCTCCAAAAAAGGGTTGATCCACGTTGTTGCAAGTTCCATCAATTGTTCTAAAACGGGCCTTCTCCTCAGACTTATGCGGACATTTTATGTTCTCTAGGGGTTCGTGTTCTAAACATTTAAGAACCTTCCTCTTGCATATCCTTCTTCTCCTGTTCCTGAAGTGAACATAACTTGTTTATAAATAGAAATCCGCTAGCAATTCAAATAACACCACAAAAAAGGTAAAAAGAAACGCGCCAGTAATTATAAAGGACGATAAAGGTATTAGCAAGGTTGAGGCGCCGTGGCTAAAATTGACTTTGGCAGCTTTGGCTTAACAAATTACGGTAAAAGGGTAGGCGTAAGCTCTAGATTAAAATATGTTCTCGAGAGAAAAAGTTCAGACTTTCGTTTAAAGAAAAGTTGAGGAATTATGGTTAATCTAATCCTTTGTGGGTACCTTAAAGAAAACAAACAAACAAATAAAAAAATCGTGCGCGCTTCCGTTCTTAAGAAACCACCCCAAATCATTGAACAGGTTTTTAGCAATAGTAATTGTACTGAGTGGAGTCTAATTCGGTTCGAATTCGGTTGAGCTGTTTGGTGCAGCAAGGTCGCTAAGGAGTTCCTGCCTAATGGAGATCATGACACCTTGAAAGATTATCAACTTTTTTACAAAAATACATTTTTCTCAATAAATTGCGCGCATTTTAAGATTTTAAATTTGATGTTTTTGAAAATGCAGGTTTAAGTAATTAAGCTCTGAACGTCATTTTTGTGTTCTGGTTTTGTAAACCTACCTTCTAATCTTCCATAAATCCATGGCTTCCTTTCTGATATCTTTGGAGACGTTGGCCGACACGTTTGCTGTAGTGTAGGTGTCTCCGTCTAACCGGTCTGTGTAGTTCAAAACAGAAGAGGATCCGTGCTTAAGTACCACAACCAAGATAAGCAGCAAAGCACTGAGAAAATATCCTGCCATGTTTTCTAATGAAGAGAAAAATAAAGTAACTTGAAGTCGTCAACATAAAGGTCAATCAATTCATTATTGACATGAATTGACATTACTGTTTTTAAAATTAAACTTATAAATGTTGATAAGCTTCATTGATTTCATTTTTGCAAAATACAGTCTTGTAAAACTTGCCGTGATTCGTATAAGCACAAAACTAGATTGTTTCTTTGGTGGTTTCTGTGCCACAGCAACATAAAACTTGATTTCAACTTATTCTTTTAAATCGAGGTGGATAGTTTCTAAAAGAAAACCACTAAAATTCGATCAAGGCCACTGGCGCATGAAACTTCGTTTTAGTCATGCGCATTGGGACATGAAAGTCTGAAATTATAGCAACTCTTTGCAAGTTTGACACACGCGCTGATTCAGAGCGAATTCGTAAAACTTTCCACGGAAAATCTGCATAAGAATACGTTTGGACAACTCATGTGGCGTGTTTCAAGGAATTATTGATGAAATGTATGATCAACAACCTCTTCGCTTCCGACGTCTGACCTTGGCAGTCGCCGTTGCGGATTCAAACCCCTCGTCAGATTTATGGCATGTGACAGCGAAAATAAGGAGAGTTTTAATATTCTCTGACAACAAACCATTAACGTCGATATTTCCCAACTCATTCTATGGTGAAAGGATGGTGATGTGGCTACTACAAAATTGTTAACGGCCGCGCTCTGCGATTGAGGTAAGGTTTGCTAAATATATTTGCATGAGAGAGCTGTCCGCTGTTTGCCGTTACTGACACTCGCAAATCATCCCAAAGAAGTTTCATTTAAAATACTAATGTCAGTTGTGTCTGCTTTAGAAAGCAGTCTCGTATAATCCCAATCTCCTTTTAATACGTATGCAGTTATTTGTTGCGGGCAAGGAAATTTTCTTTTCAGATTTGCATGTCTTGTGAACTCTGCCTTAAATTTCTCATTTCTGTCTGTACGGTTGCACGTTTAAGCTTAGAGAGTACACGGAAAGTACTTTAAAACGCAGATGTAAAATATTGTGCGACAACGAGTTTGGTTCACAATTTTAAAAGCCAAGAATGATTTCTGCTTTTCGTATAATTATGATGCATGGCCTAATAACGCTTGCTTAGTTAAACTGTTCATGTTCACTTACAAGATCACTTTGGCAATCGGAAGTCCATGAGAATGTTTATTAAAATTTATTCCTGAAGCATAAACAATTCCGTAACATTATTAGGCCGCAGAGATATAGCTAATAAAATTTAGTGCTAGGGTGTCCTCCAACAAGGAAGTCGCTGGTTTTTGGTTTGAAAGATCAATTCTAATTTCTGCGTTCCAGTGAGTTTGAAACTAACCGCCGTCGTAATGTAAGGTAAATTACAACGACATACTATATCGAAAATAAAATCTGAAGTCGTGGGAAGGTAATCAGCAAAATACCATAGCCATCAAACGGCAGCATGCTTCGTAGAATTTTCGTTGGCTAATTGGTCATTTTAACCCATCGACCTCATTTTTAACTCGTGAATTGCGCGCATGCACAAGAGCGAGTTGTAGATATGAGGTGGAGAATGGCACTCGCTCGCTCGCTCGCTCGATTGGTCGATTCCTGTAAACTTTTTTTCGATTTTAGGCTTTTGAGTGCATTTGATAGTTTTTGGCGAGTAATAAAGGAACGAAATGGCGACCTTTGTTGCTAAGAATTGTGGTGGGGTGAAAAAAAAGCCAATGATAAAATTAAGAGTTTATTTTTTTTCGTTTTAATTTCAACAAGCGGCGCCAGCGACTGGCAGACGTGCGAGGATTCACACTGAAATAAGGGGACAACCTTCGTTTTTCATAAAATTGTAATTTACAATTCTTGAGCTTGAAAACAATCCGAAGATTCACTAAAAATATCACTTGCTCCGAAGCTCTCGGATTTTACAGGTGTTCAAAAGCTTCTCCTGTTATGGCGTGAGATTAGGGACAAAATCGATCATTACATAATCATTTCGTATCGTGTGTTTTTTCTGTGTGAAGCAACAAAAGGTGCTGGCGACTGACGAAATTACAGGTTAACATGAAAATCAAATAACACCTAAACAAATAATTTTGGCTACCGATTTTCAGTGAATTTTTAAAGAACAATTTTCTTTTAAGTTTCAAGACAATTTGAAGATTCAAAATAAATATTACGTACTTAAATGCGAAAGTTATACACCACAAAATTGATAAATAGGCCTGAAATGAAATTCTATCTTGTTCTTAATTATACGTTGCCTAGCACGTGACCAAAATCTACCCAGGCGGAAATCCAAAATGACGGTCTGGGCTTAGTCATATCACTCAAAACTCGTTCCCGTTTGTCTCATTTGATAAAGAGGGAATCATTAATGTTTTCATTAAGACAGTATTGCCTTGATTTTCCAATATTTACAATGATAGAGAGAAAATTTCACTTTTCACCCGCATTTACCTCCAACCTTTTCTTTTGAACCAGAAACAAAAATGATACATGTTCAAAACACATGACATCATCCACCCTTGTCAAATGTAATAGCATGATCATTTATGTAATGCCGTAAAGTAATCCAAATATGATAATCAACCACAAAATTACCAACACCAGATAACATTAAACATTATCCAAAAAATCATGTAAGTCATCAGTCAATTCACGAGTTTGCTCACGGAGCACTTAGATCCGCGTGTGTGTTAAGTTCTAAACCACGTTTGACAATTTTGGCCTTGAATGCCCTGAACTTTGACTGAGCTGCGATATTGCACAGTGAAATAAAGCCAGGGAACAAACAAAAAACAAAGAAGAAAATTACGTTTAGCCTGGCATGTTTTTTAAAGCCATTTCTTTTTCACACTCGCGAATAGAGCCGAGTGTCAGTGCTCTGATAGATCATCGGTAAATAAATTTTGCTAAGCGTACAATTTTCAATCGACTCTATAACAGGCTGTTAATCAGACTTAAGACCTTCTAAGTCGTTACTGAGAAAAGCAAGGATAAAAAGTTTGCACCGTGGTACCATTGTTGCATAATGGATTGAAGAAAGCCAATTGCAATTTAATCATATTTGTGTAAAATTAATAATCTAGGTATTTATTGCTGTGTTTGTATTTTCTGTTCATTTGAATGCTGCAGTCATCACCAATATCCTTAAAAGGGATAATTAATCCAGTGATTACGATCAGGTCTTTGATTTGAAAACAGGCGGTTCTTTTCGGATGGAAAGCAACAAAATATGGCTTAATCTGATATCGTCTGTAGCCCTTTCCGAAACCCTTCGAGATTTTTTTTTGGTCCGTTATGACGCGAGAACGATGCCTATGGAGTTAACCTAGAACATTAAGTCCTTACAGACTTAGATGATAATTAAAAACAATTAGTATTGGTATTGATAACTAACTTAGTATCAAGTTCATTCTTACCTTCAAGTCAGTTGATTCTTCACACTGGAACGAACAAATCACTCTAACTTTTCTAACTTAAAACTTCTTATTTTATAACTCCAAACAGGAACTCTTAAGATTATTGTGTCTTCTGTTGTGGTCAGTTGTAAATGCCATTAAAATGACTATTTGGCACAGACAACGTGCATGTCCTCCAACAAGGAATTTGCCCCCAAAAAAATATTTCTCGAATTTGCCGTTATTACCATTACCTAAAGGTCTCTGCCAAATTCCGCATTCAAAGGTTAAAAAGAAACACAACAGTATTGTCAGTAATCAACACTCGGCTCTCAAGAGGAAGTCGAAGTTAAAGAAATAAAACCAGAGCAATATTGACAAATGCTGCCGAGATCAGGTTTTTGTGAGAGGCTCTTAAGTCTGCAAACCCATTTTTCTTTATTGTACTCGCTATTTTGGTTATTTATCGAACAAACTTTAATGTCTTATTAACTAGTTGTATGAGTTTAGTGCATGGATGTCTTCCAAAAAGGAACTCGTTAATTGTTTAGGGTCAATACTATTTGTCTTTATTTTTGGAAAAAGCGGCTCGTCAAAAAGGTTGCGGCTGATATTTGTTATATTTGGCTTAATTTGATTTGCATTGCCTTGCAGTTTTCGCATTCAGGATCACTCTAGAAAGCTGAAGTACCAAAAGATGTTGACCTAAATTTAATCTTGGGTTATACATCAATTATGTAGCTTTGATTTTATTGTTGTTTGAGTATAATACGTGCATGTCCTCCAACAAGGAGTGTAAAAAAAAATCTTTCTCAAATTTGCCATTATTACTATTGCCTAAAGGTCTCTACCAAATTCCACATTCATAGGTTAAAAAGAAACACAACAGTATAGTCAGTAATCAGTTCTCGGCTCTCAAGAGGAAGTAGAAATTGAAGAAATATAACCAAAGCAGTATTGACAAGTGCTGCCGAGATCAGGTTTTTGTAAGAGGCACTTCAAGTCTGCAAACTATTTTGGCAGATGTGCATGTCTTGCAACAAGGAATTTGCCATAATTACTATTACCTTCTTGGGTTATACGTCAATTATGTAGCTTTGATTTTATTGTTGTTTGAGTTTAGTACGTGCATGTCCACCAACAAGGAATTTGCAAACAAATTGATCCATACAATATCCGAACTTTCTACATTCAATCGTTCCCAAGTCTCAGTTACAAGATAGTCATTCTATTTATCTGCTATTACAACGGAAATACAGGCCTGAAGTACGTAAATCCATGATTGACATTACTTATTCGTGATTTACTAAAAATCCCAAGATATTTCCTGTCAACTTGGTTTTAACAGCTGTTTCTCATTATACGCCGATCAACACTTCTGTAATTTATACCCGCACGCACTATTGCGGCACGAATGACACCTCACGCAACGTCACAGGATGTTCCAGCCTAAACGCACACGCACAATTTCCCTAAGCAATTCCTTATCTAATTATTTCAGACAATTACTGATTTTCTATATTACGAACATTCTTACTACAAGTCTGCCATTACCGTGCTACGTTCAGTTATACACCTAAATCTTAAGTAACCCAACTGTCATCAGACCTTTAGCTTAATTACTAAATTAGAAAGAAAGTGTCACGCGATACACTTACAAGACTATTACGACACCATTGAATGGCAAGGAAATTCACCGTGAGCAAATCAAAATTAGTTTTTTATAGTTGCGAGAGGGTGTTTGTTTGATGTAGTAGAGCGTATCAACTTTGTCTTTCTTCTAACGTAAAATAGAAGTCAACTAAGGTAGTTTTAGACACGCTGAAATTTGATGAGGACGTCACTCATTGAATTCGAGGCAGAAAGAGAGGAAACATAAGCAATGTATTACCGACAATAAATTTTTCCCCTAAATGCCGGAGTGTAGAGCTGTAGTTAATCTTCAACCCAACGGCAACTGCTATGGCATTTTTCGGCATAAAAGGAGTTGAGAGTTCCGTAAGGCAATCACATCCCCTGCAATCTTCAAGTACTCCACCTCTACGTACCACTGTGGCGCCCACGCTAGCAAAGAACACGAAACACGAACCGGTTGATTAACCAAAAGGTTGCACATGGGTCAAATTATTCACCGGTTTGCGGCTATTTACGGCGATTTTTCCCTAAGTTGTTACCGAAAGAGGCTGTCGAGTATGAAGTGGAAAGTTCAGATGGTCTTCAATAACAAGGGACGTGTTACTGATGCTTGACGTTGCCGCTTTATACGAAAAACGATTTGGAGACCCATGAACCAGTAATATTACGTCTGACCACCGACCTTTTTATTTATTTTTCGCTTTTTCAATCAACTGTGCTTAACTGATGTTTAAGGGGATCGAAGTTACTGAATTCAACTGTCTCGAGGTTGCATATGTGGCAAAGTGACCAAACGCTACAACAAGTTAAGGGTTAACTCTACAGTTGTATTCCCGACTACTCACTTAAACCGGTGACCAATCATAAGCCTTTCTCTTCTTTCATCAAGTTTTGCTATGAACAGAAAATCGCTTTTCAACAAGATGCTTCAATACTAAGGCGGATAGTTTAGTTCACGTAGAGTATTGGCAATTAATTAATTACGAATGACTAGCATCCAATTTCTCCTTACAATATCATCCCATTCATGAAGGTCACGGGAATAGAGAGAATGATCATCAACTAAACAAGCTTTTGATTGTTTAAAATATTCTCCTTCTCAGCACCTTAGAAGATACACCAAGAACAGTATGGAGAATATGCGTACTGATGTTATTGTGTAATGGGTAAGGCAACTCATAAATCTTCTTGAACTTAGACTCTAGGGCTGATACTCGAAAATGATCCGCTGCGCATGTAAGTTGATAGTCAATAACGAGACATTGATTGATGCGTCACTAGCCTCTGTGAAGTTACACATGGAACCTCCTTACACAAAACTTAAAAAAACGACAACAACAGCAAAATTAGCTTAATGCCTGTCAGATATACCAATGGCAACATCTTGCAGGCTACAAATGGTAATAATAAGGACGCCATCCCCTGTAAGTTTGAAAACAGTACAGCCAGCTACAAAGAAACGTTACATTTCATAAACAAGCTATCTCGCTGAAAATTCTCATACTCCGTTCTAGGAATTCTAATGCTTTGAAATACGATCTATATCATGCGCAAATCAAGCTTAAAACATTAAACCGAGGTGAAAATAATCTATAGTTTTTCTAACAAAGTACAAATCCCCGAATCGGAATTAAGAGACTGATGAATTATTCCATGTTATTCTGGATTGCTCAGTCGATCCTTCGTCATCTTCATCCTCAAGGTCTGAGGCGTCACCCCAGACTCTGTTGGAAAACAAAACAGTCAAATAACAGTTAATTAAAGTTGAGAGAAATTTAGGTGAAGTTGCTTACAAAGCAATGATAGTTGCAAACATACCTTCCCTGCCGTGGACATCTGAAATCTGATGTAAACACATCCAGGTTCATTTCGGGCAGCTTATTACAATCGACGAATATCTCTGACTGTTGCAATACCCTCCTGGGGATAGATGGAATGTCCTCAGCATTGTCGCAGATTATCTTGGCCAATGTAACCTTTCTTATTTCTTGCAGCTGGCATCGTGTAAAAGCTGTTTTATCAGTGTTCTTTCTTCGGTTTGGCGCATTTTCATGCCAGAAGCGGTCGCCCTTTCGTAGGCGTTTGAATTGGTCAGCTAATAGACACTGAAAGGTTTTCCCTAGTGCTCCTCCCTCTGAATCTGCCGGCTCCAACATTCCTGTGAAGAATCATAACAAAGGAACAATTACTACAAACGCTGTTTTAAACCTTCCTCCTCCTGCGCTTAATTATTTCACTTATGTAAGTTTAACGAAAGTGAAATACAGATATACCCTAGTGCCTGGCGTTTTTTTCTTTTTTTTTTGGATCCCGGAGTAGGCATGATAAAGCGAATCCTTCGTTACGATTAGCTACTCGAGTGGGCGAGGTTCGGTAGCACCGGCTTTGATCCTGCAAAAGGAAACAAAGAGCTTGTGCCTAGTTCTCATAATGGTTTTTTCCCCCTTCTAGGAAAGTTTGAACGTCACTGTCATTGAAAGTGATACGTGTTTCAGCAGCCATAATCCGAAAATGTTCCGACAAAGTACCTCGTAATGAGAATCGTAAAGGCTCGCAGGACTAGAAATCCTTGTATAACACTGTAGTTTATATGATAGCTCGCGTTTCCCCGCGCTTGAGGCAGTTTGCTTTTTCTTTCAGTTCTAAATGGCTCCTTATGATATGTGCCTATGTACTAATTGGTAATTGTGATTGCTTTGATCTTGGATTTACGACACTCAATCGAAATGTACTCTATAGATTGCATCTGTCAGTTTTGATTCACTTTTCGTTGTGGCCGGTCAGGAAAAGTTACGTCGCCGTCTTAAACAATCAGATGAAAAACTTCAAACAAAGACGACTTGGTCACTTGCGTTTTCCTGTTCTTCAGTCAGTTTTCTTGCTTTTCCCCCTCCCTTCTTTTTGAGTTCTGATTGGCTCCCTATGATGATTTGCTTTGTTTTGATTGGCTGATGTAATTACTTTAGACTTGGTTTCACAACACTCAATCGAAATAGGCTGAATGGCGGCATTACGCTGGTGCAGACATACCTCCAACAAAAAGATCGACGTCGTGGACTGACTGGTACTGGGACTTCAAATTATCTATATCTTTTTGGGTGATGCCAGCCTTTTGCAGATCTTCGAAGCTGTTTACTATAGGCGTAATTTTACAAAACGTGTTTCGATATGTTGTGTATGAAGGCACACCACGTTCGCGTCCTCTTTGAATGTTCAGGGATACGAGGTCGGACAAGTCACCAGGGCCTCGAAACAAGTTTTCTTGTATAGACTTGGAAAAGAGCCTGGGAGAGAATCAAACCAACCCAAGGATCAATCGTGTGCCAATCAATATCGTGTATTGAGTATTAATAATCCTACTCATAATTGATATAAAATCGGATATTTTCAATGACTGGATTTATTGCTTTAATAATAAATATTTCCTATCACTTACCTGATAGGAAATGTTTTTCAGCGAATATTCTAGCACAGAATTTGTATTTCTAGAGGTAAAAAGTTTCAATCAAAAGTATTCGGATAAAATGAGTTTGCGTTCGGTGGTTTCGTCTAATTAACTGTTTTAGTTTCCGCACAACCTCCACTTTTCCACTTTCGCCTAATAAATCCCCCCTTCCCCCTCCTTATGAAAATGTATCTATTGGCTCGCTTTTTCCAGACAAGAGATACTTAGAAGAATGTTCGATTCTATTAAAAATTTATCTCCTACTCACCCATCAACTTTGGCTGCTGAACTTTTAACCAAGCCTCTAAAAATGGAATCGACACCCCCATTACACTTATCGTATAAGTAGGTTGGATTACCAAAGTCCTTTACTGGGATGGGCAAGAACTCTGACTTACAATCATTGCTATATTTGTGTTCAAAGCCATTCTGACTTAAACGTAGAAACTCCTCTTGAACCATACTGTGACCAAATCGGAAAGCCGCCGCAGAGAAGGCTTGAGACATTTGGGCATTGACACCAGGGTTGTAACCATTAAAATACCGTTTACCTTTCAGCAGAGCGAGGTTGTTGTCTCTGATCTACAAAATGAAGAAAAGAAGTCAGTTGGGAATTCGAAAAAAAAAAACCAAAAAAAAAGAGAGATTAAAACAGTTACTTACCGTTTTGGGGCTAAGAAGCAGTGGCAGAAATTCGTTGTATGTAATGAATTGTAATTCCGCCCCAACTATTCTTCTGGTCTCCTGGTAAATCTGCTCCGCTTCCCATCCTGTGTTTTTATCGAAAAATGTTGCTATTCGGTTATGCTCCCGGACGAAGAGAGTATGGACTGACATGAGACCTGTTGTATCCATAAAATACGTATCATTAGCAAGAAGATAAAAGAACTATTCAATATAGGAGGAGATGGAAGGGCTTGAGACAGGAAGATGTTCGACAAATAACGGCGCAGGATACTCTCTATATTGCTTGTCGAGTATGAATGATTTCATTACCTGAAATGACCGAAAAGCAGTTTCCCCTCCGACCAAAGGTATTGTAGACATTCAGAAGCAATAGTGCTGAGATCTTGGGACCAAAAGGTTTAAACAGAGCTCATGTGCAGTCTCATCATTTCAGTCACGTCTTAATAGGGATGTCTGTGTACAAGTCTTGACACCCTGTACCTTTGACAATGCGTGGTCTACGTATACATGTGTAGACGTAACGTTATTTTACAGTTTTAATCGTAAATAATCGATCTGAATACGCTATAAACCTGTTTGAAAAAGGTCGATATACGGTCTTTTTTAAGGGACTTGGTGACCTCACCTTGATTCTCGTTCGCGCGCTCGTCTCCAGCTACGAAACAAGGTCTGTTAGGATCTTTTGACACGCACGGTGTCTCAAAATCTGTTTGTGCGGGTAAAAGATCCCCTAAGGGGCAGCCGTGACGAGGTGTCATAATTCTCATTGTCCCGTCGGGTGCTCGAAGGTGTTCAGCCTCCTCCTCGTTAGAGCCGTAAACGTTGGAGGCGTCGATGAAAGCTGTTATCGTGTTGGTGTGTTCTCTTGTTCCTGGTGAGCACTCTATTTTAAACTCATGGGGAGCATCTCGAATCAGCTCGAAGAATGTAACACCCCTGCACTGGAAGACGTCATCATCGGCCGGAACTTTAACGTTGAAACACTCTGATTCATTAGAGGGAACGGTTTCACAGGCAACTTTTTGTTCTCCCGCCAGCGTTAAGTCATGGTCCAGGAACTGGCCCCAATTCATGGCCAGGTGAGTCAGCCTTGGAGAATTAGGGTTTTGGAGGCTTGCATTGCTGCCATGGACGGAACGACTCACGTTTCTCGCGTTGGGTAACTGGTCTTCACTTTGTGCCACGCGAGGTGCCGAGACCTCGTCTGCATAATCAGCTGGTTGTACTCGTATGAATGGAGTACCAGCTGCTCCAAAAAGGGGTTGATTCACGTTATTGCAAGTTCCATCAATTGTTCTAAAACGGGCTTTCTCCTCAGACTTATGTGGACATTTTATGTTCCCTAACGGTTCGTGTTCTAAACATTTAAGAACCTTTCTCCTGCATATCCTTCTTCTCCTGTACCTGAAGGAAAAAAGTAAACATAACTTGTTTATTAACAGAGTTCTGTTGAAAATTCAAATGCCATTACAAATTTGGAAATGCTATAAAGGAAAAAAAGAAACGCGCCAGTAATTGTAAGGGACAATTAAGGTATCAGCAATTTGAGGTGCCGTGGCTAGAATTTACTTTAGCAGCTTTGGCTCAACAAGTTATGGTGTAAAGAAAAGGGGAGGCGTAAGTTCTAGAGTAAAATATCTTCTCGAGAGAAAGAGTTTAAACTTTCGTTCAAAGTAAAGTTGAGGAATTAAGGTTAATCCAATCTTTCGCAGGTGCCTTAAAAAAAATCATGCACGCGCTTCTTTTTGAGAAACTATCCCAGACTATGTATCATTGAAAAGGTTATTAGCAATAGTAATTGTACTGGGTGGAATCTAGTTCGGTCCGAATTCGGTTGAGCTGTTTGCTGCAACATGGTCGTTAGGGAGTTCCAGCCTAATGGAGATCATGACAACTTGAAAGATTATCAACTTTTTAACCTAAATACATTATTCTCAATAAATCGCGCGCATTTTAAGATTTTAATTTGACATTTTTAAAAATGCACGTTTAAGTAATTAAGCTCTGAACGCCATTTTTGTGTTTTGGTTTTGGAAGCCTACCTTTTCATCTTCAAAGATATTCCTAGAAGGTTCAAAACCTTCTTCGTCTCACAAATATTTCGTATGGCGCATTTGACACAAGCTTCATTCTGTAACGACCTAAGCACTTTCGAGTCGTCCACCACTGATCTTTTACCATGTTGTAGTATCTGAAAGCTTTTTCTCAGACTTGCTCTAGATGCTGCCTGTCTCCCAGATATTAGGCTATCAGGTTTTTCTTTTTTGGCTTCAGCCATGGATTTTTTCTCCACGGCTTTGAATTTAGCTTTGATCTCTTTGCAAACGTTGGCCGACACGCTGTCTTGCACCTGTTCCATTTCCAGGTCATTCAGGTCGGCAAGGTCATCCGCCACGTCTGCTGTAGTGTAGGTGTCTCCTTCTAACTGGTCTGGGTCGTTCAAAACAGAAGAGGATCCCTGCTTAAATCCCACAATCAAGATGAGCAGTGAAGCACCGAGGAAACGTCCTGCCATATTGTCTAAAAAAAGGAAAACGAAGTAACTTGGAGCCGTCAACACACAGTTCATTCAATTAATTATTGATTTTACTGCTAAAAAATGGTTGACGACATATAAACTACGGTGTTATACAAGGATTTCTAGCCCTGAGAGAAGCCGTAACAACACACGTGAAAAAGTACGATATTTTTTCAAGTTGTTTGATATCGCCAATCAGTTGCTGACGCGTCACTCGCCTTTCGCGTCAATCAGTCAGGTTGATGAACAAACAGCAAAGCCTTCACTCTTCTAAATCCAATGTTGTTTGACGGAATTTTTCTCGAATTATAGCTATTAAAACACTGAAAAATCCGTATTGCTTACAGACGGTGACGTTAAAACTTTCTTATAAAGGGAAGAAAACCAAAATACGAAGAGAAAAACCAAAAGTTGCGTATTCAGTGGCTCTGGTGATGGCATTTCTCGCGGCTGAGAACGAAAATCGTCAACTGGAAGGCTTTCCACAGGCCCTTTTGGCTGTGTCCCTGAAAGATTTCTTCTTTCAGTAAGGACTAAGTCAATTATTGAAAAATGTGAGCTATTGACTCGAAAACTCGAAGAGAAATTCCATATGTACGCACGCCCATGTACTTTTCTCTACATATTGATTGGTTTAGTTTGCTGATGTTTTTAACGCTATGATTATCACCAATATCTTTAAAAGGGCTAATTAACCAATAATTACGATCAGGTCTTTGATTCGAAAACAGCCGATTATTTTCGAAAAAGAATACGGCTAAATCTGATCTCGTCTGGAACCCATGGCCATTCGAATAATTTTCGGTCTGTTATGACGCGAGAACGATGCTTTTAGACTAAAGTTGTAAAGACTTCTTGATGACACTAAAGCTCAGTTAAATAAGGTAGGAAATATTGAATAAGGTATTGGTGTAGATACATGTAACTAACTTACGCAATTCATTCTTACCTTCGAGTCAGTTAATTCTTCGCAATGAAACTACCGAACATACAGCTCAATAACTTTTCTGACTTAAAATTTCTTATTTTATAACCCCAAAGAGGAACTTTTATCGGTTCAATGCATCTTTTGTTGTGGTAATTTGATGAAATCAAAATAAATATTTGCCTAAAATAATAGTTTTTTCATAGATCGATTTTTTACACCGAAAAAGTACTTGATTTGTCTATATTTTTGGAAAAGACAGCTCTTCGAAAGAATTGCAATTTACGCTGTGACTTAATGCCCAGCAGCTGGGCACGGTCTCAAATAGAATAAATGCCTGGTTGTCAGAAATTTTCACAGAATTTCGACAAAAAAGTTCTTCCAACCTTCTAATATGAGATGTTTGTTTAGAAATGTCAAGCGATTCCAAATATTAATTTTTTTTTAATTGGATAAATTCTCCGAGCTTGTGCACCTTTAATATCGCTCGGTTGACATAAGATTATTCATGGAAAGTAGAGCACGCACAACCGATTTTGCATACACTTGTTCATAGCTGCTTGACGGATTGTTAGGTCATTGGTGGACAAGATTTTCTTATCTCTAACTACAGGCACGGTCCGGTAGTACTTCGCCGAATCGTCAAACTTTTGCCTTTTTTACATTTCTATCGACCGTGTTTTCTGAAACACTTTCAAATGGAAAGGCACCTATAAATGTTTTCTTTCTTTTATCGCATATAACTTTTTGAAATGAGATAATCTTCCGGAGCACAAGGGGATCTCAGCCACTGGATTCGAGAAAGAGAGAGCAAAAAATAGATAAGCTCTAATTGGCTTTATTTCTCCTGTAACCTTGCAAATATTTCGTTAGTGAAATGAGGCAATTTTGGACTAGTGGGGATTTGATTTGGATTTCAGCCATTTGATTCAATGGAGAAAGAGAAGAAACTAGATAAATAGATAAGTTATTACCAGCTTTATTTTTCCTTTAGATGCTGTAACACTCGAAGGTAAATCCCATATCTAGGCGCGCCCATGTATTATTCTCTATATGGTCTACAAACATTGATGAGTTTAGTTTACTGATCTTTTTAACGCTATGATCATCACCAATATTCTCACAGCGGCTAATTAACCAGTAACTACGCTCGGTTCTTTGATTTGAAAACAGCTGATTCTTTTCCATGGCTTAATCTGATCTCGTTTGGACCCATGGCCAATCCAAGAACCCTTCGAATAGTTTTTCGGTCTGTTATGGCGCGAGAACGATGCTTTGAGACTAAAGTTATAAAGACTTTTTGATGACCCTTAGGCTATTAGATAATGAAGGAAATATTGATTAAGGTAATGGTATAGATACATGTAACTAACTTACACAATTCATTCTTACCTTCGAGTCAGTTGATTCTTCCCAATGAAACTACCGAACAGCTCTAACTTTTCTGACTTCAAATTTCTTTTTTTACTGCCCCAAACAGGAACTTTATCTGTTTAATGCGTCTTTTGTTGTGGTAATTTTGTTGTAATCAAAATAAATATTTGCCCAGAAAAATGGTATTTTATAGATCGATTTTACACCGAAAAAAGTATTTGAATTGTCTATATTTTTGAAAGGGTAGCTCTTAAAGAAAGGTTGCAATTGACGCTTTGACTTAATGCCCGGCAGCCGAGCACGGTCTCAAATAGACTAAATGCCCGGCAGTGAGAAATTTCACAAAATTTCCGTCAAAAGGTTCTATCAACCTTCTAATATCAGATGTTTGTTTCCAACCTTCTAATATCAGATGTTTGTTTAGAAATGTTAAGCAATTCCAAATATTAAATTTGATGTAATCAAAATAAACATTTGCCCAAAACAATGGTATTTTATTGATCAATGTTTTACAACGTTAAAACACTTTATTTGTTCACAGTTTTTGAAAAGAAGCTCTACAAAAAGGTTACAATTTACGTTGTGACTTAATGTGCGACAGCCAGGCACGGTTTCAAATAGAGTAAATGCCCGGCAGTGAGAAATTTCCACAGAATTTCCATCAAAAGGTTCTTTCAACCTTCTAATACCAGATATTTGTTTCCAACCTTCTAATATGATATGTTTGTTTGGAAATGTCAAGCGATTCCAAATACATTTCCATCGGCCGTGTTTTCTGAAACACTTTCAAATGGAAAGGCTCCTATAAATATTCTCTTTCTTTTATCGCATATCTTTTTGAAATGAGATAATCTTTCGGAGCACAAGGGAATCTCAGCCACTGGATTCGAGAAAGAGAGAGCAAAAAATAGATAAGCTCTAATTGGCTTTATTTCTTCTATAACCTTGCGAATATTTCGTTAGTGAAAAAAGGTAATTCTAAACTAGTGGGGACTTGATATTTTCGAATATTTCGTTAGTGAAATGAGGTAATTCTAGACTAGTGGGGATTTGATTTGGATTTCAGCCATTCAATTCAATGGAGAAAGAGAAGAAAGTACATAAATAAATAAGTTATTACTTTTTTTTATCTTTAGATGCCGTAACACTCACAGAAAAACTCTATATCTAGGCGCGCCCATGTATTATTCTCTATATGGTCTACAAACATTAACTGGATTACAGTTAACCGATCTTTCTAAGGCTATGATCATCACCAAATTTTAAAGGGGCTAATTAACCAGCAACTACTCTCAGGTCTTTTATTTGAAAACAGCCGATTCTTTGACATAATCTGATCTCGTTTGGACCCATGGCCATTCCAAAAACCCTTCGAATAATTTGTTGGTCTGTTATGACGCGAGAACGATGCTTTTAGACCAAAGTAATAAAGACTTTTTGATATCCCTAAGGCTATTAAATAATGTAGGAAATATTGATTAAGGTATTAGTGTAGATGCATGTAACTAACTTTTACAATTCATCCATACTTTTGAGTCAGTTGATTCTTCGCAATAAAATTACCGAACAGCTCTAACTTTTCTGACTTAAAATTTCTTACTTCCCCAAACAGGAACTTTATCTGTTAAATGCGTCTTTTGTTGTGGTAATTTTGATGTGATCAAAATAAATATTTGCCCAAAACGATGGTTATTGTATGGATCGAATTTTACACCAAGAAAGTTCTTGATTTGTTCATATTTTTTTTGAAAAGGCAGCTCTTCAAAATGATTACAATTTATGCGTGACTTGATGCCCGGCAGCCGGGCTCGGTCCCACAGAGACTAAATACCTGGCAGCAATTTTCACAGAATTCCCACTAAAAAGTTCTTCCAACCCTCTAATATCAAATGTTTGTTTAGAAATGTCGAGCGATTCCAGATATTAAATTTGATGTAATTAACATAAATTTTTGCCCAAAACAATTGTTTTTAATTGATCGATTTTTTACACCGAGGAAATGCTTGATTTGTCTATATTGTTATAAAATGCAGCTCTTTAAAAAGGTTACAATTTACGCTGTGACTAAATGCCCGACAGCCGGGCACGGTCTCAAATAGACTAAATGCCTGGCAGTCAGAAATTTTCACAGAATTTTCATTAAAAGTTTCTTCCAACTTTCTTATATCAGAAGTTTGTTTCCAAACTTGTAATATCAGATGTTTGATTAGAAATTTCAAGCGATTTAAATATTAAATTGTTGTTTAAGGTGGCTCCATAGGGTTTTTCCTCAATGTTGGCGCGCACGCTAGCGTATTCTTTTTCTAGACTGAAATTTTTATCTTTTCGCCTTTCTATGTCACTTAAAGCCATCAAGAGGGAGATGAGTAAGGTTCGGACTATCGTTTGCTGTAGTAAATATTATCAAAGTGATTTTCGTTATTAAGCAATAATTAAGCGATAATTTTGCTTTGCCTTTTGCTTCGGTAAAATCTCTTAAAATTTTCACAATTTGTGAAATTTGTCCTGCTGATTATTTAAAAGCCGAAAAAAATAGGGGTTACAATGGCAGTTTTCTCGCTATTTGCAATTTAAATTTGTTTTTTCTTCCTCTGTCTCAAATTTGTTCTTATGAATTGTTTTCATCAACAGACACCAGGAAGGGCACAATTATGTTTAACGGTCCAGCAAATCTTGGGAAGTTCCACTCAAGGAAACGCGATAAATCTTGCTCGAAAGATCCTTATTTTCTTTGTCACAAAAAAATTACCTAATGGAATAGAACTTCGCCAAGATCTCTATCTGAGCATGTGTAAACTTTCGAATCTGTCGCCTCGTCTGTCCCACAGTGTCTTCTTTTCGGTTGACCCCTTCTTTAGGCGTAGAAGGCCTAGGAATATTACGGGTGCAGTTGCTGGAAACCCCAGGTTCCATCACAGAAAAAGTGCATTGTGTGAAACTGTTTTTAACACACCTTTTCAGATAACAATCGTGCGATCGTATCGAGCCGCCGTGTTTGTTTTCATGTTGACAGTTTTAGCTCACGCGGTCATAAAACCCTATGGAGTCTCCTTAACTGGATAAATTTTCCGAGATTGTGCATCATATATCATCGCTCTGTTGTTGCCACTTAGGAATTTTACGCTTTTGGACAGACTATTCGGAATATTTGAGTTTATTTAGAAATACCAAGCGATTCAAAGGATTGCGTTGGCTTTGGTTAGCTTGAACGTACCAATCATGTTTTAAAGCTCGGGAGGTCACGCTGGTTTCGTAAAATGTTGTCTTCCATACCACTGTGGCGTGACAGTAAGGGAGAGCTTCAAGCTCAGTAAATATGGAGGGAAACATTGCAGTAAACCTCAAATAAAAGCTATTGGGAAAACTCGATGTTTGTCTACATATCCCATGTGATTCTAAAATCATTTTTCCGAGCTTATCGAACCACAAAATCGCTTGGTTGTCGACACTTGAAAAGACTACCGGGCAAGATCTCAAATAGACTAAATGCCCAGCAGTCGGAAATATCCACGAATTCAGAAAACGTATTTTCACGGAGTGAAGATTTAAAAAGGTTTTACTTCTGTGAAGATGTACTTTTACTCAGCGTAACAGGGCCTTTGGGGGTATTGTAGTGAAAGATGCACTGCCACTGTCAGAGATCTTTACATCGAGTGAACCAAAATACAGCTTAGGGGAACATGTTGACTTCTTTTTATGTTCAAGATTTGCTGGCTTACAGAGAGAAATTTTTAAAGAAAGAACTAGTAAAAGTGCCCTGTACGAAGTAGAACTCTTCGAAGGCATTTTGGTGAATAATTAAATTTACAACTGTCGGGAATTTAGTCTATTCGCGACGGTGCTCAGCAGTTTGATCAAAAAGTAGAAATTCTTAAGGTTAAAAAATAAAGTGCAAAGTTCAGATGGTGTTCAATAAGAAGAGACGTGTTACTGATGCCTGACGTTGCGGTTTTATACGAAAAACGATTTGGAGATTCATGAGCCAGTAATTTTATGTCTGACTAGGGTTAACGCGCTCACCCACCGACCTTTTTTTTATTTATTTTTTGCTTTTTCAATCAACTGTACTTAATTGATGTCTGAAGGGGATCGAAGTGAAATTCAACTGTCTCGAGGTTGCACATGTGGCAAAGTGACTAAACGCTACAACAAGTTAAGGGTTAACTCTACAATTGTATTCCCGACTACTCACTTAAACCGGTGACCAATCATAAGCCTTTCTCTTCTTTCATCAAGTTTTGCTATGAACAGAAAATCGCTTTTCAACAAGATACTTCCGGCGATACTGAGGCGGATAGTTCAGTTCACGTAGAGTATTGACAATTAATTAAGAGTGCAACATCCAATTTCTTCTCATAATATCACCCCATTCATTAAGGTCCCGGGAATAGAGGAACTGATCATCAGCTAAACAAGCTTTTGATTGTTAAAAATATTCTCCTTGTCAGCACCCAAGGAGATGTACAGAGAATAGTATGGAGAATATGCCTACTGATGTTATTTTGTAATGGGTTAAGCAACTAAGCGAGATGGTTTATCAATCTTTGTGAACTTAGATTATAAGGCTGATACTCGAAAAGTACCGAATCCGCTGCGCATGTAAGTTGATAGTCAATAACGAGCTAGACACTGATTGATGCGTCACTGAAGTAAACTTTACTACATTAATATCTAAGGTGATCGTTTCGAAACTACGAAACAACAACAACAGCAAAATTAGCTTAATGCCTGTCAGATACACCAATGGCAACATCTTGCAGGCTACAAATGGTAATAATAATGGCGCCATCCCCTGTAAGTTTGAAAAACAGTACAGCCAGTTACAAAGAAACGTTAAATTTCATAAACAAGCTATCTCGCTGAAAATTTTCATACTCCATTTTAAGAATTTAAATTTAAAATATGATCTACATCATGCGCAAATCAAGCTTAAAACATGAAACCCACTTAGAATTAATCAAGTGCAAATCCTCGAGTCGGGGTCAAGAGGCTGATGAATTATCCCATATTCGTGGACGGATTACTCAGTCGAGTCGATCCTTCTTTATCTTCATCCTCAAGGTCTGGGCCGTCACCCAAAACTCTGTCGGAAAACAAAACAGTCAAATAACAGTTAATCAAAGTTCAAACCGAATTCAGGTGAAGTTGCTTTCAAATCAATAATAGTTGCAAACGTACCTTCCCTGGCGCGGACATCTGAAATCTGGTGTAAATACACCCAGGTTCATTTCGGGTAGCTTTTTACAATCGACGAATGTCTTTGACTGTTGCAATACCCTCCTGGGGATAGATGGAATGTTCTCAGCATTGTCGCAGATTATCTTGGCCAATGTAACCTTTCTTATTTCTTGCAGTTGGCATCGCGTAAAAGCTGTTTTATCAGTGTTCTTTATTCGGTTTGGCGCGTTTTCATGCCAGAAGCGGTCACCCTCTCGTAGGCGTTTGAACTGGTCAGCTAATATACATTGAAAGGTTTTTCCTAGTGCTCCTCCCTCTGAATCTGCCGGCTCCAACATTCCTGTGAAGAATCATAACAAAGGTTTTTGTGGGTCCTGGAGTAGGCGTGATAAAGCGAATCCTTCGTTATGATTGGCTACACGAGTGGTAAGGTTCGGGAACACCCGTGTACCTGGTTCACATTCGTTAAAAGATTTTGCAGCATTGTGGTTACAAGCTTACTTGCTTTTCCCCCCTCCTTTCTTTTTGAGTTTTGATTGGCTCCCTATGGAGATTACTTTGGATTTGGTTTCACAACACTCAATCGAAATTGGCTGAATGGCGGCATTACGCTGGCGCAGACATACCTCCAACAAAAAGATCGACGTCGTGGACTGACTGGTACTGGGACTTCAAATTATCTATATCTTTTCGGTTGATGCCAGCCTTTTGCAGATCTTCGAAGCTGTTTACTATAGGCGTAATTTTACAAAACGTGTTTCGATATGTTGTGTATGAAGGCACACCACGTTCACGTCCTCTTTGAATGTTCAGGGATACGAGGTCGGACAAGTCACCAGGGCCTCGAAACAAGTTTTCTTGTATAGACTTGGAAAAGAGCCTGGGAAAGAATCAGACCAACCCAAAGATCAATCGTATGCAAATCAATATCGTGTATTAATAAGTAACTGATAATCCTACTCATGATTAATAAAGAAATAGGATATTTTCAATAACCTTATTTATTACTTTTTGGCAGTTAACCTTTCGTTCTAAGTTACCTGATAGGAAACATTTTTTCAGCAAATATTCTAGCACGGATTTTAAATTTCTCGAGGTCAAACATTTAAATCAGACGTATTTGGGTAAAATGATAAATTGTTCGATGTTTTCGTGTAATTAACTGTTTTAGTTTTCGCACAACCACCACTATTGCTCTTTCGCCTAATAACTCCTCCCTTCCCCCTTCGGATGAAAACGTATCTATTGGCTCGCTTTTTCCAGGCAAGAGATACGTAAAAGGATGTTCTATTAAAAATTCATCTCCCACTCACCCATCAACTTTGGCTGCTGGACTTTTAACCAAGCCTCTAAAAATGGAATCGACACCCCCGTTACACTTTTCGTATAGGTAGGTTGGATTACCGAAGTCCTTTACTGGGATGGGATAGAACTCTGACTTAGAATCATCGCTACATTTGTGTTCAAAGCCATTCTGACTTAGACGTAGAAACTCCTCTTGAACCAAACTATGGCCAAATCGGTAAGCCGCCGCAGAGAAGGCTTGAGACATTTGGGCATTGACACCAGGGTTGTAACCATTGAAATACCGTGTTCCTTTCAGCAGAGCGAGATTGTTGTCTCTGATCTAAAAAATGAAGAAAAGAAGTCAGTTGGGAATTCGAAAAAAAAAATTAAAACAGCGATGAAAACAGTTACTTACCGTTTTGGGGCTAAGAAGCAGTGGCAGATCTTCGTTGTATGTAATAAGTTGTAATTCCGCTCCAACGATTCTCCTGGTCTCCTGGTAAATCTGCTCCGCTTCCCACTCTGTGTTTTCACTAAAAAATGTTGCTATTCGGTTATGCTCCCGAACGAAGAGGGTATGCACTGACATGAGACCTCATCATTAGCAAGAAGATAAAAGGGTTATTCAATATAGGAGGAGATGGAAGGGCTTGAGACAGGAAGATGCATGACAAATTCCAGCACAGGATACTACCTTTATTGCTTGTCGAGTATGAGTTATTTCACGACCTCAAATGACCGAAAAACACTTTCTCCTCGCGACACCAGGTATGGTAGACATTCAGAAGCAATAGTGTTGAGATCTTGGGACCAAAAGGTTTGAACAGAGCTCATGTGCAATTTCATCATTTCAGTCACGTCTTAATAAGGATGTCTGTGTGTAAGCCTTGACACCTGAAGCTGGAACCTTTGAAAATGTGTGGTCTACATGTGTAGAAGTAACAATATTTTACAGTTTTGTTGTAAATATTCGATATGAATACGTTATAGAAGTGTTTGAAAAAGGTCGATATACCACGGTCTATTTGCGAATAAAAGGATTTGGTGACCTCACCTTGATTCTCGTTCGCGCGCTCGTCTCCGGCTACGAAACAAGGTCTGTTAGGATCTTTTGATACGCATGGTATCTCAGGATCTGTTTGTGCAGGTAAAAGATCCCCTAAGGGGCAGCCGTGACGAGGTGTCATAATTCTCATTGTCCCGTCGGGTGCTCGAAGGTGTTCAGCCTCCTCCTCGTTAGAGCCGTAAACGTTGGAGGCGTCGATGAAAGCTGTTATCGTGTTGGTGTGTTCTCTTGTTCCTGGTGAACACTCTTTTTTAAACTCATGGGGAGCATCTCGAATCAGCTCGAAGAATGTAACACCCCTGCTCTGGAAGACGTCATCATCGGCCGGAACTTCAACGTTGAAACACTCTGACTCATTAGAGGGAACGGTTTCACAGGCAACTTTTTGTTCTCCCGCCAGCGTTAAGTCATGGTCCAGGAACTGGCCCCAATTCATGGCCAGGTGAGTCAGCCTTGGAGAATTAGGGTTTTGGAGGTTTGCATTGCTGCCATGGACGAAACGACTCACGTTTCTCGCGTTAGGTAACTGGTCTTCACTTTGTGCCACGCGAGGTGCCGAGACCTCATCTGCATAATCAGCTGGTTGTACTCGTATGAATGGAGTACCAGCTGCTCCAAAAAGGGGTTGATTCACGTTATTGCAAGTTCCATCAATTGTTCTAAAACGGGCTTTCTCCTCAGACTTATGTGGACATTTTACGTTCCCTAACGGTTCGTGTTCTAAACATTTAAGAACCTTTCTCCTGCATATCCTTCTTCTCCAGTACCTGAAGGAAAAAAGTAAACATAACTTGTTTATTAACAGAGTTCTGTTGAAAATTCAAATGCCATTACAAATTTGGAAATGCTATAAAGGAAAAAAAGAAACGCGCCAGTAATGGTAAGGGACAATTAAGGTATCAGCAATTTGAGGTGCCGTGTCTAGAATTGACTTTAGCAGCTTTGGCTCAACAAGTTACGGTGTAAAGAAAAGGGGAGGCGTAAGTTCTAGAGTAAAATATCTTCTCAAGAGAAAGAGTTTAAATTTTCGTTCAAAGAAAAGTTGAGGAATTAAGGTTAATCCAGTCTTTCGCAGGTGCCTTAAAAAAATCATGCACGCGCTTCTTTTTGAGAAACTATCCCAGACTATGTATCATTGAAAAGGTTATTAGCAATAGTAATTGCACTGAGTGGAGTCTAATTCGGTTCGAATTCAGTTGAACTGTTCTCGCAGCAAGGTCTCTAGGGAGTTCCTGCCTAACGGAGATCATGACAACTTGAAAGATTACCAACTTTTTTACTGAAATACCTTTTTCTCAATAACTCGCGCCTATTTTGAGATTTTGATTTGATCTATTTGAAAATGTAAGTTTAAGTAATTAAGATATTAACATCATTTTTGTGTTTTGTATGGTTTTGGAAACACTTACCATCGCATCTTCACAGATATTTTTAAAAGGTTCAAAACCTTTTTCGTCTCACAAATATCTCGTATAGCGCAATTGACACAAGCTTCGTTCCGTAAAGACCTCACCACTTTCGACTGGTCCACCACTGATCTTTTACCATGTTGTAGTATCTGAAAGGCCTTTCTCAGAGTTTGTGCTAATGCTGCCTGTCTCCCTGATATTAGGCTATCAGGTTTTTCTTTTTTGGCTTCAGCCATGGATTTTTTCTGCACGGCTTTGAATTCATCTTTGATCTCTTTGCAGACGTCGGCCGACACGCTGTCTTGCACCTGTTCCACTTCCAGGTCATTCAGCTCGGCAAGGTCATCCGCCACGTCTGCTGTAGTGTAGGTGTCTTCCTCTAACCGGTCTGGGTCGTTCAAAACAGAAGAGGATCCCTGTTCAAATCCCAGAACCAAGATAAGCAGCAAGGCACAGAGAAAATGTCCTACCATGTTGTCTGCTGAAGAAAAAAATAGGGTAATATGGAGTCGTCGACATAGAGGTCGATCAATTCATTATTGACATGTAATGACATTACTACTTTTGAAAGTGAACTTGAAATTTTGATGAGCAATTTTCACTTTTGCAAAATACAGTCTTCTAAAACTCGCCGTGATTCTTATAAGCGCAAGACTAGATTGTTTCTTTGGTGGTTTCTGCGTCACAGCAACACAAAACTTGATTTAAACTTATTCTTTGAAATTGAGGTGGATAGTTTCTAAAAGAAAACCACTGAAATTCGATCAAGGCCACCGGCGCATGAAACTTCATTTTGGTCATACGCATTAAGACATGAAAGCCTGAAATTAAAGCAACTCTGCCAGATTTTCTCTTAAACCTAACTCACACGCTATTTTAAAAGGAATTCAAAAAAATCTCTACGGAAAATCTTCATTAGAATACGTTTGGACAACTCATGTAGCGTGTTTCAAGGAATTATTGATGAAATGTTTGATCGTCAAATACTGAAAACATCTTCGGATCCGACGTATGACTTTGGCAGTCGCCGTTGCAGATTTAAACCCTTCGTTAGATTTATGGCATGTGAGAGCGAAAATATGGAGAGTTTTAATATTTTCTGACAATAAACCATCAATGGCGATATTTCCCGATTCAATCTATCGTGAAAGGATGGTGATGGGCTACTACAAAGTTGTTAATGGCCGCGCTCTGCGATTGAGGTAAGGTTTGCTTTGTTGATGAATCCTTTCGTGAAGCTAACAAGATTACTGTTGAATATTAATCACCGCGAGGTAAGGGGTTAAAGTCTCAACTCTCTGGTAACTGAGAGAATGAAAAATAAATTTCGCATCGCAATGAATTCTAGTGTAAACTTCTCAAACGTTTAAACACTTTCAAATTGAGCGCCAGAATATATTTGAAAGAGAGAGCTGTCCGCTGTTTACTGGTACTGACTCTCACAAATCATCCCAAAGAAGTTTCATTTAAAATACTAATGTCAGTTATGTCAGCTTTAGAAAGCACTCTCGTATCATCACCTTTTAATACGTATGCAGTTCTTTTTTCCGGGCGAGGAAATTTTCTATGCAGATTTACGGTGACCACGTCTTGTGAACTCTGCCTTAAATTTCTTTCTCTACGGTTTCATCAGTTTCACGTTTGAGCTTGAAGAGTACACGGAAAGTACTTCAAAACGCAGAAGTAAAATATTGTGCGAGCAAGAGTTTGGTTCACAATTTTAAAAGCCTAAAATGATTTCTGCTTTTCATATCATTGTTAAGCGTGGCCAAGTCACTGGTTTTTGGTTTGAAAGATCAATTCTAATTTCCTCGTTCCCGTGAGTTTAAAAATAACCGCCGTCGTAATGTAAGGTAAATTAAAACGACATACTATATAGAAAATAAAGTCTGAAGTCGTGGGAAGGTAATCAGCAAAATACCATAGATATCAAAGCTCTGATCTGAAAAAACCCTATGTTTCATTTACTTCTTCTATCATCAAATAGACGAACGGCAGCGGCTAACATTTGGCAAATTCTATCGTAGAATTCTCGTTGGCTAATTGGTCATTTTAACCCATCGACTTCATTTTCCGCGTGTGTGTTAAGGTCAAAACCACATTTGACGTCAATAATTTGATTGGAACAATAACTGTGGACGATTGAGCCTGGAGGTTCCGCGACGTGTGTTACTTAATTTTGGCCTTGAACTTTGACTGAACTGCAATATCGGAATATTGGGTCTCTTCTGCGCAGTGAAGTAAAGCCAGAGAACACTGAGGCTAAACAATTCCGTCACATTATTATACCGCAGAGATATAGATAATGAAATGGAGTGCCAGGGTGTCCTCCAACAAGGAAGTCACTGGTTTTTGGTTTGAAAGATCAATTCTAATTTCCTCGTTCCCGTGAGTTTGAAAATAACCGCCGTCGTAATGTGAGGTAAATTAAAACGACATACTATATAGAAAATAAAGTCTAAAGTCGTGGAAAGGTAATCAGCAAAATACCGTGGGCCATAGATATCAAAGCTCTGATCTGAAAAAAAAACCCTATGTTTCATTTACTTCTTCTATCATCAAATAGACGAATGGCAGCGGCTAACATTTGGCAAATTCTATCGTAGAATTCTCGTTGGCTAATTGGTCATTTTAACCCATCGACTTCATTTTCCGCGTGTGCGTTAAGTTCAAAACCACATTTGACGTCAATAATTTGATTTGAACAATATCTGTGGGCGATTGAGCGTTTTGGTTCCGCGACGTGTGTTTCTCAAATCTGGCCTTGAACTTTGTCTGGGCTGCAATATTGTAATATTGGGTCTCTTCTGCACAGTGAAATAAAACCAGAGAACAAACAAACAAACAAACAAACCAAGAAGAATATTACTTAAAGACATTTCTTTTTCATACTCGTAAATGGAGCCTAGTGTCGCTGCTCTGATAGTTTATGGGCAAGGATCTTTTTCAATTCACGTTACAACGGGCTGTCAATCAGACAAAAAACTCTCTAAGTCGTTAAGGAAAGCAAGAATAAAAAGTTAGCACCAAAGTACCATTGTTGCATTATGGATTGAAGAAAGCCAATTTAATTATATATGTGTAAATTTAGTAGTCTAGGTATTTATCGCTGTGTTTGTGTTTTCTGTTCATTTGATCACTGCAATCATCACTAATGTCCTTAAAAGGGATAATTAATCCGGTGATTACGAGCAGGTCTTTGATTTGAAAACAGGTGATTCTTTTCGGATGGAAAGCAACAAAATATGACTTAATCTGATATCGTCCGGAGCCCTTTCCGAAACCCTTCGAGATTTTTGTTTTGTTCTGTTATAACTTTGCTTATAGACTTAACTTAGACCATTAAATGCTTGCAGACCTAGATGATAACTAAAAATATTAGTATTGGTATTGATAACTAGCTTAGCGTAAAGTTTATTCTTACCTTTAAGTCGGTTGATTCTTTGCGTTGGAACGAACAAATAGCTCTAACTTATCTGACTTGAAACTTCTTAATTTATAACTCCAAACAGGAACTCTTTCAGCTTATTGTGGCTTTTGTTGTGGTCAGTTTTGAATGCCATTAAAATAACTGTTTGCCACAGGCATTGGTTCTTTATCGATCGATTCATCACTCTGGGAAAATACTTGATTTGTCTTTAATTTTGGAAAAGGCGGCTCCTCAAATAGGTTGCAGTTGAAATGATTATACTTGGCCTAAATTTTATTTGCATTGCCTCGCAGTTTTCGCATTCAAGGTTACTTTAGAAATCTAAAGTACCAAAAGACGTTGACTTAAATTTATTCTTGGTTTATACATCAATTAAGTAGCTTTGATTTTATCGTTGTTTGAGTTTTGTACGTGCATGTCCTCCAACAAGGAATTAAGTGCCAGGTTTTCATTCCATTATCATTATTATTATTACTATTATTATTACTATTACCTAAACGTCTCAAGTGGAAGGAGAAGTTGAAGAAATATAACCCGAGCAATATTGACAAATGCTGCCGGTTTTTGTGAGTGGCACTTCAAGTCTCCAAACCCGTTTTCCTTTATTGTACCCGCTATTTTGATTATTTATCGAAAAAACTCTAATGACTAATTAACTTATTGTTTGAGCTTAGTGCATGGATGTCTTCCAACAAGGAACTGGTTAATTGTTTAAGGTCAATACTATTTTCCGCGTTTACGAGATCAATAATAAACGCAGTGGTAAGGCCAGAAAAATTAACAAGATATCAATAAGCAGCTCTCAAGAGAATGTAAAATAAGGTCGAAGAATAATAACCAGAGAAATTACTGGCCAGTTAGGTAAAGCATCATGAAAGAGAAAATTTGAATTTGGTGTTACGTTTTTCATTGGCTGTAATGGACGTAGATGATCTATTTTTTCGATGCTACTGCGTAAACAAGTGTAAAACAAGCTATGAAGTCAGAAGCTGGCCTGCCCAATTTGCCGTCAATCTCCCTTTGGGTTGAGGCGAGCGGATGGAGAGACTAACTCTCTGTTTCTCTTAATTCTGAATCATGAATCGACAGTTGAAAGTTTTTCTCAAAACTTCTGTGGCATTGTAGAATAGGATCATATTTACGATCGATGGACTAATGATTTCGTGTTGCAAACCAGAAATCAGTGATTAAATTAAAAACACTTGTAAGCTTAAGAGTCCGCTAAATCTCAACACACCCTTTGCTTTGTTAATTTTTCTCTGCTTTGTTCCAGCTTACCACAAGGAACAGAGATTTTTTCCTTTGAGGTTTTCCGCCATCGCTTAAGCCACGAAAAAGCCTCACCATGGCTATTTATGGCTTAACATGAAGGCTTTATTGAGCTTTTGTCAGTGCAGCTATCAATAAATCTCAATTTCTTCTCCTACTAGTGCCACCAATAACACTGAATCTGACGGGGCTGTCAAATTAATTTGGCAACCTCCACAGAAAATAAAAAGCTATTTAGAAACAACTGCATCTTTAATAGGAATAAACCTTATAAAAAATTTCAAAATAAACTGACTCTTCGCATTGATTTTTGATTACTTGACGTTCAATAAGCAGTGATTTGAGTGTTGCAGGTCGAGGATTGTTTGCGCAAAACGCAAACATCAATTTACGCAATCATGAGAAGAAAAAAGAAAAGCAGATCCATGGTAATGCTTCGCCAAATCGTCTGGTTGATTAATTTTATGAATGAATCGGTAGGAATCTTTGTTCAAGCCAGTAACAGACGTCAGCCAGCCAGTTGACATAACATCATTCTTGGAAAGTACATCACGCAAAACCGATTTTGCATACACTCGTTCATAGCTGCTTGACGGATTGTTAGGTCATTCGTGGACAGGATTCTTCTATCTCTGTCTACAGGCACGGTCCGATGGCGCTTCGCCGAATCGTCAAACTTTTGTCATTTTTATACTTCCATCGACCGGTTTTTCTCAGGCACATAAAATGGAAAGACACCGATATATATTGTCTTTCTTCTACCGCATATCTTGGTGAAATGAGATAATCTTTCGGAATGCTGGGGATCTCACCCACCGGGTTCGAGAAAAAGGAGAGCAAAAAAAGGATAAGTTCTAATTGCCTTTATTTCTCCTACAACCTTGGGAATATTTCTTTTGTGAAATGAAGCAATTCTAGACTAGCAAGGATTTGATTTGGATTTCAGCCATTTAATTCGAAAGAGAAAGAGAAGAACGTAGATAAATAAATGAGTTAGTAACAACTTTGTTTTTCCTGTAGATGATGTAACTCTACCACAATTTTCTATGGTATTTTAAGGGAGTTAAAAGTTTCCCCAAGGCAATCACATCCTCCGCCATCATTAATTACTTGTTCAACCTCACTAATTGGCGCCCACGCTGGCCAGGAGCACAAAACACGAGCTGGTTGACTAACCAAAAAGTTTTGCATGAATCTATTTTTCCCTCGGCTACTTGCGGCTTGTTTTATTAACCACTTGCACGAAAGAATTTTTAACTTCTTGCGGCTGAAACTTATCATTGCTGATTAATTTCTGAACAAATCACTGCGTTCATAATACAATAACCATATTCTACAGAGCCCATTATAGTAATAATTGCCTTGAATATTGAATGATTATCCGTCCGCGATCGTAGAACCATTGAAGCAATGTTGTCTTTCCTTTGTAGAGGCTGAAAAAATCCTGGCTGCTCTTGGCAGTAGCGGACGTCAGTCAGGTGTTAACTTAGAATTAATCACGAAAATGTAATACGCGAAACAATTAAACACACTCATAACTAGCTGCTTTGAGGGTCGATAACAGCCTCTGTGGGGGTCGTTAATCTTGGACATATTTATTGCTGTTTTGTTTTCCATAGCCATTGTATTCCTCATTTTACCCAGGCACATTCTGTATGGGGTTCTACAGCCTGCCACCGCTATCATAAATGTGTTACAGACTTTTCAAACTCACGCCTTTTAATATTTTGACTCAAATATGAATTCCATAGTTAATATTCTTGGAGCAAGTAAGATTTCATACCTCTGTTCCAGGGCACGGTGGCGCTTCACCGCCGTGTGAACGAATTGGCTGTGATTGCCAAACTTTTGTTTGTTTGTTTGTCTCTTTTGAAGCTAAATGGACATTTAATCTATACAATTTTATCTCTGGTCACCATTAAATGGCAAGGAAATTCACCGTGAGTAAATCAAAATGAGTTTTTAATAGTTGCGAGAGTTTCTTTGTTTGTTTTCAAGGTTGATAGAGCGTATCAACCTTGTCTTTTCTAACGTAAAATGTTAGTCAACTGAGTTAGTTTCAGACACGTTGGAATTTAATGAAGATGTAACTCACTGATTTCGAAGCAGAGAGAGAAGAAAAATAAGCAATGTATTATCGGCAATAAGTTTTTTCCTTTAAATGCCTGAGGGTAGGGCTATAGTTAATTTTAAACCCAACGACATTTTTAGAGCATTCTCGGCAGGGAGCTCGAGTTGAGAGTTCCTTAGGGCAATCGCATTCTCTGCAATCATCAAGTACTCCTCCTTAACGTACAACCGTGGCGCTCACGCTAGCCAAGAACACGAAACACGAACCGGTTGATTAACCAAAAGGTTGCATATGAGTCAAATTATTCACCGGTTTTACCGAAAGAGGAAATCGAAAATGGAGTGCAAAGTTCAGTTGGTCTTTAATGACAAGGGACGTGTTACTGATGCCTGACGTTGCCGTTTTATACGAAAAACGATTGGGAGATCCACGAACCAGTAATTTTGTGTCTGACTAGGGTTAACGAGCTCACCCACAGACCTTTTTATTTATTTTTTGCTTTTTCAATCAACTGTACTTAACTGATGTTTTAAGGGGATCGAAATGAAATTCAACTGTCTCGAGGTTGCACATGTGGCAAAGTGACTAAACGCTACAACAAGTTAAGGGTTAACTCTACAGTTGTATTCCCGACTACCCACTTAATCCAGTGAGCAATCATAAGCCTTTCTCTTCGTTAATTTTATCAAGTTTTCCAATGAACAGGAAATCGCTTTTCAACAAGATGCTTCCGGCGATACCGTAGGAGGCGGATAGTTCAGTTCACGCAGAGTATTGACACTTAATTTTAAGAGTGACTAGCATCCAATTTCTCCGCACAATATCTTCCCATTCATTAGGGTCACGAGAATAAAGGAAATGATCGTCAGCTAAACAAGTTTTTAATTGTTAAAAATATTCTCCTTCTCAGCACCTTAGAAGATATACCAAGAACAGTATGGAGAATATGCGTACTGATGTTTTTGTGTAATGGATTAAGCAACCAAGAAAGGTGGTTCATAAATCTTCTTGAACTTAGACTCCAGGGCTGATACTCGAAAAGTGATCCTCTTCGCATGTAAGTTGATAGTCAATAACGAGACATTGATTGATGCATCACTGAAGTTAACTTTACTACACTAATGTCTGAGGCGAAATGTGGCTAGCATCCAAAATTGATGATCTGGATAGCCTTGTTAAAATTACACATGGAACCTCCTTACATAAAACTAAAAAACAACAACAAGAGCAAGATCAGCTTATTGCCTGTCAGATACACCAATGGCAACATCTTGCGGGCTACGAATAGCAATAATAAGGGCGCCATCCCCTGTAAGTTTGAAAACAGCAGAGCCAGTTACAAAGAAAGGTTACATTTGATAAACAAGCTATCTCGCTGAGAGTTCTCCTACTCCATTTAAGAATTTTAGTTGTTTAAACTATTTTCTAAAAAAAGGTACAAATCTTCGAGTCGGAGTCAAGAGGCTGATGAATTATTCCATGTTCGTGGACGAATTACTCAGTCAATCCATCGTCACCTTCATCCTCAAGGTCTGGGGAGTCACCCCAGGCTCTGTCGGAAAACAAAACAGTCAAATAACAGTTAATCAAAGTTGAGAGGAATTAAGGTGAAGTTGCTTTCACATCAATGATACTTGCAAACATACCTTATGTGCCACGGACATCTGAAATTTGGTGTAAACACATCCAGGTTCATTTCGGGCAGCTTATTACAATCGACGAATGTCTTTGACTGTTGCAATACCCTCCTGGGGATAGAAGGTATGTTCTCAGCATTGTCGCAGATTATCTTGGCCAATGTAACCTTTCTTATTTCTTGCAGTTGGCATCGCGTAAAAGCTGTTTTATCAGTGTTCTTTATTCGGTTTGGCGCGTTTTCATGCCAGAAGCGGTCACCCTCTCGTAGGCGTTTGAACTGGTCAGCTAATAAACATTGAAAGGTTTTTCCTAGTGCTCCTCCCTCTGAATCTGCCGGCTCCAACATTCCTGTGAAGAATCATAACAAAAAAGAAATTATTACCACAAACGCTATTTTAAACCTTCTTCCCCTGAGCGTAATTATTTCACTTGTGTAGGCTGAACGAAAGTGAAATACAGATGTTCCGTAGTGCCTAGCTTTTTTTTTCTTCGTTAATGAGTGGGTCCTGGAGTAGGCATGATAAAGCTAATCCTTCGTTATGATCGGCTTCACGAGTGGGTATGGTTCGGGAACATCCGCTTTGACCCCGCAAAAGGAGAAAAAGAGCTTGTATTTGGTTAAATTTTAAATTTTGCCGCATTGTGGTAACAAGCTAAGAAAGTCATGAACTCGTCTTCGGACAGTTGAAACAAAAGAAATCTTTGGAAAATTTACTGAAATTATAGGAAAAATTTCAAAGGAATAGATCCGTCCTCAACCAAGCTTGCCGTTAACTTTCAGTCAAGAAATTCAGTCTCGATCCCCAAAAACGCAAGGAAAAGAACTTAGCTCAAATAGGCACATATCTCGACCTCTTACTCATTTGATTAAATTAAAAAATTGTAAAGCAATATTCAATCAAACGTCGAAAACAATTCAAGATTGCTTTGGTTTTTCTTTACTTTGCTCTGTTATTGGTCCATATTAATCGAGTCACTATAAAACCAATCAACGAGGATCAAAAAGTTAAACCAAAGACAGACTGATAACTCGCGTTTTCCCGCGCTTGAGGCAGTTTGCTTGCTTTTTCTTGCACTCCTCATTGGCTCCTTGTGATATGGTTTTACAACATTCAATCGAAATTTGCTGAATGGCAGCATTACGCTGAGCTGGCGCAGACATACCTCCCACAAAAAGATCGACGTCGTGGACTGACTGGTACTGGGACTTCAAATTATCTATATCTTTTTGGGTAATGCCGGCCTTTTTTAGATCTTCGAAGCTGTTTACCATAGGCGTAATTTTACAAAACGTGTTTCGATATGTGGTGTATGAAGGCACACCACGTTCGCGTCCTCTTTGGATGTTCAGGGATACGAGGTCGGACAAGTCACCGGGGCCTCGAAACAAGTTTTCTTGTATAGACTTGGAGAAGAGCCTGGGGAGAGAATCAGGCCAACCCAAGGATCAATCGTATGCAAATCAATATCGTGTATCGAGTAACTGATAATCCTACTCATAATTAATATTTATAAAAATAGGAATTTTCAAGAACCTTATTTATTACTTTTTGGCAGTTACGTTTCATTCTAAGTTACCTGATAGGAAATATTTTTCCAGCAAATATTCTAGCACGGAGTTTAAATTTCTCGAGGTAAAAAGTTTGAATCAGAAGTATTTGGGTAAAATGATATTTCGTTCGATGTTTTCGTGAAATTAACTGTTTTGGTTTTCGCACAACCATCACTTTTCCTCTTTCGCCTAATAACTCCTCCCTTCCCCCTTCGGATGAAAACGTATCGATTGGCTTGCTTCTTCCAGGCAAGAGATACGTACAAAACGTTTCTATCAAAAATTAATCTCCTACTTACTCACCCATCAATTTTGGCTGCTGGACTTTTAACCAAGCCTCTAAAAATGGAATCGACACCCCCGTTACACTTATCGTATAAGTAGGTTGGATTACCAAAGTCCTTTACTGGGATGGGATAGAACTCTGACTTAGAATCATTGCTACATTTATGTTCAAAGCCATTCTGACTTAAACGTAGAAACTCCTCTTGAACCAAACTGTGCCCAAATCGGTAAGCCGCCGCAGAGAAGGCTTGAGACATTTGAGCATTGACATTAGGGTTGTAACCATTGAAATACCGTGTTCCTTTCAGCAGAGCGAGATTGTTGTCTCTGATCTAAAAAAATGAAGAAAAGAAGTCCGTTTGGAATTAGAAAAAAAAAAAACAGAGATTAAAACAGTTACTTACCGTTTTGGGGCTAAGAAGCAGTGGCAGATCTTCTTTGTATGTAATGAATTGTAATTCCGCCCCAACGATTCTCCTAGTCTCCTGGTAAATCTGCTCCGCTTCCCATTCTGTGTTTTCATCAAAAAATGCTGCTATTCGGTTATGCTCCCGGACGAAGAGAGTGTGCATTGACATGAGACCTGTTGTATCCAGGAAATATATAGCATTAGCAAGAAGATAAAAGAGCTATTTAATATAGGAGGAGATGGAAGGGCTTGCGACTGGAAGATGTCCGAAAAATGCCCACGCAGGACACTCTCTTTATTGCTTGTCGAGTATGAGTTATTTCACGACCTGAAATGACCGAAAAGCACTTTCTCCTCGCGACATAAGGTATGGTTGACATTCAGAAGCAATAGTGTTGAGATCTTGGGACCAAAGGGGTTAAACAGAGCTCGTGTGCAATTCCAACATTTCAGTCACGTTTTAATAGGGAAGTCTGTGTATAAGCCTTCACACCTTGAAACTTTGACGATGCGTGGTCTACATGTGTAGAACAATATTTTATAGTTTTATTGTAAAAATTCGATAGGAATACGTTAGACACGTCTTTGAAAAAGGTCGCTATACTACGGTCTTTTTGTCTTAATCAGAGAATCGAATGAAGGGATTTGGTGACCTCACCTTGATTCTCGTTCGTGCGCTCGTCTCCGGCTACGAAACAAGGTCTGTTAGGATCTTTTGATACGCACGGTATCTCAGGATCTGTTTGTGCAGGTAAAAGATCCCCTAAGGGGCAGCCGTGACGAGGTGTCATAATTCTCATTGTCCCGTCGGGTGCTCGAAGGTGTTCAGCCTCCTCCTCGTCGGAGCCGTAAACGTTGGAGGCGTCGATGAAAGCTGTTATCGTGTTGGTGTGCTCTCTTGGTCCTGTTGAACACTCTAGCTTAAATTCAAAGGGAGCATCTCGAATTAGCTCGAAGAATGTAACACCCCTGCTCTGGAAGACGTCATCATCGGCCGGAACTTCAACGTTGAAACACTCTGACTCATTAGAGGGAACGGTTTCACAGGTAACATGTTGTTCTCCTGCCAGCGTTAGGTCATGGTCCAGGAACTGACCCCAATTCATTGCTAAGTGAGTCAGCCTTAGAGAATTAGGGTTTTGGCGGTTTGCATTGCTGCCATGAACGAAACGACTCACGTTTCTCGCGTTGGGTAACTGGTCTTCATTTTCTGCCACGCGAGGTGCCGAAATCTCATCTGCATAATCAGCTGGTTGTACTCGTATGAATGGAGTACCAGCTGCTCCAAAAAGGGGTTGATTCACGTTATTGCAAGTTCCATCAATTGTTCTAAAACGGGCTTTCTCCTCAGACTTCTGTGGACATTTTATGTTCCCTAACGGTTCGTGTTCTAAACATTTAAGAACCTTTCTCCTGCATATCCTTCTTCTCCTGTGCCTGAAGGAAAAAAGTAAACATAACTTGTTTATTAGCAGAGTTCCGTTGAAAATTCAAATGCCGTTACAAATTTGGAAATGCTATAAAGGAAAAAAGAAACTCGCCAGTAATTTTAAAGGACAATGAAAGTATTAGCAAGGTTGAGGTACCCTGGCTAGAATTGACTTTGGCAGCTTTGGCTCAACAAATAACGGTCTAAAGAAAGGGTAGGCGTAAGTTCTAGAGTAAAATATGTTTTGGAGAGAAAGAGTTCAGATTAAGTGAGTCAGCCAGGTTAATCCAATCCTTCGCGGGTGTCTTAAAGAGCTGAAACAAAAGAAGAAATTCGTGCGCGCGCTTCTTTTTAAGAAACCACCCCAAACTTTATATCATTGAAAAGGTTTTAGCAATAGTAATTGTACTGAGTGGAGTCTTAATTCGGTTCGAGTTCGGTTGAGCTGTTTGGTGCAGCAAGGTCGCTAAGGAGTTCCTGCTTAATGGGGATCATGACACCTTGAAAGATCATCAACTTTTTTACTGAAATACATTTTTCTAAATAACTTGCGCGCATTTTAAGGTTTTAAATTTGATATTTTTGAAAATGTAAGTTTAAGTAACTGAGCTGTGAACGTCATTTTTGTGTCCTGCTTTTGGAAACACTTACTTTCTTGTATTCAAAGGTATGTTTAAAAGGTCCAAAACCTTCGTCGTCTCACAAATGTCTTGTATGGCATGCTTGGCACAAGCTTCATTCCGTAATGCCCTCACCGCTATCGAGTTGTCCACCTTTGATCTTTTACCATGTTGTAGTATCTGAAAGCTTCTTCTCAGACTTCGTCTAACTGCTTCCTGTCTCAAAAATATCAGGCTATCAGGTTTTTCTTTTTTGGCTTCAGCCATGGATTTTTTCTGCACGGCTTTGAATTCATCTTTGATCTCTTTGCAGACGTCGGCCGACACGCTGTCTTGCACCTGTTCCACTTCCAGGTCATTCAGCTCGGCAAGGTCATCCGCCTCGTCTGCTGTAGTGTAGGTGTCTTCCTCTAACCGGTCTGGGTCGTTCAAAACAGAAGAGGATCCCTGTTCAAATCTCAGAACCAAGATAAGCAGCAAGGCACAGAGAAAATGTCCTACCATGTTGTCTGCTGAAGAAAAAAATAGGGTAATATGGAGTCGTCGACATAGAGGTCGATCAATTCATTATTGACATGTAATGACATTACTACTTTTGAAAGTGAACTTGAAATTTTGATGAGCAATTTTCACTTTTGCAAAATACAGTCTTCTAAAACTCGCCGTGATTCTTATAAGCGCAAGACTAGATTGTTTCTTTGGTGGTTTCTGCGTCACAGCAACACAAAACTTGATTTAAACTTATTCTTTGAAATTGAGGTGGATAGTTTCTAAAAGAAAACCACTGAAATTCGATCAAAACCACCGGCGCATGAAACTTCATTTTGGTCATACGCATTAAGACATGAAAGCCTGAAATTAAAGCAACTCTGCCAGATTTTCTCTTAAACCTAACTCACACGCTATTTTAAAAGGAATTCAAAAAAATCTCTACGGAAAATCTTCATTAGAATACGTTTGGACAACTCATGTAGCGTGTTTCAAGGAATTATTGATGAAATGTTTGATCGTCAAATACTGAAAACATCTTCGGATCCGACGTATGACTTTGGCAGTCGCCGTTGCAGATTTAAACCCTTCGTTAGATTTATGGCATGTGAGAGCGAAAATATGGAGAGTTTTAATATTTTCTGACAATAAACCATCAATGGCGATATTTCCCGATTCAATCTATCGTGAAAGGATGGTGATGGGCTACTACAAAGTTGTTAATGGCCGCGCTCTGCGATTGAGGTAAGGTTTGCTTTGTTGATGAATCCTTTCGTGAAGCTAACAAGATTACTGTTGAATATTAATCACCGCGAGGTAAGGGGTTAAAGTCTCAACTCTCTGGTAACTGAGAGAATGAAAAATAAATTTCGCATCGCAATGAATTCTAGTGTAAACTTCTCAAACGTTTAAACACTTTCAAATTGAGCGCCAGAATATATTTGAAAGAGAGAGCTGTCCGCTGTTTACTGGTACTGACTCTCACAAATCATCCCAAAGAAGTTTCATTTAAAATACTAATGTCAGTTATGTCAGCTTTAGAAAGCACTCTCGTATCATCACCTTTTAATACGTATGCAGTTCTTTTTTCCGGGCGAGGAAATTTTCTATGCAGATTTACGGTGACCACGTCTTGTGAACTCTGCCTTAAATTTCTTTCTCTACGGTTTCATCAGTTTCACGTTTAAGCTTGAAGAGTACACGGAAAGTACTTCAAAACGCAGAAGTAAAATATTGTGCGAGCAAGAGTTTGGTTCACAATTTTAAAAGCCTAAAATGATTTCTGCTTTTCATATCATTGTTAAGCGTGGCCAAGTCACTGGTTTTTGGTTTGAAAGATCAATTCTAATTTCCTCGTTCCCGTGAGTTTAAAAATAACCGCCGTCGTAATGTAAGGTAAATTAAAACGACAAACTATATAGAAAATAAAGTCTGAAGTCGTGGGAAGGTAATCAGCAAAATACCATAGATATCAAAGCTCTGATCTGAAAAAACCCTATGTTTCATTTACTTCTTCTATCATCAAATAGACGAACGGCAGCAGCTAACATTTGGCAAATTCTATCGTAGAATTCTCGTTGGCTAATTGGTCATTTTAACCCATCGACTTCATTTTCCGCGTGTGTGTTAAGGTCAAAACCACATTTGACGTCAATAATTTGATTGGAACAATAGCTGTGGACGATTGAGCCTAGAGGTTCCGCGACGTGTGTTATTATTATACCGCAGAGATATAGATAATGAAATGGAGTGCCAGGGTGTCCTCCAACAAGGAAGTCACTGGTTTTTGGTTTGAAAGATCAATTCTAATTTCCTCGTTTCCGTGAGTTTGAAAATAACCGCCGTCGTAATGTGAGGTAAATTAAAACGACATACTATATAGAAAATAAAGTCTAAAGTCGTGGAAAGGTAATCAGCAAAATACCGTGGGCCATAGATATCAAAGCTCTGATCTGAAAAAAAAACCCTATGTTTCATTTACTTCTTCTATCATCAAATAGACGAATGGCAGCGGCTAACATTTGGCAAATTCTATCGTAGAATTCTCGTTGGCTAATTGGTCATTTTAACTCATCGACTTCATTTTCCGCGTGTGTGTTAAGTTCAAAACCACATTCGACGTCAATAATTTGATTGGAACAATTGCTGTGGACGATTGAGCCTAGAGGTTCCGCGACGTGTGTTACTTAATTTTGGCCTTGAACTTTTACTGAGCTGCAATATCGGAATATTGGGTCTCTTCTGCGCAGTGAAGTAAATCCAGAGAACACTGAGGCTAAACAATTCCGTCACATTATTATACCGCAGAGATATAGATAATGAAATGGAGTGCCAGGGTGTCCTCCAACAAGGAAGTCATTTGTTTTTGGTTTGAACGATCAATTCTAATTTCCTCGTTCCCGTGAGTTTGAAAATAACCGCCGTCGTAATGTGAGGGAAATTAAAACGACATACTATATAGAAACTAAAGTCTGAAGTCGTGGGAAGGTAATCAGCAAAATACCATAGATATCAAAGCTCTGATCTGAAAAAAAAACCCTATGTTTCATTTACTTCTTCTATCATTAAATAGACGAAAGGCAGCAGCTAACATTTGGAAAATTCTAGCGTAGAATTCTCGTTGGCTAATTGGTCATTTTAACCCCTCGACTTCATTTTCCGCGTGTGCGTTAAGTTCAAAACCACATTTGACGTCAATAATTTGATTTGAACAATATCTGTGGGCGATTGAGCGTTTTGGTTCCGCGACGTGTGTTTCTCAAATCTGGCCTTGAACTTTGTCTGGGCTGCAATATTGCAATATTGGGTCTCTTCTGCACAGTGAAATAAAACCAGAGAACAAACAAACAAACAAACAAACCAAGAAGAATATTACGTAAAGCCATTTCTTTTTCATACTCGTGAATGGAGCCTAGTGTCGCTGCTCTGATAGTTTATGGACAAGGATCTTTTTCAATTCACGTTACAACGGGCTGTCAATCAGACAAAAAACCCTCTAAGTCGTTAAGGAAAGCAAGAATAAAAAGTTAGCACCGAAGTACCATTGTTGCATTATGGATTGAAGAAAGCCAATTTAATTATATATGTGTAAATTTAGTTGTCTAGGTATTTATTGCTGTGTTTGTATTTTCTGTTCATTTGATCTCTGCAATCATCACCAATGTCCTTAAAAGGGATAATTAATCCGGTGATTACGAGCAGGTCTTTGATTTGAAAACAGGTGATTCTTTTCGGATGGAAAGCAACAAAATATGACTTAATCCGATATCGTCCGGAGCCCTTTCCGAAACCCTTCGAGATTTTTGTTTTGTTCTGTTATGACGCGAGAACTTTGCTTATAGACTTAACTTAGACCATTAAATGCTTACAGACCTAGATGATAACTAAAAAAATTAGTATTGGTATTGATAACTAGCTTAGCATAAAGTTTATTCTTACCTTTAAGTCAGTTGATTCTTCGCCTCGGAACGAACAAATAGCTCTAACTTTTCTGACTTGAAACTTCTTAATTTATAACTCCAAACAGGAACTCTTTCAGCTTATTGTGTCTTTTGTTGTGGTCAGTTTTAAATGCCATTAAAATAACTGTTTGCCACAGGCATTGGTTCTTTATCGATCGATTCATCACTCTGGGAAAATACTTGATTTGTCTTTAATTTTGGAAAAGGCGGCTCCTCAAAAAGGTTGCAGTTTAAATGATTATACTTGGTCTAATTTTATTTGCCTTGCAGTTTTCGTATTCAAGGTTACTTTAGAAATCTAAAGTACCAAAAGACGTTGACTTAAATTTATTCTTGGTTTATACATCAATTAAGTAGCTTTGATTTTATCGTTGTTTGAGTTTTGTACGTGCATGTCCTCCAACAAGGAATTAAGTGCCAGGTTTTCATTCCATTATCATGATTATTATTACTATTATTATTACTATTACCTAAACGTCTCAAGTGGAAGAAGAAGTTGAAGAAATATAACCCGAGCAATATTGACAAATGTTGCCGTGATCAGGTTTTTGTGAGTGGCACTTCAAGTCTTCAAGCCCTTTTTCCTTTATTGTACCCGCTATTTTGATTATTTATCGAAAAAACTCTAATGACTAATTAACTTATTGTTTGAGCTTAGTGCATGGATGTCTTCCAACAAGGAACTGGTTAATTGTTTAAGGTCAATACTATTTTCCGCGATTACGAGATCAATAATAAACGCAGTGATAATGCCAGAAAAATTAACAAGATATCAATAAGCAGCTCTCAAGAGAATGTAAAATAAGGTCGAAGAATAATAACCAGAAAAATTACTGGTCAGTAAGGTAAAGAATTATGAAAGACAATATTTGAATTTGGTGTTACGTTTTTCATTAGCTGTAATGGACACAGATGATCTATTTTTTCGATGCTACTGCGTAAACAACTGTAAAACAAGCTATGACGTCAGATGCTGACCTGCCCAATTTGCTGTCAATCTCCCTTTGGGTTGAGGCGAGCGGATGGAGAGACTAACTCTCTGTTTCTCTTAATTCTGAATCATGAATCGACAGTTGAAAGTTTTTCTCAAAACTTCTGTTGAATTGTAGAATAGGATCATATTTACGATCGATGGACTAATGATTCCGTGTTGCAAACCAGAAATCAGTGATTAAATTAAAAACACTTGTAAGCTTAAGAGTCCGCTAAATCTCACCACACCCTTTGCTTTGTTAATTTTTCTCTGCTTTGTTCCAACTTACCACAAGGAACAGAGATTTTTTCCTTTGAGGTTTTCCGCCATCGCCAAAGCCACGAAAAAGCCTCACCATGGCTATTTATGGCTTAACATGAAGGCTTTATTGAGCTTTTGTCAGTGTAGCTATCAATAAATCTCAATTTCTTCTTCTACTAGTGCCACCAATAACACTGAATCTGACGGGGCCGTCAAATTAATTTGGCAACCTCCACAGAAAATAAAAAGCTATTTAGAAACAACTGCATCTTAATAGGAATAAATCTTTATAAATGAGCACCTTAAACTAGGAAGATAGATATGATAAATTTCAAAATAAACTGACTCTTCGCATTTTTTTTTTAGATTACTTGACGTTCAATGAGAGCTACCAGAAACCCCTGCTGAGCTAATAACAAATGAGCTTAAAAAAATGATAAAAGGGTTAAGAAATTTCTGGATGCTATACGTTGCTATGTATAGCAGTGATTTGAGTGTTGCAGGTCGAGAATTGTTTGCGCAAAACGCAAACATCAATTTACGCAATCATGAGAAGAAAAAAGAAAAGCAGATCCATGGTAATGCTTCGCCAAATCGTCTGGTTGATTAATTTTATGAATGAATCGGTAGGAATCTTTGTTCAAGCCAGTAACAGACGTCAGCCAGCCAGTTGACATAACATCATTCTTGGAAAGTACAGCACGCAAAACCGATTTTGCATACACTCGTTCATAGCTGCTTGACGGATTGTTAGGTCATTCGTGGACAGGATTCTTCTATCTCTGTCTACAGGCATGGTCCGATGGCGCTTCGCCGAATCGTCAAACTTTTGTCATTTTTATACTTCCATCGACCGGTTTTTCTCAGGCACATAAAATGGAAAGACACTGATATATATTGTCTTTCTTCTATCGCATATCTTGGTGAAATGAGATAATCTTTCGGAATGCTGGGGATCTCACCCACTGGGTTCGAGAAAAAGGAGAGCAAAAAAAGGATAAGTTCTAATTGCCTTTATTTCTCCTACAACCTTGGGAATATTTCTTTTGTGAAATGAAGCAATTCTAGACTAGCAAGGATTTGATTTGGATTTCAGCCATTTAATTCGAAAGAGAAAGAGAAGAACGTAGATAAATAAATGAGTTAGTAACAACTTTGTTTTTCCTGTAGATGATGTAACTCTACAACAATTTTCTATGATATTTTAAGGGAGTTAAAAGTTTCCCCAAGGCAATCACATCCTCCGCCATCATTAATTACTTGTTCAACCTCACTAATTGGCGCCCACGCTGGCCAGGAGCACAAAACACGAGCTGGTTGACTAACCAAAAAGTTTTGCATGAATCTATTTTTTCCCTCGGCTACTTGCGGCTTGTTTTATTAACCACTTGCACGAAGGAATTTTTAACTTCTTGCGGCTGAAACTTATCATTGCTGATTAATTTCTGAACAAATCACTGCGTTCATAATACAATAACCATATTCTACAGAGCCCATTATAGTAATAATTGCCTTGAATATTGAATGATTATCCGTCCGCGATCGTAGAACCATTGAAGCAATGTTGTCTTTCCTTTGTAGAGGCTGAAAAAATCCTGGCTGCTCTTGGCAGTAGCGGACGTCAGTCAGGTGTTAACTTAGAATTAATCACGAAAATGTAATACGCGAAACAATTAAACACACTCATAACTAGCTGCTTTGAGGGTCGATAACAGCCTCTGTGGGGTCGTTAATCTTGGACATATTTATTGCTGTTTTGTTTTCCATAGCCATTGTATTCCTCATTTTACCCAGGCACATTCTGTATGGGGTTCTACAGCCTGCCACCGCTATCATAAATGTGTTACAGACTTTTCAAACTCACGCCTTTTAATATTTTGACTCAAATATGAATTCCATAGTTAATATTCTTGGAGCAAGTAAGATTTCATACCTCTGTTCCAGGGCACGGTGGCGCTTCACCGCCGTGTGAACGAATTGGCTGTGATTGCCAAACTTTTGTTTGTTTGTTTGTCTCTTTTGAAGCTAAATGGACATTTAATCTATACAATTTTATCTCTGGTCACCATTAAATGGCAAGGAAATTCACCGTGAGTAAATCAAAATGAGTTTTTAATAGTTGCGAGAGTTTCTTTGTTTGTTTTCAAGGTTGATAGAGCGTATCAACCTTGTCTCTTTTCTAACGTAAAATGTTAGTCAACTGAGTTAGTTTCAGACACGTTGGAATTTAATGAAGATGTAACTCACTGATTTCGAAGCAGAGAGAGAAGAAAAATAAGCAATGTATTATCGGCAATAAGTTTTTTCCTTTAAATGCCTGAGGGTAGGGCTATAGTTAATTTTAAACCCAACGACATTTTTAGAGCATTCTCGGCAGGGAGCTCGAGTTGAGAGTTCCTTAGGGCAATCGCATTCTCTGCAATCATCAAGTACTCCTCCTTAACGTACAACCGTGGCGCTCACGCTAGCCAAGAACACGAAACACGAACCGGTTGATTAACCAAAAGGTTGCATATGAGTCAAATTATTCACCGGTTTTACCGAAAGAGGAAATCGAAAATGGAGTGCAAAGTTCAGTTGGTCTTTAATGACAAGGGACGTGTTACTGATGCCTGACGTTGCCGTTTTATACGAAAAACGATTGGGAGATCCACGAACCAGTAATTTTGTGTCTGACTAGGGTTAACGAGCTCACCCACAGACCTTTTTATTTATTTTTTGCTTTTTCAATCAACTGTACTTAACTGATGTTTGAAGGGGATCGAAGTGAAATTCAACTGTCTCGAGGTTGCACATGTGGCAAAGTGACTAAACGCTACAACAAGTTAAGGGTTAACTCTACAGTTGTATTCCCGACTACCTACTTAATCCAGTGAGCAATCATAAGCCTTTCTCTTCGTTAATTTTATCAAGTTTTCCAATGAACAGAAAATCGCTTTTCAACAAGATGCTTCCGGCGATACCGTAGGAGGCGGATAGTTCAGTTCACGCAGAGTATTGACACTTAATTTTAAGAGTGACTAGCATCCAATTTCTCCGCACAATATCTTCCCATTCATTAGGGTCACGAGAATAAAGGAAATGATCGTCAGCTAAACAAGTTTTTAATTGTTAAAAATATTCTCCTTCTCAGCACCTTAGAAGATATACCAAGAACAGTATGGAGAATATGCGTACTAATGTTTTTGTGTAATGGATTAAGCAACCAAGAAAGATGGTTCATAAATCTTCTTGAACTTAGACTCCAGGGCTGATACTCGAAAAGTGATCCTCTTCGCATGTAAGTTGATAGTCAATAACGAGACATTAATTGATGCATCACTGAAGTTAACTTTACTGCACTAATGTCTGAGGCGAAATGTGGCTAGCATCCAAAATTGATGATCTGGATAGCCTTGTTAAAATTACACATGGAACCTCCTTACATAAAACTAAAAAACAACAAGAGCAAGATCAGCTTATTGCCTGTCAGATACACCAATGGCAACATCTTGCGGGCTACGAATAGCAATAATAAGGGCGCCATGCCCTGTAAGTTTGAAAATAGCAGAGCCAGTTACAAAGAAAGGTTACATTTGATAAACAAGCTATCTCGCTGAAAGTTCTCCTACTCCATTTAAGAATTTTAGTTGTTTAAACTATTTTCTAAAAAAAGGTACAAATCTTCGAGTCGGAGTCAAGAGGCTGATGAATTATTCCATGTTCGTGGACGAATTACTCAGTCAATCCATCGTCACCCTCATCCTCAAGGTCTGGGGAGTCACCCCAGGCTCTGTCGGAAAACAAAACAGTCAAATAACAGTTAATCAAAGTTGAGAGGAATTAAGGTGAAGTTGCTTTCACATCAATGATACTTGCAAACATACCTTATGTGCCACGGACATCTGAAATTTGGTGTAAACACATCCAGGTTCATTTTGGGCAGCTTATTACAATCGACGAATGTCTTTGACTGTTGCAATACCCTCCTGGGGATAGAAGGTATGTTCTCAGCATTGTCGCAGATTATCTTGGCCAATGTAACCTTTCTTATTTCTTGCAGTTGGCATCGCGTAAAAGCTGTTTTATCAGTGTTCTTTATTCGGTTTGGCGCGTTTTCATGCCAGAAGCGGTCACCCTCTCGTAGGCGTTTGAACTGGTCAGCTAATAAACATTGAAAGGTTTTTCCTAGTGCTCCTCCCTCTGAATCTGCCGGCTCCAACATTCCTGTGAAGAATCATAACAAAAAAGAAATTATTACCACAAACGCTATTTTAAACCTTCTTCCCCTGAGCGTAATTATTTTACTTGTGTAGGCTGAACGAAAGTGAAATACAGATGTTCCGTAGTGCCCAGCTTTTTTTTTCTTCGTTAATGAGTGGGTCCTGGAGTAGGCATGATAAAGCTAATCCTTCGTTATGATCGGCTTCACGAGTGGGTATGGTTCGGGAACATCCGCTTTGATCCCGCCAAAGGAGAAAAAGAGCTTGTACTTGGTTCAAATAAGTTAAAAGATTTTGCCGCATTGTGGTAACAAGCTAAGAAAGTCATGAACTCGTCTTCGGACAGTTGAAACAAAAGAAATCTTTGGAAAATGTAATGAAATTATAGGAAAAATTTCAAAGGAATAGATCCGTCCTCAACCAAGCTTGCCGTTAACTTTCAGTCAAGAAATTCAGTCTCGATCCCCAAAAACGCAAGGAAAAGAACTTATCTCAAATAGGCAAATATCTCGACCTCCTACTCATCTGATTAAATTAAAAAATTGTAAAGCAATATTCAATCAAACGTCGAAAACAATTCAAGATTGCTTTGGTTTTTCTTTACTTTGCTCTGTTATTGGTCCATAAAATCGAGTCACTATAAAACAAATCAACGAGGATCAAAAAGTTAAACCAAAGACGGACTGATAACTCGCGTTTCCCGCGCTTGAGGCAGTTTGCTTGCTTTTTCTTGCACTCCTCATTGGCTCCTTGTGATATGGTTTTACAACATTCAATCGAAATTTGCTGAATGGCAGCATTACGCTGAGCTGGCGTAGACATACCTCCCACAAAAAGATCGACGTCGTGGACTGACTGGTACTGGGACTTCAAATTATCTATATCTTTTTGGGTAATGCCGGCCTTTTTTAGATCTTCGAAGCTGTTTACCATAGGCGTAATTTTACAAAACGTGTTTCGATATGTGGTGTATGAAGGCACACCACGTTCGCGTCCTCTTTGGATGTTCAGGGATACGAGGTCGGACAAGTCACCGGGGCCTCGAAACAAGTTTTCTTGTATAGACTTGGAGAAGAGCCTGGGGAGAGAATCAGGCCAACCCAAGGATCAATCGTATGCAAATCAATATCGTGTATCGAGTAACTGATAATCCTACTCATAATTAATATTTATAAAAATAGGAATTTTCAAGAACCTTATTTATTACTTTTTGGCAGTTACGTTTCATTCTAAGTTACCTGATAGGAAATATTTTTCCAGCAAATATTCTAGCACGGAGTTTAAATTTCTCGAGGTAAAAAGTTTGAATCAGAAGTATTTAGGTAAAATGATATTTCGTTCGATGTTTCGTGAAATTAACTGTTTTGGTTTTCGCACAACCACCACTTTTCCTCTTTCGCCTAATAACTCCTCCCTTCCCCCTTCGGATGAAAACGTATCGATTGGCTTGCTTCTTCCAGGCAAGAGATACGTACAAAACTGTTCTATCAAAAATTCATCTCCTACTTACTCACCCATCAATTTTGGCTGCTGGACTTTTAACCAAGCCTCTAAAAATGGAATCGACACCCCCGTTACACTTATCGTATAAGTAGGTTGGATTACCGAAGTCCTTTACCGGGATGGGATAGAACTCTGACTTAGAATCATTGTTACATTTGTGTTCAAAGCTATGCTGACTTAAACGTAGAAACTCCTCTTGAACCAAACTGTGCCCAAATCGGTAAGCCGCCGCAGAGAAGGCTTGAGACATTTGAGCATTGACATTAGGGTTGTAACCATTGAAATACTGTGTTCCTTTCAGCAGAGCGAGATTGTTGTCTCTGATCTAAAAAATGAAGAAAAGAAGTCGGTTTGGAATTAGAAAAAAAAAACAGAGATTAAAACAGTTACTTACCGTTTTGGGGCTAAGAAGCAGTGGCAGATCTTCTTTGTATGTAATGAATTGTAATTCTGCCCCAACGATTCTCCTAGTCTCCTGGTAAATCTGCTCCGCTTCCCATTCTGTGTTTTCATCAAAAAAGGCTGCTATTCGGTTATGCTCCCGGACGAAGAGAGTGTGCATTGACATGAGACCTGTTGTATCCAGGAAATATATAGCATTAGCAAGAAGATAAAATAGCTATTTAACATAGGAGGAGATGGAAGGGCTTGCGACTGGAGGATGTCCGAAAAATGCCCACGCAGGACACTCTCTTTATTGCTTGTCGAGTATGAGTTATTTCACGACCTGAAATGACCGAAAAGCACTTTCTCCTCGCGACATAAGGTATGGTTGACATTCAGAAGCAATAGTGTTGAGATCTTGGGACCAAAGGGGTTAAACAGAGCTCGTGTGCAATTCCCACATTTCAGTCACGTTTTAAAAGGGAAGTCTGTGTATAAGCCTTCACACCTTGAAACTTTGACAATGCGTGGTCTACATGTGTAGAAGTAACAATATTTTATAGTTTTATTGTAAATATTCGATATGAATACGTTAGACATGTCTTTGAAAAAGGTCGCTATACTACGGTCTTTTTGTCTTAATCAGAGAATCGAATGAAGGGATTTGGTGATCTCACCTTGATTCTCGTTCGTGCGCTCGTCTCCGGCTACGAAACAAGGTCTGTTAGGATCTTTTGATACGCACGGTATCTCAGGATCTGTTTGTGCAGGTAAAAGATCCCCCAAGGGGCAGCCGTGACGAGCTGTCATAATTCTCATTGTCCCGTCGGGTGCTCGAAGGTGTTCAGCCTCCTCCTCGTCGGAGCCGTAAACGTTGGAGGCGTCGATGAAAGCTGTTATCGTGTTGATGTGCTCTCTTGGTCCTGGTGAACACTCTAGCTTAAATTCAAAGGGAGCATCTCGAATCAGCTCGAAGAATGTAACACCCCTGCTCTGGAAGACGTCATCATCGGCCGGAACTTCAACGTTGAAACACTCTGACTCATTAGAGGGAAAGGTTTCACAGGTAACATGTTGTTCTCCTGCCAGCGTTAAGTCATGGTCCAGGAACTGACCCCAATTCATTGCTAAGTGAGTCAGCCTTGGAGAATTAGGGTTTTGGCGGTTTGCATTGCTGCCGTGAACGAAACGACTCACGTTTCTCGCGTTGGGTAACTGGTCTTCATTTTCTGCCACGCGAGGTGCCGAGATCTCATCTGCATAATCAGCTGGTTGTACTCGTATGAATGGAGTACCAGCTGCTCCAAAAAGGGGTTGATTCACGTTATTGCAAGTTCCATCAATTGTTCTAAAACGGGCTTTCTCCTCAGACTTATGTGGACACTTTATGTTCCCTAACGGTTCGTGTTCTAAACATTTAAGAACCTTTCTCCTGCATATCCTTCTTCTCCAGTACCTGAAGGAAAAAAGTAAACATAACTTGTTTATTAACAGAGTTCCGTTGAAAATTCAAATGCTATTACAAATTTGGAATGCTATAAAGGAAAAAAGAAACGCGTCAGTAATTTTAAAGGACAATGAAAGTATTAGCAAGGTTGAGGTACCCTGGCTAGAATTGACTTTGGCAGCTTTGGCTCAACAAATTACGGTCTAAAGAAAGGGTAGGCGTAAGTTCTAGAGTAAAATATGTTTTGGAGAGAAAGAGTTCAGATTTTCGTTCAAAGAAAAATTGAGGAATTAAGGTTAATCCAATCCTTCGCGGGTGTCTTAAAGAGCTGAAACAAAAGAAAAAATTCGTGCGCGCGCTTCTTTTTAAGAAACCACCCCAAACTTTATATCATTGAAAAGGTTTTAGCAATAGTAATTGTACTGAGTGGAGTCTAATTCGGTTCGAGTTCGGTTGAGCTGTTTGGTGCAGCAAGGTCGCTAAGGAGTTGCTGCTTAATGGAGATCATGACATCTGGAAAGATCATCAACTTTTTTACTGAAATACATTTTTCTAAATAACTTGCGCGCATTTTAAGGTTTTAAATTTGATATTTTTGAAAATGTAAGTTTAAGTAACTGAACTCTGAACGTCATTTTTGTGTCCTGCTTTTGGAAACACTTACTTTCTTGTATTCAAAGGTATGTTTAAAAGGTCCAAAACCTTCGTCGTCTCACAGATGTCTTGTATGGCATGCTTGGCACAAGCTTCATTCCGTAATGCCCTCACCGCTATCGAGTTGTCCACCTTTGATCTTTTACCATGTTGTAGTATCTGAAAGCTTCTTCTCAGACTTCGTCTAACCGCTACCTGTCTCCAAAATATCATGCTATCAGGTTTTTCCTTTTCGGCTTCAGCCATGGACTTTTTCGCCACGTCTTTGAATTCATCTCTGATGTCTTTGCAGACGTTGGCCGACACGCTGTCTTGCAACTGTTCCATTTCCAGATCATTCAGCTCGGCAAGGTCATCCGCCACGTCTGCTGTGGTATAGGTGTCTCCTTCTAACCGGTCTGGGTCGTTCAAAACAGAAGAGGATCCCTGCTCAAATCTCAGAACCAAGATAAGCAGCAAGGCACTGAAAAAATATCCTGCCATGTTGTCTAATGAAGAGAAAAATAAAGCAACTTGGAGTCGTCAACATAAAGGTCAATCAATTCATTATTAACATGAATTGACATTACTGCTTTTAAAATTAAACTTGAAATCTTGATAAGCAACATTAACCTCATTTTTGCAAAATAAAAGCTTCTAAAACTTGCCGTGATTCTTTTTAAGGGCAAGACTAGATTGTTTCTTTGGTGGTTTCTGCGTCACAGCAACATAAAACTTGATTTGAACTTATTCTTTGAAATCGATGTGGATACTTTCCTAATGAAAACCACTAAAACTCGATCAAGGCCACCGGCGCATAAAAACTTCATTTTGGATATGCGCATTAAGACATGAAAGTCTGAAAAAGTCTCAAAGCTAACTCATACGCTGATTTAATACTAATTCGCAAACATTGTCTTGCAAAATCTACGCAAGAATACGTTTGGACAACTCATGTAGCGTGTTTCAAGGAATTATTGATGAAATGTTTGATCAACAAATACTGAAGACATCTTCGCATCCGACGTCTGACCTTGGCAGTCGCCGTTGCGGATTCAAACCCCTCGTCAGATTTATGGCATGTGATAGCGAAAGTATGGAGAGTTTTAATATTTTCTGACAACAAACCATTAATGGCGATATTTCCCAACTCATTCTATCGTGAAAGGATGGTGATGGGCTACTACAAAGTTGTTAACGGCCGCTCTCTGCGATTGAGGTAAGGTTTGCTTTGTTGATGAATCCTTTCGTGAAGCTAACAAGATTATTGTTGAAAATTAATCACCGCAAAGTAAGGGGTCAAAGTCTTAACTCTCTGGTAACTGAGAGATTAAGAAATAAATTTTTCATCCCAATGAATTGTAGTGTAAACTTTTCAAACGTTTGAACAGTTCAAAATTGAGCGTCAAAATATATTTTCAAGAGAGAGCTGTCCGCTGTTTGCCGGTACTGACTTTCGCAAATCATCCCAAAGAAGTTTCATTTAAAATACTAATGTCAGTTGTGTCTGCTTTAGAAAGCAGTCTCGTATAATCCCAATCACCTTTTAATATGTATACAGTTCTTTGTTGCAGATTTGCATGTCTTGTGAATTCTGCCTTAAATTTCTCATTTCTATCTGTACGGTTGCATGTTTAAGCTTAGAGAGTGCACGGAAAGTAGTTTAAAACGCAGATGTAAAATATTGTGCGGGCACGAGTTTGGTTCACAATTTTAAAAGCATAGCATGGTTTCTACTTTTCATATAATTATCATGCATGGCCTAATGACCCTTGCTTAGTTAAACCGTTCATGTTCACTTACAAGATAACTTTGGCAATCCGAAGTCCATAAGAATGTTTACTAAAAAAACCTTATTCCTTGGGCATAACTAATTTCGTCACATTATTATCCTGCGGAGATGTATAGCAAATGAAATGTAGTGCTAGGGTGTCCTCCAACAAGGAAATCACTGGTTCTAAACCACAATTGACGTCAATAATTTGATTTGAACAATAGCTGTGAGCAATTGGGCCATGAGGTTCCGCCAAGTGTATGTTATTTAATTTTGGCGAATGCCTGAACTTTTTCTGAGCCGCAGTATCGCATTATTGCCTCTCTTCTGCAGAGTGAAATAAAGCCAGAGAACAAACAAAAAAACAAACAAACGAAGATGGATATTACATTTAGCTCAGCATGTTTTTAAAGTCATTTCTTTTTCATACTCGTGTGTAGAGCCTAGTGTCGGTGCTCTGATAGTTCATCGGCGAGGACCTTTTTCAATTCACTTTACAACAGGCTGTCAATCAGACAAAAGACCCTTTAAGTCGTTAAGAAAAATGAGAATAAAAAGTTAGCACTGTGGTACCATTGTTGCATGATGGATCAAAGAAAGCCAATTTAATCATATTTGTGTAAAATTAGTTGTCTTGGAATTTTTTGCTGTGTTTGTATTTTCTTTTCCTGATTTGAATGCTGCAATCACCACCAATATCCCTAAAAGGGATAATTAATCCAGTGATTACAAGCAAGTCTTTTATTTGAAAACAGGCGATTCTTTTCGGATGGAAAGCAACAAAATATGGCTTAATCTGATATCTTTTGGAACCCTTTCCGAAACCCTTCGAGATTTTTTTTTGATCTATTCGGACGCGAGAATGATGCTTATATGCTTATAAAGCGCTTACAGACCAAGATGATAATTTGGAAGACCTTCACGAAATATTGATGTTAGTCTTGGTATTGATAACTAACTTAGCATAAAGTTCATTCTTACCTTCAAGTCAGTTGATTCTTTGCGTTGGAACGAACAAATAGCTCTAACTTTTCTGACTTAAAACTTCTTAATTTATAACAACAAACAGGAACTCTTTCAGCTTATTGTGTCTTTTGTTGTGGTCAGTTTTGAATGCCATTGAAATAATTGTTTGCCCCAGACAATGGTTTTTTATCGATTCATCACACAGGGAAAATACTTGATTTGTCTGTAATTTTAGAAAAGGCGGCTCGTCAAAAAGGTTGCAGTTGAAATGATAATATTTCGCTTAATTTTATTTGCATTACCTTGCAGTTTTCGCATTCAAGATTACTTTAGAAGTCTGAGGTCCCAAAAGATGTTGACTTATATTTATTCTTGGTTTATACATTAATTAACTGTAGCTTTGATTTAATAGTTGTTTGAGTTTTGTACGTGTGTGTCCTCCGACAAAGAATTATTATGCCATTATTACTATTACCTAAAGGTCTCTACCAAATTCCGCATTCATTGGTTCAAAAAAAAACACAACGGTATTGTTAGTAATGAATACTCAGCCCCCAAGAGAAGGTAGAAGTTGAAGAAACATAACCCGAGCAATATTGACAAATGCTGCCGAGATCAGGTTTTTGTGAGAGGCACTTCAAGTCTGCAAACCCTTTTTTCTGTATTGTACCCGCTAGTTTGATATTTATCAAACAAGCTCTAACGGCTACTTAACTAATTGTTTGAGCTTAGTGCATGGATGTCTTCCAACAAGGAACTCGTTAACTGTTAAAGGTCAATATTATTTTCCGCGTTTACGAGATCAATAAGCAGCTCTCAAGAGAATGTAAAATAAGGTCGAAGAATAATAACTAGAGAAATTACTGGTCAGTAAGGTAAAGAATTATGAAAGAGAATATTCGAATTTGGTGTTACGTTTTTCATTGCCTATAATGGTCGCGGATAATTTATCCTTTCGATACTAATGCGTAAACAACTGTTAAACAAGCTATTACGTCAGATGCTGACCTGCCCAATTTACCCCCATTGCCTTGCAGTTTTCGCATTCAAGATTACTTGAGAGATATAAATTAAAATCCCAAAAGATGTTGACTTAAATTTATTTTTGGGTCATACATCTATGATGTAGCTTTGATTTAATTAGTTTTTTGAGTTTAGTGCCTGCAGGTTCTTCAACAAGGAATTTTCCAGTTTTAATTTTTTTCCTTGTCTTTATTACTATTACCTAAACGTCTCTACTAAATTCCGCATTCAAGGGTTAAAAATAAACACAACAATGTTGTCAGGAATCAATACTCGGCTCTCAAGAGGAATTCGAAGAATTATAAACCGAGAAATATTAATAAATGCTGCCGAAATAAGGTTTTTGTGAGGGGCACTTCAAGTCTGCAATCTTTTTTTTTCTTTATTGTACTTGATATTAGTTATTTATCGAACAAACTCTAACGACTAATTAAGTTGTTTGAGGTTATTGTATGGATGTATTTTAACAAAGAACTAGTTAATTGTGTTCAGGTCAATATTATTTTCCGTGTTTACGAGATCAAAAATTAAAACGCGGAAAAAATCAGCAAGATATCAATAGGTGGCTCTCAAGAGAATGTAAAACAGGGTCAAAGAATGGTAACCAGAGAAATTACTGGCAAATGAGGTGAAATAAAGAGTTTAACAAAGAGGCTGTTTTTGTCTGAAAACCCTTTTGTTCCTTTTACTTCTTCCGTTATCGTCAAACAAACCAGTGGTTATTTTACAAAATCTATCATAGAATTGTCGTGCGCTTTTTGGCCAGTTTAATTCATTGACTTCATTTTCCTTGTTTTTTAAGTCATATTAAACATCATTTGACGTATATGCGTATAAATTTGGTTTGAACATTAGCTGTGGGTGAGTATTCCTTGGGTGTGTTAACTTCTTTAGGCGACTGTCTTGACCTGTGACTGAACCGCAATATGTAAAATGAAATGGGTTTGTTCTGAACTGCGAAATAAAACAAAGAAGAATATAAACTACAGACGCAGGGTTTGATCCCAAACATTTTCTCTTTAGGTCAGTATAAATTCAAAGCCAGTTTATTTTTTAAACTCGTGAATGAAGCCGAGTGTCAACGCTCTCGTATGTCATCGGAAATGACCCTTCACTGAGCGGGCAGTAATTTATTCATTTCATAATTAACAATTGGTTCATACGTTAGCGTGCTTTCATCGAGATGTGAAGCGCTTGGGAAGTTTGAAGAGCACGAAAGAATCGTAAGAGTTTCTCTAGGCGTAGGCATTATATGAAGCACGCTCGCGCAATCGAATTTGATTACACAAATTTACTAGCTATGTTATAACAGGCTTTACACAAGGTAAAAAAACCTTTTTAGTCACTATGAAGAGCGGGAATAATAAGTTAGCATTGTGGTACCATTGTGAAGACAGCTAATATAATCTTGTTGGTTAAAACCCAGTGGTTCACGCATTTGTTGTTTTGTTCGCTTGTACAGTTCAATCAAGGTTCATCTGAACGCTGCAATCATCACCAATATCCTTGAAAGGGAAAATTTATCCCGGGATTACGATTAGGCTTTTATGTAAAAGACAACTGATTATTTACGAAAGGAATTGGAACAAAGTATAGTTTAATCTCATCTAGTGAGGAACCCGTTCCGAAACTTTTCGAAAAATTGTTCTGGTCTCTTTTGACGCGTAAAGGACGATGCTTACAGACGTAGAAGGTTTACAAACTCTTAGACGCTTACGGACTTAAAGGTTGACAAAAAATATGAATATTCATTCAATATTGGAATTGATAACTATCACACAAAGTACATTCTTACATGCAAGACAACTTGATTCTTCGCAATGGAACCACTAGACAGCTTTAACTTAACTGGTTTAGAATTTCTTATTTCATACCCCGGAAAGGACCTTAACGTGGTAATTGTGGTTCTCATTCTTGTTTTTTTTTTTATCAAACAATGTAATTATGCATGGGCTAATGTCACCTTCATAGCTGAACGATTTTTGTCCTCCAAGATTACTTTAGCAATCTGAAATCCATATATGCTTTTACTAAGCTCTACTCTCGAGGTATAAATACAGCAACTACATTATTGAGTGGTGGTGATTTAGTTAGTTGTTTATTAAAAGTCTTAAACACGGGAAACATAATGATACTCGGAAGCATAATGTAATCGGATCCTTGTGTTTGCGCAAAGATTTTTGGGATCGCCACGTGGCAAACATCGCAAGTTGCTAGAAGGAAATGTAGAGCGAAAGGTTGTTTCGACGTCCAAAAGAACGAGTTTGGAGAGAGATCAACGCTTTTTCGCCGCACCGATTGGTTTTTGAGCAGCCACTTTTCTTCTCGAACTCTTTGGAGGATATTGTCAGGAAAAGCAAGAACACGGGAACTCCGGCAGAAACTGAAACCACATTCTTTGTTTCGTTGATTTTCCCCCTTTTTTCCGAGCTTACCACAAAGCAAAGCTGTTTTCCTTTTACCTTTTCTGCTATCACCAAACTCACGAAAAAGCTTTACTATGGCCATTTGTGTAATGACAAGAAGGCTTTCTTAACTTTTTATCAGTGTATAGCTATCAGTAAATTTTCTGTTTCAATTTCTACCAGTGCAGTACGCATTCTCTGGGACAGTCAGTGATACTGAATCTGACGAAGCTCTCAAAATAATTTGGCAACTCTCATAAGTAATGGCAGCTGCGTTCGTTTTTCATATCATAACCGCGGAAATTGTCATAGGGGTGTTGTACAAACAACCAGGGACTTCCCGCAATAACAGCAACACGTAAAACACTACTCGTTCTTAAAGATGTCAACCCCAATTTAGTTTGAAAGATTGCCTTATGAAATCTTTGATGCGCTTAACGTTCCATAAGAAATAATCAGAATGTCCCCCCAAGCTAATACCAAACTGACATGGGAAAGAAACGATAGGTCTCTTGAGAAATTTCTGACCGTGGATACTTTAAATTATCAGTCAGCAGTGATCTGAGGAGTGTTCAGTTCATTTGATACTTTATCTTTGTCTTGCGTGGGTAGGAAGCTGGTTGTTTGGGGAAACGTAAACATCAAATTCACGCGTTCATGAGATGACAAAAGAAAGAGATACAGTGTAACGCTTCATCGAATCGTCTGAATGATCGATTTTTATAAATAAAGTGGTAATGATGGTGTTTAAAAATTCTCAGAGTTTTCTTGTTACTTTTCTTGTTAATTTGCTTGTTTTTTGGTATAACATGCCATGTGTAAATCGTAAAGCTAAAGTTCAAGACCTAAGGGGACTTTTTAAGGATTTCAGTAGTTCAATTTGAGAGAGAGATGAAAGAAAGAAAGTTATTAACCGTCTTTGTTTTTCCTCCTGTTGCTGTATGCGGAGAGTTTGGATTTTAACCTCTAACCCTATGGAAATTTCTATGGTAACATTAAAGCATTAAGGGAGCGGGAGATTTCTTGTGGTAAAGAAAAAGTAAAATAAAGTTGTGGTTTGCTGTAGGAAACAATAACTGCCTACAAAACAAATTTAACATTTTCTGTAAAGTTGCTATTATTGGAACTATGGTCCTGAATCTTTGCAGACTATTCTTATGACTCGTAAGGTCCCACTCCCGCAGAAAACCACGATGAAAACTAATTTTGTTTTATTAACTGAGTTGATAATACAAATACAAACACTGTAGAGAGTTTCTAAAGCTAATGTTTTGAGTTTTAACCCTTCGTCAGACAAAGGGCTGACGCTCGAAACTTCAGCTTTAGCAACTCTTTAAGGTGACCAATTTACACTTATAGGAAAACAGAACATGATGAGCAAATAAGTCGCCTCTTTCGATAAATCCAGTGACTTGCTTGATCTGAATCGGACAACTATGGAGATTTTTTAAAATTTATTTTAGAATGATCTTTTTTGTAGGCGTCCAACGCGCCTTGTACTAGTCAACCAGACGTCAGTCAGCCGGTTGACACAAGATTATTTGTAGAAAGTAGAGTATGCACAACCGATTATCTATACTCTCGTTAGGAGCTGCTTGGGCCGGGGTTGTTGGCTGTTAGGTGGACAAGAATTTCCTATGTTTGCCTACAAGCTACAGGCACGCCAGTGCTTCGCCGAATCGTCTTTTTTGTCTTTTTTTCGTGAATGAATTGACAGTAATCGTCAACCTTTTTGCGTCATTCACATTTCCATCAACGATTGATCTACTCAGGTTTATCTTAGGTCACTTTTTAAACGATAGAAGAAAGTGACTGTAAGTAAATGGCAATGAGTCAAATGAGTGTTTGATAAGTTATGAGTGTTTGTTTCTTTGTTTGCTGTGCCGTGCTGGCACCTATAAATATTGCCTCTCTCTCACCGCAATTTATTGTTAAATGAGGTAATTTTACGAGACGCCTAGGAAATTAGTGGGGATCCCACCGAGAGAGAGCAAAAAATAGATAAGTCCTGATTGGCCTTAGCTCTTCTATAACCCAGGACTAATTCCTAAGTAAAATGAGCTAGTTTTAGACTAGTGGGGATTTATTATAGATGATTTAAGCCATTAAGTTATGATGGCGAAAAAAGAGCGGGCTTTATTTTTTCGTTTACATGCCGGTGGAGTAGGGCAAAAGTTAAACCGTAAAACTACAACAACTTTCTATGGTTCCCAAGTCAATCACATCTTCCGCCACCTTCCGCCATCAACGCGTTCAACAAACGAGTTGGTTGACGAACCAAAACGTTTTGCATGAATCAATTTTTTTTCCAGCGGCTAATTGCGGCTTCTCTTCTTAACCTCTTCCAGAAAGGAATTGTCAATTTCTTTTATTGGAAACTTACTGTTGATAACCTGCAATTTCTGAACCACTTGTTGAGTCCATAGTAAAATAACCATATTCAACAGAGCCCATTGCAGTAATTATTGCCTTAAATATTAAATGATTATTCGTCCGCGATCGTAGAATCACTTAGTCAACCTCGTCTTTCCTTTGGCTGTTCATGACATTTGCTCTTGATAACATCAGTCTGGTGTTAACTTAGAATTAATCATGAAAAGGTAACACGCGGAACAATTTTAAAAATACACTCGTTATTAGTTGCTTAGTTTGACGGTCGATCATAGCTGTTTTGAAGGTATTTTGGGGGTCGTCAATCTAAGACACACTTTACGCAGTTTTATTTTCCATAGCCTTTGCATTTCTCGTTTTACATTCTGTAAGGGGTTCTGCTACCGCTGTCATAAATTATTGCAGACTTTTCAATCTCATGGCTCTTAATATTTTGATTCAAGGCCGAATGTTCTTATGGCGGGCAAGATTTTCATGCCTCAGCCTACGGGTACGGTGACGCTTCACCACCTCGTCTTTTCATGAATGAATTGGTAGTAATCGTCAAACTTTAGTTTGACAACGTGAAGAAAATTTACGTTACACAAAGTAATAAGGGCTTTCCAAACGTTTGGTTTACATGTATCACTGATGAAATTAACGCGAAGTTTTCGAAACAGCATTTTTAACTCAATTGATAAAGAAAAATTAACTGACGAAAGGTTTAGCCCGGTAAGCTTAGTCCAGTCATTTTTCCAAGTTTAATTTCAGCGTAATATACGTTTATAGCCATCGACGATGCCTTTCCATGCATGAACAACTTTGTCGAATTATGAATACTCCTATGTATGTGGAATCATATCAACTTGTCAGCGAATTGATGCGGCCGAAGTGAAAAAAATTTAACAAAAGATAAGATGAGAAAAAGTGGGTTAAAAACTTTCGTCAAATGTTTCTGTGGATGGAATCAGTTTATCAGATCAATCAAACTCTGCGGAAAATCAGACAATAAGGTGTTTAAATAAAATGAGAATTATATGAACTATTTTGAGCTTAAGTGGTGATTGATGACGTGACGTGATTTTTTTATTCATCGTGGCCATCACTCGTTTGAATATAGTTTGGTCGTCAGTAATTAGCCGAAGATTAGCTCAATCCTCTAAAAATTAGTAAACTGAGCGCAGGAGGATGAAATATAACAAATGTTTCAAACTGAGCTTTTCTTACCGTTGAGTCGGACATTTGAACTGAAAGCCTGGTCTGCGGAAAAGAGGTTTTCTTTTTCAAAATAGTGACTTGAGGTTCATGTTTCAAACTGGTACCTTATCGCAACTGGACAAATGTATCTTTGATTGACAAATATCTTTGATTGCTCCAATGCCTTCCTTGTAACAGCGGGGATGTCTTCAGCATTGTTACAGATTATCTTTGCAAGATTAACCCTCCTTATCTCTTGAAGTTGACAAGACGTGAACGCTGTTTTGTCGGTGTGCAAGGCAGGGTTTGGAGCGTTTTCATGCCAGAAACGATCACCTACCCGGAGGCGTTTAAATTGTTCGGCTATTATACATTGGAAGGTCGGCCCGAGAACTCCTCCGTCTGAATCCACAGGTTCGAGCACTCCTTTTAAATGTGAAAATGAAGAAGTTAATAAATTAATTTTTGCCATCTGTGAGGGACATTTTAGATATTTGTGAGATTATTTAGAAGCTTATCGTGGCAAGGCAAAACCTACCGCCAAGATTCTTATGTGGGAGTGCCCTTCACCGGAAGTGAGAATTTGGGACAAATCTAACTATTCAAGTACTACGTAATAAACTGTAGCCTTTTATAGATGGATTCACGGCCGAGGGAGATGATAACTTGGGCTAAATGCCTGTTCTCAACCAGTCCTTTGAATCTGGTTGAAACGACTCGATATTAGAGTTGAGGCAATGAGACAGCGAAAGTATTAGACTACCTTTGACTTGGTCCCTTGTATGCTCGGTTGAGAGCGCTTAGAAGCTGAATGTTACAGGTTTCGACCCCAAAATCTTAAACTTTAAGATCATTTAAACGGTTAAATGATATGTTCTTACATATTGTATCCTTTAAGAGTATTTTCGTTTCAAAGAATCTCACACACATCCAAAAGCAAGCTGTAGCCAGCTGAACTAGCTGACCAATGCGAGAAATCAGTTGTGTTAAAGATTTCTAATGTTTGCACTGATTGCACGTAAAATAATATTTTACTCAGTTACATACCTCCAGTGAAAAGATCGATATCATGAACCGATTGGTACTGGGATCTCAGCTTGTTTATGTCGTTTGGATCAAAGCCAGCTCTTCTCAGATCATCAAACGTGTTCACCTTTGCCCTAATTTGGCACTCTGGGCGGTTGCGATATGTCGTGTATGAAGCAACGCCACGACTACGTCCTCTTTGGATGTTTATGGATATAAGATCAGACAAGTCACCCTCACCTCGAAACAGATTTTCTTGCACGGAACTTGAAAATCGCCTGTAAGAAAACGATCCCAGCAAAACGATGTTTACTCAGATGCACTTAAATAGGATTTCTTCCTCATAAACAATGTACAATTTTTATCACTACTATATAACAATTATGTTTTCACTTACCCGTCCATTTTTGCAGCGGGACTTTTAAGCAAACCTCTAAAGATGGAATCAACACCCCCATTACACTTGTCATATAGGTATGTCGGGTTGCCGAAGTCCAGTACTGGGATTGGCGAAAATTCCGCTTTGTTACAGTGGTGTTGAAAGCCATCTTGGGTGAAGCGCATGAACTCCTCTTGAACCAAACTGTGACCAAACCGGAATGCAGCCACAGAGAATGATGCAGACATTTGAGCATTGATACGTGGGTCGTAACCGTTGAAGAACTTGGTTCCTTTCAACAACTTGAGGTTATTTCTTTTGATCTGAGCAGAATTTTAAAGGAAACAATAGAGATTATTTGTCTGTCAGTATCTACGTCAGTTTCAAGGAAAGTAGCGTGTAAAGAAACGAGCTTTCTTTCAGCACGACGGACAGCCACAGAGCAACATCCACAGCCACACAGCAACATCTATCTGGGCATTTGCAATCGAATTTGATCATTACTTTGTTTGTCACTCTGAGCGGTGGCACTCATTGACTCGTTATGTGAGACAGACAAAGCAAATGATGCGATGGTCGCCGATGAGGAGTTTCTCATTCCCAGAAATTCATGCCGGGTGTCGTCACTAAACAACGTCTGCAAAACCTTCTGTGATTATTTTCAGCATTTAACATAAAGAGGATCCTACCTGATTTTCGACAAAAAGGTTCGATGGGAAACCTCGGAGTGAGTAACTTTTCTTACCGTTTTAGGGCTCAGAATTAGTGGTAGGAACTCGTTGTATGTTATAAATTGTAGCACTGCTCCGATAATTTTCCTTGTTTCTTGGTATATTTGCTCGCCATCCCATGGTGTCATCTCACCAAAATACGTCGCGATTCGATTGTGCTCCCTAGTAATGATGGTATGAACGGACATGAGAGCTGCAGAACGAAGCAAAGAAGATGTTCAAAACACGTAAAAACAATGTTCACTCCTTTTATTGCTAGGCATAGGCGTATCACATTCATCTTTATTCCATGCACGAAAACAAAATTCAATTGTAATCACAAGAAGAATACTGACATGACAGATAACAACATACATATTGATTGGATGGTTTTATTCTATTAGGTGAGTCTTGCGTAATGGCTGGCACAGACTAGTATTTTTACCTGGGTTTTCGTTAACGCGCTCGTCTCCCGCTACAAAGCAAGGTCTATTTGGATCTTTCGATACACAAAACTGATCAGGCAGCTGTGCAGGCAACAAACTCTTCATAGGGCAACCGTGACGGGGTTCCAGAATCCTCAGTAAGCCATTCGAGGCTCGTAAGTTATTTTCCTCCTCCTCAGTCGAACCGTACACGTTAGATGCATCGATGTACGCTGTTAGCGTGTTGCGGTGCTCTCGCGGAGTCAGTTTGCACATGGTGTTCGGCATATGAGGTGCATCTCTTTCCAGCTGAAAGAAGGTAACGCCTCTGTCTCGGAAGGTAGCATCATCAGAGGGAACTTCAATGTTGATGCATTCTATGTTTGAGTTGCTCGACTCACAGTTTATGCTTTGTGTCTCTGCTAGCGTAAAATCGTGATCCATGAACTGCCCCCAGCTCATAATCAGGTGAGTCAGTCTTGGGGAATCAGGATTTGTGCGGGCTGCATTACTGCCGTGAACAAAACGACTAACGTTCCTTGCGTTTGGCAATTCGTCTCCACTGAGAGCTCTGCGAAGTGTCGAAATCCCATCTCCATATACAGGTGGCACCAGACGTCTGAATGGAGTAAGGATTGATCCAAAACGGGGATTATCCAGGTTATTGCAGGTTCCATTGATTTCCCTGAACCGGGAATTCTTGTCACAACTTATTCTCTCTCCTTCTGTGTAGTTGAACGCGCGCGCCAAGGTCAGTATCTTTAATTTGCATTGCTTGACTTTCCTTTTACTGTAAGCGAAAAAAAAAATGGGAAAAAAAGATAAATGAAGCGTTTTCCTTAAACCAGGATGATGTTATATCTTCATCCTTGTGTAACAAGGGTCTTTAGCCATAGGCATATTTTCTTTTTACTCTCAGCTGAAAATGGAGGAAATTATATTCTTACTGCTTGGTCTCATAATACTTGTGGAATTTAGCTTAAAACTAATTAGAAAGTAGGCTTTGCAAGCTGTGCTCAACCGGCTATGCTATAAATATAAGAAACTTGTCTCTTAACATTGCCATAAATACATTTAGCCGACTGTCTTCACGCTTACCTTGTCAAAGACGCAGGTAAGGCCAAACGATTCCAAATCACCGGATCCTTACAGAGTTTCGCCAGCGCGCAAGCGCTGCAAGCTTCGCTCTGTTTGGCCTTCAACCACGTTAGAGCGTCTACCGTTGATTTTTTTCCATGTTGCAATGCCTGGAAGAATTTTCGTAGAGCGCGTTGCTGGTCTTTCTTTTTTTCCAATATTAGTCTGTAAGGTACCTTCTTTAGGGCTTCCATCCAACACGAGTAGTTCTGAGCTTCGAATGCAGCTTTGATCTCAGGTGCAACCTTTTGGACAACAATGTCCTCAACCTGTCTCATGTCCAGATTGTTACCAATGTTCATGTTGGGATCCATATAGTTCATTTCATTTGACTCTAGAAGTTCGCTTTTCATGTCTGCTAGAGTTTCAGTTTCGTCCGGGTAGAGGTCGTCGATGACGTAAGATGACGTCAGACTCATGATCAAGATGAGAACAAAACCATTAAGGATAAAAACGGCCATGGTGGCTAAGGAATTCAACAAGGGAAAAAAATTTTATAAGAAATTGCTTGTTAATCATTAGCGTGGAAATGCACAGTTTAAAATGATGCTTATCAATCAAAATAGCATGTCTCAAGGCTTTTTCTTCTTCTCGGGTAGTACGCGTACTTTAAAAAGTGTCAAGGGTGAAAATCGATATTGCCTCTTTGCGAGTATGATGTATTTTATTAGAAACTGGATCATTGGTAATGCTATTTAGTGGTTTCATTGGCTTAGCCATCCCAGGGTTATGAGGCTTAATACCGTGCGCGCAGTATTTGACAGTTTCTCGATAGATATGTGAAATGCCATGAAGACGGGTTAAACCAGAAGTGTTTTTGTACATCGTAGAGTTCCATTTGTTTTTACAGGGTAAATTTGATAAGATTTTATCATCAAATATTATATTTGGGGTTGTTTTTATAAAAAAATTATTCCACTCGAGCTTGTTGTACATGAGATGACTATAGCCAACTCGGACCTGCGCGCCTAGTTAGCTATCTATCATCTTATATCCAATACATCCATGTCACTTTTTGATAGTTTCATTGATTAAAATTTCCTTTTTGCCATGTTCAGGACACGCAATAGCAGGGTAAATTCGAGTAAATAAGTTAAAGCCTAGTTCCCTGAGACTTTCCTGGCGTCTGAATTGAAAAGCAATCTCAAGGTGTAATAATAATTTGTACATCCATGTCACTTTTTATAGTTTCATTAGTTATAATTTCTTTTTTGCGATGTTCAGGACACGCAATAGCAGGGTAAATTCGAGTAAATAACTTAAAGCCTAGTTCCCTGAGACTTTCCTGGCGTCTGAATTGAATAGCAATCTCAAGGCGTAATAATAATTTGTACATCCATATCACTTTTTATAGTTTCATTAGTTATAATTTCTTTTTTGCGATGTTCAGGACACGCAATAGCAGAGTAAATTCGAGTAAATAACTTAAAGCCTAGTTCCCTGTGGCGTCTGAATTGAATAGCATTCTCAAGGTGTTAAATGGGAGAATGAAGAAATGTAAAATGGTTTCCGTGTTTACGTAGCCTGATGTAAACACGCGGGAGGTTGGGAGAACACGAGATAAGCGTAGGAAACCACGACGCGGAGCGGAGTGGTTTCCAGCTTATCGAGGCTATGTAAACACGGAAACCATTTTAAATTTCTTTTATAAAATAACTAATGAAAGAGCCTCTTCTTGCAACGAAGGAAAGCGACGTGCTTGTCGTTGTTGTTCATTTGGCTTTTCGGTCGTTTCTTGAATACTGGGAAAATTAAACTCCAAAGAAAAATTAGGAAAATCTTCTTCTTCCATTACTGTACTCAAAACAAACTTAAAGAAACTAAGTTACTGCTAAATAAATAGCAGGGAGAACTCCGCGAGAAGATTCAATATGAAAACCGTGTTTACATACGCTCATGTAAAATGGTTTTATGGCCAATCAGAGCGCGCTTACTATTTGAATTATTTTATAATAAAAGTTATTTGGCATGCTTGATATTGAATATCAACTTTTGTAGCACTAAAGGTCAGACGATAGTCTGCCTGTAGAATAGCAGTCACACATCAAAATTCCCCTTCACCAAAATTTTTAGTTACACATACGATTTTCACCCAGAAATAACCCCTACAATCGTGCTTTAAAAGTATTGCAAAATACTTAATATGCACTCAGGTTCTTCAAAAGACCCTGAAAGGATTTGCGTGTTGCAGTATAATAATATTGTTCGTTTAAGCAAAAATTCAAGTGTCGTTGCTTAAAGAGTTTCCAGTATTAGGCATGTTTAAGTTAATTGTGAATTCTTTTGTCTGCTGTTGATATTTGTTGTGCTTTAAAAAGGATTGATTATCATAATGAACTAATAATAACAAGAAACAAGGAAAATTAGAGTACGAAATTTTGACTGTTTTGTAGCTTACAGATCTACAAAAACGATTTTTTTCCCACAGAAATGAAAAAAAAAGAAACGCTTTGTTAGTTAATAATTTGGTTAATTCTATCGAAAATTGTTTCCTTTTTCTCTGGTCAGTTCCTTTAGTTAAAAAATCAGTCATGTGTGGTTGTCTTAATTCGTTTGGCACGGCTCTTCATGTTTTTTTTAAGCAAAAAGGAAGATCATTCTGGTCAAGTGGGCGTATTTTAAATGAAACGACCTCTAGCAAAACTTGGGAACAGAACCCTGTTCGATTTAAGACAAAGTTTGAAATACGATGAACAAGACGAAATATCGGACATTCAGTGAAGAGAAGCGCAACAAAACCTATCTGCAACAAAACCTTTCCAAAATCTGTTCGAATCCTTTGCCAATTGTGCTGCGAATTTCATATTAAATGAAATAATAGTGTGTGATTTGCCCGCGGATTTTATATGCCATAAAAAATTTCTCGAGAAAACTTTTCCTCAGACACATAAGCTTGCTGAACGATTTACAGTTGTTTAATTTTCAAGAGCAAAATTAGGAACGAAATTGGCCCAATCAGATTCCACCAGGCTTAATGCCATAGCTTTAAATTTTTATTTTGATTATTACGTTGTTAAAAATAGTTTACGTATATCGTCACTGTGGACATATATCTCTAAAAAAAATAACTTAATGAAGATAACGAATTACCCAGTTATCAAACTGTGCTTTTGGAACAATTGGATTTAGTTTGTGGAAAAATAAATGGCTCAATACGCGAATGTACACGCTCAAGTCTGCAGGAAATAAAATGATTAAGTCTTGAACGAAAAAAAAACGGTATTTTCGAATGTTTGAAAGTAATTCTTACCTGAATTGGATAACTCTTCTTATCTTGCATTCGAATGAACAGCTTTGTGAAGTTAGTGATTTTATAGCACGAACCCGGAACTTACATTTTTAGACATGAACTGCACTCCAAAGTTGTATTGTTTCTGTCCCTGAGATCTTATCGTGAAAGAACAATGAGGCGTAAGCAGACGCAAATTTTTCTGCACGCAAGCTGTTTCAAGTGGACCTCTTCCTCTCCGTCACTCGAAAGTGGCACTTCTGCTGCTGTTAGCGGGACTCATACTCTCAATAACGATTTATATATTCGCTACTGGAAGAGGTTAGGAGAGGTTTTGGAGAATAATTTGTTACATTTGTCTTAGGAATTAGTTGTGTCTTGCACCTGACGTGGATCTAATTAGTTTATTGTCTTTTTTAAATTTTTTTTTACGCATGCATTTATCTATTTATTTATTTTTGTACAATAAAGGCGTGACACTTTTGATAACTACCATATGAACTCAGTGGGGAGCAACTAAAGGTAGTAAACATATTTATATCATAACTCTGAGCACCGTGTAGCATTAAGCCTGTTTTCTTGATAATCTGTAGCATTGCGCCTACAACTTTCACGTGTCCATAATTCCCTAAAAATGGAATAGAGGAAGTTGTGCTCGGAAAGCGGAAATTATTCGTTGAACACTTGGGCTGAGTTTGACTTGTGTTAATTTAAAAGGAATGAAAACTGAAAAATTTCGATGCACGTTGGTAACTCTTGGTTTTACCCATTTACCGCTCTTAACCCGGTCAGAAATCACCAATAATAGGCGAGGGAGAAGGCGGCTTTAAGTACAAAGATTAGAAAGTAAAGGTTGCGTTTTTTGCTTGTGCGAGTTGTCCAAGTGATATTAGGTGAGGTTTCGCGATACTTGGTGGCAGTATCATTTTAGCGAGGGAAGCCTCTTTTTCTGATTACTTAATGCGTTTTTGGTGATTATACACTAATTATAAAGTATTGGCCAATGTATAATACCGTCATAAAGCATTATTAACAACTGAAGGTTGGAGTAAAATGCTCATTTAAAGTGAAAGTGAAATAAGAACATAACTTTGTTCGCCAGCAGATATCACGAGGAACTGAGTACTTACATTCATAACGACGAAAAAAGGTCGAATCTACTAAACAAAAATAGAAACATTAGAGATACAACTCGCTGTCTTCAACTCTTGACACAATTTTTCGTAGTCTTAAGTCAACGAACGGGGCAATTGTTAATCGGTCACTGATTTCACACCTCACCCTGCCCAAGACAAATGACTTGGGAGCGTGACTCATTCCACTCACGAACTCTCCATTCAGGAATATTGTATGTTATATGATTACGTACATTATTAGATTTTCGTCAACGTCCATATTCAACTTCCTCCTTAGATTGTTTGTCGTTTCATCTTCAACGTCAACTCTAAAAATTGAAAGTACGCAAGTTTTTTGATTTGAAATAAACCTTTTTGTCGGCCCTAAATTCGCCGGTGTAAACAGTTGTCATGGACATCACAAAATATCGTTTCGTAATTTTTACCATATCGGTTCATTATATCCTTTACTTGGCTGTGGCCGAATGTAAAGGCTGCAACCGCGAATCCATTAGATATGGAGGGGTTGGTAGGGTTTTTGTAACCTGTATAGAATCCCTCGTCCAATAATTTGAGTTCATGTTTCTCAATCTAGAAGAGGAAACAGTAGCAATAGTTGGTTACGCCCGCACTAATTGGGCGTCGAGTGTTTTTGGAACGAATCGGTCCGCGAAATTATAGCCTTGAAAGCGTTGAAAACTTGGAAAAAACTGAGTACCTCAAAATTCAGCAATCTTCCTGGTTATTGGCAGAACTTCGATGGAAAGGCAATTCACCACACGCACGTAGCCTTAGCCTAAACTTTTAAGTTATATAGCGTAATTATTTTGTTAGTCTTTATTTTGTTTACTATAATTTCTGGCCGTTCACCCGCGCGGCAGATTACCCGAACTGACGGATTTTAAACCTTATTCAGCACATAAACTTCATAAATCTCGTTTTTTTTTCGGTCTATGTATGTAAAATTTAAAAGTCAGAAAAATGTTAACGTATATATATACACTGTATTACGGTCGTTGAGCTAGCCAATAATCTGATGACTAACGGCGAACTTTGCATTAGTTTAATGGGAGAGTTTTCAGATAGCCGCTGACATGCACAATGACTTTAATAGTGCGTTTGCGTCGATATATTGAAGACCTTAAGGTAGCCACTAACAGAACGACTTTCACTCACGAAAAGTGGTTCTGTATTCCCTCATTTCCCACTTACCCTAAGGCACAGAGATTGAAACTAGAAACTAGATAGTATAGAATGACGAAAGTTAAAATGACTAATCGAAAAAATTACATTAATTTATGGGTCACAGATCACTAGGTCGGAAGAGTTTCCTTTCTTGAAATGTGGAGAATAATGCAAGAGATCCCAGAAATTCGTATTTTTAGTCGCTTATATAAAGAACATTGAGGAAAGAGTCGTAACTGGAAGCTGGAGAGAAATTTTTCATGTTTAGACGGCATCTTTCCAAAAAGGCCTAAAGTTATTGTTAAGATTATCAAGCTATACTCACAATTTTCCGATCTAAAATCTCTGGTAGATACTCGCTGTACGTGATGTGCTGATGCAGGGTTACCACAATTTTCCTAGTCTCGTAAAAAAGTTTATCATCTTTCCATTTTGGATTTATTGATTTTAGTTCTTTAGCAACGTGATTGTGTTCTCTAACCATCAGAGTATGAATTGCCTCTAAACCTTAACAAAGAAAAATTAGAGTAAGTGTGAAATTCACGTACAATTTATATTGGCTACACATAAATTGGTCATAAACTGACCAATCGGGCATAAATTTGATAGTCTTGTCGGGAGAAAATTACAACAAAATGACTTGGATAGCTAGAAAAAATTGCAGAAGATCAAAATGTGGGATGATCGATCTAAATTTTATCTGCCATACACGTCTTGGGTGGAAACTGGTAACTTATAAAGTTAAAAATTGGATTCGTTATTATTTTCAAAATCTGTTCAGACATAGCGACTGGGCTCCTTTCGTACTTTGCGTTTTTTCCTCTAAGCTGTATACAGTTTACCTGCATTGACGTCAACGCTGCCATCCCAGTCTCGCCTTGAAGCACGGTCGGCTCTCCAGGTCCTCACTGCGACAAAATCCCGTTGATGGTGGAAACAGGCCATGGGATAAGGAACCACTGGGGTGTGGGATCTCCTTCAAAAGGCCTGCACCCTTTACAATATCCTTCAGCGACTCAAGAGTCTTCTCGTTCACGCCATATACTTGAGAGGCATCTATGAAGGCTCTTAAAATATTGGTGTGATATCGTGGTGCGGCCAGGTCACTTCTGGGAGCAGGGACGTCCTTTTTCAAGGCAATGCAGTTGACACCAAGTTTGGGGAAGTAGGGATCGTCAGCTGGGATGAAAATACCGTAGCATTCTTTTGTCAAATTGTGGCATGAATTTTACAACTGGTCACTTGATGGGCGGCTAGAGTAATGTCATGGTCCAAATATTGCCCTGTGTAGAACATAAGATATAAAAGGAACAACTATGGTTAATGTCAGCACGTACCATTTTGCAATGCAGATGGGGCAACTATTGGTACCAGAGAGTAATTTAGCATTATCATCTGAGCTGAATATGTAAATTGGCCACCGTAAACAGTTTCAAAGCCGTCGTTTCGAGCGTTAGCCCTTCGTCAGAGCGAATGACGAGGGGCTGACGCTCGAAACATCAGCTTTTTAACTCTTCATGGTGGCCAATTTACGTTATCAACTCAGTTGATGATACTAAATTACCTTGTTACACTCTTTCACCGACGCAGCACCACACTTTCTTTAGAAACTTACTCCCTTTAATCATAGTTACCTATGGGTCTTTCCATATAAGGATATCATGTGAACCATCTGGTCTGCTCAGTGTTGGGTAAATTTGGACTGCGAACTTTCCCTTTTCTCGAGCTCTCGAAACCGGGTTGCGTGAAGGTTGGATCATCATTACCATCCAGCGGTCGAAATTCTAAAAAATTTTTCCTCAACGGCGGAGTGCGTATTAGGGTGATTCTTCAAGAAGCAAAATTTATTGAACAATTCTTTTAAAACTTTCCTTAAATGTTCCTTATCAATGTCTGTTTCCAAAACTATGGTAAAAAAGATAGGTCACCGTGCTTGTTTAGGAGATGTTGTGGGCGAAACTTACCCGATTTATGCCTGTACTGGCACTAATCAGCGCGTCATTTCATCGGTTCACAGTACATTTTGCTGCAGCTGGAAGCAAGGGTTTTTAAAGTATCACTTTAAAAAACTTGATCGGTAAAAAGTCAGAGCATATGGAACAATTTTATTTATAATTTGTGAGAAAATCATGAAAATTTAAACAACATCGACTCAAAACGTTCCTCGAGTTGTTCCTTTCAAAGTCATAATTTGCATCCTCGAGTAACGGGCCTCGTGACGCTTTTAGCTTTATCTTTTTTTCCCTTAGAACAAGTTTTCATTAATTTCCCCAATTTAAATGGAATAAATTGTACACAAAATTATGCAAAAAAGTATAGGTTATTGAGGTGACACTTACTAAGCTATCAATCTTTCACTATCGTCATTTCACCATTATCATTCCACACTAACATCGGACTGGCGAATCACATGAAACAGATCCTGAATACTAAGTATACTTTCCTCCGAGATGTTGACTCTATAAAAATGACTTTCTACCTTAAATTTCTAACATTTGCGGCTGAGATCGGACAAAAAAAAAAAAAGGATAAGTCTGGGTCATAACCATTTCTGGATACTTGATGACGTCACCAACATGGATGTCGTAGTGGGACCTCGAGGAAACTCACTCATTACTTTATTCGAGCCCTAGCGACTTCGTTCCCTACCCATATCCCATGAAACCTTGCAAAATTACAGAAGACAAGCAATTACACACAACAAGCAAAGAACTAATGGTGGTCGCGATGACGAGACAGAAAAATTCAGATGAAAAGTCGAGTGGAGGTCGGGTGGTTTGATTCCTAAAAAAAATCTTTTAAAAAACTAGAATAAATTTGCTTCCAATTTGTCAAAATTCCAATCGAGTGCACGAGGTTTTTGCTCGAGTGCACGAATGTTGAAAGTCTGTTAGTGTGCAAACTACCAGATGGATTCCTTTGTTCAGATCCATCGGAGTATCGTGTAAACCATAAATTTTAACCATACGTTGTGGCCGGCCAATTTAAAGTAAAAGGACAGTTATTTATCGGACCTTTATAAGCCTACATTGTGAATTTCAGATCAAGCCAACAGCATGGATGAACACATTCAGTATCTCGAGACACTTTGTCGTCTTTGTGGCACAAATCTGCCACAGACCTGGGACAGTGCTACAAACAAAGAATCTTTTAAATCGGAGCTCTGGATGAAATTTCGAATCAATGTCGATCTTGACATCAGAGAGATTCATTCAGCCAAGGCGAATGCACACTAAAAACTAATTTCAGGAAATCACGGATCTAACACATAAATGTGATTATCCAGCGATAAAGTTCTCCTTCGGGCAAACATAAAACAAAGAGGTATTCGTTCACTGAGCTCTCACATCTTTAGGTATCGTATCCGGGAAATGTGCGATAAGAGCGGCATGAAGATGAAAATAAAATGTCTCTGTTACAGCATTCCGGAAACAAAGGTTGGAGTTTAACTACACGAACTGATGAGAGTGAAATTTTCGTCTAAAACCACAAGGGACTTGTCTGTATACGTAATTGTGAAACTCGTTTAGAAACACCGCTCGTGCTTTCACATTTTGCAGTGATTACCTAAACAGACTTTCTATACAGGGTGTTCAAATCAAAAGTTAATTGTAAAGGACATATTATTACTGACTAAAAGCTGTAGGACCGAATTTGTAGTGTTCTGAGACCTGGATTGTCCCGCGAATCGATCAATAGCGCGCAAAATACCTTGTATGATTCTCTTGCATTGAATTCGATCATATGACGATTTTTATGGTCGATTTCTTATTATCATCTGTAACTTTGCACACCGCTTGAAGTGATGTGATTATTATTCCACAGTGCATTTTAGAAACCATCATCCATCGTGGCTCTTTCATTTAATAATTTTTTGTAGCTCTCTCAGTTTCAGAGGAGTTTGAGTCTGCAGTTACTGGAAAACAGACCAAGTGGAATTTTCCCTACTAGTTATATCATATAGTTTCGTACCTTTGTTTTACGGTGGTCTCTCATGGAGCGGTTATGAGCACTACAGGTAGATTTCACCAGCAATCTCGCGCAACGCTTCTTCTTCCGATTTTTGTCAAACAAACCCACTTTCAGTTAATAGCGTCAGTAATAACCAGTAATCTGCTAACTGATGAATCGCCAATATCCCATTTCTATGTTTAAATTGTCCTTCGTGCACACTTTTACGTCCCCACATTCTCTGCAATCGTTAGTGTGGATGGGAGACCTTGCAGATCGAACACATCGCCAGAACAGAGAGCGTCCATGGTGACCAATCGCAAAGCTTGCTGTCAAAGCTTGACCAATCACAGAAAAGTAAGCAAAACTTTTCAAAGACCAACAAAAATAGTTCTAAAGACATGTAGGGGAAAGTTGGAATTAAATTGTTTAACAGTTCAACCCTTTAAAAAGCCAAAGCTGATTATATTACAGTAACCCAATTAAAATATTCGGCATCGTCTATGGTCAGAATACTGATCGACACTTACTTCCATACACCAATCCACTACATGTCACGTGGAGTGACTTACAGGTAATAAGCGTGAACGAAGAGTATCGTCCATCGCCCCTCAAACTTTAGACACGATTTAGGTAGAAAGCAAAATGTGTGATTGGTCAAGGTTTGACAGCAAGATTTTCAATTGATCACCATAGAAGCTCTTTCTACTGGCAATGTGTTCGATCTCTAAGGTGTCTTTACCACATTCATGATTATGGAGACAGTAGGGACGTAAAATTGTGGTCGAAGATAATAGAAATGGTGATGGGGATACATGAGTTGACGGATTGCTGATTTTTATCGAGGCGATCGACGGAAAACGCAAAAAAAAACAAAAAAAAAATCAGCTTCTTCTTGTTTCCAGCACCTCTTGGCCAAATTTGCTTTGTTTTGGTTTTGATCTCACCCAATCACAAAGCTGGAAACCGATATCCAGAAATGGTTATGGCCCGAACTGAAGATTGTCAATATTAAATTATAGCGAACTTATTGACGGAAGTAGAACTTAAAAAGAAATGGATTAAAGAGAAAACGGCCTTTGAAGACTGTTACACAGCAATAGGATAAACAGAGAATTTGGACAAGAAAGGGCGTACCCGAAGTAATGTCTCTACATGAGAGCTACGTGCTGCTCGTATAAATTGCCCGGTTGTAAATTCAGTGCGGAGGAAGTAAATTGTAAGTTGTGGTCACCTTAAAAGACAGAGGTGATGAACGTGCTTAATTAAAAATTGAGAATTATTTTCTTGATCTGGAATTCGACATGAGATTAACCCAAAAACGAGCTTAATGAGAATCGAAAATAGAAAAAGTGTAATTTCCAGGAAATTCCTCCGCGGGATCAACTTTTACCATATCGATTTGCTCTTCGTTTGTAGAGTTAAATGGACTATTTTCCCACAGACAGAAAAGATAATAATTACTCTAGCTAATTGTAAAGTAAGATCGCCAGAAAATGGCTGGTAATCAACTAGCTTATCATTTTTTTAACTGAATGGCGTTTGATAATAAATTATTTTCATACATTTTCCAACACCAAGATAAGGAAGCTCTTATAAAGCTTCCAGATATGATATAGGTTAATTAATAATAATTAAGGTTAACAAACACAACTCTTAGGGTAAGATTTGAGATCACCGCAATGGCGCAATAAAACTGAGATTTCATTCATAACAAAACCGCAGAAAATGGAGCAAAACTGCGTACCTGTCTATGGCTGCTGTTTGATTCGCGGCCCTAGTATTCACAACCTTATCATTCGCTCAGTTTTAAATGCCTAATGATTGTCCTATGAAAGCCTTCATTTCTGTTCCCATGTCTTACCCAATTTTGTCTGCAAGCTTTCTTGTGATCATTTCCGAAATCCTTGCCTTCTACTGTCCATAGATTAGGTCTGGCTTTATTTGTGCATGATAAGGTTTATCACAGGTTGCTCTTGTGCTCTCAAATTCCTCCTTTCCATCATCTAAGATTTCCTCCCGGGCTTCCAGTATTGATCTACGGATTTCGTCGTCGCTGATGTCAATAACGCCTTCGGCTTTTGACACTTGCAAATTTGCAATCGTAAGTAGTTGCGCCGTAAATAAGCACCAAATAATCAACATTTCGTTGATATTTCTGCATAGAAAGATAACAATGGAAACGCTAGGGCTGGCTGCTCATGTTCTCTCGCCTACGAGTAACCAGCGATTTCTAAGAAAATGTTTAACTTCATGATCAAACCGACACCTCGAGGAGTCAACGTGGCGTAAGTGTATTTTTTTCCAAAGATGTTTAGTTAAATTAGACTCAGAAAAAAAGACTCAGCTTGGGAAGTTGGATAAGAAGAACTAAGACCATTCCTCGACGCAACACTTTTACAAATTTAGCAGCAGGCGACTGTGCAGCTGATCTTGGCTGCGGGAACTGTCCGACTAGAATATATACTGTACCGAGTCGCCGGGTTATTGAGACGATGCTTTACTCAGTACGGCTTACTATCTTTCTTTGGAAAACTAATATGAAGAAGTAAGGACCGGGTCGCAATAGAGCATTTCTTGTTTTTCTTTAGTGAAAAAATCTGTCTTCGAGTAGCCTTGAATAAGTGCAACCCCTTGCTAAATTTTTGTGAATCGCCAAAATTTCGCCAATCTTCAGCCGAACCTGTCCTGACTCTGAGCCTTCCAAAACAAACAATCAGGGTTCTTTTTTAACCATTTAGCTTTCATGTTACGAAAGACATGTCTGGTTAAAATTTCAGCGGAAACAAAAGCGTTTAGTCTAGTTTGGCGATGGCAGGTCAAAAAAAATTTTTTTCCTGGTCCATCCGACCCTCTCTTTTTCGAGGGAAATTAAAAATTTGAGTGCCTCTTTTATTTGAGTATCTGTGACTCGCACTCTGCGTCCGTCTACTGGCAGCAATTCGAGAACAAATGGCTTCATGCATGAATTTTCCGCCTATTATAAGGATCACAAGGATCGAGTCAGCGCAAGTAGCACAAGCGGTAACCAAAACGCAACAGATCAGCAGGAAAAAAAAGATCCGTTCTTGCGTAGTAATAAAGCGAATCGATTGTTCTAGCAAATCAGCCTAAAATCCGTAAAATGGAAAAAAAAATAACCTTACCTTTACAGACTTTCTGATTAGTTTGCTGTTGTCTTGTAAGAGACAAGCCAATAAACTTGTAACAAACCTACTGGTCAGCTAGTTAAGCTACCGAAATGAAGCATGTACATTCGCTCGAGTATTCCTAGGCATTTTTTCTCAACTCAGAATAAAATGTTTTTTCAAATGTATTGTCATCTCATTGCAATATCTTTTGGGTCGCGGGAATTGAGGGTCAATCACTTATTAGTGTCCTCTCTCAGCCGCCCAGGATTGGTCCAGATTTTAATGGAAATAATCCATCCCCTTATTAAATGGTATCGCTTTGTAGGCATCAACAAACAGTAAAGCTTAAGGGATTTTTTTCGACGCCTTATGAAACTTAGAGGACTAGAGGGCTAAGTTATTGGGTTTTCTCTAGGTTTTTTTCGTTATTGAATCATTAAAAGCCATAGAAAGGACGTTTTCACATTGATATCGTGCTCGCTTTCTGTCGTTACTCAAAAAGATATGGTGGTAAGAGGGTCTCAATGGGGTGATGGCTTTTACGGCAATCGGTTAAAATTTTGGCCAATTTCCGGCTAACGGTTAACACCTTTCCATTGTTTCCACCAGACATATTTTTACGGTTAACTTTTTTTACGACTAACGGTTAAAATTTGTCAATTTTTACGTCTAACGGCTAAATATTTTGGCCGTATTACGGCTAACGGTTAACCCCATTGAGACCCTCTGGTAAGAGAATATTCAGTGGATTAGGAAGCGTCATTTCATTAACGAACTACCTGCAAATTCAGCTGATACAAATTTAAACAACAGTGGCGATTGGTAATCGCGTCTTAGTTGCTGCTGATTTAGTGTCGGTTCCACAAACAATTTAATCTGATTCAATTTTCTTGTTGGGAACCTTGATTGTTTTTGTCCGCAATTGCAAATTAAATCTCAAATACTTTCGCCCTAAACTTTTTTGCGGCTGGTTTCATGGCGTTTTTTTGTAAACACTGCAGACTGGTTCAGTATTCTGCCTTCCCCACCCTTCTGCCCCTTCTGCCCCTTCCGCCTCTTCAATGTTGGTCTGCAAGATGACATAGAAGAATTGGCGATTGACAACATTGGATGGGGAGAGGGGTGAAAGAACCCCATGGACGTTGCTCACGTTGCTCACGAGAAGTGTATCAACTAATCATGTGTGGGGGTGTAAGTTGTTGGATGATACTTTGTTGACAAAAGATCTTAGAAAGGAACTTTCATACCTAAAATGAACATCAGCGTAGGAGAAATTTATCCTCAAATACGCAAAAAGAGGAACTTACCACGTAAAGGAGAATTCGCACCCCCATGTAAATCAAAGAACCTAAGCGTCCCGCGAAGGCCCTAGGTTGAAATTGCTTAACTACGAGTAGATAGGCAGATTTCTTCAAACTGAAAGGTTTATTTCCTCAAATTAAACAGCGAAGTTACATTGCATTGTCTTAGTAATACATTGGAGTTGAATACAAACTATGTATATTTTAGAATGAGTGGCCCAGTCTTCCTCTGACTAGGCATGAACCGACTGAAGTCTACAACTTAATTGATAAATAATTTAAGTGACCATGGACTACCATAACTTAACTACCGAACATGAAAAAATGAACCATCACACGGACATAAAACTCATGCTATACACATTCTTCACTTGATCTTTCGCCAAAATTCCTTCTGTAAAAACAGTTACACAATGCATAACATCAGTGTTACAGTTGGTTGATGGTTAATAGATTAACTTAATAACTGGTTATTAATTGCTTACTTGAGGCACCTTTAAATAAATAAATGAATGAAAAAGAGAACAGTGTTATTCATCAGCAGTGAGTTTAAATCGAACACACCAGGTCTTTAGCTCGTCAGACAGGTACTTCTGCAGGTACTTCAGCTAGATGGAGAGAGGAAACATAACATATTTAGAACTGTTTCTTTAACAGCGAATGAAAGACAATCTGGGTTTATCTGACAAGATAAATATAAATTTTGCAACACATCTTAGAAATTAACAACTAGAAAGCTTAGAAGTTAACGCATGCGCAGCATTTCATCAGGTTTCCCTGACAAGTGCAAAGCTTGTACGTCGGGATATTCCTTTGTAAAAATGGGCACAGTAAGAGTAAATTGTAATGTATTGGCTTCTCATCAAAAAGCTCAACATAGATAAACCCGGCTAAGTTTGAAACCTTGTCCTACGGATTTTGCCTTTTGCGCTAGGCGTTATGTCGCTGCTCACATTGCCGCTCAATCATCTACAGATTAACCGCACCTACCATTAGATTCTTCAGGCTCCTTTTTAAATTTTTCCAAGTCTACCATGGGCAGGAAGTCGCAATCTGTTACCGGATTATCTCCAAATTTGTTCGTTTTCGGAACGAAGACTTTTGGCTGAATGAAGATTACGGAAGCGGTGTTGTCGCAATACACTCGTGCCAGTGAGGCCTTTCGGATCTCATCCAGTTGAGGCAATGTGAACCCAACAGAATTATCCCTTTCGTACCAAAATCGATCGCCAAAGCGAAGTCTTTTAAACATCTCGGTCAGAAGACAGGTGTAGGTGAACCCCACTGCACTTCCTTTAGCAGGGAATTCGAGGAGGCCGCCAGGGAAAAGATCGATGTCTAACACGGTTGTGTACACTTGCTTCAGTTTATTGATGTTTACTTGGGTTGTTGTGGTCAAGAGATCAGGAAAGAACTTCGCTTGCCCCGCTCCACAAAATTCTCGGAAATTTACGTAGGGCGGTAAGCCATGATCCCGGCCTCGCTCAATGTTTATTGCAGTAAGGTCGCCGACGATACCATCAGGAATTGGTCCTTCAATAACAAGATTCTCCGTAATTGTAGTAACAAAGTTGCTGTAGAAGAAAATCGTTATGTTTTGTTAATGACCATTTCTTTGACTTTAAATTTTTGGTGAGATATGGCGAAATGCATATGTAGGCCGTACTTTCACTGATTTTAAAGAGACGTGACACGTTAGGACGTGTCATTAAATAACTATAATGACGGAAAGGTACACCTGTTTAGTTAATCAACTGTATGAACTTTTGGTTAGTAGTCAACTCAGCCTTGCATCAAACAGACTCTCGTAGATTTTTATTCAAAAATCCTTCGAAATAATCGCCACTTTTTTAGAAACAGTTCATATTTCGATGTGTCGTTCTATAGGTATCAATAACAACTCTGGTATAACTAACAAAAGGTATTAAATCTAATTTTTACCCTTTAGAGGGCTGGTGCAATCTTTGATTTTCCAGAGTCTCGAGCTGAGGTCTATTGTTTTACGTTGAATTTTAAAATATCGAGAAGGGGCTATGAATGGACAAATTTCTAACTCATCAGACGTGTAATGTACTTAGGAACTTTGTATTGAAGGGGAATTAGAATTTCGTTTTTATCAATTGTCACTCTCTTTAGACTCGTATATGTATTGCATTGATACGTACTTGTCGATTAGCTGAGCTAGGTCAACAGTGAGGCCGTGTAAGATTTCATCTATGAAGTTGTATTTTATTCCAAGGAATAAGTCTTGTGGAGTGAAAAAATCTGTCTCAATACTTCCGCGATAAAGGCGCCGCTTGCTTCTCCTGATCTTTGAATTCGCAATCAAGTTGAATGAAGATCGAATCAAGGTGTGGCCGATTCTCAAGACTGCTGCACCAAAGCTGTTATGAATTGTTGCATCCACGCTTGGATCATATCCCTTGAAAAACTCGCCAGGTGGCACCAATGTTAAGTTTGCCTTGTCCAGCTAAGACAAAACACAACAAAACAACCATCAACAAGTTAGCTGATATGCAATGACATCTTCCGCGTTCACTTTTCAAGCAACATTTCAGCAGAAGTAATGGACTATTGGGCAACACATGCGCAGTAATAACTGAGACCTGAGTGTTCGTGGATTATGAATAAAATAGTGCAAGAATCCAAGGAGTATCAGAGAGGTAACAAATCAAACGAAGGGTTCTATCCGAACAACATGTCACTAAGACACCGTTCTATACACTCGATCGCAAAAACATTGACTCTTAAAAAAAGCGTTTACAATGAACGATGAGACCTTGCGGCTCTCTGAGTACACATCTACATGACAGTTATTTCGCTTTTCTGGAAGAAAAGGAATATCATAACAAAGGTTTTTCAAGAAAGTGAGAAAAGTGAATTACGGATTATGTATCTTTTCGAACATTTCCCATAAAGCTGTTGGGTCTCATCGTCTATGTTTCTTTGTTCTGATTGGTTACGTGATATGGTTATGGCTTTGTGAAACGGACAAGAACTTTAGTAAGTTTTTTGCTATAGTACGACTCACAACTTCGGCACTGAAGAGTACTGTAAGCCATTCGTTGTAGGTGATGTGCTGAATTTCAGCGGCCACAATTTTCCTCGCCAGCTGATAAATTTCCTCATCATCACATGTTGGATTTATTTCCGCCAGTTTTCTGGCAATACGATTGTGCTCACGAACCCATAGCGTGTGCATTGCCATAAGAGCTGTCAATCAAAGGAACGACCCGTTAGCATTAGTTTTTGACGATTTTATTTACATTACGTACATCGGTCAATAAGTATGATCTATACCGGTCATAAAAGCCGAATGGAAAAAACCAAAGTGGTAAAACAGTGATTGCCAGATACAAAGATTTTTTTCTGAGTCTCTTACCCTGGTTTTCATTGACTCTCTCGTCACCAGCCTTGAAACAAGGTTTATCCATCGTATTCGGAGATCTACAGAAAGCTTCTAACTCCGCACGCGGAAGGAGTGCACAGCGCTGCTCTGTTTCAGATTTTGTGGGGTCCATGATTGCCAAAAGTTTCGGATTTTCTGGGTCACGCAGTTCCTCTGCTGCTTCAAGGCTTGAACCATACACCATTGAAGCGTCCACGTAAGAAGTTATGATGTTTTGCTGCCACAGGAAAAGGAATTAAATGCCGGAGTTAGCTTAGCATAGAGGTGCGTTTTTGAATTGAACGATGGTTCAAAAGTTACATGGCCGGCCTCTAAAGTTTATCGTGCAAGGAGGAATGGGAGGGTTTACAAAATTAATAAAGAGACATTGTAAATCTCGCTAGTCGTAATTGAATTCCTTATTTCTCATGCGATGTTTCTTCTTGTTCATTTTGCTTTCATACGCGATAACGGGAACTCACCTTAGATGTGAATTTCGTTTTCAAAAGGAAAAACAGCTCTCAAATTTTTAACTTTTTACTCGGGTTTTTTCCTATCCTTTTCTTGCAATGTGATATCAGTGTTACTAACCATTGTAAATTTATTTTTTGCATATCTTAAACAAAAAGTCAGTTGTCATTTCTAACTAACCTGCTCGCCATCTTCATCCTGTAAGGCCCTCCTAAGGGGTATACACAGTAGGGTACTATTATTAGCAAGTGGCTTAACTAAAGGGATGTTGACGCATTGTTCGATGGCTTGACATGGTTCACTCTGCGACCCACATTCTACACCTGGAACTAACGGAGTAAGGGTAACATCATGATCTATGAATTGCCCCCAAGTCATTGTCACGTGGGTAAAATTTGGATTAGTGCCGTTCACATTATCGTCTGTGCCGGCGAAGACAGTTGTACTAATTTTCCTTGATGGTTGGAGAAATTTGCCAGGGATGACCGAGGCCACTCGGGGTTTGAAGCCTGGTGCAAAAGCAGTGGGAGGTTCTAGGCCCGGAAGACGTGAAAATGGTACACCGGCGGCTCCATTGGTAATATTACAAAGGTTGTTACATGTGCCGTCAAAGGTGCGATATTCAGATTGAGCTCCCATGATACAACGTTCTCTTATGTCAAGGCGATTGCAGCCAGGTAGAACAACTGTATCTGCAAGATCTGACTCAGGAGTTGCTGCCATGTAACAGGACGTGCGACGTACTTCTAGGGCACCAAAAATAAGAAAAACACCCACGAGGAAGCTGAAAAACAAATGGAACGTAGGCGAAAGTGAGTAACATTACAATGGGGAGTTTTTAATCAGCAGCGACGACGCCAAGCTAGGACAGCGGTGTGTTCATAAGGTAAAGAGCGTAGTCCGTTGGAGCATATTGAATTCGCCCGCGTGTAAGCGGTTCGATCCCTTCGCTTTAGTGGGTCGCACAATTTACTAAAGAAATTTCACTTCACACAGAAAGTTTCTCAGATAAGACGGCAATAGCAAATAATTGAAGACCAATATTCACTCATGTTCTTTGAATTGTTTTTGTATTTCTCAACTTGTTACTACTTGATCTTTTTTGCAATGATGAATGTATGTCTTGTTTTTTTTTCTTAGGACTGATCAGCCACTTGTCTTTTCCGCCAGAAAGTTACCTTTAAGTAATGCACAATTTAAGAACTGAAATTTGTCAAGAATCAAGTGTTGTGCATGATGATGAATGAAAGGAGATAGGTGCCCACATATTTAAAATAAATAACTTTTTCTTTTGATCCATCAAGTGCCCATAGACTAGAGATTGACGCGGCCAGATCTTAGTCAAGTGAAATCTTGATAAAATAAAACCGTAATATTGCCAAAAATTTCTCCGTATTAGAACGAGAGGAAGTGTGTCTCACAAGTTTCTAATTCTAGGTATTTCAAACAAGAATTTGTCATGAATTTCATTTTAACTTTAAAACGTACCTTGTTGCCCTCATTTTGCGTCTGGACAGCCTCTTACTGTGCCTATTGATGAATGAATGGTATCAGCATCGTTAACAGCATTTTAACCAAATGGTGGTAGTTGCGTTTTCATGTTACTATTGTACTGCTACATTGTCCATATGAATTGTTTTAAGAAACATTTACTTCAGTTAACCTGGTGTATTAGGAGTTTGTCATATTCAAAGAGAGCTAAGTTAACTGTGTACTTTCTGATCCGCGTTAGCACGAAACTAGAAAGCAAGTTCCATCCATTTCTACTCGTCTCCAAAGTAAAACCTTATAATCTAAGGAAACCAAAAATCGCTACTGATGTCTGAACTTAAAACTTCAGTCTCTTTTCATCTTCATGAATGTGGCCACAAAGAGTGAATAGTCCCCCATAATGTCATTTTTTTATTTATTTCTTCCAATCCATGGTATGATGTTGCCAAAAAAATTTTTTATGAGCGATAGCTATTAAAAACTCAGCGTAAACAAGAACATGCTTTGATGCCTTGTAGATCGATCTTTTATCAACATAAAACCCCCTTGTCTGAAAGCTGCTCCTTACCATTCGAAATAAAAATAAGGATAAAGGGGGTACTGTCACCAGCAGAGTTTAGGAGACAATCAAACCAATCACCTTACAAGGAAGCAAACAGACATGAAACTACAAAAAATGAACCAGCATCAAAATACCTTCAATTCACAAAGCGGCAAATAATCCAATGGAAGACAAAGCTATTCCGCTCCTGAGGTATTCCTTACTGTAGAAAACCCTAGCTGCGAATGCCAGATGTGACAAGGGTACCTCCTTATAAATGATCCTGTCGGCTCTGCCCTGCTACTCAGTGGCCAAAATTTTACCTTGACAAAACAATAGAATGTCAGCCTTGAAAGCTGATATCTTAACTTATTTTTGGTCCTCTATTATTTTCAAACAAATACAAAGAGAGTTACAAGACCCACAAAGGCAATATTTTGTTTTTGTTTGTTGTATGACGCATTAGTTAATTGGCTTAAATGGCCGGTGTCCCTCAATACAGGGAAGTAATTTTGAAGCCATGCGTTGGCATGTACAAATTAGCATTACCTTAGTCATCTAACATCCTGAATTAATTGATTCATAGATCACGGAATCAACCTATATCGGTTTCAGAAGTAAAGGTGTTCAAAGAAACAAATGATATTATATATTTGTATTTTTTTGACGTAAAACTACACCAGCACGTCAATTCAACTATCCTGGCTAGTTTTCTTTCTAAAAGGCGCTTTTGAAAACCACTGTTAACGTTGCAACTACATTCACCTATTTTGATCTTTATGAAAACATTCGTCACTTGAGAAAACTGTAATATAAAGCTTTAAGAATATTCGGTCGATCAAATGTGTGCTACTTTGAGGAAACAATTGCCCCGTGCTAAGCCTTTAAGGAGCTAGTGTAATGAGTTACAGCAATTAGTATATAGTTAACCAGCTAAACAAGCAAATCAAACCATATGCTTAGTGGAAAAAAAAATTGTTTGTTTTATAGGAGTAAAAGGTTTTGAAAGGTTTCTTTCTTGGAATGCCTCGTCCAATTTGCGAACTTGTGTCTCTTATTTTAATTTCAAGATTCCATGGCGACAGCTGCGTGATAGGCCAATATTTATTCTCTCATTTTGACCCTCGCCGAGGTAGCGGTGGTTAAACATTTAATTTAAAAATTACTTTAAAAAATTCCATGAACTTCCCCAACCCCAGTTTAAACGAGCTTTCGTGTAAGTTTTCTTTGAGAGTTCATTTCACAAGTGGAATTCAGACACCATACAGCCGTGATATTGATGTTTCAGCTTCGGGTTGTTATGATATTGAAATCTAGTATACAAGGTGCATTAAATGACCGATGCCAAGGAACTGCTTCTTAGGGAAACAACTTGTGCTCTTAATTTCTCTGTGCTCTTTTAGTTAGTCTCTGTTTTTTTTCAAGTGAAAGCACGAATTTTACACCGTCTCCAAAAATAAAAAATTTTCCGTGTGTTTAAGGGATTATGTTATAAGCGCTATTCAAGGGTGAATAGGTATAATTCTGCGGTGTCGTTCATAAAGGTATAAATTACTTTTCGTCTGTATCCAGTCACGCGACAGAAAAATGGTCTTTCAAGGATCTTTCAAAACGAGTCTAACATCCAAAGGAATTTGCTACATAGTCTGTATGATTTCATTGCTAAAACTATCGGGAACAGTAATGTTGCATTTGTTCATTCAAAATAAAAGTGAGGTTTTTTTTCCGTTCACCACCTAATGTAGGCACCAACACCTTTGTTGTCCAATAAAATAACTTAATCAAATCATGATCAAAAAACTGTAAAAGCCTAAACGGAATGCACTGTTTTCTGTTCTTCAAGCTTTACTTCTCAAACAGTTTTTTTCTTTTTTTCAAGTCTTTTTCAGACCCGACCATCGAGGCATCAGTGTGTTTCATTGCACAAAAGTGTACAACAATTACGTCATTAAAAGAACTATTGTGATTTGGTATTGTGAGTTAAGTCCCGCCATTGTAGGAACTACCCAACAGTTTTGGTTTTTAAGCGTTTTGCGTTATACTACAACGTAGCTCAATTGCTTTTCAAGTAATTTTAAGAGCGTACTTCGTTATCGATAACAATAAACAAACAAACAATACACTACGTCATTATATATATTCACGGGCGGATTGAAGATGGATCATTATCGGTCTTGCAATACGCGTGTGCGTCAGAAGGATATTTATGTCTTTTTAAATGTCTAAGTTTTTTTTACCTTGAATTTAAAAGAAAAAATGACACTGTTTTCGAATTTCCCTTGCTACTTAAGACGATGTTAATCTTCTCGAAAAAGAAGTGTGTCCTCAAGTTTGAAATAAATACTCTGTTTAGAATACTCTGAGTCAATAGATACAAACAAATCATACAAACGTTAGCTGATATGACACAGATTATGAGGTGATATTGTGAACCTCAAGCCGTTTCCTACTTTCTCAAATCTTCGGTGACGTGCTTTTCGTCAGAAAACAAGAAAAAGATAACTGCGAATTTCATCTATTTGTTTTTCATGTAAGTACTTGGACAGTAAAGGTTTAGTCGCTGTTAGAAGGTGACACAAATTCGGCTGATCAGAAGGCTTTTCTCTGAAGCACTGAAACTTTAAGTTAATATGTGACTGTCGCATAATATCATCTTTTGTCTTCAAACGACCAGAAAAACAGTGGCAATATAACCTTTAAAGAATCGGAAGGTCGTTAGCCATGAATAGACCGCTTAACTCACGCATGTGACGCCAGAACAAAAATGAATCTTGACTGAGGTGTTGTAAGCCTGAAGAAGGTTTTCTTATGGTTTCTTTCGTGAAATTATTTCTTATACCTTTTTTTAATCTTCGTTCGTTTGCCCATATTTAAGTCTTTGCTTTTGAGCACTCAGTTGTCGTAAACAGCTCCCCCAGTTACACGAATGAGTATGCGTGACTAGGTGAAAACGGAATCTTGTAACACAAACAAGTCGCCAGGTATTTACCTACACGAAATATCCAACATAAGAAAATAATGAATGGTTCTGAGCGTTGGGTTCTTCGATTCCCGTAAACTAAAGAAGACGAATCTCTCGAGAAATTCATGGTAAATTGACTTATTCCTTCAATAACGATTTTTGCATGGATTTTGCCATTCACTCAAATATTGCAAACTCATTATTGCTAAATCAACCGTGACCAGGAGAAGGAAATCATTTTGGTTTGGTCCACCAGTGATTTATTCTTCCGTTTACTAGTCAAAACTAAATGATAATTTTCGCTCATGCCATCTGTAAATTCTCATTTTATCAACCTCTGTCTCCGTTTTAAATATCTCTGGTCTGAAGGAATATCTGTAACATATTTACTAAGCATGAACACCGATTTTCAAATGGATAATTATAAACATTATATTTCTAATTATTTCTCCATTGATTTAGATAACACCAATTCATGTTTTTTTTTTACCTTGATGATAAAGGCTTGAAGTACCGAACTGAAATAAAATTGCAGAAACCTCAGAATTTCAGTCCCGCAATGAATGGGCACTTCTCTCTTCTTTACTTTTTACTTAGTCTAAGTGTGGAGTGTGGAGTGTGAAGTGTGAAGTGTAAAGTGTGCGTGTTTCCACAAGGTTTACACAACAACAGGAATGCTCATGATCTTGAAAACTTGACTCTATTCTATGGGGATATAAGCGTTCAGCTTTTGGTGCTAACCCTAAGCTAGCCCTAAGCAAAAAAAAAAACTTGATTGTTCCAGAGGGTGGGTAACGCTATCCACTCGATAAATCTCTATCCGTTGGATAGCGCAATACGTTTTGTTGCGTTATCCGCCCTTTGAAATACTGGTTAGGTTTTGATCTATGGAAACATTCCTTACTTTTGGCTTGACAAACCAAATATTGATGTGCAGCTCTTTCTGATAAATCTAATGTAACAAGATTTATCGGTTTGAATACCCATTAACCTTCTCTAAAAAATATTTTAAAGGCAGTTTAATTGTGTGGATGTTTAGTATGTGTAGCGAAGGTGGCAGATATATTATGACATGGCTGTAACGTCAGAAAGTTAAAAAGTAATGGTCGTCAAGTGATTAGGTTTTCAACTACGTATTACGAAGTTCAATGTTGCAAGAGATATCCTCTATACAACAGAATGAATGGTAGTATTTGCGTCAGTTAGATCTATATTTACTCCAATGACCTTTATAAAAAGAAGCCCCCACCTCCCCCTCACCCCCCGTTTAAATTATGTCTTAATTTCGTCGTTTGGTTTTAACTGACTGCCAATGTATCACATCCCAATCATTTCTCTTATTCATCAGGCTTTTCGTGAACGAGTAGTGCCAGCTGAAGAGAGGACGAAGCCGGCGACAGTGATTGCCTTCACGTGAACTATTTCAGTGTATGAAGCTGACCGAAATTCGATGGAGAAAATTGATATACCGTATTAGCTGACGTACAAAATATTGGTCTGTGTAATAAACCACTGCACCACTACATGACTAGATTAGCAATCGGGTTATTGATCGACTAGTCTGGTTTTAACAGTTTTGTTCGAAGGTAAGGCTGTCACTTTCAGAGAAAAAGAATAGAACAAGAAAAATTTCAAACAAACAAATAAGCTAAAAGAAGGAAGCTTAAATATTTAATAGTGGCACTGAAACTTTGCTCTTAGAGTGCTGTTTCGATTGGGTCCGTCTAGCATTAATTTCATATCTTAGGCATAAACAAAGATTCAGCGAGGAACTCGACCTTTCATGATGACGTCGCAGAATTCTTTCTATAAAACTTGTTATCAAAAACTTTTAAAAGTTCCCGAAACTTCAGATTAAGGGAACCGTTTACGGCATAAAAACCCACCTGTCACTGGAAGTATGTGGGCGTCCATGACGTCACTTGATTTATGTTTTGACGTCGTGGTATATTAAGTATTACTAAATATAACAGAGAGTAATATCAATACAAAAAGAGGAAAGATTAAAAAAGAAAAAAACCAACAAAGCAATGTCTTCGGAAATACGTACTACAAGGCTTTGTGCAGATTTAGGGAAGTCCTTGAAGAATTTTATGCAATATACATTCTCTATCGACGCTTCTAAAATAAAATTTGGAAAGAAACCCACGTAGCAATAAACAGAGAGAAGACTTGAACTCGAAAAATTCTACTATCCCTTTGTCTGAGAATCATTTTTTCAATAGTTCATTGAAAACAGGCGCATACTGATTGACGCTGAAAAAGAACTGAAATATATGTAATTATTGCTACAAGAAGACCAACTGCTGCAGTGACGCACTCAGTTTTGACACTGCTCATACAAGATTAAAGAAGGCTCATGTAAGAGATCCAAACAACTTCAATTAATCAACTGTGACAAGGAGATCTTGTTATGCAACTCCCGATAGATTTTGGACGAGTTCAAGCGATGCACTTGAAGTGATAGTCTGCGAGAATTCAAATACCCTCAACTGAGACAGATCAGAAAGAAGACAGTTTTCCATTCGGCCTCGTCTTGGTAAGATTTCAAATTCGGAAAGAAGAGGGTTGTTTTGTTTGTCGGCGAAGTTTATCTGACCGGGCCATCGAGCCATCAGTATGTTTAAATGCGCAGGTTTTTTAAACAATTGCGTCATGAAATGTAATTATCTCGATTTTCAGTACAAACTCTTGCCATTGTAGACACTACCCAATATCATTACCGTGACATCTATTGTTAAGCGCTTTGCGTCAATTATTTTTCAAATAAATTCAAGTAAGTGATTCATTAACGGGGATAATGATCAAACAAACAATACTCAAAATTATGATTTATCTTCCACCGCAGAATGAAGAGTGTCGATATCGCTCTTGAAGTACGCACATAAATTATAAATTGCCTCGCGCGACTTATCTACCCGCAAGGCTTGAGAGCGACCGATATCGCTGTAACAATATGCACGTGAGCAAATAGAGATAAAGATACATTGAAAAGGACCTTTGCTTAGTAAGAATCTAAGCTGATGCGACACAAATTATGAAGGCTGGATGTTGTCCGGTTCCTACTTTTTAAAAATAATAATGATAATAATAACACTAATAATAATAATGATAATAGAACAAGAAATGTAACTAAGATTTTCAATTACAGTTGCTTTTCATTAAAGTATTTTGTCGTTAGGAGATTTTTTTAACTGAAAGCTTTGAAACAGAAGATGACACCGATCTACTTGGCTTGCTCATCTGGGTTTTTTTACTGAAACGACCTGAAACATTAAGTTATGTTGGACCAAGCACTTGTCTACAAATGTTTAGTGAAACTGTAGCAATATAGCCATTGTTGAATCATTAGTGGGTCATTTATCACAAATTAGGTCATTTAAACCACGCATATCACACGCTCGAACAAAAATGAATCATAAAAAGCTGTGAGCTAGAAGGGCCTTTCTGAATCTTTTATCGCGTGACACTACTGTGCAAATTGGATATTTTCGGCCTACTGCTTAAATTTCTGGAGCAGCTTCATTAAAAACCGTTGTTGTGCTAAGCTAGAAAATAAAATTTACAGAGTGATATTGCCTTAAAATTTGCGGCAAACAGATTCCTCTCTCTGTTTTGGTTAACGCGTAGTGTAAACTTTGTTAGTTCCAGGAAGATTACATAACAATGAACGCTCATAATCTTGAACACGTTCCTCCATCATAATGCCATCGAAATGCGAGAGTTCAGTAAGAGGAAAATTTTTGATGTAGTGTTTTCATTGTTTACATTTTTTTTCCTTTGGGTGGTTGTTTCAATTTACTGACTAGGTGACAAAGGTGAAATAAGAGAAATTAAAAAAGTAATTGATCATCAGTTGCTTATGGAATCATTCTTTGGATGCACTTTCTCTGCAGTTCTAATTTAGCGCGACAGTCCGGTTAATTTTGCACATGTACTACGTCAGCTGGATCCAAATTGGCTTAAACGAGGTCAAATGAGTCAGCACCGTTATGAAAAGGAAGCGTCCCCTAGTTTGAATCAATTCTTGTGAACGGTTTAATCAACAAGGTTTAAGTAAGTAATGTGCATGTTTTTGTAGCGCTGCCGTTGGAACATTACGAATTACAGTGGTCGGATTATGCTTTGAAAAGCCACGTTTAAGCCACGGTCACCCCATGACTGGAACATGGAATGTGCTTAGCTGGCAAATTTACAAAACACAGATTTCATTAGGATAAGAGAGATGGTAAGTTTTGATGTCTTCGTCTTGTCACTAGCGTGGGACAAAGAAAAAATTCTGAGTTCCCATGAAGAATCGAACCTCCGATGCTCTACCACTGAGACTCTTCGTTGAGCGAGCTCTATTACGAAGTTCATGTGACACGCGTCTTGCATACTGCTAGGATCAGCGATGTCGATAGCGTCATATTTGTAAATAGAATAAGAGAGATGGTTAGGTTTGAGCTCGGTAAAGAAATAGAGAATGGTGTCATTGTTTGTATCTCAGATAATATTCAAATAATCTTAGTCACAGACTAGTATCACGAGTTATATAGGGATTGGGTTTGACACAGAAAAAACGTCCGCAAAAAAAAATCGAATGAATATCAAACAGCCCGGGACTAAAAATTCTTCATGTTCAAAGTCATCTCGGGCAACCATTAGTTTAAAACATTGCTAAATGATTAAAAATGACACCATAGCTTTTAATCTGCTAAGGTTGTTATAAGACTTAACGTAACCTTTGAAGACTTCAAGGTTCATTTCATTCACACTGTTTTGCGTCCTAGGTGATATTGATTGCTTTTAATATTGATTTTTTTTTCGGAAGGGATGCGATTCAAAGGAAAGGAAGATTATTTCATAACAAAATAAACTCATAAAAAATATTGTTTCCAGAAGTTTTTACCGCTTGCACTTGAACCGCTAGAAAGTTCCCTCTTCGGCTTCGGCTAAATCATTGACTACTTTAATGAAAAAACATACGTGATGAGATGACATGTAAAAAGGAAGAACTTGCAACATAATTAAGGTAACTCACAAAAATGGAAAAGTCACGATATCTTCCGCAGACGAAAAGGTGCATCACGAAATGACTTTAGAAGGTATTGCAATTTGTCTTCGCCTTTGTCCTCGAGCAATACTGGTAATATGGGTGTTTCTTAATTGAGTTATTTGTTTGTTGCTTTACGTCATCTTGATAACAATGACTGCTAGAATTTTCCATCTGTTAGTAAGGTTCGACAAATTACAACTTTTGTTCAACGAAGCTAACACGAAACCCACTTTTCTCTCCATGGTCTCACGAATCTGGTATGGAAACGATTTTTTACTCCTTATTTCCACCAACAGCCACATAAATTACAGCTTTTATATACTGAGAAATAAAATTCGAATGCAGTGTCGAAAAAATCTGCATTTCCTGTGAAGGGTCGCGCTAACCTCTAAACCAATCTAACGCAAAACTGAAATCATTCTTAACTTGGTTACTCGCGTTTTTCAGCGCTTCAGGAGGTTGCGTGTTTTTGCTTTAATCGTTTAGTGTCTTCGTGTATTATTTCCTTTGTTTTACTTGACTATTGTATTTACTTTCAGCTGGTTTTTACTTCACGACACGATAGACCTTGATTCACGCGAAAACATCACTCGCGGAGAAAAAAAAAACATTGCGCAAAATTCCTCTGTATTAAGCTCATAGAAACTCGCTGACAATAGACAGAGCGTAAGGGTACATGGATTAATTCTTTATGATTTTGTCGGTCATTTTAGGCAAAAAGTACCGCATTTCCTAAGATTTAGGAGAAATCACTTTAAATTTCTCCATTTGAAAGAAGTCGGCTTCTATGAAATAACGCGTTTTTTGATAATAAGAATGATAATAGTAATAATTATGATAGAAAAATTATATTAATACTTAATTCTCATAGCGCAATCTCCAATGATATCTAATCGTACTTTACTATTTATGGCAAATAAATCCAATAAAACAAAATAACATTAAGAAAAACTGCATTTACAGGCTTATGGAGAATGTCTTTTAAACGAAATGTCTAAATGAAGCAAATATAATTATATGTAAAAGCTTTCTTTAAAAAAGAAAAGTTCATGAGAAATGAACATTTATATCAATCTTAAACAAACTGGTACTGTGTTTGAAGTAAAAAATAATTGTTTATGACAAGGCTTGATCCTTTTTCATATTCTTCGTTAGACCACCTTTCCCAAAAAAGAGAGTTTTCCCTGGACCAGCTTAAACAAAATGTTTTGTAATGCGATTACCGATTCTAGACTCTTTCCGATATATCTTATGACCCTGGCAAGTATAATGATAATAAAAATAACAATGATGATGATGATAATAATAATAGGGATACTGATAATAATATAAGAAAGTAATGAGAAAATTATGATGATAATAATATTTAGGCTCAAGCACAATTTTTCAAAATGTCCTCTTCACAATCTGTTTATGGAAATTTACAGGTTCATGTTGGTGAAACACATCCTGATACTCTTTGCTTTGGGCCAAAAGTCGAGGCCATGAAATACGCCTGCGATTTTGTCAGCTTAGAAAAATTTTGTAAAAGTGATAATATTTGTGAGACCTATGTTTCAAAAAGATAGATTGTTGAGCTGAAGATTGAAGAGAGAGAGATTATTAGAAAAGGATTTTCCTTGTCACAAAAAAGGAGATTACTACAGATCTAGATAAACAATTACATGTACGAGTATAAGGAAGGAAACTGATACCCTGCGAACCATCTATGACGAACAAAATTTATCTGTTTTAACCACTAAATAGAGAGCAGGTAATTTAATGAAATGCGACCGGTTAACTTCTCTATTGATAGGAAGGCATCAGCCACAACCCCAACAATATTAAGGGATAATCTTAGGCATAGAAAAGCTTTTTGTAAGGCCTGCTTCTCCATATTGGTTGAAGCCAAACCAACACGCTGTTTGTCTTGCACATGTAGGGGTCATCTATCTCTATGCTGTATCCCATCAGAAGTTCTAATGATAAATAGCACAGATTATTTGAAGGTATCCAGTGCTACGCCAATTGATGCAGAAGGACACTTTGCTCGTATGCGACCAAAGAAGGCTCGTGAAATGAATTTACAACAACTTTTAACTTTCAACTTTCAACTTTATTCAGTTTTTCAATCGGCCACCTCTTGGCAAGATTATAATAGTTGGGAGGATGAAGGTCATTTTGTTTATTGGCGAGTAAGTATGCAAGTGAGTAGCATACTCTGATGCAATTCATATTATTAGGACACTTTTGATAGTAGGTTCCGTGTTAATTTCTAGGGCTACAAAGCACGCAAAATGCGCAAAACATTTCTGTCATCTCGGCACACTTAGTGCAAACTCATCATTCTTTGATGCCGTCATCGCTTGCGCGGCTCTTATTTTAAATCCCCAGATGAAGATATGACATATGCAAAACTGTTGTTCTTGATTTTCTTCAGAAGCAAACCACTAATATTCGAATCTTCCCTTTCATTATTTCATGATTTTCGGTTCTTTTTTCAAAGACTAAAAAATCGATGAAAATTTTTATTTCATGTAGCCTAAACGTTTTTGGCAGTTTTCTGCTACGCCTTCACGGATCGATTCATAACAATAACGCTTATTCGAAGCAGAAAATTCGAGCCCTTGTAAATCAAGAGTAACTGAAACACACTAAGACAGTTTTGGATTTCTGCAGAGTCACTGTAATTCAACTTCCTGAACTCTTCGATTTTGTGAAGTCGTGCCACTCTGCCACACGCCAAGTCGTGCCACACGTATTTATTTAGCACTCGCGGAACATGTTACCACATATTTTAACATGCGTACAGCTGCGCACTTCTTTGTCTGTTTTTTTTTCCAAGGGAGGAGTAGGAGGGGTCACGCAGGACCAACGTAAATAGAGCACAACAAGAAAAATCGCATATCATCTCTCAGTGAGCTTGTTCCATCATTATTGTAGCACGAGGAAACAAAATGGCTCCATAGGACTCTGTTAATAATAATTCAGTCATCTTTGCAATATTTTTTGCCACGTCTATGAGCCGGTCGAACGAATGTTTATCACGCATGCATTTCGAAATCAATTAATGAGGTAAAACATAAACCACAAAGACGTATTGGTCAGGAAGCTTTGTGATCCACTGTATTTATTACATCTTAAGGAAGCCAGTGCTTAAGTCTGAGTAACTTGCTCTCAGGCGTTCTTCGTTAAGGAAAGTTGAGAACGTCAGAACAGTTCTAGATTCGGCCGTGAGAATTATTTAATTATTTGTTCACTGTTTTCTGACCGACCTGCTCGCCGATGCAATCAAGTTTGAGTATGACGTTTACTGAATTGAGAAACTGCTCCAATGCAGCATAATCTTGCACTCTTTACCTCTTGATAATCTTAAAATCAAAATTATAGAATTGAATAACAAATCTGCTAAAGCGAATAGATAACGGGTACACCGTGATGTACAAAGATGCAGACGGCATTAAGGTCGCTTTTTCCTGTTTGGCTTAAACATCACCACAACTTCGGCTCTTTTAGAATTGATTATAAAGTACAGATGTCTGATATCAAGAATTACATCGTGAAAGTTCCGCAAAATATCAATTTCCAGCGATAATCTTTAAATCAAACCAACAGAAATGAATAGCAAATCTGCTAATCCGAATACATAAAAGACTACTATTTTCACTGTGGTGTACAAACTGATGGATGCCGACGGCATCAAGTTAACATTCGCTTTTTCCTGTTTACCTTGAGCACCACCATAACGTCGGCTCTTTTAGAATTGATAATAAAGTACAGTTGTCTGATATCAAGAATGAAATCAGTGAAAGTTCAGCAAAACATCAATACGCGGCGGTAGATGATTGAAAAAATGAGAATACAAACAAACAATCCTAACAAATGGGAGCAGGCTAGAATTCGAAAGCAATGATCTCAACAAGCTAAAATTTTAATCCGTATTACACAAGTTCTTCCATCTGAATTTCACGTGACTTCTTCGTAAAGCGCATTTCATACAAACGGTACAAATTTTAATTATGAGTAATAACAATTTCACCTTGATAATAAAACACGCTTTGGGAGTCCTGAATTTATTTTTAGAAGATTGTTCAAACGTTACCCTAGTTTTCGAGAAAGAGAAAACATTGCAACCAAGGAAAAACTTAGCCTGCTCATACGGTCTACTGCTTCTTTTCGGCACATGCGTCCGCGGTTTTTACGGTTATGATTTCTCTCCCACAAGTTCAAATTAAAGGATGGAAACTTCCGCTGACTCATTGCATAAGTCAGCAGGATTTCTGTTATAGTCCACTGCGGGAGAGACAACTTTAAGAGTTGCTTTTATCCATCCGCACTTTAACACTATTTCACTCAGAGAAAATAATCCGTATTGTTTATCATACAATTAATAATAACATCTTAAAGCTGCCAAAGACCAACGTGTTGGGGTACCTGGCACCGATTATGGAACTCAATAACAGACAAAATTAGATCGGTGCTATCTTTTAAGGTGTTTAAAACAGCGTAAGAAAATTAGACTTTCTAGGTCTATCTTATTCGCACTTTTTTTTATTATTTTAAGGTGACATTTAGATTTTTAAGTCGTGTTGATATTTCTTGTAACGAAATTTTTTATGGAAATTTTATTACTCAACCGAAAACAAATTTTATCATTAAGTTCCATTTACTCATTCTATTTATTTCATTTGAATTAGTCTTCTGTGTAATACCTGCAAACTAACACGTCTTCAGAAAATCGAAGTGGTCAGGAAGTTGAGTTAAAATGACTCTGCGGAAATCCGAAAGTACCTTCGTGTGTTTCAGCCCACGCTTGATTTACAAGGGTTTTTCATCATGGCTAAGTATATTTTTTTTTTCATGATAACCCACTATGTATCTTAAAAGTCTTGAGGTCCACTGTTTCTTTCAGTTTCAATTGCCGCGGCTTTTGCGATTGTAATTTTCCTTTCGTAAGTTTGAAGTAATTTATGTAAACTTCCGCTGACTCACTGCATAAGTATCATTGTGGCAGAGATATTTTAAGTATTAAAGGTATGCATTGTTAAGGCTCCTGTCAACAGCTGGGGTCAAAGTCACTGAGGCATCGATTAAACTGTTGAAGTTACCCCTTACACAGACTGAATTTTAAATTTTTAATTTTTTACACCTCCAAATTCACTTATTTTTCTCTAGTTGATTAAAGCTGAGGGATTGGGAAAGACAAAAATTAATGTGAACGCACTGTAGAGACCTTACGCTAGATTGTTTCAAGGTAGATCAGAAAAAAAAGCATACGCGATTCTTAGGATTCTAGATCATATTTCATTAGCACTGGCTGACCTAAGTTCAGCTAATTCCACAAGTCTTGTTCATCGTTTTTACGGCTTCTTTTTTCAGCGCATTTTATCGTGATTTTTGTGTCATGTATAGGTGATGATATGATATGCCTCAGTGTAAAAACAACGATCGATATCCGCCAGACTGACTCTTAAGTCCATATCAACACTGAGGGAGAGCAGTGTTGAGCTCAGTGATTAGAAAAAGTCCTAACGAAAAGAGACCTTTTTATTTTTAAGAATGAGAGGTGAAATTTTTAGAGATACAACCAAAATATTGTGACCTGGTATCTACTTTACAAAGCACGCACGGTCAGGTTCTGTTTTGACTCGTCAAGCGCTCTCCTTGAACTGCACCGGTGCGTAATGTAAAATACTAATTATGGTGCAACAAACAAGGATATCTGGCATTCGTTGTAAATGCTGCAAAAGACCTTACACAGTTCAAAAACCTCATAGAAAAAAATCCAACAGACACGTACTAAAGTCAATAAAAGCCCTTGCATGAGCTTACATTTTGTTTTATTTTCATCTGGTGTACATGATATCAAAAAGAAAATTCGAAAAGGACACGTAGATTTCTGCTATTCATCTTTTTCTCGTTAACTTACGTTTTCCATTTCATCACTGCACCGGCATCAATTGTTGTCGATGGTTATTTTATCATGAGCCATTTTAAAACTTGTTGAATTACAGGTGGTTTGAACGGTGATGCAAATATCTTCAAGTTAATTTTCCCTTCCCACAAATCATGATGGTTTGTATCAAAATAGATCATTGTAGTCCAGAAGAATAGACCGTGATAGGCAATATATATCTATGGTTGTATCAATCAGAAATGTACATTTCTAGTACGCAGTTTGTTATAAAGTTGTAAAGAGGAATCTTGAAAAACTGGAAAAAACAGAATTGGAAGACCTGTCCATAAGAGTATATAGTAATTTAGTGTTAACAACTGAATTGAAAATGTTAATTGACCACCGTAAGGAGTTTAAAGTCTGACGTTTCGAGCGTTAGCCCTTTCGTCATGGCGATGGACGACAGCTAACGCTCGAAACGTCAGCCTTTAAACTCCTTACGATGACCAATTTACATTTTCAACTTAGTTGCTCACACTAAATTACCTGTTATACTCTCCCACCGACGCAGCACCACAGTTTCTTCAGAAACTTATCCCCTTTCTTCAAAAGAGAATATAGTTATACAGATGTAAAGGCGTCAGAAAACTTTACATCCTGAGGGATAACATCCTTAACGACAGCCTCATATTGGCAAGATTCGTTGTGGCCTGGTTCTATAGGTTTAAAAAGACAAAAAAAAGTAATTAAAAAGATGAACTCTATAGCTGGTTGGACTGACTTTGGGGTTTTTAAGGAAGTTAAAGAAAAATCAAGCAAAAATAAAATTGATTTATTTGAGGAGGTGTGAGTTTTCATCTTCCCCTCTGCACAAATAAAAGTTTTATGTAGCCCAATCCTTTTCCTCTCCAAGGTAAGGGGAGGCGGGAATCGAAGTAAACTATCCTAATTTAATTTCATTTGATTTACGTAATTAAATGCTGTCTTAGAAACTATATTTATCCCAAGAAACGCCGCGATGTTTGGCTGTGTATTCCGTAAACCACTGTCTATTATAGCGTAAATTATATGGCTTACCTTCCATCCATTCATTTAAGTTGACAACTCTTAAGTCATCACAATACGTCAGGTTATTGGACCCACTCCTCTCGCGGAAAACATTTGGGGTAATTTTCAGAATTCCATCCGAGTTGTCGCACAGAACTCGAGCGAGAGTTGCATTTCTTATTGCATTCAGCTGACCTGTGGTAAATCCAGTGTAAGAATCGTTCCTCTCGTACCAAAACCGGTCTCCAACGCGAAGATTTTCAAATCCTCTGTTGAGAATACAAGAGAAAGTTCCACCTAGTATGCTTCCTGGTAAAGGGGCCTCACTTACTCCCCCTACATACAAGTCTATGTCGTCTACGTTATCATTGTATGCCATACGTAGTCGTTCCCTCTGTGTCGCGTTTATGTTCGTGAGATCGTCAATGGACGCGGCACGCACCAGACCACACATACCCCTGAACTGGTTGTATGGGGGTAAACCGTGATCACGGCCACGTTGGATGTTTATGGCGGCGAGATCGCCCACGATACCTTCAAATGTTGAGCCTTTCATCAAGAGGTTCTCTCGCACGGCTGGTGCAAAAAACCTGAAAGGTATAAATGTTTTAAATATCACTACGCCGTATTCAGATTTCGTCTCTTGTTTATTGGCATCCTCGGTCCCACAGGCCGCCGTGGGTACCATTGAGTTCTTTCGACTGCTGCCCTGTTATTTTGTGAACGTTATTATTTTTAAGATTTGAGGTATTCTAGTAATCATTGTCCTCACTATCTTGCGGGTTTCTCTGGGCCTCGGCTTATCTAAGCTATTAATTTATCACTTAATTTATCAAAGGGTCTTATCATGGATTCTCTGATTCTGCCGATAGGAGCTATTCCAGGCATCTCCATAGTCAAAGTAGAAAAGATACGCCTACCTATCCACTTTTTGAGACGTTTGAGTCACAAGTCCTAAAAGGATTCCAGTCATACCATTACCACTCTTTGCATACAAAGGTGACGGGTCGAAGAAAGTTTTGGTTGAAATTGACCCACGCTGTCTGAATTGCCTACCAAATTGTCCCAAGTTGTCTTTTATTAAGGTGTGACCGACTCTCAAAGCTGCCGTAGCAAAGGCGTTCGTTATTTCTGGGTTAACTTGCGAGTTATAACCACTAAAAAAAGTGTCTTTTGGTTCTAGTAAGATGTTTGCACGTCTTCGCTGAAATAGAGACAGAGATAGGGTACATAAGGTACAGTTAAGAAAAGATGTGTTATTCTTTTACTCCCAAGATATGATTATTAATTCTCCCCACTTGCTTCCACACATTTCCTTGTAAATTAGTCACGAGAATTTGGTGTTAGATTTAGATAACAACTTTTACCTGATAAGTTCAGTTAAGCATTCTCATTACAAGTTTAATTTGTCAAGAATAAAGTAAATGATATTATGGGGAGAAGTTTCACGGAGAATTTACATCGCTTCGGGGAGATAAAGTGTTCGTAAAGTTTAAAATGGCGAGGATGACCTTGCACAACCTAGCCGTACCCTCCCCCTCCAAGGTGAAATGGAAGCGAGGGAACGTCTACGAAAATCGTGTTTTTTGACGTCACTCTCTTGTAGGAAAATATATAATAACTTTTTATTGGTTAACCCCTTTTGCCGATTCTTTCTTGAATTCTGATTGGCTAGAGTTGGTAATTTATTTTCAAACTAATGAACAAAGTGGTGAAGAGAATGCTTCCCTGGTCAAATTTTCAGACAACAGCGATCTACGACGAGGTTTTCAAGGCAAGTTTGCGCGACTTTTGGGATAGGGACATTTTAAGAAGAACAGCAGAAAGCTATAGATATGTTTTTCGAAGGTAACGATGTCATTTAGATACTTACCAGATCTTCATTGAAAAAGATAGGGAGCCATTCGTTATATGTTATGTGCTGTAACTTAGCGATCACAATTTTTCGAGCCTCTTGGAATAGCCTCTCATCTTGCCATGATGGATTAAGAACATGAAGATAGTTTGCGATACGATTGTGTTCGCGAGCCCATATTGTGTGCATGGCCACCAATGCTGTAAACAATTCATGGAGATTTGCCATTTTTTAAAGTAAATATTGGAAAGGCACAGAAAGAAAAGTTAACATTGATGACAAAGAATAGGCTTTCCCAACAATGTCGTGTTTTTTTGGGGACAGCAAGTAATCTGTTCAGCTTAGGAACAGTTCATTATTTATCACCTGAGTGGGGTCGGAGGAATTTTATTGTGTCACGATAAAATTAACTTAATTCCCCCTCAAGGCTCTGTTATATCTTTATTATCCCAGCCTCTTGGCAGTCTCTTTTCTACAGTCCCCAGTTACACTCTGTTTGTGGTGACTGATTCCCCTCCTCTGTTCTCCTGAAAACCATTTGATTACCCAAACCCCCCCCCCCTTTGCAAGCTATAAATGTGAACATTTTTCTTCATCTATCATTCAAACAATCATTTACAGGGATATTCTAATGCAAGAGGAAATATGAACACACCTCGTAAAACGTGTAGTACCAATGCCCGCCAACTAGAAAAGCGATATTCGTTAAGAAGGAAATTTACGTTACCTGGGTTTTCATTTACTCTAGCATGGTCGCCAGCCAAGAAACAAGGCTTTTTCGTAGGATTATGAGACCTACAGAATGTCTGCGCCTCGGCTTTTGGCAGGAGAGGAGATTTGGCGGAGCTCAATGGGAATGAAGCGACTCGAAGAAGACCAAGGTTAGCTGTGCGGTCACGAAGGAGATCAGCTTCTCTTCTGTTTGCTCCATATATCTGGGATCCATCAATGAACGCTGACACCAAATTTACCTGAATATATTTAAAAGATAAGATTATTGAAATTTGGATAAATGTGACAACATTGGCTCGTTTTCTCTAATATCAGCTGTTGCCCTTAGTGTTTACAAATAGAAAGTATGAATTACAGCTAATTGTTAGAACAGTATTTTACTTTAATGAAAAAATTTTGTTAAAAAGAGGTACCCCAAAAAGGCAGGCAAAAATTAAAAATAAAATTTAATAGAATGTGCGAAACCAGCCTTCTATGTGTCTAGTTTCTACTTATGCGCCACAATAATGTATCCAGCGGTCTTCCACCAAACCGCTACATTCAAAATGGCGGTCGGCGGGATTATGTAACCACAGTAAAATTCAGTTGTGGACAAAGCATTCGAAAGACGCCGAGGAAGAGATCCTTTCGACGAAAATGTCTTTGCAGTAAGCCCGTGAAAGAACTTCTTGCATGGTCTCACTGAGTTGGCTACAAGTTGCGAGTTGAAGTTGTTGTTTTTTGTTTCGTAAATTTCGATATGGGACCCAAAACAGACAAATGGAAAAGTGCAGAATTTCCTTATTATCATACAACTGAGGTCTTAAATGTGGCCCTGTAGTTAAGGGATCCTGATCTGTTAAAAGTCGTATAGTCAAGAGGGGGAAACTTGGAAGTGTTTTTGCTAGCTATGTGGCGCCCACGCAAATATCGCAGTTAGTGAGCAAAGGGACGTAAAGGAAGAACACACGAGATCAAGGTAAGTTTGTTTTAACATTGGAATTTACGAAGTCGGGGATTTTCTGGTAGAAAATTGTACTACTATTCATGGAGAAACTTAACATGATCTTGCATCTACAAGGTAAAGGTCCCGGTTGTTCGAAGGGTGAATATTAATAACGCTATCCACTGGATAAATCTCTATCTGGTGGATAGCGGAGTACTTTTCCTTGACACTTAACCGCTGGATAACGATTTATCCGTAGGATAGCGCTATCTGCCCTTTAACCCTTTAACCTCTTAACTCCTATGAGTGACCAAGACAGAATTTCTCCTTACAATATCAATGCAATATCAACCAGATAAGTGATGAGAATAAAGAAATTATCAATTTAGGGGTAATTAGTTGATCCAATGCTAAATTCTCTGAACTAACATTATAAGAATTGTGTGGTTGACAGTAAGGAGAATGACAAATTTGATCTGGGAGTTAAAGGGTTAAACAACTGGACCCAAGACTTTAAATATCTTCATGCTGCCTCTAAAACGCTTCAGATAGTGATGATAATGCATCACACAAATAAATTTATGACTGGCTTTTAAATGTTTCTGCTTGGCTAGCTCAGTGTTGATCAGGATCTATTGTTGTTTGCCTTCCACTGAGAAACCAAGGAGAAACAGAACCGCTCCTTTTTCCACTTGAATTACAGATGAGGAACTGTTTTGACAAATGAGGCAAATGTTCCAGAAAACAATAAATACAGAAATTGCAACTGGACTGTGGTGTACAATTGTTTAATATTATAATGAGATGTAATGTGAAATAAAGTTAACTGAATTTAGTTGAAAACAGGGACTATAAAGTAATGGGCATCCAAAGGAATTTAGTCTTTACAATTTTATGCATGGAGTTTTTCATTAGTGGGTGAAAATTAAAGCTCAGCACTTGACAATTTTGACAAGAGAGTGAAATCAATGTTTGCATAAAAATGCAACTTTGGCAAAGAACTTTAGCAGCAGTGTTAACAACTGTAACAGTGAGAAAAAAAACTTGGAGATCATTGGGTACATGTAGTTACTACTTGCAACCCTATACTTGAGCTTTAGTCCAAAAATCTAACATAAAAACAATTTTCTCATGATCAAGTCAGAATTTACTTCTTTCATCTTAATCAGACTTTGGTGAGTTACTTGTAGTCTGAACCTCAGCTGTCATTCAGCAGATGCATGCTCATGGAATCTGAACGAACTCACACTGGGTCAGTCCAAGTTCAGGCAACATAATGGACAACATAATGCTTGGTCTTCTTAGATGATGATCTTTATCACAGAGGAAGATTAGGTATGTTCTTATCCTTAAGCTATATATATTTATTTGTGAAATTTAGTAATTTTGCTAAAAGTCCATGAATTTAGCTGACAAGAAAATAAACTTATTCTTGTTAAGTATAATATTGTTTACAAATGAACTAACATGCCATGATTATCAACAAAAAAAAACAATAAACACAAGAATGTAATCAAGAGAGTAGCAAAGGGCAATTTACTTCTCGATATGAGATTGATGGCCCATGTTTCTTTCACTGTTTCAGCCTTTTGAGCCGATTTTTCTTTTCATTTTATCTCATTATGTTTAATTATTGTCAGAGCTTAACATGTTTGATAGTATTAGGAAACAAGAATTATTTTGTTTATTGCTGTTGGGGAACCACCCTCTAGACCGACCTTTTTAAAGTGGTACGTATTTTAAACTTTCAAATGCAATGAAATGAGACTCGAGTTTGTCCATCACTAACCTGTTCGCCGTCTTGTATGGCTGACCGACGCAGTGGAATGCAAACTGCACTTCGGTTATCTTTCAATTCATTCCCCTTAAGTATGTCTATGCCGATGCATCCCTCGTCGTGTCCCCTGCAAGGGAGGCTGTTATTTCCACAATCAGCTGTGTTGTTTTCTTGGGTTAAAGTGATGTCATGATCTAAAAACTGGCCCCACGTCATTGTTACGTGAGTGAAATTCGGTGTCATGTTGTCGTCGTTGCCTGTCGAGCTGACGAACACAATCGTGCTGATGTTCCTTGCGTTCGGAAGTGACTCGTTGTTCGATCCGAGTGTTCGAGGTGCATACGTGCCGTCTTCGTAAGCTGGCGATAAAAGGCGGGCAAACGGTCTGAGGGCACTGCCTTTTGTAATGTTGCACAAGTTATTGCACGAGCCGTCATAAGTTCGGTAACGACGTCTGAAGCAGATTAACTGAACGGCCAAGGGCACTGGCTCACACTTTTCTGTTAGTATCGATTGGAGGACATCACGCGTGAACAAATTTCCAACAGATAAAGGGATCTTCCACATTACCATCAGCAAGATAAAACATAGCAGAGACCTGTGTCAAGTTTTTTAAATTAGTGCAAATTCAAAATTTTTCTATGTATAATTACGTTAGGATGAGCACAATCGCTTAAATATTTTAGACCACTTGCATTATTTAAATGGTTTTTTTTCTTAAATGGTTTTTAACTCTCGCCTGACTTTCCCATCGACTCAATACGAGGTTTATTTTTAAGACAATGTGCACCATTTATATTCAAGACATAACTCCCAAAAAGTTAGCTAGAGAAAGCCTTTTGTTCAAAATAAGTACTCTTGGCTAATCATAGGCACGTCTTAATAAACAAAAATTACTCTTATTTTTAACTTCTCCGTAAGTCTGGAAAACCAGACTTCTTTCTTGGATGAGTCTTGAGAAATAGAAAAAAAAAAGGAAAAATGAGATCTAAAAAGTTATTTGTGATTGAAAAGAAATATCAACATAATTAACTCAAAATAAAAAACTTAAATCTCTTTTTTTATGCGGCAAACGCTTTTTATGGCGGTGGTTTAGTCATAATGTCTCGATGGCAGACAGGAAAGTCTCTCACATTTCCGCTTCTCTAAACCGCCTATTTATAGAAATAATTTGATTTTATTGACTGAGTCGATAATGTAATTTGACCATCGTGAAGAGTTTCTAAAGCTGATGTTTCGAGTGCAAGCCCTTCGTCAAAATCAATTATCTCGCAATACCCCTACCTACGCAGCACCACAGTTTTATTTATTTACTTTTTTTTTCAGAAACCTACCCCTTTATTCATCTGTTTGATGAAATGTAAAGCTAGTTATTTAGTTTGCTCGGTAAAAAGCACTTGAGCGGCTATGAAGAAGGCTTAGAACTTGAGTTAATTGCAGATACAAGGGGTTTTCTTCGGTGTCTTTCACTTCAACGGCTTTCATTCCGACAAGATTATCAACAAACTACGGAGGTCACGCGTCTTAATTTATACATTACTCAGACTTTACATACGTACATCCGCGAATGAGACCTCATCATCCGCCTTGTCTTTTCGGTTCCACCCACCATCTGACATTAACTGGAGAGATTCGTGGGAGAAGCAGAGAGCTCACAGCACCAGATAGACCCAATCTACGATTTGAGGTCACGGTAGCTCTTGTTCTCATACGTTGTATATAGCTTCACCATTTAAAGTCCATGGGAAATTCTGGAAAGTCATTGGCTTGCGCGTTTACGTTTATGCGCTAATGATTTCCCCCTCATTTCCTAACAATTTATGACCTTAAAGTGGTAATTTTGCTTCAACAAAAACTTATATTTGCATCGTCTTTCTCTTGAAAGCTGTTTATGATTTATTCACGTCGCCATTTAGACAATAAATAATATTGAGATGAAGTATCATCCTCGTCGGAGCTGACCACACCGTGAGACAAACTATTCTACTTCGCTGCAAGTGTGTTCACAACGATTAACGATTTTTTGCGATAGTATAATGAATAATACGGTAACTTTTGGCACTATTGTAGATTTTACTTCAAAAATCATTGCTACTTCTTTTAGAGAACTCGGCTAGAAAATTGAAAGGTGACACTCCATGCAGTATTTGAATTTTTGAGTGCCTTCGGCAACGCTTGCGTTGTTTTTCCGTGATTCATTCAATTTAGTCTCCAACCACTATATAGTTCGTTATTTGTTTTTTTCTTTTTGTCTTTGATGAATGTGTCGAGGGGGTAAAGAGGAAACGCACAACTCGGTGTTATGTTTATTTGAGGCCAATTCATTGTTGCAAAGGGCCGGTAAGGAGCTTAGTCGACTCTTTATCTTTTGCATTTGTTTTTGTTCTTCTGCTCTTTCTGTTTGTTACTCTTCTATTTCGCTGATTAGTTCTTCCGTTTTTTTTTTTCGTCCTTTCGGTCCGTGCGTCCCTGTTACCTTTCTTTGTTATCTTACTATTTCACCCTTTTGATCTTTTGTTTTTTACTCTACTTCCACTCGTTTTGCTTCTCTAATTTTCGTGCCTCAATGGTCTTTTGTCCTTTTCCTAGTTGTTCGTTGGGCCGGTTCTTTTTTCGAGTTAGTTGTATTTTAATGCTGAAAAAGAATGCCTTGGTACAGGTATAGAAAAGACATAATTTCTCGTGTCTTCTTAGATGTTACGGAATTCTTTCGAATAACACTCCTTGCACAAGTAAAAATCCATGCAAGAAAGCTTTTAAGGTGTCACTGTGTTTTTGATTGCAACGTCAGCATTCTCTGTTACTTGAAAGTCCTCGGAAAACGTAACAAACTGCGCCCATGGCCTAAATTCTTGACACAAAACTCTAAGGCACAGGCCAAAATGATATCGCCAACAACAAACACTTACATACCTCATTAATGCCATCATGTTGAGTTTCCTCTTCGCTTTTTTGTTAAGTTACACCTTTGTAGAAAAAAAAGACAGAACAAAATTGACAAATATTTCAGTTTGACCTCACATAAACGTAAAAATGTTTGAGAACTACTTCAGGAACATTTATGAAACATAGTATTAACTATTGCTTATCTAACTCTCGAACAAGTGTCAAAAATTATTATAAGTTTTTTCAACCCACCATTGGCACCTAGGAAGGTTTTTTTTTTTTTTCAACTCATTTCATATATAAAAAACCTCACTATGATAAAAGTGGGCTTAAGTTTCTTGTATTATACCGAGGTGGAAAGAAAAGTGAGAAAGAAGCCGTTTTCGGCTACCTAGACTCAAGATTAACACGTTACCTTCGCTAAGAAAGCTTGATGGTATTGCCAAGTAGAGCAAGATCAAGCTCACATAAGCTCATGCTTATTCCTGACAACGAACGATAATATTGTTCACTTCGCTGATATTGTTCAATATTAGAAATAATTTATTATATTATGATAAATTATTTCAAATATTGAACAATATCAGCGAAGTGATATTTCCCCCATGCTCCGTTGCACATATAAAAGTCCGTACGGCTTAAGCACTAAATATTAAAACGAAAACTGAAGCAACTTTATTTAACTTGCGTTTTCCTAACTGGGAAAAACGAATATGAGGTCCTACATCTTTTAAAGAGCACAATCCCAGTTCGATATTTGTTACGATACATTGTGATTTCATGAATTGTTACGTAGAAGACTGCTTGTATGCACCGTTGAAATCGCTTAACTACTCGTACGTGCTCATGAAGGAAAGATGAAAATTCGCAATATTTTTAAGGGTAGTGTGGTACGATTATAGTAGACAAGTCCAGTTGTTAACTTAACTTCCTACCATGCCTCTGAAACTTGCACAATGCATGTTTTGTTTTCAAAACAAATGTATTTTTGGAAGATCCAGGAAATATTGATTTCAGAATCAATAACATTCGATGTTTGATTCGATTGTTTTAAAGTGACTCGTAAAAAAACAAAAAAAACCACATGAGAGGATTGGTTCGGCATCTGATGCGCGTAACGAAGAATTAGAAGAGACGATGTTTATTTACAGGCTATTTTTTTTGGTAAAAACTCAAACTTTGATGCTTGTGATTGAAACATGATGATAAACGTGTACTTGCCCGACCTTTTTATTTACATTTATTGTTCGTTAGTGGCTGCTAAGTGGAATACCAAATATCTTGCAAATTGGACATAATAATTTGATTTACAGTCCTTCTTATTTTGACCAGTCTGGTTTTTTCGTCAACATAAAACTTTACGCAAGATATTTTAAGATTTTTTTACCATGATAAACGAATTAAGCATTTTTCTCTTAGCGACCAACGTGGATGGAAAATTCTTAAGACCTTCCTCTTTCGCATTTTTGCCCAAGGTTCCCATGCCAATACTGAAGTAAACTGCTTTTTCGTAGAATCTATAAGATTTGCGTTTTAATCTTTACTATAACTGCCACAAACAGGACAAAAAAGACTATATAATGCCCTAGAAAAAAAGCTTGACCCTCAAGATCAAGGATTTACTTTGTTAAGGACACAATCGCGAGCGCTTTCTAACTTAAGTTTCCGCAACTGTAGATAAGTTGTTTGTTATAAATATTAGCCAGTATTTTGTTATAGTGGACGCCGTGATTGCAAAGTGCCAGAAAAAGAGGTGTCAATACAGGACACGTGTTTTGAACATTTTGAGCGTGATTTCAGGCCGTTTATATTGGACTAAATTTGTGCTAGGTCGTTTAGGAAACAATCATGCATTGTAACTGGCGGACCATTATAAGACATTTCTTAGCATCTCGTATACAATAGGGGCCACTGTAAGTTATCTTGACGTCTTGAATAAAACACGCCCCGTGAGGTGTGCGTTTGACTAAGTAGTAATAGTGCGAAGCGTGGATGCGACGTTGCTTTTCCATAAAAATACATATTGACGCTCTTAAAATCGCGTTTGGCGCCACGCATCCCGTCGTTTTGTTCACCCACCATTCGCCGCGCGTCCCGACGTGTCCAGTGGCACCACCCTTCGATGTCGCCACCCCAAATATGGCGATCTTTCTGAGGGTGTTAGAGATTTAATTCAGTGCCATACGTAGTCTTCAGTTGAATAGAGTTGGAAATGTTTTGTTTACATATGTTTACAGAGTTTACTTGCATGCATTTGTTTCTTGATTTGGACTAGTTAACACCGAACAAGATTGTATTTTCATATGTTAAGTCCGTGAATTTTCTATGAGCATGCGATTTTTGGTAAAGATGTTGTTAACGCTGAGCGGGTCGACCCTCGCCCTTCTTAGTTTACGAATTTGATCACACCACAGCTCAGTGAATTTGGAAAACGCGTTCAAAGCTTTTAAACTTATGTCAGTGAGCCTCTTTGATGTTGAGTGGCCAAAAATTAGATTCTGGCCGAGCTCTTAGCCCATCTGGAGGTTTCCCAGACCCTCTTCATCCTCTTTCATCATTACCGTTCTTCGCTGAGATTTTAAGAATGAGAACAATGAAACCCTCTTAAAAAATGATCAATGTGAGGTAAATTTAGTCGGAGAGTTTCTTGTCTCATCCTAGAGATTTTTAAGTAAAACTTTTAAAATAGATAGCACCTTATATGGTAGAAGGAAATGGAACACGTAACTGAAGTCTCAGAAAAAAGTTTTGTGGACAAGCGAGACGTTTGAGTGGCTCAGTCACTTTTCATTGCTGATGGAGATTTATGATGTTTTGATTCACTACGATCAATTTAGCTCCATTTGAAGTGAAAATTTGCCTTCACGGTCGTAAAGCGAAGAGAGTCGTGTTTTTGATATTCTGGTAACAGAATGTTGGTGAGTTTGGAATCGGTAGTTATTTCACCCTGCGCGAAAATGCCTGGACCATAGGCTTACACTTAAATACCACGCTTGGATATAATTCTCTTTCAAGCTCATTCGATTGAGATTTTCTATTACTCATATTTTTGATAATTCCTTGCATGAAAATATGTCAAATGGCCATCGAACAACACAAGTGAGTGAAAGTTTTTTGGCACAGTTTCGTACAGAAATAAGAGGAAGCAAGTTTTCCACATGCACTTTTCAAAGGTCAAAAATGGATGCAAATTTCTTCTCGAATTCACGGAGAATTAAATGATTGTAATCCCTGGAAAAATATCGCTTCCAAAATTGCAATAACATCAGACACGAAGAGGTTGCATGTGTCCTTTAAGATCACAAGGGACCTGTGGCAGGCTTTTATTGAATTATTAAGAAACACGTATAATTATCAAAACTTCGATAAACTGAGCAAAGTAAGAATGACTTGTAATCTCCTCCATTGCCCAAGAAAACTTTCTATAATTTGCTATATGGTCATTTAGTAATGCGCTAAAATTCAGTCTCACCGAATTCCCTGGCCAAAGTAGTAGTCATTGTGGTTCTAGTTTTGCGACATTTAACAAGTGGGCCTTTTAACCGAAAAATTCGAGGTATCAATAACACAAACCAAACTGTTATTATTATTTCGTGTGTGATCTGTCGACTAAAGATTTGTTTGAGTCTTCTCAGTGGCCTTCAAAGAAGCAATATTGAAATAAAAAATGGAATACGAAGGCTAAATGTACTCGATAAAATTTAATGTACGTTGAACTGTAACAGACTTTGTACTGTCAAAGGAAGACAAAAAAGTTTCCTGCAACTAGGGTTACTCTTTAACGTGTTGCGAGCATGAAGTTATACCTTCCTAACAAAATTTAAGTAGAGCATTATAAACAAAACTCACAGACTTCAATTCTGCAAATTTAAGCAGAGCATAATTGTGACGCTTTACCTAATCGCTCCTTAAGCTTTCCCAAAAACGAACCCTGACGTTACTCTCAGTAATATTAAATGATAGTTGAGGATCACCTCCAAATGACTCCAGCGCAAATGTGATCTAAAGGTGAACTTTTCTTGACTGAACACACATACTTGTAGCGAGCCAACAAATATCATTCCGATGGCTTTTTCGCAGTTATCGCAATTGCAGGTGATTTATCGTATATATGGTACACACATCTAGTTTTCAACGGATAGCAAAGCGTTTGCTTCTACCTTCATTTAACAATATAGTTCATCTTGGAAAATCTCCTTACGTCTGGGTGACTCTAAGCATGTATGGCCAGAGTTTTATCCCTCAACACTCATTCGATTATCTTTTAAACTATAAATGAATCGCCCTGTTCCACCTAAACGAATTCTGTGATTCAATGGCTATGGAATAACAGATAATAAACCTTACCATGTGGCTTTTTGGCCACAGGGTAAGGATTAGATCATTCACTGAAAGAATGATTGATTTTCACAGAGTTTTGAAAGTCTTTTCTCGCCAATCGATACCTGAATCTTCTCTTCATCCTATTACCCTATCAATTCCTTCTCCAACTAAATCCTTCATAGATTAAAACTTTTGAAAACTGAAATGCATAGGAACGATGAAGCCGACTGGAAAAAAAAAGTATGTCCGTGGGCGATTAGTTCCAAATAAACTCTGCTCGAAGCACAGCACAAAGCACAGTCGATGCTAACCTTATATTGTTGATTCATTTACTATTATAAACTGTTGCAATAAAGTTTTACCTTCCTTGCTTAACATCCAATGGCTAGAAGCACTCCAACACTCTTTCAAGCTCAGCAACATCATTGTTTGTACGTTTAGAATGTTTCGATGGTATGGAAGATACTCGTAGAGTTAAGCTTTGGAGTTAAATTCGAGAAACAGCAATAAGGTTTAAGCATGTGGTCGCTCGTGACGTCAGAATGTGTCTCGCGACTGGCCACCATTCCGTTAAAAAACTGGGTATGTCGGAAGTCTGCGGCTAAAAGACCTTTTAGTGCGATACGCCCCTCAGGAAGTTTAAATTGGCTTTTTGGAAAGACTTCTATTCATGTGCACTTTATGATGGTAATAGTTTACGTCAATTCACAAATTTGTTTGCGTACTGTCTAAAATTTATTGGTGGGTATCAAAAGTGGAGATGAAATCGCTGAAGTACGTACTTTGGGGTTGTAACGTAGTTAGTTAGATACCATCAGACTTGTCCGCTCAGAAGGTGGTGATTCACTGATTACTTTTGCTCATTCCAATCCAAGAAAAAACACGTTAGCTGCGCTGCGTTATAGAGAAGAGCGAAGAAACGCACTATTTACGCCCACACGGTGGTTATCTTCGTCAATTTTTGTGACGGTTTTTTCGACGTAATATCGTTTGCGGTAGATAAAATGTTTCAAGAGAACTAGTGTTTATTTTTTGCTTTGAAAAAGAGTTGTTTAGCAACGTTTTGTCTCATCCAGTGTCAGCAAACCTGTGTGGGAAAAAACTTCTGAGTAGCTCGTGTACTCCCTATAAACTAGACTAAAAGTTTCATCGAACGCGTTGCTTGATCGAGTGCCAAGGTAAGCATTTCAGTTGAATCAAGTTGAATCAATTTCATTTGTGAATTATCCTGAATTCTGTCTTACTTGTAACAAATTGGAAGCCCCAAGAAAAATTCTTTTGTCGCCATACTGAAAGTCCAGTAATATTTCACTTTTGGTTAACAAATGGTAACATTGGCCAGATCAATCAGTTTTCTTAAACGTGTGTGTCGTTTGAGATATACTAGCTAATTTTCAGATTAAATAACTTCAGATTTTTCTTCAACATGCAGGTGAAAATGTATGTTAAGATACATTATCGCAAAAAAAAACGATATAGGTTCTCTCTGTATTGTATGTTTCCCGTCTACGTTGACGTTGTTCAGCACTTTTTCTGATCAATCAAGACTGACTTAGCTCACTATTTATGTCTTTAGTTGTCGTTTTTTAAATTAAATGGTGTGATTTTTCTCTTTTAATTAAAGAAAACCACCATTCTGACTTCCTTGCCAGGCTTTGTAAACTTTTGTGGTCATGCAACTGTTCAAATATCCGTTTGAGGGCAATACGTGATTGTGCAAGAGCAATAAGCAATATTGTAATCAGATCGTAACTTGCTCTTCCCTCGATGTTATTAGAAAATTGCTTTGAATTAATTGGTAATGCGTGTTTTTTCTCCTTTGTCAAAATCTAATTGGGTCTAAAGTTACAAACCAATTAAGTTTTTTTTTGACATATGGGAAACAGGCAACCTTGTAGTGAAGCAATTCGTCTCCAATGTTTTGACCTCCATGTTATTCAGTTCCTATGGTTTCTTTTCAAACACCACCCACTGCATATTTCACTCGATATTTTATTAGAATTGTTGTATTAACTTTTATATTTTTCCCTTGAGAAAAATAATGTGAAAATACGCGAGTTTGTATTGTGTTTCAGAAAACCAATTAATCCAACATATGAAGATATTTGGAATAAAACTAACAAAAAGAATCTCGTATTGACTTGGAATGCATCCTAATGGTTGATGGAGCTCGTATTGTTCCGGTTGTACCTACTTTTCTTAGACTGCTTTACATTACAATAGTTTCTCGAGGAGTTCGGGTAGCTCTGAACTTGCAGTCTTTTTCAAACCTCTTCCAACCCAAGAGAAATATGAAAAATGGGGTTGGCGAACCCGTCTGTGAGTTGCAGGCACATACGGCCAAAATTAAGGGTGTTTCTTTTCATGATAACTTTATAGGTCAAAAACTGGCCACGACTTCTTGAAGAAACAACAGGGTATAATAAGGAACTGGGGGCATCTTTCCAACAAAGTATTGGTGGTGAAAAATGTAAAGAAAGCATTTAAGCTACCTCAAATAGATTATGCTTGTTTTCTTTTGAGAGTTGTGGATCAAATGGAACTGAAAAAGAAAAGTTAACGAAAGGAAGTCATATGATAACAACGATACAAATATGGAGTTAAGAAGGGCTTGCTTGTGGACAGAATTACAAACATTCCTTAGAAAACCGATTGTCGTGAATAGTGAGGCGCACAAAATTAACGATTTCATGTAGAGCTGATTTTTTTTAGTCCCATAGAAATTAGATTGTGTAAAATATGTGTTTGTTAATTGTAGTTGTGAATGATAATGAGCAATGAACTGTCGGTATCACAGTTTGCAGTCACCATTTATTGTAGAGTTCAACTATCTATAGTACTGGCCTTCATCAGACAATGATTATGAGTTTGAATAATAACGGGTCGTCTTTTCGCTTTTTATGTTTCGGAATGGTTAGCTGCCGCCTCAATGGATTAGTTCTCAGTCATACATCAGTATTTAAGCAGTATTTAGTTTTAGATGCTGAATGTATGACTGACAATCAGTGTTTATCGGACCTTTTCTACCGTCTGATTAGTTCCTGATAACTTAAAAAAGATCACTCTTTCCCTCTCACCAAGGATGCTTTTCAAAACATTTTCGTAACAGGTTTACAAGCATGTGAGGATGCCTAGACAATAGTAGACATACACGAAGATGCCTCTTCATCTAGATCGTTGTCTTCATGGCGTTCAAAATGTGTGATCTGTTCAGTCGTGCTTTCATCAAAGCTAAAAATAACGAGTTAACAATATTGTACCTTAAGCGGTCAGATGTGTCAGAACATAACCACGCAAAGTATATTTGGGTTTTTTGAAACTGTTCCAAGGCCGGATATTGTAACGGGATAACTTTTAACATATTCAGTTATACTCAGTGGAGTAAACCTCCGAAATTCCACTCCTCCGTTTAATTAAACCAAATCTTATTTGTCGCTTATAGTCGAAAGCTTTGGCCCAAACTTGTTTCGAAAACTTAAAACGATTTAAATTGAGACCTAAAGCTTTTTTAGAATAATTTTTGTGACCACTTCCGCTCGAATTCAAAGCAAATTTAACATTGATACTCCGTAAGAAATAGATTGCCTTAGTGTCAAGGCCCTTGAAGTTAAACGATGCACTGAAAGGAAATATTGCATTTCTGATAACCGTTGAGCAAAACGAAGAGGGTGATATTGCTTTCCCACTGTTTGGAATTTTCTGGTTGATCTTAGACACTCAAGTCTATCGATGATGATTTGTAGTGTTGTTCGTGTATTTGTAAGCCAAACCCTCCAGCTTGAAAAAAGTGGACCTTTTTAGTGATTTTATACCTTTGATACTGAATTAAATAGTCTTAAAACAGTCATCTTATGTCTTTGCAGTAACATAAAGAAACAATCTAGCCATAGATCAACGTTCAGAGTACGGCTGTTAGGTTTTTCTCATGCACTCCCGTTAATTACTGATGGGAAGCTTGCAGGGAAGGGTTCAAGTGATAAAAAAAACAATTCATTTGATCACCCAGCCTAAGTTTCGCGTACGTTTTCCTGTATTTGTTTATTTAGCTTCAGCAAATGTTAGCGTTAAAAAAAAGCGAACCAATCCTGGGACGATTTATAATGCAAAACATGTTACCTTTTTGCTGTCTTCAGTATTTTTATTAATGATGAGTAAACTTTATCGACGCGTCTGCATTTAAGATCCGCAACGTCTCTTTCTTTTGATGTCTCCTCTTTCCCCAACATTTTATGGCCTTTTGCCTTTAATTTTACCTTATTTTTGACTTATATTTGCATCATTTTTCTTTCAAATGCTTACTTCGGTTTATGTACGTCACTGTTCGGAAAAGAAATGGTAGATTTTACTCCATTACAAATAGTCTTGAATATTTACGCACTGTTCAGTGCAGTTGTTTGAAACAATGTCGAATAACATTGTCCTGAATAAAATGTCGCTTAATCATCTTTGCGAAGCAGCTCTTTTAAAGTCCTGAAAAAACAGTTGGAAACTTTAAAATCGGTTTAGTTTGAATATGTCTCATGCAGTCGTGTTCTTGATTAGTCTGTATATCTTTACATCATAAGCTTCATCTTCCATGTACACTTCTGGTTAAAGAAAAGAACAAATAGTACTTTAATTTGATAACTGTAAACATACAAACGTAATCTTAGGCCAAGTACGCCAACTCTTTCCCATTCCCGGTGGCGCAGCTAATAGAGTATGACACCGCGAGATCGGAGCAAAGTGTGGTTAGAATCCGTGGGAAGGAATCACACTTTTTATGGTTTCATGCCAGTGGCAAATGTTTAAGATATTTCTTTAGTTATGGAAATGGGTTCTTAGCCCACATTTGAACAAGACAGCGAAGTCAAGTAGAACTAAAACAATCCTGCATCACTTTTGGGTAATTTGACCGAAAATCGCTATATAGGCTGGTGATGGGCATGATTATATGACGTTCATTGAAAAGGGGAAGGTTTCGCCTACTCTTCATGTATCGTTAACCAACACTTTTCCACTCACCTTTTGAAACAAGCATTTCTCAGGCTTGAATAGTAGTTAACTGATATAATCTCTTTTCTCAAAAAGTGCATGAAGTGTACAGGTTGATATTTACTTACATACAACACTGGCTAAACAAAGTCTTGGTCCCAGATAGGTGCAAGAGTAGAGGAATCGACTACGCATTTGCGATTAATAGGTTGTAGATGATACAGAGAACAGATATCTTCAGGGGAAACATAAATTCATTTCTCGTTATCTTTAAAAAACCAACCACGATGGTTTGTGTCATCAAACTATGTTTGCATTCCCTGTTTTGGAACGTAACAGTTTATGAACAGCCAAGGGAAGCTATAAGTGGACAAACAACCAGTTAGTGGCTGTTGAAATAGCCATAAGGGCATTCAAGAAATTAAAAAATCGTTGGTAAGTAATTGGAAAATAATGATAAATTAAAAAATGATCTGTGAGAAAGAATGAAATTAATACCTTTGCCTTCAAAGAGTGACACTTTTTAGTTAGAATCCAAGCCAAATCAGTGATGTGAATCTTTTAGGTGGTAGGTTTGCTGTGGTAGTTTACGATAAATGGTCTAACTTCCTTACGTATTGCGCATTAATGCCTGCTGACAATTATGTAATAAATAACAGAGAAATCCAGAATTTAGGATTTTTAACGTTAAAAGACTGTAGTCACTGTTGTATTTAAAGAATGCGGTAGTTTTTGCTCAATTTATTTGGCTTCCGGTGCGTGACGAGGCAGGTCTACTCAATGGAAAAGTAATACTTGTGGTGCTAGCGTCATGGGATTACCTGCCAAATGTTGATGCCGTTTGCCCAAAGAAAGTATTGAAGTGTTCGCATTCTTTGGATGCTCATAGTTTTGTTTCGGAAAAAGGGACGCAATACTGCATTTATCAGCACTCACAATCTCGTCATCGAAGAATACCTTTGTCTACTTGTATTTGTTTGACATCTATTTCTGCTACTGACTTCATTTCATTTAGGACCAATTCTTGGATAAATGCACAAAATATCTTGCAATTAACCTTTGCTACAAAAAAACTCAAGAAATGTAATCAGCTTACTTGTAGAAACCGGTATTTGGAAAAGAAATGTTTCCCTAGAAGCAAACGTAGTATTTACTTCTTGCAGTAAAGTTGAAATACTAATTAAAAACTCCACAATCTTGCCATCTGTTACAATCTGAACTATTTTGACGAAAGTATTCATATGATATTACGCAAACAATTATGGATAAATCTTTGCAAAATGCAAATTTTGAACCGGCCCCTGTTCCCCTCATCAGTCATACGAATTTCTTCAATTTTTCCTCCCTGCGATATGTGATATGAAATACGATAAATCTGAAGAGTCACTGTAACACGGCTAAGGTGAGAAAGTGAATGGGACAATGTTTATTTCGCAAAGTTGAAAATTTAAGGTCTTTCAAAAGACGTTAACAGTGAGTAGTTTGATACACGTCATGCTGCACAGCCACCAAGTATTTCACTAACTTTTTAAGCCGTCGACATCATTGTTCACGAAAAGTACTCGCAATTTGGCAGTGAACCGTTTACCTTCTACCTTTCAATTTTTTTGTTTTAACAGTCAAGTAATCTGTATTGTCTTTGCATGGTTAATATCCAAAACATAATGAAACCATCGCTTCAAAATTATACGTTACGAGCAAAGTTCACCTTCACATAACATCGAAAGATACTATTGACGTCGTATGCTGATAAATTTTTTCGGTGTCAGCTGAACTTTGCCAAATTTAGCTGTTTTCCTTTTAAATACCTCATGAGATATCAATTGACGTGAGTTCACGACTCACCCGAAATCAATACGCGAGCAATATTTGCTTTTGCATTGACGTACTTTGTTTTCTAAATGGTCACGAAGAAAACCTGCTTTTGGGCAAATGTATTTCATCTTTACCCGAACGCGCGGGAGACGAAAACTCTAGCCAAATGGTTGAACGCCAATTTAAGGGTGGCTTTAGTTCGTAATGAGACTTAATTAGATAATGAGACAATGTATTTAATTATCAGTGTTCTTGACGAATGAGTTGCATCTTTAGCCCCCCAATCCACGGGAAGTTTCCCAACAAAAGGAACCGTTGTCGAAAAGGTCGATGAAAAGTGGCTCATCTGAGAGCTTCTATAATGAAGAAACCGTCAGAAACATCTTTATTCCAGTAGCAAAATAAGGAAAAGTTCGAAGCGCTATCGCTCAAGGTGTCCCTGGTCATTTCGCCTTCAACATTAATTCCTAACTAGACTTAAGTCACACAGTGCCTCGATAAAATTAACTTTGAAAATATTTTATTGATTATCGAAGACTCTGCAATAATTTGCCAGTGTCTGAACGTACTTACAAGAATAAGGAATAAATGGGAAATCTCGAAAACCAACTTTGCCGTCGAATGTTCAAACCTTCTTTCATTGTGCCTTTTTACTTCTTAGATCTAAATACTAATTCTCCTTAAATTTCCCTTTCCGTCATTGGTAAGGACTCGACTTAGTCTTAAACCAGACTATTACCTGATATCTTCGTTGGTCTCATCACCTGTCTGTGGCGTAATGGTGATATTTTTAGCTAAAATTATTAATAGTTGACTAAAGGGAATGAAAAGGTTCAACACACTCAAGGAAAATTTGTTTCAATGCGCCATGAAAAGACATGACCCTAAGATTTAAGTTGTAACAGAGACCGCCCCCGTGGACATTGCGTCATCTGGCCCCATCACCTGGCCCTCTTTTATGGACTCAGTGCAAGCTTCGCATTCTGCTGATGGATTTTCATCCTCCATTCCCGGATCTAGAGAAAGGAAACAAAACAAGTGGGAACGAATGATTAATTTTCTTCTCCTATCTTGATTTGTGTTGTTTTCCATCTTGTATTATATCTGTTCAACCGTTAATTATGTGAAGTTCTCTTTTTTTTTCAACGAACTTCTTGGAACTTTGTGGAAACAGTTTGCGAACCAGTTTATTTCAGCACATGTTAGATGGCCCTGTGCACTGAGAATTTCGAAACAAACAAGTGTTATGCTCAAGTGGGAGTGCTTTTTTTGGCTAAAATTTGCACTCTTAAGACAATCATCAATGTAGCGTCGAAAGTAATGCGCTATTGCATTGGCTTAGCTTTACTTCGCTCTTTTATTGGCTCAAAAAATTCTCTCCAGACCCGCTCTAAGAAACAGATGCTAAACTAAATCCGATCGTGAAAAAGTTTATTTGTCGCTTCTTTGAATTTTCATTGGCTCCTTGTGATATTTCTATGCTCTGATTGGCTGGCCGCTGTGATTACATCAGTTTCGATTTATAGACACTCTAACTTATCTTTACCTTACGAACGGGATGGTGACCACTTTTTGGCAGATAGATTAGTTCATCAAGGTACGCCGAAGTTTAAATGTCGCTTATTGAGAAAAAAAATTTGCTACTAAATGAGTTATATTTACCACTTAACAGGCATCTGGGTGTCGTATCTGAATGCATTTGGTAGTGTTACCTGCGAACTTTTTTTTCATCTAAAATTTCACATCAACTCGGATTGGAGGAGATAAATGCCTGAATAAAACGGATTATTTTAAGAGGTATGCATAACCTGCGGCCACTTACCCTCTCTCCACAAGTTCAAGTTGATGGATGGAATGTCATCACAGTGAACCTTTACTGTGCTGCTTTCAAATACACGCCTTTGAAGTTCCTTCACAGTATCTGAATTATCACAGATGATTCTTGCAAGGGAACTACCTCTTCTGATAGAGTCCAGTTGCCTGCTTGTGAATCCTGTGTAAGAATCACGTCTTTCGTACCAGAAACGATCTCCAAATCGGTATCTTTTGAAACTTCGAGCAATCAGACAAGAGAACGTTTCCCCAAATATAGACCCTTTCTGTGGCCTCTCGCTGACTCCTCCCACATACAAGTCTATGTCTGCAGGATGGTCATAAGACTCTTTAATCTTACCCAGTTGCACGGGGTCAATGTTGGTTAGTTGTGAAAAATCTGTGACAAGGCCACCGGTTAAGTTTTTATCCAAGTCACAAGCTCGTCTGAATTCTATGTAAGGTGGTAGGGCGTGGTCACGACCACGTTGGATGTTGATTGCCATAAGGTCTCCCACAAAACCCTCGATGGTTGGTCCTTCTATTACGAGACTTTCGCGTACTGCTTCCACGAAGTTCCTACGTGAGGAAACAAAGCAATAACTGTTTTATAAGGAATTTGGTTTAAGGAGTTTAAACTGACGTGGTACATCCCCACGATTCGTTCACTGAGTCCAAGAGGTGTTTGGATTTGAGGTATCGGTTTAGTGGAGGTTAAAAAATAAATTGGAAAGTACAGTGAAAAACCTATAGAGCAAGAAATGGAACCAATAGGTGAGGTACTGTAATCGAACTTGAGTTTTAGATCCCACTCCCTTCTCCATGGGAAGTATTATTAAGTCGTGTGATTGATGGATAAAGATCTCCTGATATATGTTGGACAAGACAACGTATGCTGGTTGAAGGACCCGAAGACAACGATATGGAAGCTGAATTTAGAGCAAAGACAATCAATTTTCTTTTAAGGGAACGTGACTGCTGTTGTTGTGGTTTGGCCTTTGTTCCGAAATTTGGGGCATCTACAAAAATTTCCTTCAAAGAATTGTAAACTTTTTAATGCAATCTGGCCAAAGTCCCTTGCAAAGTGTTGTAAAGATCCATGAGCTATAGGATATGGCGCCATAGATATCCTTTATCGTTAGTATTATCATTATTATGAATCCTTACCTATCAAACTTCTGCGATGGTTCTTTTATTAACCCTAGAGAAATTCCGTCGATACCGTTGTTCCTTAAAGTGTAAAGTGGGTCAGGATTGAAAAATGTTGTGGTATTGATCTCTCCCAGTCGTACAAATGCTTTACTGAACTGTCCAAACGTCTGTCGGATCAAGGAGTGACCCATCCTGAGAGCCGCTGCTGCAAATGCGTTTAAGGTTGTCGCTCTCACATTTGGGTCGTAACCGCTGAAGAACCGGCCAGATGACTCCAGTAAAATGCCCTCGTCGTTTCTCTTTTGGTAACATAATAAATATAATAAACGATGAGATGAATAATAGATTATTAAAACTTCAAATGTAACTTTTGCACTATGAATTGTATTATTATTGACCGTTTTTCGTGATATTGTGTGTACTAACACTTGTTCAAAGGAGGTGTGGTTATCCCAGTCAATACATGTCTAAGTTAATTTACGAGATGAGGATAAGAGTTGATGACTTGGAAAATTTAAATAACCTGGATGACAGGCAGAATATTAAGAATTTAGTTCCAACTAAATCAGCTCCAAGCACAATAGCGCCCACGTTGCTTTTATCCTAATCAAGTATTGGAGTCAACTGCTCGCCCTGACCTATACAGCAGTAAGGTTCTACGCGTTAGAACAGAGCGTAATTCAATCCACAGTGAATATGTGTAGATAATTGTTGCAACAGAATGTTATTTCAAATTGGTACTTTATGGTTTCTTCTCAGTGCATTTTGTGAAGAACGACGTTGAAATGATGCAGACGAGGCCAGGAGGTGAGCCGATGTACTCTTGCAGTAACACTGGAAGCATAAGGGGGACGTAGTAGTCTGATAGCTTATTTATTGGCTTCGCAACTCACTATCTATTCTTTGATAGGTAGTGAGTAAACTAAATAGTCTATCATTGACTATCAATAAAAACATGCGCCTTCCTTGTTGTTAAGTTGTGAACGACAAGTAGTTTTATGCCAAAACAATTAAACCATTCGTTCTCGATTTCCATAAATAATCACGCGATTGAAACTCGAGCTCTTAATCGAATTGTCCAGTAGAACATTTTGGATAAATCAATAATAATAATTAGAGTTCTTAAAAACCGCATTCTACATATAAATGTCTCGATGCTTTTTACAACTAAAAAAAAGAGCTCTCATGAAACAGGTACGTTTCCAACGCCTTTTTAAAACTATCAACAGTAAATTTGTCTAATGGCAAGCGGTAGCTGATTCCATAACTTCGGAACACTTGCCTCAAAAGATCTATCTCCGTTAGTAACTGTAGTAGTCTTAGGGGTAGTCTTAAGGATAACTAGAAGGTTGGAATCTCTAGAAAGAAAGAGAGCGACAGGGAGTGTAATGATGAAACAGTTCATTAATATACACCGGGGCAAGGCCATTAAAAGATATGTACGTAATCGAAAGTAACTTAAAAATTATTCTGTCATTAACAGGAAGCCAGTGCAAAAATTTTTAAAACAGGAGTAATGTGATCAGTCCTCTTCATGCACACAGTTAATCTTGCCGCGGTATTCTGTAATCTCTGAAGTTTCTCAATTTCACTGGAGGGAATTCCATAGAGCAAACCATTACAATAATCCAATTTCGATAAAACGAAGGCATGAACAATGCGCCCAGTATCCGCTTGCGAAAGATAATTTCTGATTCTGCCAATAGAATGAAACGAACGCGACAGGTGTTGTTGACAAGGGGAACAAGGGTGAGGTGTGAATCAAGCGTGACGGCTCCAAGGTCTGTGACAACACTAGTTGGCTGAATGTAATGATCACTGACTTTAATCGAAGCAATCGGTGCAGCAGGTGAAAAACGCGAAGTATCATAAAGTATCATGCATTTCATAAATAAATCGATCCTCACCAATTTTTTAGAAGGAAACAGAACAGGGAGCCATTCGTTGTATGTAATGTGCTGTATTTGACCAATCACTATTTTTCGTGCCTCCTGAAAAAGCTTTTCATCCTGCCATATTGGATTCAGATAATGAAGGAACTGTGCAATGCGATTATGTTCACGCACAAAAAGGGTGTGCATTACCATAAGCGCTGAAAGATAAGGAAAAGAGAACGGGATTTAGTTATTTTCTGTTAAACTTTGCCCTTCATGATTATTTGATTTTTCATGAGCTAGGTGTTACTCTCTTCGTTCAAACTGAATTCATAATATTTACAGGGTTGTTGTGTTCCTTAATAAAAACGATTACTGAAGATGGGGAATTAAAAGTTGAAAGCATATAAGAGATACAAGCTTAAAAGATTCTCTGTTTTTATCCCTATGCTTATTGGCAAATATCTATTCAGTCTCGCTTACGACCACAACAAAATTTGTGTAAATAAGAGAGACGCCCTCCTGATGGATAGCTGGAGATATATTATCCCACACAAATTCTTACCGGGGTTTTCATTGACTCTCCTAAAATCACCAGCTAGGAAACAAGGCCTCACTGCAGGTCTCGGTGATCTACAAAAGGATTCTGGGCTAGCTTCAGGTAAAATTGGCATCCTGTCGGAGCGTCTCACTGGCAGTGGGAGAACGCGTAAAGCTCCAGTATTTGCTATTTTGTCACGGAGGCTCTCTGCCTCTTCACAATTAGCTCCATAAACCATCGAAGCATCAATGTAGGATGAAACTAAGTTAACCTGAAAAAGAGTGAACGAGTATTTTTTCGGTTTCTTTTGCTAAATCGAAGTAGTGTTTATTTCAAAGGATAGCACTTCCCCCGTGATTGATCAATACTGGGACCTCCAATTCTATTTGTACTTCGCGTTATGTGCTCAACTGAAATCGTTTTCGTTTCTTCAAAGTTGCGCATAAATTCAAAGTTTCATCAAACTTTTCTCTCTCCTGCCCCGCAATGTTATGTCAAGAAAATATAACTTTTCTCACGGGATTCGTTTGTTTATAAAAGATAAATGTTAACTGCAATGCGGATGAAAATGACGCTTAAGACTGCAGGAATCTCTCACCTGTTCACGATCCCTCAATGCTGATCGTGATAGGGGAATGCATTGTGCAGTTACATTGTTTGCCAGTCGATCATCGGGGTTGTTCTGTGAGATCGGTATGCTTATACATCCGGGAATGTTGGTGGGACATTGTTCGTTGTTGGTCCCGCATCCCGCAGTCTCGTTGGACTCAGTTAACGTGATGTCATGATCTATAAATTGACCCCACGTCATGGTCACGTGAGTGAAAGGTGGGGGTTTTCCACCCACATCTTCAGACGTACTCTTGAACACGTTTTTACTGATTGTTCGCGCGTTCTTCAGTGGAGCACCAGATGAAGACATGAGTCTAGGTCCATCTCCGTTCTGAAAGGCTGGTGGGAGGAAGCGGTCGAATCCAGTCTCGGCAGAGCCCTCGGTTATATTGCACAGATTGTTGCATGTCCCGTCGAACGTGCGGTAACGGCGCCTGATACAGTTTAGACGAAGGTACAGAGGTATCGGTTGACACATGCGGTCAACCCTTAAAAATGTATCGGAATTGTCAGGTGTTCCACCAATGGAAGGCCCGCTTTGGAAGAGACATACCCCCAGCACTAAGAGAAGGCTACAAGATTGAGAGAATCGTTAATCGAAACAAAAGGAAGCTATGAGTTTTTAACAATTTTAATTAATACTTATGTCGCAGCCTCACTGCAATTTTAATTCACCAAATTCATGGAATCCAAGAATTAAATCTCATATTTGATTGCACCTCAAGGGTGTATGGTTCTTACAAGTAACCAAGTATTAAAAAAAAATCATATTTAAGAGGCAGTCCCAAAATAGATAGGTTTAAGTTTAGAAATTAGCTACCAATACCTTAATGTCAACATTTCTAGCTGTTTCAGTGCTTTCACTGCTTATGTGTCTATGGAAGAAGAAAAAAAACATCCCAGAGTTAGGCTGCCCTGAAATAGTATGAGCAGCGAGACGGTGAGGTTTTTCATGACAAGTGTTTATGCCATTGTTAAGTTTAAGTGAAGATTCTTCTCAAATCTGCTCCCACTTAGCACACAAAAAACTTCAAGAGAGAGAATGATATGTGAGTACTCGAATAGACATAATCTTGCATTCCATTACTGAGTAAATAGTTCGGATCCTTTTTTTAGCTGATTGCGTTGACAAAATATTGAACAACTTTACAAAGAAGTAGGCTAAAAGATGCCAACAATTTTCGCGCGGTACTGATTTCGGTCTCTTTTGCAAAGAAAAACGGTAGAGTTACGAAAAAATGGGACAAACATCCTGATCAAGGCTAAATAAACTGTAGGAACCTACCTCGAAAAAAGGTAATTTATCGATGCCAATTATAAAACAGTATGCTCCCATTGTAATTTCAAGGCAAACGAATCAAGTTTGTTATCAGCAACCACAGGCTCAAAAATTGCTTCGAAAACATTAAGCATTCATTGGGAACAAGCAAGGCGAAGTAGGATAGGTTTCATTTTTCATTATTGTACATGACTTCAAATAAGAAAATCCATTTACCTTATCCTTGTAGCTGGACTTGAATTGAAAATGTTTGATTGACCTCCAAGCAAATCAAATCGTGGTTTTTGAGAACCTATCTGGTATGAAAGAGCTTCCCACCTTCTGTCCTTTTAAACATCTGCTTTTTGCTCATTATCATTTGTGCAGCCAAAGCACAATACACTGCTCTCACTAATTATTAGGGACACATAAATGATTTGGCAGCGAATATCCTCTGAGTAATGAGATGATCATTAAGTACTGGTTTCTTGAATCAAGAGTTCATATCAAGGGTCCAATACTTTGTTTATTGTACTCTTTCGTCACAGTGAAAAACATTGTTCAGAGTTGTGGAAAAAATTTTTTTCTGGACAAAAATGTCTTGATCCTGTGTCATAAATTTTCTAATTTTTTTTTTCTGTGTGCATAATTGGGCTTAAGTCAAAAGTTGAATTTGACAAAAATCCAGGAAGGAAGTTGTTAAAACAATTTTCGCTGAGGAAGTTGGAGAAACGGTACAAATGACAACTAATAAACAGGATGTTTCTTCATGATATGAGCACAAAGGCGCCTTCAGTTGGCTTACTTGTGCTGAAGGGCGAGAAACGTTAATGACGAAAGATTTAAAGAGATGCAAAATCAGCATAAGCGAGCTCTGTAGAGAAACCTGACTCAGCCAATACATTTTTGGTTTCTTTTTTTCCTTACCAGTGGTCATTAAAGAAACCTGACGCAGCCAATACATTTTTGTTTTATTTTTTTCCTACCAGCGGTCATATAATGAAGTTGAATTTACAGCTGTCAAATAAGTTTCTTTCATCTAAGTATTACTCTGATTAATTTATTTTAAAGGAACATTTTTTCTTATTCCACTAAAGATGTACTCACAAAATAAAAACAAACAAATGAACTCTACCAAGAGGTAAAGCTGTTTCATAGCAGATTAATCTCAGCAGGTGTATAATATTGCAAAATATGAGTTTAGTAATTCAATAGTCAGAAATGCGTTGGTTTAAGAAAATTAGACCACGTCATGGGGTATATTTTCCAAGCCGTGGCAACCAGTGTTATCGTTTGATTTGGGGTATTCATTGTTTGCTTGATGTCTTGATTTGAATACCACCTAAAGGGACAGGGTTATCAATCTAAATGAAAGTTTTAAAATACGTGTACGTCAGTTGTTAATGTCTAGAAAAACTGCAAACGTGCTTTTTGCAGTTCTTTTAAAAAATTTGTTTATTACATATTTATTGTTGTTTTACCGTCATATTGATTGCTTGAGTCTTTAATTTCACTGTTTTGACGTCACCGCCACCGAAAAAACTGGCAATTTGATAGGCACCAAATAGACTAGAAAATCAAATTCTACGTCTATATTAAAAAAAAAATGTTATCACTTTTCGGCAAATGCATTTCCTTGAAAATATCTAGTGAGAGATATAGGTCGGTTTTTCATGGCTCATTGACTAAATTGCACGAACGATTTATGCCAATTATCGACAAAGTGATTTCATTTCATAATAGTTGGCAACCTCTCCCAAACTTGTTTCGCAAAGTAGTATGGGAATACCATCAGAGTAAATAAGTTTCCTTGTATTCTTTGACTCTTTAATCCTTGGTTTTTTTTCTTACATACCTCATTGAGTTGAATCTTTGTAGCTTTAACTCTATCGTGACTTGACATCTGGCAATGTATCTGAGGTTATTGCGATATTGGAATTTATAAACAAATGCCTAATATTAAGCAAATTCTGGTAATGTTTAAAAAACTTCTTGAATTTGTCTCAAATGCCATTGTCCTGCTGAAAAAGTATCTCTTGATACATGACAAAACAGAATATTAAGTTAAGTTTGTGATATAATGGGAAAAAACTTTGAGGGTTGAATTTGAAAGACACTTTGTGACATATTAACCAACTTATTAACGAAAATTGCATCAGTTTACAGTAAAGATACACTAATCTAATAATGATCGGACCAGATGGAATCGTTACGCAATGAAGACTTTCGTTTCGTTTTGGTTGGCAGAAGACAATTGGTTCTTCCAACAATCAATAATTCTCAGGACGATCAACTGTATTTGATTCGATGACCACTTGATGTGACTACTCTTTTTGAAGTATTCATTACTGGATCTCATCAGAAAAGAAGAACTGTTTTGATCTTGACTTAAGATCCCTTTCAAGCTGTAATTGTAATTTCCGACCGGCCTTTGTAATTCCAACGTACCAGGACCAATTTCTCGCATAGATGAAAAACGCACAGTTTTTCTGTTTGTTAACCTTTGTACTCTACTCTCATATTTATATTTGCGGGTGTTTGCCATGTTTAAAATTAGGTCAGTTGACGAATGTTCACTGAGGGTGTTTTTTTCAATGTAGGAGGGAAGAGGAGGGACAAATTACATTCATTGCCAATTATAGATGCGAGGGCAAGTATAGATGCAAAATACCCCTAGATTCGTTGCGAAGCTCGTAACAACTGTTTTACGAAAACCCTCGTTATGATTACTACTGATAAACGGGCTGACAAACAGACAAATTAAACCAAGAGGGTAATGAATGTTCTGTGAAGCGCGACCGTCGATAAAGCTCGTGTACATGTTAGGCCAAGAAATTAGCTAAACCAATATAAAAGAAACTTAGGAGGCGTTATTAAACAATATACACCTTTAAGCCTACGGCTCTCTGGCACCTTCTGTCGCTTTATTTCTGACTTCTGTTTAAAGGTACCGAAATAACCGCAGGATTAACAGTGCATGATTTGATTTTTCGATTCATTTTTGTATTTTTTTTTTTTTTTTATACAAATATACTTCTCACAGCCGTTCTTCTATAAGTGGAGTTTTACTATCAAAAGGGAGGCAAAGTTTTGGGAAATGTTTACAACTGTAATTGACATTGACGCCAGACGAAAGTACCGCTTACAATGTTTCAACAACGCATACTAAAGCTATGTTAAAAATGAAGTCAAGGTAGAATGAAAGTTAACTAAGTTAACTTTTAAGATATCTTATCCCTAAGGCTTGAATGTACACAGATGGAATGTTGGTCGACCCTACCGTGGGTGTTATGCGAGACAATTTGATGCGCACGTGCAAAGATCACCACAACTGTGTGACCTTAATGTTAATAATTCAACGTGATGTTCAATCAATACGACATGGCGAGATAAATGAACCAACGCAAAGCATCTCAATTAAACGGACACACAGCAATAGAAATACTCGGCGTAACGGGAAGTTTTTGCTTACGAGAACGTTTCTCTTGGGTAACCACAAGCAGTATTATTTAAAAAAAAAAACTATTGTTCACTTCATTTAACGGCTGGCCGGCCATATGATTGTTAACCTTTCTAAGGTTTCTTTCACCCTAAGACGGATGAAAAATGCGTTTTCACTCTGACAACGTAAAGAACCTTTCCCGTCCTCCTAGTAAAACGGAGAAATCTTTTCCGTCTAGACCTCAAAGATTTGTGACTTGTGTATGTACCTCAAGAAATGGACTTCTCCAACTGTGTGCAGTTAAGTAAGGAAAAAAGAGAGGAAAGATGTATACGGACGCAAAAAATTCTGCGTCACTTGTGCAACGCGCATGTGCACCTCCACTTTCAAGCCTCGAGGATAAGTCAGTACATAGCTTGTACGAGAATTCTAATGGGATCTTGTAGAGGCGACGGTAAGCAGAGCTGTAAGCTTACCAGATAGTCTGTGAAGACAGCTTCGATTGTAATAAATTGCTATATACGTTTTTTCAGCCAACGACGGTAAATTAAATCCACAAAATTTAGACCACAATGGAAATTCATTCCAGCATCCGCGCAAGCACCCTTGCATCGGCAAACTTACAGGGTTTAATACAACCAGGTGTTACTGCATTCGAGAGACTAAAATTTTAGATTTGAACAGTGAGATGTAACCATTATCATTCTCAGACTATCGTTTTCTTTTCCAGGCAACTCACTACACAAACAAATGTTAAACACTGCAAATAATGTAATTCATTTTAATCAAGCACAGAAGCGTGAACTAGTTTCTAAGAATTTCGATATTTTCTATGGCACCTAGAGGGTCGTTTTTGAATAGCATAAAGTGTCCTTGTATCTGCGCGATGCTTCTTCCCTGCTTCAATCTAAATACTTTGTCCGCGAACTCCTCTGCGCAAGAAGGTATCTGGTCGGGATAAAAGCGAGTGTACATCTTTTGTAACTGAGATTTGGAAGCGAGGCCAATCTCCTGTTTGACATCCACCCTGCCTGGTCGTATGAGGGCTGGATCAAGCCTGTCCAGGTGATTAGTAGTCATGAAAACAATGCGTTCTTCAGATGATGCCACGCCATCCAAGGTGTTCAGAAGACCACTAAAGGTCACCTGAAGAAAAGTTAACAAGGAAAAGTAACTCAGATCAGCTCTTTCCCAAACATCGGTTCACAGAAAGAGGGGAACAACAGAGGTTGAAGTTTCTTTAAACGCCAAAATATTCCAGATGTTTACAAGAAGAGTATGTGAAAAAATCCAGACCCTTAAAAAGTTTTAAAATAAATATTTAAACCCCCTGAAATTGCTATGCAACTAATGCTCACAACTCTATTACCTGCAGGTTAAACAACTCATCAGCTTAAGATTTTACCCTTTGATAAAATTAATATGTACAATTCTCTTAAAAAATTTATAAAGAAATGAACAGTGTGGCTGTCAGAAGGACAATTATTGGCAGACCTTTGGTACCAGTGCTCTGATGTTTCAATAAACCTTATCATTTAAGGAAACTGATTTCTTTTTTTACAGGAGAGGTTATAAACATTGGGTCAAAGGAATAAGTAAAAAAAAATCTTACCAAAATTTAGTTCACAACAACAGTCATCTTCATGCAATAACCCATCATTGAGTGTTTGTGCATGCATATCTCACACTCATAATACTTTACAGAACCCCTTACATAAGATTTTCAGGAAAATCAGTACAATCTTTTCCATACCCTGTTTATGTAGCCACTTGCTCTCCCTTCTTCCTTCTCATCAGTTCTCTTTACAAAGGCAGCATCAATATCCTCTAACAGAATAATACTTTGCTGGGGTGCTACACTCATTAAATGGTTGAGGCGGTCATCTGACAGACTGCGATCACTTAAGTTCATGACACATATGCTGTAGTCCAGAGCTCCTGCTAGTGCTTGTCTGATAGTTGAAAAATGTTACATTAATTGGCTGATGATTATTTCAGTTATTACAGAAACAGAGCAACAATGAACTGTTGGTGGAAATACATGAGAACAGTACAGTTGTTTCCATAACTTGTTCAGATGCTTCACCAGTAGAAGTTTTACATAAAATATAGAATGAAAAGAAAAAATCCAGGGACCTGATTCATTAACCCTTTCACCTCTGTGAGTGACTAGCATCTAATTTCTCCTCACAACATCACCCCCAAAATCACAGATAATCACTGATATAAGCCTTAGATTGTTAAACAAATTCTCCTTATCAGCACTTTAGGAAATGTATTGAGAACAGTATGGAGAATATGTCAACTGATGTTAGGGTGTAAAGGGTTAAAGATCAAAGCCAAGGCCCACAGAATGGGGAAAAGAGTAACACCATTTAGTCTAGATTTGCAGCCTCAATGACTAAAACCTTAGCAGGCCAATCTTTAAGATTTTGCACAATTACATTTGTATGTACTGCAATCTTGCCTGATAAATTCAACATGCTTTAATGCTGGAGCAAAATTTTTACATTTGGCTCCCTCAACAATTCCAAATGTTTTGGGCAAAAAAAAAAAAGATTTTGATGATCTTAGTCAGTAGAGGTGATGGTTAGGAAAGCTGGTAGAAATCAAACATGAAAACAAAGCTGCAGCACTTTAAGTTAAGGGCCGTCTCGACGGTGCACACAAAAAAACCTAAATTAACCTATTACATGTATGAAGAACATACATGTAATTCACAACAAGTTACCTCTATTAACTTTTATTTAAATATTACAACTTTGACTCTGGGGTGTTGATGCATTTTAGCCAGATATAAAAAAAATTAAGTTCCTTTTCAAATATTTAATCTGAACATAAAGTTGTATGTACGTGTCAAGTTAAATCCATGAAGTTGTGGCTGCATGCATTTTTACACTATACACTTAAAGACAAGAAATAGTTTTATATATATGATATAATTCAAAAGCACAACATACATAAAGCTGCTTTTCCCACATCCAGGAGGCCCATACAACAAATATCCTCTTCGGTATGGAATACCTAAAAAAATTTTAAAAATACATGTATTAACATGTCCCCAAAATAATTTTTGTTAACAGTGAGAGGCATAGTTTTCAAGTCCAGTAGCCTACAATGCCAGAACTTATTCTACTTTCTTAAGTGATTAGGAGTATTGCTACTCCCCTTGGATGGGCAGCCAGTCTATTGTGGGCTACCCCCTTAGGATTTCTTGACAGTTTTAAGCTCATAGGTGGAGAGAGGTATTGTGAGACTTAATTATCTTGCCTAAAAAACACAAGACAATCAACCTACTGGCACTTGACTCATACTTCTAAACCTTAAGTTCAGTCAGCAAGCCATCATGCCTCCACACTTCCACATTCCCCGCCCCCCCTCCCTCCCCCATCTCTTTTTGGAACATAACATTTGCATAATACAGACTATTGAAACTGTACTAATGTACTGCCCCACAAGGAAACAGTATAAAACTAGCAGCAAGCAAGCTTGTTTACTGTAAGGAATCAGCATTGTTATATTTGTAAACTGGGAATGTTCTTAGTCCTCAACGTACTCAGTTTATCACCAAGACAATACCTCTGTCTATGTACCACTTGGCAGATGCAATGAATTCTTTAACATCAGCCAAAATTTTCTGAGAGACACCATCATCCAGAATCACAGAATCCAGCGGTCTCTTTCTCCTTGGAAAACCAAACTGTCTCCAGTCGGCACCCATCGCTGTGTACATAACAGTTTTTCCTTCTTGTTTTTCAAGTGCCATTTGCCTTGCCTCGCTCAAGATATCGAAAAACAACTGTTTGTTTGTTGCAAGAGATGTGAGTGTTACAGTCTCCCATGGCGCCCCCGTGGTTAGATCGACCATCTTCTCTCTTGATCGCTCTACACGAACGAAGCTGTTTTTGTACTTGAAGAAATGAACCCCAGGACAAGGCGAGAAGTCGAATCGCGTGTTTATTTTCCCTGTTTCGTGTTGTTGAAAAGTTGTCTCTACACTGAGATGCTGGGCTCTTTGACCCTGAGCGGCGATCCACTGTAGAACCCAGTGGTAACTCTTGTCTTTGCTTGGAACTTCAAGAGTAATGATCGCGTATCGTCGGAAGGCAGTGAAAGCAAACTGACCTCCCTTTCGTAACACTGCAAGCCCTGCACCCACGCCAACTAGTCCAAATCCGGCTGAAAAGTACTGATTGCTTCCTAAAGAAGCAATCATCTCGGAGAGAGGCATTTCTAAGGTAGTGGGATGATTTGTAACTCAAAGATGTAAAATATTACAATTTTCCTCAATTTAAGCCGCCATGTGCAATTTTTACTGAGCCCACAGTACATAGCCCCGCGATGTATATCATATGAAAGTAAGTACGTTTTGTTTATAACTTTAAGTGTATCTTGTTTATTTTAAGTCTACCATAAATTCGTTGGGATGCACGCAGATAACTGTGTCAACAAACTTCTTCTCGTGAGACGTCACCTAGTTGTACCTGCCTCTCCAAACACTTGATCGTTTCTCTCGAGGGTATTTTAGTACGTTCATCTCTTCCCTCCCCTCGCCTGCAGTGTTTACGAAACAAGTGCCTCCTCTTATAAGTCTTATTGCTAGGCCAGCTTGGTTCTCCTCTAACAAGTGATTACGTTAAGCGTTTTAGGGTGAGGAAATATTCTTAATCGTCTCCTTATGAGGCGTTTTTTGAGGTGCGTGACATTCCAAAGAACGGCTGCAAAGGAAACGACTCGGCCTTTGGATGTGTCAAGTAGTCTCGTGCGGATAAATTTCTGGTATCGTCATGCAATACATTCTCCATTCGAAATAAATGAACGCGCTGCGTGACCTGACCAAACAATAGCTGCGCAGCTACCAAATACTACCAACTAGGCAGACGTCACGTTATGAAATCACTTTGCACCGATGTACCAAATAAGCAGCCGCATGCGTTGGGTGTCAAGTATGTGACGAGAGACACTTAGGTGACATCACCATCAAAACTTAAGAATAATTTCATACAGCTTTCTAAAACACCAACTTGGTATCGTTTCAGCGATTTAAAGTTTCAATCACGGTACATTCAAGTTTTGTTTGGAGACTTAAAAAAAAAAAAGAAGCAACTACATGTCTTGTGTAAGTGAATTTTAGCTCATTATTGGATGACATATTATCGCACTTGTTTTGTAACTGAACACCTTTAAGTCAGCTCAATAATACAATGACCCTCAGAAAGGGAGATCTTCTAGAATATTGTACTTTTATTTCTCGTCATGAAGAGAGAAACTGATCGTGACGCACGTTCATCAATCTGCCATTGGTTGACATTCATCAGCTTTGGGATTTTGTTTACCTCGGTTGCTTTTCTCTCATTGAATGTCTACAATCTACGCAGGGAAATCGACAAAGTGAAGTCAGAGATTCGTCCCTCAGTGTTGAGGAATGATAAAGGAGCATCACGGTTGTACGATGATTACATCGTCAGATCTCGATTTGTTCGTCAGATTGAACCAGGTCCAGACGAAATTGAACCGGGACCAGGTGAAGGAAATCCATCCCAAGATGCTGGTCCGGAGCTGCATCAAAACAGTTTCGCCAAACTGAACTGCACTCGGGTAAGCATAACGAAAAAAGGCCTTTATTCTCTCGTCAGTTTGATAATTGAACGGGAATCTGATATTTGCGTCTATCTTAGGAGGCTAAACTGTCAAAATCTTTAAGTTGACTATGTCTTTACCTCAGTTAAATCAGCCGTTTCATTTTGTTGCAAATGTGGTTGTGTGTATGTTTTACCTTCGTCTGCTAGACATTCTGCCCAAGTTTGCTGCTTCTTTGCTCTTGTGCGTGAGCTCCAGACTCTTGGAGCTGTCACAGTCAGGTCAGTACCCTCTATTCCTTACAGGACTTCCCGTCAGGAGAAGAGAATAAATAAAATTTCTATATTTTTCAGGATGCGGAAGGATATAGCATTTGCACCCTCGGTGAGGCACTTATTTTTATTTAATTTTTACATGAATAGGTAGGGGAGGGGGGGGGGGGGGGGACTAAAAGTTGAGTTTTTTGTTGGAGATGGGTTCGGCGAGGTTTTTGTCTCTTTTTCCATTTTGTAGTTCTCCTTTTCAAGAAAGTTTGCTGCTCATATCAGCAAGAAGGTTTCTTAAAGACCATGAACATAATTCGCCATTAATTCGATTTTGGTAAAAGTAGGCAGGGACTGGAGGTAGGATATTCTTCCCTCGTATGACAATGAAGGATTCAAAGGGGAGGGGGGGGTCCTCCAGACCTGTGAGCTGTGAGTTTTTTTACTGCCTGTGTAACATATACATTTACGGGGAGGAGAAATTCACGGCATTCGTTGTTACTTATGGGAGCAAAAGGGTTAAAAATGTAGGTCGCAGAAATAACAGACTTCGAGTAACATTGGTTACCATTTCTCTTACTGAACCTCCTTACTGATTTTGCTACAGTGGCACTATTGGCACTAAGCTGGTGATAAGATATAAGTGTGAACTCCGGTTGTTGCTGTTTATTATTTACAGTCAACGGTAGTCTCCTTGGAACTCCTGGCGCCCGTCACGAGGTACAAAGACACGTGGAGTCTTACCTCAATCAATCTGGCGCGAATTTTCTCGGAACTTCAGCCGCTCAGCAAGTGGTACAGGACTATTTTGTGTCTTACTTCAACACCTCCGGCGGAAGTTTGTTGAGAAATACTGGCGCTCAGAATGTGGTCCAGGAATATGTTGAATCCTATTTCAACATTTCAGGCGGAAATCTTCTTAGAACTTCTGGACATCAGCAAGTGGTGGAGGAGTATGTGGAGACTTATTTCAACGTATCTGGTGTAAATCTCCTTAGAACATCTGCCGCTCAGCAGGAGATACAGGGATATGTTGAATCTCGCGTGAACCAAACATATGGTAAAAGAACTAATGGAAAATCCCATCTCCTATTATATTAGATGATAAGTGCACTTACTTCCGTGTTATGATAGTCCTACTGTGTCACGCAATAGTTCACAAATACGGAGTGTTGAGCGGTAGGGTGTGAGGTCGTAAAGGTATGAATCAAGCTTACTGAAGGCTGTTATTGGGAATTCATAACAAACAGCGACGTTGAGAAGGACCTAATTCTCAGCTTACCTATCACTCCTGTATGGTTGATTTTAAACGAAGATTTCAAAGACTGATAAGGAAACTTGCAAAACCTTGCTGCCACTCTAAGATCACCTCTCACAGCGACCCTTCTCCGAGAAAAAGGAAAATAAAAGAAAAAATAAAAGAGGTGAAGAATGAGAGGATTTTAGGAACGCAATTAATTGGCAGAATAACTCTCCAGTAAGGCTGTGATTTGTACTTCACCCAGTTTGTCTCTGTGAGATTCTTATACCAAACGTTTGAAGCTTTGAAAGACTCGTTTTTTTCCGTTTGTGTATGTTGGTTTAACTGTGTTATCGTTGCTGTTTTGTATTCGTTTCCAGGACCTACTATTTCTCAGTGGACCGGTGATGAGCTGGACAGCAGATTTCGGAGACTCATCAATATCCATTTCAGCAATACCTCTTTCGGTGAGTTATAGACGAAGTACTAAATATAGATTTTCTAACTTGCTACTCAAAATACCCTCAAAATGGCGACGAATTTGAATTTTTCAAAATGAAATCTTTTTACTCGGCGGAAACATTTTGAACACAAATTAGGTAAATAAGATTATCTTTTTCATCAGATTTTCCATAATCATAAAGAAAAAATTTAGTACCATTTTCCAACGTTATTTCCAGAAAAAAAATCGCACAGTTATTTGGAAACCGTTGTCTTTTTCATGATTTGCAATTCCTTTGTCTTTGTTGCAGGACTCGGTAGTTTTGCAGGAAATTACACTGGATTAACTGGTTTTAATATTACTGGCAGTGGATTCGGTGGTAATTTTACAGGAATAGGATCTGGCGGAACCGGGAGTGGATTGGGCGGGAGTTTCTCAGGCGTGGAAGGAAGCCTTCGTCTTATTGAGCAGTTTGTTGGTTCCTATGCGTTGAAAACGTTTGGTGAGTGAACAATCTCTCAGTCAGAAATACTTAACAGGGGGTAACAACTAAAGGAAAACTCGGTTTTACATGTAAATTATTTCTTTGAGGTCCAAAAAAATTATTCAGGTGAAAGTGACGTATAAGGTATGATGCCAAATTTGACGCTTCTCTTTGAATTCATGCAGATGCATCATCGTCAAAATTATTTTTAGTCAATATTTAGCTGTGAGGTCTAATCGCTCACCTACAACTTAGCAGCTTCCGGAAAAAGAGGAGTCTATTAATTAAGATAAATTGAGAGGATTGAAATGGTTACGATGCTCTTCTGGTAAAACGTGATATTATTCGCTTTGTTATCCTCTATAGAATCTTAAATAATCATTTCTGATGGTAACTGATTGGAGCTTTTGCCACCTTACTAGATTCAATTTAAAATAATGCAATCGGTTAATAGCCAAAATAGGTTTCTAAGTACTACATGCAATTAAAATCGTCCTTAAAATACCTATTTTTGTGTTTATTTGATTGGTTACTGAAAATAAGCTTCTAAAATTGATTTCTTGTCCTTGTTTTGATCATCATAGGTCCGTCGTTTCTTCCTGGCGCAGAAATTGAATTAGAGCCGGGCCAGACAGTGCTGGATGCTTACTTGGACCAAGCTGTTGGAGAGGCAGTCCAGTCACAGTTAGGGGGTGGGGGTGGAACAGGAAGTAGTAATGGTGGTGGTGCAGTTGGAGGAGAAACTGGGGGCGGTGGTAGCGTTGGGGGTGGTGGTGGGAGCGAGGTAGGCCCTGATGAGGGAGGTGTAGGTAAGTAAGATGAATTTTTTTTTGGTTACTTTATGCAATTTAGGTGATTTTCGGTACCTACGATTTTCCTAAAGGTCTAGCCTGCTCTAGTAAAAAATTACCCGTCTATCTTTGCAGGCCCTGTGGATGGAGGAGTGACGAGCGGAGAAATGAATCAAACAATCCAGCGGTATATCGGATCATTTGCGCAGGCGTCTTTTGGTAAGATTTTCTGTTAGCTCGATATATCTCCGCTCTTCAAGGATCTTTAGTCACAGTCATCATACATGATTATGTAAACTGATAAACGCAAGAGATTATATTCTCTTGGTAAACGTTGACGAGTACAACGTCACGCTGGTACATTCGGATCCGTTCCACCCTTTAACTCCCAAGATTTGATTGGTAATTCTCCCCTCTGGCTGCAACACGTATCCTTGTAAATTAGTTATGAGAATTTGGTGTTAGATCAAGAAAACAACTTCGACCTGATAAATTTGAATATTCTCACTAGCTGTTTGCTGGATAATGTAAGGATATTATAGGGAGAAGTTTCGTGTTGATCACTTATGGGAATTAAAGGGTTAAGTGTACAAGAACGCACTGGCTCCTCTGTAACTCCCTGAAGTTCGATTTACTCGCGCCACTGAAAGGTCCTCTGGAGTAACAAAACATTAAATAAACGAACATCTATCTTTTCATCACTGAACTAAAACATATTGATGCAGAGCATGAGTATCAGTCGAGAATTGAATTCTATGTTGGTGTAGTGTCGAAGCTCTCGTTTCCTTCAATATGGTATTTTTATGAGTTCCTTTGCCAAATTAACTTTCAGAAGGTTTATAAGATAAGAACCCTTCATCACTGATTGCAGGTCCCTCGTTTGTACCTGGCGCTTCAGGACCTGGCGATAAGACTCCATTGGAGATGTTTGTAGACGATTCTGTTTCGCGGTCTTTGATGAAGTTTTTTGAAGACAAAGGGGACTCTGGTAAGCCTTAAACTACCCTCAACGGAAGAAGGTCTATCTGACATATCTTCTCCCTTAGGAAGAAGAGTCAAAACACCATGCATTCACCTCTACGTATGCTGTCATTCCATTACTTTGTCACTACTTCGTTTTCACAACCATCCATTTTTTGCCTGTTCTGAAAACGCCTCACTCAAATGTCGTGATTCCGAACGCTCTAAAATTACATGGTTAACAACTGCGTGGAGAATTTGATTACAAAACTCACCCCTCGGTTTGAAACGGACGACATAATTGCGCAATAAAAGCGGTGCGATTGACTTCGATTGCGCTATGCAAGATTTCCTTGGACGGCAAAAGCTACGTCGCTAGCATGATGCAAGATTTGAATGGACAGAATATATTTTTTTAGGGGCACGATGCATTCTTTCCTCAGATGGCATGAATTTCCGTAATTGCATGGTGCATGACCTAAATTGCATGACAGACAGCATGAGTTGCTTAACTTGCATAATGCACATTGTGCATTGAAAAGCATGATAGTCTTAAATATACGGCGTGTATTGGTTTCATTGCATACCGCATAGTTTTGCATCGATGGCATGAATTACTTCTATTACATGATGCATGAAAGGACATGAATTGATCTTAATCCTTGTTTATTTTGCTTCCATTGATGGTGTACATTTTTTTAATTGCTTAATGCATGACTTGAGGCAACTCAAGTTGCACGATAGTTAATTTGCACTGTGCGAGGCATGAATTGCACGAATGACATCCAGAGCATAAATATTTTTTTAAACCATTGCACCAACTATATGAGTATAGAAATTGATTGCAGGATTTTCATGGGTTACATTTATGGATAGAATAAAATTGTACGACTTCTGGTAGTTTATGATAAGTGCATAATGTAGACATCCCGCTACAACGGACAGCCACTTCTAAACCTGGCAACCTACAGAGCTCAGTTCCAGTAAGTAAATTGCAAGTCGCAGTTTCCTCTCTTTTTTTTCGCAGTTTGATTCAGAAGATTTTATATTGATCATATTTTACCATTAAGGGTGTGAGAACGTTTTTCCTCTTCAGCACCGCAGCCAAAACTCCCAGATAACTTCACTATCCAGACTTTTGTCAGAGCTTATGTAGACGAGTATTTGGGTAAATACGCCATGTCTTTGTTTGTTTGTTTGCTTTTTTTCTGTGATTTTGTTTTATTTGTTCGTCCCTTTCAGAATTTCTTTGTGTGAGAGTTTTGAAATGTCCTTTCAGTACATGTTTTGTTGCCTTTTTTACGTCTTTAGGTGAACTAAATATTTCTTCATCCCAAGAGCTCCAACAGTCACAACCTCAGCTGCTTAATAATCGCACTATAAAGAGCTTCGTGAAGGCTTATGTTGATGATCATATCAGTAAGTACTTGATATAGTGCCATCATAACTCTCTTTCTGTTTCTTTTCATCAGTTATAACAGGATTAGCTCTAACGAAGGGCTAACGCACGAAACGTCAACTTTAGAAACTCTTTACGGCGACCAATTTACGTTATCGACCCAGCTGATAAAATGAAATCCTCTTGTAATACCCCATCAACGCAGCACCACATTTTGTTTAGAAAACTACCTCCCTTATAAATTATAACAGCCCATTATTTCTAACGTCATATGATAGCTGATTTCATCTCTCTATTGGAGATCATCAATCGCAAACTTGTACGCCAGACAACCAATTGGCTTGAATATACAGATACGTTGGGCGTTATACTCTTGTATTTGTATATTTATGACGGTGTCTCGTTTGTTTCTTTGAAGACCGCTCTGTATTTTACTATTTTTATATTTATCGCTTCCAAGGTGCACTCAATTTATCCTCCTCTTCACAAGCAGCGTCAGTAATGGCAGATAACCGAACGATGCAGAAATTTATCCAGAATTATGTGGATGAATATCTGGGTCAGTGTACTGCGTAGTCACAAATGGAATTATGTTTGTAGATATATGAAAATCGTATATGTGCAGTGCTGTGAAGAGACGAATATAAGAGATCCTCGCAGCTATAAACACTACTGAACTAGTAGTTGAAATAAGACCTGAAAAAAATTCAGGCCCGTACGGGATTTGAACCCATGACCTATGCGATACCAGTGTAGCGCTCAACCAACCGTGACCCAACTTAATTACTAGCTCCCAGTTGGCTTGTTAGCTCAGTTGGCTGCACTGGTATCGCAGAGGTCATGGGTTCAAATCCCGTACGGGCCGGAATTTTTTTCAGGTATTATATCAACTACTAGTTCAGTAGTGTTCATAGTTGCGAGGATCTCTTATATTCGTCACGAATGGAATTTTTGTAACCGTCAGTTCTAGGGTGATATTTGATGTTGTTCGTATTTTTATAGTATTGAGTTTCTCGTTTTGATGAAACTTTTTATCTGAGGGGGTCTGGATTTGTGACTATTGCTATTTTAACGTTCAGACTTTCAAGACGCCTACACGATGAGCTTATTCAGTGCTTTTGAATTACTTTGATATTGCTTAAACTCGTTCAATTTCGTGCTGTTTATTCAGTCATAACAGAGGAAAGGAATTTTTTGTCGTTGTAACAGCTCCCACAACTTCCTGATAAAAGAACCATCCTATACTTTTTGAGGCCTTTGTTAATGAATATGTTAGTTAGTATACTGTGACATAGTAATCTGTCGCATTTCTAATGTCTCTGTTATTGTTTCTTCAGCTGAATTCAATTTTTCCTCGTCACAGCCGCCCCAATCTGGTAATAAAACAATCGAAAGCTTCGTGCAAGCTTATGCAGAGAAGTATTTGGGTAGGTACCCTGTGGCATGGTGTATGACCATAGATCTACTTTCAACCTACTTTTAAATACGATGGTTGGATTGTCTCACGAGGATATTAAATCTGTTTTTTTGTTATATTGTTCTAGTTAGTTTGTTTGTAAGTTTATTGATCACTGTTTAATTTGTTTCTGTCAGGAGTAAAAGCTAATGATAACCGAACTATTCAGGGCTTTGTCAAAGATTATGTTGATGAATATGTTGGTGAGTATTCTCTAGATGCCTTTATACGTGTGACTGTTTTACACGCATCTGTATATAAAAAAAAAGTCATTTACAAATCACTTTAAGGCCTGGTTTTTACTGACAACGCATGCACACTCCCCGAAAACATAAAGGGAAGCACACACGCAAGCATAACAGCTCTTGTTTCACTATAAAAATGGTCACGACTCAAGGTCAAGAAAAAGGAAAAATTATGATCCTTCTACTTGAGCTTGAGCTTGTGATTTCTGCCTCCGTCGAGGCCGTTTTAACGGTCAATTAGAGCTGTTACGCTTGCGTTTGTGCTTGCGGAAGCCAACAACGATACATCACGTGCAACACCATATTTACTGTGCACCCAATTACCAAACACTTCATAGCCCCAGGGTGACGTTCTCGATCAATGTCAGTATCTGAGCAACTGCATGCTTACCTACCCCTCCCCTAACCCAACAACAGTCAACTGATAACAACCTAGTATTGGGGGAGGCGTAAGTGAGCAGTTGTTTGGTTGTATCACTATTTTCCCTTTCAAGGTGGACTTAATCTTACGGCATCGACGAGGCAACAGCAGCTTTCTGATAATAGCAGTGTGCAGGACATCGTGAAAGATTATGTGCGTTCGTTTACAGGTTTGTATAATGTCTCATGCAATGTATTCATGATTTTACATAGAACAGTTACACATGTTTCCTTAAAAGAGTGATTTCTTTCCTTTTCAACAGGTATTTTCTTTATTACGATTTTAATTTTATTCCTCTTTATCAACTCAAGGTGGTTTCAATTTTTCATCGCTACAATCTCAAACACGGACTCCCAATAACCGCACTATACGGAGCCTTGTCAAAGCATACGTAGACGAGTTTGTTGGTGGGTACACTGTAAAATGTTGAGTGTCTATGATTTCACCCTATTGTTATTCTTTTTGGTCCCTCTCTAGAAAAAACCTGTTGTACTTTGAAAGTGATGACGCATTTTCATTTTCTCGTTTCCTTTTTTCAAGTGGCGCTAAACTTTTCCTCACCACAACAGCAAGTAGAGTTGCCAGACAATAGCACGATACAGAGCTTTGTAAAGGATTATGTCGACAGATTTGTGGGTGGGTACAATTTCATTTGTTTGTATTGTTTTGAGTTTTAAGAAATTTCACCAATCGTGGTGTTCATTTTTCAACACATTTGCCATTTCAATGATAATGTTGTTGATTTAACTATTCTCTTTTCCAAGGTGAACTCAATCTCTCTTCATCTCAAGCACAAACCCAGCCCCAGCTGAAGCTGCTTAACAGTAGCATTCAGAACTTTGCGAGGATTCACGTCGACAATTATTTGGGTGGGTATAGTTTTGTCTTTCACACGGCCGCATGAATCTTACAATCTATACCTTTAAGTATTTATCTCTAATATTCAAGTTTATAGGAGCTGTGATAGGATAATGTTTATCGTCTTATTTGCGCTTTGCAGAAAAGTATCTTTAAGTAAAGGAGAACTGTTATATGTTTTAGATAATTATGGTTTTATCAACTGAGGTGATGTTGTAAATTTACCACCGTACAGAGTTTCTAAGCTGACGTTTCGAGCGTTAGCCCTTCGTCTTTCGCTCTGACAAAAGGCTAACGCTCGAAACGTTAGGTCAGAAACTCTTTACGGTGGCCAATTTACTTTATCAACTTTGTTGATAAAACCAAATTATCTTGTTTTACTCCTCCACTGACGCAGCACCACAGTTTCTATGGAAACTCGCCCCCTTAATTTATTTCTTTCATTTTTATATACCAACCGTGGTTACCCTGGTCGATTAACACTCCCCAGTTTAGGATGAGATGATAGGATTTGTTCCAAATTCATTGCTCAAGAACTTATCTTTGTTCGTCATTTCAGCGGGTAAACTCAGTCTACCAGCCGACAATCGGACCCTCCAAAATATTGTGGAAGATTATGTGAATGTATATATAGGTAAGCATGCTTAGCTTGCCAGGTCAAAGTGTTTTATTTAAATGTTAATGATACCTTCGCCTTCTTAATGTGGATGTCTATTTTCTTTCCCAATATGAAAAAAAAGGTGGACTTAATTTGACCGCGTCACCACCGCAAACGCAGTTTCTCACCAACCGAACCATCCAGAGCTTTGTAAAAGTTTATGTAGACGATTACGTTGGTGAGTATAAGGCATAGTTAACCCTCTCCTTCCTAGTAGTGCGGACCAAAAATGAATTTCTCTATACACTATCAATGCATTTTCAAGGAGAGAGGTGATAAGAAGAAAGGTTTCATTTGGACATCATTTTTTGCGCTACGACTTAGTCTTTGCATTTGCCGATTTTTTATAGAAAATGACTATTTTCGTTTACGGAAAACAAGTAAAGTGCACGATTGCATTTAGATCACGTGCCATATTCTTTCTGCCATGGACATGGTAATTTCATCCCTAAAATTGGATGCCATTTTCCTTCTTATGAGGTTTCTTTTGTTCTGTACCAGATGGACTCAATCTTTCTTCAGCACAACAACACACTGGACGTCCTATTAATCTCATCATACAGAGATACGTAAAAGATTATGTTGATGAATATATTGGTGAGTGTAGTATAACTTGAAGCATTGAAAACTGGATTATTCGATAATGCAATTCTAGAGTTTTCTTTAGCTCAGCCATCATGGGTTATGAGCCATTATACCATGCGCGCACATGAAGCCGAGTTAAACGGGGAGTGTTTTTGTACATTGTAACACAGTAAAGTTGGGAAGATTTATCTATATTTTGGGTTTTTTTTAATAAAACAATCATTGCACTTGCGCTTGTTGGAAATGAGATGATAACAGCCAACTCGGCCTTACGGGCCTCTTTGTCTTTCTATCACATCTTATCTAACGCTCGCTCGTGGAATAATTGTTTAATACCACATGACTTGCAAGAAAACTTGTGTTAAGTTGTCGAAGTTTACGAAAGAAATCACGTATGTGTTTTTTTAACATGTGAGTGATGAATGTGGTGGTACCCTTTAAATCCTGAGGCATGGATAACATTCTTTTTCTTAAAGGAGGATCTAATCTGTCCTTTTCACCATCCCAACCGCAATTGCTCGGCAACCGCACACTTCAAAGCGTTGTAAAAGATTATGTGGACGGCTATTTAGGTGGGTGTGCTGTGGCATGGGATGATCATAAGACTGTCTGACTGTCTGTCATGAACCTTTTGAATTTTTTACAGCACAATTAAAACATTATCTTATTTTGACCTCATTGTCTTTTTTCGGTCATTTCAGCTGGACTCAATATTTCTGCTGTGGCACGACCTCGACCACCACCATTTCAAAATACCACAATCCGAAAGCTAGTGGAAGGTTATGTAGACGTGTATGTAGGTTAGTATTAGGTAGTATGCAATTTACTGTTTTGTGCTCTTTTCTCTTTGGATATGCTTCTTCGTCAGTATTTTATTTTAGACGGTCTTGATCTTTCTTCGCTTCATTCGCAATTGCAGCCGCTTGATCACCGTTCGATTAAACCTAACTCCAAGAAGTGATTGATATGTAACTTCTCGCTATAATATCCGTACAATATCTGGGATATAGGTAACGAGAATACTCAAACTTATGAGGAGAAGTTAGCAGAAGTTATCTTGATCTACATCAAATTCCCATTACTAATTTACAAGGGAATGTGTTGCAGCGAGAGGAGAGAATTAACAATCATATCTTGGGAGTTAAAAGGTTAAAGAAATCATAATGCTCAAAAGGATGATTACAAAGGTATTCTGCGTTTTCGAGTTCGTTTTTTTTCCTTTACTTAACGCAGATGAAATTTCCTTTTTTCTTTGAAAGATGGACTTAATTTATCCTCCTCGCTGCAGCGGGCAAACGGCCTTGGTAATCGCTCTATCGAAAGCGTTGTTGAAGACTATGTAAACCAGTTTATAGGTAGGAGTGCCCCTATTTATGTCCACTTGTATTTAGCAATCTTTAACTGAGTTTCGAAAGTTACCGTAAGTAGGCAGCGATTCCACTGGGTTTTCTTTATCTTTCTCTTTGATTGGTCCATAGAACTCGTTCTGTCTTCTCAACCATTCACTCAAAACTGAAATCAATTACGACTCATCCATCCACGTTTTCCCGCGCTTATGTCAGGTTTTCTTTCGCATTGCTTACTTGTGATATGGTATATATGATATAACTTGTGAATGGCTGTTGTAATTGATTTAGGTTTGGTTAACAATTCTCAATCAAAAGGTGCTCTGTTACTTTGACGGAGGTTTACTTTGCCAGATAATCTGCTGTCATCTTTCATTTCAGGTGGATTAAATCTCTCTTCACCACAACAGTTTTCGTTCCCTGATAACCGAACCATACAAAAGTTTGTCAAAGATTATGTGGATGAATACGTTGGTGAGTATGTTCTCATAATGGTGGGTGAAGATGTGTCTCTCCTGTAACCTTTATAACAACGTTTTAACTTAAGATTCTAAGATGAAGGCGTCTTTCTTTTTAAATCGAGGTGAACTCAATTTATCCTCATCACAATCCGCAAACCAAGCACCTGATAACCAAACCATTCGGAGCTTTGTAGAAGACTATGTTGACCAATATGTCGGTGAGTATTCTATGTAAACTGGCCACATATTTATCATCGTCATAGCCTGAGACGAGAGTGTCTTATAGTCATACAATGTTTGATTTGGGGAAAGAGTATGTAGACATTTGCTGGAACAAATTTAAGAGATTTACTGCACTTGTAACTTTGATAAGATGAATATCAAGAAATTATTACAGCTCGTCTTTTTTTTTTTGCGTTTAAGGCAGCCTCAATTTATCCTCATCACAACCGCCTGATAATGATGCGATTCAGAAATTTGTAGAGAATTATGTTGACGAGTATGTCGGTGAGTTTATTAGTGTTTAGTTACTGTGGTTATCCGAGTGACTTTTCGTGTCGCGATTCAGTCATTTTCTATGATTTAAAACAGCTTTGAGCCGACTCCATTCCAAAAGTTTTTCAGCTTCTAGAGTTGAGACAGAAACGCAAAAACACGAAATTTTACTGGAAATTAAGGAAGACTGAATTTCCCCACTTTACAATCCCAATGCCTCTGGCTGCCGAACAACCGCACTCCGTGTACTCATCAACTTCTTCTTTTCGTGAAGGGGTAGAAAAACAAACAAACAAACAACCCACAATCACGGTACGCGACTTATTTGTAGAATTCTCAGTATGGTAATCTTGCTTTTCCTCTTTCATTGAAGGCGGACTCAATATATCCGCATCACAACCTCGACCGAAGTTGCCTGATAACCGCACGATCCAAAATTTAGTGAATGATTATATAAAAGAGATTCTGGGTTAGTATACTGTTGTTATTCGTATGCCTGTCGTTCTGCATTCATTTTCTTTCACGTTATTTGATGTTCACTTCACCTCTTACCCTTTTTATTCCTATTCATTCAAGGCGGACGCAACCTTTCTGCGCTGAAACCTCAACCTCACGATAACCGCACCATCCAGAATCTTGTTGAATTATATCTCGCTGAATATCGTGGTTGGTATACTGTGGTACTTTAAATCCTAGCATTATTATGCTTTGAAAGTTTGTGCGAGTTTCACGACCACTTTGTTCTCTGGCGTGGATATGATTTTTTTTTTTTTAATTTCAGGTGGGCGTAATATTAACGCGACGCAACCGCAATCAACTCCTCCTTCTAACAGCACAATTCAGAGCTTTGTACGGAAATATGTGAACGAATACATCGGTTAGTAAAGGACATACTTATTTCATTTTAGCACTTCATAAATGCCTCTGTACTTCAAGGTCTGTGGTGTTCAAGTTTTCGCGGTTATCAAGTGTGTCTCAACCCTGTAGATCCTAATAGTTATGAAACAGTTATCAATTTAGTGTCAAAAATAATGTCTGGCCATTATAATTGCATTGGTTTTCGTTTTACGACACTCAATCAAAAAGCACTCTATCAGGGACTAATGTTATGTACGTCTTTTTTAGATGAACGCAATTTCTCCGCGTTTCAACCGCAACGTCTACCTCTTGATAACAGCACAATTCAGCCCTTTGTTGAGCACTATGTACAGGAATATTTGGGTGAGTAAGCCACTTGACTTTCTGCAGTTCTCTCACCATTCCCGTTCTTCCAATTGTCTTTCTCGAACAGAGGATTTTTTTCGTTGAAGGTGGGCGCAATCTTTCCGCATCACAACCGCAATCAGAGCCGCTTGACAACAGCACGATCCAGAATATTGTAAACGCCTTCGTGAATCAACATATTGGTTAGTGCGCGGCTTAAATGCTTGAATATCTATGTCAACGTTTTTTTTTTTCCTCTCTTTAAGATTAAGGTATTACTTGCTAAAGATTTTACAATTCTACCACTCAGATGGGCTCAATCTTTCACCAGAAGCGCAGCCACCCCTAAACCGCACAATCCAGAATTTTCTAGAAGCGTATTTAGATAAGTATACCGGTAGGTATAATGTAACAAATCTCACTCGAGTGTAGTTTGCATTTTAGCCTATTTTCGCGATATGGCTGTGACATCAGTTTAGGTGGTCAGTAACTATTTTCTGTTGTCGTTTAACTTTACTTTACCTTACCTTGCCATTACAATCTCGACCGTCTGATAACCGCACCATACAGAGCTTTGTTAAGGCTTTCGTTGCTGAGATCATAGGTGGAAAGAAAGAGTCTGTGATACTGTGTTATGTGGGGCTTTTTTGCATAGGATAGTGTTGCTACTACGAATAACAGTTGCTGTTAACTCGATTTAATCCCAATCATCAGTCTGTAGGTTGCATTACAAACATTAGTATGTTGCATAATGTATGTTGAGTTTTATCATGTTTTTATCTCTCTATACAGTCTCTGCTGCTTTTATAGCTACAAAAGTTTAAGTATATCTGTCATGGTGATATTTGCTTATTTTGCATGGGCATTTTGGCATCTAATGCTTGTTTACGCATGGAACAGTGCAGTAACAACTCTTGGGTCTTTTGTATGTTGCATGGTGTATATCTTAAAGCTGCATGGTGTGTATTTGCATGTTGCACGGTGTGTATTTGCATGTTGTAAATGTGCATATTGTTGCATGATTTCTACTCCACTTGTAATTGCGTGTCTTGCATATTGCGAGATGCATGTGTTGCATGTTTTCTTCATGTTGGTCTCGCGCATGTCTTTACATGGTCCCTTTTGTGCAAAGGATAGACTCTACTTTAGCTGCTCGTTCATTCTGTTGTATGTTACATGATTAATTTGCATGTTATTTATACATATTTATCTGATTAAAATGTACCTAGCTGATTTGAAGTTCGTAACTAATTTTTAATATGGAAGGATTTTTATATCCTACAATTTCTTACTCTGTGTATCAACGTTCGATAACTGAATGGTGTTTACTACTGCATGTCATCATCTGTTATTTTGTTTAATGTATAGTGATATATCATAAATTGCTATGCATATGCGCATTTAATTGTAGCCGTTAATATTTCCATACAAGAAAGAACACGTAGTGCTGGATGTGCTTTATTGGTCAGTTTTTTTTTTTTTGCATTGTATCCATCACTGCATGTGCATGATGCACGTTTACTTGCATGTAAAATAATATTTATCAATTTATGCATGCATGCTGCATTTTCTTGTATGTAACTTTCCCTAGATGGGAGCGAATTGAATCAAAAAATCATCGAAGTGGTGAATTCTCGTTTGAGAACCATCACAGGTAAGTTTCTGGTTTAGAGAACATTCGAACCGAAATTGCATGATTTGAAATCAATTGTGAACATTTCTAATGCACTAAACAGGAATGACAATGTTTCTTTTTATAGTGATTCCTGTAATCTATTTAATTCGTAGTCTGCTGGCAGCCGTGACGTTCCAATGGACGGCTGCGAAAATTATGCGTAATTCTAAAAAGTATCGTATTATACGTGCTATGTTTGTAGTGCCCTTAAAAATGGTGTTGAATCGTTATATGTGCATGTCATGTGTTTCGAAAGCTACAATGGAAAATGCGTGTGTGTATCTAAAAGAGGAATTTCATTGTAGCTGATCGTAAAAGCGAGGTTCGCAGCACCTTTATTTACTTTATCCTGGTACTCGTTTCAAGGCTGTTTGCAATTAATTTTTTAAAGAAACCGTGATCATAAAAACGTTTAGTTATACATGACAAACCGGACACTGTACGCTGTTGTGTTGGATGTACTATTTATCTCATAAGGAAGGAACGATTCTTTAAAAGTCATCTCGTAGCTACTCTCCATCTCACGCTATGTCACGCAAATTGATGCAAGACTATTGCAAATCATGAACTGGTGCCACTCCAACCCACACTGTACCTATGAACATGTCATGCTTAATCTTCTATGCCATACCATACCATACATGTCGTCATTCAATTCCAATTCCAATTCAAGAAACATCTTACTAATTCATATCATACCAAGTCGTGAATAGAAATGCAATGCCATGCCTTACATGAAATGTCATGCAATGCTATACCTGCTATGCGCAAGCCAAGCAAAGAAACATGCCATGCAATACTATGCAGTGCGCAGCAATGCTATGACCGTCTCGATGCCCACATCGGTCATTGCCATATCAGTTAAAACTTCCTCCTTACTCCTTGCGGGAGGGTCTCTAAACCAAGCCAAACCAAACTAAGGTAAGTCAGCCCAAGGTAAGCCAGACCATACCATGCAGTGTTATGCTGTAGGCGTGCCGTCCACGTGCAGTGTAATGCAGTAAGAAGCATGCCGTCTAAATGCAAGGTAATGCAGTAAGCATGCTGTCCACGTGCAGTGTTATGTAGTAAGCATGTTGTCTGACACGCCAAGCTATGCAAAGTCATGCTATGCCAAGGTTCTACCTTGCTTCACTATGCCATGCTACACTCGACTACGCCAAGCTCTTACGTGAATTGGAAATTTTTAGACAAGGGCAAAAGGCTGCTATAGAATTAAGTGTTTCTCTTCCTTGTTCACATAGCAATGCTATACTCTGTGACCAGAAAACTTTGCCATTCAGTACGCACCGCACTGCCATTGTAGGTGAAGCCAGCCGTGACTTGGCATAAGGCTGTACAATCTGTTATCATTTCTGAATTCATAGTTATCACTTCTTGTTTGGTTTCTTTCAATAAAAAGATTCATCCATCCAATCTGTCAGCCTTTATCGTTCCTGTCGATGCACTCATTCGAATACCAAATTGTTTTCTTGTTACGTGTTCTTAAACGTGCGTCTTCATGTATTTATTTGATCTCCTCAATCTCTCAAGAAATCCATAGATTCTTGGCTTAGGGAAAAGTATCGCTTTCATTCATGTTGTTTGAAAAAAATTAACTGTAATTACGTAAATGCTGTTTGTTCTTCAAGGACTGGCACCTTCTTTCTATTCCTAAGAATATTCTTGTCGTTTCTTTTATCCGTTATTTTGTCTTCATTTGTCGCTTCACAGTGATTTTAGAAGGAAAGAAGACTGAGGATAAGATGGAAGTTTTAAATTCTTACTCTTGACAGATGTGAAGTCAATCCCTGGTCCTCCGGGTCCACAAGGAATTCAGGGGCCCGCAGGTCCCCCTGGTGTTCAAGGACCTGTTGGTCCTCCCGGTATGCCGGGTGCAAACGGTCAAGCGGGAGCAGCGGGAACACCTGGCCCCCCGGGGACTGCAGGGGCCCCGGGTGCAAACGGACTTCCGGGCCCTCCAGGTCCTTCAGGAAATGCAGGGGCTCGTGGCTCACGGGGTCTGCGTGGCCCTCCTGGACCCCCGGGGCGGTCAGCTCCGACAAAGGTTACACGCCCAACGGGAGACGGAGATGGCAAGCAGACAAAGGAGCCGGACAAAAAAACACCAACGTTTGAAGGATTCTGTGAGTAAATGCTATTTGTAAAATCATTTGGCGAGTTTTGTGAAGAGATCACGCTTCCAGACCCTCAAGAAAGGCCAAGCTACCTTGTTACATACATATTTTAGCGACATTCATTTAGCGAATTTATCTTTTTTCAAGATAATTAACGGTAACTAACCTAAAAAGCTCTATAGGAGGCTTTTTCGTTGCCATGAGATACTTCCTTGAAGCCCTTTACCCCTACGAGTGATAGCATCTAATTTCTCCCTACAATATCACCACTGAATCATACGGTAAAGTTGCAAGATACTCGTGCGCACAAAGACGTACGTTCGTACATGCGTACGTACGCATTCATGCGGACGTACGTGCGTGCGTACGTACGCACGGATGTACGCACCTACGTACGCACGAATGTACGCACTTACGCATGCACGTGCGTACGTACGCATGTACGCATGTACGAACGTACGTCTTTGTGCGCACGAGTATGCGTCTCACACGAGTATGCTGCCAAGGCTGCACACAATTCAAACAAATTCTCCTGTCAGCACCTTAGGAAATGTACGGAGAATTGTATCGAGAATATGTATACTGATGTTAGGGTGTAAAGGATTAAAGAGCAAAAAATTCTTTCATTCGCTCGAGTACGTTTAGATTACATTACTAGGATGGGACCATGTGGGTCAGTGAATGTTGTACTTTCACAGTTACCAAACCTCCAAAAACTCTTTTTCAGCCAAGCCGAACATAACAATTAAGCCTCCGAAATCCTACATAGCTACGAAAGGAGACTATATAGTCCTAGGTTGCTCTGCCGATGGATTACCGAAACCAGAAATAATTTGGGTGAAAAAGAACAATGGACGTGCGGTCATCGGAAATTATTTCACCTTGGAGAACGCTCTCCCGGAGGACTCTGGAAACTGGACTTGCCGTGCAAGTAACCTCATGGGTACAGATACCGCTAACGTAGAACTTATCGTAGCGAGTAAGTGATCTGACAATGATGGTAAATGGTAATTTTATTGTTCGTATAGCTGACAACTTCAAGCTTCCCAAGAAAACATAACTGGCAATCATTTTAGTGTAGCTTGGTGTACCCGACTAGTTAACGTTAACGTCTAGCTTGCGAGCATGCTCTTATTATCAGCGCCTCAGTGGGAGCGTTTCTTCCCACGTGAGTAAGTTTAAGGCCTTAAGCATCACTTGCCGGCGAGACGTTTGTCAGACCACTTGCAGACCCCTCGCCGGCTGATGTTGCTCAATGCCTCAAACTTATTGGAGAGTGGAGAACCGCTCCCACTGAGGCGCTAATAATGAGGCGTAGGCGCAGAACCCCCTATTCAGAAATTCTGGATCCGCCTCTTCCAGTTCTAACTGCTCTTTCCGTTAAGAACTAAAAAAACGATACTCGCAATTTTCTCTTGACTTATTTTTTAGCCGAGCCGACATTCTCTATAGCACCCGTGCCAAAAATCACAGCTTTTACGGATCAAATCACCGAGATAAAATGCGATGTAGAAGGATTTCCATCACCCAAGATAGAATGGCGTCGTCAAGGCAACAAGGAGCTTCCTTTTGAAAGGCACTATATCCGAAATAACAACCTGTACTTAAGGAATCCTATCAAAGCGGATGAAGACATCTACATGTGCCACGCCTCAAACCCAGCAGGGTCTGTTATGGGAGGTACTGAGGTCACAGTACAAACCTATGGTGAGTTTGTTTGAGCAGTGAAACTTACACTAACCCTGTTACACCGTAACATCAGTAAGTATATGCTCAATACTGTTTGTCATACATTTCGTAAGGTGCTGACTGGGAGGATTTGTTTAACAATCAAGAGCCTCCTCAGTTGGTGATCATTTCGTTTATTCTCGTGAGACTTCATGTGTGATTCAGGGGTAATATTGTGAGGAGAAATTAAGGGTAAGTCACTCTTAGAGATCAGGCGGTTAAGCCAAGCTGTACTAACTTGGTCAAACATCAGCCCAACTCTCAATCGTCCTTTTTTCGTATTTGCGAAGACGTCGCATTATTTGAAAAGTTTGTGGCTTTTAATAAATAACTGACTAAATCCCTGTATCAAGCAGACCCAAGCAAGGGTCTCATACGAAAGTTTGTTCGATACAAGTTTCATTGTAAGAGTTTGTAAAAGTTGAGGAATCAGGCCTTCTGACATACAAGACTTCCCCCCACAGAATGAACTTCGAAAATCGGCCAACTATGTGGATTGCTCATTCTGGTTCTGTCACGATCGTAATAAATATAGACCAGGTTCGGTTTTACGGTGGGACTTTGATCGTAAGAATTAAAATCCTTGCCAAACTGACTTCTAAAAGACTAGTAATTATTTGTGGCCGGAGGATTTTGGTTGTGTCACGTTAATTTTACCTGATCCTCCCATATGGTTCTGTGTTAGCAGTCAATTTTCTATAGTCTCCCTTAATACTCAATATGGCGAGAACTGACTCCCCCCCCCCCACTCTGTTTCCCCTGAAAGACCTTTGAGCCCCCCCTCTCCCAACCGCCGGTGACAAATACTGATTGGTCCCTTAAACTCTTTCCCAGAACCAGTGGAAGTGACAAACGTTCCTTTGAGCATTGTGACACTCCAAGAATTCGATGCTCCTGTCCGCGTAAATTGCTCCGCACGTGGTGTGCCTATGCCGAATATCACTTGGTATAAGGATGGTGTTGCCATGCCAACGAGGACAATAATCGATGGCGATGAGGTTACTGGAGAACTAAACCTGGAGCGGCTTCGACCCGAAGAGCAGGGAGATTACAAATGCGTTGGAACGACCTCTGTGAGGAACGAACCATTCACGTACACGACGACAATTGGTGAGTATTCTGTAGAATAGGCTTCTTTTTTGGGATGTTTTTCAGAAGGGCCGAAGCTAGGGCGAGAAGAGGAATGCTGAAAAAAAAGGAACGCGCTCCTCTCTTCGCGTTTGACAAGCTTCTCGCACTTGTCCCGCTCTCGACCCACACTTATCCTTGTTTGCAGGACTGAACAAACTAAACGTAAGCTTATTTCCGAATGTAATTAGTCTCGCGCGATACTTAAACCCATTCAGACGCATTGGAAACAAATGATACCTTGTTCGCTCGCGTTTTCCCGCGCTTTTGGTTGTATGCCTTTCTTCACCTTGATTCCTCATCGGCTCATGATGACGCAAACCTTTTTTATGATTGGTTCATGATGACGCAAACCTTTCTTATGATTGGCTCATGATTACGCAAACTTTTTTCATGATTGGCTATTGCGATTACTTTGGTTGTGATTTTGCGTCATTTAATTGAAACCTGCTCTTAATTTCGATTGGAAATTGCTACAATTGATTTCTTACTGACTTCTTGTGTGTACAGAGCTTCAAAAGTGCCGTGAGCTGGCTGATCCTGTCGACGGTTACAAGATAAGCGATGATTATTCTGTTGTGGGAAGTATTGTGAGGTTTGCTTGCAATCCAGGCTGTATGCTGTATGGATCGTCTGCCAGAGTTTGTGGCAAAGATGGAGTGTGGAGCGGAACTCAGCCTTATTGTAAGTTTACTAAATTATACATTTTAGTAGCTCCGTGTCTTTTCAGTGTTAGCTTCGATAACCAACTGTTGTTCGGAAAATGAGCCTCGATAACCCACCGTTGTTCGGAAAATGAGCCCACGCTCCTACCCCAAACAGACACCCGGGGAAGATCAGGCCTGGAGTATAGTGTGCGGAGGAAATCAAGCTTTAATCAGTTAAAAATCATAGATGAAATAAGCCTATTCCATACTTTTCATTAAGGAAAACGAAGCGCGATTGTAAACGGCGAGATAGTGGCGTAATGAACAACCTGACTAAAACCTCTCTCGTTTTTTTCCCACTGTTGCTACTATTGCGCCGTGTTCTATTTCGCGCGGATTCCGTGCTGTTTTACTTGCTGATGAGGCTAAGGCGACACCAGAAACACTCGTAGGAGGGGAGGGGGGTCAACGACATTCCTTGTCTCAGCATGAAACACTAGCGCTGGATTTGAATTCGACCCAGACTATCGCCATTATCAATCAATTATCAACGTCAATTTGTAAGTGTCTTATTCCAAATCATAAACCTCATTTTTTTTTCGAAATTTACATTTAATTTCGACTTAGATGACACTCGATTATCAACGCATGAGTCTGTCGTTTTTTATGCCTCGTTCTATTTTTCTAGGTTACAATGTAGGACTAGTGGCTTACGAATGCCAACACTACCGCCTCCTGACAGAGCAGGACAGAAACCTCATGAGTCGAGAATTGTTGGGTAAATGCGACGACAATTTAGCAGAGGGTTGGTACCGAATTTCTGGTTCCGCTGGGGTTCAGATGCCAAACGCATGCCCAGGCCCCGGTAGATGTAACACACAATATCCCGGCTGGTTGTTTGGCTCGCATCCTCATAAAGATGACGGGTGTGTTGAACGCATGGTTTGTTTTGGTGATTATGTGTCCGGCTGTTGCGAGCTTCGCCGTAAGGTACTGGTGAGGAATTGTGGTGGATTCTACGTTTACAAACTCGGCCCAACTCCCGGATGTAATCTCCGCTACTGTGGACGAGATGCGCCGCCTGCGGTTGACGGATGGTGAACTGGACACTTCTACTCGAACTATGTTTTGATCTCTTTAAAACTGGTTTCATTTTTTCATAATTTTTTTTCTCAGAATAAAAAGCTTTTGTTCTATGTTTGTCATGCTAGTGTTATCAATGGAGGTTTTTAATGGTAGACGGTTGCTAGTCATTGCATTGATTGCCCGGTTGTTATTTATTGCATAAATCTCTATCTATTGAAAAACGCAGTACGCTTATTCGCTGAATTGCGATTTATCCATTGGATAGCGTTATCTGCCCTTTGAACAGCTGAGTCTGGGCTTTAAGCACCCGGAAATTGAAACTGTATGAGTTGATGTTTAGTCTACCAAAGCTTTTCTTTAGCACTGTTACACACTAGATGTAAAAATATGCACCATTATTTGGTACTTCAACACTTCTCAAGAGGAAAACAATTAGCTTCATGGCATCCCCCTCTTAGCGAGTACCAAACATAGCAGAGGATCAATTGCCCGGTGTAATTTAATCGCGATCTAAAACTATTAAAATCGATGTACAGCCTAAGGAAGTATTCAGTTCAACCTGCTTCGTCTCGGCCTGTCATTGTTTGCGTTGTTCACTGATTTTACAAAACTGTTTTTCGCTTTAAAGATGACAACGAGTTTCGTCGCCTCTAGGAGTTCACGCACTTTTATTCCGGTTCAAGGAAATGGTTGCCAGTCGTTTACTGGAGATACACTCGTACAAAGGTATGTGTTATAAGGTGCCTGAACGTTAATTAATGTAAACGCTTTCTTACCAAGCTTTTGACAAGTCTGTCTCGCCAGACACCAGAATTTTACGCTAGGGAACGTAAACTATCGGTTGTGAATGTTAACCTTAGCCGATTTCATTACCTTCGTGGGGGTGATTTAAAGCGACTTGAACGAGCGAGAAGTCCATCACGCGAGCGAAGGTCTGATCTCCCTCGCGCGTGTATGACTCGTTCTCGCGCACCACCTGTCACTAGGCAGTACGGAGTTAATAGGCGGGCGAAAATCTTAATTGCATGACTTACTTGAGCTCTTAGTGTATTAAAGTTGAAACTCTCAGGGGCCACCACGCGCTTAGCCTATGCTTATGTAAATAAAGTAATGTTTCTGTTGGATGTCGCTCACCCTAAACAGAATGTGACATTTCGCTCGCGCGTGTCGATCTTATCGTCTTGCGCTGTGTTAAACCTGCTCGGGCTGATATCCACAATGCAACTACGTAATGGTTTTTAATTATACGATTCAGAACTACTTTGACTGGCACCTCTATGCGTATATTTTGTGGTCGTTTTTTCACTCAATCTGAAAGCTGAAGAACTAAGGAAATTATTATGACATAGGATGGGATCTTGCGTTTATACGTGACCGTATAAGGTGAGATCTGTCTAACTTCCTTAATCAGTTGACAATCATTCACGCACTCGAAACTGAAAACATTTTTAATGAGAAAGTGGAAATATTTCCTCGTCTTTGTTATACTATGATATATTTTTACTTCTTTAGCCAATGATTGGACAGTTTTCCCAATGGAAAGCGAAGCGCTGTGTCACTATGGACACAAAACATATCACACGCGATACGTGTTGTTTTGAAGAAACAGAGAAACGCCAACACGCCCTTGAAAATCCACCTGTTATTGACTTGCTAATTGAAAATTTGAACCGGCTTTTGTCATGATCATATTTAATTCCAGTAAGAGACAAGCATGAACATTTTTCTCAATCCCATTTCGTTACGTACAAGTTTAGTCCCCGAGAAACGCCGTCCAACAGAATTTTGAAAAGGGTATTGACAGAGGGATTATTTGTCATGGGTTAGGAGTGTAACATGGGAATGATGGTCAGGTCAGTTAAAACTCAAATGATTGGGTACTTAAAGCGTGAGTCGTAAACTGTATCATTAGCCGCTGAGGAGTTTGTTGTTTGCGCTAATATTATGGAGCGTGAGAAACATCTTACTCCTCGGAAAATGGCGACGCCTCTTTTTCTCGCACCATAAGTGCTACATCCATAAACTGTTCGCTCCTAACTGAGGTGACCTCGAAGCTAGGGAAATGACTACGATTTTTTTCTTAATTTGCTGCACGCCTTATGACAGTTGTTTGTGAGGGTAACGGTGGTCTTATGACCGAAGCGTGGCGTGCCGTAGTACTGCGGTTCAAAAGTGACGATTTTGACTCTTTGGGTTACTGTGATCCGCTCTCTTCACCCAGGAGTGTAAATTGGTACCAGAATTCAAGGAAGCCTGTTTAATGCTGGAGGGAGGGAGGGGAGGGGGGGCTGCGATAGACATGCGTCCCATCCAGGGAGAGTAGTAATATTTCGAGTCACTTCGTACGGCAAAAAAACGAAAAAGTCTTCGCAGCTGTGTAAATCGGTTTCGCAGGCAGACTTCACCTGCGTCACACAATGTTTTTATCTTAGCTCGTGTATTGTGGCGGAAGTTTTGGCAAAATAAGCAGAGATACTGACCTTTTTTGTGTTTCTTTTCTTAAGAGACGAGTGTCATTCGAATTGCTAATCCCTTAATACCTTAGTAGAGAGTTTCCGTTGTATTTCTGTGACAGCCATTTGAACCAAATTAATCCGATTTTCCGACACTGGTCCATGCGGAAATGTGACATAAACTTGTGGAAATAACGGAATCAATTGTTTTTTACCTGACAGAAATACCTCAGAGATAATTTCGTTGTCGAATGAAACCTTCTCTCGACCTCTTCCCTCGTCAGAGATACTAAAAACCAGAGTAAAACAGTATTCATCAATCGAGTGAGATTGATTGATCGACAGACTATTTGTTAATCTATATGCGCATAAATTTTACCTGTTGCAAAAATATTGACAGTGCTGTCGACGTAAGAGTGACAAATCATGACTTCCTATACGATAATTTGATTACTAAAGCCTTGTATCAGTGAATCGTGACTTAGCTCTCTGTTATTGTTTTTCATGTAATTTTTTAATATTTTTGCACAGATTTCCAAAGACAGATATTTAGACATTTCAAGTAGTATGTTGCTTGAGGCGCTGGCATAATTTATGAAAGTCATTCTCGCCTAGATCTGCTGAGCCCTATGGGACTTGAATTTAAAAATATTATTCAAAGCGAATAAACGAGTGCTTTACAGAGGCGTACGCACAATGTGACGTAGTAAACGAAAGACAGCAGAATATGTCTTCTGGTAATCGAGGTGTTCTCCAAGTGTTTCGCCGGGCCGCAAGGAAAGCTAAGAATTTTCGACTCTTCACCAAAAGGTAGGCGTCTCTGTAATGTAGGTGTTTGTAAATCGAGTACATTTGGCAAGGCGGGGGGGTTAGTCTGTCGACAAAAAGAACGCTGTTTGGCCGAAGTCTTCGAAATTCTCTGTAGTACGAAAACATTGCAGAAAACAATTTGAACGATTCTTCGGGAACACGCAATAGCTGCGAACACAAGCCTACGCGTAAACACGCGATTAAGGGTTCGATCATTCGGTAGAAGTCGATTTCATCGATCGTGCTCCACAGGGACAATGAGTGCTTCTGGATTCTATTAACCAGAGATGGAAATTGATTATGGCTCGAAAAGCCCTCGCGAAATTATTTTCTTTTCACGAAGGATTTACTGTTTTGCGAAATAGAGAGGCCCACTCTTTTCAAAAGCGAGAAAAGTAGCGCATTTCCTCAGTGCTGATTTGCTAGGAAACCTTTCCCGATGCATGGATTGCAAGTTCATCTGACTTGTTTCAGTTTGTTTATATCTGGTATGGATTTAGAATCGAAAGGTAGGATCAATAGAATGTTAGCGATTTTTATTTTTCGTCCAGGTTCTGGTGGCGATATTTTGGTTCAGGTCTAAGATCGCTAGCAATTCGCTAAATGAAGGGTCAAAACTGTTCAATTGAGCATCGTTAAGGTCATTAAGTGTGTTATCACACGACAATAACAGGTTTTTTTCCCATTGTTCACATGCAAAGCACGCATGAAAATAAAACCGATTGTGTGTTTGATCTCACCATACCGTACGATCGAAGCTACGATCAAGTTCTTCACGCTTCTAGTCACGCGCGTCTCGAGTGACTCCCCTTGGCGGAAATCGACTAGATTTGTAAAATTACGCTTAGCAAATAATCGAGGAATATTCAGTCGACCAGTCAGCAATTTCTTCGGTTAATTTATTTATGTTTGCTTTGATATTAGCCATTGAATCAAAGTGATTTTGCTCTGTATTATAATATTTTCCGGTTGCTCGAGGAGCGAGGCCAGCGAAGACGTCAAGACACCCATAGCTACACACTTATTGTTTACATTTGTCACCTTAAAATGTTTTTGCGATTTTCATTTACAGTTTACATTACTGACAAAGAATTGCTTCCTGATGTAATTATTAGTTTTCCGGTCGCTGGTCTAAGGCCAAGCTACCATGCATCAACGAACAGTGGAATAGTAACACCGCGATAAAATTTTTCACGCAACAAATTAGTAAAGCTGTTTTGACTTACTTCAGATGCTTTGTGTAAAGAAAACATCATTGGGCAAACATTGGTTCTTCTGTCGGTGGTCAAGGCGATTTTACGGTTCACTAAATTTCCCTTTACTAAAAAAGTACGAAAGTGGGCATCGTAAAACCATGGTACTATTATTATTACGACATGGACTTTGGTTTTGAATACTGTCATCACTGCTCTATTTCCAATCGTGGTTGTTTTCACTTCTTTGAAACAAGGACAATAAAAACGTCATATCGACACTGTTACAGGTACACAGACAAACGCTAGCATCATCATGAATCAATACACTCAGACACCGTCTCACTCAACAGCAACAAAGACATTTCAAGGTTAATCTCATAGATAGGAGATTTTTCATTTTGACCACGCTTTACATGACCTTGGCGGGGAGCGGCAGGACACAACGACTCTGGTAAACAAATGCATAACCGTAAATGGTGTTTCTTTTCGTATATTGAGCGTTGAAGCGGAAGAGGTGGGCTTAGATTGAGGGAATCCAAACAATTTCATGTTACCGGTATTTTAACAAAGCGAATACCGTTACTGTCGGTTTTTCATCAAATTAAGATGGTTGCTCTACCGCCCGTATTTATAGGATAACTAAAAAACGACAAGTTTCTGGAAGGAAATCGTTTAGAGGAATAGCAGCGTCCGAGATCTTTCTAGAGCTTTTCTGGAAAGGATTAAATTAAAAATCCATAGATCTGTAGACCCTTTACTTTCGTGACCTTTCATTAAAAACGAATATTTTTGTTATCACTGTTTTTGCGGGCTTTTATTTCGTATTTTTCTTCGCTTTTTGCGCAAACGATGCAAACCACGTACGACGTTGAATATGTCTCGACTTGACCCAGTATTTTTCTAGTTTTGATCGTGTCTCTTGTTTGATAATTGAAAATCAAAATCATGCAAAAATTGGAGTTTGATCTGACGTACCGATAAAAAAAGGCATTTGAAGGAGCAATAGTGATTGTTGTGTTCAAAATAACCAGCAGTTTCGTACCCTGCTTGGATTTTTAGTTAACATGCTTTAAGAGAATAAGATAGTTACGGAGGAGCAAATATTGTAGATTGTCTTCAAATAACCAGCACTCTCCTGCCGTGCTTGTTCCATCATTTGTAGAGTGAACTGGAGTCTTCCTGTCATCTGAAGCACCATTTCCGGTATGTGTCACGTCCAAAATTTCGTGACGTACCAGAGATGTTGATAGCTTAGAAAAATATGACGATCTTAGATCAATACAGAATGCTGAACCTGAGAAAACAGATATGAGATAAGATCTGGACCGTTTTTACAGATTTTATATTCAGTTTGAGTGCTCTTTACTACCTGAAATCTAACACCCTCGTGCATTATGTAATCCGACAATACCAAGTCACGCAGACGACTTCCGGTGATGAAGTTATTCAACTATATCCTTCGCCGGTACACAGTCGTCACTTTGTCGCCGGCGATTCAAATGCGCAAGTAGAGAGGAACGTATCATGCGAGTCCTAGATTTTTCGTCGGAGACCTTTTACGATTTGAAACGCTGGTAAGGGAGAATGAATTACTCTAAAATACGTTGAATATTGCGTTTGCAACGCGAATGCCTTGCGAGATGCTTGTCAACATTACTGATGCGCAAGCGCAACCTCAAGTTTTATTTTCTTTTATTTCGCCTTAACGGGAATGACCTGACGTGCGAAATCTCGTCGCAAATTTAATCATTGATGTTAGAGGTTGCTGATGTTATAGTTTTCGATGTGGTATTCTTGATGCATAATGTCCTTGGTGACTGTGTTAAGGTCTCCGTCAACTTCAGACAGCACGAGTTTGGCCACGGAAGAATCGGTAACATTTAGTGGACGTGCGCCTTTAGTGTTTTCTCAACTTTTACGATGATGTTTGATCGTCGTGTCGATGTTTTTATTTGATTGATACACTCTTAGGATGTTGACGAAGATCAAGAGGATAGCTCACTGAATAGGTCTAGAGCGTAAGTTTTGCCTTGGTTTTAATCTGAATCAATGTTTGCCGACAAAACAGTCAACGGCACATCTTTTCAATTATCGGTCAAGGTGTTAGAGGCTGCATGTATCTCATAGGGCAGCCCGTTACAAGGAAATAACTTCATTTTCCACCTCGAGGCTATGAAAGCGTGATAATTAACTTACTTAAAGCCAGGAACTTTTATCTTTTTGAGCAACTGGGTGCAATAAAATTGAGAGATAAGTTAAAAGGTTTCGAACTTAATTTCGCTCGCGATCTTGCTTCTGTTAAATGCCGCATTATGATTGACTGCGAATTTGACATTTGAAATAAGTTTGATCAATAATTCTCTCAGATTTGCCTTTCGAACCTTATTTATCGTGGCAGAGAAGCAGATTGAACCTCTGTTTGTTTACGCTAATAAAGTCACTGCTTCAAATTTGTTTGAGCGTTGGAAAGTCAATGAAAATATTGTAAGAATTCGCAGATGTTCTTGCATTAACGGACCGCAAAGGTGTTGAGAGATCTGTGGTCAGATAAAGTTCTTAGTGTCTTGGTACGGAGCCAAAATAGTTGCACTTGCCAAAAATAGCGAATGTAAGTTGTCATTTAGGTACCGGTGTCCAGATTTTAACAACTTTGATATTCTTGTACCTAAAAGCATGTTGATACCCCCAAAATTTTTCCAAGTTGGTCATGTTAGGTTGTGCGATACCCATAAAAATGTTCGAATTTGTTGAGTGCAACAGTTAGTAAAATTAAATATTTTTTCCTTGAGCAATCACTGTAATTATGCATAGTTCTAAACTGCAATTATTTCAGACATGTTTCTTAGCTTCTAGGGATGTAATTGACTTGTAAACCACAAGGGAAATTGTTGTCATTTTGAGGAAGTACTTAAGCCTTTGGTTTTCGTGGACAACTTTTCAGCTACTTGATATTGGGTAAAAATTAGTTCCTTAGGTCAAAAACTGGTTACAAAATGTGGCCTTATTTACATTGTTTTTGTTAGAACAGTATGGGACCCTGTGTTAATTTGAGAAACTTCCATATCACTCTCCAAGAGGCTTTCACAGTGAAAGAACCAATATTTTATTAATCACCTCTATGTCAAAATTGTATTTTGTGAGCAGTTAAAACTATAATTTGTGTTGGGCATACAAAAGAAACTGTGTGTACTGTATGTCAGAATCAAAGCAGTCTACACATTAACACCTTTTTTTTATTTTAATCCTCTCTATTATGATAGGTGCCAAGGCCTGTACTAAACGCTTTTAATTACAAGTAATTTATTTCCCTGTTCTCCGTTGGTAATACTTATTTAGATGCATTTTCCTACTAGAGGGTTTCTATTCATTTGATCATTTTCTGTAATCGTTTAGTTCAGATATCTTTCAATAGTTTGCTACTTTTCAACTGTTGATATGTTTTCTGTAAAGCAGAAGTGTGCTAGGCTTTCTACAAGTAAAAGTGGTTCTTTTAGAGAAACACCTTGTTGCCTGCATGGCTCCAACATTGACCGAGGCACCTGTTGAGTTTTCATGATGTTTCTGTAGCACTATTTCAGACTATTGTGTTGACTTTGGATCCACAGCTGAGGGCTGATGCATGTAATTATCTTTTGTCAGGAATAACAGATATTGTGGCTACTGTAGCATTCATAATCCTTATGCCATGAAGCATTCTCATGGTCAGAAGTTATTAATACCCAACAGATTAGCATGTAATTTATTTTGCTTTACTTTACATGAGACACAGCTTAACAGTTGGAAATATGAAAAGTTAGTCTTACAATAGATCATTAGTACATTTGTGTATTCAAATTCACTTACATGGGCATGCTACCAATTTTCTTTTGAGGCAAATGATGTGTGTCTATAATGTAAAATAGGTTTTGGTTAGTCCTGCTGGTCATTGTCGTTTGTTTGCATTGAAGCATCACAGAGGAAATTTTTGGTTGAAAGTAAATTAATATGGGGTCGAAAATGTCATAAAACAATATGTTTGTGAATTACCTGTGCATTCATTGAGATATGGAGAGTTTGGAGAGCCCTCATGAAGCCAAGGTTTTTCAAGGCTAAGCCTTTTCAAGTGATTTTGTTAATTAGCTTATAAAGTTATTCACCTTAAAAATTTTTTTCAGGTCAAGTTTTGAAGGATTCTTTGCATCTAAAGGAGCAGCATATGCCCTTCCTGATGGAGACTTTGCTCGCCGGGCCACAAAGCATGGAGGTGAGTTTTGTCTTGAACTGAAATTCTGAAAAATAAATCATGTGTCCCCTAGGAACAACCAAAAGTAACTTTCCCTTTTAAAATCAATACGTTTCAAGCAGAAAAGTGATGAGAAGGGAAAGGAATTATTAGTAGAGAATGTTGTGTGATTTAACACCAAAATCTCAGATCTAAATTCGTTAGAAATGAATGGCAAACAGTCTGGTCAATGCGAAATGATGTTTATTTTACTAAAATATCAGTGCATTGTCTGCAAGATTGATTCAAAAACCAATCAGAAATTTATGAGCATTTTTTTATTAGACAGCAATGTTTCCATATTTCAATGTATATTTTGATGTTTTGTTAATAATTCATGTATTTAAATCACAACCAGGGCAGCACTGATCAAATTAAAATGTATTTCCATTGTAGGAGAGATGCAATTGCATCTGCAAGCCATGGTGAACTTACTGCGGGATGAAGATGTGCTTAGACTTGTAAGATTAAAATTTTGATTGACTTGCTTGTACACTTTTTAACTTTTGAGCACCTCTAATTTCTTCTTACTATTATTAACCCTTAGTAAAATCTTAAGCCCTTTAACTACCAGAAGTGACTAACATGTAACTTCTTCCTATAATAGCCATTCCTTTTCTAGAAAACAGTCAGTGAGAATACTAAAACTTATCAGGAAGAAGTTTTTATCTTGATCTTACACCAAATTCTCGTGACTAATTCACAAGGAATTGTGTAGCAGCAAGAGGAGAGAATTAACAAGCAGATCTTGGGAGTTAAAGGGTCAAGTCACAAGAATAAAGAAAATGATCAGCTTCTAATGAAGCTCTTGATGGTTTTACAAATTCTCCTTGTTAGAACATTGGAAATGTACAGAGAACAGTATGGAGAATATGCATAATGATGTTAGGGTTTAGGGAAATTTTCTCTCTCAAATCATAAGAATGAAGGAACTAGCTAAGTATATATCCAGTGCAATTAAATAATAATCACTGTCAAGATCTCACAAAAAAGTAAAATTATTTTTACAAAATACAATACTGGTACAAATGTAACTTGAGTAATCATGCTTAGATGGAAAATATAAATTATGCTTTGCTAATGACAAGAAGATCTTTCTTTATATTCTCAGTTACAGTAAAGTTAAGTTGTTTGATATTTTCGTTTTTATTTCTGTGACCAGGTCATCAAACTGGAGTGCCAGTATCCAAACAGAATTCGCTATTTAACAATTGTGTCAGCATTTGGTCCAGATGAAGAAGAGCAGAGTATTATCATGGGAGTGGATTGGACTGACAAGTAAATATAAGTAAAATATGATGCACTTAGGTCCTGCCTAATTGTTAATGAGCCAGTATGTTGTTTACCTCGATGTGCATGAATGCTTTGAGGTTTCAAATCTTACTTGGGAATAGATAAAGATGTTTTCATCTTGTCACAAGTGTGGGACAAAGAAAAGATTCAGAGTCCTCATGAAGAATCAAACCTCAGACCTTTGCATTCCGTGCTCCGATGCTCTACCACTGAGCCTCAGAGACTCCACAGTGAGCAAGGGCTATTATGAAGTTCATGTGACATGTGTCCTGCTTACTGCTAGGATCAGCATTGTCAATAGCGGCTTTTTTTTGTAGATAGATTCCTCATGGGGACTCAGAATTTTTTCTATGTCCCACGCTCATGACAGACGAAAAAATCTTTCTCTGTTTCTTTACCAAGCTCAAAACTTACTATTTCTCTTATTTCTACTTACATGGGAAGTTTAGATAGCACTGAAAAAGCTAGAGTTGCTCTTAGCTGTGCCTCAAGTACCTCTTACACTTTTGTCATGCTCTCCAGACTCCTCACATACATTCATAACTCAAATTGCATGCAGCCAAAAGTGCTGTTTTTGTTCATGCCCTCAACTTATTCCTTGTGACATGCATCATTTAGCATAAAAATAAAATCCTGGGAAATTGAACTCTTCGTTCCACTTGAAAGACTTCACAGAAGAAGGCAGAGGTACATTTAGAGGTTGGCTTCTGGTTTGACTTGGTTTTGTATCAGTCAGTTGGAGCCATGAGGTTCTCTGATTTTGGATAAGGTAGAATTGAAAGAAAGTCAGAGAAAAGCACTGCCTCCTCTCCCCACAGTAGAAATAGTTGTGAGTACTGACTATGCTGTAAGAGGCACGGTGGCCTCACAATTAGTGTGCTAGACTCCGGATCGGGTGGTCTGGGTTCAAGCCCTGGCTAGGGTCATTGTGTTGTTTCTTAGGCAAGACACTTTACTATCACAGTGCTTCTCTTCACCCAGGTGTACAAATGGGTACCAGCAAATGTGCTGGGGGTAACCCTGCGATGGACTAGCATCCCATCCAGGGGGGAGTAGCAATACTCCTAGCTGCTTCATGCTAAGAAAACTGGAGTTAAGCACCAGCCCTATGGGCCACTTGGGCCCGTATAAAGGCATTACTTACTGACTATGCTGCTGTCAAAACTCAAGGATCTGATTTGTCTAAATGGTACACCTGCTATGTTATTGCATAAGAGGAAATGCTGCATTACAAGAAAAATTTGCATTTATGTCCAGCTGGGACATGAAAAACCTTTTCAAAGTTTTATGAAAATACATGTTACTGCCCTTTTGATTAATTGCAGCAGTTCACATATCCCTGCTCCGATTGAAAGTGTACTAAATTCACTTTGGTAATAACCCTTTAACTGTGAAGATGTGGTTGTAAATTCTCCCCTCTAGCTTCTACTCATTCCTTTGTAAATCAGTTACGAGAATTTGATGATACATGTAGATCAAGATAACAACTCCTACTTGTCTAAGTTTGAGTATTCTCATTACCTGTTTGCTTAATTATGTATGGATATTGTAAGGAGAAGTTACATTTTAATCACTTCTAGGAGTTAAATGGTTACGTAAATTATCTAATTTGTTTTTCCTAGTGCCACCATTGGTTTGGTTGTTCCTCTCTACAGAGATACAGTCATAAAGTTAGATGGTGATGGGTAAGTGGAAGAAGTATTCAAGCAGCAATTACTGTTGCCCATTCTTTTTCTTTCTCTACATGGCAGTCAAACTATAAAATAATCTAAGTCCTTATCATTTCATAAAGCTAAATGTTTCCAAAATTATTTATTACTTTATTACACCGCATATATCTCTTCTGGTATCAAAAGGAACATTAACTATTGTTGCACATATGATGGGCACTTTCTTTTAAGTCAAAATTTTATCAAAGCAGGCTTGATTTACTTCAGGTTTGCCATCATTGTGTTTATTTCAGTCTATTACTTCCAATATATTCAAATTTTCAATAACTGCAAAGATTTAAGGGTAGGCTTGACCTGGTCTAACTGCTAAAGGAGCACACTTGCATGCCCATGCCCTCACATGTTGTCTTTTGACTTAGAAACCTAAGAGTACAAGTTTCATGCTCTCATAAAAGAAACTCTTTGCAAGGGGTAGTATGGCTGTGTTTTTGCCCTTACATCTGCTGTAGGAGAACATTTGGTATAAACAGGGTACATGTTTTAAAATATTGATAGCCATGTACATGTAATTTTAAGACTAAATTGACATACTTTTGGTTTCAATTTGTTAGTGGGTTTAAAATGACATCAGCAGAGAAGACATTCATTTTCAAGCCCATTTCTGTGCAAACCATGTGGTAAGTTGGTAAATTTGTCATGTTGGTAATGGTGATGTCATCTATACGTCTGTTCTTCAACAGATCATAAGTAAGAACCATCAAAATGCATGTATAATTTAGCTTATCATATTAATAATAGTGTAGAACACATTTCTCTTCTGAGAGAAACTTATAACTACAGTGTAGTTATAGGTGGATTAAGTCAAAGATTCACCTTCCCCCAGCTTATGGGCAAACCATGGCAGTTGGACCATCATCTGCACCAAGGGGGTGGGTAATTTGAACCTTGCCTGGCTGGGGTGGGGAATTTGAACTGGAAGTGTCAAGTCTTTGTTGCGGAATACAATTGTTATATATGTAATTATGGAGGTGTTGAAGGTGATTAATTCAGTTTTGCAAGCAAATGGCTCAGAAGAAATAGTCCAGAAGGTCTAGGTTTTAAAGTTTGGTCAATGTGTAGAAAGTCACCATAGCTGATTTGCCTTTTACGAAAAAAAGCTGGGTGCAGCATTTGAACACAATTCTTGCCTGAGGGGGCGGGAATTTGAATAAACCAATCTTCAAAAGTTCAAATGCCAGGGGGTTGTGTGGGTTAATGATGAAGCTTTTTCATTGATCAACTCATTATACTCCAGCTCTTCTTCTTCATGAGCTTTTACGTATGTTTTAGACCAGTATTCAGTGAATGTTATTTTCTGTAATTTTCCAGGACAGCCCTGCAGTGGATCCACAAGTGCAGTGACAATGCTAGGAAGCACAATTACTATTACACTAACTGTACATCTCATGCCTGGGTTGATTATTACTACAGAAAGATATCATCAGACAGAGTGTGTATGAATGAATGGTAAGTTTGAAGTTAGACTGAGTTTAGCTTTTGGATCAATGTCAGCATCTCAGCAACTGCCCATCTACCCCTCCCCCTAGCCCTGCAACAGTCACTTGATAACAAGTAAGGGTTACTGTTGGGTAAGGGAAGGGGTAGGTAGGTGCACAGTTGCTCAGATACTGACATTGATCCTAGCTTCTTCCAAGTCAAACATGATGTCTATGTGATAGTCCAGTCTGGTAAAGATCCTTTTTCTTTTAGTGACAAGCCTAATTCTTTCACCTATGAGAGTGACAGGCAATTAATTTCTCCTTAAATTGTCACTATTGAGTTAAACATTAAGGTCATGACAATAAAAAAAAATGATTGCTCCTGGTTGGTATACAAATTCTCCTTGTCATTTACCCAGGAAATGTATAGAGAACTCTAAGGAGTATATGCATACTGATGTTAGGGTGTAACACCTAAATAGCCATTTGTTACTTGAGCTAGGCAGTGTTACTGGAGGCAGTTTTACATGCATTTTAATTTAAATCTGTATTGGCCTGAGGGACATTTTGCTCTTCTTTTAGGCTGTTGTGACATTTTTTTTAGGCTCTACAACGCTGACTCAAAAGTCGCTCTTTAATGTTTTCCAACTTCCTTCTTGCAATTAATTTGCTTTTGTAGTCTCCCATCAGGGTAAAGGGAAAGCAAAAGTATGATTCTTATTTGAGTCTAGACTGCAAAAATGTTTGTTTTTCTTCTCCGGCATGACACACTTTTCCATATTTTATCTTACTCACTCTACACCCTAAACTCCCATTCCGTATCAAGAGAAAAACAACTTGAAAGCAGTATATTTTCTGAAAAAGAAAAAAAAAGGAAGTTGATTTATACCTTACATACTTATTCTAATGTTGTGTTATAGGCAGCAAATGGATGAACTTGAATCAAAACGTCCAGATTCACCAATTGGCACAACGTATGTACAGTAGTTCAATATATTTGTGACATGTTGTGGTGTCATAAAGGCATATTTTGAATAGTCTAATAATTTTGTTTTAAAATTGCAGCACAGAAAAGGAACTTGTTATGAAACTTATTCGCCACAAGCTGAAGGAGGTTGGTACTGTCACACACAACATATTTAAATATGTGTTCTGTTTTTTATAAAATTTGCCTGTTTCTTTTAACTCTTTAACTCCCACAAGTGACCAAGACAGAATTTCTCCCTATAATGTTAATACAATATCAAGCCGACAAGTGATGAGAATAAAGAAAAATATAAATTAAGGGAATATAAGTTGATCCAATACCAAATTCTCCAAACAAACATTACAAGAACTGTATGGCAGACAGTAAGGAGAATTACTAATGAGATCTTGGGAGTTAAAGGGTTAAAATACTGGTCTTCAGTTATCTCACTGTTATTCTTTTTATCATTAAAGGTTATGACGAGAGTTGACCTTGAGGAAGTCACTTGTAGACAGGTACAGAGGGAACCAACAACTTTGATTTCTGAAATAAAAATGTTGCTCTAACTGCCAAAATTTTCTTCAAGTGCCTCCCTTCCCTTCTGCTTATTTTATAGATGAGAGCTCAGCATGAGAGGTCACTTTTGACAAAGTACATGTAGTGACAAGTGCTCATATGAAGTGCTGTGTGGTTAAGAAAAGTACACTTGTCTTTGAGTACCAATTGTGCGACTATTTTGATTAAAACTTATGACGCAACTTTGTTTTTTCCTGTGGCAAAGTACCCTGTCTTGATCAAGTACACTCTTTCAGTAAACACTGTCTTTTGTACTTGAAAGTTAAAAAAGTTGCTAGTCTCAATTTGAGGCCTTTTGGTGTCAACTCTTTAGCTTCCAGGAGTGATTAAAAAGTAACTTCTCACTATTAGTAATATCCATACATTATCCAGCAAATAGGTAATGAGAATGCGTAAACTAATCAGGTAGAAGTTGTTGTCTTGGCCTTTCACCAAATTCTCATTACTAAATCACAAGGAAATGTGTACATGTAGCAGCTAAAAAGTTGAATTAACCATCATTAGCAATCAGGTCTTGGAATTAAATGGTTAAATAATTTATTTTCATGACTAGAATTATAATTTTGATGAAAGTTGATTGGCTTGTACTGTAGTTCACAATTTTTGTGATATGACAATCTATATAACTCAAAATATCTGATTATTAATTTTCCCCTCAAGTAGCAACACATTTTCATGGAAATTACATTTGAAGTTATGAAATTGATGTTAGATCAAAGTAACAACTTCTGTGTGATATTTAAGGTAGAGTTTTCTCATTATCTGTTTACTGGATTATTTATGGACATTATAAAAAGAAGTTCCATGTTAATTAACTTCTGGGACTTAAAGGGTTGAGAAGTACCCACATTTTGAACAACATGGCCCATTTGTCATTGCTGTTGAGTTATTATTTCATTTTATGATATTTATGTATGTCAAGGTTCTTGTTGGTGATGTATTTCTTCATTTGTGTCTCAATCTTTAAAGATAAGAAATATACTTGAAGAGGAAACACAAATGGAACTCAAGGAGTACAGATCTTTTATTGATGAAGAAATGATAACCATTTTAGGACAAATGGACTCTGCATCCAAAATATTTGATCATGTTTACCTGGTAAGTAAATACCAGATCCTTATTTCTTTTGGTGATTGATGAAAGTGAAGATATCTGTCACTATAACACCTTTCTTTTTGTGTAGGGCTCTGAGTGGAATGCTTCAAACTTGGAAGAACTTAAAGAAAATGGGTAAGTAATTTGAAGGGGGTACATCGTTTTGAAATGCAAGGCGAAGGTCTGATTTTCTTACCCCAAACCGAGTGCATGTCGTTTCTTGGATTTCCCAAAATATCATTTGCTTATCTGGATCTGGTTGGCACATGCAAACCTCTTTGCAATCTAAGTACTGCCCAATAAATCTAAAAACTAATTGGAACAATGCACAAGGAGGTTATTGTTTGCCAATTGCAATCTTGGTGGAACAATTTATGAAAAGATCATGAGACTGGAGATTAAGCCATGAAATGTTTATACCACCCTAGTGATACTTTCTGTTTCAGAACAAAGGGAGGATTGAGCCTTTCTAAGATTTGTTTTTGTTTTTGTTTTTGTTTTTTTGGGGGGAAGGGGGGGGCCGAGGGGGGCTACTATTCCTCTTCCAGCTCCCTTGACTCTCCCAACTGATAATCACACATGTTCTTTGCCTATTTCTGAAGCTTTTATGATTTATGGAAACAGAGCTGATATTTCTCTTTTTATATTTCACCTGTTTATTTTGACTTTGCATTCTAATTAGGAGGAGAATTTAGCCAGCTCTCAATCTTTGGAGTCAAAGGTTCATGACCAGCATTTTACCCATACAATTAAGCACAGTGTATATAATTGTTGATGAAGTTCCAAGGCAAAAATTACAATGAATTGATAAAAGAACACTACAAATTTTCATGAGTGACCCGTGGTTGCTAGTGTGAGAAATGACAAACGCAAGAACCATGCACTCGTTGTGATAGTTTTGTTTGTAACACGTTGAAAATATTTTCGATTTTGCAGAATTGGATACATCTTGAACATCACAAGAGAGATTGATAACTTTTTTCCGGGGACATTCCATTATCATAACATCAGGTGTGTGTCACCAGTTTTAAGTCTGTCAATTTGCTGAATGCACTCTTAATCAGTATGATGTACTGTTGTCCTGCAACTCTGTGAGAACGATAGTTATTCTCACAATTACAGGAATGTCAAAGAGAAATCGATAACAATCTACTGAAAAACTTTACACTGCGACCATGGAAAATTATTGAAACCTTGATAAATAAATGAATAGATAAGATGAACAAAAATTGTCCTCACCTTACCGGGTTTATATTGAGGAAACGCGTACATTTTGTAATGAATTTGCTTCAGCAGTGAAAATTAAATAAGAAGTGAAGTGAGACTCCTCTCCGTTACTTTTTTTGTTATTGATTTTTCTCCTCTTTTTTCATCATTTCAGAGTTTACGATTTGGACGACACCGAATTACTTCATCATTGGGATTACACTTACAAGTTCATACAGAAGGCCAAGTGAGTAATGATTCCAGTGCCTGTTTACAACTGACTCCTGCCGGGTAATGTTAACCCTAGAGCTCCCATGAGTTGCCAAGACATCTATTTTCTCCTTACGTTATCAATACAATATAAAGCAGATAAGTGATGAGAATAAAGAAAAATATTAAATGAAGAATTAGTGGTTGATCCAATACTAAATTCCCCGAACTGACATAATAAGGATTGTATGGCAGATAGTAAGGAGAATTCTTGAAAGAGTCATCCCACTTGGTCAGTTAGAGAGCCGAGCATATGCACTGGAAAAACAATTTCAAGTAAACGTTAACGGGATTCTTGGTTCAGCCTACCATCAAAACAGTGTGCGTAAGCGTGGGAAAAACGTATACCTAGTATCAGAGAGTGGCGATACGTTAAGAGTGTGGTAGATTGTAGCTTAAGTTAAAATATAAAGATTATGAAGTTTGTACTAGGCGCGAAAAGACAAATTGGTTTTTTTTCGAGGCGCATCAAACACCAGTTGTAGTCAAACGCGGAAATGTGCTCCTGACATGTAATTGATTTTTCTTTCTTTTCTTTTTTCATGCTTGGTTTTCAGAAATGCAGGTTCGAAAGTTCTTGTGCATTGTAGAATGGGAATAAGCAGATCAGCATCAACCGTAAGCTTCATTTTTTTTTGTAAAGATGTTGTATCGAATGCTGAGTTAAGTCCGAGGTTTGTCTCTTTGTATTCAAGGGACTGCTTGCAATTTAAACAAGATAGACTTTTGGCATGTTTACTATTCCCTTTATTTTCTTTTCCGTCGAGGCTTCGGCGTCTCTACTTTCCTGCTTTATTTATGACTGATTGGTCGACGCTGTGATTGAATGACAGACTGACTTACTGGTTGAGCGAGTGACAGACAGACTGACTGACTGACTGACCCACCGACTGAATGACTGATTAACTGTCTGACTAACTGATTCGCTGATTGAGTGACTAACTGACCGACTGACAGACAGACTGATTGATTGACTGGCTGACAGACTGACTATCTAACTGACTGATTGGCTGACTGACTAAATGACTAACTGAATAACTGACAGACTGAGTGAATGACTTAGTGACTGATTGGCTGACTGAGTGATTGAATGAATGACGGACAGACTGATTGACTGACTGAATGGTTGGCTGACTGACTGTCTGATTGAATGACTGACAGACAGACAGACTGACTGACTGGTTGATTGACGGGCGGACAGACAGACTGACAGACAGGCAGAGCAGGCACTAACTTGACACTGAGTCATTAATCAACCAACCAATCGTTTGACCGAGCTACTGACAATCTACTTCGGGAGAGACCGAGTGTCACGACCAGCTGACCAGCCGATGTAATATTGATTTAGCTGTCTGTATTTTTGTTTCTTAGGTTATCGCTTACGGCATGAAAGAATATGGTTGGTCTTTAGGTGACACTATGAAGTACGTCAAGGCGCGAAGAAATGTTGTTCAACCGAATGCGGGATTTTGGAAGCAGCTTATCACTTACGAGGGAATTTTAAATTCGAGGTAACTCTCCTCTTGCGCAGTAGACAGGGTAGTGAAAATTATTTTTGCTATGCAGAGGCTTTAAGTGGCTTTCAAACTTCATTTTAACTTTCCTGTACTCTTTCACCGCCAGTATCTCAGTATAAATTCTCCTTTCCGCTACCCATAACTTTCTTTTTATGTTAGTTCTGAGAATTTCGTGTTTAATCAAACGATAGGAATATCACTGCCTTTTTGCTCCTTGGTAAAAGAAAGGTGCCCGAATTGTAGTATGCCCTTCTATTATAATTCTTCAGGTCTTTTGTGGCAGATATGATGACTTGATATGACGACTGTAGATACATATTTTTAAATGTGCAATATTTTTTCTCCCTCAGCAAACATCGCTACAACAAAATTTTCAGACATGATTCATTCTCATCCGATGCAGAGGAGCTGTCCAAGAGTGCCGTAGGAGCTGTGCAGAAACGGAAAAAGGAGGAACAATCGAATGTTGCTGTCCAACAAGAAGTTACGGTCACTCAGAACAATTTTTCAGAGGAATGTGAAAGCGATTCAAACTTAAAAGAGGGAGCATTACCTTTCGAGGAAATAGCTAGCGTTGCTGGGGCTACTATGGTGAATGCTGATAATGGTTTTATGTCCGAAGGCGCCACGCAGGAGGGTAGCGATGTGGATATTGTGCCCGCGCCTAATCCATCAACCGCCTTGGGATCAAATTTGATGGTTGATTTGGGGGAAGAAGAACCTACGGGGACAAATTCTGTGCGAGAAAGTTTGAAAGTTTCGGAAATTGTTCAGAAGAGTTCGTTACAGCGAGTAAGTTCAGTACCTTCTTTATCAAATGGTGACCACAAGGGACAGGAGTCAGACAGCGAGTCTACAGGAAAATTTCGTAGATCGTGCTCCTTACGAGAGCGTGGTCCCAGAAAATTGCAACTTCTTCTGAATGACGCGAAAGCTAAGTCCGCCAGCGACGAGAATCTAAAAGGATTCGAGCGTAAAAAGAGGGGAATTCTCAACTTAGAGGAAAGTAAGAATAAGGAATGCACTGGAGATCTTAGTTCTATGGGAAACAAACCACACGGAAGCTTGCCAAGGGATTTAGATGGTGTAGTTGAAAGCGGTTTTGTGAAACGCCATTCAAGAAAATTTGAAGAAGGCGTCCCTTTTGTGCCATCTGTGACGTTGTCTGATGATGCCGGCTCTGAGGCACAAGAAGAATCTGCTGTTGAACTTTCAAAGACAGCTGAAGAAAGTGAGAAAATCCCAGAAGATGCAGAGGAGCAAACTATCCAAAGCGAAGAACCTGAACCCGGTGTAGTTCGAAAACATAAAGAGGGTTTTGAATTGAAACATCGAGAGAGTTTAACGAGACGAGCGTTACTCCAGCGTGGCGGAAGTGAGGAAGCAAAAAGTGTTAATCATGAAGGAAACGAAATGGAAGGAGTCTCAGTTGCGGACAATGATTCGTCTTCATTGCAATTTCAAGAAGGGGAGGAGTGCAGGCGCGTCCATGGTGTTAACGTAGAGGCACTGGTTCAGAAGGTGAACGAGGATATGAAAAAGACCGTGTCTGCTCGGAGAATTTCAGCCTCAAAGAAAGAACAAGAGCTAAGAGTGTTTGTTCAGCAAGCAGGGGAACAAATGAAAGAGGCACTGAATAGTGTCGAAAACGAACCTTCGGACGCTAGCACCGACAACTCTGTGTTCGATGATGCACGATCTGAGGAAATCAGTGATACGCGCATCGTTGAGAGTAACACAATGAAAGACAAACAGGAACTGCTGTGTAAAAGTTCCAGTGTTACAGGAACATCTACCGAGCCCAGGCAACTTGTCGCTTTCAAGAGTGACTCGAAAATCACGAATGTAGCTGAAACATCAGTCAGTGACACGGATGGGGGAGAAGATGTCGAAAATGTGTTGCAGAGAGGTCTTGTGAAACGGCACACACTTCTTATTGAGGGGAAACTGCAGCAACCCGAGCACGAATCAGAGAAGGAACGCGATTCTCAAGAGGAAAAGGAAAGTGCAGGCTCAGACGACAGAGAAATGGAAAAAGAGTTAATAAAAAGTGAAGTCTGTGATACATCACAGGAAGAGATGTGCGTCGGGAGTACTTTGAGTCCGAGCGTTGAGTCAACAGATCAGATGAGCCCAGTAAAAGCAGAAATGTCGGAATCACCAAAGGAGAGTAAAGATACAGGGAGTGATGAGGTTACAACAGATATACCCGCTAAGGGTCTGGTGAAACGACATACGCTGTTGATAGAAGGGAAGCTTCAGCCATTGGAGCAAGAGCTGGGTCAAGAAGGCGTGAAAGAACCCGGAAGAGAAAGTGAAATCACCAAAGACAAGGAAGTGTCGCAATGGGAAGGTGACGTGGACAAAGATCGAGATCAGCCAGACCTGGGAATTGCACACGATGCAAATATCGGTGTGGAACCAGCAGTTGAAGGAAGAAAATTATCTGACATGTTCGAGGCTACAGAAGACAAAAGGAGTGAACAGGACACGGAGAACATTCCTAAGAAAGGTTTAGTCAAGCGCCATACGCTTTTGATCGAGGGGAAAATACAACCTCTTGATCAACAGTTGGACAAAGGTGTCGAGAAAGAAGTGAGAGATGGTGACGTTGCTCTTGAGAGTCAATTAGTTGAAAGTGAAGATCAGTTGCGGTATCAAATCGAGGAGCCAGGTGATCACACGAGTGATCAGTGGGACGAAGATGAACAGAACAACAAAACTGCGGCTGGTTTGGTAAAGCGACAAAAACAGCGCATTGAGGAAAAACTCCATATTCCAGTGGTGGAACCCAAAGAAGAGCAAGAGCAGGAGTTGTCGGGCAACGAGATTGCGACGGTTGAAACCAGTGGAGGAGAAGGTTTCCAAGGAAGTGATCTGAAGGTTGAGTACGATGGTGACGAAGATCAGTTACAAGAAAAGGAGCAAAACGAATTGGGCGTGGATACTTCAAGTGTTGTGAAAGTTAAGCAACAGACTCAGCATTTAGAAGGAATCATTCGTGTAGCACACGATGAGGACAAGATCAAAAGGCAATCTTCTAAAGAAGAGGATCCGAAGTGTAGCGAGCAATCGCCGAAAGTTGTTATAGTCCCTCGTTCCTGCTCAGACGAAACTACGGAAGATGGCGCGGCGGATGCTGGTAGCGAAGAGAAAATGGAAGTCCTGAGTGACACGGCTGTTGACAAGGCTCTGACCAAAGCCCAGGACATTCAAAAAGACTTGGTTGTAGAAAAAGAAAACCTCGAATTGGAGAAGGAGCAGCCTGTTGACTGGGAATATGCAAACGTTCGCCAGAGAACGCAAATTTTCGAAGCTATCATGGGACGGTCTGACCAGGACATTCAAAAAGACGATGGAGAGAGTGAAAATCAAACTAACTCGCTCCGTCGACACCAATCAATGTCGAAGGTGTTTCGTGCGTCCGAGAAGCCTACTATGCGTCGTCGGTCGGTTTCGGATGTAACCCAGCCTGTTTGGTCGGGTTCCGTTCGTGAAGTCGGTTATACTATTCAGTTCAAGAAAAAAGTTGCGGAATATTCGGGTTCGTCTTCTCTTCCTCGCGACTGGAGTCCCTTTCACAACAAGCAGAAACGTGAAGAAAAAAGACTGTGCCCAGAAGTAGTGTTTTCCTCTGAAATAATTCACCAGGGTGAACTCAAAGAGAAATCCTGCGGAGAACTTATCGACAACCAGGACAAAGAAAATCAGGCTTGTCAGAGCGTAAAAGAGACAATTCAGGCTTTAGATTCAAAGAATCAAAAAATTATTAGTAGTAATTTAAGCTAGATGCAAGCGCTTGTGCATTCAAGTTCTCAAAGGATCGTTCCCAAATTTGTGGTTTTCAAGAAATATATTTTCTATTTTGATTTCAAATTTGAATTTTGCACACAGAAATTACATTTGCGAAGAAAATCATTGGTTATACATAGTCTTTTACGATCAAGAAACTTAATTTTACCGCCGAATTTAAAGTAGGCTTTACTCATCAAGCTTTGGCAAAATTTGACGGATGAAACGTTTTTATCGAGTTGACTCATTGTTGGTTCGTCACGTGAAGATTTCAAGCTCTATTTTACAGTGGAGAAAGATCTTACCTTTTTGCGAGATTTGAAATTGGAGATAATTCTTCATTTCAAAGGATTAGATCTTAGCAGACTACAAATTTGATACCAATTTTTCGCTTTTTATCCAGTGTTACTATTTTCAGTGATATATGCAAGATACCATGCCCTAGAATCGCATGATTTGCTTTGTGTGTTTTTGAAATATAACTAAAAGCGGTTTTCAATTGAACGTGCTAACATGAAGGCCTCAACTCAGGAATACATCAGCCAGCGGTCATTTTAAACCTACGGAAGCGCGTTGCCAGACGAAGGGGAAAAGACCTGAATGTTATTTGGTCTGATCGGTAGATCAACGATCGCGATTATTTCAAGCCAGTCACCGAGCGAAGTTAATTTAACTCATTGCTGATGTTTTGGGACAGTTGAGAATCGCTTTTATTAAGATAGCCTTAAGGCGACATAAAGTGTACTTCACGATAACAAATTTCTGATACCGTCATATTCTATGCTGAAATACAGATGGAGCAGATTTTATATGCGTTTCTCTGAAGTTCAGTTGGAATCTTATCTCGGCACTTTGAGGAAAGAAATCTTGAAGTCTAAAAGATGTTGAGTCAATTCACCAGTTGAATTTTATTTTTACGTGGTCAATTAGAAAGACACGATGTTTATATTAAAGAATGGTAAATATAGAATCACAGAAAATATTTAATTATGTCGTCGATTTTGAATAAAGAAATATTTATTGTGGTATTGTCTTAATTTATTGAGTGAAAAAGAGGATTAATTTTCTAGGGCTTTTCATCATTCACCAGGAGTGGGTAGCCTGTGAAGATGCCTCCTTATAGAGGTACAGGGTTGATAGCCTGTAAACGAGTTCCTATGGCGTGAAATGTGAAAAATGTGAAAACGGCAAACAAAGCAACTGATAGTTAAATCGTTAAAGGAACTTGATCACAAAAGGGGAAAAAAGATACTTATCAGAGCCCATTTTCTTTCCAGTGCCCTTAACGTTTTGCACTGAAACAACGTTTTTGAGCATCATTCCGTGTGGAACAGAGGGCTGTTTGTTTGAATTTCCCTGGACTTTTTCACAAAAACCTAGGTTATAGAAGTGGATGCTGATGACGATATTGAATGCCTCATTGGTTGCTTTGACGACATGAATTCGGAGAAAAAAATGTGACGAATCTCAGTTCTGTGATAGAGTTCTTCCAGAGGTTATGGAACAAACTGGGTGGAAAGTCTCAAACCAACCGTCACCAGTAAGCGGTCGCATCAAGAGTTTTAAAAAGGAGGAAAGTACTTCTAATTTTTCCGTCTAGAATGCAATCAAGTTTCAAAGTAGAGTTACTTACGTAGCTTCCTAAAAGAGGGCCCGTCTTCACGGTACTTGTCTCTGCCTATCGAAAGTTTTGGTATGAAAAAGTTTCACTCCAATTCTCTTGATATTGATTTTCGATCACGTGAGAAGTGCGCACTGCTATGTTCACTATGGCTCTTTACACGTGATATGAACAGGCAAGCTTCCTTTTTCTCTCTTATTTTAAACATTTCGTATTCTCAATTTTTCTTATTCTCTGAGTTTTTTTGAGCTTAAGTATTTCATTGCAGTTCGTTAAAAGTACAAGTATTTTCACAATGATTTGCATTTCAAAAGAAGAACGTGACGATATTCCCGCTGAAACTCAACTAATATTGATATGAATATTTTATATACAATTAGCATTGTATTATTCATATTTTATCGACAACCAACAAGCATGGCGAACAAGTCCAAGAAGGTAGCATAGTATTATGGTTGTTCTTCACCAAAGGCAGCGCCAAAGTTAGCGTTGTTGACCCTGGAAAGGGAGATAACATTTGGTACAATAACTACACAAGAAGAGGTGGACTTACGATTTAAATGAAGACAGTCTTGTAGCGATAACCTCTAACACGTGGACCTGGGAAGGTCAAATACTTGTTAAGTTGGAAAATACAGTCGAGGCTTGAAAGGTATCTAATCAGGCTATATCTATAAAGCTTGCTTTGATGAAAAATCAGTGTATTTTACTATTATCGAATAATTTCTCATCATTCGAAGGTTTTGTAGGGAGAAATTATTCGTCCACGATTTTGGGGAGGGGTGAGATAGTCAATTGTTTTTGAAGGGTGAGGGGAACGGGGTAGGGTTATTTCTTATCTAGAGATGGTTTGTTTTCATCGCAACTTGAAACTAAATTGATATATATTTAATACGAATGTGTTGTGATTGCTTAATAAATGCCTTATTGACAAAAGACCGGAGCGAAGTAGAGGGCCATAAAAAAAGGAAAAAACGAGGCTCATATTCAGCCATCTTGACCGAACAAACTTGGTCAATAAAGATTTACTCTATAACAAAATAGTTATTAAGAATCAAGAATAACTAGTTTATGTTGAGAGCCAGGAAGAAAGCCAGCTTTGTTTGTAGCACAAAAAACCCGGCCACAAGAGTCGTTTATATTTCCTTTGTTTTGACTGTAATCTGCCTCTCTTTGCGTCTCTATCACCGACAATGTACAAAAATTAAAAACTTTGTAAGACCGCTCCACGCTGCCCCACACAATGCTTATCTTGCGCGGAATCGCAGGGGGCAATCCTGAGCTAGCAAGATGTGCCCATTTTGCCGGCTCGGAAAGCCAATCAGAACGTAGGATTCGCTTCATATTGCCCACGGGCGTGCCAGCAATATAACAAAGCTGAATATTGGTCTTGTTACTTTTCTGTCTTGGTTCATAAAGGGCCAAAAAAAATTTAAATTAAATTAAAAAGAAATAAAGCTTATAGGGATAGCATATTTCTTCAAATCGTAATTTGACTAAGTCATCCAAACAAAACATGCGTTAAACTGTCATGGTTATCTTAAGGTGTGATTCTTTGTTATTTGAATTTGACATGGAAGGGCAGAAACCGGATACAAGGGAAAGCTTAATTACGCACGTATTTGGTTAGTTCTTACTCATGATCTATTAGAGGACAGACGATTGTTTATCATCTAAAACTATAAAAAAATCCATGTTGTCGAGTGGTGCCGAATAGTGCCGAGTGATACATTAGTGACGCATTCGGCTGCGCCTCGTGTGCCATTTTTTCGTTCTTACCACATTTTGTCGTCATCTGTGATCTATTACTGAAAAGACGCACATCACCGTGGAAATATATTTTTGTTTTATTGATATCACTATTCTCCAATTTATCTTGATGAGAAGTGAAATTGGATACAAAATATTTAATTTGAAATAGCTTTTTCTACTAGACTTTTCTAATTCCTTGAGCAACGAGACTATGTTACGATACCTGACAAAATTGTACTCAAACTTTCTGGTAGATGTTGTTTTCTTGATCTAACACCAACTTCTTGTAACTAAACTACGAGGAAATTTGTAGCAGCCGCGATCACACACGGGGAATGACGAGGCGACCTCTTAACCCTTCAACTCCCAAGATCTGATTGTTTATTCTCCCCTCTAGCGGCTAAACAATGCCTAGTAAATTAGTTACGAGAATTTGGTGTAAGATCAAGATAACATCTTCTATCTGATAAGTTTAAATATTCTCATTACCTGTTTGCTGGATAATGTAAGGGTATCAAGGGGAGAAGTTTCATGTTGATCACTTCTGAGAGTTAAAGGTTTAATACAAGTTTCACAGAATAGATAGTACAAAAACTTGCTCGAATATGCTTCTGTCATTGATTTTGGGAGACAAACATGGATTAAATTTTACTTGAGAGATTATTGTTCGTTTGTTTTAGTGGATCTATCTAAGCATGCTTAAGTTACCGTTTAAAACAAGTAAAAGACAATACAAACAGGCCGTCGGGACTTAGTAATTATATCGGGTGAACACAGCCGCTTGATAGACGTGAAGAAAAATTTTGGAACTTTGAAAACTGACTGCTTAAGACAGGTTCGACTGTATTTGGTACAAGTAATGAGTATTTAATTTTTCAAAAGACCAGCTTCATCATTTAAGAAGGAATTTCTTTACAGTCAAATGACAGGCACGGGCATGGTGGAGATTAACTGGAGATAAAAAGTCTGCTGAGAGGAAAATTAAAAGGATTTTCAGGAAGAGTTCTTCAAGCAGGACGTTGGTTAGTTTATTTGAACAAGCAATTTATCACTATTGTTAGGAAACATTTTTAATATGACAAAGAATACCGAAATATATTCTGCATATTAAGCGTGCAAAGTGAGATGTTATTTATTCGTTTTTCGTGCGTAAATTATTGACACAGTTGGAAAACGAGATGTTATGAGCTGGAAAAATCAATAGAATTTTCAAACAAAAAAAACATTTTCAAAGAGACAAATAAAAAAGGCAGAAAGAGGATAAAAGAATGAAAGAAATTTAAAACAATAGAGCTTGTCATAGGCAAATAACAAATGCGCACGATAATTTGTTCTTCTCGTCACCCGAAATTTCGGGCAAATAATTCACATCGTCATGCAAGAATGACGTACAGTAAATCAAAGTGATCATATTAAAAAGTTAAAAGCGATTTTTTATGACAATCAATCAAGAAATCTAAAATTGATTTCCAGAGACCAACTAGAAGCTTCAAAAAGTCCCAATTTATAATTTTGTTGTGGTAGACAAACTGTAAGGTTTTCTCCTGATCAAGAGATTCTAAACTCTTGTCCCGGCTGATGTATTTAGAAATATGACAAGAACACTGATTTTATTGATTCTTTTGCACGTGAAAACAAGTGCACATTTTTTTCAAATATTGTTGTGATCAGATTTACCGTTTTGGTTGTTCAGTTCGTATTGTTCGACATGTCGAAGCTTGGGGCTAGGAATGATTTTTTTCATCCGTTCTTTTCTTGCAGCTCGAAGGATGCATCCCTGTAGTTTTTCACGTCCAGACTCGAACAAAAGCAAGAATTAGACGCAAGCGAGAGACAAGTTTACAGCAAAGGTAAAAAATCGAATGCAACTAGATTCTTCTTCAGGCAAATTAATTCGCAAAATAATTGAAGTAAAGATCGCCCTGGTTAAGTTTCAAAATCTGCTCGCAAACGGTAAAACCATTACAAACAAGAGGACAGCGAAGATGGAAAGCAAATTGACCAGATTTTATTTTAAAGTATTGTCGGCAAGAGGTTAGAATTTCTTCAACAGTGGTTAGCTCATTTTGATATCAGAAATTCTGTCAAGCATTTATCAATTTTCTGCTCGAAATTGTTTTCAAGGTGATCCCTTTCCACAATTTTTTTATTTGGTTATTCTGTAAGTAACATCTGGTTAAATTGGCGTAATTTTCCCGCCAAAATACGCATGCGCCGATTTTTTTAATTTTTCGTATAATATAAATAAAAGATATTTTCAAGTTGTGTCTCTTTTTTAATAAAAGTCAATAAACACTACAATGTTGTTAGCAATCTTTATTTTATTCTCAAATTCAATAAAATTCCAGTCTTAAGTTTGAATTCTTTATTCTCTTCAAAATATTTATTTCATAAAATAATCAAAAAAGTGTCGAGAAAAATTCGTACAAATATATACTAAGACTTTTGGCGGGAAAATTTGAAGCAATTGACAACATTTTCGCAAAAAAATTCAAAATAACTTCTCTTAAATTTTTCCGCCAAAAGAAATGTGAACATCACCTTGTGCAAAATTTCTATATCAAATTGGTAAATAGTGTTCCGTTCTAATTTCTTGTACATTTTGATGGAATTTTTAGTGGTCTTGGTAAATAAAGCAAAAAATTTCCATGAATAATTAATTCTCTCTGGCATTTTGGTCCTCAATAAATTTGCACAAGACGATATCTACACATTACTACTCTTATCAACAGCAACATGGCAAGCTTTAATCGCCTAGTTGATTACAAAATGCTACGTTTTAGCATTTGTAAATCAATGTTTGACTTATGAAAGACTTAAAGCTGGCCATGTTGCCACTAGCCAGACCTTTTTCAGCCATCCACTGTTTTGTTTTATCAATTAGCACGTAAAAAATTTGGAGTGATCTGATCAAAATTTGTAACCAAATTAGTCTGAAGAAACCACAATTATCTCAAAACGTTTCTCTCCTCAGAAATAACATAACCATGTTGGCTGTATTTTTTTTTTTCGGCTGTTTTGCTTCATACAATCAAGTAATTTCTTGGCTCCACATCTTTTGAAATGATTGAGTGTAACAGGATCTTTTTGTTCGAGTTAAATTTTATTTTGAACCGAGAAATCCGGTAATTTCAGCTTTCAATATCAATTGAAACTTTCTCTTAGTCTTAATGTTTCATCAATTTTTAGGCTGAAAAAGGTATGTCTATATTTAAAAATAATGCGATTAAACCCAATGACTGGTTCAAAGAATACTTTTAGGTATACATACTATGCGCGATATGTTACGTTCAGCAGCAAGTTATACAGACCGAGACCAAAATGAAAAGCAAAACAATTCCGTTCTTCGCTTTTAAACCCAATGATTGATGGAGGACTCTCTAGTGAATAATAAAAAAAAGAAACCGGTTCTCTTCAGGTAATGGTATTTGAAACTTTTCTGAAGAAATTCACGTTGATTTTTAAGCACCATCACGAATTGATATTCTCTTAGCACTATTGAAGACGCTTTTTTGTAAACGAAAATAAAATTATTACGACTTTTAAGTTAGCTGCTATTTTGAAATGCGAACTGAATACGTGAAACTTTTTTATTCACTTAAAACTTGCCAGACAATCTGAAGTGAACACCGGTGGATGATTTCACTACTTTCTTTCGTTTGAATTAAATGTCTACTTGAGCTGTTATTACTGTCATAATGGCTTAGCTTTTTGTTAATTGAAGGATCAATCTCTGTTAGCTTTGAAGTTTCCTTCAGTCTTAAAAAAAAAAATAATTGATCCGCAGATTTGGAACTTCTAAGTAAATTTCAGGTTTTATTCGTAGATCAAACGTTCGTTTGGCGCAATGATATGTTGACATTGGTCAATTTTGTGGTCTGTATAACTGTAAACCAACGATATTGCATTGACGATATTGTCGTATTAGGTCAACGTTAGTAAAAGAAAAAAAAAATGATTTGTCAAAGGAAATGTCAAGTGTGTCTCAAACAAGTTGTCTGCTTCACGTTAGATTTTTGAAGGCCGTAACTTCGCGTGATGTTGTTGGCTTGTAGAATGACTAGTAATGTGTTCCGTCGCTATGTGTCAGATTTGTAAAATTGTAAAATATGATTTGTTCAAGTCTATAGCGTCTCTGGTAATAAGTATGTCACTGTTTTTTATATCAACGTGAACGGAGTTGAGGGTATCGTCGACGAAGCGATTAAGTGTCGGTGTCAATAACTCTGCCTTGATGCCAATGAAATTAATCTTATAACAAATTTTTAGTTGCCAGTGTTCTCTTGTCCCTTGAAAGCAAGTTATCAAAGAGTATCAGTGGATCCTTTCGGGTGGCACTGACTTTTGTATCGGCAAAATTTTTTTCTAGAATGCCCAATTTAAAATTTTAGTTTTAGAAAAGCAGAAATTTGCTACTAGGTTATGGCAAATCCTCATGTGCTTTTACAAAAGAGCCAACTAAGCTTTGAAATAATTGTAATCATGATGTACATCGATTATTGTTTTGGTATGTTATGAATAATGTCAGAAAAATCTATGCCTGTTTTGGTATTTCAGTTGTCTTTCAGTCATTGCCACCTTAAAACATTCACGATAACAATTAAGTCAGTGCGGTACTAATTGCAAATGGTACTAATTGCTGCAGGCTACACACAAGATAAATCTCGAGCAACCAAATTTAGTCATACCAAATTAACTTGTTGCGGTTACCGTGAACTGAATTAGTAAAAAGGCCAAACAAACAGGTGATCTTCATAGATCCGCCCCCGTTCCTCGAGATTTTTTAAAAAGTTTTCAATCAAATTCGTCAAATTTTAGGCTTCCCAATTGCAAAGGCTCAACCTGTGTGTAAATCTGCAATTTAGGTACCATTCGGCAAATTACTACAAAAATTATTTAAATCATTTCAAAATTCTTATCTTTGGAGAGTCTCTCCTCGATTTAGTTAATTCAACCAGTTTTTATCCTTGAATTCTTTTCTTTTTCGTCCTCTTGACACCAGATTTCCTGTAAATGGAAATGAGCGAAACAATATTTAGACGGTTGGCTAATTTTTAACTCTACTGTAATGACAATTAAGAGTTGGAACGCAAGTATAGGTAAGTGGAATTTCAGACGAAAAATCAAGTTATTGTCGGCAACAAGGAGTTTATGTAAGCCATTCCTTTAAAAGGTTTCTGTGGAATGTTACCGACATAGCTCTTTTACGCTTGTATGGAAGCAATCATTCTAAACGTGAAACCCACGTGGCTCCGTTGTACATGAATTGTAGTGGGCTTTCAACTTTTTTGCGTTATTTCGAAACCTCATAATTGAGATGTATTTTATCAATATAAAACATAGCATAAGCGTTCTTTCCGTCGAAATCACAAACAAAATTAACGACTTTTCTGCACTGAGAGCAGCACAGAGAAAGACAAAGCTTAAACCGAACCGAAAGAACATGTGTTCAGAAAATTTGGTAATTTTAACTTTGGGGAATGAAATAAAACCAGCTATTTTCCAGCAACAAAGCTTACCTTCGTTTGAAACAACGTTGAGAAATGTCCCTATCTTCAACCCATTCCAACACCAAGCACGGTTTTAGTACAAACTCTCCTTGAACAGTAACACGTCTTCGCCCGATCGGCTCCCGCTTAGACTGACGTTTACTCTTCGCCCAAACATGAATATGTATCGAGAGAAAAGAACCCAATTACTGACGAATACGTCAGAGATTTGGGGCGAATTTTTCTTGCACGCGCATTTGTTACCTGGTATCCGAGGCTAGGCGGAATTAATAAAGCGTTAATTCCCAAAGGTAATCTACAAGATTAATTGGGGATTTCATGATAACACAAAAGTGTAGTAGAAAAACAAAGGAATTAGTGAGATATGAGGAAGGGGTCGAAAATTATCAATTAATTTCACTCGCAGTTACTCACAAATTATCCGCCAGTTGAGTAGTAAAATGCGATCCTACCCTTGCCATGATTTTCGTCAGACAGATAGATAGTTCGAGAAAACTAACAGGTCTGATGAGATGAGGGGGTAAGGGGGTGGGATGGATCTTCTCCCACTGTGTCGCTTCCTGTTTGGTTATGTACGCAGCGATATGGTTTGCGCAAAGGTCTATTGACCTTTAAACCCTAAGAGTGACCAGCACTGCTGAATCATTCATCAACCCCTCACACTCTAACACCAGAATGTACGCTCTCCATACTGTTCTCTAGAATTTTCCTAAGTTGCTTACAAGGAAAATTTATTTGAAAATCAAGAGCTTCTACAGTTCATGATCATTCTCTTTATTCTCCAGACCTTAATTTGTGATTTAGGGGTGACGTTAAAAGGAGAAATTAGATACTAATCACTCTTTAAGGGTCAGAGGGTTCAGATCAAAAAAATAAAAAAAATAATCGCAAAGCTACGAAGCTTTGATTGCTAAACGAACTTTCCTTGTCATCACCAAAGGGTATGTAGAGAGATAATGGACCCTGACCTTGGGGTGTAAAAGATGACATGATCTGTGGATAGATCGCCATTTACTCCTCCAACAGCTCAATACGACGACGGTTGTTGGAGTGGAAAAACTCACAGAATTCCTTTTATTTTATTGTTATTGCTTCTTACAAAATATTTCTTCTCCCTCCACCCGGTACAAGAAGCTTGTAAATATGCATCAAATAAACAAAGAGAAAGCTGATATGTCAAGTATTTATTAAGCTTCCTTAATGACAGTACCATTGCATGCGCACCAAAAATACATTTAAGCACTTTAACATTGTATTCCTTGTACTTGTAAACATATTTTTTTCTTATAACTTTCGAATATTACTAATTTGACTTAAATTTTACGTGGCAAGCTTTGAGTGAGCCTGCAGTACTAAACGCTGATTTTAATGACTATAGATCAAAATTGCATAAATAATGTAGAATTTATTTTAGGTGCATATAACAATTTCCAGCAGCAAATGCTACAGAGACACCACTAACCAAACATGAATGTATCAATATTTAACAAGTCTTTGATTGTCTCGAAAAAATTGCGCGAAAACCTTCGGGAATCAAAACTTCCTTCTCGAAAGTATTCTAAGTCAAGTTCCCTTTTAAATAGGGTCAATATCAAGAACTGTAGGCGCCTCTAGTATTTCAAGGAAACGTGAAAAGAATTTCTAGCCTGGATCGTTATTGCGTGGCAACTCCTTTAAGATCCAATAAAGTATAAAAATTTGAGGAAGTTCTCGAAATCTTGATCATTTCTTGCACAGAATTGTAAGAAAAGTCTGAGTTTATCTTTTTTCACAAAAGTGTTTCACTTCAATCCCTTACCCCAAAATACACCGCCAAAAACAAAAACCTATAAAATAATGCTATTCATTAACAGGATCCCATCGTTCCTATGCCAATCAAATAGTAGTTATTCGAGAATAATACTGCGGCACTGCGTTATCATGAATGAAAAGATTCCCATTAGATAGGATGAAATTGAGCAAAGTTTGAGGAACTGACTTCACTCAAACAATTGTTAATTTTTTTTCTATTTCTTGAGTCGTTTACTTAAATACCATAGCTAGGAAAAACCATGTTGAAAGAAACTGTCCCTTCTCAATAGACTAGTATACTCCAGAAAACACGATTTTTACCCGCCATTAAAAAGGATGTGTGAATTTTAGTCGCCGACTGTGCTGTGAGATTCCAAAGAGCAACCTAACTTTTAGAAAGTAATCTTCAATCATGCAACATCTCCAACTATGGATGCCGCCATTTTGAATATTGCTTAGCAACCAGGCAGCTCATCAGAGATGTTACAGCTTCGCACTCTTATGCAGTAGGTACAAGCAACTACTGCGAGAGGGACGAAATCTATCTCTCTCCTGAAGCATTGTTTGTCGAGAAATGTAAATTTAACTTCTTAAATAACACCACATTGACAAAATTTCATTACGAATACAGCTCCTTCTTCCTCTAACGAACATTGTTCAAATATCAACAGCTACGCAGTCGGTCGGACCTCCTCACACCTATTAAACGTGGCTCTCATATTCGGGCAGACTGCCCGACATTTCTGTTTTTCCCCTTCACATTTGCAATTCGAGGGTTCACCAAGGGCTCGTATCAGTGTCAATGGCCACACAATTGGAGATGGCATAGCTGAATGAATTACAAAACATACATTAAAAATCAAATAATTATCACGCTGTGGGCCACTTGGACCATGTTTCCACCATGTTGTATGGAATGATCGTCCAAGTTTGAAAACTTGCAGATGTAGAGACCTTTCTGCAAAATCTATGGATATGGTTCAAAGCCACCTTAGAGAATGAAAATATCAAGGTGGCTCTAAACCATATGAACAGATTTTATTACTAATACTTAACAGAAAGATGAGTCTCTATACCCTCATTGCAATTTAATGATATGAGTACGGATCACCAAAATTGTTAGGGAGTCACAGGCACATAAAGCTATTAAAACCACGTTGGTAGCCTTTTAAGTCAAAAAAGAAAATAAGGTCATGAGCTTTTTGAGAAGAGTTAGGGATTTTTTGGAACCCTTTTGCAAGGAAACACATTAAAACGTGTGGAAGCCACGCTCCATCAGAAAACTGGTGTCATAAAATAACGTAACCGTTACTCCATCGATGCCCCATTAGAAACCCTTGTTGCTCACCTTAGCTTTTCCTTGGCGATAGCAGAAGAAGAGTACTCCGGAAGGAACAGAGTGCTGGCACAGGTAGAGGCATGGGGAAGGCTGTCTTTTTCCCCACCCGCTTTAGCCACAGTAAAAGGAGCAGGAGGCCTCTTACGTCCCGTCACGAAACGAAGGAATCGACTCCGCTCCTCAGAGGTGAACTGAGTGAGAACTGCAAGCAGGTGCTTCACTGACTCTGATGACTCACTCAAGTCATCACCGTATTTACCTGGTGAAGATAACAGCTGAATTAACCCTGAATTAAACTCCCACTGGGAGATCGTGATGATGTAGCACCTAATTCTCCCTTATGGATCCAGAACATTTCGTTGCAAGTTTGTGAAGAGAATTTGGTGTTGTATTTCGAGGTAACATTCTTAATCCGAAAAAGTAATCTGCTTTCATCGTCTATATGCTTGATAATTTATGCACATCGTAAAACGTTCGAGTGAAATTTCATCTTTTTTACTCATATTGACAAGGCCAGTATTGCTATTTTTAAATGGACACACATAAGGCTCAGTTTTCAAAAATAAAGAAATGTGGATATTTTTGATGATTCGATAAATTATATTTCTAGCTCATCTCCTACTTTTCAAAGACCGTGGAGGTATGAAAAACTGCGCTCAGATCAATCAAAAAATTAAAAAAGTAATACTTACACGCTGTTTTCAGCTGTGGAAGGGAAATTTCTCGGTCTCCACAAACTCCCCTTTCCAGGTTAGACCACGTAAGGAGCGAAAGCACAGACTCAGGAATGACTGACATTAAACCTTCCCTGATGGCTTGAACCTGTCAATCAATAACACCACAAGAATCACATTATGTCACAACCTTAACAGAGCAATTCCTAACCGAATGTCTAAAACAGCCCGGGATAGCATTGGCTTTACTGTACCATTCTCTGTGATTGGTATTTAAAGGTTACCCCAGAATATTTACCATGATTCAAACAGGCACTAAGACAAATAGGAGTGGAGATGGTGGGATGTGTTTTTCTGCTTCGTATTGGAGATGTGTGATTACACAAAGTCTTAAAATCCCAACGTAAACTCGTTATACCTGTTTTGTAAACTCAGTCATCCGCGCCCTTCTCACTAAAGCTGCATACTGCTGTCTCTCTTCAGGCTTTACCACTCTCTCCTCTCCCCCAGGGAGCAATTCTACACGTCGGCCGTCACTTACTACAGTGGAGAAGGTACATTCGCTGCCGTACGTACTTAGATACGAGGCCTCGTCCTGAACTTCAAGTTCATCTACGATGTTAAGAAAATAAAACACAATTAGCGTTGGAAAAAAAGCCTTTGCCATCATTTCTCCATAAGTTCATTCATAATTTTTTTTATTATTTTGCTTTTAGTTGAAAGGCAATCTCCTTTTAATTGACCAAGGTCACGAAATTGTTATCCACAGGCCCAAATGCTAACCCACCCCCTTCATATCTATCCTCTCTTAAGACCATAGAAACGAGCCCTAAAAATCTCCATGTCTCACCGGTGATTTGAACAGCGGCTTCATCAATAGCCACGTAGTCCTTGGCCCACGTGACGTGTTCACCGACGATTAGTTTCCATACAAAAGGCGGGAACGCCAGAGTGAGACTTTCGTCACTGCGGAACGTACCTCCCATGAGGACCCCAAGCCAGTGGAACATGTGTAAAGAGTCACATGATGGATTGGGTATGAAACAGTCGAGAAAATCTCCCCTCTTCTCCTGAGAAATGACAGACATACAAAACATATCACGACAATTCAATCTTACATTCAAAATGGCTCTCAGAAAAAGCCATATTCGCAGACCCCCGTAGATCTAACAAATAGATGCTGTGTTGCCGTGTTTCTGTTCATTAATAGATCACAGACGACGCCAAAATGTGGTAAGAAAAAGCTTTTGAGCAGGCTGTTACTTTTTCGCTCTCACTTATTGGCGTCGACTCGTAATGTAAACAGCATTGTTCCAGTGTTGGGGACAAGCTTGCTCCTTTTCCTAATTTAAACTAATAAGACTTGACAAAACTCTGTAATTAACTCTATGTACCTTATTATTAGAAGTTCTGATCAAATATGGCAGCACATCTGTTATGTGTTCTTCAGCTGGGCACAACTCGTCTGAGAGCTCAGCCAAAGAGTCGCGGAACCCTCCACCTTGATCAATGATTCCTTCACCGACGAATTTCACTTCCCACCACTGGTCATACTTCCATTTGTTCCATCTGCAATGAATGGCAACAATATAAAGGTTATAAAAACAGTTATGGTACATTATCTATCCTCGCATTTTTTTCCGCATTGATGAACCTCTGCAACTGAGTCAAACTTGTCAGTTGGCTCAAAGATGTTTTATCTTAAAAGAGGAAGGCATACAATACATTCCCCTCAAATTGTTAAGTACCAGCGTTTAGACGTCCCTTTCCTCCAACCCAGAAGCCAACTTTTTACACCCTAACATCAGTATACATATTCTCCATACTGTTCTCTGTACATTCCCTAAGGTGTTGACGAGGAGAACTTGTTTAACAATCAAGAGCTTCTTTAATTTTAGATTATTTCCTATATTTTTATGACCGTGCTGTTTGATTTAGGTGTGATATTGTAAGGAGGAATGAGATGCAAGTCACTCTTAGGAGTCAAATGGTTAAAGGTTGAGGCCGCGCAAAACCTTGATTTTTATAACTTGCCTACGTAACAGTTGTTTTCAAAGGTACATCTTTTATTTCCTTTAGCACGATTTAGTGGTTTTTAAATAAAATGAAAATCGTGCTGGTCAACTTTAGGTAGTGGAAAGCAGAGACATTTAGGAGATGCAGCACTGTCCCTGTCTTCCCAAAAATTTGGGAAGACATCGATCTGACGAAGGGCTAACGCTCGAAACGTCAGCCTTTTAACTCTTTACGGTAGCTAATTTACGTTTTCAACTTAGTTGTTAACACTAAATTACCCTCTCAAAAATTTGCCTGCTTTCTCTTTTCAAACGCTTTAAAGTTAGTGTCAGCGTTGTAATGCGATTCTGATAAATTCAAACCAGCTCTTTCTCGCCCTGAGAGTCACGATAAGTCTTACTGTATCAGTAGAACAAAAGGGAAAAGCAGATAAATAAACCAGATTAGAACAAACAAATTCTCTTGACGTAAACGTTGTTACTAACCGAAAATGAAGCTTCTCGCCTCTCAGCTCTTGGTACACCTGTTGGAAAACACTGCTCCTTAAGTCAGCATGACGCTCGATCAGCGGCACTCTCCTATCCACCAATATCACGGGCATGTAATCAGGCGCGGATAGTTCTGTCGTGTGCAACAGCTCTTGGACCAGCCGCCATCGCTGATTACAGAGAGGCAAAAGGAACCGCAGTTTTGGTAACAAGGATGGTAAGTCATAGCGGACAGAATCACTGCTGTCAGTTTCCTGATTCATCAGGCGAACGCTCCATTTCTGACACGGTTCCACATGTAGCTGCCGGTGTTTGGCATCTGATTGCAGCGAAGAGGAAGAACTTGTCTGTGGAACATCAATCAACTCCTCTTTTGAAACTTCTGACGCAGACTCTATCTTCTGCAATAAAATAGAAATACGAGGCTCATAAGGTATAACTGAAGAACAAGATGATTCAAAAACCAAATTGTTAGCGGCTTAGATCGTCAATGATTGCTATGGAACAAATTTCAATTGGGCGTCGCAAACCATCAGAGAATGCTTCGGTTTTCCTTTACTTCTCTCTGTGATTGATCCGGTAAATCTTGGGCCACTCTATCAACAAGTCCGACCAATCGCTACTTGGGGTTGCGCGCGTTTTCCTGCCCTTCAGGCGATTTGCTTGTCGGTTTTCCTTGTAATTATTTTGGTTTTGTTTTAAGACAGTCAATCGAGAAGCTCTCCAGCAGAGTTCCTCTTTCGATAGCAATTTTCAATTGAGTGTCGAAAGTGATCTGGGATTGAATTGGTTTTGCTTTTCTTCGCTCTATGATTGGTCCAGAAAACTCGCGCCACCTTCTTAACCTATCAGATGCAAATCATAAACCAACTTGGTCGTTCTCATTTTCCCGCGCTTCAAACAGCAAGGTTGTTTTCCCATTTTGTTCTCATTGGCTCCTGGTGATATTTCGTTTGCTCTGATTGGTCGTCGTGATTACTTGGTTTGGTCTGATGTCGCTCAATTGCAAAACGCTATATTGTAGTTATCATCGGTTAAAGCGATAAACCAAATCCAAACCTTAGCCAATTGTTTTTCCTCTTCTTTTAGTTTCCTTAACAAAGCCAGCAAGTTACTCCTGTAGTGTTCTTGTTTCTGCTGTTTCAGTAACAGTTCATTTCGCTGCAGCTTCACATCGACACTATCCAAGTCAACAGATGTTTCCTGAGAAGATAGCTCCTGCTCTCTGATGCTGTGGACAAGTTGCTTTTGTTCTTCTATAAAATGGATCTGTCAAGCAAACGAACAAATAATTTAGGTCAAAAAAACGAAACTAAAACTGATCGCTCTTTTTGCGTTTCTCTGATGCTTGAAAAAGTGATAGGGCACCTATACGATGATTGAATGACGATGCTGCGTTTCTAAAGAAACCGTGGTGCTGCGTCGGCAAGGAGTATTACAAGAAGTCGTTATCTTGAACAACCAATAATTTTCGTAACCAATTTTCAAGGAAATGTGTAGCAGATAGAAGTGAGAATTAATAATCAGATCTTAGCAATTAAAGGGTTAGGTATTCTCTAAGTAATACTATAATTTATACCACAGCAATCAGAAATGAACATGGTAATTGTACCTTTTTCTTCACTGCTTTTAGCTGTTCCTTGTACTTTTCAAGGGAAGCAAGTGAAGCATTGATCTTTTTAAGATTCACCTCCTGTTGACTTTTCTTCTTCTTTTCATTCAGCCCATCACACACCTTTTCCTTCATATCAGCGTCTGAAGAACTATCTTTCCCCTCTGACACGGGACTTTGAGTTCCATCTGTCTCCAAAAACAGCCATGATGACATGAAGGAGGAATCCGTAAAGGATTCAAGCTTGAATTTGTTAGAAGAAAAACTCTGATCTCTTAAGACAGATGGCCCGCTAACAAGATACAGTACTGAGTCTAGAATTTGAGCAACTCTACACAGAGCGATGGCCCGGTAAGCTAAGCTCTCAGTCGAGAAACAGGATAGTCGTGGATGGTTTATGACACTTGACTTGGAAAACAGTTCGGAAATGACACCATCTACTTTAAACCAACCCTGTTGAATAAAATAAAGGGTTTAATTCTAAGTGTAATAATTGTTCACATACCATGTTAGTCATGATTATTGTACTAGACCTGAAAAGGACCCTGACTGATGCTTTAACAAATTGACAGGAAGCTGTCAACAGATTTAACCCTTTAACTCCCAGATCAAATTTGTCATTCTCCTTGTCAACCATACAATTCTTATAAGGTTAGTTCAGAGAATTTAGTATTGGATCAACTAATTATCCCCAAATTGATATTTTTCTTTATTCTCATCACTTATCTGGTTGATATTGTATTGATATTGTAAGGGGAAATTCTCTCTTGGTCACTCATGGGAGTTAAAGGGTTTGGTGATTCTTGACTTTGTTATTGTCACCAGTCACAGTCCTTTTTAACACTGTCCTCACCCTAGCAATCACATTAAATGATTGAAGGAACTCAAGTCTTGCAAAGCCTTTTCAATGAACTTACTTTGCATTTTCCCTGATTCACTTTTTCATGAACTTCACACAAAAAGTGCACAAGAACAAGGTCATTGTTGATGTTCCAGCTGCTTGAAGGCAAGGCCAATAATCTAGTCATGTGGGCTTTTTCCATTTCTATTAGAACATTTGAATACCGTGGGATCTTCCTTTCAGGTTTTAAAAGTGGAGTTCTACTCTCATTTGATAAGGTTGGTTGACTGGTGGCATCTTGCTTTAAGCAAGACTTACAGGATGAGTTTTCATCTAAATGACCATTGTCTGACATTCTTGGCTGTTCTATTTTGCTGCAGCAACTTGTTTGACATAAATCACTTTGACTTTCTTCTGTTGTCTCATTCATAGGAAGAGTATTCTGAGACAAGTTGGAAGAGAGACCACATGAAGATGAACACTCCAGTGAACCACTGCCTTGCAAAAACTTACAGCCATTTGTAGCAGAAGAAGAAGTTGTTGGACATGGCACTTTGTACAACTCAGTTCTGTTCTCCATAGTGTTTGGAGACTCTTCCTTCAAGACTTTTGCATGTGTTGGGCTTGCAGTAGGTATCCCAAGCTTATGAACAATCTCAGCATAAGACAAACTCTTTTTGCTGTCCTGCCTTTCACTTTTCTGTTTCACTCGTTTCTTAATATAAACATTCAGTGCTTGTGATCTCTTGTCACTGGATATATTACACAGGCTATAATAATACTCTAACACAGTCTGCCATATTTTGTCCTCATGCAGATGGCTCCAAACACTGTCACAGCCAGTCTGATCCAGACTTGAAACTCTTGTGTCCTCTTGGGAGCCGAAGAAACAAATCTTTCTATCAACAGGTGATGTCACAACAGAACTTGGCTGCTTTTTCTGTTTTGATTTCTTATTGAAGTATTGCTGGATCTGTTGTTGACATGGAACATAACAGAATGGTACAGGAAGAGGTTGGGAAGTATGCAGGCTTTCTGAAAATTAAGCAAAGTAATAATACAGAAATGATTTGTTTGCTTTCAGAAGTGTTTGTAACACTGTAAAATCACAACTGGCACAAAGCAAAACTTTCCATTTACTAAGTCCTTGGTTTTAACTTACAACTTCCTATAGTATGTCTACTGTTCACTCCCAGAAGTGATCAACATGAAACTTCTCCCAATAATATCCTTAAATTATCCAGCAAATAAATAATGAGAATATTCAAACTCATCAGGTAGAAGTTGTTATCCAGATCTAACACCAAATTCTCATAACTACTTTACAAGGAAATGTGTGGCAGCTTGATGGGAGAATTAATAATTTGATCTTGGGAGTTAAAAGGTTAACAAGTATATTATTCCATGTCACCCTGCATCTATTCAGTAATGGATTACAGATGACATCAAAATGTGCAAAAGAGAAGAAGAGGCGTCATACATTCTGACTTCTTTTTGCGATCTATCATTGTGCAGACCCAAAGCAAAATGAAATAAATTTGTTTCATAAGAAAACAACACAAAATGTTTTTGATGATGATGTCTTCTACCCATGTCTGTCTTCCAGTAGACCATAACTGAGAACCAATCAAAATGCATGTAGAATTCAGCTGATGATTTAAACACTACTCCACGAAACACTCTTGTAAAGAAAAGTTATATGCAAGAATTTTCAACTGTTTAACTATGGCAATACAGGAGTGCTGCAAAAGTTTTGGCCTTGAAATAAGAGCATTGTCACACATAGATTAAAAAAAACATAACCTTTTGAACCTGTAGAGCTTCAAATAGAACTTTATTCAGATAATGTGTGTAGGAATCTGACTGGAAGGTAATTGGTATTTCTTGGAAATATTTCATCTGACCTGGGTAAATCAGTCCGAATACTTACAAGAAAAACCAGTTACATTCCACTAGGATTCTTCAGCACATTTTGTCATCAGTACTAGGAATTAAAATTTTTGTTTTCAATTCATATACTCTTGCTAGGTTTTATAATGCAAGTACAAGTCTCCCCTACCACTTGCTTCTTGAAGAGCCCTCAGTCTGGCCAAAGTCGTTCTGGCCTGTCCACGACTGACAAGTACATCAGCAGGTGGGTAAACCTTCCGAGCCTGTTGTTCCACAGAGATATTGTCAGTAACAGTTATTAACCATTTAACTCCCATGAGTTACCAAGACAGAATTTTTCCATACATTACCAACAATATCAAGCAGAAAAGTGATGAGAATAGGGAAAAATATCAATATTAGTTGATCCAATACAAAATTATCTGAAATAACATCATAAGAATTGTGTGGCAGACAGTAAGGAGAATTATGAATGAGATCTTAAGAGTGAAAGGGTTAATACCACCTCTACAACATGATCATTTCACAAAAAATAATGCTAACTACACAACTTTCTGTATCACTAATGGTTTTGAATACTTGTAAATCTACCTAGAATCTTATAATTTTTCTCTTTCTAGTAACTAATTAACAAGGTACAGTGTAGCAAATAGAGGGGAGAATTAACAATCCTATTTTTGTGGAGTTACAGGGTTAAGAAATGGAAGCATACATTAAAAAATATACTGCAATTTTCCTTATACAAACCTTTGGTTTATTTCTTGGATTTTCCTTTGGAAAGTTAAGCTTGGGAGCATCAGTCTCACTATCAGCCATCATCACTAGCGGAGCAAAAGATACCTCACTGATACATGTCTGTTTTACTCCTGTGTCAGAAATCCTTTCAATCTTTAGTAACTAAAGAAAAAAAAATTGAAACAGAACAAAGTTATAAATAGAAAAGGAAAGATGGTACATTTCAAGCTTAGTAATAAATAAAGAAAGATGTATGGTTGTCTTGTCAAAAGCATGGTACAAAGAAGAAAAGACTCCTCAAGAGGAACTGAACTTCAGACCTTCATATTCCAAGTGAAAATGTACAATGATAAAACACTGAGCTATCAAACCACACTTATTTTAGAACAATTACTTTCAATTGTCATAGTAACAATAAATTACCTTGCAAAATTTGATACTATTTTAAGAAACACACTCCCTTTATATCAACAGCTATATTTTCAAAGTTATTGCATATAATTATATAAATCGGCTGAGAACTCAGTTTGGCTTCAGTTCATAATTCTTGTGGTGGTTTCTGTTCTGTTTTCAATTTTTTATCATGTCTTTCAGTCCCTCAGTCTGTAGTCAATAGCTAGTCAATAGACAAAAGCCATACCCGATCTCTACAAGGAAGGACAGCAAAGCCACCAATTTTGGTTAATCCCAAAATGAAGGGAACTTTATTAGCTGGACAAGCTGCCCCACAATAAACCCTGTCATAGCAGCACCCTGATGGATCCAACCGAAAACAGTTTCCTGCAATAAACTTGGGAGGACAAATGTCATATGCTACAGAAGGACAGAAGCGGAAATATTCCTCCACTCTTTCCTTTGCAAATTGTACAAGATCCTCGTGAACTTCAATTCCATGACTGACACCATGGGCTTGTAGAATGTAACCAGCTAAGCAGGAGAAATAACCAGTACCACTACCAATATTGAGGAATGACAGACCTGGCGAAAAACATAAATAAAAATTAAAGCAAATTTGTTTAGCATGTAGAATGGTAGTATGCATGGGAACTCAGTGACAGGAATATTAAAAATTACTGGAGAAATGTTTAATTTAGTGCTTACAGGGAACTATCATGATCATTATTAGCAATCATGAGGTTAATTGTGAGATGAAGCAGACAGAAAGATTTGTATTTTAGCACTGGCTAGAGTTGTTGGGTTGTATTCTTACAGTAAGACAAATGTAAATGTTTTCACATAAAATGACAAAACAAACCAGTTTGCAGAACCCATTGCCCAGGGGAGGGGGGGAGGGGCAATATAAACCTACCATGTATTTTATACATGAAGTGATTTGATGCTCTACAAAAAGTGTTTCAAATACAATTTGTACATCTACAGTGATCTATTTCTAACAGAGCCATTACAAATTCAAAGACAGGAGTAGTAAGTTAACCCTTCTCTTGACAGAAACAGACCCATGCCGTCGAAAAAACGCATCACATGTCACTGACTGCTGGTCATTATTCGCATTTCTAGCATTTAAATTAAGAAGTGCAAACTATTTAAAGGTAATCAAAAATACATAGGTGAAATAAGAAAGACTGGGGCATTCACAATGGTTCAGCTTTGATTCCTGTCAGGAAATATTGATCAAACTGGTGCTTGTACGTACATAAAAACAAAAGGTCCAGGACCAAGTTAGATTCTGTTTGTAATTAACCTCAGATACAATGGGTTCTAATAATGAAAAATAACTGTTCTGCCAAAAAATTCATTTCATAATTTTGTCGCAGCCGATGGCTAGACTTTCGAAACTGAAAGCGGAATATCAAAAGGACGAGAATATCTCAATTATTTAAGCGATAGTTGGTCATCAAAATATATCTTTTAGACTTAACCTCCATTGTCCAAACGGGACACAATTATGTGATTCTGCCGTAATCGATGAAGAAAGGATCAATTCGCACAGAAACTCACGCACACACAAAACTGATTGCAAGACTTCCCACCTGGAGACAAATCTAGGGCTTCTAGGACAGTAGCGTACATATGTGGTGCAGACATATGTACGTGTGGGTCCCCTACAAGAGGCGAATCAATGTAAGCTTCCAGCTGTAAGTCTGGGGGAACGAAAGCCCCTCTAGGAACCGTTCGGAAAGCCTCCTCTACTTCTTTGCTGCTTATAACACCCATATGCACTAACTTATCGACCATCTCTTCGTTGTTTCGACCAGTGCACCTCCAAGCTCCCGGCAAACCGGTCAAATGCCTACCAGTTTGAGCAAGCTCGAGAACCCACGACATTCTTCGACTTTGCTGATGCAACTTTCTGTGAGTACCTTCGACAGCTGTTCAGTTCTGGTTCTCTGAGTCAAGAAAAAGGTTCATAACAACGCTACAAGGTATTCATCCCATGGTACAGAGAGAAAACGGAACAGAACTGGCTCGTTAAATAGTATAAATAAGGTTATACAACGTCCTCGGAGGGGTTAGCTAATTGCCCAGTCTCTTTATCACAGTAGAATAACACAGAGACCGCTTGGAACGACGGACCTGACTGACTCGCACGCTAACAACAGGGTAGCAAAAAATGAAAATAAAAAGGGCGCGGGGGAGGGGAGGGGGGTTCTGATCCCGTTTCACGTACGTATTTTCGAAAAATTCGCTGGTCACGTCTGTAAAGGGGAAGCTTCAAATCTCTCTTCTTATGAACAAGGTTTTAGAGAAATCTTGATAGTGATGATAATCATTGGAATTACCAATAAATGCTAAGGGTTAGGGTTACACACATAATATTTCCCTCATGGTTTGGTAGTTTCACTGTTTATTACAGATGACGTAACTAAATCCAACAATAATGTTTCAATATTAACTTTCAAATCTCTATACCCATGTCAACTTTACACCAAACAGTAAACATCAACAAATCAATGATCTTTATGTATTAGCTGTAACTTAGGATATTCTTAAAATAATTCTATAATTGTAAAAATAATATTTGAGTTTCTTTTCTGGGAGTAATCACAAAAATAGCATTATAATGATGCAATTTTCTTAGTATAAAATGGTCAAAAGAAAACTTCGCAATAGTACAAAGTCATGCTTTGTCAATTAGAAAATATTATCAACAGATACTCCCTTGATATCAAGAAAATATTGAAAAATACTCTTCAACATTTAGGGGCAGCTGAGAAAGTAATTGTCAATCTAGACAAACTACCTGCACATTTTACAATTCTTTAACATGCATGTAGAACACAGTCTATGCAAACATGCAATTTAAGTCCCAATCAAAAAAAGATTATTGAAACCAAATATTTTCTAATATAAATTCAAACATATTCATAACAATTTATCAATATTTACTCCTATTGGCAAATAATCCAAAGATTTATGAAAAGTAGAAAATGGAACAATATTGTTACATAATGAATTTGTTACGGTAAAAACAGATCCTCTATGCATGGTTCACTTTCCAACTACAACACTCTTTTTTCCTTTCCTTTTTTTTTCTCTTGAGGTAAATTGCATTTAGTAGAATTTACAACCATAACTAATTATTTGAATATATCAATTTGCAGAAATAAAAATTATCTAGAAATTTAGTTTGGGGCTTTTGAGAATGACAGTTGTTTAGGCAAATTTCTAACACCATGGAGAGGAATAACATATTCAACCCTATGACTCCCATTCTCCCGATTGACTGCCATGCATTCCCCTGTAAATTAGACCAGAGAATTCCATTTTAAATCAACGTAACATCCTCTGACTGACAAGCTTCACTGTTCTCATAAAATATTTGCTAGAAAATGTACTGCAATTTTAATGAGAAGTTGTGAGTGAATCACTTCTTTGAATTCAAGATAAAATTGACTAATTTTTGCACAGTAGATAATAGTTGAAGTTAAACAATCAATTTAAGGTGTTAAACTTCCTTGATTTCTAACGAGCATAAAAAATGTAATTTTCTTCCATCTTAGCTCTGAGAACATCGCATAATAGAAAAAAATGCTATTCAACCAAAACAAAATATCATTAAATCTCTTCTTGGGGTCTGTAAGACAGACAGTTCTATACTGATGGGCATGGATAGTACTGTAACCATTTTGGATTTTTACAGCAGTAAAATATTTCAGAGAATAGAAAGTTTTACCAATCACAGAGAAATCTTCTCCCTGAGTTCTTCAAACTAGGATACTCTGAAGAATAATCACTTGGAGAATATTGTGAAACCTTTGTCCCTGTTAAATTTCCTTGTACTCCTGATGACATCTTACCTATTACTCTGCTAGAAAGACATACATTATGATAAAAATGTGGCTTTTAGATAAGTAAACTTATAATTAAGCAGGAGGAATTACAAAAATTGCCAAAAACAATTGACCACCATTCACTTACAACCGAAAAAACAACATCGACAGATTCTGACCAAACAGCAAGTAAATAACAAAAAACAGTGTTTCCTCATTTACCTGTTTAACAATTAGAATTCCTCAAGTATAAATGCAGAGAGTAATTTAGCTCAGAGATTCTATAGAGTATTACTATAAGCATAACATAATTCAACCTAATCTATATACCTATAAAACTGATTTTGTGAGGACATATAAGGTTTTAATCAGTTTTAGGGTATGAAAAATATTTTTTTATATTAAAACAAAGATGTTATAACGATCTCTTGGCTTTTTTCCTCTTTGCAGGCCGAATAATAGAATCCTCTTGACCTTCCAAAGCTGTTTATTAAATAACAAAAGAGAGTACAGTTAGTAAACCTGACTGATTGTCATTTGTATCGCATCTTACCACTGGAAGGACATAGAAAACTAATGAAATCAATGTCCAACAAAATTGAAACTGTGTTTTCATTTAATTACTTTATCACACAGAAGTATTTATGACTTTAGTTTTGCAGTTTCAATAAAAATCTCACCTTGCTATGGCATGCTCTAAATTTAGTCTTAAAAAAATTTACTCCACTTCCCAGCCAAACACATGCTGATACTTTCTTCTTTATGTACATGTAGCACCATTAAATCAAACATTCAGGTCTTGTGAATAGAGAAACTGATCACCAAAGAAACTCTTGATTGTTAAACTCATTCTTCTCCTCAGGACCTTGGGAAATGTATAGAGAACAGTGCAGAGAGCAATGCACTAGTATTGCAAATGTCATGGGTTCAAATCCTGTACAAGCCCAATTTTTTTTCAGGCTTTGTTTTCACTGATGTTAATGTTCAGAACTGCAATGATCACTCTCATCCTCATTTACTAATCCTTTGCACCTTAACATCAGAATGCATATTCACCATACTACTCTCTGTACATTTCCAAAGAGGCTGACAAGGAGAATTTAGTTCACAATCAAGAGCTGCTTTAGCTGGTGATCATCTCTTCTATTCTCATGACTTTCATGTTTGATTCAGGTGTGATATTGTAAAAAGAAATTAGATGTTAGTCACTCTTAGGGGCTAAAGGGTTAATCCATAGTTATTCCATTTCCAAAGAGGCTGACAAGGAGAATTTGGTTCACAATCAAGAGCTGCTTTAGCTGGTGATCATCTCTTCTATTCTCATGACTTTCATGTTTGATTCAGGTGTGATATTGTAAAAAGAAATTAGATGTTAGTCACTCTTAGGGGCTAAAGGGTTAATCCATAGTTGATTTATATGATATTTACATATCCATAGTAGTGTGGAGATTATGTATTCTAGTGTTAGGGTGTAAAGGGTTAAAAACTACCTAGTTGTTTTATTAGCTCTTTATGATGGTTACTTCTCATTGTGATTAATTTGGTTTTGGTTGCACAACACTCAAAAATTGAGTTGCTCTCTAACAACACCATAGAATTTATTTCAGTCTTAACCCTTTAACTCCCATGAGTGACCATGACAGAATTTCTCCTTACAATATCAATACAATATCAAGCAGACAGGTGATGAGAATAAAGAAAAAATTAATATTGATTAGGGGATTATTAGTTGATCCAATACCAAATTCCCCAAACTAACATCACAAGAACTATGTGGCAGACAGTAAGGAGAATTACTAACAAGATCTTGGGAGTTAAAGGGTTAAACTCCTAGCAGCAGTTGACAAGCAACTCCTTGTAATTCCAATACACAATCCAGCAACCAGGCATTGAGAATTCTCCAAAAAATATCAGCTGTAAAGCACTATCTTCTCTAAGTCATTTACAGTATTTAAAAGTGAGAATTTCTAATGAGATCTTGAGAGTTAAATAATTTAACTTACATGATCTTCTTGTTCCCACAAGATTCCCACTGTAGCTTGCATGGCTGTATCCATTACCATTGCTGTTCCCAATGTTCACATATGCTATGGAACTGTCATGGACAAAGCTCAGAGTTGGAGTTGAAACATGACTACTTCCTTCTGCCAGATCTTCATTGGAAAAGTGCTGCAATTTTCCAGGGAGAAATTTAGGAGAAAATGTTTCATTCAGTTCTTTAAGCTCTTGGCCTTCATTCTGTGTTCCATTTTGATTGTTTTCCATCTTAACAGCATTGTCCTTACATGAAGCTGCCACGATGACTGAAGGTCTGTCATTGGTTAACTCCTTTAAGTCACTTTGTCCTAGTTCAGATCCCTCTTCAGGTTTCACCTTCTTCAAGATTTCAGAGTAACAACTTCTGGAAATGTTTGAATGTGACAGTTCTGACTTAGAAAATGGAAATTCCTGTGGACTAGACCCCACAGCTGTTCCACAAACAACTGAACTTGAATCAGAAGTTGATGTCACAGCTGCAGAGGTTATATTTGCTGGATTGGAAGGCACTGCAGCGACATTTGAGAGGCTGCCAGGAGTTAGTGCTTGCAGTCTACTTCTGTACAGTAAATTGAGCTGTTGCCAGTATCTCATGGAGCTTGCCAGGTCAATAAACTGTGTCTGCACAGGAGCTGTGTTACTGTTGGTTGAAACCAAACCAACAGTGTCTAAACTGTTTCCTTGATGAACTGACATTGAAGAATCGTTCCTTGGCGTTGCTGCAGCTCCACATGAAACAGATGTGTCTGATTTCTCCACATCTGTATCTCCTTTCTCCTGTTTGACTTCCTCACCATCAGGATTTTTAGCACCACTGGGTTGTGCTACTGACAGATAAGGGTACACAATACTGATAGGATAAACATAGTTCAAAGGGTATCCAGCTGGAACTGCCTGCTGTGCCAGTTGGTTGTTGTTAACATCTGTGTTGTACATTGCTGGGTAGATACCATACTGTGTTTGCGCACCTAAAAAATATGTTGGAGAAACTTGCTGATTGGACCAAGTTGTTTGAGTGTTTGTTCCAGCAATAACAACATTAGCAGCTGGCAAGGCTGACCTTGCAAGAGTCAGATTTTGCACATATTTGGTTCCTTGGCTCACTGTTTGAACGCTGTTACCATCCTGTGGGACAATTGGAGATGCTACAGGCTTTGCAGCTTGTGGACTGTTGGTAATTGGCTTAGCTAGGGATACTGATTCTTGTGAATCAAGGGCCAATGCTGGAGTTTTCATTATGACTGTTTTCAAGTCACTCTGCAACACTTTGCTCTCTTTAGCCAGTTCCTCTTCAGGAACTTTGTTAGAGATGTAGACAGAATTCTTTGTCTCAAAGGGTACTGATGTGGTTGTCTGAGAAGTTGCGGCATTAATCTGTGCAAAAATGGATGGTGAATTGTTTTTTGATGCTTGCAAAAGTGAAGTTGCAGTCTCGCTAGAGGGAGTTTCTAAGGAAGATCCTAAAGTTGATCTGTTGACTGGAAAAACATTTGCACCTGACCACAATACTTTGCGTGCTCCATGATAGGCTGGTGTTGTTTGAGAAGAGCTTGTAAGAATGTTTAGTGTTTGGGAGGATGTACAAGCCTTAGATGATGTAGAGTGGGTAGTAGGTTTCGTGGGTAAATTTCTTTCTCCAAAACTCAGTGAATTGGTTGTGATACTCCCTTTGCAACTCTGGGATGTATCTGCTTGTGAATTTGTACTGGATGGCACATTCAAAGTAGAGTTCACTGTTACTGTGTTCGTAGTAAGGGACGTGAGAGAATAACAACGGATATTCTTCACATGCTCACGGTAACTTCCAGTTATTGCTGCTCTCTTGTTGCTCAATGAGATTCTGGGTTGCCCTAGTAAAATACTACTATTTGAGCTAGATTTTGGAGTAACAGTTACAGTTTTGACTTCAGATGAAGAAACAGAAGTATTTCCCATGGTAGACTTGCTGGTTTCTTTAGTGCCTGTATGTGCTTTAGCTAGCTGTTTTAACATGTCTGCAGCACTGTATTTGCTTTGATCCATGTAACAGTTGTAAATCAGCTGACGAACTTCCTCTTCCAGATTTTCATCCGAGCTAGTGCTACTTGTTTCTGACCAAGGACTTGCACTGTTGGCTCTTTGACCGTTAGGAGAAGATAAACGCCGATCTGCTGAAAATCTGCTTCCAGAAATCACAGCAGGACTTGGAGGTGTCTCGCGGCTATTTCTGCGAGTTCCGCTACTAGACTTCCGTAAGTTTGACTCTGAACTCGAAAAACCTCTACCACTCGCTAAGCCAACATTACTGTGCGATATATCCAGCCGAGATTCTTTGTTTTTGGAGGAACTTAGTACTCCATTCACTGACAGAACTCTATTGTCACTACGAGTTTTGTAATCCGATAGTTGAAAATTGGAGCCATTCGTAGATTTGTCGCTTGTGCCCGAGATCATGCTGCTGAATAATTCATTTGCCGGAGCATCTCCATTAGATTTACCTGCTCTTATGCTTGCACTCTTCTCGTCCTTGTGATTAGATGAAGAGAACGATGTGATTTGCGCGGTTGCCGGTTTGTCTGCATGCGACAAAGATGTCGGCATATGGTGAACAGTCCCCAAATTACGCAACGACGAATGCCTCTTTGTTATTCTTCCTTTACAAGCATTTCCCTTAGTTTTGTTGGATTCCACTTCCGTTCTCTTCAGTTTTCGCCTTCCCAGCTTAATCCCAAGAACAATGCTTTCTCCTTCATTGATCTGCACAGCTAAAACACCCAGATCAAGCAGGCGACGATCCTTGGAAATCGCCAAGCTGCGAAGTTTGTTTGCTGCCTTCTTCGGAACTGGAAAGCTGACAGTGAGTGGAGCATCACGATGACTACCTGTAGGATTCCTCATTTCCTAAACAGAGGAAAGTATTCCTTGTATGAAGCACAAACTTTCATTTACAACCCGATGGAAGATTTCTCACATTGACACGCACTCTGCGCACGAAGGCGATTACAGTGGTGTAATAAAATACCCTTGTCTATCAAAATTCCATCACTTAACCCACGCGGAATGGCTAATTCTCGCAGAGGTACGGTGTCTGAGAGGCATTTGAGGGAAAAACCACAACAACTGTGGAGAAACCTTGCGTATCGAACTGAGACAAACACAAAGCCAGTCAAGCGTAAAAAATTTCTTGTTCAATGGACAATTTGTCTTGTCACGATTTTGCATACATTGCTGGTATGTTAATGAATTACTCTCTGTCCAAACTGGACTCTCCGCTCAGGGAGATATTATACTCAGTGGGGGTCTAGTGAGGATAAACTTGGTGCCTTTTTCGGACTGATCCGGTCTATCAAAAGCCGATTAAATTTAATCCGGAGGAATTAAGCGTTATGTTAACGAAAGTCACTTACATTTCAGTGGAATCTACTGTTTGCTGTGGAATTTAACAATAAATTGCGGCATACTTCACGGAATATATTTATTTGGTTTGATCAGGGAGACCACCGGATTTCTTTGTTGAATTGGAAAACAAACTAAATGATAGTGATAAATAACCCTCCCCCCTCCCCCCTCTAAAAAGAAGCTTTCTGTGGTATGTTTTTGGGCATTTGCTACCCGGATCTCCAAATGTGGACCTCGTTTTTCGAAAGAATTTACATTTGCAACGACAAAATTATACCCCGTTCTGGAAAAAGGATAATTTTGAAAACTTCCTAGCCAGAAATACATTGTACCTCTCCGTGTTGTTTGGGAGGTCTTTGAAGGAGACCCATTGCTCAATCTATCTCCAATTCCTAACCATGTTTACTTCTGCGACTTTATCAGCTTTGTATATCTTTTAATCAGTTTTGAATAGTCAGCGCTCAAGTATCCCCCTCAGGTAGGGTGCAAGACACCTCCAATGAAAAGCGAAATCGGGACGATACTACTTTAGGTGGGAGGTAAATGACAAAGTGGGTAAAACGTCGTTTCTTTCAGGAACTGTAATCATTACAGTTAAAAAAATTAAACGAGCCTGCTAGTAGAAAAAAAAAATAATCAAGATGTCATTCAATAGCCTGCAAGTAAGCCGTCATTATCAGCGCTTTAGTACGAGTGTTCTTTAGCCTCTCTTACTGGCAGACGAAGAAGCGCTCGAGCTGCAGCATGCTCGCAGGCTGTTATTCAGGAGAAAAGAGAGTTTAATGTTCTCGGTTGAATCAAAGAAAAGATGACACTGATAAACATGCCCGCATGGGTGGTATGTGACAGTAATCCCATTTGGTCACAAGTCGGGGAGAGTTTAGAAAAAAAAGCCTGAAATTTCATGGCCGGTACTCAGGGGAGATCAAACCGCGGAAATGACTTTGGAGGAAATCAATCGATAAGAGGGCGCTATCCCTCGTCAATAGCCATCTCAAAGACAAATCTTGGAACACGTTCAAACTAGGTACCTCAGGGGGTGGGGGAAGGGGACATTGCTCTGCGCCTCTCCCATCGCAAATATCGACTCTTTGTCCATACTGGCCGACTAACGATGATGCGCAACGGAATAGCAATTAAGCAACCGCAAACAAACAACATTTAAGTTAAACCAGAGAACAGCCTACTACTGTTGAGGGACTGTGTAATTTTAATAGTATCATTTACAACTGGATTACCACAACCGAAAATCTGCCCGAGGGCCGGTATGTTCAAAAGACGATTAAGTCAACCAAGGATTAGTGCGAATATTTGATAGAACTATTTGATTTGCTGACAATTAAGCCATTTCTACTCTATTTTCTTCAGTTTTGCTTTATGTCGCGCTAAAACTCCTTTAACCCTTTCTCCAATATGTGCATTTAAAAGAGAGAAATTAACACAGTGGTTGACTTTTAAATTCTAGTTTTCGCGCTGAACGCCTTCCTAACAGCCAGCCCCTTGAAAAAGAGCTGTTTCTTTTTAAAACTGCAGTTCCGTTACTAAGCCATCGGTGCTTTACAAACTAAACAGATGATATTTTATCCCGAAAATTATAACTTTGCAAAGCTTTATCAATAGTAAGTTTCTGAGCTTTACAAGTGTGCGTAAGGTAGTCTAGCATGAAAAAGAAAAAAAAACATCTCAGGCAAAACAATTTGATACAATCGATAAACGATCTAATGTAAAAAACAAAAACGCTGAAAAACAACCTAGAGCAGTTTGGGCGGGCTAAACATAGTGCCTTTTTTCAATCATAGGGGGCATTTGCTTAGCAGACACTTCAGCTTTAGCGGTTTTATCAGGTTTAACCGGTTTGAGCACATAACTGCACTCCTCGTTCCCAAGTTCCTTTTTCATGCACTTGATGTACCTATCGATATAAGACTGTAGGAAAGACAGCGGAGCTGACCCTTGACTTAACACCTGGTAATGGAAATCCTTAAGGTTGAAATTCTTCCCCAAGGCTTCCTTAGTCTTGCTACGCAGCTGCATTAGCGTCAGTCTCCCCAGCATGTACGCCGTTGCCTGGCCTTGCACGCTCTGGTACCGTGTAACTTCCTTCACTGCAAAATCCGAAGTGTCCCAAGCATATTTTTCGAACATCGCAAGGGCTTCAGTTCTAAAGGAAAAAATATTGTTTTGTGCGACTTCGCAAAAAGCATCGTTGGGGTGGAGGTGTGAGAATTTTGGAAAAAGCTACCAGTACAACTTGCAGCTTACAGCTTTCAAAAAACAGTCAACCACACACAACATGACAGGAACATGAACTTACCTACTGAGACCTCGATAATGCAGCCCTGTGTCCACAATAAGTCGTACTGCACGCCAGGTCTGCATGACAAAAATAACAAACAAAGAAACAAGCAGACAAAAAAACGTGAATGCTAAGTATAACTCTACTTGTAGAAACTTACTTAATAGGCTACATGTTTATCAATTTTTCAAAACTGGCGCCATGATAACTAAGCTTGCATACCACAGATTTAAGACGCTGGTGCTTTACGATTGCCCTGTTTAGACAAGACTTTCTGTTATGGTTTCTTGTGCCACAATTATTTCTTTTGCTTTTATTACAATCTTTAAATGGTGTATATCAGAAATACACTTCAAAAGAATACCATCTTAGTAAGAGATTTTGGTAATGCAACGCATACTTCGTGAGCGCGAGGCAAAAGATAAAATATTATTCCTGTGAACACAGAATAAATGGGTAGAGTGGAACCTAGAAATCACTCAAGTTTCACACATACCTGCCATTTCACCATGCCATACTTCTGCAGCAGGTTGTCTTTGTACGTATCCGTGTCATCAGAGAGAACAGGGTTTTCACTGTATAATCCCCAGCCCTCAGTGAAAGCGGTGTAGTATGTGTTGTTATCCAGCCAGCCTGGTATTCCTCCACACTGGTCAGCAAAGTGCTCTACTTGGCCTGAAAGCACACCAAAATACACGAGTCAATACTCAAACGAATCCTAGTAATGTACCGGTAGTCACGTAATCCGGAATCACATTGTTTTCCTTTTCTTCGTTTCCTGATTCGTCAGAGGACTCTCTCCCACAAAAAATAGCCAAGATTTCCCAACAAGGATTCCTTATTAGTTGAGAAAGCCTCCTCCACTTTCGGACAAGCGGTAGCCTGGTGGTTCACGCCCTTGGTTGCTTACTGACAGGTGCGGATTCGATACCAGTCAAGGGTCGTAATGTTATGATCCTAAGCGAGAATATTTCCAATTACAGTATCTATTTCCACCCAAGAGTGCGATGGCTACCAGAAAGCCGGCCTGCAGAGCGAGTGCTCAGTATTTTCTTAACGAAATTATGGTCGCCATCTTCGATTTTAATGGCATCGGAAGGCTGAGGAGAGTAAGAAATTTGTACCAAGGGGGCAGTCGACGGTCAAAAACAAGGAGAGGGGTTAGGGTGGGGGAGTGCTCGCCCTTCCCCCTCCTCCTTCCCCCACCATCTAACTCCAAACGAATCATGGCCGGTCGGATAAAGGAGCGCGAGCTTATAACGTTAACTCCAGCATAAGAAGCCTGCACTGCAGGCTCCAGAAAGCTGTCAGCGGAACCTGAAACATCCCATCGAAAGGGAGTATCGATACTCCAAGTTGCTGAGAAAAACCAAACAACTAATACCTACCTTGCACCTGAGTATGGTGACCAGGCCTGGCCTCATGACCGGTAACGGACCACTCTTGGAAGATTGGGCCGAAGTCCTTCAGAAAGAACGGAAGACCAAAGTAAGTGGGTTTGGAACATTCTGCATCAGACATCATAAAAAACTGAGCGCCATTGGAAGGATTGTAATGTGGTAACATCTCTACAGGACAGTTTGGAACTGTGTTCTTGGAACCAGTGAAATAGAACGCATTTGTGATCTTTGGATAAAGCATCCCCATTACTTGACGACAGTACCGCGCCCATCTGGGAGTGAACAAATATACAAGGTTAGGCTTTCAAATTTCAACTCAATGAACGGCTGAAGAGTAAGAGAAAAAGCTGAATTAACGACAAAAATAAAAAGGGTGAGTTTCTAAAGAAACTGTGGTGCTGCGTCGGTGGAAAAAGTATGACAGGGTAATTCAGTATTATCAACTGAGTTGATAACGTAAATTGGCCACCGTAAAGAGTTTCAAAGCTGACGTTTCGAGCGTTAGCCCTTCGTCAGAGCGAATGTCGAAGAGCTAACGCTCGAAACTTCAGCTTTGCAACTCTTTACGGTGGCTAATTTACGTTATCAACACAGTTGATAGTACTAAATTACCCTGTTATGACAAAAATACTTTCGTTAACTTTTTAGTGGGCAGAGAAACTAAGCATAAGGAAACAAAAGTGTCTGCATCTCAGAAGTTTTGGGATATCATGTGGCCGAGACTCACAAAATGATGTATACTGGCATGATGTATTTTGCCTAAGGCATGCCTCCATAGGTGGTAATGCCATTGTACTTGCTGAGTGGGACTGAGTGTCGTGAAAACAAAACAAGAGTAAACCCAACCACCAATCAGATCAAGAGAAAATATTGAAACAAGCCCATGAGGGTTCAAAGTAACATCAAGCAGTCTGCTTCTAGCGCGGGAAAACGCAAATGGCCACGCCAGTCACTATAGATCTTGATTACGATAGTTTGAAAAAGTGGGGCAAGTTTTCTAGACCAATCACATAGTGCACGAAGTAAGGCAAAAAGAAAGCAATTCTGCACTCAATCGAAACTTGCTCTGATACCCCCTAAGTAATTAATAACAACTCAAATTTCATACTTGTTGACGGCCTTCCACCTCACTGGACAGAACTGAGCAGCTGTCTCAGGACTTGTACACTTCTTGAAAGCATTTTCATCAGATTCATTCTTGGGAAAAGAGCCATTGTTGTGCCACATGCTGGAGGAGTTCAGTATATCGCGAAATACCTGGATAGCTTCTGTTTCATTTGATTTCCCAGTGTACTTTTTCGCAATATCTACTACCTGGAATACAAAAAAAAAATTAACATTCTAGGAACAGGAAGAGGCATTGAATCAAACGAATAACCCTTTCACTTCAACGATAAGAATATCAACTCTCAAAACTGTTTGCCATACATTTCTAATGATATTAGCAGTGAGAATTTGAGGTTATACAAAATACTATCCCCAAGTTGATAATTTTCTACTTTCTCATTACATTTTCATTGAAGAACACACTGATGTAAGGAGAAATTCCTTTGAAGCCACTTTCATAGAAAAAAAACTACATGCTGTCCATTATTCTTTAAAGAAAACCCTTTCATTTAGGAGACTAACTTGAGAGAACTCTAGGGGGACATTTAAAAATCCAATTGCCTGGACTAGAGACATTTCTCTCTTTCCTCTCCTTCAGTCTTAATCACTCTGGAGAGTGACAAGGTGAACTTACCTGGCCATAGAAAAAATCCAACTGTCTCTTTCCCTCAGCGAAAATATCCTCAGGCGAAATGTCAGTAGTTGTAAAATATGAAAGAATCATCTTGTATGATTCTTTACCATTCAGCTTCTCTCCAGTTGGCAGAATTTTTGTGGTGGGCTGACTTTTGTCAGCAATACCATCAGTGTACACATAATCAACAGGCAAGTTGGCCAAACCACTTGCAAAATCATTTGGCAAACAGTGCCTCCTATGTTCAGTCTGAAGGTAGTTTATCAGATCTAACAAAGGCTGGCCAACACCTTCTTTCAATGCGTCTTTTAGTGAGTCATTCACACTCATGCCATTGCGGGCAGTGGACCATTTCTGCTCCACTCCATCCTCCAGATTAGCTAGGTAGTCTGAGTTCAAAATATAGTTCTTCACAAAGTCTTCACTGAGGATACCTTTGCTGTTATCAGCCAATGAAAGCTGTCTGTATTTCTCCTTCAGAGCATCCACACCAGCTTGACAGTCAATTACTGTACGTATCATCCCAGCTTTCACACCTAACTTCATATTTTCTCTATCAAAATTCAAACATATCACAAAACCCAGATTTCATATAATTCATCCATGATTATACAAGATGTACATCAATTTCTACATAACTAGTCAAGTGGGTGCTTGCAAATCAGTGATGCGCAAATGCAATCTGGAAGATAATCTTAGCCACTAACAGTTTTTTTTTTGTTCAAAATAAATTTTGCACCATGCCAGAGGTATGTTGTAGCTGCAAGGCTGGCCTGATGAACCCTTTTCCCCCTCCTAGAAAATCAAAAGGTGTCAACTCAGAAAATATAGGGAAAATCCCTAAAGGGCAATATTATCTTCTTTTGAGGGTGCCACCCAAATTTATATGCACCCTTAAGATACAACATATCCCAGACAACAACTATGTGGATGACTTTTCTCATTTGATTATGGTCCAAGAGAAAGAGTTATTTTACACAACAACCACTTACTGAAAGGAACCACACCAATTGTAATCACTTTAGGTTAATGCACCCTCAATATTTTTCTTAACCCTTTAACTCCCAAAGGTGATTCACCTGTAACTTCTCGCTATAATATCCATACATTATTCAAAAAAGGGTGATGAGAATACTCAAACGTATCAGGTAGAAGTCATTATCTTGATCTAACACCAAATTCCCCTAACTAATTTACAAGGAAATGTGTAACAGCTAGAGGGGAGAATTGACAATTAGATCTTGGGAGTTAAAGTGTTAAGGGATTATTCCCACAAGACTGAAGTATGAACTGGGTAATCACAGTTCAGAATCCATCACAGGCATACTTTTTGGGTCATTGTTTTTCTAGTACTCCTCTTCATCCCTGAGTATTCATGGCTATGGGAACATTCACAGTATGATAGAAGCCTGACCAAATACAGGGAATGCAGTTAATCTATGATGCTCCCACATCCCATTTGAGAGAAGAAGCAATTTTAATTGAGGTTGTAATCATAGGCAGCCAGGAAACATCATTAAGTACACAGCAAGGGGTTTTTCCAAAAACTTTTGATATCTAATTAAGTATAAAGTGAAGATGTTACAAAATATAAACTTGATACACCTACCCTCTTCAAAACTTACAGAAAACCTTGTAATCAAATCACAACTATAACTACCAAGCAGTTCATTTATATCACAATATATATGTACATACCTATAACGATCAATTGAAGTTTTATGACTCTTGAAGGTATTGATAACTAGTTCCACATCCTTATAAGTCTTTGGTTTAACATGATACACAAAAGCACCAAGGATGTGATAGAGATTACAAATTGTCTGCCAACAAAATACGTCAGGGCCCAGCATCCAGTCTCCAGCATAATAATTCTCACTATATGGTGAACCAAATGTATGCTGGAGAAAATGCTTGACCTAAAAATAATTCTTATGATTAAGAACTGAAGGCCACAATAATCATCCATTACCTAAAATTGAGTTGAACATCCCCTAAAAATGGCTCAACTTAGAGACAAATAAATACAGTATCTATTACACTTCTTTAAACCACACTGATATAATTCAACTTCTGAACAATTTGCATGCTTAGTCATTGTATGTCAAGACTGAGAAATAGTAATGGCATCTTGATTTTGAATTTTTCATTAACCCTTTCACTTCCTCCATCTCATAAGTAATTCTCCTTACTGTCCAATATACATTTCTTATTATATCACCTCTGAGAATTTAATGTTGGATCAACTTATAATCCCCAATATGATATTTTCCTTTATTTTCATCATGTTTTTGTGACATTGTATTGATATTGTTAGGAGAAATTCTGTCTTGGTCACTAAAGGAAGTGTACCTGAGAAAGTGCCTTGACTTCTCTTGGTTTCATTTTGTTTTCATCAATTTTAATGCTGTTTATTTCTTGAAGCAGTTCTTTTGCTTTGTCGGTCTTTTGTTTCAAATATTTTGGGTCAGGATTGTAGGGTGCAAACCTGCAAAATAACAGCTCATTTATATACCACAGTGCTACATGTATAACAAGCTGGATGCTAATATATCTTTAAATATACAGTTATCCTACTGGATTCAATCAGCTGCAATCAAATTAATGGACTTTCAATTCATCACATAATTCTGTCAATATATAAACCTTATTTTATGGCTTTAAATATATAATAGATGTGGATATTTTGTGATTTGCAAAGCATTTTTTCAAGCCCCTTAGGAGTGGGTACTAATACAAGCAGTAGGTTTATTGTCCGCTCCAATTAAATGTCACGCCATTGAATAAGGGATTTAAAATTCTTTCACTATTGTTTCATTTTATAGTGGTCTGGTTTCTAGTTTTCAAAATACATCTCACAGTCTATCTGAGCATAGTACTGATCAAATATGGAATGTGAGAGAAATGAAAACGACATGAGCCAAACCGAGCCAATTAAAAACTCCTCACCATTTGACCCCTAAGAGTGACTAGTATTTAATTTCTCTTTGCAATATCACCCCTGAATCAAACATGAAGGCCACATCAACTAAAGGTGCACCTCTGGAAAGTTAAGGAGAACTGTATAGAAAATATGCATACTGATGGTAGGGCGAAAAGGATTAAACAAGCTTTGCAATATGATCATTTGCACACTTCAAGTCCCTAATATTATAGGGAAAAGTCAGGGAAAGTCTATTAATAGAAGCCCCGTAAAGATGAGTAGGGACACTTTCAGAAATATCATACTCAGAGGCTTTCATGAAATGTGCTTTATCTAATTAAAATTGCTCCTATGAAGGCATTCCACGCTTCCCCCTTCTCCCTCCTAGCTTTTCTGAACGTTTCAAGGATTCTTACCCACATTGTACAGAAAAAGAGGGAGAACTGTAGACTAACTGGGTTGTTGCGACTGTTTTGTTTTCAGTATATCAAGGGTTGTCACGGATTGCAGCCGACTACGGAATCAATTAAGTTAATTAATTCAAAACTATAAACGAATTACTCTCTCAGTTCTGTGGACATTTGACTTACGACTTATAATTTACCTTCGCTTAGCATGTTCTTGCATATCAACAACATCTGACCGCCAAATAACGTAGTGCTTGTTTTGCGTGTAATGTTCCTCATGCACTCTCTTCAAGAAGTCAGGCAGGTTCACTCGATCGGCTTCTGCTGAGAATTTACAAACCGAAGGCGTACTTACTTCGCTTCCAGCGTTGCCTTTATCACCATCAACCTTGCCACCCTCACAGGAAGGTTTCTTAGTAACAGCTACCATGAGAGTGATAAACCCCGCTAAAAACAGCACGGAAGCTATCACCAAGAGCACCCAAACCCAGAGAGGAATGGCAGCGCGCTTCTCATAAGGACGAAAGTTGAGCTCCTTCATTTCTTTCTCAGAGGATGTGGGAGAAGTTCCCAGCATTTCCACCTTGTCGGTACTTTTTTTCATCGAGACGCTTCCCTCCATTGCAATTAAGATTGGAGGACAAAGTCGTGCAATTCTTTATGATCTCCGTAAAGAAAACAAACGAGGAACCAGAGGCATAAGTGCAGGCGGTGACGTCTCAATTATGGGTTCAATCCCAGGGCTTTGTACCACGTGACTAGCAGTGATGTGTAAGCGTAAACAGCTGCCACCTCTAACCCCAGCGTGCTACGTAAAGATACTCTAGGCGCCGGGATTTATTTCATTTTTACTTTCCTTTTTGAAGATTTCTTTTGACTCGTTCGACGCAAAAAGCAACGACGGCATGAGTTCAAAAGAAAAGAATCCTGTAAAATTCTATCGAGATAAAAATAGATCGCAGATTTATACTTGCATGCGATCGCTAATGTACACGGTGATCGGAACTGGGGACAAACAATTTGCTAGCACATACTAGCACATACAATACATCACTGTGAAGTGGACATAATTGTCATACCTGGATAGGATTAACTCAGTTATGGTAAAGTCTAAAAAGTACAGTCGAAGGAGGCACTTGCACTTCTTTTTATTGGGAAAAAGAGGAGGAACTGAAAAACCGTCTGACTTGCTCCTGATAAATCGACCCACCAAACCCTTTGACCCTTAGGGGTGAATAGTTTAGCATCTAATTTCTCCTAACAACATCACCCCTGAATCACACAGTAAGCTCACGAGAATAAAGGAAATAATCACCAACTACAGAAACTCTTGATCGTTAATCAAATTCTCCTTGTCAGCACCTTGGGAAATGTATAGAGAAGAGTAAGGAGAATGTGAATACTGATGCTAAGGTGTCAGAGATTAAAGAAATCAGTTGTGCTACGACCAGTTGTTCCAAATCAGACCAAAGTGCGGTTACTAACACTTTTTTACCATAATTCGAAAATAAAAACTGACTTTTAGTCCAACAAACATTGTCATCAATCTTTTTCTGTCATTATTTTGTCCTTCGCTGGGGCAGATGATGCCTCTTTCCCAAGAGACCAGTGATTTTTAAAACGGCAGATTTTGGAGTAATAGCAGGATTAATTTTCTCCAAAAAAATTGCAGAAAAATTGCCATATCCATTACCCAGAGGTAATTGGTTAAAAGATTATCACGCTAAAACCTTCCTCGTGTATTGAGCTTTTCAATCTCCGAGTGATTAGTTTTTTTTTTAATTTTCCTACCAAATTTAATACGCTGCCTCACAGACAGGTAACAACAAATTAGCTAGCATATCTTTCCTGAATTTATACCCAGAAAGCTCATGACTTGCCGGCAAATTTACGTGTTGATGTCAGTTGAAGGAGTAACCCTTCAGTTCTTGAGAGTTAAGTCTTCTTTTCAAATTTCCCGAAAACGAGCCGCTATGAGGAAGCGTTCCGTCTTTTAACAACACCGTCATTCACCATTACTCTGTCATTATTAAAAGCTGTTTCGTTTCAGAGTAGGGCCTGAGAGCCTCAGAGATAGCCGTCTTGAAATCCTTTAAGGCATGCTTCGTGCAGGGAGGGGACGCTAACTTTCCATTCTGTACCAATTGACATACTTCTTCAACCATGTTTAATTTGATAGCATCTGCAAAGAACAATAAACACAGACTATCAGACGCAGAGAAAGCTATTTAAGTAAGTTGAACACTTCATTTACCAGCAAAATTATCAGTATGGACACATTCTTGAATGAAAGATCGCCTTTCAATCTAACTGCTCTCCAACCAATCTGTTTTAGAGTTTTAGCCGGAATTTGGTAACTATAGGTAAGTTTGTCCGCCTGTTTGACATTTCGCAAACGTGCAAGAAACATGTTTTTGTCGTAGTTTGTCCATCTTGAAAAATAATGTTGCAATCCGCGTGAATCTCCTCCATCCTAGTTCCTTTTCGTTTTTTCTCACCCATTTGTTGTTTGTAAACCCTTCGTTTCATTCTTTTTATTGTATTTATTTTATTCCATGGTGTTCGTGTCCAAACAATTCTACAAGATGTCACATTTTTATTTCTCGTTGTGTTTCCTTAGTCCACGTAGCTTGAGGTTTTGCATGCGCTATGACACATTGGCTAAGTTTCCTAAACCTGCCCTTTATAAACTTTTAAATGTACTGAGTAGAAGAGGTTTTTGAAAGGAATCTTAAGTAAAGTTGTCAGATTCCTTTTCTCGTTGAGTTCTTTTTCTGAGAAGCAAGGGAGAGAAGAAAGGTTGGGGCGACCATTCCCTGGTCCAGTCTCCTCCTGGATTTTCCCTCCCCACCCTCATTAATGAATATCGTCTTTTCACTTCCCCGTCCCTCTCTCCTTGTTAAGAAAGTAGGCTCAATACCTTTCTGATGCTCGGCATTCCACTTGGACATCCAGAATCCTCTTACATTTACGTCATCAAATATCAGGGAGCCCTAAACACATGACACGCAAACGGTTATGGCAAAATTTCCTGAATTATATTCTCGTCGGTGGAGGGGATCGCAAAAAGCCTAATGCCTATTTCTGGTATCTTCCACAGACAAAGAGCTTGGCCAAGAGGTACTAGATATATGTTTAATGCGGCCAATCGTCTGTTGTTATTATTCTGCTCTTCCCTCGTCCTCCATCGTTCCTTGGCGATGGCGACAAGTTATTCCGAGGAGTGATATATGTTTGAGAGAAAACAAAAGACGAACCACTTCTCATTGGTTTTCTTGAACTACGAGATGCATCTCCAATGCAATCCTGCCGGAGTTCTTTCAGCATTCAGTTGAAGATTTCTCTACAATTGTCCAGACAGCTCTGACTGACAGGGTATTATAATAGAGAGCTTTTAGAAAGAGGAAATTAAATGACACAAACTTCCTTACGTACCGTTGGTACAGTAACAGGTTGTCTTGACATTCCGCCATAAGTGACCATCGTTCCCTTCGGCCTGAAATACAAGACTTAAATCAGTAAATGCTGCTACATGGGTAATGGACCATACCTGGGAAACTTTCTAAACTAGAATATCCATGCATATTAAAGGTAATACGCGAGTCTCCAACAAGCAGAAACCTTTATGAAACTCATAAATGGCCATTTGATCCTTTCACTCCCAAGATTACAATATTAATTCTTCTTACTTTTTTCCTTATATTTCTCAAGGTTGGGTTCTAAGAGTTTGGTGTTAGATCAGGCAATATTCCCCGTTTGATATGTTTCCTTATTCCTACCACCTCACTACATAAAAACATACATATACTGTTAGGTAAAAAAACTTATTGGTCATTGCTAGGATTTTAAGGTTACAGGAGCTTAGTCACGATTTTTGGAGTCGTTTTCTTCAAGTTGTTTAAATCACCTTCAACATGGAGTTCATGTGGATAGGACCGACTCAAAGTTTTCTCGCGGGCACTATCTGCCTTGGGGAAGTATTTGCAAAAATTAAAACAACTCACGTTAATGTTTACTTACGCCAAGTAACGAAATAGGCTCATGGAACTCTTCCCTCCAACGCAGTTGAGGGCAAGTTTGGGACGCTTAATATTCTGGGGGAAAATAAACAAAACCAACATCACTGGAGCGCATTCCGCAAAAACCAAACCAAATTAATCACAACTACCAATCAGAACATATAACATAGGGATTATTATAGAAGCCGAGGGGAACTTTGAGTACAAACAAACAAACTGTGAAAATCGGACACTAGCATCCAAAATTGGACGCTACTGTTTAAAATTGGACAATAGCGTCGAAAATTGGACACTAGAGTCTAAAAGCAGACACTAGTGTCTAAAAACGGACCAAAGCGTCTAAAATCTGACAAAAGTCTCTTAATCGGACATTAATGTCTAAAAAGAGACTAGTATCTAAATTTGGACAAAACTAAGCGTCTAAAATCGGACAATAGTGTCTAGAATCAAACACTAGAGTCTAAAAACGGACAAAAGTGTTTAAAATTGGACAAAAGTGTCTAACATTCGACACTAGTGTATAAAAACGGACAAAAAGTGTCTAAAATCAGTCCGATTTTGCTTTTAATTTTATATCTGATTGGTTGAGGAAATGGCGCAAGATTGGAAGACCAATACTATTGAAAAGAGCTCTGTGAACAAATTTGGCGATTCAAGCTGTTAGCTCAGAAGTGTTAAAGTTAAGTACACTTGTTAATAGAGAGCTGAAGCAGAGAAGTTTTTGAGAAGCGGAAGGCAACCGCAAAAAAAATAAAACTAACTCTGGCGAGCTCTGAAACTAATGTAGCGACCGTAAGATATTTGTTTTTGCATTTAAAACCAAACTACACTGACCAAAAAGGTGTATTGAGCACCAGGAATAAGAACTTTAAACTTCCAGCTGCCATCCCCGACTAAAAGACGTTGATGCTTCAACTCCCTATTCTTACTACAGAGAAACAAACCTTAACGATTTCTTTCATTTCAGGGCTTTTCAAGTCCTCTTCAGTGATGACAAAATTAGCTCCAAGGTCTTTCAGATGATTTTTCAGCTCCTCCACATTGGGTCTGTAATGCAACAATCGGTGTTAAATCAAAGGCTCTATAAGCGAATTCGTGAACGAGGTAAACTTTACGAATATTGGCGAAAATTTTTAACTGTTACCTGTGAATATGCAATTTGTGACAATGAATTAATTTGGGTGAAATTCATATTCTGACTACTGCACCATTGAGAAGGCCAGGGGTTTTCATGAGATGTTCTTTGTATATGTCGGTGTTTGGCGGGAGATTTAGGTAATTATAGATTGGTCAGTCTTCGTCCCAGTTACCTGTTCGTTTTTGTTATTTTTGTTAGAATTAATTCCATGAAATTGTATTTGTAGATGTTTATAAAACTTGTTTATCTATTTAGTTGTACCGTTTTCTCTAGGCCTCGAGCTATTGTATTAGATGAATTTGGTTCCATATATTTTTTGGCCACCTCTAAAAAGGTAGTTTTTTCAGGTTTTTTTTCGTAACTGATGTAAGACTTCTTCTTGTCTCGGTACCAAAAGTTTATATTGAAAGGTGTAACATTGATATTACGATGCATTGTGCTATTATGAAGGTCCAACACAGGCTTCGTCCATCCCGCTTCCCGGGATGAAAATCAAGGAGATGACAACCAATCAAAGATGCTCTTGATTGTTAGATAAATTCTCCTTGTCAGCACCTTAGGAAATGTATAGAGAACAGTGTAGAGAATATGCATACTGATATTAAGCTGTAATGGGTGAAGAGATACTTCCCATTTACCTACTACGAATTATGTTGACAGTAATTAAGCTCCAGGCTGCTGCAATTTGGATGAGAGCCTGCCCCACACTGCTGTTAGCACCATTTTGAATCACTGTATCACCTTGCAAACACAAAAACAGCATATGATGAGACTACTTCGTGTAATGTTTAAGCAAATTACCACATCTGTTAATGATTTAGCAAAGTAACGACCCATGTGGGATGCTGGGAGAACACAAGAAAGTTGTTCATTTTCTCAGGACAGAACACTCAACTTATACCAACAACTACTGGCACCCTAAAAATAACATCAGAGCTCTTAACCACTGAAACCAATGAACAAAAGAGAATGAACTTACTTCATCAATTGCTTCAAGCGTTATGACACAAAAGATGTTTTTGAGACATACAGTGAATAACTTCAATAATCAGCATCCACAAAAAAAAAAACCTCAAAACATTTCATTCATGAACAACTTTTCATTTGACCTTTATGATTTCTTGTGTTCCTCAAGGGTGTTGAAATATCATCACCATTTTTTTTTTATTAGGTGCTATAATATGGTCTTGAGGTTGACTTAAAATGCAGTCACTGTGATACATCATTTAATATTACCAGGTTGTAAATCTTCAAAGTCCTTCAATAACCTGAATGCAGTGCATGGGTTTACACTGACTGTGGCGGCAGCTTCCACAGGGAGCCCATTTGGAATTTTTAAAACTTGATCCTCTGACACCACTAAGTGTCTGCACCAAGAACCTTTTTTTTTTTTCAGAAAAGAAAATATGCATAAATATTTTATCTTGCAGACACTTTAATGCCTTAGAGTCAGATGAAGAAAAATAAATGGTATTTAATAAGTTAAAATATTGAGCAAGAGCTTTATAGATACTCCTAAATTTAGACAGCATAATCACCATTATGATAATATTATTAAACATCCAAAGTACAAAAGGCAAAACCATGCCACATCCCACAAGTATTTTTATACTTGTACTTTTTAATATCTTTATAAAGTGCAGTCCATGAACCAAATAAAGCCACAGCAGCTTTCTATTCCTCTGACAAGGCTCACTTCATCACTTGAATTTTTGTATAACAAGCCTGCTGTCTCTAGCATTGATGCCCTGAATCATTTTGGTGCTCTCAAAATACCATTTTTAAGACACATTTTCACCACTTTACCTAAACACTGATCTGATCTCAAGATGACTTGATCTCCTGTATTGAGGTTCTGTACATCCTTCCCAGTCTCTATGACTTCTCCCACTCCTTCATTTCCACCAACAGCTGGTAAGGATGGCTTCAGTGGATAAGTACCTGTAGACGAAATTAACCTATACTGACCAGTGTAACAATGGCTCTGCATGAGAATTTCCTTAGCTGGAAACTGTTTGAAATGAGTAAAAAGGGAACATGAAGTAAATTATATCTAGAAAGATAGGTATTTTTAAGGTAGTTCACTGCAGGATGAGTTTGAAGTCTCAAAAAGAACAGTTTCAAACAGAAACTTCAAAGCTTGAGAACGTTGAATTGTTTGCACGAGTCTCATACTCAATGCATGAGACTTAAGAGCTCTGTTTAACCACAATCTTCCTTAGGCTATTTGAGGTTAATGTGTGTTGTGAATTTGATTTGTAACAGTTGTTAATTGAACCTGGAGTACCACAGTAACCAGAGTAACCACAGAATACCTTGCCATTTCATTCACTTATGACAGTCCTAGCTATTAATACTAAGGTAATAAAAATGGACTATATTTATATCAAACAAAATGATAATATGTAGCAGGTTATTCTGGTGTTTAGAGCAATAAACCATCATAAATGAACATGAAAAACCTTGAATCTGATTGATATCAGCTGGATTTATTGGAGCAGCTAACATCCTTACTGACACAGAATTGCGACCAAATTCGCCTGTTTCTGCATTCTCTAATCTGTTTGATTTAATTTAAAAATAAAGATTAATATTTCCTTTCTTAATTGATAAAAATTGATATGCAGAAATTGACTGAGTTGATAATAAATGTACTGTCTACAACCGAAAGCCATATCATTGTCTTAGCATGACACCTGCATGAACATACCCCTGATAAAATTGAGGAATATTTAAGTTCATAATATTCTCCAATGTTCAAAACTTACATCCACAATTAAATCAAAAAGCGGGAAGCATCGTACACATATTAAAATTAAAGAAAAATTTTTAACAAGCCATAAAAAATCGAATTTTTATTTCTTCACAATCATCCTCTCACCTCAAAACTTTCTCTGGATCTCCGTGTTCAGAATAAACGACAGATTCGGATTTAGTACCAAATAACCGCCAAATATTTGAAAAAGAAACGTTTTTCCTTGCTAGCTCAGGATGCATAACCTTTAACAACCTAGCCGCCATATTGGAATCATTTTAGATTCCAGATCCCACTCCTAACCCTGTTCTTTATGTTCTGAAATTTAAAAAGTGTCCCAACATTTATTCTGAGGTGTTTCCATTTTATTTGTACAGTTCACTGTCCGTTTATTTTACTTGATTAATTGATGAAATGGCTAAAAATGTGAGAAAAAGACTCGCAAAAAAGACCAAATTTCATGCAGCTGCCCAAATTTCCATGACAACTCTCAAACAACTTTCCCGACATGGCTGCCAGAATCGCGTATTCTGATTGGCCGACATAGAATCTTCGTCTGCAGTCAAAAGCCAAACACCATGTCTTGATAAACTTTCGCGTTGATCCTCCTGCAATTCGCGGAAATCAAAGAGTTTATAGCTCATGGCCATTGCCAAAATGTAGGAAATTCGATAAAGTACTCTCATTTCAACTCTGTAAAATGGATTCTGGAGAGCATGTGCGATTTTAATCATGGCAGTGAAGTGGCAAACGACTTCTTGGCTTTACGTAGAGGTGCTGAAGAATAAATGTGAACTACGGCAAATTGTCTCTGAAACGTGTCCAGTTCACAGCAAAAAGTGTTCATTAAGCTACTAGGATGTCAACAGATTCATCTAGTGACAATATCGACGCACTTACAGAAAAGAACTTGGTAAGTTAATTCAAATTTTTGAGATGATACGAATCGAGTTACATTTATCAAATAATCAGTCAAATTGACATGCATCACATTTCCTCGTTTGTAACACTTCAAGTTTCATGTAAGACGTTGGGAATTTTACTCCATAAGACTTTGCAATCTCGTTGATAGTTAAATAGTTTTTGCTAAGTTTCCTTGGCTATGTTTATAGTAGGAGCACGACGTTAATATAACCATTGTACGAAGATAGAATTTTTCAATTTATCAGACATCGCAATCTCTCTGATAATTACTTTAATTTAGAGGAATTAAAGGTTTCTTTGGGAAAAGCCAAATTCGATATTTTGAAATTCAATGCCGTCAATGTTTTCCCTAATAACAAAAGCTCGTTTTGACTTTTAAAACTCAGCATAAAAGAGAACAGACCTCAGCATGTGGCTCTGGTTAAAAAAACAAAAACAAAAACAGATAGTTTGGGGGTTTTTGAGAGCCTCGTAGAGATTCTTTTTACTTTATGCTAAATTTCAAAATATTGAATTTTTAGTTGGAATTGATTTTCTAACAACAGTTCACTGTTATTGATAGTATTTTGCATTCATATAGTAATCTCCTTCCTACTAAGTGTAACACTTAATTTGGCTGATATCACCATGGTTGATATTTGGGCCACTTGGCTTGTTCAAAACTATCAATCAATCAATCAACTTTACAGTCATTCTGTCAATCAATCAATTTTCTTTATAAAGTCGTTAGTCCTAGCAAGGAAAAATGGGGAAAACATGCCTCTTTAATCTTTTGACTTCAGCACATTTCCTTATAAATCAGAGAGGAGAATTTGGTGTTACATCAAGTTGACACCTTCCAGCTGATAAGCTTGACTGTTCCCATAACCTGTTTGCAAGATAAATGTAACATCTTGGAAAAGCACTAAAAAGTATTTTCTGAAGGAGGCTCCATAGGGTTTTTGACTGTGCAAGATCTGGATGTAAGCAAAGCAGGAAGCAAAAGAAACATAGTGGCTCAATTTGGTCACATAATTGTTTCCTAAAAAAGTTGTATGAAAACGGTGTAACACAATTAATTTTTTGTTTAATGGACTGACTAGAGTCTCCAGCAACTGTATCCATTCCATAATATCCATAGACCTTCTATGCCTGAAAAAGAGGTAGACAGAAAAGAAAACACTGGGGCAAAGATTGCAAAACAGATTTTAAAGGTTAATCTTGCTAAGATATCAATCTTGGCAAAGTGCTATTATATGCTTTAATATTTGGGAGTAGGAAAAAGAGACCCTCTTGTCTTTCCTTTAGTAAATTGTTTTTGAAAATTACCATTTCAAAAGATTAGGCAATATCATTTCCATAATAAGCCAAAGAATGAAGACATTTCACAAGGAAATTAAAGATATTGAGGTATTAAGGCCAAAGTTAGAGGAATATATCTTCCACTTGTTAGAGATGATGTTGACAACCAAAACAGAAGCTTAATATTATATTGTTACAAAACTGGTAAATCTCTTGAGGGAAAACTTTGAGATAAATTATTAATTAGGTTTCCTTTTGTAACTCAAGGGTCAGCAACCTTGAGTACATCTGTAAATTAAAGGGTTGATTGGTGAATGGAATATAATGTTACTTGTGTATTGATTTTTATCATGGAACCACCTTGATAGATACTGAAAACTTTTTTTCAGGAATCCTTGTTACAGGAAGATGAAGGATTTGTAGATTTCTTTAACAATTTTCTTGCATTACCAGTAAGTGTAGTAATTTTCTTGTGTGTAACTTGTTTCTATCATGATAGATTTATAAGGTCCTCTTCTGGCATTTGTGGTTCCTACATGTGTAAATGAAGGCTTCACAAGGAGTGATTTAACCCTTTAAACCTTAACATCAATATGCATATTCTCCGCACTTACCTCTGCACATTTTCTGTGGTTCTATTAAGGAGAATTTGTCAAACAACAAGAGCTTCAGGGACCACTTCCTTTATTCGCGTGACCTTACTGTCTGATTCAGAGGTGATATTGTACAGAGAAATTATTTGGCAGTTACTCCTAGGGATTAAAGGGTTATGCAAGTGGTCTTTTTGTAACATTTTAAACATGACTTGTAGTGAGTAATAAAAGGTGAGATATGGGCAAGCTGTTGTATCAAATAAATAGAAAGTTTTAATCAAGAATAATCAAAATTCTAATAGAGAAGTGTGCTGGAAAACAATTTTAATATATACCACAAAATGATTTCTTTCTGATATTTAGTGATTGACAGAGTGTGTAATGTCCAGTTTTAAATGCTGTTCACCCACAGGAACTTGTATATTTAAATTCCAGTTAATCAGCATAATCAAGTTTCCCAGGTATTTGTAATTTTCTAAATAACTTTTCTTTCAGTGCTTTGCAGAGCGTCTTCACTACAACACAGAACTTGGAGTTTTTGAGGAATTTATTGAAAAGTTAGCTGATGATGTGGGTAAAGGAGATGCCAAGGCTGCATCACAACTGCGTCAATTCACACATTTTAAAGGAACCATCTACAATGTGGCTGCCAATCAATCACGCATAGGTTATTATGTGACTGTACTTGACAAGGTACACGGCCTGGAATTTGTAAAGAAGCACAGACTGCATCTTTTCCTTAGAAGTGAGCTTTATGCTGAATACAAACTGACTAAACACCTTTCAACTGTCCAGGTACGGTATGCTCCCTGTACATGAAGAACTAGCTTGACTATTAGTAGTACTGCTCCAAAAGAACCTCGCGGGCTCCTCTCTAAATCCGTGAGAGGTCTCGCACACATCAATATGCATATTCTCCATACTGTTCTTTATACATTTCCGAGGGTGCTAACAAGGAGAATTTGTTGAACAGTCAAGAGCTCCTTTAGTTGGTGATCATTTCCTTTATTCTCGTGACCTTAATGTGTGATTCAGGGGTGATATTATAAGGAGAAGTTAGATGCTCGTCATCCTTAGGGGCTAAAGGATTAACAGGGATTGCAAATGGAAAACTTGAAAGATTAAGGCTAAAATGTGGTAGCAACAGCTGTAGGCCATTAAACTTTTACGCAGTGTAGGTTGAAACAAATTGTTATTTCCTCTTACAGGAGTCCTTCTTCCGCGACTTGCACCCAGAAAGTTCAGAGGATGATGACAGCGGAGTCGAAGAAGCCGCCGTTTTCCACCCTGCAGGTCGAAGACGGAGTGTTGTTAGTTTCAATTTAACTCCTTCCTTGGGCGAAGCGCCATCCCCCGATACGGATAGGGACGCTGAGAATGAAGGAATTATGTACCTTCCAACCAATGTGCGATCCATTGAAGAAACCTTCGATGCCTGGCATGAGTCATTTAAACGTACAGAGAGCCGTGCTAGTATGTTTAGCAGTGGGGATGGGAGCTATCGTAAGCTGAACACTCCACAGATTATGGAAGAAGACGAAGCTTCAGCGACACGATCAACGTCGAGCTGCTTCAGTACTAAGGAGAGTGAATCCTCTGCTTCAAACAACGCGAGGCCCGTCTCAGGATTGAGCATTGCTAGTGACAATACTGAAAAGGGGCTGAGTCCTGCGGAGCCCAGTTCTAGGATCAGTTCGGCGAGTACTGTATCTTTTTTCTTAGAAAATCAAAGTTCGTTTGTTTTAAACCAAGAAGAATCAAATGCTTGTCATCTGGATTCGGAGAGTAGGGGGGATCGTCTTGGCGCGGATGAAATGACGCGCAGTTTGTCTTCAGCGCTAAGTTTTATAACCGAGCATGGGAAAGTGATAGGGAACTCTTCTGCCCCAGGAAGTATCATTGGTGAAACAGATTTAGGGGAACAAGAAGACGCAACAAGGAAAGAAGATAACACAAGCGAAAAAGACTTTGTTGTCGAAGAAGCGGGTATTGCAGGTCGAGAGGGCATTTCTTCTAGAGAAGAGGCAGAAAGAGAAAGTGTACCACCCGGGGAGAAAGATTCTGTTGTAGAGTTCGAGCAATTTGCGGAGCACAGGAACTCATGTTTTAAGGAAGGTATAGAGGAGAATCTCGCTAAGACTGAGAGGGACGGGTATCCCTTAGAATGTGAGTCTCTAACTGGTAGCAGTACGGTTGAAAATACTTCACCTGACGGTACTCGGTCTGAAATGGGTATGGGAAACTCTGAGAGTGATGTTATCAAGGAGCCTCTGACACCAGATCTCGGGGCACAAAGAAAAAGTGGTAATGAGGACGCGAGGGAAAGTCTAGATGAAGAACAAGTGCCAAGTATTGATATAGAAGTTACGTGCAGTGATGAAGAGGAAACTTTGGATAAGGAAATTGCTTTGAATGACGACGCGGTTGATTTAAATTCTGTTGCTGACTCTAACAGTGGAGAGAACTGTGGATCGGTCGCAGCACGCGTGGAATTATCTCTCAACACTGAAGATATTTTTATCATAAAAGAAAAGGCGTCTGTTTCGAATGCACCTGACTATACTGGGCAAGTAGACGACAATTTAGGTGGAAATGACGAAAAGCGAAATAGTTCAAGAACACAGAGGGACGAGGGAAAACTAACTGTTTCAGACGAGGATTGTCTTCATTGTAAAAATGCAAAACGTAAGAATGTATCTCCAACTTTAGATTTGGATACTTCACTTGGAGAACGCAGCACTTCAAGTAAAGAGGAATTAAAGAAAGTGAACTTATCGAATGTTTGTTCTGATCCTGGAGAGATAGGGTCTGTTGACGAGTATAGTGGACATAGAAGCGCTCAGAGTGGAAGCATAGCTGAAGAAATATCGAACACAGGAATATCGCCGTTATCAAAAGTGGATGTGGACTCGGAGAATAACAATAAAGAAACTTCGTTTCAGGGTCGTGAGAATGATGATACAGAAATGGCGACTGGTGAAATCGAATCTAAGAAACAAGATCTCCAAGGAGAAGAACCCTCCCCGGGAAAAGATTCCGATGACGATGACGATGACGATGACCGCGAAGATGACGATGAAGCAGGTTACACAACCGAGGCCAGTGCGACAACTCTTCAAGGAATTCGAGGCATCTTCGGCTCCAGACGACGTAGCAGTTTGGTGGCTACTTCGGTTGGTTTTGACGCGGGAGATGATTCAATGTTCAGTGACGATGGTTCTGAACTGGACGACAAACCGTATGATTTAGCTACCAAAGAAGGTTTCGACATGTTCAGAGAGTTCCTTTTGGAGACAAGTGGGGAGAAATTATTACAGTTTTGGTTGGAAGTTGAGTGTGGAAAGTACTTGGAAAATGAGGACGAAAGAAACAGGTGTTTGTTTTAATGCCATTGCTGTATAATTTTTTTTTCTTCATGCGCGGGTATGATATTCAAAAGGCTTGCAAAAAAACACAAAAACAAAAATGAAACAGACCGAAACGGAACAAGAACACATAGAATTTCCTGATGCCACATCTTCCCTCAAAATTTGTCATTTTAAAGTGAATAATCAAAATAGGTGGCTTCCCTATCGAACAAAAAAATTGTCATTTATTGACCTATGAAGCGATCTTTCTAAAATTAGTTTCAGACATAACACGGCTTGTGCAAGAAGTGTTGAAAGTAATCCGGGATGACTTTGGTTTTGCCCTACTTCTTGCGCAAGAACCACATGTTACGAGCCTAGAAGCTAATGAGGCTACGAGGATTTTCCTAAACCATGATCTTCCACAAAAACGCGATTGGCTATGGTTTTGCTCCTGATTGGTTAGCAAATAGTGCGAGATTTGTGAGCCAGTCACAGAGGGAAGTGAATTAGGGCGCTGTTCGACCGAGTGTAGAAAAACCAAAATCAAATCAATCACAACCGTCAGGCAGGTGAAAGGAGTATATCACAAGGAGCCAATTGCAACTTAACATAAAACAAGCAGACTGCCTGAAGCGCAGAAAAACGGACATGCCTTAGTCGCGTTTGGCTTTAGTTTTGAAATGGTTTCGTAGCGAAAGTGCTGCGAGTTTTCTGTTTTTGTCACACGGCGAAGTAGGGCAAAACCAAAGTCATCCCGGATTACTTTCAACACTCACATGAAAATTGAATTACCCTAAAATCAATGCAATCCCTTTTTCCTTCGTACACGTAATTGGAAACCTCTCTAAATTTTTCTCTCCCTAGATTGGTGCAGTCTCTGCGTGACAGGTTTTGGAGAAGCGGAGGAATTTACGAGTTCTCTGCAGTTACAAAATCAAGATTAAATTTGGTTGATGCATCGACATTGACTTTCGACAAGTTGTTCTCCATTCAGCCTGACGTACTCAGACCACTGTTAAGTTACTGGTAAGTTCTTTCCTTTTTAAAAACTTTCGGTCTTAAGTTAATCTTATGGGGCAAACCGAGACGGGAACGACAACGAAGACATGGCAAAACAAAAGATCTAATGGTCAGAACAATAGCGTCTTAAAACGTTGTACATTTCGAAGACGTCATATGCAAAACAACATCGTGATCTCCTAAACTGAGGTAATTGCAAACAGAAACACCGACGGCTAATTATCAAAGTTTGCTTTTGAACCCCTGCTCATATACGTTATGATGAAGTTGAGGTGTGGTGACGACAAAAAATTCCAATGCTTTGCAAAATTCTCACTCAAGAATTGATATCAATTTAGTTTTCTAATCCACGTCACCCCCCAACTGCGTAAGGTCCCTTCCATATTAGTGCCAGCATCTTGGACGCCGCTTCCTGCTCCTATATGGTACCCGAAAAAAAATAGTTTTCAGTTCACAGTAATTTCCATCTCTCCAAAAAATAATGTACTGTGCGATGGAAAACGACTGCAAAACGAATTTTTGATACCATTCGCATACAAAGCACTCGGTTAAAACTTTAATTTACTGCTGTATTGTCCCCACAGGTGTATGCGTTTTACGATGCATCAGCAACGTGTTTCTCACTCTCATGACCACGATTACAACACAATGTCACAAGACAGGCTGAAATCATGTTTTAGACGTGAGATCACATCATCAAACCTTCCACAAGTCCCTGCGCACGTGGGTCTGTCCCAAGTTCTAGCGAACAAAACCTTGGCCAGGCCCCAAAGTAGCTTTGTCAAGAACCGGCCGGTAACGCAACACCAGACATCCAGACCTCAAGTACGAGCCAAATCTGCCCATCCACGGCTTTTGCAAGCGAATAAGTATGTGCATACTAATGCAAGTACGACGCAATTGCAGGTAGGTGACAAAGAACAGGGAATTTTTACGTTGAGTTTTTGGACAGAGGAATTCTCCCGAAAAATCCTTTCAAATCCCTCTACTAACGGTGGCATGGGAAACTTAAAGGAATGAAAAGAAAAGGTTGATCAAAGCTGGTTTTAATGTAGCTTACATCGCATTTGACTGAAAATGAACGAATAGCCAGCAGGTTTGATCCATGTTGTGAGATAGAACGTGGTTGTACTGTACCACTGATATCTTTTCACTTTACTTGTCGCCTCATTCCCAAGACGTCATTATTATCTCTCATTACTGTCTGCCATACAATTCTTATGATGATGGTTCGAAGAATTTGGTATTGGATCAACTAATAATCCCCTAATTGATAGCTCTCTTTATTCTCGTCACTTTTCTGTTTGATATTGTTCAGATATTGTAAGAAGAAATTCTGTCTTGGTCACCCATGCAAGTTAAAGGGTTGAAGAGCTGTTGGCATGAGTGCCCTAAAACCAGAAATAAACCAGTAAGCATAAAGTGAAATAAGAACATAGCAGACTATTACCGGGAACCAATCAGAGCTCAAAGCAGAAACCAGCAAACTGCCTAGTCTTGCATCTGATTGGTTGTGAGAGCTGCCTGACTTTTCTAGAACAATGAAATCCCAGATTATGTTAACAATATGTGAGAAAATTGTTCTTCGAAGTAATTTTTTTGTTTTTTTTCAGAACATTATTGCTCCTGTGAGGACGGGATACGGTTTTGAGCAGCCTCCGGGACCGTCCTTTCCTGTTGAACCGGAACCAGACTATGCACCCTCCGTTAGGCTGTTTATCAACCCCGTGCCCTCCCCTGATAGTAAAATTCAGAGAATGATGAGGTGAGTAAAATGTACCCTCGACACGTGACGCTTTTGACTGTGTTGACTCTGGCAGTAGACAGGACGCGTGTCACATGTGAACTTAGTAATGAAGTAGCTCACCACGGAGTTGAAAACAGAACTTGCCAAACTTTGCTCAGGGCATTGAATTCCGTTCGCTCGCTTTTTTCTGAAATATCTTAATAGAATTAATATTTTCAATTGATTTCGTTGTCTCTTATTTGTATTTTTTCTTCTGTTCTCCTTATGAAGGACGCTCCACCGAACTTCTATTTATGTCGAGGGTTCTAAGCCGGCTCTTGCCAGAGAAACTGGATCCAAGACCGCCGCTATGATGGATTCGTTGATACAGGGACTGATTTACGAGCGGCAGACTGGGGACTACTTTAAATTGTTTTTGCAGAAGTCAGGAAACGAGGTAATTAGAAGACTAATTAGTTGGAGAGCTACCCTTGCACTGGCGCGATGAATGGCAAACCCACTCAAATCTTCACTGTAGGCAACCCAACTTCCAACTCCTTCTTTGGAGGCTTCTTAAGCTTGTCCTTGGTTAAGAACCAAACTCAAAGTCCGACTATGTGCTTATAATTGTTATGTGAATACTTACGTTCCATAATTGGTGAGTTTAATGTTCACTCGTTCTCTTGTAGACCTGGATGAACTGCTTGGCTTTTTGGAAATCTCTTCAAGAGTACAACGCGTACTTTTTTGCCGATTCTCTAAATCCGTCCCTATTGTCAAGGAAGGCACGGGTATGGACTAAGTAATTATTTCAAGAAGAACCTAATAACATAAATAAATCACGAATAATGTAAAACAATTGGTCTGAAAATGAAACAAAATAGACGTCTGGAACAGTTGGAACATATGATCGTCTAAAGATCCCGGCTGATAGAGGAGTTAACAGAGAACGTCATTAACTCCTTACACCCTAACATCAGTATCCATATTCTCCAAACTCTTCTCCATACATTTATTTTGGTACTGATGATGAGAGTTTGTAATTTGTGTAACAAACAAAGCTTCTTAGGTTGGCGATCGTTTCCTATATTCTCAAAATCTTAATAAATGATCTAGTAGTATTTCTTTAAGGAGAAAATAGATGCTGGTCTCTCCAAGGGTTTAAAGGGTTAAAAATGTTGCAGCACGCAGGACTTTCTTGGAGCAAACTGAAATGGCCATCAAGAGTATCGTTACTTTCCGTGGATAGGATCGTAGTCAATCGCATGTTAAAATTCCCCCTTCGCAACGACATTTTCTGATCCCGGAGTACAGCGGGAGAAAAGTGTCTCTCTCCAAAACACAACCCAATAACCTTGGTTACAGCTCAGTTCAACTCTGACCTTTGGAGACTATTAAGCCACAGTTGTTAATTCCTGTTTAGAGTATGCTAAATTTGTAGGTAATCTTATCGGTTACATTGATCTCTCACAACCCACAGACAATGTACGCCAATTTTGTCGTATCAGGCAGCGCTCAGGATGTTCATGTGCACAGGGACATTCAGGTGCAGGTACATAAAGAACTGGAGCCACCGTATGAGGAGCTATTTGACGCAGTCGAGGAGCATGTTCTTCATTCACTTCTGGAACCCTGGCAACTTCATTTAGAGCAAGAAAAAAGCGTGTTCGATGCTGAGGTTAGGTTAAAAATTTTGATTTTTGCGTCTAAGCTCACTGCTTCTTCTTACTTAAACGAACGCATCCATTCCTCTACGAGATACCGGCTCTCTGGGCAACTTCTATTCAATTGATTTCACCCTTTCACTCCCAAGATCTTGCGTCAATACAGAATAAATGTCATCCATTTTCATTTTACTATCATCTATAATTAGGTACCTAAACAACAGACCTTGAGGCATATTGAAATTCAAGTGGTGGCGAAACGAAGACAGAGCATTATTTCAACTCGTAGAGGGGTAAGAACTAGTCAATTTAGAGCACACAGAGTAGTATTCACCCACAACAGAGTCTCCCCTTCTTAACTAAAGTTAGATCTGTTGGTGTTTTCAAGTTTACTTCCTTAAAAGTATCGAATGGTCACTTCTGATTTTTTAAGAAATTACAGACTTTCTTGATGTTTGACGTAGCTTGCGAGTAGCTCCTCATTATTAGGAAACGCTAGGCGGCGGGGAGAGATCTGCAAGGGGTCTGGCACTGATAATAAGTCACCACACTACCGGCAAACCTCTCTCCGACCAGTCCCAAATCTTGCGGGCGGAGAAACACGCGTGCTGCAGCGTTGTTTGTTTGTCTTGCTTTGTTCTGTTTCCGAAAAACTTCAACGTGCAAGTTATAGTAATTGGCGGTTTTGCACGTCAATTATTTCTTAGATCCTTATTTTCATTTGTGAGTCGATTTATATCCTCACTTATTTACCACGTATTATTTTATTTTATTTTTCCATTTATTTATTTCATATGATTAGTTGTTGCACGCTAATTATTTTGAAGCTTGACCCGGCCGAAGAGGATCATGAAAAAGAGCGAATTTCTGTAGAAGAAGCCAACAGACCTTTCCCTGTTCCAAAAGATGGAATCACGTTTGAATCACTCATAAGAAACCGAGACGAAGTGGAATACTTCAAAGAATTCCTCAACAAGAAACATAACAGAGGTGAGGGCAAGGGTCTGGAAGGGGAGGGGGGGGAGGGGGTTCCCACTCAAGACTGGGGGAGTGCTTGTCGGGAATTTGAAATGTAAACTCGAAAGGAGACTATTTCTATGCTGGCTGAGGCCCCACTTGATCCCCTTTGGTTACTACATAGATACATCAAAAAAGTACGAGCTACCGTGATTTTGAAGAAGATTTCACCTGCTCGAAACGTCATTACTCCTTATCCTTTCGTAATTCACTGAAAGGAACCTTGATTTTTTTCATTAAGTTATACCTACTGTACTAAAAACCCTAAGTGAGGCTTATATCAGTAATTAGCTCCTCTTTCGGGAACTGGGGCACGCATTAAAGCAACTATGTAATCGTTGGCTACGGAATATGTCAACTACAGGAAGTGCCTACCCAATAAACTGACCAGCCGAAGCATTGTAAGTTCTGTTAGATCTCGACCGTGATTATGACCAAATCTTAAGAAAACTGGCGATCACTGAATAGCGTAAGCATCTATATTGTGACTTGTCTTGGATTGTCTCCAGCGGCCGGAGAATTCCAGCAAACCTCTTCGCGAGACGATAAGCTTCTTCGGGGGGCGAGGTGGACCTCATCATCTCGGCATCGTTTTATCATTACCTGTTCTACTTCTGACGCTCAGCATCACGCTATCTTGTGTTCTTAAGGTATCAAAGATCTCATGGCTTGGACAGACATGGAGACTTTTCGCCGCGTTCCCCGATTCATGGAAGAGAAACGTGACAAGAAAGCCAGAGAAATTCGCGAGAACTGGCTCGGTAAGAAATATTTCTTTGGAGCTGACAGCCCAGCAACAAGGGATGGCCAAAACTTGGTAGGATAAACAGTTCATGTTGTTATTGTTCTCGCCTTTAGTCCTGTACTTATCAAATATTACATCTCTCCATCCTCCCTTGTTTCCGATTTCTTCCTTTCCCTAGTTTTTTTTGGTTTGTTTTTCTTTATTGTAGCTAGATATGATTCATTTCTCGCGAAAACTGTTGTTCGCCTGTCATCTCGCCTATGTCGGCGGTTACATTGCGCACGCGTTCGGTTACATTATTTCCGTTCATATCTCTGTTTCCTTGCATCCTGCACTTGTCTCTTTTTGCCTGTTTGTGTTTTCCGTTACACATTTTGCCTCGTCATGTATCGAGTCAATTCTGTAGTTATGGCTGTATGTAGTTTCCCGTGGTACATCTGTGTGTTGAGAGTCACTAGACACTTGTGGCCATTTTGGTTTTCATTCCGCAGGTTGTACTCAGCTGCTCAATCAAAACCAATCTAAGCAGCTGTTGTTTTCTAACTTTTTTCCTTGGATGTTCTCTCATTCACAGATAATGAACATAAACGGGGGACGCCCGATAAAGGAACGACCCCAGTCGCCAGTTATACTCGAAAGCCAGAAGTTTGTTCGCGCGCGAATTGAGCGCCGATGGTTGATGTTATTTAAACAAACGGCAGAATTTCTAGAAAGGCAAAAACCTCGCGCAGTTAGCGTGCCAGAGATGGTAGAGGACATCATGTTGAAGAGGCGGCTGCAGAGGAGTGAAGCCGCCTGGAAGGTAAACATTCTTTAGAACAACTATTAGATGAGTATCTAAATAAAGCGGGATTGCGTGGATTTTGCTTCATTACTTCCGTTAATTGGTCAAGAAATTTGGCGCCAATTTCTCAACCAATCAAATGGGAAATTATACCTAATCGCGACTTAGTCACTTTTGTTTTCCCGGGCTTCTGTTAGTTTGCTTTTTCTCTTAATTGAGTTATCATTGGCTCCTTGTGATATTTGTCTTTCTTCTCATTGGCTTCTGTGATAAGAAGCACTCAATCGCGTAGGATCGGTTACCTGCGTCAGTTACGAGTCTTATTGAAGCTCTCTCTGTCATTGTCCTTTTTTATTGTTTGGCCGAAGTTCAACCCAGCTGCGCGTCACATGAGGTTAAATTATTTTTGTCTCTCCAATTAAGATTTTAAACAGCAGGTGGGTGTCTTCGTCGCGTGACGTAGTGGCATTGCGTCAGACGCTACTCAATCCCAGTCTCGCTGCCGAATTCACGGCTTTCGTGGCAATGAAGGGAGACACCCTGGAAAGTAATGTTCAATTTTGGCTCGAAGTACAGAAATTCAAGGTAAGGTTAGCACATGTTTGTAGTAAGCTGTTTAACTTGCTAGTAGATTAAAATAGATATTCATAGGTTTACAGTAGAAACGGAAGCAAAGTCCTGAGAGCGCTTACGATCAACCCTTTAACTCTCACTAGTGACTAACATGTAACTTCTCCCTACAAAATCCATACATTATCCAAAAAATAGGTAATGAAAATATTTGAACTTACTAGGTTACGAGGAAATGTGTAGCAGGAAGAGGGGAGAACTAGAAATAAGATCTTGGGAGTTAAAGGGTTACATGCAGTAATAGCTTCGACAAAATCTGAGTCGCGAAAATCAGTTTGTATTTCGTCTGATTCTACTCATAATCGAGTATAACCCCGGTGAAAACTAGTTTGGCATAGTCGTATGAGATTTAGTCGTATGTAGAAGATTTTCATCGACGTATGATTTCTTGTGTTGGCGGCTCTAACGATCTACTGGATCTCAACCATTACGCATTATCTGGTATTGGAAAGCGATCTTCAGTATATATTAGCGTTTTGTGTATCTGATTGCATCTCCAACTCCGACTCTGTCTTAAATGAAAGTCAAAACTGACGGTTTGACATGTTTTGTATGTGAATGGCAAATTCGACCAAAAGAGAAAGTTTTCAATTTTATCCATATATGCACAAGGATAGCGATGCTCATCTACTCTAAATTTTGCCTCATCATAGTTGGCTCCTCAAATAAAAACCTTTTTCCTCGACGCTACTTGTTGTCACACAGATGTAGGCTAGGTTGCATTGCGTTACTAATGGTCCCTCTCTGTTTTATTAACAGGATTTATGTCACGCACATGCGCAACAAACCCTAATTCAACGCAAAATTCAGACCATCATAGACTGTTTTCTGAACTCGGCTATTGCTCCTGAACTGCAAATCGATATTCCTATTGAGATGGCTGACAAACTGATGGAAAGGCTCTCGGGGAGGAATCCTTCAATTCATCCTTACGTCTTCAGAGAGGCACAGGTAAAGAAATTGGAGGAGAACACTGCCAGAGTGTCCTGGAAGAACAGTGCTAAATACAAGACTACTTTGCCCCCCACCTTGAACATATGCAATGCAAAATTAAAATGCCTGCTTGTTTTTCTTTGTTTCTCTTCAGATGACCGTTTTTCGAGTTCTTTTTAACCACTGGAAGGAGTTCATAACTCACCGGAGTAAAATACCAGAGGGCGAGGATCCAAGGGAACACTTTGCTGAAATGCTGAGGAGACACAGGGCTGACAACAAGTCTAAGAAGGAGGCCAGTGAACGGAGGAGACTGGCGCGACTCAGTGCTGAAAGAAAAAAGAAAGAAAAGGAGGAACGAGAAAAAAAGCGCATTGAAGATCTGTCAAGGTGAGAATTGAAAAGAAAGATTGATAATGACGTCGTGATGTATCAGCTGGGTTCCCTCTTTGATCTAAACCCTTGACCCTTCCCTTGGATTCGTCGCTGAGAACGCAGTCGTGTTGCGAGCACAGCGTAAAAAAAACTTAGAAAATGACACAGCGAACTCCTCTTCGTGACGGGTGAGATAAGGTCGTGTGGTGGAAAGTTAGACGTATGAATGGCTTATCAGTGCAATTGTGTCCACAGTTTATTTAGTATGGACACAGGCTCCTATTTTTACTCGGAAGAGGATGATCTACGCTCTTGGTCGTACTCCAAGCACTTAGTGGAGCAGGAGAGACAGGAACACATCAAACGGCTTAGGGAACAAGGAATTATTGTCCCGGAGGAAGAACTCGTGGAAGAAAAGGGTGAGTCATTTTTATTTTGTTATAATTCGTTTCCATGCTTTTTGTTTTGATAAAAGAAGATTTTTTTGCACTCTCGTGTGACAGATAAGTTTGATTCAACCCTTAGCAGAAGTCATCATCAGAGTCAAGTGAAGAGTTGTTGTCAATTGAGTATTATAAGTCCAGTTCTCTGGTGGTGACTTCTGTTACGGTGGTCGAAACGTCATTTACCAGTACAAACAGCAATCCTTCTCAGGAATAACCTCACCTACACTCTCCTACTTCACGCGTAGATGATACTCCTGGGCTTCAACCCTTTACTGTATCTGGTGTTTTGTTAAATTATGAGGCCACACTGGTCTTTGAATCTTGTAGCGTCCAAGTTGAATTTGGAGGCGAGAAGTGGGCCTGTGTTTGACTAAACATGATTTTCTCTCTGTTTCTCGTTGCAGAGGAGACGAAAAGTCGTCGCTCTCGCGTCTCCATGACAAAGTCCTCCACTTTTGGCAAGAAAGGTACAGAGAATTAATTTTCTGATTCAAATCTCTCCATGTTTGCCGCTCAAGTAGAGCTTCCAGTCTGTGCTGATATAAGCATTGGATAGCGATATCATTATTTAATTCTCTCATTTTTTATCGTAGTTCATGACACAGCCAGTGACAAGAAAAGCAGTGAAGGTGAGCTTCATTGTAGTGCAGTACTGTGTTTGTTCAAGCCTACCAAGACGATGAATTCAGTGTCATCTGGGGCGTAGGCATAAACGCCCCCAAGGAGGCATAAACACAGATGGCAGCCTTAGGTTGAGTGTTCTTTTCCCTGGCGCTTGCCACACATCCTTTGCCCCTATCGTTTTGCTAAAAAATTTTTAAATAAAAGCTTCATTGTTGATTGTTTGATGTCAAGTAGTTGCTTTGTACTGCTTGTGGTCGTCAGCGTCTAAAAATCGTCTTTGGTTTAGCTCCTTCTCCTTACATTTAGGAGAAATACCACTCAAAGTAAATTTTCGAGAAATCCTCGTTCCCCAAAACAGAAACTTACCCTCACAGAAGCACTTCTTTGAATTTAACAAATCATTTATTTTAGGATCTTCGAGGAGACTTCAAGCAAAGCTCGGAAACCTTAAAAAGCACACACATGGTCAGATGTCTCCGTCGTTAGCTAGGCGTGGCTCTGCCGTGTCTACAGTTGTGTCAATAACGCGCCGTAATTCTGGCGTGTCGCTTGCACTGTCACGCAAGGATGAAAAAATGAGTGTGGCAACAGTAAGTAAAGATGACAAAGGTGTCGAAAAAGGAGAAGAAAAAGTCACTGTCCTAAAGGATACGCAGGAGGAAAAGATAAATCAAGGAAAAAGCTCTGAGATTCAAGTGATCCATATCGCCTCTCCAGAAACACCACAACCTCATAACGAAGGTAAATTGTTACCGCAGCGATCACGCAGTTCTAGGCGACTTCTACCAGGAAAACAGCCACCGAAATCCGCTGGAAAGAAACGCGTTCCCTTAGATGCTATTTCGTGTATTAGTGACTACAGTGTTTTAAGTAATATTGAGTTTCAGCCTCGTGTGACGCCGTTAGGGAAAGATGGTCAACAGGGAGGAACCTCTCTACTTACGTCCAAATCTCTCAAGGACTTCACAAACTCGCCTGAAGGTAAGGAGCTTTGTTGGAAGCACTGTCTAAGCCCCGGTGCGGTTACTAAGCACCTGAATGAACCAACTTTGTAACCAAGCTCTTTTGAAAGAGGCTTTTCATCGCTTAGTGGTAATGAAATTAGAATTTGGATTATGTTGGTGTTTGTAAAGAAGGCTATAGAGGGTCTTCAGGGATGGGTTAATGGTCCATGATTACGCTGGAGGGAGGAGGGGATCTTGGTGGTAACCTTTCCAACTAATCAGAAAATATCAGCTGCATGCATTGTGTTGCTGCGATAAATTCTCCTCCAAGGAATCGATCAAATTTTCTACACTTACTATCGTTACAGGAGCTCAACTCTCGATGCCTTTACCGCTGGTCAGAATCACGTCAGCATCTCATCTTGAAAAGTCGGACACCGACGGCTCAATCGGAGATCCATCGCCATTGTACTACAAACCACGTCCGATGACCCAGAGCCTCAAGAAATCGCCCACCAGGCCGGGAAGGAGAAAGGGCCTGGGACTCACTAAAGAAGAAATGCAGATCAAACCGGATGTAATTGTGAACTAACCGACGAACGTTCTCTCCATTATATTTTTTTCTGTTCCCGTTGAAGCTAGTGTGAAATGGATTTTTTCAAACTGAGGTTCATAGGAATTTCATCTTAACTGTGCTAAATTTACGGTACATTCTCGGAAATCGGTCAAAATTATTCGCAGAATGGTCACACAATCGCGTGCGCAACTTATGTCACGTCGCTTGAATTTCTGGTAAAAAAGTCGTATATGTATAGAAAAGTTACTAGATATCTAATGTACATTGAATGTAAAAGTTATTGTATGACATAAAATGTCTCTATTGCGCATGCGACCAGGAGAGACGTGTGCGTCAGCACAGGAAAATGTGTCTGATTATTCAATTGCGACCAATCAGATTGGAACACGTTCAGTTGTTAAAAAGAATAGTAATGTTCGTGTTCAGATTCCTCTCTGGCATAGTCATTAATGCAACGAAATAAACCCTATTTAACAATTCCAATTAGTCTAATTTAAAAGCAATATTATTTGCAAATTTTGAGCAGGAAATGACAGAAGGAGTTTTCTTTGTCAGCTGTAATGACAACTTGTGGATGATGGCCACCCTTCGCGAGTTGATCATCGAAGTTGCGTTGTTCATCTTGCTCTATGGCTTTGATATTGGGACAGACATCAGCGTGTTGTTGGAAGCGCAACAAACTTATAACGATTACAGAAGCCTGTTTCAAAATTCTAACGATAGTGCACGCAATGAATCGAAACAAATTGGGTTTTGTTCCAGTGGTCCTTGGAACACAGAAGACTATCAAAGAAACTTAGGGTCTTTTGACAGCACATTGATAGCAATGAAAGTCTTTCTAACGTTAGCGAGCTTTCTTTTCCTTTTGTATCTGGCTCTTCATATATGGATCATTCATCTCGTTATTGAAGACCCCGATCTAGAAGAACACGAAATCGAAAAGTATATCACGGCAAAATTTGTCTTTGGGTTGACTTGTAGCATGGTTCAAGACATCTCTTTGACCAGTCTCTCCGTTGATTTGTTCGTCAAACGCGCCGGACCTAAAGGACTCATTTGTTGGGGATGTTATTACGATGAAACTTGCGTGGATAAGTACATCCTTGGAAAACGTTTCGATCACACAACAACACTTCTCGCCATCGGCCTTACAGCTGTGGTGATTTTGAGCCTTTACAAAGGTTTTGTTATATTCTATCGATGGAGCCGAGTCGACGAATGCCATTGTTACGAAATCCGTGCGTGCGTTTCGTTATTTGTTGGCGGTTGTTTCGCGCTCGTTGTTTTGACTCCGTGTTTGGCGCTGTTCAAGTTCGCGTTCTTCACGCTTCCTTCAGAATCTGAAAATGTGTTCAGTGGCATAACTGATAGACTGTTTATGATCGGTGTCATGATATGGGGTGTTTTCATTGTAATAGCCTTTTGTTGTCCCCTGCTACGTTTATGTTTACGCAAGTCGCGCAGAGCCTGACAAAATGTTTTATGCTTCAGAACTGAAGAGTACAAAATGAGATGAAACCTCATGTGGTTGCATCTATTTTCTTTTGAAGATGAACGGTGAGCCAAGTCGATTCAATGCTTGAGCTTACTAACCTTCAATGGTGCAATTTTAATAAGTATTTTGTTTTACTCGCAAAGGAAGGCGTTTCAATTATTTTATAAATTTCAGTCAATAGCCGTGTGTAAGTTCATCAGATTGCAAACGTCGCAGAAAAGAAATATATCAGCGCTGAAATAGCTACCAAGAAATGAAAATAAAGCAAAAGGAGCTAAAGTAAACTATTTGACGGATCTTTAATTGAGCCTTTTTTCCAACCCTGATTGTACACCCTCCAACTTATTGTTGAGTATATTCATGGTTTTAATCAAATTGAATTTTTGGAAATATTTCTAAAAAAACTCCTTATTACAAATCACAGACAATGAAACACGTTATAACTCTTTGGATCAATACCGTTAAACTTACGCAAAATGACATGAGAAGGAAACTGAAGGCGAGTGAATGCAAACTAACATGTAAATTATTTTTGATTGCTACCTAGGAGAGAGAAACCAGAATGAAACATTTTATTGCCTTAACACATTTTCGGCAATGAAGAACAATGGATTTGTTTTGAAAATTTACATGGCGAAGATAAGAGTGTTATTTCACGAATAAAATCTGGCACTTTTTTGAAACAATTTAAAAGTTTTCAAGGAAATCGATAATTGTTTTAAAATCTACAATCAGCCATGCAGTTACAATTTCATGGTTATGAAAACGTGACCAAGAATTGTGATTAAAATAATGTTAAAAAAGCTTAGTATCATTCATATGTAAAAACATCCTTGAGCCTTCCCCCTAAAATGTTTCGTTTCCAAGGTAACAGACTTCCCATTTGTGACAATGTGTCAATCAGTTAGACAATAAATAAGGAAGGAGAAAGAAAAGAAAGTCTTTAAGCGAGGGAACCTAATAATTATTTGCTTCACCCAGACATCTGTAACAATTAATGTACTGGCAGGGAGGTCAGGAAAAAGGCTTTTGAATCAGGGCAAAGTATTTCCATCTGCAGTCAGATAAAATTTAGGATTAAATCTTATGAACGCTTGACGTTTAGCACGTGCAGAAGAGCACCTGGATTTTTTTTTATTTTTTTCACAAGAGGAAGGGCAAAGTTACTTCAAATAATCAGAATAACCACAATCAGCTAGGAGCAGGTCGCTAATCTCGTACCCACATCCTACCGTTAAACTGTATCTGAAATGTATTTTCCTTTCCACCGTTTGGCCGTTAAAGGTCTGGTTACAAGACTAGCTGGTCTCCTAAATAGAAATAGAGAGGGTGAGGGTACGCGGAAATCTAGCTGCCCTTAGGTATATTGCAATATGCATTTCTATCGCACCACCCCTCTCTCCCCCCAAAAACCCATTTTTCCTCCACCTGATGGAAAGGAACGGTCACATAAGTAATTCTCCATTTTCCAGCTGAAAATCGTCTTCACTGATCGACCTCAATGGACTAAAAAAACATCCTTACCTACATATATTAGATTCCAGGTCATGTCGGGTCATTTAGCGATCTGTATTCACATTAGAAGAAAGGAGTCTGGAAAAATACTAATGATACACAAAAGCATTTTGAACACTAGAAAAAACTAACTATCTTGATATAAAAAGGATAGAATTGGGAATGGACTGGGGGACTATGGTTGTTCAGAACGTACGTGACCGTACGTGATGGTTGATTTGCAATGCCTGAAAAGTAAAGTTTCAGAGAGTCTACAGCCTCAAATTTCTTTTCAAGTAGAAAAAGTTCTCAGACAGAAAAAAGGTTTAACACTGGTAAAAGGTTATTCATTTGGGAAACAGAAAGCTAAAATCTAAATTTATATCGATGAGCAGCGGAAAAGGAAAATAAGGAATATCCTGGGAATTTGGCTTTCCTTGCTCTCAAGGTTAAGTATATGTCTATGATTGATGAATAAATCCAAATAGTAAATATCTCTTTGTTTAATTCCTATCAGGGGTGTGTTGTATCAACACGAAGTTTGATTTTCTTGCCAAAATTAAAGTGAGTTTAAAATGGCAAAACGCAACAAGGTTTTTATCGCGAAAACAACATGTTGATGTTTTTTAGAGCCGTGGACCTGTATTTAAAGGGGCTTTTAACGCTAACACCGAAGATATAGGGGTGACACGAAATTTTAATAGTACTCCTGAGGCCAGATCTGCTTAGTTAATTCAAATGTCAATCTTTACTGCTGATGAGACTAGTTATTCTCATCGACTGTTTGCTGGATAATAAATTAATAATTTAAGGAGAAATTGAAGGTTAATCATTATGAGGAGGTGGAGGGTGGAAGAAGGGTGGTAAGCCAATTTATTTGTCATTATTGTGCCTTAAGCTCTGAGATATCGGAGGAATTTAAAATTTTTTAAGAATTATACACTACATGATACTGCGAGTCTAAGTTAGAAAGAAAATTTTACATCGTCTAAAAGCGATGACTGATCTTTTGACTGTAGAAATAATTTTAAACAACTAAGAATTTGTTTTATGACCTAACGATCAAAGGAGTTTGAAATAATGACATTTCAGACTGATTGGGAAATATCACGCGTGTTTTTATATGGATATAATCAGACCTCATTCCAGAAATGACTCGTCGTTTGATAACAGCATTGCAGTCTAGTCGGAAAACATCACGCACGTAATGCGTGGAAAATCTGAAGGGCTTTTAAGTTCAGGGTGAAAGGTTATCAAAACTTGATGATTGGATATCTAACGATACCATCCAGTCAGACATCTCTCGTCTCCTAGCTTATCACCTCAATTAGGAGGTATATAACAAATCACTTGGGCGCAAAAGCGGTCATGATCAATAATTGCTTATTACCCTGATGGGATGATACAGGGTAAATATCATTTACACCGGCGCTAACGGGCTCTCCTGTACATGGTAACAGAATGCCGAATAATTCGATTATTAAAGACAATTTCCGATGGCGTATTCTTCTCTTCGTAAGCTTTAAAAATATCCAGTTCAATGCACTTAGATAAAATGTAAATTCTTTCCCTTCCTACCCTAAACACGATTTCGAAGTCCATTTATTGTTTACTGAGGTACACAAGACATTGCGTAACTCTCAACCCCCCCTGGGACGGGAGGGGAGGGAGTGGGGAGAATCGAGTTACAGTTGAATTGTTGGATTGTAATTGCAAAAGAGGAAGGCTAAGAAATTCAGGCGGAAACGACATAGTGTAGAACGTACGGCTTGAATTATGTCAGTTAGGCTTAGACAGAGATAACCGAGAAAAGTTGAGAAATTAGGATGTTTTTCCAACTTCTCTAGACACTCAAGAATTTAGGGATATCAGAGATGAAAAAAAAACATTTCTTGTTTACCCTGAAGGTCATTTTGTTGACATTTTACTCAGTTACCGGCCACAATCCAATTAGGTGTTTTTTGCCCAAAAATTGTTTACATACAATAGCAATGATAGCAGTCACTTTTAAAGTTTGACGTTCGAGAATATTCAGCATTTGAAAGCTCAAATGCTGCGTCTGAAAATTGATGGTTAAGTTTGACAGCGACATTGTCGTAGTTGTGTTGTTTTTAACACGAAATTTTCACCACTGTAAAAAGTTGCTCGTTCTATCTATGGCCTTTGGAGCTGTTTTGGTATCATTTAGTAGAATTGGTGACTTTCAAGCTCTTTGTTTTTCAGATTTCTCTTTTGTTCCGTTTTACTCGGTTTTCTCTTTTACCTTTGATCGGCTTAAAAACCTAACACTGAAGTGGATAAGTTTATAGCTGGAAAATTGAAGTCGTCTTGATCTGATCGATTGGCTTGCAGTTAATTCCCACAAAGGGCATCAAAATATTATCAGAACCCATTTAGTCTTTTCGCTATTAGCGGATCAATACTATTATTAATTTGTCTAAAGAGCTGGGAAGGTTTAAGAGGAGGTCGTATTTGAATTAAAGACGACCCACAGATAGCTGTACCCTGTATAGAATTTGTTCATGCTTTGGTCTAGCAACCGGTCTTAAACACATAATCTTATCCTGACCTCGAGCTCATAGTTTCTAGAAATGCTAATTGGTGAGAGAAGTGCGATATAATAACGATTTCTTCGTGCCGGGAAAACTTCAAACAGGAGGAATTAGCAGCGGTGTAACGTCCTCGTCGTTAAACGTATAATCATGTTTGAATTAAGCCTTATTTTCGCAGCCTTTTTTCATTAAATCTTGCGGCGTAACCGCAGAAAAATCTTATTAGTCGATCGAGGACAGCCAATTAACTAGTCGGCTTCGAGTAATTCTTACATTGTACTCCTACCTCGTACAGAAACGGCTTAGAGTTGAAACTTGCACGCAACGAAGCTTGGTTGTGGCAAGTCGGTGCACGGCTGATTTGGAAAAAATTCGAACGGACGATCATTTATTTTGAAACGATAAAGAATTAGCTTTTTGAATTCCTCGTGTCAGTTGTTGTCCCGGACGAATACAGCGGCATATTCGTCTGCTGGGATTTATACTTTGATTAGCAACTCCAATAGCAAATAATCTTATATCAAGAGGTCATATAGATTTGAAATGATGGAAAGATAAAAATGCCCGGCGCCTTTGAAGTTGTGATCGTTAATCACAAGTTCTCATGTCGAGGCTCGGCAGTTCTATGGAATTACCTTATTGCATGCTAATCAAATATGGCCAACCATATATATATTTCGATATATTGAATTTACTGAAATTCTAGAAGAAGGTTTTAGGTTCGCTTGACTGCTTTAAATGGCGAATGATTCTCCATTTTTTCAAAACTTATTCCTTTAAAACTCAAACACGTACGTAATGATAAACCAAGTAGCCATTTTAGCCTCTGGGGAAGAGTCTTGGAACTTCCTTCCTGTTCTTTAGATCATGCTTTGTGTTCCAATGAGCTTCTTCAAATTTTTTTTGTTTCAGTTTACAGAAAGGTTATTTTAAGCGTCATTTATATTTTGATAAACCTTCCGGTTAAATCAGAGCATTGTAGTTTAGCAACAGTTTTAGGATGAACATCATAAAACACGGCTATATATAGCTCTGCTGGAAGCAAATAGATCACGGCAAATAATAATGAAGTCTCCAGACCAAAGCTTGTTTGGCAAGGTAATGATTGATCCTCATGATTTCACATGATAATAGGAAATAGATGTCCTCAAGCCCTGAGCTCTTTCACTCTGGGGCTGTGGGAACGGTAAGATTCTCGCTCTCACTGAAAGATAAGTGAGCTTAAGTGAACTTTGTTCAACCGAAATGTAGCGTGATTTTAGACTTCCTCTCTACCTTGCGAGCTGAATAAACAGCCTTTCTGACAACAGAAACACCAGCTTGTTTTCCAAAGCCATTCAGATTGCTATTCCAGGTTTTCTGTACAAACAAAGATCTTTATTGTTTGCATCAAATGTCAGGTGTGAAAATAAAGTGTTTTCATTCACTAATTTTCGGCTCTTACATGAAAACAACCTTTGTTTGACGGGTAGGGCGTCGGCTTCGACTGTTTAGTCCCGCCTAGCAGCAGCGGCTCCAAATTGTCGTGTATTTACGGCTTATTTTGGCCTGTGATATTGCCACTTCGGAAATTGAAATAGTTAGCTGCCAGCCGGCCCTTTCCCTTTCAAAGCTTGGGCTTTTTCACTTATGATAAACAGTCCAAAATGTCACCCTTCCATATTTGACCTGAGCGATGTGGTGTTTAGCTTGAGTACTATTTGTAGACGATCCAGCCAAGTTTGAGAGATATTTCAGCTTAATTGCGTCCAATAAGATTCTCATACTTACCCTCAGAACCTCTTACAACTAAAACATATTAACAGCTTTCGCTATCAGATTGTTCTAGATGCTATCAAAGCGAGAAAAAGTTACTATTCATAAATAAATAAATCGGAAGTTCCTGAACGTTTTCGACACAGACATTCAGCAGTGCCTCTGTTTCCTTGTTTTTGCCTGTGAAATTTCACAACTACCGGTCTCGTCTGACGCGCTGTTCACGGTGTTTGCGGAACTTTAGTGCTTTCGTGATTACAAGCTAAATCTTGGCTTAAACTTAATTAGGATTATCTGAGGAGAATGGCTGTTCCTAAATCGACTTAAAAGTGGCCACAAGCATAGTTTGGTTTGCTCAGCATGCAACAATTTATCAGGTCATATAATGAATGACGCGTGAAATGGTCTTTCGCGATTATTTCTTCAAGAACATTGATGCTCATTCCGTCAAAGAAAATACGCGCTAATATCGCCTGATTGCAATATTGCGCTCTCTTTTGAAAGCTTAAACAACGATATTTTCCTTCTCTCATGTCGAGAACTTATAAAATCTGAAATTTGTTTTTCGTGATTAATATTCACTTAAGCCAGTCATAGAAAAAATATCATCCACTATAACCTCGCCTCGGTGGACAATAGACATCAATTATGAAGGAATTTGAATGCATTGTTTCTCTAAAGACAAGAGAGGGGTAGCACAAGAAAAACTTTGCTTTTTAAACATCCTTTAGTCTTGGCCTTTAGTTTTAAAACATCCGCTTGATTTCCAAGCACAGGCAATCAAATATGTTCCAAGGTGACGCCACCTTAGCAGAATATTTGAGATTGGTAGTTTACGATTTTAGGTGCGTCATAAATTGCCCCCCATCCCCACCCGGAGCGGTTTCCTATTTGGGATGTTTCGCATGATTTCTCCTGAATGCTAGTGTTTATTTGGTCGAGCTGAGATTTCAAACGCATATTGCCAGGGGAATTCAGAGGACAATCATCGACGGCTGAAAGATTTGGTACCTGATTACATTCAGCTTACATCGGCGCGGAACGAAGCAGAAACTGGATTGCTGAGCGGACAAATCATAACTTGCTCTTTAGTCAAATCGACTCTCGTGAAAAAACTTCTGCTTTTCGTCCAAGGCACAAACACGCAGAACACAGGAAGCCATGAATTTCGCAACGAAGATTACAATCGTGTTCACTCTGATCTATTTGTGTGAATTGAGTTACGCGCGAAAAGGTGAGTCCACATCGAGTAATTCTCTTTCGATGCTAGATTTTATTGGTTAGAATTATCTAAAATATTCACTGAATTACTGCGAAAGAATTTCATTGATTCACAAGTGCCGGAATTTCAGTTCTGTGTTCGAAGACGTTAGCAGTCTCCCGCTTTTTCGCCACAACAAAAGGCAGCCACACGTTAAATTATCGATTTATTAAAGGAAAAAAATATGTGTCGTTTAATTAGATGTAACTAGGAGCGAGTAAAGGCCTTTCAGGATTGGACAGATTATTTTTAATGCAAATCACGACTACGTGATGTGATGTACGTTGAAAGCAACAGATAGCTGAAGTTTTTGTACGTGGGCATCAAAAGACAAAAGGTTCAAAGATCAAGCCATTTTTATTAACGATCCCGCGAAAATGCTTCAAACCTTTCACTGAATCAATAAGGGATCAGACAATCGAAGAGTAAATCTGGCAAAATATTCACTTTTCATGGTTTTGTAATTCTTTCTGCGTGAAGGTTCGAAACATCGCAAACATCCGGAAAAATGGAACTCCTCGGAAATGGACCAGCGGAATTCTGCGAACGGATCTATCGCGTTTGGATCTCAAGGAGAAACCACGACAATGCGGCCGTCCGTATCATCAAAGCCCCCTGTTAAAGTCAAGGTGGTTTCTAAGACGTCCAGTAGGAAACACATGATCAAAAGATGTTGCCGAATCGGCTACCGCGCTGCCAATAGGGGTCTGTACTGCTCGATAGACAGATACTATTCCGCGAAGTACAGGAACATGGAGCATTACGCAAGGCAGCGCTTCCAATGGCGAAAACCGTCGCGGGCCACGAAACGTTTCATGCATCATTTGAACAGATATTGCATCAAGCTTCAGCTTAAGAGCGTATTTTACAAGTGTTGTGATGATGGTATGCAAACTAAACGCGAGAAGGCAAGATCTAACCGAGAGCCTTAAAGTCACCACCACCAAGTATAGTCAGCCGGGAACGTTAATTGTTGAACTAAAATAATTTCAAAACTGAACGAGTCAGTATTTTGAAGTGATAAATTTAGTGTGTTTTACTAACAGATTTTGTGTATAATTCAGTTCAAAAGTCGAAAGGGTACAAGGGGCCATGAATGTAACTGTGACACTTTTGAAATAGGTTGCTGTTTTTTCTGCTTTCGAAATTTTCTTTCAATATTGATTTCCTTATGGAGTGTTTTCAGTGGCTCGCGTTTTACTCCTGTAGAAATACTTAGATGTTGTCTCCTAAAATACATTGGTTTAAGTTCTTAGGTAATTTGATCTGTATATTGCTTTGAGAGCTTGTAAAATATGTCACTCGTAATGTCTCAAGTTTTTAAAAGGGAAAGAAATTTGGCTGTTTTTTCGTTCAAACACACCTTTCCAGATGATTTTTGTTAAAATGTAGGTCTCATAGAAACTTTTGGTACCCAAAAAAAAAAAAAATGTAGAGACACGGGAAACACGATAAGTATTTTGTACATACATGATACAAGGTTGCTGTGTATGGAGGCGCGATTTCCATAGGCTCGTGACACCAAGCGCAGTCCACGTGCAAGAAATGTTTGTAATTGGTAGTGAAATATCAACTTTCATTCTTTTGCATGTGTTTAGCTTAGCTGTAAAGTACAGGCCGTATTTTCATAAGTTGGTAATCACTTAAACTGTAAATAAAAACCCTGTATTTAATTCGCCTGTTTTCATTTTGTGCAGTTGTATTTTTTTTCGGTTTTTTTACGCGTGCTTTACATTTGTTAAGCCGATTTCGTTCCGCGGGATAAAAGAATGTGAATTTCTTAGCAGAATAAACAAACATAAAAAATTTCCAATATTTTGATCAACAGGAAAATGTTCCCTCGGAAACGTTCTCCGAGTGAACGGGAAACGAAACACACAAACTTCCTTAACAACGTCCTGAAAGATACCGAAACGGAAAAACCAAAAAAAAAGATCACAACAGAACAATAGAAGTATAAAAATTTGTAATAAATAGCATCTGTTAACAGTTCACAGCTTTTTCCATTACCCAGATTTTTCAGACAATAATAATCACCGCGAGAATAGAAGTTAAGGGCTTGACACAAAGGAAGCATTCATACAAACTGTTTGACTTCAACATATTTCTATCTGACCTATGTTATATGTAGAAAACTGATTTATAGCCCGAGGCCTTTCTTTTTCCGGTTTTGAGCGATCGAACCTTCGTTTTCCAAATCTAATTTGATTTTGAAGTTATTTTGAAAAAGTTGTATGATCACCGCAGTATATCGATATATCACGCGTTACGTTAAACATAGGATTTTTTATTGAATCTCGAATACTTGGAACTAATTACCTGCTACTTTTCAACACCAGTTCCAACGGTTTTGCATGTAAAATGAATCTCTAATGCCCTAGTAAAGATAGATACTTCGCAATGGCTCTGAAAAATCCACAGGTTTACGGAGAACGGTAAAGCGATTAGGAAAAACTGATTTGCGCCATATTTAACAATAGATGCCATACGGCAGAGAAAATCTTTCAATAGAGAAGTGTTTAAGAAAATGATATCTGGGTGAAAAATACTTGGTAAGTTCCAGAATCTAAAATGCGTGGTGTGGTGTGGTGTCTTGTCTTTCTCAGGATTTAACAACTGTGTAGGTGCTCAATGCCGAATAATTTTTACTCACAACTCATTTTGACGGCGTAGAAATGTCACTTGTGGCTAAATCGAGATGAGAAAAACTTCTTCTCTAAGGTCGTTGAGGGTAAAAAAATAAGATGGAAGATCTTTGTTAAAAGAACTTAATCGAATTAATTTGGCGAACAAACTCTCGGCTGAATCGGAGTTAACCGAACTGTCGTGTTGAGTGGAGTACATTTAATTTTGTGAGCGGGACGAAGTGAAGATTTTTACAGTAAATTTTCTAGAAAACAAACAACAGTTTGACTATTTTTAACCTTTTTCGATGAGTTCTTCCTTTTCGCTTTCCGGTGCTTGCAAAAATTGACGGAAACGTAATTAAAAAAAAAGATAAAAGTTTAGAGGCACGAAGCGAGAAAACACAAATTTGTCTGGATCCTCGCCAAACTTCCAACAGAAGTACTCAGAGAATTTTTACACATACTGATAGTGAAATAATTACCGATATATTAATGATGATGATCAACTGAAATGACTTTAAACCTCATTCAGATATTATAATTTTCTGACGCCGTCTTAATCCAGTTTCTACTACATGGGGAAAAGAGCTAGCCACAACAGTCTCACATATCTGTTCGAGTTCACCGGCATTCTGACGGAGACCTTTTGCGATCGCAATCTACATGGCAGATTGTTAAACAAGGATTCTTTAAAAGTACTATTTCTGTGCCACACTCGCTTGTGAGTTTTAAGAGATTTATTTCTCTTGTATTCCAATAACTCGCCTCCCTGCTGAATCCCTGCAGGACGCTCCATGTATCTTGGACCTATGCGAATGAGAATGAGTGGTTTCATTGATAGCTGAAAATTCTCGTCATTTTGAGCATTGAACTCTTCTTCTCATCACAGTTGGTTCTTATCGACCTACACTTTGTTTGATATGCGCGCCTGACATAACTAATCCTTGACAAATTAATTCGTGTAGGAAAAACTTTGCTGAATCCGTCCGATATTCAAAATCACCTGGTTGTGAAAGATTGCCATCGAATAATGATTATATTGTTTCGCATGGGAACATCAGCATTATATTGTATTGGTCTAGTTTCACAAGAATAGAGAAACGTTCAGGAGTACTTAATATGTTTCAAAACGTTAGACTGACGCTACTTCATTACAGATCTTTTATCCTTTGTCTCCAAGTCCGGTCCAGAGTTAATGAAGCTCGAACAATTTCAGTCAAGACTTTCAACTCGCCCACATGATTCAGCAGTTTCGTATGTGTCAAGAAAATCTGATGATCTGTAGATCGATTCTGATATCCTCACTCTTTTCTACTAGTCTTGGGCAACATTTTAGGAAAGACAGACTCCTGAAGTACCACTTTGATATAGTACGCATCGTTCGACGGTGAGAAGAGCTCACGCTACAGTATTCAAGTTCATGCTGTGTTGAAGGATTCACAAATATAAATGTTAATGAAAATATTTGCAATTTCTCTTGACTGGCCTGATCGACAAAACGTCATTTTTTGTGACAGCTCTTGAACAGAACAAAACGTTGAGACCAAGTGGCCGGAAACGCCCATCTCACATCGATCACATCAGTGATTTCGGACCAGGGTCAAGAATGGCGTGCATAACAAAGGGCCGTGGGAGATATGAGATCATGCGGTCAATTCCTTCTTTTTAGATCACTTGGCTAATATACCATCAACAATGAATAACTTGTCTTTTTTCCTTGCAGAAAGACTTAGCTCGCGATGAATTTACTATTGGCAAGGAGGTTACCGACCGTGCTTAACACCGCGTGGCTGAAGAGTCTCGCTGCACCTCCTAAATGAATCAACTGATCATAAATCGTTTGGTAGTGATTTAAGTTTATATTATTCGCACCATCAGGGAGAATATGAGATATAATGAAACATAAACGACTGAGAACCGAAGTTTTCTAAGTTTATCCAAGCACCGGCTCCATTTCCCCCGCAAATTATGATCCAAGTGCGCCAATTTGATACGGTGTTATAATTATGATTTAAAACCTAGAGATCTTAGTCCGCTTCGGCGAAGTGTGTGATATTAAATGATATAGCAGTGCGATCCCAATCAAAACGTGATCAATCGCAAGATGAGGACCATCAAAGAGGGTAGCAAAGGGAGTCCTGATCCCGTTCCACGCATGAAATTTAGAAAAATTCACGCGTCACCCTTACGAGAGGGAAAAACAAATCTCTATTCTTGTGCACAAGGTTTCAGGGATTTTAGGGTTTTCACGAAATGGTACAAAAAATTCACGTGTCTCGTTTATTTCAGAAAGCGAATCACGCCCCAGATGCTGTGTTAAGGAATTACGAATCACGCTTGCCTTCCTAAAAGATTCACGGGTCACGTATAAACCCTTTGCTACGCTCATCAAAGTGGGACTCCTCATTGTGGATATCGATATCAGAATGTTGTTATTCTTACCCTTTAACCCCTTAGGGTGACAGACTAATAATTTCTCCTTACAGTTTCACTTTTGAATCAAATATAACGATCATGAGAATAAAGAAAGGGATAACCAATTGAAGAAGTTCCTGGTTGTCGAGCACATTATCCTTGTCAGTACGATAGGAAACATTAAGAGAACAGTGTAAAGAATGTGAATAATAATATTAACTTAAAACGCTACCCTCTGTTACCACCAATATGTTAAGGCCACTTCTTATGCTGGAGAAGGCTGAGCCCTGGGTCTGATCCAAGCATGAATACCTTGAGTCACTTTGACCACAACGGATGCACAAATTATTTTCCTGATATGGGTCCAATTTTATTCATATTGACCAAAGATACATTTTTCACGCCGGAAAATTCAAAAGAGAACGCAAAATTCCCGGTCGAAAAGTTGGATTTAAAATTTATGTAGAGACGAAGTTGGCTGAAGAATTGAACTTGAAGTGTAAGCAAAATTGTATTAGGAAATTAGGATTATTTGATTATAACATAGTGCCAACTTACATGATATGAACATATATCTATGTTCTTGTCCTCACTGGTGTATATTGCATGGTCTATAATATCTTGTTGTTTTTTTTTACATCGAAAGAAGTCTCATAAGAAATCCCAATAGCGTACGTGACGCCTCTAAATAGAAGGACCTATACTGACGGACCCCTTTTGCGTGCCTTCATACTGACCTACTGGCAACTGTTCACGTACTAATCACTTACGAGTGATCTAGATTGGTTCGCGCAAGTAAGTAGCTACACGCGAGTGAAAAGCTACGCGCGCCAAAGAGCGCACAGAGAGTAGAGGTAGCTCTCTCTCCTGTTTCTGCTCTCTTGTGAAAGTGTTGCTGTGTTCTTACCAAGCCCCTGCTAAGCCGGCCTGGTACCCAGCCGCCGGAAGAATCCATTGAAAAATCTGAAGGATTTCAATTATATTAGCTCTTCCGAAATACTTGCCGTCACAAACAAAAACATTAAGCTTCATTTTAAGTGATAAAGCGCAGAGTATACCCACACATTCGTGCAAGTTTTATGAGCATAAACCTTCCAGGGTAGTTTCTTCCCCCTTCAGCCTTTGTGAATATCTTTTCTTGGCCGGCGGTTTGGTCGAAATTGTGAGCGCAGCATAAATCGCAGCTTCTTCTCATGATACTCAGGCGGTTTGGTGGTTTTGGCTAATTTTGAGTGTCGGTTTGCGGTCACTGTCGTATTTTTGTATACGTGGCGGTTTACAGTTGGAAAATTATGGCGCGTCTGCGGAAGATTATAACTTTATTCACGCGGTTTTCAAATTTTTCGTGTTTGGTGGCGGTTTTGTAAATAGCCGTTAATAGGCTGAAGTAAACACCTACTTTCTTTTTCTTGAAGCCTACTTTCTCAAGCCTGTTTCTAAACAACGGAAGAAGATTGCGTTTTAGGGCTAACCGAACTACTTTTCTCAGTTAATTCATTTCAGAAGGGGGAGGGAAGGGGAGACCACACGGTCCAAGCGAGTCACCCAGCCCTGCAAAGTTGTATTTTTATGCTTTGTTGTTAATGAGTTGCCTTTTCTCTGTCTGTAAATTATTTATTAGAAGTCGATTTTTTTCCGCGGGTTATTGAAAGGGATTAAATTAAAATGAATTAATTAGTTAATCTTCTAAAAACAAGATGTCTCGTTGTTAAGATATTGTGATCTTTGCCGGGATAAATACGATTAAAGTAAAGAATGTGCGAAGTCTCTTAAAAGACCGGCTCTGTGGGATTCATTCTGCCACCAAGGCGGTGTCTGACTATCGGAGAAAACGAAAGCGGTTTGTGGAATGTTCACCCTCTGTAATAAACTCTCTCTTCAAAGCAGTTCCGGTAACCAACTCAGGATGACCACTTTCACTACCGCGTTAGTCACTACCCTCTCAGTTGAGAAGCTTTAATATTACACTGCCAAACTAGTCCAATCAGGCTGCAGGAGCATACCAATATCAATGCTCCTGGTCCAATCGAGTGTTATGAATTTTTCTCCGGGACTTTTGTTTGTTCGAAACACACTATGGAGAATGTCATCCGTAAGATCTTGTTCTTGTGCCCGATCTTTCATAGATTTTGAAATACCTTGTCAAGCAAACCAGATTTTAAGCAAGCTTTCGCGCTTATTGCGCCAAACTAGGATCTGAGCCTGCAGGAAATGGACTGAAGAAAGCGGTATTCTAAGAAGAACGAAGAGAGTGGGAACGACTGAAGAAACGATGGCGGCCGACCAAGGGTGACTGAGAGTTGTACTAAGAATAAACTAGGAAAATGCAGGTTTCACAACCGAATAATGTTAAAATTTATAACTTGTCGGCAGGAAAATCTTTGCCGGAGGTAAGAAAAGGAGATGATTAGCATTACGTTTCACTGTTTAGCTTTGAAGTCGAAAAAGTGCGCGGAAAGGGTAACACGTGTCTTATGTTTACAACCAGAGGAAATGTTTGATTAAGAGAATTTTGACGATATTCGTTTCTATTTGTAGTGGCTTTCTGAAAGAAAGAAGCGAACCTTGCAGAAGAATGATATTAGTAAGTTTTAAACTGTGTAGAGGTCAAAATGTTGATTGGTAAAGTCATATTCTCATCTTTTTCTCGGAATGTTGATTTATAAAATTATATTCTCATCTTTTTCTATTACGTTTCGTGGCTCAGCTGATGAATGTAAGTGCAGTTGCTTGGAAAGTTTATATGTGGCCAGAGGCAACTTGCTTAGAAAATTCCCACCCCTTGTCTAAATAATGTAAAATTCAAAGTATTTTCTTTCTCTTTTTACAGACATCAGAAGACGAATTGAACTTCTTCAGGATTTTGAGATGCCAATTGCTTCTACAAATGTTCGTGTTTCTGCAGACAAACAGTACATAATGGCTTCAGGTGAGTTTTCTTGTTATTTTTTGTGCAGTAAATGTACTAAAATTTTAATTAAAGTGGGATCTGTAGGAAAGTGCCTTGTACATGAAGAGCATGAGCTGTGAAGTCTGTTTTAAAGTTCCAATCTATGAAAAACCAAGGCATTCTAAATTTCAATAACTTGAGTGGAATATTAAAATGTGCAAGCAATACTGGAGAGCTCACATACCACTTAACAAGCAGTGTACAACATCCAGGGTGTCTTTCTAGCTATAGTTGTGGCAGCTGTTTGTTTAAATTGATTGTAAAGTTCTATAGAGATCCATGTCATGTAAATCTCTGTTTTTTTGTAACAATTCCTTACTTTTGTCTACAAGGGGTTTACAAACCTCGAATTCGCTGTTATGATACATCAGAGCTTTGTATGAAGTTTGAAAGATGTCTGGATTCTGAAAGTAAGTTGTGTGCTCATTCTTTCTACATTATATCATCATGTTATTCTTCAGGCTTCTTTTTATAAATTCCCTTTAGCCATAATTGTTAATCCAACTTGAACAGAATCAAGGGTAATTAAATGACATTTTCTGTTACAGGAAAAGTCATGTGGATTATTACATTTTTGGTCAAAGAGATCTTTACTTTTATACAGGTGGACAAATGTTTGTCTGAGCGTAAACATACAATTCATGAATGTAACTATTTTTGCTGTTATTTCTTTACAGTTGTGAAGTTCCATATATTGTCTGAAGATTATTCTAAGGTACACAGTGAATTATCTTGTATATATGATTCAGTACTTGGTTTGGATGAAAAAAATTCTTTATTGAAAATTGCCATCACCACAAACAATACACCAATGCTTAAAAAATGTTTGATAGATTTAATAACAATTTCATTTTACCAACTGTTTTGTACAGAACTTGTCTTGCAGAATTTCAATATCTTTGTTTGTTGTATAATTGTGTTTTCAGCTGCCAGTAGCTTTTAAGTTCACTGTAAATTTTCCAAATGACTGAGATTAACTTTACCTGAATTCATGTTGCTTTGTTATATCAGATGGTGTTCTTAACCTGTGATCGCCATGTGGAGTTTCATGCTCAGGTAAATGGTAAATAAATGTAGAAATTCTTGTCTTTCAAATCATTGTTAAGAAGGCTTATCTATATGCAGATCTTGAAAATTGTGGCATCATGCAGATATGCCAGTAAAGCACTGGCTAAAAAATTTGAGCAAACTCTGGCTGACTGATGGGGGCAGAGACCAGAAGAAACTTGGTTACTTCTTGGGCCTCTTGGCTCTAGTGCAGACTCACCTGTCTAAATCAAAATGTAGTTATCAGATAATACCTGATAACTACATTTTGCTTTACCAGTCACCGTTGGCCAAGCAGTGTACATCCAATTAGACTGATCAAGACAGGTGAAGCTATATTATCTGGGAGTAGTGGTTGGCAATTGATTTCAAAGTCTTATTCAAAATATTTATTAAAACTATTTTTTTGTAGTATGGACGTTATTATCGCACCAGGATTCCTAAGTTTGGACGTGACCTTGTTTACCATTATCCATCCTGTGATCTCTATCTTGTAGGAGCAAGGTAAATTTTACAGGAATTGTTTATGAATTTTCATCTTGTAAGTCTTTGTGTAGAATTTTCATGAAGTGACATATTCTATTCACAATTTTATAACCTTCATTGAGACTGCAACTTATAGAAGTGTATCTTTTGTTAAGAGCTTTGCATTTTAATCACTGATTTGTTTTACTTTGTGAGAATGAAAGTGATATTTTGATGAGGATGGCTTGGTTCAAATTGACTCTGTTTCTTTCTGTGTTTGTCATCATAATCTTTAGATTCAAATGAAAATGAATTTGAATCAAATTAGTTTTATAGTTAAAGATGAGTGCCTCGGTATTTGTACTGTTCTTCACTCTTTGACTCTTGAGTATTGATTGTTGATTCTCCCTTTGAACTACTCTATAGTTCCATGTGAATTGATTAAGCTAATTGAATGTTTTATCAAGATGACACCTTTGGACCTGTGTGTTTTACTGTTCTCATCCTCTGTTTATTGGATATTGATATAGAGAGCAAAGTTACATTACACTCACTTTTTCTCATGTGATTATTTGACTTACAGCTCAGAAGTATACCGACTGAATCTTGAACAAGGAAGATTCTTAAATTCTCTTCAGACCAATGCTGTGTAAGTCCCTTCCATTATTGCAACCAATTTCAGTTCATTTATCAGTTGAATTTGTTACAATAGCAGCTATAATTTTGACCAGTTCTTGACCAATTACACTGTACTTGTACTTTCAATTTGTTCCAGTGAGATAAATACTTGTGACATTAACCCTGTGCATCAACTTTTTGCTGCTGGAACAGCTGAGGTATACATAGCTTGATCTGTTTGCTTCTCTACCTTTTCAATAGTCCACAGGTGTATGTACACATGTTATCAAAGTGTAATAACAGCTGTTCTGTCCCAATTTCCAAACATATAATTTGTTTTATTTTGGTTGAATTTTGTCACAAATTATAGCTTTACCTGTACCTTCTTCATACAAGCTGGGTTTTAAATCTACTTTAGTCCTAAAAAACTAATTCCATATTTTAAAAACCCTATGAATATGACCATGTAAGTGAAATGATCACTAAGTAAAGAAGCTCTTGATTATTAAATTAATTCTCCTTCTTAGCATGTCAGGAAATGTACAGAGAACAGTGAAGAGAATGTGCATACTGATGTTAGGGTTACTAGAAATCGGTGGTTACTTTTATTGGGTTACATTGTATAATACTGATTTTGTAATATTCCCAAAAATGTCCCTCTTTCACAAAGATCTTACCAGCCATATGATTATTAATATCAATTTGTTTGTTAATAAGTAAGAATGTAAAATTATAGCCCATGAATTTGAGCTTTTAACCTCACTGAGGGAAATTATTTAATTTCTATCAGAGAGATTTTTCAAATATACCTGTACATGTATATGTTGGGCATCTGCAGCTGAATTACTGATAGTGTTACAATAATTGCACTATAACTTGGTTTGGAATGTTGTTTTATTTAACAGTGCATTAGCCTGAGTATAGAAACATAAAATTGTAAGTTTTCTTGACTCAAAACTTTTCTCTTTTTCTTCAGGGGCATGTGGAATGCTGGGATCCCAGATCACGTAGTCGTGTTGGTTTGCTGGACATTGGACTCAGTGGATTTGATTACCAAAGGTATTGAAAACGCTGGCAACCCACATAATGATGAGTGGGCTGTTAACCCTTCAACTGTCATGAGAGACCAAGACAGAATTTCTCCTAACAATATCAATACAATATCAAGCAGACAAGTGATGAGAATAAAGAAAAATACTAGTTAGGATTATTAGTTGAATCAATACCAAATTCTCAAATCTAACATCACAAGAGCTGTATGGCAGACAGTAAGGAGAATTATCAATGAGATCTTGGGAGTTTAAGGGTTAACCCTTCAACTGTTATGAGTGACTAAGACAGAATTTCTCCTTACGATATAGATACAATGTCAAAAAGACAAGTGATGTGAATAAAAAAATCATCAATCAGGGAATTATTTGTCCATTAGTCCCTTCATGTATTAAAATTCTTACAAAATATTTCACTCGGCATGTTATTGACAAATTAATTTGAATTCCTCTTTTCAGCTCAGACAAAGTTCCAGCTGTCACAACACTGCTGTTTAAGGATGGACTGACAATGGGTCTTGGAACAAGTACTGGGCATGTACGTTGAATTAGATTTGGTCCTGCTTTTTAAACACAGCTTCATCTTTTTCTTAGCTTTGATTTAAGATGGCCCTGGAAATTTAAGTGATGTCTGAAATCACAGCATTCAGCAGAGGATTAAGTCCAGTGTCTCCATACATGCACAGTATCCCTGGGCTGAACAAGGAGGTGGCTGTTACCCTCCTTCAAGATTATCTTCAATAGTCTTGAAGGATATTGTAGATAACATTGCACTGTACTCCTGAAAGTCATTGGTTTACTTAAGTTGATTTTCATCTGCAAGTCATTTGAAATTTATTTCAGTTAAAAATGATGATCAGATTCCTCCAAGGGAAAGATGAAGCCTTTAACTTTGCCTTCTCCTAACACATGGCTTTGCAGCTCAAGTGGTGGTGGTGCCCAAGAAGTATTCAGGAGGCACAGGGTTTTCATCCTGTCAAAGCCTGAATCGTTTCTGCCAAAGCTTAACCCTTTAACTCCCATGAGTGACCGAGACAGAATTTCTCCTTACAATATCAATACAATATCAACCAGATAAGTGATGAGAATAAAGACAAATATCAATAAGGAGAATGACAAATTTGATCTGGGAGTTAAAGGGTTAAATTTTAGTTCATTACCTGCAAGGATCATTACCTTACTTGATTTTCATCCACAGGTCCATTAAAATTTATTTCATTTAAAAAATTGTGAGAAGGGTTATCAGTATATGAAGTATAAAATTGACAAAAACTGAATTTGCAGCTGTTTTGGAACTGAACTACATGTATGCACCTGTCTTCAGTCATCTTAAGTAATGATGGACCATACATTTATCAAGCATTGGGGTTGGAGAATTCTGTATGTACTAAGCAGAATTCTGTGGTCAAATCTCCAAAGTCTGAACTTAAGTTCTTATTAATAGGTGGCAAATATTATTATATTACTTAACACTTTTACCTTTTTATTTTTCATTCACCACCTGGAATGTTAACAACAAATAAGGACTTTACAATTCATTTGGCTAATTTTTTCTTCTCCAGGTTTTGTTGTATGATCTTCGGTCTACCAAACCTTTGTTGGTGAAAGATCACCGATATGGCCTACCCATCAACAGCATTGCCTTCCAAGATAAACTGGATGTTGTGTTGTCTTCTGATTCAAAGATCCTCAAAATCTGGGACAGAGAAACGGTAAGCAGGTGCTTTAGTTTGTATGACTGTAATTCGTTTGTCTTGTTCTTTGTGCTAACAAGGAGGCAAATGTATAACACCTTTGTTTCTAGTTAGAGAGGTAAAAATCAATCACCTTTCTTTATCTACTCTATTCACACACACAACACTTTAAAACTTGCTAATCCTACAAAGCACTTAGCTCTTTAATTCCCATGAATAACCAGGACAGAATTTCTCCTTACAATATCAGTACAATATACATGTAGTTGATTCAATACTGAAATTCTCCAAACCAACATCATAAGAATTGCCTGACAGAAAGTGAGGAGAATTAAAACAGAAGGGGTTAAAACAATGTACAGGACACATGTTTGTCACATAAAGTTTGAACCTGTCAGTAGTTTGTGGTTTTGCTTGCAAACAATTTCTGTGTAACTTGGTAGTAGAGCATTGTGCATTGCAGTACAAAATCCAAAGGTCTGACAGGTGATTTCCATTTTTCCCAGCCCCTTTCTTTGTGACTTATGAAAACATTAATTCGCTTTATTCAAAAATGAGCTCAATATTAACCATTTTTCATATTCTATTTAATAACCCAATAATTTGGACATTGCTGATTTAAGTGCCATACAGGATTTTAGTCAGGTGCCAAACCCAGTCGATGGCTACTGAGTACTCTGTATAGCTTAGTGGTAGAGTATCAAGTAATTGTGAAGAACTTCTCCCTTAAAAAACCTGTCACAGCAGAAATGTTGTAGTTAAATTGTGTTATCAACTCATTTAAAAGTAATGAAATGTTTTTAGAGCCTGTTGGTTATCTGTCAGCCAACAGGTTTTTCTTCAGATGGCTGTTTTTCACACATACAGAGTATTCAGAGTTTGAAATCGGAAGGTCTGATGTTAAAATCCTCCCAAGAAACTCTGATTTTTTTTGTCTCATTGCTCTTGACTAGTAAATGATGTCTTTCTTTATTTAACAACCAAGCTTTTTCTTCATCACGTTGCACACACAAATGCTTTTAATATTACTGATCCAATTTACTGATGTTACTTGTTCCTTGTCATTGACAGGGAAAACCATTCACTTCCATAGAACCACCCACAGACATAAATGATTTATGCTCATATCCTGATTCAGGTTAGAGTAGTTTTAAAATTACCTTTCACTACTTAAATGATGCTCATCCTCTTTCTTATTAAAGAAAGAGGTGCCCCTAAAGAAAACTGATAGTGTTAGTTGATGATGACAATGATTATTTCATGATTTTGTGCTCTTAATCCATGGTCAACTAATTATTGGTTTTTTCTTTTATTTGTTTATTTTTCAAAGGTTTAGTTTTCATGGCAACTGAATCCCCCAAAATGCTTGTTTACTATATCCCAGTAAGTCATGATTTTCATAATTTTCTTTGTGTGTGAAAAAAATGTCAAGATGGTTGAACATGCAACTTGATTGTTCACTGTCATCATTCCAGGCCCTAGGCCCAGCTCCCAGGTGGTGCTCGTTCCTGGACAACTTGACTGAAGAGTTGGAAGAGGATCAGCAGCCAACAGGTGAGTGAACAGATCAGTTGATCAACCAGAAATAAAATCTTTCATGTAGCTGGAAAGCAAATAGTTTGGTTCATGGATTAAGTCTTTAGTCCACATGTAGTATACCAAGATGCGCTTCATTGTTACCCAAGTGGAATAGCATCTGGCAATATTGAATTTTTTTTGTTCCACAAGTTACTTTTAAGTGTTACTCTTTAATTTGGTGTATTGTTTTTAACTTTATAATCCTGTTGAAAATTAGCTTTGTCAGCTCTCCTTGTTTTTTCTACCTTTTGCTTGTTTGTTTTTGTTGCTTTTTTACAATGTACATAAAAGCTGTTCTTGAACAGTGTTGATGTGAGTGTTTCTATGATAAAAGTTCTGTTCAAGCGCTCCACTGAACAAATCTACTGTGGGCATAAATGTAACAAAGAACATTTCTGTCAAGTAGTTCCAACAAAGATGGCTCTCTTCCTGAATTTTCTTGTTTTTTTTTTTTAATTTTTTATTTTTATTTTTAGTGTATGACGATTACAAGTTTGTCACCAAGCAAGAATTGGAAAGTTTAGGTGAGCAGTCTGGCACCTTGATCAGTTTGTGATGAGGAGTTTTTAGTGGAGCTGGGACTGTATTATTGCTTACTGTTGCCAAGTATAAAAAAATAGAAAAAGCCCTCCTCTTTACAAGCAGCCACACCTGTAGGGTAACAAACATTAAATGGCGGAAATAATTATATATTATACTTCACTCTTTCGTCCCCCTGTTAATCAGCCATCGTCGCTTCATTTCAAACAGACTGAAATCTACAACTTCCTTGATCGTCTGGGTACAGTAATTCTGCCTTCCTAATTTGTTAACATGCATTTTCTTGCGAATAAGTCGCGAGAATTTGTTGTTGTTTTAGTTAGATATATTGTTAAGGCCTCCTGATAATGAGGTGTCCGTTTAAAAGAGCGAGGTACAAACGTTGGTGGAAAAAACTTTGATTGTCGTTTATCCAACTATTTTTCATTATTTTCAGTTGATAATGCATTTTGTAATGAGTTAGTTTCCTTGTTTTCCAGGTTTATCACATTTGATGGGAACGAATCTATTGCGTGCTTACATGCATGGGTACTTCATAGACATTCGACTTTATCACAAGGTAATCAACGTTTCTGGACTAACATCATTCGGCTGAATTGGCCGTTAAACTCGATCGCGAATACCATATGTCTGGGCACTTTCCTGACAGTTGATCCAGTGTCATTGATGCGACGCATTAACTAGCGAACATGGACAAATTGTTAGTCAAAACTTTAATGACAAGGATGTCATTCAAGACTGTGGGCTGGGTTCTAAATTCATAACTCATATCTCGGATATGCCCTGTACCTAAATAAACTTGAATTTATCGTTCGTTTTAAATCGACTGTGTGCGTTCTTTTTTTCCCTTTGTGTAGGCTCTTAAATAAGTCTCAACCCATGCTACGACTTGAAGGTTTACAGGTGAAACTGCACCTGTGATCCCCCTCTTTAAAGGTCGAGTACATCTGTAACCTCTCCATAATGTCGAAGCAGCCTCGTCCCAGTATTAAGCCGATTCTTCAAGTTGTACATGTCCTTTTTACCCAATGTGACACCAATCGAAAAAGTCCAGTTTAGCCTCGGTATTCTACCTCCATACATTTATATTAAATTTATATTAGTTATTTATGGTTTTTGCTCTCCCAACTGAATTGCCTTTTCAGGCCAAATCTCTGGCAGAGCCGTTTGCATTTGAAGATTATCGTAGGAAACGAATCCAGGACAAGATCGAAGAAGAGCGCGCCAACAGAGTCAAGCTTAAGGTTTGTAGGTGGACAGATTTCGACCTTTTTCGTGTCTCTTTGTTCTGATAAATACTCCCTTTACTCTTAGCCAATTTCATGGGGAGAGAGAGGCGTAAAAGTATAATTTTGATTAAGACAAAGCATCTTTCTACACAGTCATATACTTGCCCGCGTAGATCTTCTGTGTTACGGTAAGGGAAATATTCAGTGCCGATGAGAAAAAAGAAAGAGAGAGAAAAAAATAAAGAGAGAAGAGAGAGGAAACAAAAAGCAAAAAACAAAAAAGAAACTGTAGTTAACATACCGGACATCCTTATGAAGGGAATACAGTTGGGACGAAAGAGAAAAATACCTTAGAGGAGCTACGTAATTATCTGCGGTGCCTGTAGAATTTGGTTATTAGAAACTAAGCTGAACCTTTTCCATCCTCACATGTTAGCTTCCTCGTACCCTGTTTGATTGTTCTTCCTATTTTTGTGTTTGTTTGTTTGTTTTGTTTGTTTTTTCTTTTTATATATTACCTCTCTGATAGTTTTTTATTTCCCTGAGGCTGGAGGGAATTTTGTATTTTTAGGAAAAAACCTTGTCTTAAATTATTGCGACGTAGTTCAAACAAGCAGTGTCGAGAGTTTTACTTCTAAACTCCTCTGACCTCTAATGGGCAAAGAAAACGTACCCAAAACTCCCAACCCAAGAGCAACACATGAGCAATGGGAATTGATTGTGGCTAGTACCTTGTAGCAGTCATCAGTTAGCAGGCCCTTGAGTATAAATGAGTAACTCATAGTGTTCCGCTTGCAGAAACTACCGAAAGTGAACAGAAATTTGGCTGAGAAGTTGATGGACGAGAAAAAAGATAAGAGAAAAGAAGCAGTTGAAGTGAGTAGCCATTCGCTGTTGCGAAGCTTCGAATCTTATTCAGTCTTAACCATCCAAAATTCTGCTATTGTGCTCAGCTTTAAAGAACCAGCGAGCTATATCCGTGTATCGTCTTGGTTGCTTTCAGAATTCAGAAGTGAGTAATCCTCTGGGTGATGACAGGTTCTCAGCCATGTTCTCCAACCCAGACTTCCAAGTGGACGAGGAAAGCCAGGTAGGGTCTGAATCGATCTTATCTGTGATAAGAGGAGCAATTTACCATGAAGGGTCCGAAATAATCAGAATTGCTTTAATTTGCTTTACTTAGCTATGCGATTTGTGTAGAAAACACGCACCATCGTCTCTGTCAAAGATGCCAGACTAAAAACCAATATTCAAGGGCAAGAAAACGGATCAGGACAAGGACTAACTGGCCGCATAGTCACCTTTCTTTTTAATGTGAGATGATTTTCACGCATTTTTTGTCGAATTACACTGCAGGAATTTAAGCTTCTTCATCCAGTTGTGTCCAAACACGACCGAGAAAGACAGAAAAAACAGAGGGAAAAACAAGCGTTACTGGAACAATTTGATGAAGTTGAGGTAATAAAACGTCAACTTAATTATTTTTAGGCTTTTTTCTCTCCTTTTTGCCTTAATGTGTTTTGGTTTGTTAAATTTCATGCCAAGTGAGTGGTATCTTTTTTTTTCATGGGTAATAACAATGGCATTGTTAGTAAAGGGGTCAAAACAACAGCTCAAGAAGAATGTGATTTCTTACAGATCGCTTGATAAGTGTAGCTGTATATGAAAGGCAGGAATTTTTTATTCTCTCAGGGCAACAGTCGCTGTCAGGGAATTTTGCTTCGATTCAAATTGTTAAGGTAATTGATTTCTCTTGCCTTGCAGGAGCCAGAAGGTCGGCCCAGTGAAGAGGAGGAATCTAGCAGCTCAGAGGACGAGCGTGAATGGCGAATGGAACTGAAAAAACAACAAAAAGAGGCTAAAATGAATGAAGAGAAACCTGTCGCAAACAAACCCAAGTTTTACGAGCTGAAATCTGGCGAAAATTTTAGGAGCATGAAGTCTGGCAAATCGGCATCGGCTCTGAAAGATAAGAAGTACGTATGTTTATTGGCTGAATCTTACAAAGGGGAAGAGGGGGCAGTGTTAGGATTGGATTCTAGTCGAAAAACGGGTCACACTTCTTCTCGAGAGGAATTGACAGTAGTGGAGCCTAAAGTCAAGAAAGGGGTGAAGGGGCGGGGTCGGGAAGGGAGGGTGGGAGGGTGTAATTAGTGGACGCTCTCCTTGGTACCCTCTTGGGACAAGACCTCATATGTTGTGACCCTTCTATTCGGTGGAGTACAACTGTTCAAAAGTACTTTCGAGCGATGGTATCAGTAATCGTGCCTTACTTCAGAGAAGGGGGTGAATGAGCCGGAGGGTATCAGTGTAGATCTTGGACGATTCATTTCAACTTTGGCATAAGACTTCACCTGTTATAATGCTTTTATTCGGTGGAAAACAACTCTCACTTTCGACTTCTGGTTATTGCTTTCTGAAGTGATACATCAAGCAGGTGAAAATGATGATGAGCAATCCTTTCGACGGTTTTTGTTCGTAGTTAGCTACTGTATACAGCCCATGGGTATACGAGATAAAAATTAAAAGGACCATGAAGTTAGTGTACACGTATTTTATCGTCAGGGTTTATGGGAGAGCTTTGGTTGCCCTGTGTCACTCTATGTGGTAGTTCTCGTCTTTGAGACAGGAGAAAGATACCAACTTTCGTTTTAGATCACCAACATAGATACCCCAAGATGCAAGCATATAACGTGTTGTGTTGATTATGCTATAGAATATCGCTTGGAGAACGTCTCCTACATGAACAAAGTTCTGGTGTAATCAGATCAACTGGCTCGTCTTTGGGAGAGAAAGAAATCACGTTCCAAGTTAAAAAGGTAAGTTAAGAATCGGTTTTTTTTTGTCTCGTGCAAAAAAGGAGCTACAGTACGTTTCGTGAATCTCGAAAAATTTAGTCTAGGTTTTCGATTTCATTGTGATCTGTGTTATTTTCCTCCCTCCCTGATTATTTTCTTTCCTTTCTGATCCATTAGAGTTTTTTTTTCTTCTCTGGTAAACCATCATTATGATGATATGTTTTTTTAATGGTACATCGTATGTTCTAAAGGTATCGTAACATCAAGAGGATCTGGATATTCTCCGTACTGTTCTCTTTACACTTGCTTAGGTTCTGACAAGGAGAATTTGTTTAACAATCGAGAGCTTCCCTTGTTGAAGATCATTTCCTTTATTCTTGTGACCTTAATATTTGATTCAGGCTTGATTTTTTAAAGAGAAATTAGATAGTGGTCACTCCTGATACGGCCACAAATAAAGGAATAGTTGGGTAGATAAATTCGCTCAGTTCCCTAAGGGAAGCCGGTAAAAATCCTAACACACCAAGGATGCAAAGGTTTTGAACTCTTCAAAATTATTTTGTCGTTTCTTTAGAGTAACAAAGAGAAACAAAGAAATGAGGAGATTCGTGCTCATGTTAAGGAAAGGAAAAGGCTTCGCCGATCAGCAAGTAGTGTCTTAGGGAAGGAAAAACGCGGGCCGGTGTTTTGGAGAGGAAGGAGAGTTAGATGACAAAACACAGCATGAAATCGAGGGAAACGGCATGAAAAAGGGGATTCCGTATGTAGATCTGAGAGGAAGTAAGAAAGTTTGTCCCGAATAGGACTGCAGGCAGTATACTGGTGAACAGAAACGAGAGTTTTCTCGAATGAAACGGGTTCAAGCTAGCCCAGTTCCAAGGCGTTTCCTTTAGCATGTAATTTGGGAAGGAAAGTTAGGTGACGTCATAGTTTAATTTAGAGTCCAAATTCAACGCAGGTGCGAACGCTTAGCGACATCGCTGAACAATAAGGTGTCAGCGCTGGTTTTTATCCATAGCCTTATTGATACAATGGTATTATAAAGGACTGGCCTTAAATTCTACCTGTAGATTTCAAGGACTCTTTCTTGAGGAGTTTTTTGCGCTTTTGATTACAGATTTTTACCGCGATACATCAAATCTATCAAAGTTGTGCTCATCGTTTCTCTCTTGCTTGTTCAAAAGTAGGTATTGTCTTGACGGAAAGAATTAAGCGAGGTTGGCAACAACTGAACGCTTATTTGATGAACTGATTTTAAAAAATTTTACTCTTTTGATTTTGATGTAACTTTTGTCATGGAGTGCAGGTCGCAAACATTTTGCATCGAGTTTTCCCACAAAGCTAAATCAGAGGATGGTGAAGACCTAGTGAAGCCCAAGTTGTGAAATATTTATGCATGTACCGCGGTAGCGAGTGTTTAAAAAACAAGGCCAGGTAATGCTGTGACATTACCGACTCGTTTTTTTTTTTATTTGTCGATAAATTTCAATTTCTTGTTACAAGCAGCAAACTATATTTTATCTTTATTTGATCACGTGAACGATTACTTTATTTATTTTTCCTGATCAATGCACCTACGTTATTGAATTTAATGATTAAAAACTAGAATAATATAAAGGGAAATACTAAATTGATTCTTACAATGGAAACGACAAACTTCAGGGAAGTTAAAAAGCAATACAAGACTTTTAGGCGCATCATAAAAGCTGACCAGATTTTGAGGTGGATTCAAAGTTTTCGAGACAATTTTTCGTTAGGTACCATTCGTCAATCCTACTCTGTGTTCTTAGTTGGTACAATATCGCGACGCAGAATAGGTATCTTTGCAGACTGTAATGGGTTTCAGCTTATACACGTAAAACGATCCACAGTTTCGTACCTGTATGTAGGTATGGTAGGCACAAGTACACGAAGGAGCAGTTCGGCCGAAACATACTTTCTTGGTTACTCTTCCATCTTCAGCTGACGGATGGCCGCCGACTAACCAACCTGCGCGTTCCGTATCACAGGAATGAAATTTTGCACAGTTGGTGTTCATTTGTCTTCCCTCTTGAAATCTGTACCAGCTCTCAGTGAGATTATCGTCACACTTGTGGCTGGCGCCATCGTAACTCACTCGCCTGGTGTCGTCATCAATGATGGTGTGATGAAAACATTCCTGTCTATCGGTACCTAAAAAATGTTTGGGAAAGCAATTCAATTAAGAACATGAAACTCCTGGTTGGCGAGGATTTGAAAACACATAGATATTGAAAAGTTTTCTACGCTACAGGCAGCTTAACTAACCTCATGGCAGTTAACAATGGAAAAGGATGATGTGGGAGGTGAGGGGGGAGAAGTTCTAAAACGTGTGTACTGAACTGTTGGCTGATTTCCGTAATATACGTAGAATATATGCAAGTGGTGATGCGAAGTAACGAATTTCACAGTCGAGAGTTTATGGTATCTTTCATGAGTGAGAGATGCTATTAGTTTCGTATTTCCAAACGACCTTGCTACGTTCTGTTTATTGAACAGAAATTGATGATCAGCTGCACTTAAGATTCTCCTGTGGAAAATTCTACTCGCGAAAGCAACGCATCTCTTTTAAAGAAATGTTTTGTTCTACCAAAAAAAGTGAATGCTGATAAAGAGAAAGTGCCTTTCCTTAACAATCAAGCATCGTGTGGACTAACTTGAATACCCAATACCCTGACGACTTTCAAATATTTGCATGTAGCAACGAAAGTTTTGTCTTCGCGTGAAGGAAATGTTTAGTGGAAGCGGGAGAAATCGTCGTATTTCAACGACATTTACTCTTCTGAAACTAACAAAATGTAACCTACACGAGGTATTTTCTCCGCTCCATTTACCGCTGGGTAAACATCGTCTCACCGCGGGCCCAATCATGGTGTATCCCGGATGACAGAGGTACCTGACAAATTCTCCTGCCCAATTGTTGCTTTTCATGATCATTGCATCGGCTATATTTACCGGGTTGCCACAGTTGGGTAGAACTAAAAGAAAAGTGCACTTAAATTAATTAAGATAACAAAAATAAAATAGGCGGGCTTGAAATTCCCAAGTTTCTAGAACAGGAAGGTCTGGAGTAAATTGAAGGAGATAGTCTTACATGGTGATCACCAACCTCATCCATTAATTAGCAGGATGTTCGGGCTATCGAGGATTGAAGTCAAAAAATTTTGACTTACACACTCTTGAATTTGTGTTTACTGTATCGTTATACACGTTACGAGCGATGCAGCTGTAGGTGCCCTGGTCCTCAGGCTGGAAGGCATTGATCACAAGCTCGCTTGTAAACTCGTCATTGGTGACGTTATTCATAACGTTGATGACGTTGAAGTCATTCTTGTACCACGTGACTGTAGGCAGAGGTGAACCTTTGGCAGAGCAGCTGATCCGCAGAGTTTCTCGAATTCCCGGTGCAGAGATTGAAGAAGAGGGTGTTTTGGAGAACTCAGGAGGAACTAGCGAATGAACACGATTTAGAAAGTTGTTACTGAATCGTCCGAAGATATAATGTGGGCACTGCCCCGTCCAATAAATTCAGTTTCACCAAACAAATTTTTTCTTTTAAAATAGATACATCATTTTTATACAAAAGCAAGAGAACCATTTAAAACGAGAAAAACCGATTAAAGCCCAACTGAAAATGAACTCAAAGTCTTAGCCACGAAACTTATTTTTAATCAATATTAAATAAAAACATTTTAATTTCACATGTCAAAAGCCATTTCTCAACTCTAGAGCTAGTTAGTTAATTGTAATTTTAGGGTTTTTTGGAGAAATTTTTGTCATAAAAGGAAATCATTTCAATGTAGAAACAAGCGAAAATATTAAGTATTGATTATGATTCCTGTAATCAATGCCCTTGGTGAGTGTAAGTTTTAAGGTGATTCCTCAGTTTTGCCCTACGCATTCCGCGCGCGCGCATTCCAAGAACTCAGTGTTGTTTTTCAATCCATGGACCTGGTAAAGAGGTACGATGGTCTTTAGCTCTTAGACTGGAATTAGAATTTCAAAAGCTTTTTGGCCGCCATTTCATCTCTAAGTTACCCAAAGATTTCTTCGTTCTTCTCTTAGTCTGTAAAGATCACATAACTCACCGACTGATTCGACTTTCAAAAAGGTGCCATGAATCACCATTCCATGTTTATTCCTCGCGGTACACAGGTACACCCCCTCGTCGCCACTTTTAATATTTTCAATAAACAGACTTCCATTTGTTAATGAACTGCGACCCTGAGGGAGTGGGGCTGGGGGAGACATGTTCCATTCAACCACAGGGGTGGGGAAGCCGACCACGTCACACAGAAGTTTTGTCGTTTTACCAAGAAAGCCGGTCACTTTTCCTGGGAGTGTGTCAGAGAATCTTGGAGGACCTAAAAGCAGAACACGAGACAGGGTTTTTCTTTGGGTTGTTATCAGAATTGAGAACGCTCTAACGCATAAAATGACAGTCACAGGCAAAGATGGGTAGGAGGACAGACGAGCAGATCGATTGACAGACAGGCAGATGGACGGTTAGACTGTGGGACTGACAGTCAGACAGACAAACTGGGAAACAGACAGACATACAGACTTGGAGAAAGGAAGGCAGAAAGACAGACAGACTCACAGGCAGAAAGACATAGACAGACAAAAAGAAAGACGAGTAGAGAGACTCTGGATCATAGACTTGGAAGCTAGATACAGGCAGAAAAGATTGCTATCATGTGAGAAAGCTGACCAAAATACCCAACTGATCAAAGGCAAGACAAACAGAACCAAAGATATTAAAAAAAACGTACTCACCAAAGACGATTAGTTTCACACGTGCCACTTGAGTACCAAATACATTCTCTGCCAGACATTCTATCTTGCCTTGATCTAAAAATCTGACGTTCCTCATCTCAAGCTTCTCATTAGAAACTAGTATTCGTCCACCATTACCTTGGATTTTACTCTGTAAAGAGCACGTGATCTTTGGGACTGGGTTACCGGAGGCAGAAATTCGAAGAGACAAGTTATTTCCTTCTCTGACAGAAATTGAGGAGGGAATCTTGGAGGAGAACCGAGGAGGAGCTGTTGGTCGATGAGAATAATAAACATCTACTTATAAATGTTATTTTTCAAAATCAGGTGAAAATATTTTTTATCATCACTGTGTAAATGGAAAGTGAAGAATTGTCTCTTGGCTACCTGATGTTGTTTCAGACTTCATGGGATCACCTTAACTCTGTGAAAACCTAAAACACTGATAAACCTCACGTTGGAATTTTTGATAGCTTATGTTGATGAATCTAGCTGATGGTCCTTTTTTTCTCAGCTGAGTGTCAAAGGTGTCGTAGAACTGGGAAATTTTTTTCAACAGCCCACCTATCTTCGGCTGGAACAAATGAGTGCTGTTAAGTTCATTCGGAATTAAAAAGGTTCTGCATAAGATACACTTACCAAATAATGTGACTTGAGATTCCATTCGTTTGGTCAACTCCTCAATGTATGCAACATTGATTTTGGGACTCATTCCAGGGGCTCCTCTGGGCCCTCTCGCGCCGGGTGGCCCAAGTTTACCAGCTGGGCCTGAACGACCGCGACGACCGCGAGCCCCTTGTTTTCCTGGAGGGCCCTGAGCACCTATATTGTGGCCATTCATTTTGCAGACATAATAATGCTGTTAGCATCAGTAAAACCATCATTATTAACTGAATATTGCCGATATCAATGTAAGTACATCTAGGAATAATGGGAGTCGTTAACCCCCTTATGAGGATATTCAAGATATTACATTTTAATAATGTAGTAGATGTGGGTAGACGATGAACCTTTGAGAAAAATGTTTTTTTTTTCACGAAGGTCATCAACAACTCAATGGGATCAGTCCTTATTTATTACTCAAAGAGGTGGGGTAGGGGGTGTTCGGAGGATTTCCGGGGATCACATGGTTTCAAGGGGGAACGGAAGGGGGATCAGTAGTCGCCAACAGAATTTTAAGGGGGGACTGTAAAGGAGGGAACATAAAAATATTACAGAGTCTTTTGGGGAAATCAGGTATTCTCCTTCACACAACCCACCCCCTCCTACACACAACCCACCCCCCTCCTCTTCCCCAAGCAATAAATAATGACCAGTTCCTGACAAAATCATGGTACACTGACCTTGCCTACTTTTTTTTCTGATAAGTTTTAACAAAAACAACAAACAAGAGGAAAAAGTGCAATTTCTGTAAAAACAACCACCACTGAGTAATTCGGTTTCTAATGACCCTACTCTGCAGGAAAGCTTCATCATCGACCTTTTCACTCCCAAGACCTCATTAGCAATTCTACTCACTGTCTGCTATACGGTTCTTATGATGTTAGTTTGGCGAATTTGGTATTGGATCAACTTATAACTCTTAATTGATATTTTCCTTTAATCTCGTCACTTGTCTGCTTGATATTGTATTAATAATGTAAGGAGAAATTCTGTCTTGGTCACCCATGAGAGTTAGAGGGTTAAGGGATGAAGACTGATATAATTGGCAAAGATGGATAAATTGGTGAATCATCAAAGAATTATCAGTTATGGCTTATTTGCCATTTAGTTCCATTTACTGCGTGCTTTTTTAGGCCAAAACAACATTTACATTTACTATTTGCCATTTACATGAACAATTTACACAGATTTACTAGGTTAGTTCGGGGTCCTCCGCGTTCCATTGGCTCAAGCAAGACATTAATTACTGCAGGAGAAACCTGATAACTTTTAGGCTTCATTTCCTAAAAGCAGTGCGGTTCATGTACCTTAAAGACGACGAAAGCTGGCAACTATGATTTTTAACGCCTGTGAGAGACTGGCGCAAACCCTTCATCTATTTGTTTAAATTTCCATTTGAATTCTTCGAGTCGTGATAAATGCTTAAGCTTTGTTAATGGTATAGTGTGTCCTTTGGCTGATGAGATGCGTAGGACTCATCTTTATTATATTTACCTGAAAATCCTGCAGGGCTTTTCGAATACAAACAGCGTTCTCTATCTTCTGCCTTACTCCATACATTTCAGATTTGCTAATTTGCCGCCGGTATCGATCACTCCTGGTCTCCGCAATCTCGCTTCTCGCGGTTGTAAAAAGCGGAAGATTTGTTTTCTTGTCACCATTGCGATCACAAGTAGACAGCTCTTCCCGAATAAACGACAATTCACTCTCAAGGCGGAAAACCTTGTACGAAAGAACTGCTATCGATAGAATTGTTAACACCAGATGAAAAATCTGGAATACAGGAGCTGAGGATTTTGTGGGAGGTCGTTTTGTCGATGCCATTTTTTCATCGGCCGTAGCTTAAGTTCATCTATTGTCGAGGAAAGATGACCCTCAGGACTAAGCTCTGTAACTGGATCCGAAATAAGTTTTGACTAATGGTCAGTTGATAACCAGAATACTTTGTCATTCTTTCAATAGTAGCTCGCTTTTTTATATAGATTTCAAATGTACCCTGAGTTTCTGACGCGTATCCCGCTGCTCATTGGGTAGAACGTTGTACCGCAATACCGCTCTCAGTTAGGGTTCAAATTCTAGCCAGGAAGACTTATCCTTTTCTTCATTTCTTTCCATTTTTGTTTTTATTAATTATTTTTTATGCCAAGTCGCTAAAAGAACTTAATTGTCTTCCTGTACTGATCGTTCACTTTTGTAAACTCCATACCGCACTTCATACCGAGTTGACTCCTTCCGGCTCTTAAAATTGAGGACATGCAGCACTGCTTAGTTTTAACATTACTAAATCAAGCAACATAGTTTTTGTTGTAATGTTATATTAGAGTCAAAACATATTTTACTCAGAATCTTTGCCCATTTGTTCCTTGCAATACATACTTTTCTTATTACCTTTAATCTTCAAATTTGCCCTCCTTTCATGGCAAGTTCCCCGCAGCTCAGTGGGTAGAGCACTGTACCACGAAAGCGATCCCAGTCAGGATGGAGATCCTGACACGGGGAACTTGCCGTTTCTTTTTTTTTTTTTTTTTTTTTTCCAATTTTCTATTTCATTCTTTTGAAGATAATTTATTAATCTTCCCTTTTATACCAAGCTTAAAAATAGTCTGAAGTGTTTACTTATACTTATCTTTTTATTTCATTACACTACAGAAGGTTGTCTTCCATTTATTGGCAAGTTTACCCTTTTCCCACACTCTTAAATTGAGGATATACATCGGAACACTGCTGAGTTTTAACATTATTAAATCAAGCAACGTAGCTTTTGTAGTAATGTTATCTTAGAGTCAAAGCACATTTTCCTCAGAGTCTTTGCCCATTTGTACCTTGCAGTACATACTGTACTTATTACATATAATCTTAAAATTTGCTCTCCTTTCATGGAAAGTTCCCCGCAGCTAAGTGGGCAGAGCATTGTACCGCGAAAGCGGTCCCAGTCAGGATGGAGATCCTGACCTAGGGAACTTGCCGTTTTCCTTCTTTTTTTTATTTTTTTTTTTATTTTTCTTCTTTTTTTAATGTTTTATTTATCTTCCCTTTTATACCAAGCTTAGAAATAGTCTGGAGTGTTTTTGTATACTCATCTTTTCCTTCATTACACTACAGAAGGTTCTCTTTCACTTATTGGCAAGTTAACCCTTTTCCTCTGCTATTAAATTGAGGATAGGCATCGGAACACTGCTGAGTTTTAACATTATTAAATCAAGCAACGTAGCTTTTATAATAATGTTATCTTAGAGTCAAAGCACGTTTTCCTCAGAGTCTTTGCCCACTTGTTCCTTGCAGTACATAGTCCACTTGTTACATATAATCTTAAAATTTTCTTTTTTTTCATGGCAAGTTCCCCGCAGCTCAGTGGGTAGAGCATTGTACCGCGAAAGCGGTCCCAGTCTGGATGGAGATCCTGACCTGGGGAACTTGCCGTTTTTTTTTTTTTTTTTTTTTTTTTTTTTTTTTAATGTTTTATTTATCTTCCTTTTTATACCAAGCTTACAAATAGTCTGGAGTGTTTTTGTATACCCATATTTCCTTTCATTAAACTACAGAAGGTTGTCTTCCATTTATTGGCAAGTTTACTCTTTTCCTCTGCTGTTAAATTGAGGACATGCATCGGAATACTGCTGAGTTTTAACATCATTAAATCAAGCAACGTAGTTTTTGTAGCGATGTTATCTTAGAGTCAAAACACGTTTACCCTTTTCCTTTGCTATTAGATTGAGGACATGCATCGGAATACTGCTGAGTTTTAACATCATTAAATCAAGCAAAGTAGTTTTTGTAGCGATGTTATCTTAGAGTCGAAGTACTTTTTCCTCAGAATCTTCGCCCACTTGTTTCTTGCAGTACATAGTCCACTTGTTACATATAATCTTAAAATTTTCTCTCCTTTCATGGCAAGTTCCCCGCAGCTCAGTGGGTAGAGCATTGTACCGCGAAAGCGGTCCCAGTCAGGATGGAGATCCTGACACGGGGAACTTGCCGTTTTTTTTTGTTTTTTTTTAGAAGATTTGTTTCATTTCTCATTTTATACCTGGCTTTTAAACAGTCTTCATATAATGGTGATTTAAGCTGGGAGAGTGGAGCATGCCAATTTTCTTTTTCATTCCACTTGTTTATTTTATTATTTTTTTGTTCGTTTACTTGCGTTTTTCATTTGATATCTCTTTAATTGTATATGTTGAATGTCGCTATAACCTGATTTATATATTTTTTGGAGTCCAATTTTTGAAATACATCGGTAACTTGGTCGAAGAATGAGTAACACGTGAAGTGACTCTAACCTTTCTCTCAAAGGGAGTTTCTGATAGGCCTCCTTTAGGGCGTATGAACAGAATTCGCGTCATTATTGTGACGTATCCACCAATGATTGGTCTGATTCATATTCAATATTCATAGCAAATTGTAAAGTTTTCTCAAACCAAACAGGTCTTGGACGGGTGAGGACGTGTCACTACAACGACACATTTCGCCGAGAGTTTGCTTACTCTTGGAATTGGACTGGCGCTTGGAAGACCATTGAAGGTAAGCATTCGGTTGTTCCTTGATGATTGCCATTTTAATGTTTTTCTCAGACTGTAGGGGTAGAAACAACTAGTCGGTGAAGGAGTGCACTTTCGGCTCGCTTCATGTTTCGCCTTCGACTTCGAGCAACTCGGGTCGATCGTGTTAATGCCTAAGTAAAAGAAACTGACCTTAGTCGTTAGTTAAACGAAAGACTTTGCATACCTTTTAAAGGAAATTGCTTGAAATTAGTTCTAGTTTCGAAAATATGCGGCGATGGCGCATAAGATTCACGTAGAACGCAGCCACGTGCGTTTAAATCCTGTGTTCAAGGCTACTCCTGACCTGCAGACGAATTGTGGCAGAGCTTTTCAAAAACAGCTTCAACAATGTACTCCGTGAAGCCACTGTGAACGTCGTTCTTGCCTCTCGAATTCTATCACACTTAAAGCTCGTTTCACCTCTCCCCTTCCACACTCATTTGCCATCAGCGATGATTTGGAAAGTTTAAAATTTACCAACCGACTCAATATTTTATTGCCTATTTATGTTGCAGGAAGACAGTCAGGTGATGAAGAAGACTAAAGATCAGAGAATACAGGAGGAGAAATTGCAATCAATGAAAGCAAAAGAACCTGCAAAGATAAGATCTCTGAAATTGTTCTAATCCAGTGAAAATGGTGGCTGCCAACATTTCTAGATTTACCAGGGAATTTCATTTGATTTTATATTAAACCAGAGTAATAAAGATCAGAATAGAATCTTAAGTAAAACGGTAAAGTGCCAAGGGGGGATGAGGTGAGTGGCGATTCACGCGAAAAAAGACTCAAACTTAGGGCGACAGCAGCCACCAAGTGAAGATGGATTTTTTTTAAGGTGGCACTGAAAGCAATGACATTTTAGGAAAAAAACTGAAAGTTAAAATGAGCAGAGATCGGCTTTTTAAAGAGACAACAGTGCAAACAAAATAATTCAAATCTTTCTCAAAATAATGTTTCACTTTTGTTGTCAAAGCAACGTTTATTCATGAAACAATATTGTATTCATTGTTCTGGCTTTCGATAATTTATCTTTACTTGGAAAACGTGTTAGAATTCATCCAACGGTCAGTGCCACCAAAAAAAAATTCACACATTTGCTTCGCTAATATTTGTATAATGGACAAGAGAACAGTGGCAATCAAAGTGTAAATTGGAAAGTTTTGTTTTACTGGAAAAAAAAAGAGCGAAACGACACCACCTTGGTTACGATACACTTACCGTCGTGATAAAATGATACATTTACTGACAGAAAATTGACATAACCAGTCACCAAAAAAAAGTGTTGAAGAGGATAAAAATTTTAGTAGAAAGTGTACAAAACCAACATATGTCCACAGATTGTTAGAAAAATCATCCTACAACATCGACATCTCGTACAACTTTACAGCTAATCGAGACTGGTCTACAATACACCAGGAAGTTGACGAAAGAAAACCATGATCTTTAAATTGACCTGATTTTGACATAAAGCAACCAAGTTGACGATGTAAGACGAAACATCACTGAGCCATGTTGAAAATGAGCTTGGATATTTAAGATAAAAAACAAAAACTGGTTAACAAGATCACTTGCTCCAATTTCCAACCTCTTACATCGGCGACATTGGTGCGACAGCTCTTGATGTTTTGACCGACTGACGTATGATACTTTTAGAAAAAAAAACAACTCCCAACAGATTTCCACAACCTAAAACCTGACCTTTTGACTACATTACATTAACAATGAAACGAACAGAATGGCTTAAACTGTCCAATCACATCTCAGAAATACTGCTCCGAATAATGCTAGGTCCGACCAATTGAAAGGATAAAAATCTTTGATCCCTTAAGAAAACCCGATTGCCTACGTTCTCTTGTCCATGTAAAACTTAAGCATATAAAACCTACTGTCTGGTTCAGAGGATCCTCAAAGATGTTCTTAATTTACAAGTAATACAGACCACAAAATTGATCGTTTATACGAAAAGCAATACTTGGTAGAATTGCAAGTTCTCCATTGAACAAACAACTGCCCCTTTCTAGTGCTTAAACAATCAACAAAAACTGCATCGAAAATCAGAAACTCAAGCGCAAGGAAATTTACCAAGCCTTTTTCAGTTATGTTTGTCTTGTAGAAGTTTCTAGTAAAAGTTCAGAGCTTTTAACGAATAGGACATTTCCTTTGCTCATCTGGTGAAAGAGAAAAATGAAATAGTTTGATGATTAGAGTTTTAGACGTCTTAATGTGGTCTGTATAACTGATGACAAAGTGTTTTCGTCGAATGTAACACTACTTGAAAGATATGTT